TAATCTTATTATAAGAGTAGACTACCCTTTTAAATATATTTCTAAATCCTTCTATAACCTATTAGACTACTATTCTACGTCTATAATTCTTATATCTAGTCTCTAGAATAGAATAGTATTAATTATCTCTAGAGTATAGTAGAGATAGAATAGCTCTAGAGTAAAGTAGAACTAGAACTCTTCTATAGAGTACTAGAGTATATAATTCTATAGAATAGAGTAGAGCTAGACTCTTATTCTATATAACTTTATATATTATATATAATAGAATAGTAGATATAATCTCTAGTTTATAACTATATATTTTATCTATAAGACTATAAAGTCGATTAATTTAAGAACTTATACTATAGACATATATAATATAGTATATAGTACCATATAAATATCTACTAATCGTCTTGGTTACTCTCTTCAATATCATTAGGTATCTTTCTATATTTTTCTTCCTCTATCTCTTTATATGATGCGTAACCAAGCATCGTAAATGCTATAATAATAAGAACGCCTCCAACCAGCGCGACGAAAGTAAGATCAGAGTGGAGAGGTGGTGGTAAGAGTTCATCCAGTAGAGTAACGATGAACACAGTTAACAAGGCCGCCACCGAGGACAAGACCGGAGACGTTAAGCTTATTAGAACAAGGAAAGACCCAGAGAACGCTGTGGTTTTCGTTAGTCATAACCATGATTCGAGGGCTACCAGCACTTACTAGCATTAGCAAGTACAGAGATGGCCATCAGCCAACCAGCTTTCCCGTATGGTAGCTCGAATTTCTCCCAACCTGTATAATGGAGGATAGGTAATGGGACCCAAAGCACAACTAGGGTGAAGCAGCCAATGGCACTACCAAAGGCGTTGGCGAATATCATGCTGCGGCCGGGACTGCATCCGTCAGGAGGACAAGCAAGCTTCTTATACAAAACCTCGTACAGCCCATATAGGACGCTTCCAAGTCCTATGACGAGGTTGCCGAAAATTCGGTTTTGCGCCTCATGTGAAGAAGACATCGCCGTGTTCCCACCAGCACCTCGTCCAGACTGGTCACCATGCTTAGCTGGAGTGCTCTCTCCATATGCCAAAACAAGTACTCCCAAGATAGCCACCAGTACTGCCACTATTTTTGACAACCGTACCCTCTCATGTAGAAGCGGAACACTGAAGACGTACGCAAAGAAGGCTGAGCAGTTGTATATAGCTGTCAGATCACTAGCAGTTGTGTAGTCGACGGCGACGTACCAACTCCCGCCCGCAATCGTCAGCGCACACGTTATAAAAGCTGTCGTCTTGAGCATATACAGCACCGGCGATATGGTGACTGCGCGTCCGGCCGGACGTAGTGTATTATGCTCAATCATTTGAGCTGTTTGCCGTAAGTTTTGAACATGCCGTCTCCAAAAGGTGCTCCATGGCTGGTTCCAAGCTTTTACACGAAGGATCAAGAGTTGCACAGGCCATAAGAGGAACCAGGACCCGTGGGTGAAGTATCTATTGGCAATACTTCGTCAGTGATTATATGGAACCTCAGACTCGAGCACCAATTTACTGACAACATGCAATATGCCTTGTTCCATTTCAACTCGTGTTGGATGTATACTGCTGTCTCTGTCTGAACTACAAAGCTGACAAGACTTAGCAACAGAAATGCTGCTGCATACGCATATCTCTTCTTAGTTGCCCGCCTAGCTTCCAATTCAAGATCTCTTTCGCGGAATGTAGACCGTCGAGATATCACTAGCCGTGGAGGGGATCCATAACCAGCAATTTTATTCTTAAGTAGAGGTTGGTTACCGGATTGTGAATCGTTCGCCCGATATGGCGGCCTAAGATCTGAGGGCATCTCGTCGTTGCTATCGCACCAGTCCTCAAAGTTGTCTTGTTCACTGCAATACGCCTGATCGTTCTTCGCTTCTTGTGCGTCTATAGGTTGTCTGTCGGTAGCTTGGCTTGAAGGTGGTATTCGAGAAAGATGAGCAGGGCTCTGTGAGGGTGTTTGAACAGGCGGGCCTAGGGGCGGGATGATGGAGCCGAAACCATATGAATTGTCTGATGGCGGATGATCGTCGGCGACTTGTACATAAGCAGCTGACCCGGGAACAGAGACATCTTTAGGCATGCATGCGGTTAGTAAGTAGAATAGGAATGCAGGATGTTGTTAGGACGTGCACTACAATAGATGTAGATGGACCACTCTAGTCAGTCCATTATGGTTTATCTTAGTAAACTTAGACCACTGCGAGAAGGATTAGATAAAGTACTATTACTCTTATATATAAAGATTAATTTCTAATAAGTAGAAATTAGATTATATAGTCTAATTATATAGTAGACTTAATATAGTTAATCTAATATATAGAGATATAAGAGAGATAGTACTTTCTAGTCTTACAATATGTAAGACTATGATAGACTATATTACTAATATATTACTAGTAATCCGTTGATTGACCGCGGGCTACACCTTACATTTTTAGGAACCGACTTTTGCCCACGCGCTCGACTGCCACTGCTTGTCTAGCTCATCAATATGATAAGAATATCGCCTAGGACACTATTGCGGGAATGCAAGACAGGAGTAGAACCTATAGCCATTTCTGGCGTTTCGCGTCACATCGTCCGCTTATCAAACCGTGGGCTGTTGACAAGAGCTCATACTGTTGGGCCCAGTGAGGTAAGTACCGCTAGAGCAAGTAACATCAATAGTGAAGTGGCCTGATACTGCATACTAATACGTCTCTGACAATTAGCCACCACTTCTGGAACAAACCATCAGTGAGAACTTTGCCGATATAGTTAGCCGTCATGGAGATCGACCAGCGTAAACAATCACAACTTCATGCATGAAAACGAGTTTCACAATTGACATAGCCAGGGTTCATTCCCGTCATCAGCAGAAGACCCTGTCGTATGCCGATCTGGACCGGCAGAGCAGCGAGATAGCGCGAGGTCTGGTGAAAAGAGGTATCAAGAAAGGCGATAGAGTGGCCGTGTTTCTAGGAAACAACATTGAATTTGCAGTAGTACGCATTACTCATTCAACTTGAGCGGACGCTCTGCTAATGGTGTCAGATCACATATTCGCTCTATAAACTTGGAGCAATCCTCGTGCGTCCTGAACAGCGATCAGCATGGCGAATGACCTGACGGTAACAGATATAGGTACCCCTGAATCCTGCCTTCAATGTCACCCAAGTCATTGCTGCACTTACCCACCTCTCAGCAACACAACTCGTCGTTGGTCTCGAAACAAATCTACCACGCAAAGAGCCAAGGTCTAACATTCCTATGCTACAGCAGATGATCCCAGGTATTACATCGTCAAGGTTGGAGTCAGAGCTCGTCCCTTCTTTGAAAAGTGTTGTATTTGTCGATAATTCACAGGGTCGCATAGATACAGATAAGTTTAGATCTCTAACGCCCTGGGGCCAGGTAGAAGAGGATGGCGGCCGGTACGATGTCTTGCTCACCTCAGAGCTTGATCCCAGCGAGACAGTGAACATCCAGTTCACCAGTGGGACAACCAGTACGCCGAAGGCGGCATGTTTGTCTCATAGAAACATTCTAAACAATGGTAAGGCTATCGGAGATCGGATGCTTCTTACCGAGAAGGATGTTGTATGCTGTCCGCCTCCTCTTTTCCATTGCTTTGGCAGCGTGTTGGGATATCAGGCGACTGCAACCCACGGCTCCAGCATCGTGTTCCCGACTGAAGCCTTCGATCCTCTTGCGACTCTCAGATCAGTGCAAGAGTACCGCGCTACTGCACTATATGGTGTACCCACGATGTTCACAGCCTGCCTGGAATTGCTTGCCGATGGCACAATTCTTCACGAGGGCTTTCAATATCTGCGCACCGGAATTGCAGCGGGTTCCCCGGTACCTTCCGAGCTCATGAAGAAACTCCATATGGTGCTCAATCTCACAGATCTTACAATATGTTATGGTATGACAGAGACCTCGCCGGTGAGTTGCCAGACAACGACAGATGACCCTCTAGAAAGGCGTATTGACAGCGTCGGTCGGCCGCTGTCTCATGTCGAGGCGAAGATTGTGGATCCCAGCGACTGGTCAAAAACCTTAGGTGTTGATGAGCGAGGAGAATTGGCTGTTAGTGGTTATAACGTTATGGGTGGATACTGGCGGGATGATATACGGACGAAAGAGGTTCTCGTGCCTGACGAGATGGGAAAGATGTGGATGCATGTAGGGAATAACTAGAAACTCCTCGATCAGGCCTGCTAACGGTATACACTAGACTGGTGACGAGGCTTCTATGTCCCCCGATGGCTACGTGCGTATTACAGGCCGTATTAAAGACATTATTATCCGTGGCGGTGAGAATATCCATCCACTTGAGATAGAAAATTGTCTCTTCGCACATCCATCAATATCTGAGGTTTCGGTTGTCGGGATGCCTGACGAACACTACGGTGAAGCTGTAGCAGCCTTTATAGTACCCAACTCTCGTTCCTCTGAAGCGCTGCACGCGAGTGATAGGGAGGGGAAAGACCCGACAGCTGAAGAAGTGAGGACATGGGTCCGAGAGCGATTAAGCCATCATTTAGTACCAAAGTACGTGTTCTGGGCAGAAGACTTTGGCGAGTTTCCGAAGACACCGAGTGGGAAGATACAAAAATACAAGCTAAGAGACCAGGGAATCGGGTTAATTAAGTCTATGGCAAAATCCGTATAATAATATAAGATCCCTCCATTCTTGTCTAGTATTTATATTATATTATAACTATAGTCTAGACTATTGAAATAAAAATATTTATAACACTATACTAGACTAGGCTTATCTCTCTCTATATATTTTATTTTAGTTTTAAAAGCTATACTATACGAAACTAAATAATTATATTATATTATATAATAAACTCTACTCGATAGTCTAGAGATCTATATATATATATATATATATATATATATTCAAAATAATAAATTAAACATCTATTTTAATATAGGCCGAAGTCACGTGACTAATTAGTAGACCAGAACATACATATATATCTATATAGTTAAAAGAGAGAGAGAGAGAGAGAGAGGTTATACAAGTAGTTAACCTCGTGCCCACATGACCGACTATAATCATCTAGGGAAGGATTGAAGAGTAAAGGACAGTAAAGGCCACGGACCGTTCGGGGGCCAGAGCACCGTACAGACCTGAATGAATGCTGGGGCTGGGATAGTCCCTGACCACTTCCTTCGATCAGGTAGCTTTCCCGCCTCAGTCCCTGCCCCCTCCCCCGGGTGAATGAGCTTTGTAACTCTGCAAACTAGGTCTTCTCAAGACTCGCGCCCATTAACAGGTAGAGCTATCGACGAGGCAGAGACTAGAGGTGACAGGCCCTTATGTAGGATAAGAGACTAGGCAGTCGCTTCCACCAGGCAGATGTCGTCACACGTCCAGCCCGTCAGACTTCTAATTCTCCCGTGGTCTTCGATGGTCTTCGTCTCATAGTATATGTAGTTGAGTCACGAAGACATGATTCGTACGTGGCCTCATAGAGAGGGTTTTGAACGGTCAGGTGCCAGGGCTGCGGCTGTGCGTTGTCGATGGTCGATGGATGCGGGTCAAAGAAGAGGTGGAGACACTACTGCCTTCTTGGAATCACGCAGACCCGCCGTTCTGGAGCCCTGCTAGACTAGAATTGGTCTACTGTGTGTCATGGGCTCTCTATTTCTAGGTTCTGGCTGTCCCGCAGGCTGTGAGAACCATGAACCACTGTGGACCTTCATCAGCTACTGAGTACTACATGTGGGTTGTCTAGATGATGCATCGAAAATTACCGCTTCTTGTGATATGACCGGTTGTCGGGTGGCTAAGTGTTTCCTAAGCATCCCGTTGGATACCCGTGAGTGTATCCACATGTCCTAACATCCGATCGAGTCCACAGTCTATAGCCCTTGGTGCATCTCGGTTCTTGATCAGCGGGCAGCTCCACGAACCCCTGCACCGAACTCCTGGGCCGAGAGTCTTTGACGACTCAGGCACGTACCAGGTAGGTATTTCCCACCTTAAACAGAGCACTTGAAGGCAGAGAAAGCAAAATAGCATGAATAATCAGCGGTCGAATGTTTCGGCCAGGAGGGCAGTGTGTAGCCGTGCACATAGCCAATAAGAAGCAATTGCCGATTTTGATATGCACGAGGTGCAGGCCCGTGACTATGTCCGGGCCTTGTTAAAAGTGTGTGTTTGCTGCCAACATGGCATCGTCAGCAGTGTGGATCGTTGATGCTCGAGAGAGCGTAGCTCGTCAAGCATAGTCGGAGACAAAACACGTGGTATGTGACCACCTGGCTCATGGATTTGACTGAACACTTGTTCGCACTTCTCCCGAGTCGGATGAATACACGCGCAGCAGCGTCACAATCAAAGTATGTACTAACACACAGACAGTTCATGGCCGTGGGAATGTACTATCTGGCGACAAATAAGTACTGTGTATGGACCCTGTCTTTTCATCTTCTTACAACGATCTGCCTAGGTACCTACCTAATTACTGTGTAGAAGATGAACCTTGCGGACAGGTCACCCCGCCCTACCCCCCCCTCCCCCTCCCCTCTCCCCAAGGGTCTCTTGCAGGACTCAGCCAGCATTGAAATTCGGCCGCTGTCGGCTAGAGCTCGACAGTTGTAGCCAATCCGAAACATCTGCAGAAGCTAGAGACACTAACAGCCCAGCCGCGCAGTGATCGATTGACTTCCCCGGATTCCGCCTCTACACAGCGCTCCACGCCACAATCTCGTCGCCAGCTCTTTACCGTTCTACCTCTACTCTTCAATCTATTGCCCTTTCAATGTGTTTGTATTGTTTTCGCATGCGCACAGTGGTAGCTCCTTTTATCTATACCCACCACCTCGCAATTGTGCGTGGGCTGTCTGTCAATTGACCAGGTCACGTCCGCGCAACGTTTGTTCTTGACTTCTTGTCAACAACGGCTTCGGCCCTCTGAAGACCTTGCTCGAACACAACCGAATTTGGGACCACAATTCAGCGTCTTTGACTCGATCTGGGTTATCATCTTCATCTACCTTGTTACGCATCGTTACATCTGGTTCTTCCGAACCCGCACGTCAGTTTCGCGACACTGTGCGCTCTTCACTAGCCCGGCTTCGCCGTTCTACTCTGTCTTTGCAGGCGCCGTGGCCTGTGCCGTAGGAGGAGAAAGAAATTAGTGAGCGAGATAAAGAGCGAGATAGAGAGTGGGGAGGAGAGATAGAGAGAGATTGTGACTGGCTGTGTACGACGCTTCTGAAGTGAGAGACGTCGACGGTCGCGGAACTGCAGCAACTCCTTCCGGTGAATTCAGTTCGGCCTACTTCGATTCTACCTCTTCATTTCGTCTACTCTACCCTCTTGTTTCCTCTCTGTCTCACGTCACACTCTGTTCCATCGGCTCATTATTTCATCTCTCTCCCAAGTTCATACTCTGTATGATAGTGGAACTCCTGGTTGCCCCCAACTTTCGAAACACTGGCTCAAGATCGGATCAAGGCCTGCGCAGTGCATCAGATTGATCTTTCCTATGAGATATCTCACTCAGAAACATACGTTTGTTGTTATTATTTACTTTTCGAGACCTTCACTCGAGAGGATCCCGCTGGTATTCGTACATAATATACTGGATCGGTCTCCAGCCTCATTCCCTTGCAAACCCTGTCATACACATTCATATATATATGTATACCAGAGGCCCATTGTGTTCTACCGAGACCTCTTGTATTCTGCCACACGTGCCTTATTGGAAAAGAGCCTCTAGTTGGATTGCCTAGGAGGCTGTGTTGGTTAAACAAGGCAACAACTTCTAGCGTGTTGAATCTGTACAATACCCGATGTTGCCTGCGAGTTCAAACGACCCTGCGAGCAGTGGGAACAGTGCTGCCAATACAGGTAATGTCACATCTCCGTAAACTAGTAGCTACCCTGGCTTACAATGTCCTTCCAATTAGTAACTACAATAATCACCAAAACCGAGCCAGGAAACAATTTTCCGCTACCGAAGACCGACAAACCGCGTCCCCACGGTTGTACGACATGTGGTAGATCATTCGCGCGGTTGGAGCATTTGAAACGACATGAGCGGTCGCACACGAAGGAGAAGCCTTTTGAATGCCCACAATGCACACGCTGCTTTGCGCGCCGAGATCTACTTCTGCGCCATCAGCAGAAGCTGCATAAACAGGGCGAAACGTCCTTAAGGCCAAGAAGTGCTCGAAGGGAAAGCACAAGTGGAATGCCTGCAACCGGCTCTGCACGAGTGCGCAAGAATTCAATAGCAGGCAGTCTCGTAGGAGGAGCAAACCCATCTGTGCGGCCTCGAGCAAACACAATTAGTCATATTGATGCAGCAGGGTTGAACAATTTTCTGGCTACAAACGGCATGGCACAAAGGAATCATGGAACACATGGAGGCCATAGCCATCATTCCAGCATGGCCGGATTCCCCTCTATACATGATTATGATTATCGGGGGTTCGTTGGAAGTGTTGGACATCACTTGACCAACCACGGTCTCCCGAAGCTCGACACGCAATTGGGGTTGGACTTGGGTGGAGGTCTCCGTACGGCCCCTCCAATACATGGCTTTCATGCGGACACCTTTGAGATAGACCAGATCTTTGGTGGCGGTTCGACCATCAACCCTGCCCAGCTACAATTTCATAATTCAGCCTCTCCGTTCCAGAATATGCATCAATTTACCGGACAATCCATGGACGAAGATGAATCCTTTGATTGGACTGCTGGATTCGACCAGTCTATGACAATGGCTGGACCGGGGCCAACTGAACACGCCATTGACGAGTCATCTCCAAGCGCCATGAGCAACACCACTCAAAGTGGCTTTAGCGAAGTCATGATTGATGGTTCCAATAATTCAACTCAGGCGTCAGCAGCTATGTGGCACAACGCGCTATCGACACCGACCTCTATGGTTCAGCCTTCTTTCAATCTAGACACGATAGGTGCTGCGTTTGCGCCGGAGCTGATGAATCATATGAGTATCACATCACCCAGGGAAGGACAAGATCAAAACATTCCGCATGAGTTTAGCCTCTCGTCACCTCCACCCCTTCCAACGATGAGTCCTACGACTGGTTTACACAGGATTCCAGGCGTGCAGCACCATTACCACCAAACTGCCCCACTCACCATTAATTCTGAGAGTCCGAGTGTGGGCTCTTCATCCATGAATGGAAGTGCACGGCACAGCTCTATAACTTCGATATCGTCAGACTCTATTACCGACACTACAAGGCAGGCATTGGTCATGACCCTATCCCAGGCACAAGGCTACGGACATACCCACCGGAAATATTCACAACCAACAACAAGCTCGCCTTTATCATCGAATGGGCTGTCTAAACCGGTACCTCAACTCGCCTCATTGCCAACGACCATCGATCTACAACGTTTCGTCAACGCATACATACAGTATTTTCACCCCCACTTACCATTTCTTCATATCCCGACACTGTCCTTCGATAGTGCTACTTTCAATAGTACGGTTCATAACGCACCATTTACGAACGAGGGCATCGTAGGTGGTGGCGGATGTCTCATCCTTGCCATGGCTGCCATTGGCGCCCTATACGAATTTGAGCACGAGGTCGCTACTGAGCTGTTCGACTCAGCTAAAAGACTGATAATGTTCTATCTAGAAGAAAGAAGAAAAGCGGGCATTTCCGCCGTTGCTTCACAAAATCTGAATCCACAGGGTCAGGAGGCTCCTTTGTGGCTCATACAAGCTATGCTACTCAATTTGGTTTATGGGCATAATTGTGGCAATAAAACGGCTGCAGAAGTCGCAACGACACATTGTGCCGCCTTGGTGAGCCTATGCAAGTCCTGTGGTTTGGACAAGGCAGGTCCTGACCCCCTGGATGATGTATCATATGATAGCAACGATCTCTTTGATGGCGATGTGAACATGGCTGGAATATCACACTCGAGCGACTTGCATCAACAATGGTTACGTTGGAAAGACCACGAGGAGCGTAAAAGAACATTCTACGCAGTGTTCGTCCTCTCTAGTCTGTTGGTGACCGCTTACGCACATCAGCCGAGAATTTTGAATTCCGAAATTCGCCTGGACCTACCATGCGACGAAGATTTGTGGACCGCAAATAGCTCACAGGTCTGGGGAACTCTTAGCGGTCCAACAACTGCTGGACGAAGAAACCTGTCGTTTGCTCATGCCCTAAGCTACTTGTTGCAAGCAAGCAATAGACAGCAGGAACCATACGGTGCTACTGGACAAACTCCCTTAAGACCTAGCACCTTCGGATGCTACGTCTTGATCAATGCTCTACACGTGTACATATGGGAAACTAGAAATCGGCACACTTCTCGTCAGTGGAAGAGTCAAGAGACCGATGCGATGATCTCACAAGTACAACCTGCGTTACAGGCTTGGCAAGAAGCCTGGAATTCGAATCCTCAGCATAGCCTCGAGCGACCCAATCCGTTTGGGCCATTGTCTGCTGATAGCATTCCTTTGTTGGACTGTGCATACGTACGGCTGTTTGTAGATATCGGTCGTACCAAAGAATCGATCTGGCAGAGAGACTTTGACGCTATGGCGGATGAAATTGCCATAGGATTGGACGAATTAAGCCCAACAGATACTTTGGAAGGCATACGAAGCGAAGGGGACACGAATCCAACAACAATGTCTCTTGAGATCCCGAACTTTACCGACGAAGAACAGAACTTGGACCAGCATTCCGGCAAGGCTAGCAAGCGCGAGCGGCATCTTCGTCGAGCAGCGTTTTTCGCCGCAGATTCGTTATTGATGGCAGTCGAACTCAAAGTGACTTTTGCAGACTTTACTTCGCGTGAGCTACCCCTGCAGTCAGCTATGTGCACTTTTGAATGCGCACAGGTCCTTGCTGAATGGGTAGCATCTGTACAAGATAGGGTCGGCAGATTTATTGGTATCCTTGGAAAGGATGAGATAAACTTGGATCAGGTCCCTGCTATCATTTTGTTGGAAGATGAAGACAAAAAACTGATTGACAAGCTTTCAAGAATACTAGCCCAGTCAGACGCGAAACTATCCATGAATGAGATGGGCCAGAATTTGACTGTTCCTGGCTTATGCGATCTTTCAAATTATGGTTTTGGTAGTAAACTCCTGATGGTCGCCGCGTATATGTTGGAGAAGGCTGGAGTATGGCCGGGTATATCACTTTGACATCGACGAACTTTGGAAAGCGCTAACGTGTTACAGTAGTTACGCATGTCATGGCACAAGCGTTACAGTCTCATGCGGACCACATGCATAGACGTGCCGAGGCATCACTCATAGAAAGGACGTGACGTTGGCAGATGCACGGGCTCCCCTTGAGTGTCACCGCTCTTTTTTGTTGACCACCATAGATGGCAATAATCGGATCCGTGAGACATTGGGGCTGCAAAAGCGATTTCCAAGGGTCCTAAAAGGTCGCCCTTGAGTCCCCTCTTCATACAGACTTTGGTATCAGCGCATTCTCTCTCGGAAGACTATGCTCTCATTAGTTCAAAGATTCTTCCGGATCCATTCCTTTCCTTGCCGTCACAACATGTATATCTTGGTGTTTCGTTGCCAGGCAACTTCCCACGATCTTGGGCTTCAGAGTCAAGTGCTTCATAAGCTGAGGCAAGTTTGGCGTGGATTTTATGATGGCACATGTGTTTCGTCGGTCAATATCATTGTTACCTTGTTGCACTCCGTCGTGGGAGGTCAATTTGAAGGAAGATTCCTGCTATGTCTCGAAGGGTCTCCCCGAGGTGGAGGTCAGCACATGGAGAATCAAGGGACAGTCCGAGAAGAGCCTGAACGCCTTATCTGAGTTGTAAAAGCGTTGACGTGGCTACGAACCGGATTCATAAGGATTGGAACACGATGCAGTGATCTGCGCAATTATGTAGGTACGAGATAAGATACGGAAATTGATGGTGATCATCCACTCGGAGAGAGAGCCTCAACCGAGAAGCTTAAATTGGCTCCTGCGGTTGATATGCACGTTGGAAGCTTCTTGGCAACCTCCAGCAGTATAAATCGGAGGCGCCCGTCACTATCGTACTTGATAGCTCATTTATCTACTATAACACCAAGCCATGTAAACACAGATCACCGACTCCTCACACCCTGATTAAACGCCAAACTTTTGCCACCAGATATCGCCCTCACCTTCCCGAACACAGGAGTACTCATGTCCTTGTAGTGACACGCCCAGTCCTTCTTGGCTGCGTAGCCTGGCCCTTCTTCATCAACAGCGCAGGAAAAACATCTGCCGCCTTCTGCCTATTGAGCGTCTTCCGGCAAATCGGACACTGGGATCTGCGAGCTTCGCCTTCGGCAACGCGTGCCTCGCCAGCAATAAGGGTTTCCATGATGCACGTATGACAAAACCAGTGGCCTGCGTCAGTCATAATATTAGTTCTACCTACGAGAAAGGTGAGCGGAAAAGATGGGTGCGTACCGCATGTAGTGACGGCGAGGTTCGTCGGACTCTCAAAGCAGATGACGCAGCGAAGATTCGACATTCGCAAAGGCTTTCCGATTTGCTCTTCTGGTGCTGTCATGGCCGTAACTTGTTGTTTACGGCTTACGTTCACAAGTGGATCCTCGTCACCGGAACTCATGACGGACTGTTGACCGTAGCTGGTCGATTTGCTTTGACTAGCTCCGTTGTTCTTCCTTATACGCTTTGTGGATGGACCGACTTCTGGAGAAGACATTGGAGAGGATTGCCCCTGAGATTCACCTTGAACGGGTGTAGTGAGGTCAACGATGCTATGAGAGTTGTTGGGCATGTCCGTGGGAGAAAATGGTGTGAAGTAGGAATTGTTTCTGTGCGGTATTTGAGGTGAATTATTGATATTGCCAGCTCCATGTGATAGTTGAGATTGTGATTGCGAGTCTTGCGTGGTTTGCTCCTCTGTACGCCTGAGTTCGACGTGGTTCAAAATATTGTGAAAGAACGATGGCCTGCCCCACCCAGTGTCAGCGAAGCGTTGAGGAAGGGAGTCGTAGTTGTCTACTGAGCTCCAGCCATCGAGTCTCCCGAATGTGGGAAAATTGGTATGTGGACCTGAGTTATGATCGCTTCTGACTGGGTGCCGGGAGATATTATGTATATCATCTATGTTGTCGTCTGCTGACATAATAGGTATCGACGGCGCATACTGGTCAGATGAAGGTATTGAGAGGGCAATAGCGAGGTTGAAGTTACGAGGTTGGAGGTAGGATATGATCAGTCGGGAATGGTAATAGTACTCTCCTCTTCTTGGCAGTAAGAGTCAAGGCTATTTGTAGGAGTCCTGTGGGTCCAAGGCTGCTGTTCATACGTAGTTCGAATATCTGTTTTTAACTCAAGTCCTATTACGCTTGGCAATAGTGCACCCGTGGCTCCTTCTATGTTCTAGGTAGAGCTTTTCACATGCATGTACTTCTATATATATGTATACATAGTTATGATGATAAACAGACTATTCGCTAGAGATAGAAGAGACGTAACAGTGTCCGGGCAGATGTGTACCCGAATGAATAAGTGCCAAGAGTGACAGGATTTGGGCAACTGACAGATGGATGACGCGCTATCGTCCCCGCGTTGCTCATCGAATACGCACAAGAGCCTAGGGGATTTCGCACTAATTAACTCCTAATTATGCTTTCTATCTACGGGCGTCCTTTCACCCCTACCTACTTTTCCGTCGTTACTCGGCTCTAAAGACCTCCTACTTGGTCACAGCATTATTTCATTCCTCGCCATGACAGTCTACTGACAGCACTCCGCAAACTATGCGATCCTGTCGTTCTGCTTCTACTGTGTGGACTCCTGCTACCTACCCTTCTCATTTTCTGCTTCCTGCCCCATCCTACCCTGCGCCGCGATGGTATCTACATCAAAGATGCTACGCAAAACAGGTTGTGCAAAGAAGCCCTAGGAAGAAAACTCTGGCTGGTTAGATCTATCTGCATCGCGGTATAGTCGTGTTAGCTGACAAAATCCAGTTCCTGCAGAGGCTCGTTTCAACGAGATAGGTGTACAGCATCTAAGCAGTCATGTCCACGCGCAAGTCTTCCCAGGCAAGGGAACCTCCCCTCCTGAAGAGCTCGTGAACCTGTCGAAGAAACATTTAGCGCAGCATGACTTGCTGGGCAGAAATGAAGACACCAGCACTCCTGTCGCTTTCGATCTTCCACCTATCCAGGGAGCAACCCTTGATGAGCACTTTCATAGACTGGGTATGGATATTGCAGAACCATATCTGACTATGGCAAAGAAGTATGCGTATGCAAACTCTCCACCTCGGCCTCGAAAATGGTTGAGTCGCAGCGGTTGGACAAAGTACAACAGCGACGGAACAACAGAAGCAGTCGATGCGCCGAATGAATCTATGCTCACATTTGACGTAGAAGTCATGTATAGACAAACGTCTTTCGCATGTATGGCATGTGCCGCTAGTCCCACAGCATGGTATGCATGGATATCACCCTGGTTATTGAAAGAATCAAAGACAGACCGCCACTTGATACCCCTTGGAGATCCAGACAAGCCTAAGATTGTTATTGGACATAACGTTGGATATGACCGAGCACGAGTGGCAGAGGAGTATACTATCAAACAATCGAAGACGTTTTTTATAGACACAATGTCTCTGCACGTTGCCACCAACGGAATGTGCTCACGGCAGCGGCCGACATGGATGAAACACCAGAAGAGCCGGGAACTTCGAGATAAGATCGCAGGCTCAGACGATGGTACGGAACTGGCTAATCTGTTAGAATCGAATAAATTCACTGAAGAAGAGGAAGAATTGTGGGTCAGCAAAAGCTCCATTAATTCACTTCGCGATGTTGCAAAATTTCATTGTAACATAACGATTGATAAAGCTCAGCGCGAACACTTTGGAGAACTGGATCGGGACGGCATTGCTAGAAGATTGGATGAATTACTAGACTACTGTGCCGCGGACGTCCATATTACGCACAGAGTGTTCCACAAGGTAATGCCTCAATTCCTGGACACGTGTCCTCACCCTGTCAGCTTTGCAGCTCTCAGATTCATGGCCTCGGAGATTCTACCCATCAACGGGACCTGGGACGCATACATTTCTAATGCCGAGGCGACGTATCTCAAACGCTCTAACGATGTGCAAGCTCGGCTTATTGAGCTTGCAGACAAAGCTCTAAGTATTAAGGGAGACCCCAAACAATGGGAGCATGATCCCTGGCTAGGACAGCTTGACTGGTCTGGACAGGACATCAAGATGGTCAAGGGCAAGAAGAAGAGTGACCCTCCACGACCTGCTGCACGACAGAAATTGCCAGGTAGACCTATGTGGTACAAGGACTTGTTTGCTAAGAAAGATGGACCCATCAATTTGACAGTCCGTACTCGCCTGTCTCCTATCTTGCTTCGCCTGGCTTGGGATGGCTACCCATTGTTTTGGTCAGATAAGTATGGCTGGACATATCGTGTCCCTGTAGAAGAGGCTCAGAAATACTTTGATGCCAGCTTGAGTGGATGTGACATGTCTCAAGAAACGAGCATGACTCGCAGAGACGACAGGAAGCATATCTACTTCAAATTACCCCACAAAGACGGGCCACTTGCGCGTTGCGCAAACCCTCTTGCTAAGGGTTATCTCCAGTATTTTGAGCAAGGCAGACTGTCTTCCGAATTTCCATTGGCGAAAGAAGCTTTGGAGATGAACGCGTCTTGTTCGTACTGGGTCAGTGCTAGAGACCGTATCATGTCTCAGATGGTTGTCTACAAAGACGACATAATCCGTGCCACTGGTGGTAAACCAGTGAAGAAAGCCGAGAAGAAGCTCGGCTTCATTCTACCTCAGGTCATCCCGATGGGTACCATCACTCGCAGAGCAGTGGAGAACACGTGGCTCACGGCCAGTAATGCCAAGAAGAACCGTGTCGGATCTGAATTAAAATCGATGGTTCAGGCCCCACCAGGTTACTGTTTCGTGGGTGCGGACGTGGATTCCGAGGAGCTTTGGATTGCAAGCCTGGTTGGAGATGCGCAGTTTCAACTCCATGGGGGCAATGCACTTGGGTTTATGACACTCGTCGGCACTAAAGCAGCTGGGACTGACTTGCATTCGCGGACGGCTAACATTCTTGGGATATCGCGTAACGACGCGAAGGTATTCAACTATGGACGAATATACGGGGCTGGATTGAAGTTTGCGTCACAGTTACTCAGACAGTTCAATCCAGGGTTGGGTGAACAAGAAACAAACTCTACTGCTAGAAAGCTGTATGAGGAGACCAAAGGAGCGAAAACCACGCGCAAGGTATTGAATGACAGACCGTTCTGGCGTGGCGGAACGGAGTCATTTGTCTTCAATAAGCTGGAGGATTTCGCTGAGCAGGAGCGACCTCGTACACCGGTCCTCGGCGCAGGTATCACTGAAGCACTCATGCGACGTTATCTGAGCAAAGGTGGCTTCATGACTTCAAGGATTAACTGGGCTATCCAGTCATCCGGAGTCGATTATCTTCATCTCCTTATAGTCTCTATGGACTATCTTATTCGACGGTTCGATCTTGATGCACGTCTTGCAATTACTGTTCACGACGAGATCCGCTACATTTCTAGCGTTCGAGACAAATACCGGACCGCGATGGCTCTTCAGGTGGCTAATATATGGACACGTGCTATGTTCAGCCAACAGGTGGGTATGGATGAACTGCCCCAGGCCTGTGCCTACTTTTCTGCGGTGGATATCGACCATGTGCTACGTAAAGAGGTCGATATGGACTGTATCACTCCATCCAATCCTATCCCTATCGCCCCAGGCGAAAGTGTTGACATTGAGACACTCCTTGCGAAGGGTGAAGAAGCATATCTTGACCCTCTAGTAGAGCCTCGCCTCCCTCTGGATCTCTCGAAATACACATACGTTACACGCACGCCAGTCATGACAGACATGATCGCTGATAATTCCCTTGCTTTTCTCAAAGCTCAAACCACCAGCGACGACAAAGAGTTGCGAGACATCGTAAAACAGGTTCAGCCCCCGCGGGCCATCCGCAAAAATGTAGAGAAAAGAACGGAGACTTCTCGCCCTCACTACCATCCACAACAAGCCAAAATGAAGCAAGTTGACGAAGCGTGGACGATGCGTCGCTATGCTCAGAAGTGGGAGCCGAAGAAGAACCAGACTTGGACGCATCTGCAATCCCCGAATTTAACTGGTCGTTCCTCGTTTAGGGTCTGACTGCCATACGAACTAGTACTAGCTTGTATGATTTGGGTCTTCATACTGCTGCAGTTCCTCTCCGGAGGCTGTAGAAACACTTTCAACATTTTTACAATGTTCTGATACCGTCTGACTGTATTTAGAGTCTTCTTTCGATGTACAAACAGTGCAATGCTGTTAAGGACAAATCGCATCAGGACCCTTACTAAATCCAGATTAATTGCACCTACGACGAGACGACTTCCTACCAGGCTCAGCCTATTTTGAAACCCTGGTTGCCGATTGCTTGGAAAACTATAGCCAGGTTAGATATACAAAGAGTACTAGAGACCTGGATACTTCGCTAACAGATTGAAATAATAGACGATAATACCCAAGCTAAATTATCTATACTAATGATCTAGCCGGAAGAATGAAACACACAACCGACAAGTGAAATAGTTTGGTACAAGATTCAAGGTACAATTTTGATTCTTGTGACTGTAGCCATCTACTCGAAGGATGACGCGAGTTCGAGAACCAAGATGAGGGGGGCCATCTCAAAGTCATGTCAGAGACGACTTCTTGGCGTCAAAGTCAAAGTCACCACATTTTGTGGGTATCAGGTAGTTCTCCGAAAGTCCCTATTTCGGTACTAATCATCTCCTCTCCTAACGAGTTAAGGTTCGAATCACGTGGGGTTTTGGCGGTTCCACCAATCAGTCATATACACATCCACGGTTAGATTTAGCGGGTGTTGGGGACCCTTGGGATATAGCCCGAGGTCATCATGCTAGACGACAGACATCTCCTCTTTTGGAATGTAATTGAACAAGATGGCTGGGAAGTCATCGTGCCCCCTTTGCCCTAGGCCAAATAAACATAAAAAATAATTTCGCTTTCATAAGTTCTTGGCGCGGCCGGCAATATGCTATATAAATTACGTTTCCGGATTCCAGTCCCGGAGGTTGACCTTCCAACATACCTTTTCAAGCTCCTACAGATCCAATCCGAAGCTATTTAATTTATCGACACTAGAGATCCAGATTAACGTTACATTACGATGCAAACTCACCGCCGATGGTCGAGACGCTTAGGAATTATTCTCCAAAAGGCTGGATTGAAACCTGGCGATAGGGTGCTCCTGTTCAGTGGCAATTCAGTATGTTTCCCATGCGTTCTGATGGGGGGCATAATGGCGCAGGGCACTTTCTCCTGTGCAAATCCAGGATATGTTGCTCGGGAGCTTGCATATCAACTAGCAGATTCCAGTGCCACCTTCCTAATTTGCGCAGAAGTGAGTATGCCGACCGCCATAGACGCTACCAATGAATTCGGCTTTCCCAATGATCGGATTTTCATTTTCGATGACAGCTAGAAGACTTTTGAGGGCCGGGTCAGGACGTTAACGGCATGAAGCACTGGACCACTTTTCTTCCAGCGAGGGAAAGGCAAAAAGTTGGGGTTTGGAAGCAGATATCGTCTGCGAGTGAACTTAACTGTACGACTGTCTGCCTCAACTACAGCTCTGGAATAACCGGGTGGTCCCAAAGGCGTCGAGATCACACATTGAAATTACGTTGCCAACTGTGAAGGGGCTAATTATCTTGTACAGCTCGATACTGCAGATAGAAAACACTGAGGTAAGAGGCGAGATCTGCTGTTCTTAGTAATGTATAACGCAATGGCCCAAACAAATCTTGTTGTGTCTGCTCCATTGCTTGGGAGTCAAGTGTTCATTATGCCAAAATTTGACTTCGAGCCGACGTTAGCGAGTATTCAAACTTTCAAGATCACCAAACTCGTACTGCTGCCCCGATAGTGCTTGCGATAGCAAAGTCACCTTCGACAAAGAAGTATGACTTAAGCTCCGTGTACCGAGCTGGATGTGGTGCTGCTCCGCTGGGGCTAGAGCTGACGAGGAAATATGAGAGACTATGGTCGAACAGGCAGATTAATGTGAAGCAGGGCTGGGGTATGACAGAGTAGGTCAGACTATGCCGATGGGCCCGAAGCAGAGGGCTTATGTGAGGTTTAGAGCCACATGTACCGTGACTAATTGGGACCCAAACAAAGTTCGACCACTTTCTCTGTGTGAGAGCTGGCTCCGAATGTCCAAACTCGGTTGATTGCCCCGGGTGGCAAAGATGATGTGCCCAGGGGCCAACGTGGCGAAAGTTGGGTCAAAGGTCCAACCGTAATGAAAGGATACTGGAACAAGCCGAAGGAGACCGAAGAGACATTCGCCGATGGCTGGCTGAAAACAGGGGGCATCGCCGTGATCGATGACGAAGGAGAAGTTACTATTGTCAATCAAATGAAAGTAGTAGGAACTGAGATCTCGTTATGATGTGACATAATTAGCTGTTTGTCAAGTAGGAACTTATCAAAGTAAAGGGGCTCCATGTGGCACCGGCTGAACTAGAAGCTCTACCTTTGGAGAACAAGGATGTCGCGGATGCTGCTTTTATAGGCGTATCGATGTTAGGGCCATTGTCGTCCGTTGACGTACTACAGTATCTAAAAATTTCATAGTGACAATGAAGAGCGTCCCCGGGCATACATCATCCCACAAGAGGGTGCTATAGCCGGCGAGAAGGACATCTCTGATTACCTCGCTGGTAGAGTGTCGAAGGCCAAGCGGTCGACCGGTGATGTCATATTCACAAAGGACATATCGAAGAATCCAGTAAGTTGGCAGGCATATTGAGCCAAACAACAGGGGCTCCAGGTAGTCACCGATCGCTCTCACAAAACCACACCCAAGACTAATAACTTCAACCACTCATATAGCCTGATAAAGTAACTACCTTGTACTTAAAACTTAAGGAATAGAGTCTGCTTATCTATATTCTTCTAAAAATGTATGATTTAATAGGAATTAGGGGTTATCTAGTAAGGTCCTCACCTAAAAAGAGCGATCGGTGCCTACCTGGAGCCCCTGTTGAAAAGTCGCTTATGGTCGATGTTAATAGGTTCCAGTTGGGTGAGATCCTCCGAAAAGTATTGCGCGAGCGGGCGATGAGAGATTGGGGGGCAATTCAGGATCGAAGCAATTCAAGCTGCAGGATGTATGTCATGTGCATTTGTCAAAGTTTGTCTGTTTGCTTCATTAGCAATTGATTCCATGATCTGGACACAGAACAAATTCGGTTGTGCATACAAGGTCTGAGAAGTACGCTATTATTTGAAGTGGTCCGATAAGTTCCTCATCAGCGTCAAGTACATATCTTTACGATGGCTATTAGCTGTTGATAAATCTTGACAGTACAGCGGACTTGTAAGTCCTTGATGCGTATTGATAACTTCAAAAACTTATGTGAACATGCAGACCAATATGAGAGTAGTGGGTATGTGTTCTTATGAAAGGAGGTTTTGTAAGCGGCCGCTGCTGGTATAGGTTTTACAATTCTTCGCATACGGGTCCGCTGCCTTTGTTGTATGTTGCGTCTGTGGCCTCAATTGCTCCTCGTGCCATTCCGCGAAGCCCGTAATTCGTCCATCTTTGCCACACGCTCTTTAAACTCATCGTACTGACATTTCTCGTATGAATGTCTCTCGTCCTGTCTTGTTTTAGGCTCGAAGCTATCAAGGGTTTGTGAGGATTTGAGCCTGGGTCTGGGGACACACCTCACACTTCCACGGTAGATAGAACTCATCTCTCCGGCAACGATTGAGTGGAATCAAAAGGTGGGCACAGCTATCCCGATAGGCAAGTGGAAGACGGGCTTTGGACATTTCCTCTCTCGTGGCAGCTGTCGGGTGTCAGAGTCTTTCAAGCGTCAATAGTACTCATGGAAGAACATACGACTCGAAGGACCTCCATCCCCGAGCCCAACAGCTTCTTTGATGTTGTCCACAATTGTCATGATGGTCGTTAATAGACAATGCTGGTTTCGTCGTGCACTCGTGCTGACATAGGGTCGTTGTAAGAGAGCTTAGACCGGTGTTGTTAAGGCACCCGGGCATCAAACCTGGAGGGGCCAAATTCGCACTACGCGCTAAACGTACGGGAATCAATTAACCAACCAAATCCCCTCAGCGCGTCTGCAGGCGCGTCGCTCAGCTTGCGCATCTGAACTGAATTCCAGCCACTGCACAATAGGACGATTGCATGATAGATATGAGTAAGATATACTCTGCAACGTACAGTAATGTAAGAGAACGCTTCAATCACATCCGGCAGAACCACCCTTCAAAGCACTTCTCGAAAGCGCTTTGTCACATTGAAGCTGAAGCGCTAGGAGTAACTGCTAACAAGATCTTTCACAGGTGCCAGTATACGAATTCAATGCTGATGGCAACCACATCATGCGTAGGCGAGGAGACGACTGGATTAACGCGACACATATCCTGAAAGTGGCCGACTATGACAAACCTGCTCGCACAAGAATTCTGGAGCGAGAAGTACAAAAGGGTATTCACGAGAAGGTCCAAGGCGGATACGGCAAATACCAAGGTCATTACTTCCTCTCAGGTCTTTGTACACCAGGTGCAAGATTTCATTAGTGAGCCTTTGAGCGTAGGCTGAAAACACCTTTGTCTAGGTACCTGGATACCACTATTGGATGGCCGTGCCCTTGCCGAACGTAATGGTGTACTTGAAAGACTGTTACCAATATTCGATTTTGTACCTGGAGATCGCAGCCCGCCTCCCGCACCTAAACATGCAACGGCAGCAGCTAGCAAACCCAAAGCCAGACAGACGGCCGCCCAAAGAAGAACTGCAGCTGGTATGTCCAGAGGAACCACCAAGAACACTGCGAGAGCTAAGACCTCTGTAGCACCGCGAAGAGTTGCCGAGGAGCCCCTCACACGCTACAGTCCCGTGCCATCTGATGGAGATACTATCGTTTCGGAATCTCTGGTTGACGATGTGGATGTGCTAGGGGGCGCTCATTATTCCAGTGGACGAAGGCAGAGGCGCGGGGAGCAAATGTCATTGCAAGATCAACAACACCAAATTTGGGCGGATGGTCTTCTCGATTACTTTATGCTCCTGGAATCGGAAGATCGCTTTCCAGAACCACCAGAGCCGCCAATGGGCATTAATCTTGACCATCCTATTGATGAGAAGGGGCATACGGCAATGCATTGGGCAGCTGCAATGGGTGATGTTGGCGTCGTTCGAGATCTCATACAACGCGGCGCCACAATCGATTGCATGAGCATGAACCAAGAGACCCCATTGATGCGTGCCGTAATGTTCACGAATAACTATGATAAACTAACCATGCCATCTATGGTCAAGGTATTCAGCCAGACCGTGGTGAAGATGGACTGGTTCGGCTCAACAGTCTTCCATCATATTGCCGCAACGACTAGTAGCAGCAACAAATACGTCTGCGCCCGCTACTACTGCGATTGTATCTTGGACAAGCTCTCGGAGACATGGAACACGGATGAAATTGCGCGTGTGCTGAATCAACGAGACCAGAATGGTGACACCGCAATCTTGATAGCCGCCAGGAACGGGGCGCGAAAATGCGTCCGGTCGCTCTTAGGCCGCAATGCTGATGCTTGTGTTCCAAACAACAGGGGTGAAATGGCGGATCACCATATCAAGCAACTCAATGCGCGAAGACGACAAGTCCGTCTTCGCCAAATGTCATCGTCTCCCTTCGCGCCAGACACCAGAGTACCCTTTAGCGGTGAATCACAGTATTTCATGGGCTCAACTAGGTCAACGAATCATACGGCACCCTCGGTGTCACGACAATTCCGGTCACAGACTGCATCTCATATGATATCCAAGATACTGCCGACGATCATGGAGAAATGTGAGCAGTTAGCGGCAGCATATGAGGCAGAGCTTGAGGAAAAGGAAGTGGACTTGGCAGATGCAGAACGTGTGGTACAGAAGCGGCAAGCCGAAATCGATGCCCTGAGGCAACAAACCAGCGAGCTGGAAAATATCATGGTCGATCACTCTATGGAACTAGAAGCCAGCCAAGAGGAGGAACTCAATCGACTAATTCGAGATAGTGAGGCATTACTAGAGCTAGAGCAGAAGTCGGCTCTGCGGAAAGAAATAGCGCACGCGGAACAGCGTGCTCGTACGTCGGAACAAAGGGCAGATGACGCATCATCACTCCGCGAGCGATTCGAGCTAGCAATTCTGCTACATCGGGCACAGGAAGAGCGGCGAGGGCTTGTGAAGGATATGGTGTGCGGGCTCAGTGCAGTAGGAATGGGTGAGAGGACAAGTGAATATAAGAGGCTCCTTACCGGAGCTCTCGGAGTGAAAGAGGATGACCTAGAGGCGATGGTACCTGAGATATTGGGGGAATTGGAAGAAACACAAGAACGAGATGTTATAGAAGAAGTGGTAGGAGATGTTCGAGCACCAGATGACATTACCATGAGCATGGGACTAGCCATATCGTGATGAATGCTTCACCGCCAAAGCACTATTCGTATCAATCAAAACGTGGTGTTATAGGGTATCTGTTCTCACTTTATCTCATAAGGCATAAACGATTACATGAAAACTTGTGTTAGGCAACTATTGACGAACGAGGATAGAGACTTATTCACAAGAATTATCTAGCTACATAGGTGTCTGATATAGATTTTCTAGCTATGATATTCACGGTGGAGTGGCCTCTAACTACGCGAAATTTTCCCTTCACTTTTGCTTCTCTTATTTGTTTGAGTGTTTGAACACTTCGCCAATGCAGCTGCTGATTCACTTCAAAAGCAACCCCTTCCAGTGGCTTTACCTACTTGTGCCGACTTCTTGTGTAGGCCTCTAACCCGTACGTAGCGGCATCGAGCTACGCGAAGTCGTCTAAGCTGCTCATTGTTTTGCCATGAGACCGTCTATCGTCACAGGCTCTATGTTAATGGTAGATAGGCAGTCTGGATAAAAGCTGTACACGAAAGCCTCTCTAGAGCCGCCCTTACGAATAAATGTCTTCGGAGTGCAGTGATGATGGTAGATAGTCGAAGTCTTAGGCTGCTAGTTAGACACGGCTCTTGGTGAGTGTTACAGACGGGCTAAGATGTATATGTTTGTTAGCCACTATAGCCTGACGTCGCGGCAATGACAAGCAACCTGCATAAAATTCATTTCAGAGGCCCGTGGCGGAGAACAACACCGGATCTAATTGCGTGTTGATAGATCTGGATGATGATCAGGTGTATTTAAAAGTTGATATTGGTCAGGGAGTATCTTTTACACACATCTAAATAGGTAAACGTTATGCAGGGAGGATGTGTGCCGTTGAGGGGTAGTATTGTTATTAGACTTATTCGAGTGGCTGGGAGGCATGAAATCCGCGGCCATGGGCATATAAAAATTTTGCCCGTGCGAAATACCAACTAGATCATTTTGGAAATCCTCGTCATGATGCGTAATTGGTGCCTGTGATCCATGGCTCGAGACGTAGGTCGGTGTGAACTTAGAGGCCTTAGAGGCCTTAGGCATCTATATGTCAAAATGCTCTTACTAAGCCAGCATTTCTAACTTGAAGTTACCTTACGTCTCTCATGACTCCGTTCTTCATTCCAGTTCCCAGCCATCAATAACAGCAACGGTATCCCTTTCTCCACCCATTACACACCAGCCGAGTCAGCGTCGGTCCTCTAAACCCATGGTGCTATTGTATTGCTGCACTATGGTGATGCCACAATTGGGTATCGCCGTCTAACTGACAAAGGACCATGTGGGTCCACTTATACCCACACTGAAAGCAGAAAGCTACCCCTCTCCCCAGACAATAATAGTTTTACTACAAATAATATCGCTGTAATATTTCTATGGCTTTCTCAGTCCTGTTACGCACGTCTAGACCTATCGACCAGGGCGAGTGGCTCTTGATCTAGCTCTCGTGATAGGAGCCTGAGTACCACCGCATCTATCCGTTGAGGACCACTGACTGGCGCCAGAGACCTAAACAACCATTTTCGGATGACTGTGGTATACTTCAGTATTGCTCATAGGTATTGTTCGAGCTCTTCCGCTCCGAGACATTGAATGGGGAAAAATCTACGTCATGAGACTTCATAGAATGTCGTTTCAATCGCTGCCCCAGAGATGGATCAGCTTATCGGGCCTCTTGGCCTGGAATGTAATCTCACGTGGGAGGCAGTCCGTGTGGAATGCATGTGTCCTGTGCAACAGTCCGCAGGTGACATTCCAGAGCATTGAGATGGCAGGGCTCTGAGCTCTCTACATGAAGAACCCGCTGTCTGCAGTGAAGTGCTCGGGCCAAGTCCATTAGCACTGTCTTCGCCCATCAAGAGGCAGCGCCGCATTCTCTGTGTCCTCACTAGCCACCACCAGGTTTGATTTCGGGAATGGGTTTTCAGCCTCTAGTGCAGTGAAGGTGGTAGTCTTTGCCAGATGCGGAAGCCCTGGTATATATGCGACCCTCTCAACTCTCGTCTGTTCGCAGCACCAGATCTCCTCACTGCTTTTTTATGTATCATTCCCAGAAACATGGCTTATTAGACATATAGGACCATTGCTTTAGCCTGCGTCTTGCAAGTCAACAGGTCATATAGTCTTTCGTTCAATGACTGGGCTTCCCTAGCACTCTTGTTCTCCTCTCCGTTCTCAGACACTCCCCGTTCTTGATCCTTACTTTCATGAAAGGACAAGGACCGCGTTCGTTTTGCCACTGTGTCGTCGACGATCTCGTCAATACCTAGGCTTTCTCGACAGATGGGACGATGTCACAGACTAATAGCTCGTCTGGCCATATCCATGTTGTATCCATTCCGTCATCATCATTAAAAGGTATCCGCCCTTCTGATGTATCACCGATGCCCAGCTGGGATGAACCTGTTCCAGGGGATGACGATTCTTGGCGTATGGCTGTACAATATGCCGCCCAGGCACCCAGATATGCCACGAACGACGTTCACGAATCATCTTCTTCAGCTTGCACGGAACCTAGAGTCGTCACAACAGACACCGAGATTCTAGGCCTCAGAAGCGTCTTCCTACTCGACAGTCTTTCAAGCTCCATCCGCCCTTCACCTATCTCACCTACACCTCTGCCAGCAACCTTCGGGTCCCCCGAGTGTGCTTCAGCATCGAAGAAATCCATACCCATACTCAGACGAAAGACATCTGGAATACTCAAGCCATCTCGCAAAGCCAGCGCAGCTTCCCTCATAATGCGACCGGCACCCAATCGACTTGACAACACTGATACATGGGCAAAGCGCCTTGAAGCGAACGCTGAAAGCCAAACAACAATAAAGGCCAAAATGGAACCTAATACACCACCTCCATCTTCAGTCTTGGACTCTGAAGACTACACCTATGCCTTCGACAACCAGTATCATGATGTTGGTACCACACCATCGACTACCAGATTTCCACATACGCGTTTACACAACACGGCCCAATCATTGTCACCGATAATCGACGATTCACGGGTATACATGATCAGTCACACAAATCCCTCGACCCGGCATTGGAGCCAAGATTCACTGAGCTCGCAATATAGCAGTCAGGGCTCGCATCAGCGCGGATGTGGCTGGGACACCGACGTTTCTTCATCGAGTGCGGGATTTAGCCTTGCCGGCGCTACGGAGGAGCGCTACCAGATGTATAACGGACTGCCACAAGTACCGTCAACTGTATGGGGTGATGATACTCCTCCCGTACAAACCATGCCCCTAGACACTTCTTTAATGGATGGTAAATATCATAGTATGGTTTTCGAAGTGCCGCCAGGGACAAGTGTCACACTCACTAGTCCTGATGGCACTATGCTTCCGCCCATACCGTCTGCTACACCTTCTCAGCTATACCTTTCGTCGCCGCCTTCTCAGATTCCTTCACCATGCCCACTGCGCAGTAGCAACACGGCCTACGGCGGCACTCTCAATCGGCGTGCGTCGACTTGCGATCGCAGGAGCGCATCTCCCACTACGCTTCCACGTTCTATTCGTCGTGTTGGTAGACTTTCTTCGATACCATTACTTCACCACGACGGCGGCACGTCTTGTTCAAGCCCATACGACTCGTCAGCAGCGCTTCGTACCGACAGCATGGTACCAGATAGTTCTTCTCCTTGTATGGAAGATAGCCAAGCATTATCTTATCGTGGTCGTAACCGCCGTTACTCTACCAATATGCATCCTGCTAGCATAGGAAGTATGTCCCGCGCAGCTAGCTGTTCCGTAAACAGTTTGAACCATTCAAGCAATTCCAGCATTGCAGGAACCAGTAGTTGCACTTCACACTCACTGGCAAGCCCACAAATATCTGCGCCATTCCTTCTCAGTAGCTCACTCTCGCCTGCGATACCATCAACACCTGATCTAGGCCTTGGATCGGGGCATGGGTCGGTTGACTTTGTCAATTACACCCCAGATGACCGATCCAAGATTCTTACCGGTGTAGCCCCAAGCGGCAGCTCCAAGACTAAAGCAAGGCGAGAGAAAGAAGCTGCCGATCGACGGAGGCAATTAAGTGAAGCTGCGAGAAGGGCAATTATTGATGCTGGAGGCGATGTTGCAGCCCTAGAACGAGATGGACTACTGTGTTGAAAAGGCTGCTCGCTGCGAGACCTATGGTGCGCCCGCCCAGATCCTCCTCGAATTTGAACAAACAATGGATGATGTAAGGGTGATGATCGTCACATTGGGTGATTAGAGATCTATAGAGCCTCCTGAGGTACTGGTACACGAGAAGAGCATGGTAGCATATTCAATAAAAATTCACTCCCACAACAATATATATTGACACAGTCGGACATTCCTAACTCATGAGATTCATTAATCAAACATTAAACTTTCTCAATGTCCATAGTAACTCCGTAGCATCATTCATTCTACGTACTTTTGAGAAGAACCTGCCTACCGATGGTCGAGTGCACCCTTGCACTTCTTCCAGATATTCCCTGAATAATCACTCAGTCCAGTGACTGAAATAAACTATAACTGTCCAATTCGTATGACTTATTGCGTTGCTACTAACCCAAATTTCTCGAGGATATGTTCCGAACCTTTGCGATCGATGGTCAGCACCTGCTCATACTGCATCATCCTCATATCCTTCTTCTCTTCACCTGTTCACATCAGCGCGATGTATCAGTCCTTACCGTCATCTCAAAATCCTACGTCTGTATCTCTAACATCTAAATGGTCCAAATACCCTTCTGAAACAATGACGGCGCCTCATATTCTCCGTGGCGCCTGCACCTTTCCTACCCCGTCGCATATCCTGAATACGCCTTGGACCTCCAACCAAGGACCTTGGTATCCTCCTCCGTTATCTGACAAATACCAAAAACACTCTAAATAGTGAACCTCACTCTCAGCCCCAATGTCATCCATATATCTGCCACCCACTCGACAGCGATCCCCAGGCGCCTTGCACGTCACCAATACACTTCGGCCGCGGCTCATACCTGCCTTGCCTAGCACAGTGAAGGGTCTTGTGTCAATAGTTACTGGGGTGGGTGTTTGCAGGGCTAGATACGGCTCGAGCTCATGGGTGAAGACTAAAACGTGTTCGATTGGCATGTACTGGAAGTAACGAAAAGCCACAGTTCGTAGGTCTTTGGAGTCTGAACCAGGTCAGGGAAAGTTTAATTTGCAGAGGAAGCGATCGAAAATAAGTATGGGTCGAATCGTGTCATGTGCGCCTTTTCATGAAGCTACATATATTTTCCACAATCACATGGTGGAGTGAGTATAATAGAGTGTAATAGACTCTGATGCAGTAATTGACACTGTCTTCATAGTCTGTTGTTACATGACTAGTAAGTAGTAGTTCCCTATCACCTAGGATAGGATAGAGGCGCTACCTATGGTCCGGCAAGAAGCATTTTTATGAACAGGGAACAGGGTAACGGACAGCGTCAGCATATTTTTAGTGATTAGATCGAGTCGTACCCCTCTCGAGAAATCTAAACTGGTCCGCCAGTCACTTTGCGCTTATCATATGGATACTAAGACCAGAACACGGCAATGATTAAACAATGTTAAGCGTCGCGGAGTGTATTTCCGCATCGCTGCGTAACTGATGGACTCTGAACATCCAACGCTCCGACGGAAGCGGTAATCAAGTCGAACCACTGGTATCTCAAATGCACTCCCTGCAGTAATAATGTATGTGACTTCGATATGGACGCAAAGAGACTGGTGCATTGTCCATAGCTAGCATTCCTACGATGATCTATTGGGTAGGACAAATGTTGAGGAATGGGGATTGTGGGCGACGACCACCTGCAAGATAGGTCAAAGCAACCACCATTGCTAAGCTGTCCGCTTAGTATATTGGTGTATCGAATCGCAAGCGCGACCATGTCGTGGAAATTGGAACAAGAAACATAAGAGGAAAAACCCGTTGCAGGTGGCCTGAAGTGATCATACCTGTAGGTTCGAAGGCCGTTAGCATATACGTACTGCGATACTAACTCAAGGTTGACATGTCGACGCTTGATAGCTTTCAGTTTTCTTGGCAAATCTTGAAATGCTCTGTACATAGCCATTCCGCCCAGACCCCAATATCTACACTAACATCGAGCGCTCTAGCTAGACGTCTCCTTAGTTGTACTGATCGCTTAGTGTCTTGAGCTCGAGACTCAAACTCCAAAGCGCCTTCTGGAGTTTCATTGCTAGACTCACCAGGCACAGTGTTTGTACGTGAGTCAACATTCTGTGCTAGAATGGTGATCTCTGCATTGTTACCGATTTCGAAACTGACTGAAAGTGGTAACTTCGGATCTTTGGGTAGAGCGGGTCCCATGACGACATTATCATCACCATCATCATGCTTATACTGTCCTTCTTTCAAGTCTCGAGTAGAGTAGGCATGTAATGGACCCGGAAATACTACAGTAAGACAAGTATGTGGCTCTAAGCTGTCGACCAAAACATCTACTTTCATATCTGGAAGAACCCTTGTGGCGTTTGCGGAGGTAGGCTTTTCTATGGGAGAATCAGAACGTGGCGAGAAAGAAGTCTGAAGCATCGAATTGAGCATCGCATACCGACGGAGAATCTGTAGTAAATCAGCCACTACGTATCGGTCGACGCGTGAAGGCTTGTTGCAGAAACTTACCGGAAGCATCTGTACAAGTTGCCGTGGATGCTCGAAGGGTACTTGTTCTAACACAATACCGTAGCCGTCGTTCGGAACGTGTAAGGCGTTTTTATGCTTCCTTTGAATTTCCTCCGAATCTTTGACGAGGATCAAACGTTCACTGTGTATTTGGTTCAGACCAGTCAGGGCTGTGCAGATTTCACCTTCGCTGCCTGGGTGCAGAGCAAGACTGTCCCAAGCAACTGCTCTGTATTGGTCCTGCGCTAGCGGGGCATTCACGTCTTGAGTTAAGGCTACAGCAACGCGTAAAGGGACTATCAATGGTGGAGAAAATCGTGCCATGAACCGGACGCCAGGAGGTTTCTCGTTGCCCATGGAGCTGATGTTCTCAGTATCTTCTTGTACATATGTCGGTGGTGGATCCAGCCAGTCGATCTTTGAGCCATGCAGAGCTTCTCCAATGTTCTCGAGTCCGTCATCAGCTTTTTCGATCATATCTGATAACCACGAGTCGCTGATCCGCATCGCCGGATACATGCCAACAGGAAGCGATTCGCATTCGATTTGAATGGAGTGGATGCGATCGGGACCCAAGTGATGGGCTATGTCTACCGGCTCGTCCGTTTCCATATGGTCTACTATTGGAGTGTTGGGAGCACTTGATGTGACGGTGTCCCCATGCAAGACATGCCTTCGGTCGGTCCAGTACTCCAGCGAGAGACCAACTCGGTCGCCAGCATTCATTCTCGGCCGACCGCTCTTTTTGCACATCACATGGCGCTCTGCCTTTTCTTCAAGCTGTGGTGATTTTGAATCGAGAGAGGCGGTGGCAATATTCTTTTCATGCACGAACAGTTTTTGTAAACTGTTGTAAACGGCCGAGATAGCTGCAAAGCAATTGAATGATGGAGCACTGAGTTTCTCAAACCGGGCAAGAACTTCGAGATTCCTTGAAAATTTCTCCAAGGTCAAAGTGAGTTTCGATTGTCCTGGCTGGGATGTGAGATCTCTGAGGAGCACATCGGCTGAGGTCTTCCAAGCTTCTGGTGCAGCTTCGCACTCCACGTTGACCTTCTCTACCACATCTGACCTGATATGCACATCCACCATCAGGCTGCTTGTTCCCGCGATGGTGATCGTTTTCTGGTTGTTCTTGCCCTCGTCCACAGAAGTGTCTAAACCCACCTTTTTTGCTGCTCTTCTAATGCCTTCTTCGCAAACTTTCCCGGAACGACTTCCAATCAGAGTGACTATACTCTCCAGGATCCTTCTCCTCTCATCATCTGTTCTTGATCCTATGCCCAGACTGCTCCCACCAACCATTCCCATACCAAGGCCACTCATGCTCAGGCCCATACTTAGTCCGCCCATTTGGCTGAAGCTAACACTCATATCTACGCCCCCGGTATTGCTGAGGTTCAAGCCCATGCCCCCCGACGGTGAATCGAAGTTGATTCCAACGCCTGCTGGGGAACTTCCCAGCAGACCCCCGCGTTTCGTATCACTTGCACCTCCAGTTGAGCTTCCAGTCAGGTGGTTGTGTGAGCCTGAAGTCGGTGCTGAAGCATGTGTCAAAGTCATGGGCGACTTGCCGGAGATGGTGTTGCGATGAGCTGCAGGAGACGCAGCATTGCGAGTGGCAGGAGAGGAGAAAGCTCCTAGGTGAGAAATTGTATTAGGTGTGGGTGCGTTATGGGCCTTAGGCGTCTTAGACGAATGAGCTGGGTTTGAGGGTGTGGGTGTGGACATGGTGATGCGTGAAGGCGAAGGTACTGTGCGATGGGTGTGCTCTATAACTTTGAAATCAGACCTCTTGGATAGCAACGAGGAAGGGATTAAGGACGGAAGATTGAGCTCGGATGCGCATCGGGGGATCGATAGAGGACTATGAATACATCGGAACTTGTAACCATGCGATACAGTGGAATGGCTTTGTCTATCGCTATGCTGTGCTGCGCTAGGAGGCTAGAATAGTGTACTAGGAGCTCCATCCGTCTATAACTTTTTCAGCGTAACTCTTGGCAGGTCTTTTACACGTGTAAACGCCTATATCTCTTATTCTTGAATTATTCTATAACTTTCTGTATCTCTATTAAATATATTATTTATATATATATTAATATACTTATATATACTCATCTTTACATTATATATATAGAAAAGAAAAAAAGAAAAAAAGAAAAAAAGAAAAAAAGAAAAAAAGAAAAAAAGAAAGAAAGAAAGAAAGAAAGAAAATAAGAAAATAACTTTAGAAAATACTTTTTTAAATATAAATATTACTATATAGATATCTATTAATATTCTATAGATAGATTTTTTTTAGATTTTAATTTAAGGATATATATAAAAGATATACTAAGAGTTATACTAAAAGAGTCCTAGATAGATAGATGTGTCTGCACGTCCTACCTAGCTAGTAGTAGCTGTCTTCCCTCACGTAAGCAGATCATGAAATCCCGTGTTACTGATTGATACATGTTACTATCAAATGATAACCCCGGCTGAGGCTTAACTACACGGCTACTATATCGCAGTTCCTCGGTAGTGTATATGAGACCTTTGCTTAATCATAGAGAAATCCCGAGTGTATCAGTTTAAATGTGGTGAGTGCAGCATATACTCCTAATCCCTAGACCTGTCTCTCCGCTTCATAACCAACGCCGGGATCTGAATGTACTTGGGACCTCGTATCACTCATATGAATTATTATGCTCTTATCAGAGCTCATGTCTGGCATGTCCGAGCTCATTGTCTCCGCCCACCTCGTCTGCCTGCTGTGCTACTAACTGTACCTTCGCTTTCAACCTCCTCAATCACAAAATCCTCTTGATTGGCATCTAGCGCGGCCTCTAGCAAGTTCTGACCCTTCCCGTTTGCTAAGCGCGTGGGCCTTTGTCCACAAATTGCATTTCTTGGTCTTTTCTTTGGCCGGCCAGCCGCATTCGTGCTGTTCAAGAGCTCTAATTCTTTTTCCTCTGTTTGCCACCTCCGTACTATTTCGTCCTCGAGCTTGTTCTCCATATCGTGGTGCGATGCATGATGACTACAGCCATCGCATTCGAACGAAGTGGCAATCTAAAATATCCATGTTAGAACAATAGTTGTTTGTGTAGGAATGTTTGACCTTGATAGGATGAAGCATGAACCTTCGGCATGTACATGTTGTAAGCATTCCAGTCTTGAAGTTACACTGTCCTCGAGGAGGTACATATTTCATTTGAGACCAGATACTATTCTCTGGTACAGGTGTCGCCATGCTTAATAGGCTCGTAATGATAGTCTGTATTCTCCGTCGAAACTTGTAAGGAGATTTCGAGGTATAAGTGAGGTCAGACCTCTCGTCGTAGAAAGATCAAAAAGAGGCTTAAGAAGGGCTAGGTAGTTTGAGTGTACGCAGAATAAATCTTGTTCCCGGCCCATGGTGAGTATCCAGATGTGGCTTTCACTTTCGAGACGTGCAGTAAGCCAAGACCCAATGTAAACAACTCACTAGCAACGACGTTGCCCTGAAATGTACCAGCTTAGTCATCACAATAGCAGCAACAACCCGTGGCGTGGACCTATAATATTTAACAAGTCCACTCATTGTTTAAGTTGCACTTGGATCTGGTACGTCAAAATTGGAAAGGATCGATGCAGAGAATCGAACTGATATTTTTGCAATATCGTACATTGGTTGCCCTAGCTACTGAGCCTTGTTTGTGTTTTCTCTTCCTATTAATTAGAAGCTCTATCGCAGATGATCTATTCCATGCACGGGTTTTGATAGCAGGCACAGGAGCCTCCCGCAAACCCGGCACGATGAAGAAAGGCAACATAGGGCACCTGAAGCCCGTATCTATCTAGAAACGAGAGGATAGTGTTACAGAATAATATCAAAAACAAAGATGCATTCACACCCGCTAATGAGTCAAGACAAGTAACGCCAACGTTTGCGAATGTGATTGCGAAAATGATCTCTACCAGCACGTTCACTTCTCATGGCGGTAGGTACATTTGTCTCCTTTTCTGCACTTTCCGATTAGGAAGAAGTCGCAAGGCTTCGTGAACTTATTGGGGGGGTTTTCGGGGTCCCATTTAGGCTTCTTTCCTAGCTCTCTTCGATCCCCGTTGTCATTACGTTTTCTCTTGAAGTCATCGTATTGCTGATCATGATACTGTGGCAGCTGCTGCTGAGTCTGTATGTTCGCTGGCATCTGCGACATGAGGGACGCCAATAATGCTTGAGGGTCATTATGTGAAGGATTGGCAAACGGGAGTCCTTGAGAGGCAGAGGAGAAAGTTGACTGGCTTGGCTGTGGCTGTGGCTGGGCTTGGGCGAACAGATTCCCTAGAAATGCATGTATGTCAGGAGCTGGGTTTGCCTGAGCGACTGGCGGTGCGAACGAACTGAGCAATTGCGACAGATGATTCGAGTTATTCTGTGCCTGAGCGGTAAGCTGTGTTACTGGCTGGATTGGTGGTTGGTAAGAGAGGTCCAGTGGCGCCGTTGTGGCTGATTGCGATGCAGTGGACTGGCTCTGGTGGCTCTTAAGAGAATCAAGTATGGCGCTGAGGTCTTGTGTGAGAGTGCCGTTGTTCAGCGGGGGCTGAGCTTGCTGAGGTTGGAAGGCAACTGCGCGGCGGAGCGTCCACTCTAATGGAACACCAAACTCGACCACAGGTATGCTATCTTCGCTTGGAAATTCGTTCGGTTCCCTAGGGGTTGGCGGAATATCCGCTGGATCATGGTAATACACCATCAAATTGTTGGCTTCGTACTGCTCTTGGGCTTCTTTATCTGGACTAACTGGAATCTTGGTGCCGCCGCCATAAGGGATAAAATTGCTGCTTCGGATAGATTGATCAAAAACATCGAAGTCAATCGCAGAAGGAATCTTCCATTCGCGATGATTTTGCTCGGGGGCTATTTCTTCCTCTTCATCATTGTCCATCATCTCCTTATGTTTTTGTTTGAACATGCGTCCCTCTTCGTGCACACTACCAGCATTGCGGACCATGCTTGCATCGTGACCGAAATCCTCGTCTGGGTCGTGCTCGAAGTATTTGATTGAGCAAAGCGCAGCGTCCGGCTTCCAAGTTACTCTGAGTTTGCGGCGCTCTTCCTTGCGTAGTCGCTTCGCTTTCTCCTCCGCTGTCTCCGGAGGTCGTTTGTCTTCTTGCTTGGTAGTTGGCTCTGAATCCTTTGGTTTCAATAGATTCGCCATCGTATCAGAAAATGAAAAAGCCGGCTTTTGTGGCGCGGTAGTCGTAGGCTTTTTAGAAGTAACACTCATTGGTTGACTTTTCTTCGCAATTGTGGATACACTCGGCTTTTTGGAAGCTGACTGGAGAACATAGGTAGGCGATGATTTGGCTACAACCTTAGGCTTCCCCATTGTGGCACTGATTGCATAACTCGTAGCTTTTTCGACCGTTGCAGCAGAAGAAAGTTGACGCTTCTGTGCTGATTTAGCAGTACTTGCGACTGCTCCACTGGCTGTTGACATTCCGGATCCTGACAATATTCTCTTCGCAGGTTGCCCTCCATCTCCTTCCGCTCGACGTTTGGTCGAATACGCAGCATCCACATTTATGCGCTTCAGCTGTTCTGGTTTTAATTTTGGGATGGCATCCTTCGATCCCGATGTTTGATCGGAGATAGGTGTGCTTGCTTTAACCTTCTGCTTGGACACGTTCGCGGCGTTTTCTTCAATTGTCTTAATCTTTGCTTTCATACGGTCATCTCCCTTTCTTGCGAAAAGGGTAAGTGCTTTGGCTAGCTTTGTCTCTTCCATCATTTCAATGGACAAGGAAGTAGTGGAGGTGAGCATCTCAATGATAGTGTTACCAAGTGAGCTAGTGTAGTCCTTCTCCTTTACTCGCTCTGCCAGAAATGAATAGCAAACGAAAAGAAATGCTTTGTTCTGACCGAGAAGTCGAATCACTTCAGGGTGGCCGTTTTCTAGCGCGCTTCTCAAAGCCATCTCGAGCATTCCCCGTTGAATTTGAACGCGGTCTTTGAGTAGATCAATTTCGCCCAATCTCTTCTTTTCCTCCGCTTCCTTCACGGCATCACTATCCTTTTTCCAACGATCTTTTATAGTTCTAATCAAGTCCCAATAATCGCCTAAAGCGGTCCGAATTCGTTCCGCCTGTGCTCCGTCTCTTCGCGACAACCAGACGGCCTTGATCGTGTCGTACCGGACCGAATCAAGTGCTCCTGAGGGGCGGGTGCCCGGCAAAGGTGATGTCTCTTCGTCGTCTGACGAATCGTCATAGGATCCATCCGAACTTGAATCGCTGGCGTCACTTAACTCTATCGGTGATCCTGTCGACTTTCGTGACAGGGCCGAGGAATGAGGTGAAATACGAACTCTGGCGTTGCTGCTCTTGGACTGCTTTGCAGGTCTTCTAGTGATCCTGTCCAACAGACTTTTATTACCAGAAGCTAGCAACTTGAGCTCTTTTCTTGACTTTCGTGGTACGTATTGCGGGATCGTAGTTCTGGTAACATTGAGCTCCACTGGTTCGTTGCCTATGTGAACAAACTCGTCAAGGCTCACAGTACCAGTAGCCTTCTCAAGTTCTTTATCATCAATGATTAGAAACATTCCATGCACTTTAGCACGCGGAGGTTTGTCGAAATCTGTTCGCAACTGAACACCATTGACGCCTTGCCCATGAGATGATCCCGAAGAGAGCTGATAAGGCTGCACGCCGTTTATAGGCTGCTGATATGCTACAGGAGGGGTCGAGGCACTGCTGGCATATGTATTGTGTGCTTGCAAAACAGATGGGGCAATGGAACCATGCGGAGGTAACTGAGAGTAAGACGATATTGGTAGACCATAGTTGGTGTGAGCAGATCCGGAGACTAGAGATGGATCCACGGTTGGTTGCGCGAACCCACGACGTGCATCGTTAGCTATTCCTTCCCGGTATGGTACAGGACTGTTGGAGAAGGATCGCCCGTAAAGAGCCTGGTTATTAAAAGCTGGATTGATAGCATTTTGGGAATAGTGTTGCTGCTGGCCCGGAGGTTGTTGATGTGGTTGTTGATGCTGCTGCTGCTGCCAAGAGTGAAGCTGGACATTGGTATGGCCATGTGCTGCAGCAGGCTGGCTATCAGGAAGGTTGTAGCTGACAGTGTATGGAGCATCGCCATAAAAATTCGTGTAGCCAGCGAGATCTTGAGTGTTGGAATATAGCTGAGGTGTGTTACTGTCACTATTGCGGCTCCCTGCTTGCTGCGTGTGGAAGTTATCGAGGTGCACGTGATTCGAAGCCATGTTTGACACTTATTCAGTTAATGCGGTCCGTGTGCCCCTCTTCTATGAGATGGGAAGACCCACCACAGACTGGGCACTGTGTCTGATTGGCCAGAAGCGGGCGAGGGAGCAAGACTAGCCAGATCCGGATATGAAAGGCTAGGTGAGACCCGACTTTGGAAGAGTGCAGGAGATCCTAGGATCTTCGTGTCGCAGTACTTGTCGGTCCACGTGCAAGCAAGATGGGCGTGAATTGCTGCTCTTGTTGACGATGTGCTGATGTTGGTGCTGATGCTGGTGCAGTGGTGAGTGACGGTGCCAGGCTTGAGTTTGGTTCCCTCTCGCAGCCTGGGCAGAGATGACTATCGTCTCAGGCCGGTCTCAAGGGGGACCTCTGCAGCGCGTTTGGCTCACTTTTCTCAGTTGGCCTGGGCTAGGCTGGCTGTCTGGCAGGACTGTGAGACGATTTGCAACATCTATTGCGTGCCGTAACAATTCCAGAATCCTTGCCTGTGCAATAAACTCCTGGTGTCTGCTTCCCAATTGCTCGCACTCGCTTCTAATCAGGATGTGTCGCTGGCCGTGTCCTTGGCCTCTACCGAGTTAAGCCCAACGTCTCTCAGCAAGTATGCAAGTCAACGAAACACAAGTCCCTCAACAAGACAGCTTATGAGCAATGATTGTGCTGTAGGGCCTTAATTCTGGTAAACTTTGATTCGCGATACCTTATCAGACTGAGCCTGCTTAAAGCGTCACTTGTGCGGATGAATTGGAATCGCACCCTCCGCCACCTGCAGACGATCTCAATCTCGCGCACAGGGTGTTGTGAATTATGTGCTAACGCATGCGTCAAAGCAACTTTGATGGAGAACTTTACTGCGATGCTTTTATACGGGAAAAGAGCGAGTACAAGCGCTGTGATGGAATTCTTAGGGAATTGAGCAATTCGAGGTTTGGTGATATGAGAGTGAAGGTGAGAGTGAGAGAGGGAGTGCAGGCGGGGGTGTATATGTCAGTGTGTGAGCGCGAGTGTGAGTGAGTATGGGTGTAATGTGAGTGTGAATGTAAGTGTGTGAGTGAGAGTGAGAGACGGGAGGTGGATGATGGGCGGATGGGCGGAGGGAAGATGAGAAGGAGAAAGAAGTTGCGGCGAGGGCGAGGGAGCAGCTTCTATGGAAGCGCACGGCTTAATTGCGGACGCGCTAAACTGACAGAAATTCGACCCGCGTGCTGCTCGCTGGAACAAACGAGGTACCTGGGTGGGTGGAGTTGGCGTCGCTGTTTTGATAGCGAGCCTCCAAACCTGTGTAAGAGGACTGCGGACTTATTTGCCCCAGGGCGAACACCACACTTTTCTGGGTAAAATAACCGCGCTCTTCCCATATAGGTGTCGAATGCAGTAACAGATCAACCTGGCTGAGTGCAGCCCATCCACTCAATCGCAAACATGGCCTCTACATACCAAAGCCTCCGTGACAAGCAGATTGGTAAGTCTGTCCCTCTTCACAACACGCGCCATTCATTTTAACGCCTACCAGCTGCGATAAGTAGAGTCCTAAATTTGAACCACATCTCCTCCGCTAGCGACTCTCAGAACGAATCTACCTCCAATGGCCGTGCTAAGTCAAACCCGATACTTGATGAAGATGGCGAGCCGATATGGAAAGTTCTAATATTCGATAACCTTGGACGTGATGTGATTAGCAGCGTACTCAGAGTGAACGATCTGAGAGGATATGGTGTTACAGTGCATCTGTGAGTACGCTTAGGCCTGCGTGCTACAAACACAAGACAGCGAGGCACTTATACCTGACAGGTCTCCAGAAACATAAACACCACAAGGCATACAATCCCGGATGTGCCCGCCGTCTATTTCGTCGAGCCTACTCCAGCAAACCTCCAGATCGTTACGTCAGATCTCGCGCGCAATCTTTACTCCCCCGCGTACCTCAACTTCCTGTCATCAATACCTCGACCTCTTCTCGAAGATTTCGCCACGCAAATCGCAACTACTGGGACTTCGGAACATCTCGCTCAGATATATGATCAATATCTGAATTTTATAGTAACAGAACCGGATTTATTCAGCCTTGGCTTGGGCCAGGACCCATACTGGGTCTTGAATAGTGGACGTGTGGAGGATTCGGTTGTCGAGGCCACAATCGAGCGCATCGTCAGTGGCCTCTTCAGTGTAGTCGTCACTACGGGTACGTGTCTGCCGCGATAGTCCCGGCTCTGGCTAAATAACCATAAAGGTACCATCCCAATCATACGATGTCCCAAAGAGGGAGCTGCGGAGATGATTGCTGCACGGCTAGACCGTAAGCTAAGGGACCATATATTGAACTCGAAAGACAACCTGTTTTCTGGGTCAACTCAGAAGTCACAAGCCACTGTTGGGACACCAGCCGCCCGCCCAGTCTTAATCATCGTCGATAGGAACGTGGATCTCGTGCCTATGTTCTCACATTCGTGGACATACCAGTCTCTGATTCATGACGTTCTCAAAATGCGCCTAAATCAGATCGAAGTTGAAACGCCTGCAGACGAAAGCAAACCTGGGAAGGGACCATCGAAGCGAACATACGATTTGAACGCGAGTGATTTTTTTTGGACAAAGAACGCCGGTGTTCCGTTCCCGCAAGTTGCTGAGGATATTGATGCAGAGCTTACGCGGTACAAAGATGATGCCCACGAAATCACCCGTGGTACAGGAGCTTCCTCAATCGAAGATCTACAGAATGATACTTCATCGTCTGCCAAACATCTGAAAGCAGCTTTGACTCTACTTCCCGAACTCCAGGAACGCAAAACTACACTTGATATGCATATGAACATTGCTACCGCTCTTCTTAAGGAGATCAAAACCCGTCAGCTAGATAATTACTATCAGCTTGAAGAGACAATCACAAAGCAAAACAAAGCCCAAATGCTCGACCTAATCAATGACAAAGATAAGGGTACTGAGCCCAAGGATAAGTTGCGTGTCTTCATTATATGGTTTCTCAGCTACGAGCAAGACTTGGGCTCTGATGAAATGAGACGCTTTGAAACAGCATTGCGAAATGCCGGTGCTGACACTCTACCTCTAGCCTTTATCCGGAGGTCAGTCTCACACTACTTTCTCACATTGTAGTTTCATTAACAAGTGTAGTGTGCGACAAATTACACGCGTGAATATGATGACCTCGTCTCTGGCTCCTGCCTCCCAGCCATCGGCATCCAACGAATTATTCCGCGGATTTAGCTCCATCTCCAGTAGGCTCACTGATCGTTTCAAAGATGCACAACTCGGGCAAAATTTCGAGAGTCTCATATCGGGTGTCAAGAATTTTTTACCAGCGAATAAGGACTTGACCCTTACTAAAATCACCGAGTCTATTATGGATCCACAAAACGCTGCCTCGTCAGCCATTGCGAAGACGGAGAACTACCTATACTATGACCCACGCAGTGCAAACGCTCGCGGAACTATGCCTCCAATGAATCAAGCAAAGAATCAGCAAGGCGGTTCTGTTGGCAGAGGGATCGACGCGAGCTTTGGACAGAGACGCCAAGGATTCAACGAGGCCATTGTGTTCACGGTTGGCGGTGGAAGTATGGACGAGTATGGAAATCTTCAGGAATGGGCGCAACGGACAAGTGGTGGTGGTGGGAACGCCTCGACGATAGGACCTCGACGACGAGTGGCGTACGGCAGTACAGAGATAATCAACTCTGAAGACTTTCTTTCCGACGTCTTGACACGACTAGGTAACGAATTAGGAGCATAGACCAAATCTTCATACAAGTAAGTAGTCGCATGTACCTTTACTGAGATGGTCGAGCAGACTCTAGGATGCATATGTATTGATGAGTGTTTGCGTATCGTACCTTGCACATGACTAGCTAGAGGACAAACGATTTCAGAGATTGCCGGTATACACTGGCTATGCAATGCGGAAATTGAACTGTAACCAGTTTGTCCGTATGATCGGGGAGCGATCATCCTCGTCGAAGGAACAAGCCTAGTCTTTTAGGGCAAAGTCCTTAAGAAGGCTAACGATATAAGCTATGCAACCAGCAGTAATTACACATTGCTGGTAGAGTCATATAACATGTCGAGTTAGGACTGCCTATGTGTGGTGAGGTGATAGAAAATACACGTTAATAAGCTCGAGTTCCAAACGCCAAGCATGCCATTCCGTTCGAAGCTCCGGTCCCGGTACTTTTGACGTGTGGTCATCCTCACACTGAATACTTTCACTGATTGATGCACGTTAAAACACCTTTTTTCCACCCCCTCTATCATCGTCACGTCCACTCTAATCTACGCCCTACCTTTCGTTCTCAAGATCGACGTTACTGCCGGACCCGACAGACTTGTCTCCTACAGGCCATTGCTTACGGTAGTCTGCCCATCAATACGCTCTGACCCGCGACCATCTTCCGCAACCTGTTTGCCACTTCTACTTTCTACCAGGCGCTTGATGAAAATGGCTGCACAACGTAGGAGGAATATTGTCCAACGTCGCCGTCGGAATGAAGAGGAAGGAGACGATGAAGCGTCAGTGGTGACTGACCATAACGATGACTCGCAGAGCGAAGGATCGATCCAGAGTGATCAGGACGCGGATGCAGATGCTAGCGATTTGAGCGACACTGAAACACCCGGACCATTGAACGATTCAGAAATTCATAGGAAACCTCAGTCTCGCCAACAGCGATCTGACAACATTCGCAGCGGTCAGAATGAAATACTGACAGGGGAAAATGGTGATAAATTCTTTCCACAGTCTACCGACACGGTTGTGATGATGAATGGATTGAACTTATCCGAATCAGTTGCGAAAGACGAAGGGGTCGATTTTGAGACACTGAATCGCAAGAGACATGCTGTTCCCACACACCCTGTCATTGTGACTAGTAAACAGGAGACACCCGCCGAAAGAAGGAGACGCGAGCATGAGGAATATCGCAGAAAGAAGGAAGATGATCCTGCCTTCATTCCGAACAGAGGACCCTTCTTCATGCACGACCAGCGGGCCTCTGGCCCAGGAGCAAATGGTTTTCGATCGATAGCAAGAGGTCGAGGAAGAGGGAGGGGTGGTGTGGGTGCACCTTTTGCATCACACAAGTATGAACTCAGTATGTCATTTGGCTTCAAGTACTGACAGAGTCCAGTGATGTTGCTCCACCTGACGAAACCTTAAGCGGACCTTGGGCTCACGATCTACATCAGTCTCTTCTGGATCAAGACGGCAGAGCGCAACTGTCTATAAATCCTACATATCCCTCTTTCTCGAATACTCAATCTGCAGTGCGGAAGGCTATCCCTGCACCATCCCGACCGAACCTCGCACAATCCTTCTCTACCACCCGCGAGATAGCGAAAGCTCTTATACGTGTCTCGCTTCCTGGTATGGAAGTGCCCGTTAACTTCGCAGATGTTCCGCTCAAATTATACGCTCGGCTCCCGAACCATCGGCCGCCTTTGCGAAGAGACAAACCAGTACGAATATCATTGCCTAACCATCCACCGCGATATATATTTCCTTCTACTGAGCGATCATTCATCTTCATTCCGCGAGCTATGCGTCCAAATCAGCAAGGATTTGGCAGAGGGCGAGGCAGAGGTATTGGATCCATGGGAGGCTTCTCGAGTCGTCGGACAAGTGTATATGCTGGCAGCGTCAACTCGCCAAGCGTGGCTATGAGCAGGAGATCTTCTCTTGCACGGGAATTCCCCCGAGACGGCATCATCTCGCCTACAGGGTCCGTCGTGTCCAGACCACCGGGTTCATCTGACATGGTCAAGCCTATCGTTCGTCTGCCACCTGGACAGACGCAGGCTTCAGCATTCGGACATGCGACACCAATAGTGAACATACCTCCCCCATCTACATATCCCTTACCACAGCGACCCGCTTTCAGAGAGAACTCTGCAGGCCTTCCGATGTACCAGCCTCGTCCACAGAAAGCTGTGTCGATGGCCGGTATAGAGTCGCCTGTGAATGTTTTTGCGGCGCCTCTGCAGCAAGAACAACTTCCGTTTCACCAGCAAGTGCCTCCTCAATTGAACGGACAAGGTCCTCCAGACCAAACGCAACAATACCCTCCTCATACACGACAGCTTTCCTATCCAAGTCAGCCATCGACAGGGACTCCACTTTCTCACATTCCAGAACGTGCTATTCATGCACAGCCATTCCAGCCTTACCAGCAATCAGGATATCCTATGCCCAACGGATATGCGCCTGGCTATTTCTATGCTCCTTCAAATCCTCCTCAGGGCCAATATCCTACCGTAACACCAAGCGGTATGGTTCCAATGTACATGCAGGGTGGCCAGTCAGGTACATATATGTTACCGGCAGGACCTGCGTCTGTATCTGTCCCTGTTACCAACACGACACAGTCGCAAGCTAGTATGGTGGCGCACGAGGCCAACGGGACGGTGTATTATTATGATCCATTCAGCGTATACACTGCAACAGCTATGGAGGGCTATGCTCCTACGAGCTACGCAGTACCTGGGATTGGTGGCATGATGACACCCAGTCCTGATGGGTATCACTACCCACAGATGCAACCAGGTGGGACAGTGTACTACGGGTAACGAAAGCAACACGTCCCTGTGGATTGGCAATAGCAACACCGCGTTCTTGTAACATGTACATGTCGTCCGTTTAGCGAGTCTAATCTTGGCGTCTTGCTCTTTATATAACTTACCGTTTCCATGTTGAGGTCGAAGGTTCATTTTGAGGGCACTCTTTTTGCATGGAGTTGGTTTGCGGTCAGCAACAGGTCCTTCGAGAGGCACATTCATCAATGTCATACGAACGCTACGGCCGTGGTACTATGCGCGGACGCAGTACGTCTACAGAATCAAACACCTTTCATATAATCACACAGTCTTCTTTATTCTTCTGGCCCAGAAATAAAATGAAGCAATGTCCATTCATTTGCGCTCTCTGGGTTAAACTCATTCGCAATGGAGGGGCTGACAGACGGTCGATTGGGCTAGATGGAAGTGGTCTGTAGAGAATAAAGATCATAAACTTATCAGAAGGTGCTTGAAATGCACGAAGGTTGACATTACAGACCGAGTGGAGGTCTCTGGTGAAGCAGAAGAAGTGTACAATTGGATTCTCTTGAGCAATTGCAACGTCAGTCTTCAGCACAAATGTGATCTTATGTTCAATAAGGGACGCTAATAGTGAGACCGTGCGTGTTGGGCCGCGTATTCGCTTCGCATCATGTGATAAACTCAGTCGATTAGTTCCGTTGATTACAGTTTCGAGGATCACGGCAGGTGACGTAGCAGAGATTCAACTGTATAGTGAAAGCCATCATATACAGGATTAAGTCAACATCCTTTCTACCATCGCACGTGATTGGGGTCCGTGCTAAAGTCCTTGTGGAATGCAGGTAAAATGGTAGCCTAAACAGGTGACAAGTAGACCAATAAACAGGCGACATTGATGTCGACGAGGGGCAGTGAAATCGTGATACATAAAGTCAGCGTTGTCCTGTCCAGTGCAGTGAAAATCTAACACCACCACGGTGGTCCAGTCACGGGTTGACCAGTCACCAGTTCAGCGCAGGTTTAGTCCCCCTTGACCGGAGCTGGACGTGAATCGTTAACCGTGCTAGCTTGACAGCTCCGTAAGCTGAGCCATAGCCCCAATCCATCCAGGCTCCCCTCAACTACCACCTCCTCCACCCTGATACTTCCCAATCCACCTTGCCTCTCTTCACCTCCACTTTCGCCTCCATATCTCCACCTCCACCTCCACCTCCCGTCGCCATCGGTCTTCATCAGACTCCGCTATCGACTCTCTACAAGAACTTCTGTCGCTCTCTGCGCTTCGAGGCTGCATCCATAGCAGTTTCGAAAGCTACACTGCAAATAAGGTCCGAAGGCTGTTGCTTCAATACGTCACCTCATCTCCCCAGCAGTGTGCATCAACTGCTATTATGGCTACTCAACCTTCAGTCACGATGGACACTCTCATCACCATCAAGGTAGCCTTGGAAGGAAGTAACAGAAGATTCAAAATCCCTCTCAAGGACCTCGGAGCCAACGTCTTAGAGAATAAGGTATGTCACCCTCTTTCTTCCCAGTCATATGAGATAAGGTTGCCCCAAGTGCATGTAAGGGCTTGCTGGAGACACTCGATGGCTACTACCACCCTTCTTCATACTGTTCATATTCTCGCGTAGAGGTCTGTTTGCAGTATTACATCTGAGTGCTGGTCGCCAGTGCTACCTTTTACGCCTATCATCGCGCCTCGTTGCCTTGCGTTCTTCGGCCATCTTAAACCTATAGCTGACGAAATACTATAGCTTCGAGCTGGCCTTGCTATTCCTACGAATCAAAAGGTTGTCTTTGAGCGCTTTTCTGATAGTGCTGGTGCCTACGTCATCCTTGACCCTTCCAATACCCAAGTCTATAAAACTTTGTTCCGCGCGGCGAAGGCCAAGCTCAAGCTCCGCTTGAAAGCGACCATTGTTACCAAGAACGACACGGCTTCGCCTGCAGCAGTTGAAACGAACCCCACGGTTGGGACAAATACCTCCTTGCCATTAGATCTCAATGGAATGAGCCTGAGCCTGAAGCAGGCTAGGCCATGCGAGCCTGAAGCACCCTCGACTACTGCGGCTACAGAGGCCATCGAGGATAAGAAACAAGTTTCAAGACCGCAAAGCTATGTAACCTCAGGACTTCAGACACAACTTGCCTTCCGTGCCAAGGACACGACCGTAGCCTCTCCGTCCTGTGCCTGGTCAGTCTATTGCAACCAGTGCGACAAGCCCATGTCGAACGAATATTTCCACTGCAGCATCTGCGATGACGGCGATTATGACCTTTGCGTCACATGCAATGAAACTGGATTTCATTGCCGCGATGCCAGCCACTGGCTAGTCAAGAGATTTGTCCAGAACGGCCAAGTTGTCAATAGCACCTCAGAGAGAGTTGCGCCACAAGTGTCGGCTCCGGCTCCAACAGGCCAGAAGATTCATATTCAGGAAAAGCAGCCTACGGTCATGCAGACGGACTTGCTATCGCGAACCTGCAACTCTTGTATCAATATACTTCCGGAGTCAGAGTTTGTCACTTGCAAGGATTGTGAAGACTACGACCTTTGCATTCCTTGCCATGTAGCAGCAAGGCATGGTCACCACCCAGGCCATACCTTTATCCCTGCTACTAAAGAAACCATGATTGGTCCGCTCGCAGAGTTCTTGTGCAGCGCTGGCAGGAATGTACGTCACGCCGCTGTATGTGATGGTTGCGACAAGTATATCTATGGTATTCGTCACAAATGTCTCCACTGCCCAGACTGGGATTACTGCTCCAAGTGCGTCAAAGCCGCTAGATTCAATCATCCATCGCATCGATTTGTACCAATCTACGACCCCCTTCCAGAACCTCGTTCGATGCCAGTGAGACACCATGGCATCTTCTGTGACGGCCCTCTTTGCAAGGACAGGAAAAGCGGAGAGTACATCGAAGGGGTTCGCTACAAATGTGCTGTATGCAACGATACTGACTTCTGCGCAAATTGTGAAGCTGCTCCATGCAACAGGCATAACCGAACACATCCTCTCCTCAAGTTCAAGACACCTGTCCGCAATGTCAGTGTGACTACTATGGGCGAAGATAGGCAAGGATCCGCCATGACTATCATGGGAGATCACAAAGCGAGTGGCACGCGCAGATCTGCGTCCACTGAAACTGTTACTGTCCCTTCAACAAATGCTGCCACTCAGGTCCAGACAGTCATTGACTTCAAACCGCGCGAGGTACCCATCCTCAAGCAAGAGCAGGCCAATATGAATGATCTTCTGGCGGAGCCAATCCAGGAGAAGGATCAAGTTCAAAATTTGATGACAACGTCTCTTACGCAGGCTCCTTCAGTAGAGACCATCGATTCACTCGAATTGGTAGCTCACTTCGTGCGCGATACCGTCCCTGATGGAACTAAGATACTTCCTGGGGCACTGTTCACTCAAGTGTGGACCTTGCAGAACCCCGGTCCTCATCCGTGGCCTGCTGGTTGCAGTGTTCGTTACGTAGGTGGAGACAACATGCTGAATGTTGACGACAATCACCCGTCCAGTGCAACAGAGATTAACGAGGCTACTGAGAGTAATGTAATTCAGCGCCTGGTCCAGGTCGGTGAGGAGGTCTCGTTCCGAGTTCTCATGAAGGCACCAAAACGCCAGGGTATCGCCATTTCATACTGGCGTCTCAAGGCCATGGATGGAACGCCATTCGGGCATCGCTTATGGTGTCATATCGACAGCACGAGCAATACTCCGGCCAAAGCCACCAGCAGCACAAAGTCTGGAAATCCTTCGCATCCAGATAGTCGGTTCTATTCCCCCCAACAGCAACTTCTGACACATCATCAGCAACTTCTAAAGCTGCAGGCGCAAGCCATAAAAAGACGCCAGGAGGCTGAGGATGAACAACAGAAGTCTCGTCAACAAGAAGCCACTCTGATCGAGGCTAACCTGAAGCGTCATGCTGAAGTGCGCGCTGAAGCTATCGAGAGTATGCGTCGCGCAGCCGAGCTCATGGACGCGGAACTGGAACGGTCATCCCCCTACACAGTAGAAGAGAAGCCGCCGGTCAAAGTCGCCACGGAATACGCAAAGTCTTTTGAACAGAGAGGCTCAATGATATTTCCCCAACTTGACAAAGAGTCTCCAATATCTAGCCTGCACGAGGCGGTCACTGCTCTGCAATCACACGCTTCCACTGAACAAATCGAAACGGAGACAATCCAATCACCCAGTGTCCAGAGCGACGTTGACTTTTTTGAGGACGCGGAGACCATCGAGTACTCGGAAACTTCGGACGAGGGCTTTGCCACCGATGAAGAATACGAGATATTAGACGCTAGCGATCATGAACTTCATTAGGTAGCAGGCAGAAGCTAACATACGTATGGACAACTCAATCTTGCTCCCCTACGCCCGCCCACTTCTTTCTGTAGAAGTCTGAGGTGCCCGGAAGGGCAAAGGCGCGGCAAAATCTAATATGTCTAACCGGATTTTTCAAGGTTTCTTCCGCTTTAGTATGTTATTTTATGTGTAAGGGTTATGGTGTCGGACGGGGGACGGCATAGGACACTCCTTTGAGAAATTAGACTAATGTTTAGGAGCAGAGGCTTTCCACTCTCTTGAAAGCTTGTGGTGCAGGTGAACACTTAGCGTTTGCTTCAGCTAATTCCTTTATGTTACCTCAAATTCGACTAAAGTAAATAAGATTATTCGATATTTTGTACGTGTGTATGCTGCTGCTGCTGCTGCTGCTGCTACTGCTGTGTGTGTAGTGTTCTCGTGTGCGTTGAGCGGGTGACGAGCTTTGTCTTGGCAGTTTCGATTCCGACTTATACCTAACTGCCCAGATATTGGTTCAGGAACAACACCTACGGCCCTAATCTACAATAACAACTCACGTCCATACTCTTTGGTCACGCCAGATTATACCGTGCTGTCTACATCGCCTCTTGATCAAATGCTCCGAAACTTTCGAATATTGCGCAGACGCCTGACATCAACCTCATCGAGTAGTATCACCAAATCAAACATGACAGACCAAGCACGCATATTTCGGCCTCTCAGAGATGATTCCGATAAGAAAGATGGTGTGGTACTGAGGGGCATCATTTTTGATGTTGACGGGACACTTTGTAAGTCTGCTTCAGTCGTCTCCGAAGGTTGTTGGGTATCGAGCGGATTGGTTGGGCTATCCGTATGAGAACCAGCCATAATGTTTCACTCTAAGGTTATTGTGGCGATAGGAGAAGGACTGGTCTGCTCTGAAAGAGAGACGGCTGATCTGCGTTGTTTGCATAGGCTTGCCGCAGAACTACATGTTTGGGCAGATGCGGTATGTTAAGTTTTTCGAAGTCCACCGTTCCATTCGCACCGACAGCATGTACGACTATCCATTTACTTCAGTGTTCATATAACCTATGTAGTCACTCCTTCTGCTCATCTTTGCTTTCTCACAACTGGGCTGATCACGGCAAGCGCCGCCCTCAAAATCGACAAATCCGTCGATATCCTCGAGCACATTTTCTCACTCCCACAGCCCGAACAAGACGCTGCACAAGATGCGATCAAATCAATCGAGCGCGAGGCCATGGCACTGCAGCAGCCACAGGAAGGTGTGGTCGAGCTCATGGAGTATTTGCAAGCAAAGGGGTTGAGAAAGGGTATATGCACGAGGAACTTCAAGTATGAATTCCCAAACCTTGTACTAGGAGGGTTCGGTTCGGGGTTGAGAATCTGACCTTCCTGCGCTCTGCATTGCGGTGCTGATGTTTCCAGTGCACCCGTGGACCATCTCCTTTCAAAGTTTCTCCCAGGACACACTATGGATCTGATCATAACGCGCTCGTTCTACCCACCAAAACCCGATCCTGCCGGAATTCTGCATATTGCAAACGTGTGGGCGGAGACTGATGGGTGGAGTATGCCTACTGCGTCACAACGGGACCCTATTCTAACTCCGGTCGTCCCTCGGACCCCGACTTTAACGCATCATCCCCGTCAATCCCAGACCTCCACCGTGACTTCCGCCGTACCAACACCAAAAAGTGTCCAACAAGGGGAGAGGCTGGATGTGATCATGGTGGGCGATAGTATTGACGATATGACGGCGGGATATCGGGCTGGCGCAGCGACAGTGTTATTGATCAATCGGGAAAATGAACATTTGGCGGATCATGAGCATACGGATGTGGTGGTGAAGAAATTGAGTGATTTAATTGAGATTCTAGAGGCAGGGTTTAGAGGGAAGACCAAAAGGTCTGGGCAAGTTTGAGGGCGTAGGTGTGTAGATACAGTGAGGAAAATAAATCTGGACAACAATCTGGACAGACTTCGCTGCCCGAAACGTGCCTGATATGTCCCCAGACTGATTTTCTAATACTGTAGATAGAATCGACGGTTATAGCATAGCTGGCGTGTGTCATGAAACTTCCCTGTCTGTGTCTATACCCATGCAGGGAAACTTTCTGCATCTTTCCTGGCATCCATGTGTGGCCCTACAAGTCCTTGCGTCTCTGCATATATGACCATGTGCGGTCATCGGTCCCAAATAGTCCGAGCACCCCGGTGCTTGTCTCTTTAGGATCAAAGAACGGCGCCTGGACTCTTACGCTGGCCTTTACAGGCCTGCAAGCGATGTACTTCTAGGCGGCCACCCGTACTGTCGGGACTGGCCTTGGGATGAACAGCGTAATCATGCATGATGACTGCGTGCATGATGACTGTGTAAGGACGAGTATGTGATGCAGATTTGCCAGGTTTCGGGCGATTCTCCGAGGAGTCACTAGTGCCACCACGAGCCAGTATTTGCCTTGCGGTTAGATATCTATCTGCAAGGGAGTGTGTGTGCAGATGATACTCTGTCTGGTGTTACGAATGTCCCTGGCTCCTCCCAACGCTATAAGTGCGCGATTAGGGCATGCTGTATATTATTACCATGTGACAAATCGCTTCACCCCTGGCTTGTTCAATTTATGCTCTGCTGTCGTCCTCATCTCTGCTTCCGCTTGCCTCGGCCCTGTATAATGGATCGCCACGCCCTTGATGCGGCATTCTTCCGGGATATCCTTCGCACACGTGACGGGGCCTGGCACAGCATCCTCTTCCAGACACATGCATTCAAAGGCGAGACGGGCAGCCAAGACGCCGTCCCAGAGGCCCTCCCGCCGTGGATAGTGCAGCATCAGTCCGAGGGCTTTTCTGCGAAGGAGTGGTTCTCTACAGCGTGCGGCGACGAGATATAGCGGGAAGACGACGCCGAAGCGGCAGGAGAAGGAAGGAGGGCGTTTTGATATGTCCATGATGCGTCGTGCCTCGGCGCAGTATTCGTCACATTCGTTCGGATACTGCTCTCGGATGCCCGGCGTGCAGAAGACTGTTGCCGCGAGCTCGTCCACGCAGGTCTCGCCGAGGATTCGGGCTGCACAGTCTACGATCGACGTGAATGAGGGTACAACGTTATCCCATGCCACTTCGCCGTACATGGGACTCTGCGAGAGTATAGCGAGTGTGGATGACGCGATGCTGCGATAAAGCCGGAGCATTGAGACCGTTTTCTTCTGCCGAAAGTCCAGGTTGTGCAGCTCCTTATCTACATATGATTCCAGCGCGAGACCGAATTTGCGAAATCGTGCAGAAAAGTCTTTGTGCTTGTCTATTGCCAAGCGTACGAGCTCCTGACTTGGAGGTGTATGTGAGATCTCCTGAAGCGAACTCAGAAGCCCGTTGAAGTTTGCCTCTGAGCATGCTTCTGCCTCGGCGAGTGAATGGAATATCTCAGGGGGTTCCTGTGGGTTGACTGCCGCTCCCGGTAATGTGATCCAGTCTTTGAGATTGACGTCCGGAAGGAGGGCTCGTGCCATACTATCCAGCCCAATAAATGCACCCCGTATCGACCCTACCGTCAAAGGATGGCTCTCGAAAGAAGGTGATTGACCTGTCTGCATCTCCGCGAGCATATACAAAGCGTGACGTAAATGAGCCAACCCAGTCGCCTGGTGGCCCTGTAAGCATGCGAATGAGAAGTACAGCATACAGAGTGTCAGCATAGTCTCTATTTCTGCCTTTACGACTGTCTGTTGCCTTATATGAGTTAAAGATTGATTGCATTGCTGCAAGGCGAAACGAATCTGCAGATCTGAAGGATCATCTGGAACTACGGTCGTATGCCCAGACAGAAATTTCTGATGCATCGCTCCTAATGCGGTCAGAGCATGTCGAATTTCAGGCCGGAACTGAGAGGCCTGAAGAGTGCCATTGACGAAAACAGAAGAGTCGAAGAAACCCGTGAACTCGCATGCTGTATGGACTTGAAAGAAGTGGAAAAATTCACGCTCCTCGGCAGTTCCGATCAGGAGACTGGGATCCTCGATCAATAATCGAACAGGAGAAGCAGAAGAAGACTTTCGAGTCAGTGCATCCTGGACCTCATAACCGTCGCATTGGCGACCAGTGGATACACATCGTCGACAGAACGGTTTGGCTTCATCACACTTGATTCTCCGGACCCTGCAAAGGATCAGCATCCGCGAAAGGCCATGTATCGGCTAGAATAGTACGCGGGATGCGGCGTTCGATGAATCTGTCGCTCACATACCTGCAAGTTCTGCATCCTGTCTTAGTCTTTGGCTTCCAAGTCTTGACCCTTTTGCGATTGTCTTCATGAGCCGCTCTCATGGTCAGCACAAGAGAACAAGTCCGTACGAAGTGTCTGTAGTGACCAGTGATGACGCGAGCAGATCAGTAAGCGGTAGGATGTTAAATTAGTGGGCATTCAAAGCATGACCTCAGCATGGCATGATGCTGTGTATGTTGGGACGATGCTGCATGGTGTGACAAGTTGACAACTCGGCACGATAAAGCAGCGAGATGGGCGGCCAAGTGTAGTAGACGTTATGGGGGCGGTAGAACAGTAGGCTGCACTATTGACAGTCGGGTTGAAGACTGTTGTATCGTTTGGTGTGATATTGTGTAGTTGTATGAGAGCAACAGCATCAGCATCAGCATCAGCATCAGCAGTAGGCTGCAATTATGGCCTTCTTCCATCCTGATCCGACGTTGGGGCTGAAAACGTCTAGCATGCTCATTGGTTAGCGCTGGCCGCTTGATCGACCTGAACGATCTCACCAATAGCAGCTGCAGCGTGACACGACACAGTTGGATCATACTTAATGATCATAATACACACCTAGGCAAATATACTCTCCTGCTCATAGCCATGGCTCAGCAAGTACTCTTAATTCGTCGGAAGTAGTACCCATTTTACTCAAATATCGTTGCATCTATGCTCGGCGTACTGGCAAGGTAAACAACACTATTCACCAGAAGCTCAGACCAGTCTCCCAGGTTCCCGTATGGAATACCAATGCACGGGAACTCTAGGGCTCAGATCTATATCAGGGTACTTCGGCAAGAATCCGCACTGATGCTTTAGACGATCGACCAGGTAGATAAGCCAACCCACATCTACTACCTAGGTAATCCCAACGTATCTGAGCACATGCATTTCCTCCGGGGCGGTGTCTCTTGATACAACGAATTGAAATTCCACGTCGACCAATCTTGGCATTCTCTTTTTTCTTTTCGGAAAAATTTCCGCGTGTTATATATATAGCCACTTCAGCAAAGCGAGCCTTCTGAGAGTCTTTGCCTTATGGCTTGCACGTAAGTCACGATACTTTCTAAAGGCTGATATTCCGGGAGTTCATCCTGGGCAAAGAAAAGGAACACGTTACTTGGCAGCACTTCTCAATGTCGATCACAGGGTAATGCTTCAGTATACTGGCCGCGTATCCATGCCACGTCGATTTGACGAGTCACACCTATGAGGGTACGACGTTCGGACGAGATACGTTCGAAAGTGAGCAGCACGGCAGAATCAAGACATCGTTCGAAGGGAGGACATTGCTCCACCCAGACGTGAGCATATATACAATCGGATACAATCCAAGGGCCTAGATTAGGATTGTATGATTAGTCACTCTAGAAGTACAGATTCAGGTTACAATCTATGCCAAGGGATGAGCTTATACCGTCTTGGCAATTATCTCGAGGCGTGGATTGAGCTTGTATTCTCTATCAAAATTTTGGCCCAGATTGAGACTGCACAGATTAGGATTGCATATGCCCATCTCTGGCTCCACCGTGATTGGTGTTATAAGATTAGCACAACCAAAGCAGGAGAAGAGAAACCTGTATGACGTAAGACTTAAGACTGTTTTCCATGTCTTTACTAAACACAACAGAATTCCTCTCTATAATTAGTGCCTTGGTAGTATTGATGTGCCGTACGACTTCACGCTCTAGGATTTCTGGTTGAACGCTACCATTGTGCGATGTCCATACATTGCCTCGAGACCCCATACCAAACAAGTGAAGTTTAAGAACGTTTCCAATATGTCATGGATCTGAGGCGGTACAAAGGGTTGTTGCATGATAGGTGGGAAGGCGACAATACCTATCGTAACCGTAGGACCGGACCCCGAAATCATGCTCACCCTCTCCATCATTTTGGAACACCAGGCCCTGCAATACACACAGCCAAGACGTGTCTACGCAGAACAAGTGTCGTCCTGACCTCCCAAGATCACTACAGACACCAGTGATCCAAATAGCGTATTCTGCAGTGCTGCTTAGACCTGCGCACTGATACTCAACGATAAAGGGGTAAATAACATCAGGACAGTCACGAAAGGATCTACAACCTGAACTAATTTGTTATGCAATCCAAGTATTGACTTGTCATTGATCATCATTTATACATCGTAAATAGGCCGCTCCAACGCCAGTTCAACTGCAATCCACATGAAAGGAAGAGAAAGCAAGAACGGAATGACTTTAAGAGAAATGGCTTGCTGAAACCGCAGGCAAGAACGCCGAGGACCGACTCCACACACCTGACACATACAGGAATAAGATTAACTCCGCAAATGTAGACTGTGAACGTTCTCCATGAAGATCAAGACTCCACGCCATGAATAAGACAAAACGGCTGTCTATGCACAAGTACCAACCAGTAATGCGGGCAGGACGAAGCAGGGGAAATGGTTCACGATAGTGTAGACGACCAAAGAACATGTGACTGTCACCGCGATTTGGAGCTGGCCAGTGTTCCAACGCTTCCAACCCTCCCGCTGGTCTTTCGTACTCCATTCTTAGTGTCGGTGGTACTTCGCCGGATGGGGCTTCGTTGCTTGCCTACCGTTATCGCGCTTGCTCCACTGCCACTCTTCGTGCTACCTGGTGTCTTAGGTCTGGCATTGACACCTTGATTTTCGACGTCGCTTTCACCACCAGTCATATATGTCGTAGATGTAGTCATGGTGGTAGTGCAGCTAATAGCGCGTCTTTTCGATGACGACTGCATTGGCGATCGCGAAGTATTCCTCCGCATCATGCGGAGCTGGAATTCTTCCTCTGATTCTGAATCACCCTGAGTGTGACGTGACATGGTAACTACTTCGGTATCAGGGTGAACAAATGGCTCATTTTCTGAACGACGCATTGGTGAGTTGTGCCTTGAGCTCGGTCCGTACACCTTGCTGGTCTTTCGTGGCTGGCCAGGCGTTGGCGCAGGTAAATTGTCCTCGGCTACATCTATGGCGCCGCCAGATGATTGATCGTTTGACGTTATCTCGCCTAGTGCGGACCGCTTTGATCCTCCGTTCGGAGGTGTGAATGTCTGACCATTGCTAGCAAGGCGTTGCTTATGTTTCGTAGGAGTCGAAGGAGCCATAGCTCGAAGCTTTTCCTTCATCGAGTCTTCGAACCACCACTCTCGGAACACTCCCTGCTTAAGGTGGAGCCAGTGTTGCTGGGGGCCGACCACCATCCCTGGACGCATGAATCTCATGAACGCAATCACTTCGTTTGCTGTGAAACCGTGTCTGTATATGAGGTACGCGCCGATTAGACAACCCGTGCGGCCGAGACCGGCTTTGCAATGCACAGCGATGCCTTTATTGTTCGCAATCATCTCGTGAGCCATGTTCACAAATTTCCTGACCAAGCCCAAGGGAGGACAGGTCCCGTCATCAAATATCATATCGAGGTGCTGAATCCCAAGTGCAGTGAAGTACGATGGACAGTAGAGTTCAGAGTTTAGACGAACTACAAGGCCGATGTTGCGCGCCGAGAAATGAGATAAGACGTTCTTGAATGGAGTTGGTAATTTCGATTTCTGGACCTCTGCGATACTGGAAGGGAGAGCAGCAAACAATGGCGAGGTGGTAGGGATCGGTGCAATGGGTTGATGTTGTGGCGATGCAAATGCGAGGAAGTTGGGAGTTAACCAGTTGAAGTCGCCCATGTCGACGCGTTCATACTTCTCATATCTGCAGCGACATCAGTTTGCGACCTCGTAAGTGCGCTAGGGACTCACTCTTCAAGGCTAAAATCTTTCAGACCGACCAGTCCCTCCTCTTTTGCCTTCCAGACACCGTACACGATGTCCTGTATGTTTAGAGTGAAGTCAGCTTGACTATAACCTGCATCCCTGAAAGGCATGCAGGGTGGTTCCATCTGCGCAATGGGCGCAAGTGCTAGATGTGGTGGCCAGGCTTGAATCATAACCATGTAACATGCAAGGATACAGGCAGCATTTGCACGACCTTAAAATAATCAGTGTATAGCCCATGGATTTCGTGAAATGGGAACGTACTCCTTGAGTCAGCGTGGCACCAGAAGACAACGCTTCTCTCCTCATTCGCAGGGTCACCAAGCACCTCATGTAACTGTACCGCGAAACGATAGAGATGGCCAATGTGTAGCGGACCGAAGTCATGATAGAAAGCATTGTATAGGAGCGTGCGATCTATAGAGAAGTATACAGGAGGGCTGGCCTTTGACGGGCTGGCTGCGGCGGTCGGGCCTCCCTGTGCCTTCGTTGAGCGCTTCGATGGCGAGCGGCTCTCTTTCACGGGGTAGGGGAACGGGGTATGCGCATTTGGAGGATGGGTATAGGAGGCGAGATAGAGCCGATCTAAGTTCCATCGATTAGTATATTGTGTTAACCAACAGCGCGCTTCTGCCTTATACCTTGAATGTATTCGATGACCTGTCCGTAGCTAGTGCTTCCGGTTGGAACTCGTTCCGACTGCGATCGCGAATGGCCCGGAGAGGGCATTGTATATGTGATGATGTCTGAAGTTTTTTAAGAACTGATGGCACCTCTGTAGTGTCTCAAAATGCGATGAGCTGTCCCTAGTGGTGCGCCGACGACGATGAAAACGAAGACGATAATGAATAGTAGTGATGCACCAGAAGGCAATCTCAATGCACACAGAGCCACAGCGCGCAATAAGAAATAGAGTAATGATGTCTTGCTGCTGTTGTTGTCGTTATTGTTGTTGTTGACTGTGACAGACGTGCTCGGGAGGGAGTTAGAGGTTAAAGTATGCCTGAGCATCTAGTGTTTTGATGTTTACAGCCCGCTAGCGCATCCCGTGTTTTGCGCTTGGGCCGACCCTTGAAGTAGTGGGCCCAAGTTTTGGCTGTTGTCATGAGAACGGCCCTGAACAGGCGTCGCCACGTACCGTCGTGGATTTACTGCAGGCCTTGAACATTATTCGGCATTCTGTCAACAAATAATTAGCATCATGATCAGACGTGGTAGATCTGAAGGATGGTTCAGCCTCTCTTGCACCGCCTGGCAGTCTTGGGCGTCTCTGAATGGCGTTACACTAAATGGCGCCTCCGTTGATAGAGTCGCTCACAAAGGATGTGCAGTCCTCGCAACCCAAGATCTAAGAGCTGCTGAGCATCACTACATTATGACCGTGCCCCGAGAACTTGTTGTGTCTCTCGAGAGCATTGAGATCCAAGCCAAGTCGGACAAACATCTGGCAGAGATTCTCGCAGCCCTGGGCTCATTCGGAAGGGTAAGCTCAAATTGTCCTTGGGTCCATGCACTGCATGCTCACGTCTAGTATTATTTCTTAATACCGACCATTTTATGCGTTGCGGCCCATAAGCTTACTGTATCAGACGACTCGAGGAGCTGTATTATGTAGTTTGCTCATGCAGGTCACAATCGCCTGTCCTGATGTTCCGAGAGGTGTTGGAGTCTCAACCCCATGCACAGATTATGTTAAATTTCTACCTGAGGAGCTGTTGCCAACATTCTGGAACGACGACGAATTGGAGCTGTTGAAAGGAACCTCGTTGCACATCGCAACACAAACTAAGATAAAAAGTCTGACTCGTGAGTTTCAGCAATTTCGCGACGCTACTCAGGAAATCGCCTGGTGCAAGGCGTATTGGTGGAAAGACAATGGTATGGCCTTCGATGACTGGAAACAAGTCGACGCGATGTATCGCTCTAGAGCCCTCGAGTTTCCCGGAATCGGAGACGCCATGGTTCCAGGAATTGACATGGCTAATCACGCGTCTGGAGATGCGACAGGAGCGCTGTATGAGACAGATGAGAATGGTGACGCTGTGTTACAGCTGAAAGATGACGTAAAATTCCGAGACGGGGACGAGATTACCATCACGTATGGTGACGAGAAAGGCGCCTGCGAAATGATCTTCTCTTACGGGTTCATAGATGATGAGATGGGCTCTGCGAAAGTTATATTCTTAGAACTTAGCATTCCAGAAGATGATCCACTCAAGCCCGCGAAAGTCTTCGTAGCGACCTCGGCGCCGGGTTTCCGAGTGTTCGAAAATGCAGGTCAAGTCCTTTGGGAAGGTGATTTCGTTTACATTGCCTGCGTCAACGAGGAGGATGGTTTAGAATTCAAGATTATACAAGCAAACAGCGGAGAACGGGAGCTTCAGTCGTTTTGGAAAGAAGTACAAATCACGGAGATGGAGTCCTTGAAAACTTACTTGCAGAATGACCCAATGTGGCATGTCTTTCAGCTTCGAGCTATCGTACTTCTACAAGGGCGGGTTAAAGAGCAACTCGAATTGTTGCAGCAGTCAGATTCAAGGACACGTGAGGAAATAGTAAGTGAGACCATCCGTGATGGGCCGAGGCGTATGGCTGCAAGGCTACGAGAGCTGGAGCTCGACCTGTTGGAGAGGGCATATGCAATGTTCGAAGAAAAGGTGAATGATTCACGATAAAACTGCATACACTTACCTTGGGCTGATCAACCTTCAGAAAACTGAAATGCTGGAGTCTCCTGTTGTCAAGAAATATCTTGGCCAGGAGGATGTCGACTAGGTCTACGTGGATCCCGCTCTAGCTATGAACACCGCTCAGCATTGTCGAGTGTCGGTCACGAATTGCATGTATTGTGGCATCAGCCTGCATTTCACGCACGTATAAGTTCGAGCACGACCCTGAGCCGTTATCCATACGATTCTCTGATCACAACTGAAACGAAAGACTTGTCTGAACAGAAGGAGAATCAAGTCGAATAACAGGCACGAACAGTATATACATTTCCAAACTACGCGTTTGCAACAGAGCTTCAAGGTGGTATGTCTATGAATAGACAGACCGTCACGTAGGTATGCATTACAAGATTGCCGACGACCAGGACATAACGGCACAAGGTATGTACACTGATTCACATTGCAGTCCAGGAGTGCTTAAGACGGTAATTGCCGTGGCCATGAAGGGGGAGGTCCCGAAGTGAAATGAGCGAATGCAGAATCGTACAAGAGTGGGACCATGCACGAGGGAAGTGAGACTTGACGGGCCGAACCCTCCACAGTAAAGAAATTACCCCAGATTTTCGCTTCGGACAGGTCGCGACTCAGCCGAGAGCAAGCTACAGTACTAGCTACCTTGGTGCGCCACCCGCCGCATAGACATCGGATGATGTTACTCTCAACTAAGTCCTGCATGTACGTGTTGCAGCGGCTTGAACACTACCTAATTGACGGCTCGAGGACATTTGGTCATCTACGGCAACAATGCAGACATGGCAGGCCTATGCTAAGGTATGTTGGTTGATGGTGGACTGATTGGAAATGCAGAATTTATTGTTCTCATACTGCAACGTCTAGTGAACTTGAGTGGTAGCTGGCATGCCCTGGTTATGAAAGTACATCAAGCTCTTCTTGTGCGGATTGTCATTTGTCCGCAGTACAGGAAAGGAGGTACCGTTCTCATCGAATCGAGATCCCAAACCCGGCTCGCCGATGTGGGCTCAGTGGTGCAAGCGACTTAGAGATGGGGAAGAAGTTGTTCCGAGCAAGGATTGCATTCCACCATACATCTCAAGCTAAACCAACTAAGCAAAGGCAGAGAACGCCACTGTGTGTCTGAAGCACCCGTGGTGCATCGAACGGTAGCCGGCAATAATGTGTTGAGTACGGACGCACATGGCTAAATACACACACGTGGTGAAGAATAAATAAATTATCAGTCGTCGGACAATATTATAACTTACAGCCAGGCGTACCTGTTTGACGAATGGCCCGATGAACCAGGTATTATCTACGCTGGGGCGGGCTGTCAGTATTGAGATTTGGCTACCTGGCAGGCGGCATAGACGATAGCCCAAGGGTAACCAACAATGATTACATAGGTATGGGTTTCAGTACAGTACAGTGTATACAGCTCAGTAGCAGGTAGGGGATACCTGGGCAGGTAGGTAAAATGGTGCGAGGTGCCGCCAACTGGGTGGGCTGATGGCGCGGGGCTAATGGTTCACGCTTCACGCTTCACGGTTGACCAGCGCTGCCACCGCGGCGACCCTCCCCCGCATTCGTCATGTAAGTTCGCGCGGGCTGGCTGGCTGGCTGGCTGGCTACTGGCTGGCTACTGGCTAGCCACTGGCTGTTACATAGGTTGACCCCATTTAGCGTCTACCTACCGCGGACGGTATGTGTCAGCGGGCCACACTTCTAAAACTCAAAAGTCAGAAGTCAGAAGTCTCTGTAGCCATTTTCTATAGAAGTCCCTCCTAGACCTAATAGTATTAATTAGGTAAAGTTATTAGCTTAAGATTTCTATAGGATTTAAGTGTAGATTTCTTTGATTTCTACTACTATACATTTATAATATAACCTTTATATATCGTACGACACCTATCTCCCCAGAAATCCATGCTAACTAGTTCTTTCCTAAGATTATATAATACGTTTTACGCTAGGAGGGCTGCTAAGGCTACCTACTGCACGCTTACTAGCTAAAGATGGGCGGGGCTATGGTGGACCATTAGGGAAACGGCGCGTAAACTCGTCGTACGAGAGATCCTTTACATCCTTAATCTTATAATTCTTACTATAGCGGGTAGTTGCTTCGGCATGTACGTAGTTAGAGCAGGCATTATTAAAGTAGCTGTATAGACTAATATAGCCTGCGTACGTCTTGAATTTATTCATGCTATTATAGGCACGAATACACCTATCGCATGGTATAGTATTCTTAAACCCTAGGTTTAATATTAGTATATATACGATAACTAATTCTAAAGAAGGTATTACTAACCGCGAGAGTGGATAATAAAGGCCTTTATATATAAAGCCCGCTATAATAAGAGAGCCTTAGCCTTAAGGGTACCGCGGCGTACAATAACTGGAGTGAGGGTGCTATTATATATAGCGCGATTCTCCCATGTTCGAATAGGCTAATTAGTAGCTTATATAATGATTAGGTTCTATACTAAAGTTAGTATTAAAGATCTATAGTTAGAATAGCTAGTACGAATACTAAAGGCAAAGATCTCTAATAGCTTATTAGCTATAATAGGGTTATAGAAGAATACCTACTCGTATGTAGTGGGTGTAGGCGATCTAATAAGGCTAAAGGTAGGAGCTTGGCCTACATGAAGACTAGGGTTAGGATCGGTGGCGCCGGGTGGGGTTTTAAGGATCTTATCCGCCTATTTAGTAAAGATCTAGCGATACTAGACATGAGAGGTAATGCCTAGAGGGCTAGAGAAAGAATTTAAAGCCATAATAGCTTCGTACGAGGTGTTAAGAGAGAATTTTAAAGTTTTAGAGGTGAGGTTAAAGGTATTAAAGATAAGGCTAAAGTAGAGCTTAGGTAGAATTAAATGTGGGAGCCTGGCCCCGCACTAGGCCTAGTCTAGCACTAGTATATATTATATTATATGACTTTAAGCCCCTCGTACGAAAGAAAAACTTTGAAATTTCAGAGTATACTAGGATATCTACTTTGCTATTCTCTTCTATACGAGGAGTAATAGCTCCTAAATCTATATAATTAGTTGGCTTTCTCTACTAAGACTCTTTTCCTTTCCCTTTTAACCTTATTATCATCCCTATAGATTAATTCTAGGTAATATTATCCTCTTTATCACTCTCTCTACCTTCCTTCTTAATAGATGATTGTCGTATAGAGGTTTTAGCTTCCACTATAGATGTTAGCTATATAGAAAGACTAGAAGAACTAGGTAGTATAGGGGGAGAGCCTTTAGTACTACTCGTACGAGTAAGATCTAATATATAAAGTTTCTCTTTTAGAGAGGGGTAAGAAGGCTCATTCTTAATATCCTTAGGCGTCTCTAACTTAAGCTCTTTCTTGATTTTTATTTTTAGCGTACGAGACTCTCCTTTAGTTTTAACCTTTATATAACTTCTCTTAGATACTACCTTCCGGATAAGACGCTGGATTTCCGGGTCTTAAATTAGATCCTAGAAGGGATCCTTATCCTAGATTATTTTGGTCCTTAGCCTCTTTCGTACGGATAGTGCTAGGCTCTTAATCTTATTCTCTACTACCTCTAATACCTATCTATATATATAGACCTGGATTAGCTTCTTTATAGTACCCTCTCCCTTAAAAAGCTTACTATATACGAAGAACTTATCCACTATATACTTCTTGTACATGGAATTTAGAAGGTTAGTTAGTTTATTCTACTAGCCCTTAATACTAGTAGAGATATATAGAGAATCTGTGGCCTTAAACTCATTTAGCCATAGAGATACTCTAAACTCCTACAGAAGTATATCTTATACGAAGCTTATAATATCTTAGAAATAGGTATTAACTACCGGGATTATTATAGCTTCTATTAAGTAAATAAGTATATAAAATAAGAGAGGGGAGAGAGAGTTAACCACGTACGACCATAGCCTATCATTCTTAGAACTATTCCTTCCTTTATACATGTAGTAACATAGTAGTATATAGAAAGGAATATCTTGCTATCCCTCTTCTTCTTTCTACTATGAGATATAGTCGTACGATATATAGATGCTTGTCTTTCCTATTTAATAAGCGGGATGTTTCCTCTCGTACGAGCAATTACCTATACGGTATCTACTCTAGCCGGTGGCTATAGTATAAGAAGATATTAAGTTTATACCTTAGGAATAATAATTACTAGCTAGCTTAGAGGAGGTATACTCGTACGAAGAGTAAGGGATTAAGTATTTAGTATATATAATCTTAGATAAGGTAAGGGAGATCTAATTAGAGATGAAGTAAGATTAATAATCTCTATATTAATAACGAGGGTTTACTAGTAATCTAGATAGGTAGCCACTTCGTACGAAGAGTGGTACATCCTAGTTTTAGGGTAGTAGTTATAGAAAGCATTTAATACTAGCATAGCTATTTAAGATAAGAGTGGAAAGGTTTTTATATAAGGAGAATATTAGAAAAGAGAGATAGGGCTATAAGTTATAGAATAACTAAAGTACTCCCGTACGACGCTACTTCCTAGATTATCCTTTATCTACCCTATTATTATTAAGATTAGACGCCTTAACATTCTTAAGAGGGGTTCCCTATATAGTCTATTAGTACACCGCTCTTTATTCTCGTACGGAAGAATAATACTTATAAACTAATTAGGATCTAGATATGGATGTACTAGAACTTCTAGCCGAGGGGCTATTCTAGTATAGATATGGTCCTAAATCCTACGGCGTAGCTGAACATAGATATCTATAAATAGACTTCTCCGTTCTTTAGCCGTATGAAGCGGTGTACCTCTATTAAAGCTAAGATCTTCGAGCTGGTTCGTATACCATAGTAGTATATTAGATAGTAGATATACATCTATATCCTAAGCTCCTGCCTAGCCTCGGATAGTAGTAAGAGCCTCTTGATTAATAGGTACTACTCCACGTTTAATACCTTTAGCTAGTATAAAGTAATTTCGTACGGGTGGTCTAGAGATAGTAGATAGTCGATCTCTCTATTTTCGAATAGGATGCTGATTCCATATCTATATAAAGCTTGAAACTTCCGTATAGAGAATTAGGATATAGATTACCTAAATAGTAATCCGATCTATATAACTCTATGTATTAAAGATACCTCTCTACTTAAGCTCTAAGAAGAAGTTCTAAATATCTATTAGCTAAGTATAATATACTACTATACGATACATACCCTCCATCGGAATAAGAGTGCCTTAGAAAGCTATACCTACTAAGCCTTAATCCTTTAATTAGATGTACTTATCCTAAACATCTAGTATTAATTTAGTAGAATCTCTAGGTCATTAACCTGGCGGAGATTCCACTAAATATTTACTATACGAGTTATCTTACTACCTCTATCACTTTATACGAAGCGTGGCTAGATACCTCTAATTCTTAAAGTTTCTAGAAACTAAAAGAGATAACTAACTACTATAGTAGATAAGATACTAATATAGGCCTAGATAATATATCTTAAGTATACATCTATATAGGTATAGATCTTAATACCGTATAAGCTAAGCTTATGGTACCTATCTATACTCTAGATATAATCAGGACCTTTTATAATATACTAGCCTCTATAGCGCTAAAAATCATAATAGCGGCGTTATACGCCCTCTGGATTTAAGATCTTCATAGCCTAAAATAGCCGATCTCTAGATAGATTCTTAGAATAAGTCTTTATATATAGATAGAAGGGTATAGATACCGTGTAATCTAGACTCTAGCTCCTAGGAAATGTGCATGGAGTAGGCCTCGACTAAACCCATTAATTACTCCTGACTCTAAGCCTTCCCGTACGAGCTGCATTACCTTCTTACTTTTAGCCTATTATGTATTAATACCCCGTACCTTTCGTACGATACCCATATCTATACGACGGCGATATAGAGAACTCTATAAGATCTTAAACCCTTCTTCTTAAAGGATCCGAATAATCTTAGTATCTAGAAGAGCTAGTTTAAGGGTAAGAGTACGGATTCTATCCTATAGGCTCTCTCGTACGGAAGAGGGAAGTAAAGAAGAGTCCTTTTAAATCTTCTATGTAGAGAAATAGCGCTTAAGCGTACGATGGGATACTATAATACTATATACACGCTTAATCCAGGCTAGGAGATCATTCTAGGTATAACCAGAGGTATATTTTAAGATAATCTCCATCTAGAGATAGGCTATCTATTACGCCATTATATAAAGAGAGAAAATATATATAGATAGGCACGTATTACGTACGAAGAGAGGGATATTTAGAGAGGGGGGGAGTAGGTTTAATGTATATAAGTATGCTTTCAAGGTGTGTGCCCTCGGCAAAAAAAAAGTGTGGCCCGCTGACACATACCGTCCACGATATCTACCACCTAAAACGTCAGCAGCCTATGGCCCTATTGCTCGGGCCCAATCAAAGCTGGAAGCCTCCTACTAATTACCACGCCAACATTCCCACACTCAAGAGACACTCTCTAAAACACGATTCGATATACTAAGGGGCGTGACTATTAGCGGGAGAAAGACGCGAGCTTTCCACCTCACCTCATCTCATCAAGCTTGTCCGGGGGGACGATCGACTGCCGAGAGAGCAAAGTGCAACCAGTCCCAATCCATGGCCAAATCGTCAATCAGACTTATCTCATCCATCGCCGCTTCTCAAGTTCCAACAAACCCACTCCCGCTTGCCGCTATTACATTGACCTCGGACCCTCGCCCTTTATATACTCGCATGCTTCACGTTGCCTTTACCACCCTTTGCGCCTTTTACCTGATGTCACTTTCCACCTACAATCTGCTCCCACGGCAAATATACTGACACAGTCAATCAATCTATCTATCGCTCGTTGCAGATATCCATATCATGCCCGGCATCCTCCCTATGAAGGTCATAAAGGTGGGGTCCAGCGCTCAGTCTCGCATAGCCCAAGCCTGCGACCGCTGTAGAAGCAAAAAAATACGTTGTGACGGCATCAGACCGAGCTGTACTCAATGCATCAACGTTGGCTTTGAGTGCAAGACCAGCGATAAGTTGAGCAGGAGAGCCTTCCCAAGGGGCTACACCGAATCACTGGAAGAAAGAGTCAGAGCTCTCGAGCTAGAAGTCCGCGAATTAAAGGATCTGTTGGATGAGAAGGACGAGAAGATCGATTTGCTTTCGAGGCTACACCCAAGCCACTCCCCTCGCTTGACTTCTTCTCCCATACACCACCCGACAGATCCGCCTACTCCTACAACAGAGAAGAGAGAAGAGTCACAAGAGAAGGATGACACTTTTAAGCTACAGCAGTCTCCGCTCTTGATGGAGGACGACAATGGTGATTCTTATTTTGCAGGACTATCTAGTGGTCACACTCTCGTTGGTAAGCTTCGTACAAAGCCTTTTTGGTGTTGGCTAACTCGTACAGATGCGTTCAAGCTCAGAGTCCAAGGAACTCAGCGCCCATGTTCTGAAATTAGACCCGACTCCTTCTTTCGCCCTCGACACGTTTCTGTTGTGGAGATTGAGCAGAATGGCAGTCGTATCGTCTCGTGGAAAGCGCCTCCGCGTATGGTTTCCGATCAAATGATCAATATTTTCTTCCAGGAATGGGCACCCTTGTTCCCTGTTCTGCATCGGCCCACTTTCCTTACTATGTATGAGCGATATGTTGCGAACATAGAGGAGGTGACTGATAGAAACTCGCTTGCACTGCTAAACCTCGTCTTCAGCATCGGCGCCCTGTCATGCTCTGTAGGCAACACTCGCCACACAGCTGGATAATCACTAACAAGCTCACAGTCTCGCGACTCCTATGATATTGCATCCTTTGAGCTGCAATGGGAAGCCGCAATACAGTCACTCTTCTCAGAAAACTCCCTCCAGTTTCTTCAATGTCTTGTCCTCGCTCAAATCCATTGCATGCTCAGCGCCGACTATGCGAAGCTTCTCAAATACAAAGGTCTCGCTACCAGCCTACTGCTGCGGCTTGGCCTCAATCAGTCACAGAAACGCTTCGCCCTTGGCGCACTAACGATCGAAACTAGAAAGAAGGTCTTTTGGACGCAATACACTGTTGACTGGTATGCCTACCTCCTTTTTGCTCAACTCACTGGATGCTAACACAAAAAGCCTCTCTGCTGCTCAGCTTGGACTGCCTCGGATGATCAAAGAAGACAATATACACTGCGAATACCCAGTAGACGCTGATGACGAGCATGTCACAGAGACTGGCTTCTTATCGACCTTACCAGGTGAATCTACCAAGGTTTCAAGTGCTCTCGCCTTATTCAAAGCTGCTCGTATCCTTTCGAGGGTATTGGGCCAAAGCTATCCGACATGTCCGTCGCACGACATATCATTTCGGACCATGGCCAGTCAAGCCGAAGAGCTGGACAGCTGGTACAATAATCTAGCTGCACATCTCCGTCTAAAGTTCGCGCAAGACAAGCCTTCGGCCAATGTTACCGGAAGCCGGTCCCCAATTCTGGCCATTATGTACCATTATGTGCGATCACTCATTTTTCGGCCAGCCGTATGTGCAAGCCTTGGCCCGAAAAGCTATTCAGCAACACTTGCTGTTGGCCATTCCTCGAAGTCAATCGTTCAGATCATTCAGCTGCTGGACGAGCGCAACCTGAGCTTCTCTCTTGCTCTCAATCGCAACGAGCTGACCGTGCTCGCCGGATTCGGCCTCTTATTCCAGACATTACATACGGAACATGATGGAAGACTCGTGAAGGACAGCCAGAAAATGACCCTTGTCGTGGTTGACCTGTTGAAGAAGGCTCACGCGCCATATGCTACATCTTTCCGTCGTATCGGATACTCTATGCTTGCTTCCCTTCGTCCGACGATCAAGCAGTCGCCGCCACTATCTCGCCACAATTCTGACAGTAGCATGGGAGCGCCAAGCGAATCAGCTTTCAGTGTCACCCAGCGACATATCAAAGCGCTCGCTTCGCGCTTTCCTTCTATATCTCGCACTACCAACAACAATGATGCCCGCCGAGCTACCCTCCCAAATATTGGCATACTTCAGAACAACAGCTCCACCAGTATAAACAGTCTCAATTCCAATCTGTCCGGGCCCATGTCTCGCTCCGAGCCCACGCTATCCCCAGTCAATACTCACACGCCGAAACAAGCTCGAGCCAGTACCGGGCCTCGCCAGACGCCAAATCTTGACTTTCTCTCTTTCGATAATACTCCAATTCCATCAAGCTACGAACCCACGCAGCTCATACATCCACAGAAGCAAGAAGTTTCAACCTCAGACTGGGAGCGGCTTCTCGGTAGTCTTGACAACGGCACCACTAATATATATGACACCATTTATGGCGGTGTGCCTGCTGAAGCGCTGGTCGACGCTCCTATCCACGAGAACACGTGGACGTCTGACCTGTGGCTGAACGGCCTGGGCAACCCCCCTATTGAGCACATCTACCAACCCAGTCCGGCAGTAGCACAGAGTGTGCTCAGTCTTTCGGATGAAAGTCTGACCAGTGGAGAGGAGTACTGCGCGGAATTGAGGAGTGTGGGGAGTTCCGGGCGAGAGCGATTTGGAAGTATTGTCATACCGGATATGAGTTCTAGTCTACCGCTGGAGACGAATTACGGGCTTTGATTTCAGCTCGACATCTCACATCTCATCTTGCTCTATTTACGTTAGTTTGATTGGCTATATGATATCCCCTGTCAACTCATATTTCAATTGGCGAAGGTTCCGGCTATAGGCGTTCTACTTTGGTATACACACATGTTGTAGCATGTACGAAATACGTATGCGGTCTAGTACACTTGGTCTTGGTCCCATGTTCCGCCAACCTGTCAGTCACTTCTCGAAGCGATGCCTAGTTCTCCAAAAAAGGAGTAAAAGGTCAATGTAGTTGTCAAGATATTCCATAGTTCTGCCAGCACCCGTCAATGCTATGCTATGATACCATTCGCATGGTCCCTTAATACACAGTCGGCGTCGCGTACAAGTCGTGGCGCACTTTCGCATGCAAACTCGACCCTCCTCTGACAAAGTCTCGTTCACTGCCAAACTCCAGAAAACCGGAGCTCCAAAAAATTTCAAACTAAGCTATGCCAGTGGACCCCAAGCTGAGACGCAAAACACGTCTGGGGGTATCATGCCAATACTTATCTTCCCCTAGGCATGGGAAGCTGCCTCGCAGAAGCGAGATCGAGGGTCCGTGCGATCCACGCTGCTATCGGATTCCCTGCCGTGTAGGGCAGATCCCTGGTTGCGCGTAATATGCGTCTGATTCAAGGATGCAGTGATTATCATCCCTGTCTGTGCGTGTTAAAATCTTGCCGATATCCTGTAGGGATCCTGGTGAGCGATGCCCGAACGAGGATGAGGCATATGTCGATACGCTTCGTTCTGGAACCTTTGTGCTGCTTCTGTCGTGATCTCTTGCCGACCCCTGGACGTCGACTATCCTGCAGGGGACTTGAGTCGTACAGTACATATTCGACAGACGATAAAGACTAAGAAGCCCGAGACGGGTAGCCGAGGCGAGGCAGAGGAGGATGGATCGTTATACAATTGGGTTGGGTGGAAACGCGGGATGGGATAGCCAAAATTTGTGGTGCTACAGTGCTGGTACTCTGAATTTTGCCAACAAAAAACGAAGCATGCAACGAAAACAAAGTGTATTTTACTCTGTTCAGCCCCGGCGTTGTTGCTACGGGAGCAAGAATGTGTGTGTATCTAATGATACACTTGCTATTAAACAAATCCGGGGTAAAGGGCTCGACGCACGTAAGAAAACCACCCACCACACCTTGATATGCTACGCAGGAAAATACACCACCACCCCGAGAAGAATAATGGCCAAGGAAACTCGTGAAACTCGTCATCGTCATCACGTCTCATCATGCTCTAGCCTGCACCGGGCTAGCCGTTTCTTCCCTCATCCGTCCACGTACATCGTCCCCATCAAATCCACTCGCTCGTTGATTCTTCTTTTTCTCTTCCTCTAGCTTCTCCTGTAACGCGCGGTAGTACCGCCCTGCTGCTTCTCTCGTGAACTCCTCGCCCGTCACCATCGGAAACTTCTTCAGCGGTCCCTGGATTCGGGTGTCCTTGCAGGGCTGGTTGAAGAATGCGATGCTGTATCGCTCGCCATAATAATCTCCTTCCTCACAGGGTGCCTTGACGCGATGGAATGTGCTCTTGAAGCGGTCATCGGACCATGACATGAGCAGGTCGCCAATATTGCAGATGATGTCGCCAGCGGAAAGGTGCACCTTGGTCCAGGCATCACCGCGACCAAACTCCGTAACAGTTTCACGGCCCGGGCAGATCTCGAGACCGCTCTGCGAGGCGTCACGCTGGAAGAGCACAGTCAGGAAGCCCCAATCGGCGTGGGCGCTGGCGCGCTGATAGACTGTGCCGTCCGCTGTGCGTGGCGTGGGATAGTAGTGTAGCAGTCTGCAACATGTCTGGCTGTTCGGTCGAGTGATGTCATGCGCCTTGATGAAGAAATCATCCTCGAAGCCCAGTCCTCGGGCGAGGCAGATCATGAGCTTCTCACTGACGCCCTGCACACGTCTCATGAAGCGCAGACTTCGCTCCTGGAACCCGGGCAGGTTCTCGTCCGGAAGCCACATGCCGTTCATGTTCTCGCCGAATTGCATCTGATAGGACTCCTTGATGTCGGGCATGCCCGTGGACGGCCGGACTTGGGAGCACTTCTCCCAGCCGACATTGTTGGGATTCCAGGGGACGTTTGCCTTGACGGAATCCGGAAGCGAGAAGAAGGATTCAGAGGTCTGGAACATGGACTCAATCTCAGCAAGAGAGAGCCCGTGGTCGATCACAGAGAAAAATCCGACATTTTCCGCAGCGTCGACGAGTTCGCGGGTTATGATGTCGATGCGGCTATCGAAGTCGTGGAGGGAGATCTACTGCGTGGTAAGTTTCGTGTTCTGGCGCGGATATGCAACAGATGGCTTGTTTTATGGGAGGACGAAGGTATCATGAAGCGCTTAGGCACGAGCACAACATAATGTCGAAGCCAGCATGTCGGTAGTCCCACCCAAGCGAGAAGCAGCGAGATACCTAGTGGCGGCAACAGAGAAGAAGTGATGTCACATACCTTTGGAATCTCACGATCAACGTATTTGGTCTTCTCCATTGTGTTGATTAATTGATGGTTTGTTCGCGGCTAAAGAGTCTCTAAAGTCTGGTACGAAGCAGACACGGCTGCAAGATAGCGGCTATGAACTTCTTTTATGTCGTGCGTCGTCTCTTAATTCCTGCTGTCTGCTCGCCCGAGAATGCGCAAGCCATCAGACCTTCCGTCGCTACTCTCGGCCGAGCTCCGCACAAGCACTCTGCCTTGTTAATGAAAGCGTCGGTCGAGCTGGACAGCTTCAACTAAAACTCTTTACGTATGTTTCAGCTGGTCAAGAGTGCGTGTGGTGTTAGATTACAGCTGCATCTGAGGATGGATGGGTTGCAGTGAGTGTACGGACGACCGAAGTAAACGATGGCGAGAACACCCGGTTCTGCCTTAGGCAGGAGCCACACAGTCTGCAAATAAGAAAACATGAGCATTTTCTTATAAACTAAACATTGAGGCTGATACAAGTCTAGGATCTATAAGCTCTCAGAGCGTATCTACAGGATTCGTTTGACGCATTCTCGGTGCGTACACCAGGATCCTATCAGTTCCGAGCCGGCACTCGATCACATTCGAACCGGAACAAGAAGTCCTGCTTCTTGTTCGAACTCTGAAGACAACATCCTACCCGTTGCTCGGCTCACATCCCCCTTTGTCTCTCTGACATCCTAGAGGACACGCTGCATCTGGGTTGAACTGCCACTGAAACAACGGATCCGTCTCGTTTGCCAGCAAACCACCAAGGAGCCGGCTCTGGTACGGGAAATCGAAGCTCTCTCGAAAGATGTCGATAGAGGGCACTCTGATCTGGCCCCAGCCCTCGACGATCAGAGCGTCGATACTGGTGCCATAGATATACTCTCTGAATCCAGACCATCGGATCGCAGACGCACACTGACGAAAACGTTAGTCCAAACTGCCCAAGTAGTGTTCTGATATCCTCATATTGGAAATGATGTATGAACGTCAACAAGGGGAACGTACCATAGGACAGCTCTCTGCATTCGTATAGAATGACAATTTTGGAAACGCTTCGAGGGCTTCTTTTGGTGAGAGTCTATATCTCCCATTCGGATCCGTCAGCACTGTGGTGCAATTGATTATCGCGGCAATTTCTCCTGGACACATCGTCAACTCTCCTTTCGCGCCCCTAGCCCCAAGGCTTCATCAAGACCATACCATGCAGAATCGGGTTCCCCGTTTTACTCCCACTATTTGCCCCGATGCAAACTTCCTCCCCAATGCCCTCTCCACTGGTATGATTGACGACCACGCTTCCAAACGGTAGGAACGGACACGGCGATCTGGAGACGTCCAATAATGCCGCATTCGCCCGTCTCATCCAGAACGCACGCGTGACATGCGAGACATTGTTGATGGCTCTTGTGGGACTACTGGTGATGTCGAAGTTCCAATGTGCGTCCACTGTGTCCACAAAGACCAGCAAGGTGGCAATGACCTTGAAGATCAGTATGAGCACCATATCCTGTCACAGAATCATAGGCTTTGTGTGTGTATATGTGTCTATGTTTGTATCATATATAGAGGGACCAATAGTTCTTATCACAACACCATCATTTGCTACCGGCAGTCACCCAAGGGCTCTCTTTATAACATCACATCTACCTACATCAGTTCCACCACGCATGTATCACTCCCGTGCCACCCGTGTCACAGACACACCATCATCATCATCATCATCATTCATTCACCAAACTATTCGTCGCGTGCTCAATGCCTCGATGCCATGGAAAGGCACAGCAAGGCAGTCATCATCGATTCATCCCACGCACACAGCCATAGCAGCACAGCACTCACTCACCTATGCGGCGTTCAGGAGTGGTGCGAGGAAGGCATCTCGAATGTCTCTCAACTAGTACATTGCTACTCGCTCGTCTGCTGCCCTGATTGCTCGGGGGCACAACATGCGTGTTTCACGAACAGAGAAAAAAAGTAAAAAATGTTTTGGATGCCTTGGTGGCCTGGGCGCCAGTCAACGAGGATCATCGGTACAAAATAGGGAGAAGCGAAACTGTGCCACAGCAGCCCTAATTATTACCGCGTACGTATTGAATGCCTCCATTGGTAAATTATACAGAGTCTTTTCCGCAACGCCACAATCAGTCAGTCCTTGGCAACACGGTGTACTCAAAAGGCTGGCAGTCTGACATCTCGGCCGAGGCGTGGATGGATATGGTTTGTTGTTGTTGTTGTTGATGATGTTGTCGACAAACACGGAAACATCATCATCTTTCTCCAACCACGTACGTTCAGAGTGCTTCTCTGTCTCTCAATACGGCGCACATACCCGAAATCGTGCAGACCCGGCGTTTCAATTTGGACGACAACAGCAGTGCAGCAGCCCTTTCCACCCCCCCAAAACCAATATGCAGTCATCCAATGCCCGTCTCGCAGCAATCACAACTCGCAAAAAAGCCAAAAAACCGAAAAAAACAAAAAAGGAAAGCTCCCAGCAATGCCGCATCCCGGCACATGCACGAGAAAGAAGAAGGAGGAGAAAAAAATCCCCCGACCCGCGCCCATCCTAGCAGAAGCAGAAGACGAACACCCGAGAAAACTATAGCAACTAGGTAGGTAGGTAGTGTAGGCTGGTAGATAATTAGGTGGGTGGTGATACAGACAAGGAAAGGCTGTAAGAAAATACTGTATTGTCCCAAAAAAGAAAAAAAAAAAGAGATGGACTGCCCTGCGCCACATTGAGTAATACCTACTACTTTCGCTTTCGGCCTTAAGCAAGCATCCGGATGTGCGGTGTGCAACTGCATTGGTCAACTCCTACTCCTCCTCCTCCTCTTCCTCCCCGATGGTCCAAACTCCAAAGCATTGCTTTTCTCCCGCGCCGCCGCCGCGTGTCAGGCCTTCTAGTTCTCCGCGGGCGGACGGGTCAGACATACTTCAGCTTGTCCAAGCCATAGGGCCTGGCCGGCCGAGCTTCCTACCCCATCACGTATTCACTTGAACAGGGGCGCCTCGGCCGATGTGGTCGTGGCCGCCATTCAATCAGCACTTGATATTAGGTGAGAAGGTGGTGGTAGTAGGCATGTGTACACGGTCGTGATGGAAGTTGCATCTACATGCATATCAATGCATATATTGATGCGGGTGCCTCGTTGTCAATGGACCGAATACTGGATGCCATATTCAAAATGGCATGACGTGAAGTTCGAGGTCACACATATCTACTTCAAAAGTTCTATAGACCGAATACAGATACCCTGAGTCCATAGTATCGATCAAGCAATACTACACGTATTGCCGCGCTCGTCACCTGTCATAATCCCGATATATAGCCATACCGAGTAAAACCACTCCAAGATAGACCCGATGCTTTCCCATCCTAATTATCGTTACCAAAGATTGAACGAAACATCATTATTCGCAAGATATAATAGATTCGAAAACGAATCTGGCCCAACAAGATCACCACTATTGTTATATGGATTCGCTGCATATGCCATGCCCCCATGCATATCGTCCTGTGGGTTTCGTAGTGTAGGATCCAGCTCTACCTGGTTCGTTGGATTGGGCAAAAAGGTATTTGGGAACTGCGGATTGAACGTGTTTGCATATGGCACGGCCTGGGAAATGTCGTTCTCGGGTGCGGGGGGTGCCGGGGGCGGCGGGGCTCGTGCATAGTAAGGGTGGGCTGTGGCAGGGGCATGTGTATTGTTGTTTAGGTGATGTTGGTTTCGCACTTCGTGGTGTTGTTGCTGAACAGTTGGATGTTGACGGGATGCATCGGGTTGTTGCTGTTCAGAGGCTTTCTTGCCGTGGCCCTCAGAGTAGCGCTTGACGAAGTTTGTGACGTCGAAGCCACGCACACGTTTGGTTGAGGCGCCGTCGTGGTCCTGGGTGTCGGCTTTGCGTTTGTTGCTGTCAAATTCCGGGGCCTGACGGGCTACGCGCTCGGCCTCCTTAAGCAGGGCAGTCAGGAGACGAGCACCTCGGATGGCTATCATGCTATTATGACAGTTTTGTAGAATCTCATTGGCCTCCTCGATCAGGCGACGGTGTTCACCGTATTCCTTGTCCGCAGGCTGACGATACAGAATGTCGAGACTGAGTATGATTGCTGCAGCGACTGAGAAAGCCTGATGAATCCAGAAAACAGGCCCATCCTCCCGTACGACAGCTTTGTACTCCCTGATAATGGTCTTCGCACAATTGAGGCAAGTCCTCCGGGTGAAGGCAAATGCAGGGTTGGTGAAGCTTGGCCCCAGAAATTTCCGATGCACCATAATGATCTTGTGATTGCCGCTGATGGCCAGCGCCCTCCGCGCCCAGGGCACGAAATGGGGGCAATTGCGCTCCATGGGTATATCAGTCTGGAATAAAGGATTACCAGACGAAAAGACATTACGTATCTCCTTGTCAAACCTGATGACCTGTTCATATTTCGTATATGGCGTGTTGTTTTCGCTCAAAGCGTCCTGTAACCGAGGCATCAGAGCCGCAAGTCTGCTGTGTACACGACAAAAACTTGTCATGGTTGGTATCGACTCTGGAAGGCTTTCCATGTCATCATCGTTACAGTTTTTAGGTAGCTCAGATGTCGAGTAGAGAGGGTTGATGAGATATGCTTCGGAGAATGGTATCGAAAACCAATCCTGTGTACACAGTTGCAACCAGGTTCGTCGACCGGTCTCCTTCTCTACGACACTACCACGAGCCTCGTTGTTTAGTTTGTGTAGACCTAGGCCTTGGGCCAATTTTGTTGCTGCGGCTAGCAGGACCGATTGATTATTTGAATAGCCGAGAGTGTGAGCAGCCAGTGTCAGAGTGGCTATGGCCTGTACCGAGTGTACGGAATGACGCATCGTATACTCGCCAATGTTTAGGCAGATCATGACTGCTCTGAACCACCTCTTAGATAACATTTCCTGCTCTTTCTCCTGGAAACCCCACATTCTGGCAGTATTACCAGGCGCGGACGCGAGACTAACAGTCAAGACGGAGAAAAGTAGCGCGACCCATTGTAGGTCGACGCCTTCCTGTACAATGGACCCGTTGTGAGTGCCCAAGAAGTCCTCAAGCTGTTTCTTAAAGGTGGGACCGAAGAAAGAACCATGGTACCACAGAACATGAAGAAGGTGATACTCCACAAGATACCACAACTGACGCGGATCAGGTAGCAGCAATTGTAGTAGACTGAGTTGAGAATGCTCAATTGGCTCAATGTTGTCTAGCGATAGTGTTGTACGCGCATCACCAAGCTCGCCTGTTCGGTTTATTCCATAGTGACTTTGCGAAGAGGCGACTGTGTTATAATCGGGATTCTTCCTACGGCCCCAGGCAAGGAACTCCAGTATGGTGGCGGCATCTTCTATTTCGGATGTGTTCAGGTGTGTTTTGGCTGAGGGTTCGGTGTGATTTCGCTGCAAGGCGGGAAGTGGTTTCATAGGTGCAACCGGCGCTACATCCAATACATCAGTACTATGGCCGTTGCGCATATAGCAGTATGGTACCTGTTGGTGTGGCTACTCCGAGATGCCGTTCAGGTACATGGCGACCGGTACTGGTGTTATTGCCTTGAAGAGCAGCTTCGAGCTCCGCGATGCGCCGCCGCAAGCCATCTACTACTATTGGATCACTACCAGTATGAGAGCCATATGAAGAGGTATGAGGTATTTCATGACGTGTGGCTTCATGGTGCACGACCGATTGATCTCGAGGGAACTGGGGTTTGTCGACATCGTCGTCCCGCGTACAAGCATCTTGAACGCCTCTGAGTATGGGATTAGAAACAGCCACATGGAACCAATGGTAACAACACTCACTTTCGTATACAGTTATTACACGGGATCTCCTTATTGCACTTGACCTTACGTCTTGTGCATGCCGAGCAAGCCAAACGCTTTCGGTTGACGGCGGTCGACATCGCTCACGTTCCAGGTTATGGTCGGCCGAGAGTGGGTACGGGTGACTGGACCCTATGGGAGCGTTTAGCGTTCAGCCCGTATAGACGGGACGGTATTAGAGTACATGGCGATATTGCGGAGACGATGGCACTGCTGTTCAAATGCGCGATGTAAGGAATTAGAGTGGTGTTGAGTTCGTTGGGTCGGGGATGGTGTGACTACGACCTAATCTCCCGCGCGAAAGATCAAGCGGCCAACACCCCTACCTTCTTCGACTTGCGCGCTTCGTCAGGCCGGCTAAGGGCCGCTGCCGATCCCATCTCCTCGGCACTCGGCCGAAGGTTGTTCCTACCCTCCTCACTGGTATCAGAATCGCAGTACAGATTATTCGAGACATGTCTTGTCTATGAACAGTACTATCTAGAATCCAGTCTACAATAATGAAGAGATAATGCAATTTCTATCGAACGGTCTGCGCTCAGAGTCTGGGGTATTTAACATGACACTGTACATTCCCACGTCTCAAAGGCACATCCAAAGTTACATCCAACATCCACTACTACCACACTGTGCATACAGCGTTCATATATGTTGGAAAACTACATTCATGGCCTTGTTCTGCATCAGTAGCCCTGGGGTATTCAATATGACACTGCAAATTCCCCCGGTCTAAGAGGCACATCTAAAATTACATCCCCTGATAGAATGTGCGTACTGCATTTGTGTATTTTGGTGGGCTACAATCATGGCCTTGTTTTGCGATCAAGCAGTTGGCGGGAAGGGATGTGTGCATTATCAGTGTAACAGGCGCAGCGCATGGATGAATGAATTACAAAAGATGTCTGTTGGTCTCTTATTCCTCCTCCGAGCTGGAGGAGAAGCTTACCTGCAGGGAAATGAGATCCATCAGGTCATGGTCACAGGCAGCGAGCACGCGCAGTGATAGTTCTGATCTATTTTCAAAGGTAACAAACTGACATACAAAATCCACAAAAGTTCTATCAGTCTACAATTTGGTCCTGTATCGGTGTATGACTCGACTGGATCAAGCATACCTTCTACAAACTACATCCGTTGGCAATTTCCATGGAAATCCGGCTATAAACAATCCTGGATCCTTGGGACCAAAGTGGCTGGCCATGATGGTCCAAATGATAAGTCCTTGGTATGGTCCATTATCACAAGGCATGTTCCTGGGCTGCAAGAGGTCCTGGGGAGATGCAAGCGATGAGCTCTACCTGAGCTTTCATCCTTGACTTGGATTTGCCCAGCCTGGGTTAAGATCCAATGATTGAAATCCTTGGGGTGCATACTAACCTGAGATGCGAAGGTCGATTTTATCGAGAAGATTAAGCCGTGCGCCAATCATAGCAAGTTCAACCGGAAGCAGGCATGTGTGCTCGCATAATGTCTTTGAGGAGGTCGGACGCTTTCATGAAGTCGGCATAACCGGTGTCGTCGTTGGGGTCCTGAACTTTTTCAAGAAGTTGGAAGACAACCTTCCGCTGGGCAGTGAACTTCTTGGCAAGAAGTTCTTTCTGTTGCTTGGCAGCCTCTTCCGCCTTCTGGGCGCTCTGATCGACAACAGGTGACTTGGCAGCCTTTTGTCGTTTCTCGGGAATTTCATCGGGAGTGTCAGTGGCTTTACGTTTACGGTTGCCTTGGCGCTTCGTAGAGTTGTTTGTTGTGGAGGGTGTTGCATCTTGCTCAAGCGGGGAAGCACTTCCGGTGTAGTCGTGCACTCGTTTCATATGGTCAAACAAGTTGTAACGACGTGGAAAACCATTGCCAGGCAGGGAACGCTCGCAGTCGGGAAAGGAGCAGAGGTGAGGCTTAGAGCCATGGCCGTGCATTCCATGAGCCTCACGCTCATGGCGAAGGAGACAGGCAGTGGATGAGAAGGGAGTGTTGGCGCACGATGCCACCTTGCATCGAAAAGGTCGAAGGTGCGAATCGACGTACTTGTCGTAGTTGCATTTGAGCTTTGTTGGCTTGTGTGTGCAACCAGCTTCACCTTCGTGGGGGCAATGGTACTTGTCGTCTTCTGGATTGGGTAAGGCCGAGTACAGAGGATGAGTCCGGGCCAGTTTTGTACTTTCGGCATCTTCGAGGCTGTTGGTAGAGGAAGCATCCTCTTCGGCTTCCTCATAGTAAACTTCTGTGTCGGTAACCTTGCTGTTTTGAGTCACATCCAGCGTCTCCTCAGGGCTGAAAGGGCTGTTAGAAGCATATTTAGAGTACACAGGGCGGGCACTGACCTTTGGAAGGTGAAGTAATTGTTGGGTGGGAAAGCCTGCTGGCTCATGGTGCCTGATGGCCATGTAATCGGGGATGAGTCGTGGTAGATCATGGGCGTTGCATATGTACTGAACGGATATGGGCCACTGTAAGTCTGAGCATCAGTAGTAGGCCAGTGGGCTTGAGCATCAGATGTGAAGTCAAAAGCCGGTACACTAGAAAATGCATCGGCGTTATTGAAGTCTCCGATCGCACTCCGGCTAGAACCAGACTCGCTTGTAGGAAGCGTTATTTGGCCAAGATCCGAAACAGGGCCTTGGAATGGGATAAAAGATTCAGAGCTTAAGGAAGGAGAACATAGAGAACTGGAATATGCAGGATATTGGGCCTTGAGGTCCTGGCTGTGGCCCACTGTCCCGTCAGGGTAAGTAGCCCTCCTCGATGTGTCGGGTTGGCTCATGTAAGCGCTGTCGTTCATATCTGAAGCTGCTGAGCTGCCACCGTCCTTGGAAAGAAATTGGTCCTGGATGTATGCCATTTCGGAAAAGTCTTCCACGGGAAACTGTCCTGACTGGATCCACACGGCAGTATCCAACTCTGTCAAGGAAAATGATCCAACAGGCTCGCTGAAATAACCGTAAGTTAGTCGTGTACCTCGAATGGCTGAATGACGTTTGCAGGTTTGAACAAATGAAAGATACATGATGCCAAAGTATACAGGGAAAGCCATGTTAGTTCACGTCCGTGGTCCTGACACGCATTAGTATACATTCAGTATGGCTATATCGTATGTACATACCGGTCTCATGGTCTCTGAGCGTAGAACCTGGGATTAGAGCAGGCCAGTTCCAGCTGCTGCTTGTGTTAAAAGGCCAGAGGATTGACAGGAGCACCACCAGGTGGAAGGACCAGGAGGTACAAGGAATGCCAGTAAAACTGTGGTGGAGAACAATCAGGAAATCAAGAACCAGTTAGGTATTGGCCACGATCCAGTGGAAGGACACCCGGAGGAGCAATTACAAGCCAGGTCTCACCAGTTCGTTTCCACAAAGACTTCACCGGCTAGAAGTTAGTGTATGATCAAGCATGATGATGACCATGATTTTGCCACAGTATACGTACCACGACAAATGGATATCCTGTGGATCCTGATGGTTTTGCCAGCTCAAGAGAGCTTGGCAATCCGCGGGAGCCTCCATGGCAGGCGGGATTACGGAACCGGCAAAACAAGGGCATTGGTCAGGTCCATCGCGTCAACCGAACCATCATGTAGTCCGCAGTCGCTAAGGCCATAGAAGCATCACTGGTCAGGTAAAGGGCAAAAGCATAGAGATAGAGGACAGAGATTGTGCCAGTAAACTGACAAGATCTCGTCCCACTCTTCACTCAGCTCGGGATCAGGCACGGATGGGTGTGAATGGACACGGAGCAAATGACCTGGATCACGTTTTACGCACATGGACAAGTCCACTGCTGGGAACCTTGGGATTATCGAACTTCATCAATAGGCCAGTGGAACCAAAGCCGGACAGGCAGGAAACTTCAGGTAGCAAGGCCAGAGTAATGGTTCGATTGTTGTTTGCGACGATGTCGAGTCGCATAGTGTCCTTGAGCTTACCTTTGACATAATCGATACCTTGTAAGTGTATAGCGATTGTGTCGACCTGGTACCTTCAGAGCAATCCGTGTGGTTTCGTCGTCAGTCCTGGTGGCCTTGAAGGTCCTGCAAATCCAGATAACGTAGGCCATAAAGTGGTCCAATCCTCGGCGGGTATCTGTATGGCAACCCGCAATGGCAAAAAAAAGCAGACTTTGATACAAGGAGAATTACATGAATATCAGATACAGGAATACAAGGCAATGCAGAGTGGAGAAGACTGAAAAACCGTCGGGTAATACCTGGTAGAGACGGGTCCTTTCTCGCGGTTGCGAGTGTTCATCATGGGTCCGATGGATATGAATGTGATACCTTGAAAAACCTCTGGATGGCGGATATGAACGCTCAGTGTGTCGAGGTCGATTTGATGGGTGGTTGGTAGGGAGAATTGTTGGAGAACCAAAAAGTGGTGAGCGTAGGAAGTAGAGACGTGAGGGGTGTAAGAGACAGATGACGGGAAAATGGGTGGGGGTGGGCACGCGGTGGTTTAAAGGAAACAGGGAAGGGGGCCGACGTAAGCGAGCAGCGCGACGGGCTTGGAACACGGGAGGGGATGCAGCCCGCGCCGGTGCTTGGAGACTTTCAAGTTTAGGGGGGGGAAGTAGAGGAAAAGCAGAGAGACACGGGCTGGCGTGCTGGCGGGCTGACGGGCTGACCGGCTAAAGGGGTCAGGGTTTGACGTTTCGGCCAAGTTTGCTTGACGCTTGACCCTGCCATACCCTCCCTTTCCATGAGTGTTACGAATCGGGTGTAGTATCAATGTTTGTTTACTTACGTGGGAGTAATCTACATCGATGTCGTTACACAAAGGCCTTAGCTTGACCACTTGTGGACATAATATACGTACATAGATGGTTTACTTGCTGATCAATAAACTGTTCATCCCTGCGATACCTTTACGTAGCGAAAACGAGCGTTGAGCAGCACGAGTCACGCCCCCCTTGGCTCCCTGTCAAGATCCTGTCTTCTTCCCACAAACTGACCAGTGACAAGTGATACTACTGACAGGCTGTGCTGAATCCTGATGCTGATGTGCACACCGTCAGGGAAGTTCTCATCTCTCATCTCTGGAATTAATCATCACTTCTCTCAGAGTTCATTATTCAAATGAGGAAGTCACGGGCACCCGGCTGGCACAGAGTACATATTCGATCTACAACAACAAACTCCAAGCTCCACCATGCTCTCACCATCGCGACTCATGATGGCAACCTCGTGCAGAATGTCCGTGTCAATCTGTCCTTGTCCTTGTCCGTGTCCTTGTTCTTTGATCTTGATCTTGTTCTTGCTGTCGACACGGGTGGCACGGCTTGGTCGTCGCGCTGGCTATGATCGAGAAAACGCCAGTTAATACTGTACTATAGGTAACTACTGACTACTAACTACAATCAATCACGGCATCTTGAAATTCGAGCGGCTGCGGGACTTTTCGCTCCGCCCGTCGCACCGTCTGTGAGAACCGGGAGTTGCCTGTCTCTCATCTGCCGACTGAACCAAGCACTCATACTTACTGTACATACAAATTCTGTGACTTGCCGTGAAGAAACAAGGGCCGACAGTCGAACCCCCGTGGCCTTGCAATTATTCGCAATGGCCAGCGCACACTTGGTTTTCCCCAAATGCCCAAGTGTTGCAACAGCTGATGCAGTCTAGTTTCCATCAAGGTTTGTCGTCGCACGTTGCATCATCCTGCATCCTCTTCGTAACCGGCGAGGATAGTCATGCCTCGTTGCCATATCCTGAAGCCCCGTTAGGTATCGACCTGCTCATCAATTCTCGATGTGGATGCGACAAACGTTCCTGGCATTCCTCGAATGCAAGTCGAAAATCATTACCACAACTTGTTCTATACTCCTGATTACCTACAACAAGAACCAGGGTAATAGTTCTCGAAGAATTTTGTGCTGTGTGTACAGCCGAAAGCCCTGATAAAGACCATGTTCATGTTTCTCTCATTTCTTCTGCTCTCTGGACTATCGAATCTCAATCCGAGACTAACGCAATATGACGATCGACGAGGCGGCAACTCAGAAATAGGAGCTTCGTCGCAGAGTGCCTGCCGACGACTTTTACGAATCGCGCATTGCATTACTAAATGATAAATTGTTGATGGCCATTACAAGAGCCTGCACTTTTGGTAACAAGATTGATGATCGAATCAATCTGAAATGGTGCATTTCGATCTTTATTGAAGTCGCAACACACGGTGGTGTGTAGTCAGCGTCAGTCACGGATAAGCGCTCACGGGCCTGTCCTAACGAGGCAAGAATCGCATCGGCCGCAACGGCACACCACTCCTCAACGTAAGCCATGTATTTGGAGCTGATTTTCGCGGGAGCGGTACAAAGTTCGACTGTTTCGCGCTTTGACCTTGTATGGGATTGTGGGGAGAAAGGTCAATGGCGTTGGTGAAGGGCCATTCAGCCACCTTTTTGTCGGCTTGGGATACGATCAACACGATCGTTCCGAGGTCACATCGCCATTCGCTCATTGCACTGGACGCGAATCAGAAACGCCAGACGGACGAAAGTTTATTCGACTCGAAACAATCAAGCCCGGTGTTCCCTGCGCCCACCACATCTTCTGCTGGAGCGATCCACAACACCGTTGTATTGCGCGTTTTAAGATAGCCCATGGCGCAACCCTCTTGTGTGAAACTTCAGTGATCTTCTTGATGAGCAAGAACTTTGGACATATTCGGCGAAGATTCCCCCCGTCGTCCCGTGTTCAGATTCACCTCGGCTTTCGATCTTTGGGACGCGGAGAGGCGGTCTGTGGATCGACGCACATGAGCATCCTTATCGAGATAGTGACACGTGACACTCTGCCGTCCACTCCTCGCTAATATGTTCTTCCAGCTCCGAGCGTTACTCACGCCTCCACCAATCAGACCCACACGTAGCTGTATACTTTGACGGTTTGCACATCCCCCTCCATAACGCAATAGGGTTCGGCGACCTGGACCAACCATGACAACCTGATCTGAGAACCATCTGCGTGTGCTCCAGATCGCGGATCGCGTGTATAACAATAGCATTACTCACCCAGCATACACACACTCACAGCAATCTCACAATGGCACGACTTGCCACTGCTGGCGCTCCACCCGGCGCCCCAGATACAACATCGATCAACCTCGAGCGCATCCTATCGCGGCTAGAGCGCACACTCCTCTCTTCAAACAGCGATCCAAAGCTACGCAGGTCAGGCTTCGAACGCACAAAGGTTGGCGCAGTAGGTTCATCCCACCGCACACGGTACATTTCCCTCCGTCTCACTCTTTCCCCCCCTCCCTCCTCCTCAACTGGTCCGCCGTTGACCCCCGTGCCGTAGAATCTCGAGCACGCAAGATCGCTCCTGCTACGACTCGAACACGAGAGCGCCGATATCAAGATCCAGTCGAGGAAGCAGACCGTGCAGGCGGAGCTGCAGGCCCGCCGCGAGCAGATCAAGCGATTGACCCAGCGCCTGTACGAGCTCAACCAGCTCGACGACTCCGAGGGGGACTCGGAGTCCGACGAGGCCGATGATGATGATGATGACGACGAGGACTTGTTCCCGTCATATGCGCCGGCGAAGCACGCCGAGGGCGGGCTCGAGACGTCGCATACACCGCAGAATGAAGCGCTGAGGGCCGCCGCGGAGAATCTGACGTCGTCGATCCGGGCCCGGAGGCCTCAAGCGGCGGCGGCGGCGACGACTGAAGCTGCTGCGACTTCGACGACGAGAGGGACGACGACGGGCAGCACGCCGTTTCCTGCGTCGGGTAGACCTACTACGGAGACTACTACGACTGCGACGACAGAAGCCATGCTATCACATAACAGGGCCGAGCAGGAGGATCTTACGTCGTCGCTGTTCTCGATGGCACAGGCACTCAAGGCACAGAGCGTCAAGTTTGCTCAGACGCTAGACCTGGACAAAGAAGTGTTGAACAAGACCATTGCAGGCCTGGACAAGAACACAGACGGCATGGACGCAGCTGGGCGGAAGATGGGCACCCTGCGACGGATGACCGAGGGCAAGGGCTGGTGGGCTCGGATGCAGCTATACGCAATCATAGCCGGATTGTGGTTTGTCGCGTTTGCCATTGTCTTCATACTGCCCAAGTTTAGATTCTGAGCGCGTTTGGGATACGGCTGCATAGCGACGGCGCACACGGTATATTAGTCCACGATTTAAGAAATTATTCTATGTTCATATCTTTCTTATGGATCATGCCATGCCAGTGCCCACAGACCAGCTTTTTGCTAGACATGACAAAAAAACCGCCCCTTCCATCCATGCATGCCCACTTCACCTCACGGCTCAAACTTCGGGCTATACTTTGCACTCGCAGCCGCAAACGCTTCTCTCTTCGCCTCGATATCTGCCAAGAACTGATGTTTCGGATCCGCCGCGCGCAGCTGGCCCGTCAGGTCCGCGCTGTCCTTGCCCAGTATCGTGTTGAGCACAACCAAGTTGGCGAGCAGATCCGCATTCGTGCCGTCCATCTCGACAGCTTGCTGGAAGGCGGCCTCGGCTTCGGGTGTGCGGCCGAGGTGCAGCTCCGAGACGGCCTGGCCGAGAAGTGAGTGTACGGCCTGGCTTGCGGGGGCCTGGGCGAGCTCTTCGAAGACGTAGTATGCTTGTTGGTATTTCTCGCCGCCCTGGTTGTTTTGTGAGTGACCAGTTTCTTCAAACCTGTTTACGTAGCAAGGGAACCTACTTCTCGCAGCCCGACCCATGACTCTGCAAGGTTGACGAGCAGACTATCTTGTGCCCATTTCCGCGCCCGCTGTGTCTCCTGAAGCGCGAGATCTGACCGGTTCTGGAGGAGGTGGATCTGCACAATGAGCGCGACGCTGTTGCTAGTAATTCAGCTCCTGTTGTTCACTGTCTATCGCCGGCTAGCGAAAACTCACGCGTCCAGACTTCCATCATGCTTCCCCAGCACCGCCAACGCCTCTTCCGTCAGGCCCTCTCTCGCCAGAATCGTGCCCGCACACAGCTGGACGGTCAGGTTGTCGCCCGACTCGGCCGTCAGTTTTTGTGCCTTTGCCACCGCGTCTTCGCCGGCGTCGGTGTTCTTCAGATACTCGGCCAGCAGCCTGATCGCGGCGATGTCAGGGGCGGAGTCGGCGTCCTTTTTTGTGGAGGCGAGGACTTGGTTGTACTGTGCGAGGGCGAGCTGGGCGCGCAGCTTGAGGATGCGGGCGGGGAGGGCGTTGGAGGGCGAGAGGGCTGCGGTGTCGAAGTCGACGACTTGTTGGTATTGGCCTTGGTGGAAGGCGTTGTGGATGTTCACGAGCTCTGTGGTGGGGAGTTAGTAGGGGTCTCTTGAGGGGGATTTGGGCGGGGACGGGGATAGGACGTACCGCCCTCGGCTGAGTAGGGATCCATTGTGCTGTGTGTGTGTGGAAGAGGTCAGGAAGTGCGGAATGCGTCGTCAATGCCCTGGAAGTGCACGTCGTAGAGCATTCCCGTGTGCACGCCGTCGAGATGCCACGACGTACCTAATTCGGAAGTCTTGGCGCAGGGTTGGTTGTGTCTTAGTCATCACCCCAGGCTGCCCGGTTACCTAGGCTTGAATGAATTTTCTCGTCCAATATTGGAAGGTTGACCTCAAGTCTCTATCCGTAGGAATCATGATATGGTTCCTGCGTTGGAGTTCGCATGAAGGGTGATGGATATCCGCATCTATTCTCCAGCCGACCCTCGTTCCGTTTTGATAGCAACGCAGTCAGTTACAACTGCCGGCCAAGCCAACCTCACCTGAGCCAGTCGCTCGCGCATGCCGGATAACGGACTTCAGTCAGTCTGATATCAGGAGACACTGCACAGGACGCATGCGAATACGACGATGTTGCAGTATGTTGACGATGCGGCTGGCAATGTACTGCAGGGCATGATGTCCCGGCGGTGTCGACCTTGAGTCAATAAGATGACGCACAGGACTGGGGCTGCGTTCCTTGCTGTTAATGAGACATCATCCGCTAGCCGAGGGCTAGAATTCTGTCTCTGTGTAATAATAGTACGTGACTATGCAATATGTGAAAATGTAGCGGCTGGCGTCTACTAAGGATGTGTCCAATGTACTTCCGTCCTCACAGCATGAACCCCTCCCGATAATCATTCAATCTCTGTGATCACGTATGCTATCATATCCTAGAATCAGGAAGAACCGGTTTCCGAGACACACGTGAGTATCAAAAAGCGAGCCCCTTTTCCCCTGAACCGGTCCATGTGTACGCATGGGAAAGGGCGATAAACATCCGTCAGGCTCGGCTCGAAAACAAGACCCAACGCCAGCCAGGCCATGCAAGCAACTTACACGCCTCCCATCAACATGCACGACTTCGACAATCCATGCGAACCGAACTCGTTCAGCGACTTCCGGCTTCCAGATATAGCAGTACAGTACAGCAGCAGCAAGCAGCACCCTCACCCGAGCCATGGTCCGACACCCCATCCGACGCCCTCGTAGGGCCGCAGTCTTGCCTCTGCCCCCCCCTCCCCCCTGAGTATTTTCTTGCTCAGACATCTCCTGCCCAAACATCTCCTGCCCAAACATCTCCTGCTCAGACATCTCCTGCTCAGACATCTCCCGCCCAAACATCTCCCGCCCAAACACCTCCCCCCAAACCAAATCTTCACAACCACAAAAGTAGAAAACACCCTTCTAGATCCGACCTACCCCTTTCCTTCTTCTCCAAGGTGTCGTGCCCGAGCACTATAGAACAGTGCATGAAAACTCCATCACCCACTCCACCACCCATCCTATCCACAATACACACCTGATACCCCATAAAAAACCCAACAAGACAGACAGACAAACAGACAGACGTAGGAGACCCCTACCTCACTATCCAGCATATATCATCCCTCGCCGAAGCCGTACGCACAAACCGAGATTCTGAGGAGTGCCTCATGCCATGGCTGCGCTTTGTGAAGGCCCTGGTTATAGGGAGTGTTTACTTTGCCTGATGTTCGGGGTTGGGGTTTGAGGGGAGGGGAGGGGAGGGGTGTGTGGGGGGTTGGTTGGTCTTGGGGGTGGGGTGCGTTGTTGTGGTGGTGGGTGTGGTGGTGGGTGTGTTGGGTGATGTGTTTCGTGGGGCTTTGCATGAAGGGTGGATGTGCCACTCACGCGGTAATATCGGTAAGGGAAGAATGAAGCAGCTAGATAATTAGAAGCGGAAGTATACACTACCGCTACCTCCGCCGTTATTACGGAATTTCTATAGTGGTTCTATGGGGAGGTTGAGGGGGTATCGTAGTTTTGGATAGACGATTTGTTCAAGGGAGCTCAGGGGTGAGCATGTTGCGTGCTTGGTGCGTTGATGGCGCTGGTATGCTGGGGGTATGGATGCGCGCATGGTTTGCTTTATGTGATTGTATGGGCGGGTGGAGACTGTCTTTGTTGCTTTGGGTTAGAGTACTTTGAGGCTGTCTTGAGGTGGTGGTAGGGATGGTGTGTGGTGGTAGGATCGTGTAGGAGGCTTGGCTGATATGTTCTCTATTTGCATCTGATCAACCCTTTATGTCGTAGCATTCTTGCACTACCCTCCTCAGCCAACGCATCCTCGGGTCTATATGTAAACCATAGACAGCAGTCAAACAGACAGCGATGTCCCGCATACACACATACATCACATCCAAGACCCACACTCAGTCCAAACCACCCACCACGCCCACCATCAAGCCCCCTCAAACGCCCTCGCAACAGCAACACTCACAACAGGATAACTCATAACACGATCATGCAGCCCATGCCTGACAATCTGCTCTCTCACCACGCCCCCACTCCCCCTCCACTCAACCTCCCACCCACCCGCCCCCAGCCCCGTCCGCAGCTTCTCCTTCTCCGCCTCCAGCTCCTCGAACGCGAGCGACGGTGCCTCCGGGCGCCTCATCGCGTTGACAGCATGCCAGAAGACAATCTCGGAATGCACCCAGGGGATATCGTAATCGTCCTCTGCATGGATGAGCGTGACGTCGTACTTGACCCCCCGCTCACCCGCCCCTTTGCGCGTCTCACAGCGCCGGATATGCGTCGCAAGCTTGTCCTTCACCGGCCACTTACTCACGATGAAACCATTGAAGAACGCCAGCAAGGCGGGGAATATAGCAACGGGCGAGAGCAACGGGATCGTGCCCGCAACCTTGTACGTCTTGGTCAACAAGCCCACGTCCGCAAACGGCGCTACAAGCACGGTGCCGGCAAACAGGACTGGTGGGTCCAGAGCTCCTAGGTGTTCCGTGAGCGAGACGCCGACTCCCGTGCCGAGAGACTGTCCGAACACGACGATGCGCTCGGGCGGGATGTGTGCGTCGTCCATGGCGAATCTAGCCAACGCAAGGGCGTCTGTCAACAGTCCTGCCTCGGACGGCCACCCGGTGCTTGCGCCGAAGCCGCGATAGTCGATGGCGAGGATATGTGCGTTTGGTGCAGCGGCGGAGAGGGCGCGATAGCTCTGCGGCCGCCAGCCGGACCCAAGTGTGCCTGCCGCGCCATGGTAGTAGAGGACCAGCCGTGCGTCCGGGTCGTCGGTCAGCAGGCGGAAGCCCAGGCTTTGCTTGATGTCTTGACACAAACCTACAGGCTCCGCCCGGAGCGCCGCTGCATTCTTGCGGTAGGTCTCGAGCGGAAGGACATGCCAAGCATGTAAAGTCTCGCCATCGGGGGTTTTAAGGTTGAACGGTGTGACCTGATTGCGGAGGAAGCCCCATTGCTCGGGCACGTTGGCGTCTTGGAACCAGGTGAGGGTTACGCGGTGCAGGTATATGACGTGGTCTTGCAGGGAGGGGATGGTGAGGAGGGCTAGGAAGCAAAAGTACACGCCCACGGCAGCTCCGGCCGTTCCCAGGAGGGGTTTCAGCACGGCGGAGACTGTTGGCATTTTGTGAGATGTTATTAATTACCAAGGGGGATGGGAACGGTCGTGTATGTATATGTATGCGGTCAAGAGGATTTTGGCGCGCGGCATGGTGTTTGTTGATCAATTTATGAGGCGGCGGAGCTCATGCATAAGTATGAGGGTTAGTTAGGTAGGTACCTAGAGTGGGTCTTTGCCAAGATATATCTTGAGTTTTAGCCCCTTGCATTGGACGGGAGGTGGAATTGTCGGGCACACAACAAACACTTATATCAAGTGTGCCAGAGGCTTCTTCGTTGATTGCTTTGCTTTGCTATGCCTCTGCGTTATATATTGATTCATCAGTCGTACGGCCAGATATATACATGCACCCGATTCCATGCCACCATCATCCTATGTACACCCTACCTATGTATGTTACCCAAGCCCTATATACACGCCATCCCATCCCACCCTCTATTCCCATCCACTCCCGCTCCCAACATCCCCACGCATCGCAGCACGGTCAAGAGCACCACCGTCTAATCAGGCACTCAAGACCCGCCCAACAGGCCCCGGCGACACAGCCTTTTCGATGTACAGCACGCCGCCCTTGCCCTGCTTGGCACCCTCGACATCGTCGGCATCATCGAGATGGCAGCTGGCATCGCGGGCGCCAAAGATGACCTCCATATCCTCAAGCGTCTTGCCCTTGGTCTCGGGCACGAAGAACCAGGCCCAGAAGCCCATGAGGACCATCAGGCTGGCGAAGAACATGTAGGTGCCGTAGCCGAGGGAGGTGATCATGTAGGGGGTGGTGCGGGAGATGATGAAGGACCAGAGCCACTGGTCTGGACGGGGCGGGGTGTTAGTATGGCTTGAGAAGGATAAATAGGGGTTTCTTCAGGACAACTCACCGGCTGTTGTCAGCGCGACACAGAGCAGTCGGATGTCGACGGGGAAGATCTCGCTGCAGTAGACCCAGGTGATGCCCTGCCAGGTCGCGCAGTAGATCAGCCCGTACAGATAGACACACACCATGGCGAGATAGCCCCAGCCGTCCCTCGAGACATCGCCGCGGGCGGCAGCCCGAGCCGGGTCGTTCTTGAAGACGTAGCCGCCAAGATACCACATGGGCAGCGAGCCGATGAAGGCGCCGTAGATGAGGCCGTTCTTGCGGCCGATGCGCTCGACGAGGTAGACGCTGAAGATGATCATGCCGAGGGTCTTTGCGACGCCGTAGAAGCCCGTGGCGAAGAGCTTTGTTTCGGTGCCGGTGATGCCGAGGGTTTCGAAGATGCGGGGCGAATAGTAGCTTTTGAGAGAAGGGTTAGAAGAAGGGGGTGGGTGGTGAGCAGTAAGCAGCAGGGCGGGGAGTGTGGTACGTACGTGATGATGTTGACGCCAGTCAGGTTCTGACATGCCATGAGGAGGAGACCGATGCCGATGCGGTTGCGGGTGCCTTTCTGGAGGATGCGTTTGGCGTAGTATGTCTTGCTGTGCTTGACGCCCGGGGGCGGGCGGCCGACGAGGGTCTGCAGACGAATCTCCTCGAGCTCGCCGCGGATGTAGTCGTGGTCGGCAGGCAGCTTGCGGATCCAGCTGAGGGTGGCGGCGGCCTCCTCCCAGCGGTCCTGCTTCACGTACCAGCGCGGACTCTCGGGACACCAGAAGATGCCAGCGAGGAGAAGCACGCCGGGGACGAGCTGCAGGGCGAGGGGCACGATCCATTGGGTGCGGCCGGAGCTGGAGATTGTGCGTGCGACAATGTAGTTGATCCAGAAGCCAAGCATGCCGCCGCCCTGCGACAAGATCTCGAAGATGCCCACAAGTCGACCGCGAATGCTGGGAGGCGATGTCTCTGCAATGTAGACGGGGACGAGGAGAGAGACGGAGCCGATGCCGAAGCCGGCGATGGCACGTCCGGCGTAGATCATGGCGAGTTGACCGTGGGAGGCAGTCTAAAGGGGCTCGTTAGTGACGTGCTGCTGCTGCTGCTGCCACTTCCCAACGTCCAGGCCCTAGAACGCACCATGATTGTGCCGCCGACCAGAAAGGTGAGAATTGCGCCGATGATGGCATTCTTCCGACCGTAGCGTTCGCCGAGGGGAAAGGTGAGGAGAGCGCCAAAGAAGGTGCCGGCCTGGAAGGTTGAGACGATGTTGCCCTGGAGCGTGTCACGCTCAAACTGGGAGCGGCCATTGAGGCCAAAGTCACGCTTGAAGGAGTCGAGGGCCATGGTGCCGCCGATGACGGCGGTGTCGTAGCCCACTGGTTATGATGGTGAGCATACTGAGTGTGATGATGCTGACAGGTAGTATATAGTGAAGAGAGAGAGAGAGAGAGAGAGAGAGAGAAGAACTCACTGGCCAGACTGCCCATGGACACAATCAAGGCCATCAAATGCACGCGCCAGTTGCGAACCTGAGGCGGATCGGAGGTGCCATCGGCATGGAGCTTGAAGCCCATGATGGCAATTTTACTTTCTCAAACAAGCAAAGTCAAGGACAAGAGTGGAATCAGCCTCGTGGGGGAGAGTGGGTTAGAGAGCAAGGCAAAGACCCCAAGACCCTAGGAGAGTGAGTGGTGATAAGGCAGGTCAAGGCCCGGGCGTGCATGAAGTATATATGCGTTCAGTGGAGACGAGTGGGGGAGGAGTTCACGATAGACACAGGCAAGCAAGGACGGGACCGAATCAGGAACATGTCAAAGGGAAAGTTCCAGGCCATCTAGGGCAGGCTGGCACGTGGGAGTAGAGACTAAGGGAGTGGAAATGCGATTATTCTGGAAGGGCAGAGATTGGGTGGATTGGGTGAATCTGGGGTAGAGCAGATGATGCGGGGGAGAGGCATGCGGGGAGTTGTCCGTACGCCACCAGCCGGGGAGAGATGGGGAAAGATGGCATGTATAGGAGGAGGAGAGGATAGAGGATGTATGGCAGCAGCGGAGTGAAGAGATGGGGCTTGTTATGCACAGACGGCGCCACAAGGACTTGTGCCACGCGGCAAGAAGGACAGGCGGTGGATGAAAGCGGTTCACTTGCCATGAGAAGGGAGAGTCAAGAGTCAAGAAAGGAAAGGGCGGGCAAGGACAGGAATCTAGACCATGCTACGCTATATTCGACGGCCGAGGAGCAGGAGGAGCAGGAGGAGTAGAAGGGAAAGAAGAGAGAGGAGAAGAGTTTGAAGAAGGAAAGAGGGCGAGTCAGTGTGCAGTAAGCTGGCAGGAATGATGAATCATGCATGAGAGGGAGAGTGGGAGGGAGAGGGAGAGACAGAAGGTTGAAGGGAGAGAGAAGCAACAAGGCGAGAAGTGGGAAGGAGCAGGGTGGAATGTGAGAGCGGGCTTGGCGTCCGCTGATGAATGCTTGGCGGCAGGCTTGGAAGGGACGAACGGGGAAGAGTGGGCGGCAGAAGGTTGGCAGCAGCAGGAGCAGCAACAGCAGCAGGAATCTCGATCGATGTCATGGCCGATGATGCGCACGTAGATTATTAGTGGCAGCCAGTGTGCATTTGCCTTGCATCAACCATCTCATCTGTCTGCACAAGTGAAGAGAGAGAGAGAGTGTGTGTGTGTTGGCGCGACAACAACAAGGGAATGAGAGATGATGACTTGGTACCTAGTGTTTCCATCTGGCATGGCAAAAGACAAAAAGAGTGACGTTGTGCATCAGCCACACTCGCATTCTCGCCTTCTCTCATTCTGTCATTCCGTCTCTGCTTGCGGCGATGGCGATGATGAATGGATGCAGATGGAACTGGACGAAAGCGTCAACAAGGGAATGTGGCGATTGCGTGGCGGGTGCGAACAGGCAGGCACGAGGCATAATAGCAGCAGCTACGGCAGGTACGCTACTCCAGTCTGTTGAGGGCGCAGCAGCATCATGTCGTGTCGGTCGTCTAGCTCATCCAATACAGTAATTGATTAGGTCAGGCACAAGAAGAACTCCACACCCCAAGTATGTGTCAGCATTGGGTGCGCATTGTCTGGCACCACATGCCAAATGCCACAAAGACTTGTGCACCCACACGCGGACCTTGGCAGCCGTCACCGATTCTTCCTTTTTGCCCTCCGCTGCCGCCGCCGCCACTTTTTTTGTGAGGAGTGTGTGTCGAGCAAGTTCAGTCAGTCCAGGCTGTTGATTGGCTGCATTCATTGCTCTGCCCCCCCCCCTGACCGCGCGCCCAGTTCAAGGCGGCGCCCAAGACCGCCCAAGACCGCGCCCAAACACGCAGGACGTCACTTGTTTGGCGCGTTCCAGAGAGAGTGAGAGATCGGAGAGAGGGAGTTCCATGCCTCCTCCATGCCTCTCCGCCGTTGCTATGCTTGCTTGCTCCACCTTTCCTTTATGCTCCATCCATCCATCCATCCAACACTTCTCTCCTGCACAGCCCCCAGTCCTCATTGCAGTAATATACTTCTACTTCCTACCACACATCATGCCTGTCCTCTTCACCTAATCACTACTACCCATCACTAATACCCATCTCTCTCGCCCTCTCTCTCTCTCGATATTCACTCCCTGCGCCTGGCACACTGCCTTCGCCCTCTCACCTACTACGCCAAGCCAGCTTCCACGACCACCGTGATGCCTCTACACTCCGCCAGCGACCACGACCCGCCGCCCAACGACGGCCGCCTGGGCCTCCCACGCATCAATGTCGAGAACTTGGTAAGCCAATCTTCACAGCCTCACTCTTTCACTCAAGCCGTCGTGCTGCCCTCAAAACTAAGCTGCCTACTGACCGGAACAGGGCGGTGATGAGCCTGACACTATATCTCCCGACCCTACCACTACCTCTGCCTCGCACTCTCCCACTACCATCTCAAGAGACCGCTCCCTCTCGCAATTGTCTGCTCAATCCTTTTCCGGCAGAGAACGCTCAATGTCTGGCAGTACGGTAGCTACCGGTTCCCATCTCGAACCGCCGCCTCCACGCACTCCCGGTGGCGCCTCGTCCAGCGCCTCTACCATCATGGGCTTTGACGAGCGCGAAGATGCCCTGAAGCCCGATCCCAACACTGAAGCCGACTTCAACGTCGAAAATAACTGTTTCGCCTTCTCGCCCGGCCAGCTGAACAAGATGCAGAATCCAAAGTCGCTACAGGCTTTTGTTGCACTTGGTGGTCTGCCCGGTCTGGAGCGCGGTCTGCGGACGGATATCGATTCCGGTCTGAGCATCGACGAGACCAGCCTGTCTGGCATCGTCAGCTTCGAGGAGGCCAGCACATACTATCGCAAGGCTCGCGACGTCGAGGGCACACACGAGCCGCGTCCCGTCTTCACCAGGACCCACACCAGCCACCCGGACACCCCTGCCACGGGCTCCTACTGCGACCGCATCCGCGTCTACAACCGCAACGTCCTGCCCGAGAAGAAGGCTACTCCGCTGCTGAAGCTGATGTGGGACGCCTTTCACCAGGACAAGATTCTCATCCTGCTCTCCGTCGCCGCCGTCATCTCGCTCGCCCTGGGCATCTACGAGACCGTCGGCGTCGAGCATGAACCCGGCACCCCCATGCCCGTCGACTGGGTCGAGGGTGTCGCCATTTGCATCGCCATCATCGTCATCGTCTCCGTCGGCTCGCTCAACGACTGGCAAAAGGAACGCGCCTTTGTCAAGCTCAACGCCAAAAAGGAAGACCGCGAGGTCAAGGCGATTCGCTCGGGCAAGTCCATCATGATCTCCGTCCATGACATCATGGCCGGCGACGTCCTGCACCTCGAGCCCGGCGATCTCATTCCCGTCGACGGCATCTTCATCAGCGGTCACAATGTCAAGTGCGACGAATCCTCGGCTACGGGGGAATCCGATCAGCTCAAGAAGACTGGCGGCGAGCAGGTCCTGCGACTCATCGAGCAAGGTCACACCAAGCTCGCCGACATGGATCCTTTCATCATCTCTGGCAGCAAGGTGCTCGAGGGCGTCGGCACCTACCTCGTCACGTCCGTTGGTGTCAACTCGAGCTTCGGCAAGATTCTCATGTCCATGCGAACCGACATGGAAACCACGCCGCTGCAGGTCAAGCTCAACGGTCTGGCCGGCGCCATTGCCAAGCTGGGCTCTGCCGCTGCCGGCTTGCTCTTCTTCATTCTCGTCATCCGCTTCTGCGCCGAGCTGCCCGGAAACAGCGACACCCCCGCCGAAAAGGGCTCCCAGTTCATCGACATTCTCATCACGGCAGTCACCGTCATTGTCGTGGCCGTGCCCGAGGGTCTGCCGCTCGCCGTCACCCTGGCCCTGGCCTTTGCCACCACCCGTCTTGTCAAGCTGAACAACCTCGTCCGCATCCTCAAGTCCTGCGAGACCATGGGCAACGCCACCACCGTCTGCTCCGACAAGACCGGCACCCTGACCCAGAACAAGATGACCGTCGTGACGGGCACGTTTGGAGACGACCACTTTGACGACAAGAGCCAGTCGGCCGACGCAAAGCGCAACGCCGGCTGGGCACAGGGCCTCAGCCGGGAGGCCAAGCGACTCCTGGTCGACTCCATTGCCCAGAACTCGACGGCCTTTGAGAGCGATGGGAACAACAGCAGCGACGAGCTCTTCATCGGCTCCAAGACCGAGACTGCCCTCCTGACCTTTGCTCGCACCGTCCTCGGCATGGGCTCGCTGTCGGAGGAGCGTGCGAATGCGCAAATCGTCCAGCTCCTGCCCTTTGACTCGGGCCGCAAATGCATGGGTGCCGTACAGAAGCTCCCCAACGGCACCTATCGCTTCCTCGTCAAGGGTGCCTCGGAGATTCTCGTCCGGATGTGCTCGACCATCAACACGTCCACTGCCGGAATTGCCAGCCTCGATGCCTCGCACCGTGAGAATCTCGAATCCGTCATCAACGAGTACGCCCAGCAGTCGCTCCGGACCATTGCCCTGATCCACCGCGACTTCAAGCAGTGGCCGCCCGTCGAGGCTGTCGACGCGCAAGACCCCTCAAACGCCGACCTCGCCGCTCTCCTGCACGACATGAACTTTATCGGTGTCGTTGGCATCCAGGATCCGCTCCGTCCGGGTGTGCCCGAGGCCGTCGCCAAGGCCCACCACGCCGGTGTCAAGGTGCGCATGGTGACGGGCGACAACATCAACACGGCCCGCGCCATCGCAACAGACTGTGGCATCTACACCAACGGCATCGTCATGGAAGGCCCCGAGTTCCGCACCCTGTCGCACGAGAAGATGCTCGAGATTCTGCCCACGCTCGAGGTCCTGGCCCGCTCCTCGCCCGAAGACAAGCGCATCCTCGTAACGAAGCTCCGTGAGATGGGCGACATTGTCGCCGTTACCGGTGACGGCACCAACGACGGGCCCGCCCTCAAGGCGGCCGACATTGGCTTCTCCATGGGCATTGCCGGCACCGAAGTCGCCAAGGAGGCCTCGGCAATCATCCTCATGGACGACAACTTTGCCTCCATCCTGACGGCGCTCATGTGGGGTCGCGCGGTCAACGACGCGGTCCGCAAGTTTCTGCAGTTCCAGCTGACCGTCAACATTACCGCCGTCGTCCTCACCTTTGTCTCTGCACTCGCCAACCCGAACGGCCGACCCGTGCTGACGGCCGTGCAGCTCCTCTGGATCAACCTCATCATGTAAGTCTTGACCCTCGTTGTTGTCGATATGTGCAGCCCGGACAATCACTAATGCTTCGTTCCAGGGACTCCCTCGCCGCGCTCGCCCTTGCTACCGATCCCCCGACCGAGGAGATTCTCGACCGCAAACCCGCCAAGCGCAGCGCCCCGCTCATCTCCATCATCATGTGGAAGATGATTGTCGGCCAGGCCGTCTTCCAGCTCGTCGTCACCTTTGTCATGTACTTTGCCGGCCCGCAGATCTTCAACTTCCCGGCCGTCGAGGTCAATGGCAGTCTCGCCCTGCCGCGCGACCACCCGCAGCTCCGCTCCATGGTCTTCAACTGCTTCGTCTGGATGCAGATCTTCAACCAGCTCAACAACCGCCGCCTCGACAACCGGTTCAACGTCTTTTACGGCATCCACCGCAACTACTTTTTCGTCGCGGTCAATGCCATCATGGTCGGCGCCCAGATCCTCATTGCCTTTGTCGGTGGCCGCGCCTTTGAGATTGAGCGTCTCACCAGCCGTTCCTGGGCCGTCTCCATTGTCGTTGCGCTCTTCTCGCTGCCCTGGGCAGTGCTCATCCGCCTCTTTCCCGACGCCTGGTTCGCCGCGATGGCGCACGTGGTTGGGATCCCCTGCCTCTTCGTCTACCGCCCGCTCAGCCGCTGGTCCTCCAGCTTCGGTCGCTCGGTCGGCAAGCTCTTCAAGCGGAAAGGCAAGAAGTCATCAGACGACAGCAGTGAAGAGGAAGGGCCGGTCGCAGGCGGCGGCGGCGACAAGGAGAAGGCGGCAGACCTCGAGTCTGGCGTCAAGAAGGCGGTGGGCACGCAATAACTTGATTGAGCCAATCGATTGTCTTTTTTGTTTTTTATACGACCTACTACTACTACTACTACTACATACCACCGCCATATACCACTACTACCCCGGCGCCCTTTCTCTATCTCTCTTTTTCCAAAGTCGTACATCTCGCATGGCGTTTAGACGGGTTTACTGGGCATTTACAACACTATAGAGCAAACATGTGACGTTTGGGCACTGTATATATGGGATGGAATCTGATTGGATAGTATTGCATGCATAGTATGTGGAGAAGCTGCAGGGCTGATTCCCGAATCTTGATATAGTTGGTCATAATAAAAATGTTGAATTGGAAGAATGTTTTATAAAAAGAAATGTGTGCTCTGTTGGCCCCTTGTGGAAGGACAGCGAGGACGTGTATGTCAGGCAGGTCAGGGGTATGCATTCCACCGGCCTCACTCCCGAGGAGCAGTCACAGCACAGCACAGCACAGCACAGCACAGCACAGCACAGCACAGCACAGCGCAGCACGGCACAGCCCGACGACGACCTATCGGATGGATCCTAGTCCGGCAGCGGCCCGTGATCTACGCAGCCCCCCCCCCCCTAAAAGATCCATTCCGCCAACCCACTCCTCCAATCATATATTTGCATTCGTACCTCTCAACATGTTGTCTCTTCTTGTTTCTTTGTTGTCTGTCTACAAGGCTGGCTGGCTAAATGGTTGACAGGCTGGATCACTGGCTGGCTGGCTGGTTGTCTGGCTGGCTGGTTGTCTGGCTGGCTGGCTGGTTGTCTGGCTGGCTGGCTGGCTAAATGGCTGGCTGTCTGACTGGGTGAATGACAGGTAGGTAGGCGCGCGCGCACAACGGTGTGTCTTTTCATTCTTTCGTCCTTTCGTCCTTTCGTCCCATCCGTCCGTTCACCTGTTCGGTTCATTGCATGCCCGGCTGCGGCCTTCTTTCGGTCTGTGAATAGAGTCAGGAGGTTGGTTGGTTGGGTGGTTGGTTGGTTGGTGAGTGTGTGTATCTGTATGTATGTGTTTGCGTGTATATATGTGGCTGAGTCACTGAGCCACCTCGCATGGATCCATCCATCCAGGCATTCGTCCATCCATCCAGGCATTCATCCAGGCATTCAACCAGGCACCAAACCCACCATAAGCACCAAGGCAGGCACCGGGACCAATCTCAACTACAGTGTCCTTGGTCCATCCATCCATCCATTCGATCTGTAAGGCAACCGGTATAATCCAGAATCTCACTCTGTTCTCTTACGTTCACGCACATACATGCGCGCACTTTTAGAATTGCCGTCTTTCTAGTTGGCCATCTTTCATCTATCTAGCTATGCAGTCAGCAATCTATCCAGTCAGCCAGTCAGTCAGCTAGCTGATCACCGGTCTAGCAGACTGCGGCGGTTGCGTATATGCCGCGGTTTCTGACCTGTCTGATCTGATCTGACCGGAAGGCAGATTGGATGGTTGTATTGTTTGGATAGGTGGACGGCAATGCAAGGCAGGGCAGGACAGGGCAGGGAAGGGCGTACTAAGACAAGGCGTGGTCAGCCAAAGACATGACAAGACATGACAAGTCAGGACAGGATAGCCCAAGGCATGGTAGATACACCGGCCAGCTAGGAGATCTAGCAGTGTCGACGGCGCGAGGCTGTGTAGACAGTGAGAGATCCCTGGACGGAGGAGTGTTTTCAGAGAAACATCCCTTGGTAGTGTCTTATGGCATGATATACCTACTTGATGGAAGGATCCTACTGCTTCCTCTATGTATCCTCTGTCTTCTGGCCTCTATCCTCTGTCCTATGTCTGACTGACTAACTAACTAACCGAGTAAGTAGACAGAATGAGAGAATCTTGACTATGAGCCATCCACGCCCCTATCCACAGCCGCCGGCCATCACACATCAACAAAGAGCTCCACACTCTGATAACAACCCCTTTATTCCATACCATCTCATCGTCAGAACACAACACACAACCACCCCAGCCCAAGCCCCATTCTACACCTCCCACACCCACCCCCAACCTCACCCCTCAAGATCCCCCCTCCAGCCCCTCCTCCACCCCATCCACCGCACACCACATATACCGCTGAACAGCGTCTGGCAAGCTGAGGAGGTGATTGAGCAGACTATTCACATCAATGTCGTCCTCGTCGTCGTTGTAATGGCCCGGGCAATCTAGATCTAGACGGGCGGCGACGGTTCTGGCAATGAACTTTTTCAGGCCAGGACGACGGTGCCAGGAGAGTGGGAGGTGGACGGTTGTTGGTTGGGGGGCTTGGGCGGTGGTGCTGGTGTTGTGGGATGGGTTGTTGGGGGATAGGGGTGGTTGGTGGTGGTGGTGGTGGTGCGCTGTGGTGAATGTTGGGGTGGAGGAGGAGGGGGAGGAGGAGGAGTTGGGGTGTGTATTGTAGTAGTGTTTACTGGGCGCGTCGATGTGTCTGTCGTTGCGCACATAGGCCTCTACGTAGTCTTGAATAAATCCATTAACAGCGGCGGTGTCTCTCCGTTCGTCGTCGTAACCTTCGTGGTTTGGAGCGTTGACTAGGAATCCGGGCTCGCGCGCTGTGATGAAACTCTCGTCGTCGTCTTCCTCGTCGAGGTGTGCATTGTAGTATTTTCCATCGTCCGCCTCGATGTGTCTGTCATGCGCCTCCACGTAGTCTTTCTTAGTTCCATCATCAACAGCACCAGTGCATCTTCGCCCATCTGCGTCTATCACTCCGGCGTTCGGATCTGACTCCAGTTCTCGCAACACCTCGGAATCCAGAAAGTCAAAGACGTCTACACGGACCCCCGGATCCATTCCCGCGAGCAGCGGCGTCCTGCCATCTTGTCCTGCACCGGGCACAGGCTCCGCGTCGCTGACCAGATACGCCATGACAGGATTGTCCGGACAACACCCACGTATCCCGTCTGCACTCTCCGACCGCACATCCCCGAGTGTGAGGATGCTGCTACTAGCATCACCGGACTCGGCTTGCGGTGCTGTAGTCTCCGGCACTTCGGGTGCTAGCACAAACTCCGCTGAATCACCGTCCTCGTCAGCCTCATCCTCTAGCCCAACATGCTGCAGAGTCTTCGTAGGACGCTCGGTAGACTCCCCCTCTTGCCCTTGCTCCTCCTGAGCCAGCGCATGCCCTTTTAACGACACACCTCCGCTGCTCGCCGTATGTTTGCCTTTCCCCCTCCCCTTCTCCTTCCCCTTCCGCGTCCCCGTGCGTGTCTCCGTCCGCCGCCGCACAAACCGTCGATGCTCCGGCTCAATCGCAATCTCGCATTCCGCGCTGCTACCACCACCACCACCACCACCACTACCACCACCAAAGATCGACACAGCCTTTGCCCGGCGCGGGAGGAACCACGTCGAGCAGGAGGAGTACTGGCTACGGGCGCTCTTCCCCGATGACGACGACGACGACGAAGGAGTGCTCGACTTTGTAGATGCTGGCTTCTTCGCGGACCGGCGGGGGGAGCGAGACGGGGAGCGAGAGGAGGCCTTTAAAGAAGAAGAAGAAGAAGAAGAAGAGTGGGGGGAGACTATGCATGACGATGAGGAGAGGAGGGCGGTATTTCGCGTCAGAACGACTGGGGCGCGTTCGACGGCGGTGCGGGCCGGGGATGGGAGTTCCGCGGTCTTGTAGTAGGCTGGTGAGACGTGCATTGCGGGATAGTGGAGTGGTGTGGAGTTGTCTTGGTTTGTATGTCTGACTGTGGTGCTGGCGATTTACCCCCAAGTATGTATATATATACATACATTCAACCTCATAATCCATCGTTACACATCCAGCTCTTGCACTAGCTTCAATCGACGAGCCGCCAGTGTTGCTTGTCCATCTATGAAGAGCCCCTCGCCTTACATGGCTCTGAGAGGGGTTCTTGAAAGGGGGAGGTGCTGAGTTGCTGCCTCGACGATGTGGCGGTCGAGGCAGACAGCTCTGTTACAGACAGACAGGCTTGTTAACAATGCATGACTTTTGCGTTCCTGTTTGAAGGGCCCGGGGGAGTGGGAGACTTATGGTGTTTGTTTGCCACCTTGCCATACGATACGGCATCTTACTGTGCTACGCCAGGCTATGCGGACAAAGAATGCTACTCGGTACCTGGCACTCGAGCCACCACGGTAAACAATGCATGTCCGGCTAGGCACACAACGAGATCTGCACGTACCTTGTTCAGCCATCTCCACAGTGTGTTGTGACACCTACCTGGCATAACATACTCCAGACATGTATACTACAGCAGCCATCTTGACAGGTAGGCTAGATATACTCTGTCTAACTCACTTGCCTCCGTAGTCCTCGCACCTAGAGCAGATATCGCCTTGAAGAAAGAAGGCACTTACCCGTTGACAGCAGACTATGTATAAACCCAAGCCGCAATCAAGCCCTACCCGAGTCCCCTCGTCCCCACGCGACTCTTCACCTCATGCACTGCCCCATTACATACCTTGTCAACATGATTATCGACACGCACTAGCTCATCAGTCCTGCACTGTTCCACCGCTCCGCAGGCCTGGTAACTGACACTCTGGCAGCATTCACCAACAGCAAGGCTCCCGATACAGACCCTCTGCTCTTTCGATCGTATGAATGTAGATGCGCTCCGCCCCCCTGAGTCGGCGCCAAGTCCTGCCTGACACTGGAGCTCTGGGGCTTTAGCAAGCGCTGTGTATTACCATAACGGCCCAGCGAGCCGGGATAGAAATTCATTACATAAATCACGAGCGAGCTCGGCCAAGGGCAAAACTCGACGCTGCGGGGGAGCGCATACGGGCCTGCTAGGGTGGCGTTCACAGCCGCGCTGTTGCTGGACAGGCTGCCGTGGACGTAGTCGGCTTTGTAGTAGCTTTCTCGCCCGCTGACAATGAGGCCAGATATCTTGAGAGGATGGTAACTTCTTCATGCGGCCTTGTCCGACCTGTGCCCCTTTGCGTGCTGCTCTTATAGCAACATCGAAGTGAGCTCTTCTCTGACGAGTGAACATGCGCTCGAGAACAAACACGCTCTTCTTGTTCGCGCTCTGGGCTAGGCCATGGACTATCAGCCAGGCTGCACCATCTACACAGGCTATCCATACAGGCCTAGCGGTAAATCTGCTCTTCATCCTACGCAAGTCCTGACTGCAGCCAGGGGTCATCGCGAAGCTCCTTTGCCGTGCTCCTATCCTCTGGCACCCATTGAAGCATCCTCCTCACGAACTTGAGGAAAAGCGCTTTTTCTTCTCCGACCATGCATGTGATGCAGTCGTCAAGTTTGACATTGGTGGGAATGATTTCAGGATGTTTGAAGGAGCCTGTTATCAAGATCAGAGCTATGATTCAACTGGTGCGTGTTGAGACCTCAGACATGCCTTTTGAGTCGAAGAACGGTCCGCCATAGTACTCACGGGCGGTATCACACCAAGCACCGTTTGGACCGGGAAACGAGCGTTCCCAGGGGATGTCACGCCAAAGTTTTTCTCGATCAATGAGCTTCTGCGGCGGTGGTCCGAAAATTGCAATCATCTCGGCGATATGTGCCCGAGCGGTGTAGACACCATTTTGTGACTTGAGGTGGGCGAATAGCTCCTTGTCTTCTAATAATTCGAAAAGCTGCACAGTGTTATCACTTTTTACTAATGTATTCAATTTGACAAAAGTGCTTACAAGGACACCCAAGTTCCAGATGTCGACGCTGTATGTCCATGGAACTCCAAGCAGGACCTCTGGAGCATGGTAGAGAGGAGGTTGTATTGGATGACGGAGGGGCTTCTCTCCATCGCCTCGGTGTGCCAGACCAAAATCGACAATCTTCGGCAGCATCAAGTATGACTTCAGGGTGCCAAAGTTGTTGTGTGAGAGATATATGGTCTGATCGCCGACTCTTTTTCGAGGCATTGGATGGTCACCTTGAGCCTCCACGTACTCTCCAAGCACGCTCGGATCCTCGAAAGACATCAGTATATTATCTGCCTTGAGATCTAAAGCCACGGTCAGTCTTGGCTAGTCAGGGTGTCTGAATCACCTCTAGAACAGACCTGTATGGATGACCTGGCATTCGGAATGGAGATAGTCCAACCCCTGCAATATAAAGTCGACATGCACCTTAAGGAGCTGAGGCGGAATAGCATCACCAACAAGACGGTGTTGAAGCTGACTTAACGGCTCCCGCATAGCCTCGAAAACCAGACATAGATGAGTAGCTCCAGTGGGGCTGGTTGCTATGAAATCATCAATTGCAGCCCTTACAAATGCAAAGCCAGCGATAGAAGTGTCTTTAGCGAGACGTTTGTTGATATCGAGCTCATGCAAAACCATGTCATCATAGTCAGGGTTGGAGGTAGCAATCTTCAGAGTCACATATCGGTCCGGCACCCTTCACAGATTGTCAGGCTTAACCCATGATTTCAGGAACGAGAGAAGAACCGTGACCGCTCTAGATCCCTTGCAAGCCATACAGTAGAAGCTGTGCCCCATCCGATCTTCGTTAGGATTTTATATCGGTCATCAAGGACTTCGCCCGGATGTGCAGGGTAGTAGAACTCAGGTCGATAACCTGGCACTCGCTCCTCTTCAATCAGGACGTTAGTGGGCAGTATGCTTGGAGGTCGTGAGAGGCTCGTTATCGGCCTTGACGTGATGTATGCCGAATGTGAGCATAATGACCGAACGCGTCGACACTGATGGCGCATAATCATTGTCTCCTGCTTTCGATCGCATCTCCTTGAACCAGCCTTTGGCGTGCGGTTTGTTGTCTCGTCTGGATCTTGTAAGACGCTAACCTAGATCCGGCACGCCTAGCGTACTACCACCAAAATAAGGATTGCCATAAGACTTTCGATAGTCTCCCACTTGAAAGCCGTCCTCGAGAGCTGATATCCCTTTTTGTGACACTTGTCATATTCGAAGTGCTGTTACACCACATAGCCTGTTGACTTGTTCCAAGTACTTGTCCTCGGATGCTGATATGGCATGTCATTGCGCTCTTTGTTGGGTTGATTCACTTGTTCACTCCCCCTACAGCTAGCATCGAAGACTACCTTCCTCAATCTGCATGTTCTAGCACCCTTCTCCGTCCACCCAGCTCCTTTCGATCTAAACTGCTTGGACTTCCTTGCGTGCGATACCTTCGCAGATGTAGGCCCACTAAGAGTCGATGCAGCGGAGTCTTTCTAAACCGGTTAACTTTCAAACACTTCACGCGACACCCCGTCAGCTAAGATTCACTCAGGGGTATATATTTGACCACCATGTCGGTGGAGTCTCGAACCTCTTTTTAGTATTAGTTCGGTGAGAAAGTATTGCTGATTGTCGAAACAAATCCCCTGCCACAAACGATTTGCCTAATCTGCGAGAGGCCCACCTGTCAAGCCTCCACCCTGCCCTGACTCACCCGAGCTAATCCGTAAGGCAGCTCCCCTCGCATTTCCGAACAAATAAAGATGTCTTCCCGTGGGGGAATCGGGGCTAGTAAGCACCCCCTGGTCACAACTGCATGATGCGTAGTGTTACACGTTTCGATTATTTCAGCACAAGCAGATTAGATGAGATGTTTTGATGGTCATGTCCATAGTATCATTATGCTTACTCCTTCCCCTGTCCTTTTCAATATATCTCGCCGTATCACCACTTCGTTCCGTTCGATGCTGCCTCGGGCGGGTAGACCACAATACGGTCCAGGTCTGCACCCTTATAGTCGAATCCATTGTACAGTCCACCGACTGTGATGTTGTTGTTCTTGCCCTTGTTCAAGTTTAGTAGTAAAGGGGTTGAAAGTATGATGCTTTTGTGCGTATCGCGTTGGAACAGAGTTTGGACATTATCCTCGTCACCGTTCACGACGACGCTGCTGATGCGCCGGAGCTGCCAGGTTCCACCAATGCGGTCCGGAGAACCGCCCGCTACGTGGAATGGTAAATTAAGGGTATCTTTGACATGTTAGGCTGAGAACTTACGTTGATCACCGAAACCCATGTCATCCGTGTCTAATTCCAATTAGCAGCATGAACGTGAGGAGTTTCGTCGCGCCGATAGCTTACTTTGATAATAAAAGGATACCCACTGAGGCTTCCCAGTGCCTTCAATGCCCTCAAAGGTGACAGTACTGTCATTGCCATATATGCCTGTCACAATTGTGTTGCCGCTTGCAAAACTCTGTGCATCTGCGTTAGGTTGGGCGTTGACTGAAACAAGTCAGGACATACTGCCTCCTGCTTGAAAGCATTGCCGTTGACTTTTGCATCGTGAGCATAGTAAGATCTACCCCTGATGGCCTTCCACTTGCCCGTGTGGCTTGGAATCGTTAGCAGAGCCATTGAACTGGTCTTAAGCATCTTACACGTCCAGGTCGTAAATATCATGCCACTCGATTTCGAGTGTCTTCTTATCATCGTCAATGTGCATCGGCAGCCATATATATCTGCTTTCCCACAGTGAATTTGAATCCCACTGTTAGCACGGTCAGTGCTGAACGTGCTTGACGCGAAAGCCACGAGTAATACACGTACTTGATCACCAATATACAAGAAAGTAGTTTGCGCACTTCCATTGATACGCAAGGCGAATCCGGATTGGGAGTTGAAAGTTCTTGTGTTCAAAGGCGACACAAAGGATGGTTGAGACCACGGACCGGCAAGAGAGTCCGCGCGGAAAACAACAACATCTACACATGTGTTAGTATTTGATCCACTAGTCGTTCGAGTGAGCAGGACTGTTTGGTCTATAGCCAGTCTTGTGGCTCATCAGGGCATAGTAGCTTTTGTCGGTCTGGATGATCGTTGGAGCTTCGAGGTCGTACTTGTCGAATCGATGGACGACCGAATCCAGTGCCGAAACCTCCTCGTTGTAACTAGTCAGATAGACATCACGACCCTCCTTACGATCACCGTTCGAGTATAGCGCATACGATCTGCCATCCTTGTAATCGGTAAACATGCCAAAGTCCTGGCTCCAATTCCCAAGCGGGGCTGTTGCACTGAGGAAGGTGTAGGGCCCAGATATGGTATCTGCTGTAGCAAGACCTTGGAGGAGTAGGCCGTAGGTACTGTTGTCAGCGTGCCACCACATCTATCAGCCGATTAGACCGGTCTAGATAAGGTCCTACGAGCGTACTCACGTGGTACTGTTTTGATGCATCACTCCATACAACCTTTGGACGTTGAATCACATTCTGCGGAGATATATAGGGATGTCCCTCGATGGGCTCTGATGGTTGTTAGTATAGTAGAGAGGCGATACACGGTGACGTACGTAGAGCCTGCCCATGATGTTCCCAAGTTGCCAGATCATCAGAGCTGTAGATGGAGTCAGGGGGTGCTCAACACCTCCATCACGTAGAAAATTACCTGTACACAGAAACACCACCACCTTCCACTTGGCCTTCAACTTTGTATTCTCCAAACAGATAGAAGCGACCAGTGTCTGGATCAGTGGTAATACAACCAGCATGGGCGTTGACAAGATTGCCGTCCGTGTCTAGCCATCGAGCCCCTGGGACTATATATTTTGCTCCTACTAGAGTAGCTAGGCTTGCACAAAGGACATGGATAGTGAAGAACATGTTCCCTACTAAGATATAGGTATATTTATATGGTAAACGTACATGCCCATTCCAGCCTTATATGACTTGCATCTTGAAATGTGCAAGTTGTAGCCAAGTCACAGCCGGGACATATTGCCCCGAGCTCTTCTCTCGCTGTGATTAACACGGGCTAGATGCGGGGTTGGAGGGTTTCGTGACTCTATATTTCCCGTCTCTGGCCACAGGTTGCTCATTTATGCAGGAAGTATGGCTCGAAGCAAGATCCTCTGGGCTGTGCGTTCACGATACAAAGCAAAGAAAGCAAACCATTAATGTCATGACGCTGTCCTGAGTCATGATGTCGCTTTAATTTCCCGCTTGAATGTGCCCGAGTGCAACCTTTACACGGCCAAGCAACGACTACAGGATCTCCATACAAGTACTTGACGTGAGCGAAGACAGGACGTCATTCCTGCAGCTGGCATCGCCACTAGTAGCCGTTCTGGTTCTTTGTAGGTGCTATGCATGGATCCTCTATGCCGGTGTGCATGCGAGGGTCTGCATAGAGCAAAGTATTGTTGGCATACAGAAAGTTATGAAGACTCGAGACGTTGTAGAGTGAATTATGGCGATGATAGTTTGCTGTAGGTAAACAACTGATCATTAGGCAGCCAGACTGCCACATCCGGACTCGGAGACTATGGGATCTTAGTAAGCAAAAGTGAGGCCCCCCGCGGACGACTACAGCCTAGGTGGCGGACATGCCAACACATTCGCATTCAGAGTCACACTCATATTTCATATTCATATGCTTCAGCTGCCGAAAAGCCTCCTCTAAGATCTCTTTCCAGTCTGTCGATAGAAAGAACATGATAGCGAACTGAACACGTGCAGCTAGTGACTCGTGAGCATCAATCCGTTGGGATAGACCTTTAACTTTTCGCTCTTCCAGCAGCCCGCTACGCCAGCTGTTGCGCCGCCGCCAAGCCATAGATTGGCATTGGCTTCTCTCCGTCGGACATCAATTAAGACTAAACGCGCCGCCACGTCCAGCCAGACGCTCCGCCACCGATTCAGCTTGTCAGCTAATGCTAATAATAGTTGTGTTTCCTCGACGCCGTGCGAGTCTCACCCCCTGCATCACTCTTCGGCTATCAACTCATTGCTCGTCCTCGTTGTTGTGCGTTCAAAGCCCAAGACATCACCTATAGCCTCTACACATAGCAGATCTCCGCCAAACTCTCTCTCAAGATGATGCGAAAGAAGACAAGCTTTACCACGGTCACACCGCTCCCGACCTTCATTCCACGTCAGCTTGCTATCGACATGCTTCATAGCCATGAGGAAGTCATCAAGATCAATCCACTAGTGCTGGACGTCAAGCCGACAGAGGCTCCGCGCGATGCCCCTGCCGACGAATTCTATTCCACATGGTACGAGATAACTCAGCGCATCCAGTACGTTCCTGGTATGGGAAAGATGGGTTCTGGAAAGATTGCCTTCAAGGGCTGTTTCCACAATATGTCTTGGGGCCTACAGACGCACACCCTTGCCCCGGCAGGTGTGGATCTCCGCAACAAGTGGCAAGTCTGTGGAAATGAACCTGGCGAACCAGTCATTGCGCAAGAGCTTGGGATTGGTGCACCACCAGAGGGACTGTATCTGCGAGAGGACATCGAAGTCAAGTGCAACATGGCCATGATTAGTTTCGTCAAGAAGGAACTAAAAGCTGCTTCCAAAGTCATGGTAGATCGAATCATTAAGAAAGCGGAATTACTCGACTCCGGCGTACTACACGCCATGTTCGACGATGGAAAGCTCAAGACGTTCAACCCGGCAGACCGCACTGCTGTAGTGTCGCCTAGACCTGGCTCGGGACAATATCAAAATCCTCTCGGATCGCCTGTGGTGCCTCCGTCGCCCGGTTTTGGTGGAAATGTTCATCGCCCCGGGCACAATGAAGCCATACCCATGGAGCTACCTGGCGACTTCTCATATGCCAACCAACAACCACAACAGCAACAACATCAACAGCAAGGTTATTTGAATCCTCAATATGACAGATACTCCATGCAGTCGAATCCAGGCGCGCGCTCACCAGGACAAGAAGGTAGTAATTGGTCTGATAACAGAAGTAATAATAGCTCACGCCCTACTTCATACTCCTCAGACGGAATAAGATCTCCAGGTCCCGAGCAGGGTCATTTCGCCGCAGAATTACCAACCCATCAAGAGTTGGATGAGCACCATACGGCCAACAATGCTCCACAAGTCCCACCAAAAGTCCCCACCGATCAAAAATCACCTGCGATATATCAGACATATAACCCACAAGACTACGGCCCAGATCATCGACCTGGCCAAAACACCCAAAGGTGGTAAGGACTGCACGGCCACTAAGGCTATCCGAAGAAACTGTTAGCGGATGGTATCTTCTTGAATGAATAGAACGGATGTTCACGAGACTCCTCGGAACCTCGTATGAATCATGTCGGGCACTAGGTCGCGACAGTCTCCGCGCTACTTTAATGATAGACTGGCAGAGTATACCCGTGCAATCGCCACACGGATATTGGCGCTCTTGGAACCGATTGCCATGAAAATGCATGAGATATTTCCCTACGAACCAAAGCGCGTGCCCCGCGCTATGATACCCGCACATAGCATGGTTTGTTGGCAAGGCGAAGACCATTGGTGCTTGGTCTGATAAGCATTGGGATTTGACGCAATACAACATAGCAGCTACTACTTTAGTTTATAAACAAGTAATGACGATATTTACCTCGACTTTGCCGCTCAGACGTGACCATTTGAAGCAACCGCCAAGCACCTGAGATATGGAGTCATCCCTACATTTCACCCCAAACACGTACCGATACTTATTTCGAACGCCCTTTGGGAGGAATTTAGGAGACAACATGGCTCTAGCTCCCTGGCCCGATCGAGAAATTTGGACGACGCCATGATTAACATCACATATTTTAGAAGTTTGGGTAGTTTACCGGGGTATCAAAAGTGCGAGGCAAGCGGGAAAATTGTGGTTCGCCATTCAAGCTAGAGGAGTCGAAACGTTACAATATCGTACCGTCGGCTGGAGTGCGACTGGGTGAAGTGTGCTACACAGTCGCTAATTACCATCAATACTCACTTCTCAGTCTGGATCCCACTGATGTGTGTGATACCTAGAAGGTGCCTAGTACTGGGTTGTCTCGGATTCCGATACCCACACGGAGATGACACTGCTCTCGCCAGTCGTAGGTCTGTCTATATGTATCTTTTCACGCTTGATACGTCCTGGAAACACAACATGTAAGTCTAATGCTTGACTTTAACCCATCCAGTTCCGAATCTCATCAAGCAAGTCTAGCTTTACTTTTGGTTCCACTCTATCCTTCACTTTATTCTGTATCTCGACCACATCATTTAAGATCGCACCGACACCAAGGACGTCCTTAGCAGCCGCACGCAGTTCTACTAGATTCTGTGTGAGTACGGTTCCAAGCGCGAAACATGCCGTCCTGATAGCGTCGCAGAGATGCGTCATGAGTATTGTCAATTTCTTCTCTGCTGCTGGGTCCGATCGCGTTCCTGCAATGTCTTTATGTGAACGATCAAGTCCTCGCGTGATGTCTGATATGAGTTGTGCAGTGGACTCAAGGATAGCAAAAGCGTGCTCTGGGTCAGGTGTTTGTTGTTTGCTGAGTAGCACAGCGTAGTTTAGATACACCGTTGCAACAGCGACTGCCAGTAGACCATTCTGTGTGACACGTTCTCCTAGGTGTGGCGACAACGCGGAATGGACCCGAATGAACGCCTGGCCTATCGCTGAGTGGTTCTTCTCGTTCATGAAGAGATTAGCCACGGTCCTAGTAGCCATCGCAGTGTTCATGGAAGCAGATGAGATATCGAAAAGGCCACTGTCGATGAGCTGATCGATAATGGGTGCCTTATCTGACATCTGGTCGAACGGTATCTCCGAGTCTGCTGCCGCAACACGTAGTAAGTCCAGACAGGGAAGACGTTTCTGTTCAGGCCATTGCATACACATGTTGATGATGATTTGGACTCCGGCAGGATCTAATGCTATCAGATTCCTTGTCTTGTTGGCCTCGTTCTTTGTCTTATTTTCGTTTAATTGATCTGACAGTTTGTTGAGGACTGCTTCGTCAGCTGAGCTTAGTGCAAAGCTATCAGATCCATTTTCAGCGAGAGCCTTGCTGTACTCCATGATCTTGCGGTGGATGACTTTAAGGTCAGCTTTTGTGATCGATTCGAATTTCTCATATGGTATCGTAGAGTCTGTAGGCTCCCTTCGATTCTTGAAGATGAACGCTGCGATCTCTTGATAGTAGGCGACCGGCAGATTGTGATCCTCTATAAATTTCTGTGACACTTTGTATGGGTCGTCACTGATATTGTATGGAAGATTGAGATTAGGTTGATCGTCCGCGATGTTGATGCTGAAGACATGATCGTACATTTGGCCGTTATATTCTGTCTTCGGGGGCGCCTTTCTGTTTGTCTTCTTCGGGCCGTCGGACCCCGCTGTTGATGATGACGTTTCAACCTCTCCACGCAAGATCCATTGATTCTCAATAGGATCCCAAGAGTACGCCCAAAGTGACCCATTGTCGTGTCGAATGACTACATTTCCACCGTATCCACGATTTTGCTCGAGCCATTCAAAGTCATGGATATCCTTGGGATCAAGTTCTGTACCACCTTCCTTAGCACCTGCAATCTCTTGCATCAGAGCCTCGTGGGCTTCAAGATTTTGTCGCTCCAGTGATTCGCTAAAGATACGCACGACAGGTCCATTCGTGACTGCAAAATCCCCAGTACTCGCATTTATCAAAATCTTCCAAAGTCCCGTGGTTGGTTGCTCTATTGTTTGTTTGCATGTCTGCTGCCAGACTTTCACAGTCGCATCTTCAGAGCCAGATAATATCGTTCCATCTGCGAGAGCCGCAAGGCTATATACATGATTCTTGTGACCAGTAAGCGCAGCTTTGGGTTCGCCATTGAGCGTCCATAACGTAATGATTGTATCATTGCCAGAAGAAGCAAAATGGGCACCTGAGTTGTGGTCCACAGGGAGCTTACAGAGTGATCGTATTGGCTCGTCACTTGCTTTGAACTCGTGGATCGGGGTCCCGTCGACATTGTAGATTCGAATGCAGCCATCACCCCAGCCTAATGAGCTATAAGTCCACGCACATTACGGTTTAGGAGGGTATCTCTCACCCGTTATGACGGTTTCCCGGTCGTATCCCACAATGGCTAGGCAATTGCGTTCATAGGGTCCTATTACTTTTTCGTCGTCCCACTGGCCCACCTTACGTATTCGAACCGTGTGGTCCCAACCACCACTGACAAGATAATGGCCATGCTCGGTTGTTTCCAGGGGACTGACCTGACCTCCATGGCCAGGAAGACGAATCTCAGGTGGATCATCCTGGGAGTTTGTCGGTTGTCTGACATCGATTTCGGATTCTTGGCCTCCAGTCACAACTAAGCCTTGTGGATATGTGTCTGACGGTGGGATAAAGGTCACAGCCGTTATATAGCAAGGAGGCCCTTTCAATGTGCGAGATTTGGTAGCAGATAAGACACGAGATTTGTAGGTCGGCGGGGATGAGGAGACACGCTCCCACAAAAGAGACTTTCCATCTCGCGCAGCAGATGCTATCTGTGAGAAGTCTGTGGCGGCGATATCTCGCACCTATTTGAAGATTAGTTCAGGAGCCAAAAGGTGCAAGGCGACGCGGGGTTGTACCTCATTTGTATGCCCTGCGAGAACAGCAGAGACCTTGTATGTCATGATCGCTCTTTGGGGAATACCACAGGGACCGGGATTCCAGACTTCAAGTAAATAAAAAGGGGGACAGGATCGGAAACGAAAAGCTATTTAGACAATTCCTCGATGATGTCTGCATTCAGATGAGAAGCGTCATGATTCTGCCGCTACAAGCTACCAAAATAGGCAGCGGTGAAGAGCTTCCACCCCCACTCCCAGAATTACCTAAGGCGGAAGAGACGAAAGAGCGCCGCACTAACTCTCTTCATGGATAGGTATTAGCATAGACGATCTAGAAAACCTTGATAACGAACGGCGAAACGGCTTAGACAATCTCTAACTCAGCGATTCTTGACGAAATATCCTCCATCATCAGTGGGTTTTATCCTTCCATCCTCAAAAAGGCACGAATATCAGTGGAAGATGCCACGCTACACGTGTTAAAATAATCACGCCTTCAAAAGTCTTGCATTCGACATGTTAATTCGAGACGAGCTCATGTTCGTCAGCAAGATCTAGAGTATAATGGACGCATAAATAATCAGTAAGGTTCACGTTTGGGTATTTCAACCATCGGTCCAGGAAACACAGCCACGATCTGGAACGGCTCCAGATGATCGGAGTATTCATCACGCACATCTGAAGCCCGGAGCATTACTCACTGCAGTATCTAAGTTGGTTCTCCGTCGGCATTACTCATGCTTTTCCAGGGCTTAATGTTCTGAACCATGGTCGGACGCGTCGTATGGTCACGGAGAATACGGTGATTCCGAAGAGCGAGAATAAGTAAAAGCCTTCTTCGTAGGCGAAACTGCCCAGGCCATTGGACCCTGCATCCATCTCAAAACATGCCGCAAATTCTGACATTATTGAGCATCACTGAGCTTAGCAGGAGCATGACCCTTGACTTCGGTTTGTCGTAGATTTCTACTGAGGATGCAGCTTTGTGGGCCCTCGCTCCTCCAGCGCCACACATAACACATGTGGCGCTCACGCATGCGCATATAGTTTGGCTCTAGACTTGGGCTACTTTTCATTCAATGGTCCGTATATGACTGGTGACTGTGGCTCCATACGTAATGGCTGTGAACAGAGAGGTATAAGTATCTCGGCTAGGTCACAATTTCGGAGCCAATTATCTGAAACAAGTTTTGTCGAGAATTTTGTTTCTCACTCACTACCGCCGTGCGTGCAGCTGATCTACACATCTCCCGAGCGTATCATCATCCTATCTCCTGCGGCACACTCCTCGGAGTCGAAAAGCCCGACGTCATAATACAGCTTCCCCTGAACCTTGGTTCAGTCATAAAGCGATACTCTGAGCATTTGCCCTTGGGCAAACAACTTCGATTGTCACGCTGAAATTATGCCCTACATATCAGACTCAAATTCGTACACCAGCACAGGCCTGGAGAAGTACGCACACCACGCAGTAATGAAGTTAATCTTATCGACTAACAGGCTCAGACTCCAAGAATCAGGCAAATATGCCGATCTCACAATCAGATCTAACAACCGAGATTACTACGCCCACAAAGCAATTGTATGCTCGCGATCCGATTTCTTCGACGGTGCATGCAGTAGTTCGTTCCTTGAGGCTCAAACAGGTATCATCGATTTGAGCGAAGATGACGAGAATACCGTCGAGCACATGATCAACTGTAAGTCAATATGCTCTGCCGAACATGATTGTACATTCGCCTGACATCTCTCAGACTTTTACCGCCTGGACTACACTCTCCAAGAACGTTCGTCTCCACGACGAAACTCCTCACCATGTAGACAAACATCGTCCAGCCCACCACGCCCGTTACGCCGACCTCGCCGCCGGTCTGTCAAAGTTCGCAGTCTAATTTTCGAGGACCCGCTCCTTGCCCAAGCTGTAGCCACATCGCCTGTTACCGACGCATCAATCACTGCATCGGGTGATGATTCGATCGATCAAGAGCACGAGTCAAAGCCTAAACTAATGGATGAAGATACGGAGACGTACGACGAGTTCGCCGACGCGTATTCAGACGAGTTCGAAGAGCATCCCGAACTAGGGTATAACATTACAGAGCCTATCGAGCGACCATCGCAAGATGAGCTCGTCTCTCACGCTATGGTGTACGCCATCGCTGAGAAGTACGGTATACCAGGTTTGAAAGTGCTTGCTCGAAAAAAGTTTCTCGCGAACCTTTATACCCATATTCCCTACACCTCGTTCTCATCTGCGTTAGCAGAGGTATATACATCCACGATAGACTCCGATCGAGGGCTGCGAGAGCCAATGTTGCAATTGTTTCGGCAGAATCCTCAGCTTGTGTTCAGGAGCGATATACGAGAGGTTATGGAGGACATCGACGATATTCATATGGAGATCGAGCGAGCAATTAATGGAATGCCTACGAGGTGAAATGGTATCGCATGTGGAATAGCAGTTATGGGAATAATTCTTTCGAGAGAAAAAGCTCATGATTCTCATTGGAACATGCTATCCATTCTTTAGTTTAACAGCTACATTGAAAAAGATACTGAGTTGCAACAATGAGAGTTGGCCTTCCTAAGCCAGTACTAAATATCCAATGCTTTCTCCGAAAGCAGATCTATGCTACGTATGCACTGAGACATTCATATAAGAACGAACAGACGCGAAATGCTCGCGCGTCCGTGTGCAGTGTGCCAGAGTTATACAAAACACCCTGATTATATGACTGCGGGCCATGAACCTTTCTTTGGATCGTTCAAGCGGACATAGCGATTCTGCGTTCCTTGAATTCCTCAAAGAATTGCTCCATCTCTTCTTCGACAAGGTCCTCAATCTTGCTCTCAAGCTTGGAGAACTTGGTAGAGAGACGGTTGGATTCCCTGTGAGCATGCTCGATAGCGCTGTTAAATGACTCCTCGAGCTCCTCGGCAGTTGGGAGGGCGATCATGAAAGTGTCCCCCTCAACGTCGCTTTTGACGGTGTAGCTTCCTTTGCCGACAATATCAGAGTAGTTGGAAGAACCACCACCGTTCCAAGCGAGGATATTCGTTGTGCTGCTGGGAACCTCGGACAGAGCACCTTTGGTAGCAATAGAAATGATGTCTTTCTTGAGCTTGGCAGGTGTAATCTCAGCAACCGCATAAGAAGAGGACTTAGCGGGCTGGAGAGAGAGGTAGTAGGCCAAAAGACCAGCAATGTGAGGTGAGGCCATGGAAGTACCCGAGATGGTGTTGGTGCTGTTCTCACCAGCATTCCAAGTGGATTTGATGTTGAGACCAGGGGCGAAGATGTCATTGCACTTGCCAAAGTTGGAGAAGTAGGCACGCTCATCGGCGAGGGTGGATGCACCCACAGTAACGGCTTTCTCAGCGGAAGCAGGAGAGTAGTTGCAAGAATCGGCATTATCGTTACCAGCCGCAACTGCGAAGTGGATGCCAATCTCAACAGCTGCATTGACAGCCCGATCCAGGGTTGGAGACTTGCCGCCACCAAGACTCATGTTGGCGGCGCTGCCTTTCCACTTCTTAGAGACCTTCCCGGCCTTGGCTTCCTCAACCTTTTTCAAGTGCGCTTCAGCAGCCCACTCGACCCCACTGACAACGTCCGACATAGATCCGGATCCGTTGGAGCGTAATACCTTGACAGCGTATACGTTGGCTTTCTTGGCAACACCATACTTCTTGCCAGCAATCGTACCGGAACAGTGCGTCCCGTGGCCGTTGCCATCCTCATCGGCATCGCCAGATGGAATTGTCTTGCCCCAGTGGGCACGTCCTTCGAAATCGGTGTGCTTGATGTATGTTCCAGTGTCGATGACGTAGACATCAACGCCCTCGCCACCATCCGCAGAGTATAGGTACTTGTTATAGGTGCCGAAGGAGAGACTGTCGCGGTGTGAGATACGAGCAAGACCCCAGGGGGAGTTTTTGTCTGTCTCGTAGTCGTCTTTGACTGTGGTCAAAGTGTGGACCTCTTGGTCAACTTCGATATGATCTACCTGTTCAGAGAAATGTGTCAGCCTTACTCCGGTTCGAAATCAACATCACGTGCTAAGATGACCTCGAAACGAACTTCCTGAACAGCTCAGCGTGTCGATGCAGTACAGCATTCTGACGCATGAGCACTGCACGACAGTGAAAGGTGTGCGTCCAGACTTCAAGTCTATCGAAACTACTAGAGGGGGAGATAAAAGGAAGGCTTACATCAGGGTGTCTTCGAATCTGTTCAATGGTCTCTTCATCGAAGTGACCAGAGTACCCAAAGAAGTCTCCAATATTGTAAGTATGTTTCAAACCCTTGAAGACTTCGTCCAGCAGCGGGAACTGGCCACGCTTCTTGAGCTCTGAACGCTCAGACTCGCGAGTGAGGTGCAAGTTCTGGACCCAAGCGTGGTGCTCTTTGGCCTCGGCATGCTTGACATGGTCCTTGAACTTGATGATATACGAGTTAGGGATCTCTTTAGCATTTACTGAAGAGAGAATTGGCGCGGCATCTTTGTGGATTGTGCCAATGTTGAGGACAGGTGAAGCTGCTGCCAGCAGAGGCAACAGCGCTACGAGGAGCGATTTCATGATGACAGAAGCTCGAGCTGACGTCAAGCTGGTGTCGAACGGAACAAAAGGATAGATAGATGGAGGTAAGCAACAGAGTCAAGATGGAAAGATGTCTGAAGACGGGGAATGTGGGAGGTATATGTAGACGGAGGAGAGGTGACTGAGGAGCTATCGAGGCGGTTGGGGGAGCGATGGGGGATGACGCCTTGGTCGAGCTCCCCCAGCTGATTCCGGCCGATAAGAGCGGCACGAGACATCATCCACTAGGCGGCTGTGCTCCAGCCAATAACAAGAGCGAGAGTGGAGCTCCCCAACCAGCTCCTGTCACTCTAGCCAGCTCACAAGCCACATCCTTTGGGGTCGTGAGGCGTGCCCTGACATCGTCAATAATGCATGTGCATGTAATACAGCTGCCTGAAGGGATTATCAGCGCGCTACTCTGTAATAGACTGGCTCAAACTATGAAGACTCTACGCCCAGCCTGTGCATATCAACTATGTCTACATCTACTATATCTGTTTTCCTGTGTGTGATATAGCCTGGACTACACAACTAAGCTCTTGTCAGTAGACAGTGAAACTGCCCGTTCATAGAGAGATATAGTCAGACGGCCTATTGACCTAAGCCATTAATTTCACCTAAAGCTTCACGACTGTCGCTACTAGTCAAATGATGGAATTTGCTTTCCTTTAGAGCCACCGCTGTCAAAAGTACAATCTGACTGTCGCGCACTCCACCTGGGCAGTTTCGGAGGTGCTGACATTTCTGGCGCATTGGCGCTCTTGCCTGTGCCCGCGCCTACGACGATCCACGAGCGTATATACAGAACACACTGTATCGAACACGCAAGAATTGAAGACAGCGAGCCGACCCGTTACTCCCAGCGAAGAGATGCACCCTTCCCTGTCCATCCCATCACATGCTGAGATCCTAGATACCTCTTCAGCAGAGGCCCACCATGGATGGTCGCCAGCGCCGTCATAGGTCCTCCACAGCTGCCTCGCGTTCCTATAATCCGAACAATCCTCATATCGACCAGCTCCAATCTTTGTTCCAGGCTCTCTCAAAATCAAGTGCCTCTCCGAGACCGACCATCGAGTCCATACAGAATCAATGCGATGTATTACGAAGAATAAGGCAAGCTCTCATTGACTCTGCCAATCCAACACAAGCAAAAGACGCGTTTAGATATGCCTCAGGCTTCAACGGTCTGTTGGATGCAGTTCGTTCGGTATCTGGGTATTACGATCCCGGTACGCTGAGCGCTGAAGAGAATGCAGCCTTCTTCGAGCTCCTAGGGGCTATCTTGGATGTTCTTTCTGAAGCTTCGAATGAGCATTCTGGCAACCGCAGATACTTTGCCAAGAAAGTTGACGGCGGAGGATGGAAGGCTCTTGAACAAGCTCTGGCCAGTACTGGCATTGGGGCCGGTCACTTCAACGACGCCTTAGACCACTCGGGACAGGAACAGCTATTCGGAAGTCTAATCGCTTTTGCACTTGGAGAGGATTCGATAAGACCGGTGTTCCGTGGCATAAGCACTGTCATGAATATAGCCAGCGAGACCATAGAGTCTGTCGTAGCCCCAGACCATATAACACCAAGAGCCGGCGCAGATGAGATATCGAGTGTGGCAGAATCGGAAGGCGCTTGGATAAGACATCTTGAAAATCGTATACGGCGCATTCTTAGTGGGAAAGAAATACTACTGAACCCCGACATGATTCCCATCGTCTTCAACTTGTGGAAGGCTATGTCTAACGAAAATTCAGCTACAGATTCAAGGAATCCTTTCGCCATATCTGTACTGCTAGCCATAAGAGATATCATTTCGATGTCGGTTCATAATAAGAACGCTGTCCATGGCACGGGCCTTCTTAGCACTATGCTCCCGATGGTCTTCACGGAATCGAGACATGTTACTGAGCATGCTATTCTCAAAAGTATCAGTGAACTTCTGATTAGGTACGGGGTCAATGACTTGAAAGATGCGTATTTTCTCTATCAGAAAGCTGGTGAATCAGACGAAGCAGGAGACTTTCTTCTGGAAGCTATGCGTGCATCCCGAGAGCCTCCATTCATGCAATTCGACCTATCCTTGCAAGGTTATAGCTCTCTTGAGCTGAAAGATCTAGGACGTCCTTTTCCCCCAACTTCGAGTGCCGGGTACACTATCGCAGCATGGATCCGAATCGATAGGTTTGACGAATCGTGCCACACCACAATCTTTGGCGCGTGCGACTCGACCCAGCAATGCTTCGTCTTAGCCTATCTGGAGAAGGGGACCAAACATTTCATCCTACAGACATCTGTCTCCACACCAAAGCCGAGTGTACGCTTCCGATTTAACGCCTTCCATGAGGGCAGGTGGTACCACGTTGCTATCGTACATCGCAGACCAAAAGCCATGTCCTCGAGCAAAGCTGCACTGTTCATAAACGGGGAATTTACAGAACAGATCAAATGCGCGTATCCGATAAGTCCACCTGCGATGAGTACAAGTACAGAAAGTTTTGCCTCCATATCGTCCAACAGCCAGAAGCTATCTCCAGTTCAAGCGTTTCTAGGGACGCCCCAAGATCTGGCGGCTAGACTGGGAAGGAATGTTGTCATTTCGCGCCTAGACGTGGCCACATTTCATATCTTCTCTGAGGCTTTATCTGACGAAATAGTACATGTTTATCAGAAAATGGGACCACGTTACTCTGGAAACTACCAGGACACACTTGGGTCTTTCCAAACTTATCGCACCTCCGCGGAGCTAAATGTCTACAACGAAATGCTACATCCAGGGAAGGAGGAGAAATCTGAGATAGTACAGGCCGTCCGTGGGAAAGCAAGTACCGTGTTACCAGAATCGCAGATACTTTTCAGTATCTCGCCAACTTCTGTGATGGACGACGACGACCGCAACAACATTGATGAATCGCAGCTTATACGATCACTTTCCAAGGATGCCGCGAAAAGCCTCTTCCAGTACGCCAGAATTGGAGGTAACTCCATTATAATCAATGCTGCGGTGCCGTCGATCAATGACGCGCTTACACAGCCCCGTGGTGTCGCTCTTCTGCTTGGAGATCCTATAGTGATAGTGCCCCAAGCCCTAGATGATGCTTCATGGCGCATAGGTGGATGTACGGCCGTGGGTCTAAAGCTTGTAGAGCTAGCTCAGAGCAAGGACGCTATCCTTCGAGCTGTAAACATTCTACTTGAGTCAGTAGAATTCAGTTGGAGAAACAGCGAGATTATGGAAAAAGAGAGCGGATTCGCTGGGCTTGGGTCCCTTCTTCGAGAAAAACTTGGGCTTGGAAACATCACCTCGACCAATACCCGAAGCTCGACACCATTGGACGGTCGTGATCGTGACGAACTGAGCTATGAACTGCTGAAAGTAATTCTCCGATTCGTTGGTTATGTTAAAACAAGGCCAGTCGAATCACTTATAATAAATCCTCTCGCCTACCGCATTCTACTTGTTGATGCAGATCTCTGGAGACGCTCAGCTATCGAAACGCAGAAACTTTATTACCAACAGTTTGTGCATTTTGCAGAAGACAGCAAGAATAAGACCTTCAATCAGCGGCGTTTGACGCGAACAAGTAGGTGCTAATCTGAACCTTCGACTGATTCGGCCTAACAATTCCAGGAATAGTGAAACGACTGCTCGACGCGCTGAAAGCAGAATCTTTGTGCCTGGAAGTTCTCCCAGAGTTCAAGGCCGCTTTCGTGGCTCTGCTGAAATGTTGCTTAATACCGGAAAACCTTCGCAGTGTCGCATTGTTTATCACATACTCACTTCAAGACAGCAGGACGCTAGTAAGTCGGTCACTCTCCAAGCAGAGGAGCGTGGCGGTACCCTCAAACAGAACTACAACCTCAAATGCCTCTCCTTCGGGAGGCACACCTCGTTCTGGCAGTCCACTACAGAATGGCAGCCCCGCGTTGTCCAGGTTTGAGATAGGAGTAAAAGTTCTTGAGATATTCACGGACCTTCTCTGTGATCCCGTGAGTACATACAGCATCACACGGTTCGCCAGAACAATTACCAACAAGGTACACCGATCCGTCCGGACCTATCTGCAGTCCGCGCGCTAATATAGACCCACAGTGGCTGCTTTATCTGCTCGCCGAAAATGAATCTCGTGTCATTGTTTTCGGGTACAAGATCTTGGCTCGATTACTTGTGACAAACGGTCCTACCTATGTTAAGAAGTTTTCGGAGAAGACAGGTGGGGTCTGGATTTTAAGACAACGCTTGAGGATCTGGTGGAATATACCATCTGTGTGGGTCATATCACTTGCCATCCTCTTTGGCTTAGACATCTCTAAGGTCGATCTGGAACGCAAATTTGATCTGTTTAACCTATCCGAACTCTTTTCGCCTGCCGAGAAAGTACAAATAGTTTATCCCGAATTCATACCTGTCGTTGGGGCTCTACTCGAGACAGGATTACGCACAGTGGTCAAGGATCCCAACCATGGCGGCCAAAACCCAACGGGAAGTGTCTCGGAGAGCCTCGCGATCGAAAGCGAATCTTCAAATACCAGGAAAAGGTCTATGTCGCTCTTGCAAGAGATCGCGGCACATGGTGAGTCATTTCTCCTTCGATATGGTTGTCAGGTGCTAAGAGATGTAAGGCCGATCTCGATCTCTGTCAACGGGACGCATGACCGGATATGCTTCTATACTGCATACTGTCATTCAATATTTAACAGAACTGAACTCTAAGTCCCCCTCGTACCAAGAATTTGCCATCACGTCAAACTATGTTCAAGAGCTCCTCTTTGTCCTTTATCCTTTGGTCGTGACCTCCGACACCGTAAGTGCAGAAACTGAGCTGCATTCTCGAGGATCAGCCCTTACCTTCGAAGGGCACGACGTCGTCATTCAACCACACTCAAAGTTAACTAAGGAGCAACATGCCGTCGTTAGGACGGCCGTAGTACAATCCCCTCCGAGCCCAGCCGCTCGCACAGCCGTGCCACTAAGGAGAGGTTCGTCCTTCATACTGGTCTCTTCTGACAATCTCAAAGGTCGTACAAGCTCACCACGCCTGCGGCCGCTTATGTCACCAGAAAAAAGCAACACAAAAGCTCTACAAGTCGGTAGCGCAGTTGTGGAAGGCCTTCTCGAGCTTATTCTTGGGGTTTTTAGTGTCCAGCTTTTCCGTCGAAAAGATTTCGTAGGTTTTGGCCTATTCTTGAAGGTTCCCCCCGGCTTTCAAGAGCACCAAGCTTATTTCGAGTCTTACGTCCTATTACATGCAATGTCAAGCATTTCAAACTCTTTACAGCTTGATCAGAAGTTGTTTTGCGAGCCAAGGGTTCTCATCAATTTGTCCAAGTACTGTTCATATATGGCTGAAGCAGTGTTCGAAGGTTGGTTCCTCAGCGGTGCTGAGCCGCTCTTAGATTTCATTGGCAATCTTCTAGACTTTCTTCAACGTCCCGATATCGCCGCCCTAAAAAGCGTTAGGTTGTGCAACCAAGCAATCGCAAACATAAGGGCGGTATTTTTAAGAGTCGTACTTTTGAAGCTATCGGACGTGGACGAGTCCGAGATGGAGACAGAGACGTCCTCCTTTCTGGAGAAGATGATTTACTGGCAGACGATCATCTTGTCGCCTGACAATTCCGAAGTCTACTTCCTACGACTGATGTGCTATTTGCTCTTCACAAAGCTGATATCGCAGAAACAGGCGGTACGCGAAGCTGCCGCGAATTTTTGGCGACTCTTACTTGTGCAAAAGCCAGAGGAAACTTCTGCAGTATTCATCAATGCCCCTGTCATAAATGAGAAACACCTCTCCGACGGATTTGCACAGCTAACCCAACTCGATAACGATACATTCCTAGAGTGGCTAGACAAGCATCGTGCTGACCTAAATGAGTTCTTCTTTGGCACGATAGCCAAAGCTTGGGAGGACTTTGTCGATGAAGAGAATAGAAAGACGGAGGAATCGGCCAAGAGCCGAGTGAATAAACGAAGGGAACGACTCAGGCAATGGCACACTGAGCAGACGAAGTCTGATGAGGTGTGGCATCGACACGAGATCTCAACTACTCACTGGCGAGCGAACATTCATTCGTCGGAACGTCTGAAGCATCAACGAACAGTACAGGACAATCAGGACAACCTCGGCTTTATCGCCTCTAGACTTGAGAAACTCGCACAAACACTGCAGGCCCCGTGCGGTTTATTTGGTACGAAGCCGCAGTCCAAATGGCAGCTTGATGAGACAGAGGGTCGCAACCGTATGAGAATGCGAATCTTGCCAGATACAGGCCAAGTACAAGAGGAATATCAACCCAAACGAAAGACATCTGAGGCTACGCCAAATAGAAACTTGAAAGTAGATGTGACGATTCCACGAGTGTCAACATCACCCTCAGCCATTGATACAACTCCGTCCGGCACAAAGTCACAAATGAAAGATGTAGACCAAAACTCGAAGGATAGTAGTACACCGGCTGAGAATGCTACCGAAGAGGATGACGACTTCGAAATGGTTGATGACATTAACGAAGGAGAGAACGGATTCGAAGACAAGAACCGCAAGGTGATGCGTAGTCTTCAAATGGGTGACCAAGTCCAGCATGTGAGCAACGTTTCTCGAATCGTCGGATTAGAAGCTTGCGAAGGACTTCTTATCATCGGAAATGATTGGCTGTATCTCCTGGATAATTTTTTCCAGCGATCTGACGGAGAAATTGTTCGTGTATGGCAGGCTCCGAAAGAGGAACGCGACAACTATGTGCAGATGATTTCCGGGCGAGAGGCATCATCTTCGTCCCAAGGATCTCAGTATAACAGTGGTGAGCATGCGACTCGAAATTGGCGCTGGTCCGAACTTATCAGTATCTCAAAACGGCGCTTTCTCTTTCGTGATGTCGGACTCGAGATATTTTTTGGCGATGGAAGAAGCTACCTACTCACAGGAGTTTCTACCTCCGTGAGAAATGATCTTTACAACAAGCTGAGTGCCCGAGCACCTCATATACACAATCCCAGCTCTATTGCGCAACTAGAGGGCTCCTGGCGTTTAGATGCACTACGGAATCCAGAAGAAGCTCCGCAGACTTTCGGCTCAAAGTTCGCAAACGTCTTCAACCCCTCTGCCATGTTCCCAGCTACAAAAAGATGGTTGAAAGGAGAAATCTCCAATTTCCACTACCTCATGCTTGTTAACACTCTAGCTGGCAGGACTTTCAATGACTTGACGCAATACCCAGTATTTCCATGGGTACTAGCAGACTACACGAGCGAAGAATTGGATTTGACGAACCCACGTTCGTTCCGCGACCTCTCAAAGCCCATGGGTTGTCAGAGTGCTTCAAGAGAAGCCGAATTCAGGGACAGGTATCAATCTTTCGCTGAAATGGGAGATCACAATGCCCCTCCTTTTCACTACGGAACGCACTACTCCTCCGCCATGATTGTCACATCATACCTCATTCGATTGCAGCCCTTTGTTCAGTCTTACTTACTCTTACAAGGCGGCAGCTTTGATCACGCCGATAGAATGTTCTATTCGATCGAAAAAGCCTGGCTGTCTGCATCCAAAGACAACATGACAGATGTAAGAGAACTGACACCCGAGTTCTTCTATCTGCCTGAATTTCTCACGAACATCAACTGCTACAATTTTGGCACCAGGCAAGGCACAGGCGCAAAAATCGACAATGTGGTACTACCCCCATGGGCAAAAGGAGACCCGCACATATTCATTACCAAGCACCGAGAAGCTCTTGAAAGTCCTTTCGTGAGCAAAAATTTGCACCATTGGATTGACCTTGTCTTCGGATTCAAGCAACGAGGCGAAGCCGCAATCGAAGCTACTAATGTCTTTCACCATCTCTCTTATCAAGGTGCAAAGGATCTGGACAACATTGAGGATCCGCTAGAACGTTTAGCTACGATAGGCATCATTCACAACTTCGGCCAAACACCACATCAGATCTTCTCGCGGTCTCATGTCCCCCGTGACGACATCTCGCCAAAGTTCAAGCGTCTAGACAATGCAGCCGAGTCTCTGACCAGACTTCCTTTCCCTTTGCTCGAATCCCATGAACGTGTCGCATCCCTCTTATTCTCACAGAAGCAAGACCGCCTCCTCTGCTCAGCTGCGTTCCGGATCAACATTCCTCCCCTGTATGAACGATACATGGAGTGGGGCTTCACCGACGACAGTGTGCGATTTTACGCCACAGACAATCGCAAGCTCCTTGGGCTCTTTGAGCATCTCCACCAAGGCCAGATCTCCTCTGCCATCTTTCTTGACAGTCGTATTATGATTACAGCCGGCGCCGACTGCACCTTATCGGCCTGGACCATGACCATGTTTGCCAAAGCCGTAGATTTGCAGCCTAAAGTCACCTTCTTCGGCCACAAAGCTCCCGTCATCACACTCGCAACGAGCCGTGCCCTGTCCACTTTCCTATCCGCAGACACAGCGGGTCACGTATATCTCTGGGATCTCAATCGCAGCGAGTTCATCCGTGAAATTGGCGACCCACGCGCAAATGAACGCGATGGGCCAGTGCAGGCTGCGCGAATCAGTAGTATCACAGGGCATATCATCTTGTGTCGCGGTCCATTGCTACAGCTTTACACGCTGAATGGCCATCTGCTACTCAGTGAGAATGTATGTGAGACAGATGACCCGGAAGATATCATCACGAGCTGCGCTGTGTACGAGGGCGTTGGCAATGAGTGGGTGAGCCGCGAGCTCATCTTCACAGGGCACAAGAGAGGGCTCGTAAATGTATGTCCCCGGTCGAGATCTCGTCCCTTTCCTTCTTGACATGAAACCTTCGTACTTATCAAGCCTCACATCACAGATTTTCACCCCCACCCCAACGCCGTTTGACCACCCCGGCACCAAGCTATGGTCCCTCACCCCTATCAAACGGCTCAACCACACAGACTCGTCCCGTGAGGACAGAACAAACTTCCATGCCGCAATCAGTTGCATCCTGCCTATGGCGCAGGTGGTGTATACAGGCGACGAAGACGGACGAGTAGTAAGTTATCCAATTTCAATGTACTCTGGGGGCGATGATGATGGTGATGATGCGGGGTGTTTCCGGCGTGGCAAAGTGTCGGCGCATGGTAGTAGCGAGGAAGGAGTGAGCAGGGAAAGGAAGGAAAGATGGGGATGGTGGGGTGTAGGAAAGCGGGTCATTACCGTTTGATGCGCGCGGTGGAAACGATACTGTATAGCGCTTGGTGTGATTGTTTTGTTTTGTTGCTTTCTCCTAAACTCCATTTTCTCTACCGTCTTCCTTGTATTGCATGACATATGTACTGACTTCACATCTTTACCAGTTCGAGTGGGACTGCGTTCAGCGCTACGCAGACTGACTCGGTCGTTCCTGCTCTCTCTCTCTCCCACCTAATACCTCGACTCCGAAATTCTACGACTGCGGGAAAGATGATCACTACCTAGGTAGGCATGAGGATGGACGGATCTGGGAAGACACGATTGGGTAGTGAGTGAGCATTGTGATATACATATGCTAGGATGATGTCAAACCGGGTTTGGTAAGATTGCCTTAGGTTGGTCATGGCGTTTTATAGAACAAATGCAAAGGTGCATATACGGAACTCACTCTTATCTGCCTGTTTTTATCACGGACCTCCGGAACTGTGCATACATGCATCGCGTGCAGGTCCGCCGTGCGTGCACGTATATGTCGGTACTTGCTTGCATGAGGCCACTAATCTTATTTTCCTCGACTCTCACATTCTCGCCTCACTAGAAGCACTGCACAAACGACGCGCGATTGAGAGATCTTATTTTATATTCCCCAAACTTAGCATTGCTTTTGCCCATTCCTATCTTCATTCTCAAACCCACCATAACCAAGGAAGCAAAGTATGTTGGTGTACACAAAATATCGAACACCACATCATAACCTTATGCGAGATCAAAACTCGACGAGAAACAAGAGAAAAAATTCCCGTACCCAGAAAACAAGTCTTCTACAAAAGAGACCAGAGATTTCTGCTAGTATTGGGTCCGAGAGACCTAGTGTAGAGGTTTGTAGAGATACAGAGTTGCTGGAGAGCAAGAAGGCGATGAGTTGAGTGGCGAAGGAAAGGGCGGTGCAGCGACAGGTGTGGGTTGTAGGTTGAAAAAAACAAAGTGTATTCCGTAACGCCGCGCAAGATCGAGTATGGTGAAAGGGCTGCAGATGCGGATAGACGATGATCGTGTTGTTGGAGCAGCGGGGTTTTGTTACGCGCCATCTCTATACTCTTCGTCGTAGGACGCGTGCTTCCTATTGTGGTGATGTGACTCATAAAGTGGGTATATGAGAGTCAAGTAGGTTCGAATCTGCTAGTACTTCATGATATGCAATAGCCGGCACATGTTGATGACTATGTTGGGAGCCAATGGCTGAGCCATGCGAATAACCATGAGATATAGACCATGATGGATGTCGAATCCCCAGGCGCTATCCCAGGACGGAAATCCCAGTCCATAAAGAACCTCGCACGTGAGTCGCTCATATGTTGTTGACGTGCAGCCTGAATTTGAAAATCGAAACCAAAACGCGGCCCAGAAGAACATGAAGGAAGGAGTCATTAAGCGTCATTACACGTCCCACGATGTCCGCTGGAACATCGAGGGAAGGGCGATTATAAGAGGATCAAGTAATTGCTGGGAGCGATACCAGTCTCGCCATTTGGCTTCTTAGCTTGCCACCATCTGCCACTGACGTCTGAGACCTCCAGAATGTCATGTTTTTGGAAGCTTATTTCGTTCACATCGTCGGGGTTGGCTTCATAACTGTATATAGCCTTCGCACGATACGGGTACTCAACGTTGCCACCGGCCTCGTTATTGTCATTGGTACCGTCTGTCGGAGACATGTTCTGCATTGGGTTGGTGGTCGTTGGTCCGAAACGGGCTTGCGAGCTGCGATCTTGGCCAGGAGCGCCACCTGGGAAGCCGGAAACAGGAGAGGAGGTCTCGAAACCGTTGAGCTGGGCTGAGGTATACATTTGCGGAGGAGGATTTGTGATCGAAGTGTCTGGTCTGGTGCCGAAAGCTTGCGAAGCCGAGCGTGAGGCCCGGGATTGTCCAGCCTTGTGAAGGGAGAAGGAATCAACGTAAGCTTTGTGGGCAGCACCAGGTTGAGACCCATAATATAGCATCCAAACGATCTGATGGATCGTCAGCACTTGTTAGTGACTGTAAAATTGATTAAACATACGTTGACCATTGAAAGCAAAATGAAGCCGGCTGCTGCTGCTTCGATAGCCCCATTTGGGTTATAGACTAAAGAATTGACTGAAGCCGTCGTCATCACCAATGCAGCTCCGAGAGATCCAACAATCTGTTCAAATTAGCGAAGCTGCGTACGGCGTAACAAGTAACCTTCTGTCCAGTGTACTCACAGCAACGTGATAGGTGAAGGCAGTGTCAGTGGCTTCAACAAAGAACACGCCCGAAATGCAGAAGAATTGATAGACTACTGCCCACCACTGGTAGTTTGGATAATCTGCTTGAATGGCACCGATGATTGAAGATACCAATGCGATCAGCCAGGCAAGCTATGTATGAATCAGTATCAAGTTGCAATAACATGTGGCCTAAAGTGTCGCTCACCATCGCGATTGACACGGTAGCCAGTGAGAATGGATCCCCAATAATGCGGCCAATACTGAATGATCTCCTGCCACTTGGGCTTCCGTAACCAGCCTCCATCTTGCGAAGAGAATTATGTGAACCAACAGAGCCGTAAGACGGCATGAGTCGCGATCGTACGCTGTATAATCTGGACTGGAATGTATCGCTGGTTGCTTTTGCTCTGAGTTACAGTAGACGAAACCTGACTGTTGGCGTGACAAGTGCTGATCCGAGAGAGGAGTCTGTAAGCGTGATGAAGGAAGTAGTGAAGTCGAGCAAGGTGGAATGGAGTTGAGAAGAGCGGTCTCAGCGCCCGGCCAGAGGTGGGAAGGGTCAGCTCCAAGGAGATATGAATCGGTGGGCGCGTGTCTGATGGTCAAATGTCGGGAGGACGGTTTCTCGATTGAGTTGCTGAGAGATGTTCGACGGCGAGTTGGTTGGAGACCACAGTAGGACAAAATCGCAGAATCGCTCAGCGGCAGACAACAGAGTGGATGTAAGAGTCTGGAGTGATAGTCGCTGGTTGCAGGTGGAGTGGAGAGGGATGGGCGGCAGCAGAAGATGGACGCAAGTGGGTCAAACAGGTTGCAGGCAGGTTGCGAAAGGTGATTGGCTGGTGATTTGGGAGAATGGCCCGCTAAGCTTGGACTCCCAGGGGCTGCCGCTGCGGCTTAGTCCTTCGTTCTATTGCGGGCTGGCGTGCATTTTACATACATCTATCTCTACACTAATATTATCAATCACCATTTGGCATCCCTTCGCTCTCTTAATCATAGCGATGAATGGCACAGCAAAAATCCCTCCATGTTTCTATTGAGACACCTCACAATGCTACTGGTCATCCTCCATACCTCTTTCGGTGCGTTCTGGCTAAGCTGGGTCATGCAAAGTCTGCATTGCCACGTAAACGTCTCGAATTGCTCTGGACTGCTGTGTATGATGCTCATTTTGTACTGATACTCCTCCGGGATCAGTTTGAGATGGATGGCTGTTCGTGTGGCCCAGGCGGAGCTTCATCTGTTGGTTCGCCATTGATGAGAATGCAAATGGAGCCTTTCACCGTGCTTTGTCTGCTGAACCTTGGAATGCCTCTCGTTCCTGGGCCGCACAAAACGGGCAGGGGGGCCGGAACAGGCTAGCAACATCAACGTTTTTAAGGCGACATATATAAATAAGACCTGTCTTAAAGTCTCTAAAGTCTAAGATTGTTTCACCGCGGGTTCACGGCGAACGTCTGAGCAATACTGACTGATAAAAGGGCCCACCTGCGCCGAACATCGCAGTTGCTGATCTGTACATTCATGCGCTCGCGCTTGTCCATGCACGTGGCTCCCGGCCGATCCGCATGCCGTTGCGGCATGTGAGAGGCTCCCTCCTCAAACACCTTTGAAACCGTAGCATAGTTTTTCTGATCATAGCGAATGTTGCTCGCCTCAGGACCTGCCATTTCTACAATTGAATGACATCACTCTGCTCATAATTACCCTGACGCCTCTCCATTCGTGCGATTCTCCACACTAGAGCTCTATGGGTCTCGTTCACTAAAGACACAAAATGCGCTAGCAACTCTTCAAACCAAGAGCTGTTTACGTAGAACCTAGTGTAACGTTCAAAGCGACGTCAGTGAGGTCGCAATTTTTGTTTTGTTGACATACTGGTCCAACTTCGCGAAGACAACAAACTTGATACTGAGGCAAGGCGTCTTCGAAGGCCGCATAGATGCAAATGCCGTACTGGTACAACATAGGGCGATTGAGTGCCTCATCGGCTGAAAGCCTTGTACGTACTTCGGTCTTAAGATGCAATGTGCAGAGCGTCCAAGGGGCACTCCGACTAGGGTATACCGACTAGTCATTCTGCAGTTGTCTTGGTGTAATTGATCCAAATCGATGCATGCTCAAGCTGATTTCCTGATCTCTTTACGGCGCACAGATCGCTCGGCTTGTCGCAGTCGCTTGTCATATTCGACCCAACATCGTCCTTGGCTAAGTACAAGTGTTTCGTTCCAGCGGTACACCAGAATGCCACTTCTTTTTTGTAGCTCAGATATCTCCCTGGCTTGTTCCAATTGGCGTTGTTCGATTTGTGCAATGCGTGGTTCAAGCGACACCAACGATGCGAAAGACTTCAGCGGCGGGAGAGGCACGTCAGAAAGCGATGTCAGCTGGGACGCTGTAGCATGAAACTTAGGAGCTTCTAGTTCCACCAGGGCGAGCTTTTGCTGAATGTCCAACTCAGGTGCAAGATCTTTCTCTTTGGCATCTTGAAACAACTCTGGGTATCGTGAGTCTGTCAGCACCTTGTTAGCATGGAAACCAGAGCTCGCAGCTAGAGTATGTAGGCTACTCACAAAGCTTCAAGATCTCATAAACTGGGCCTGACTGCTCCGTGAGCCGGCGAAGAGCGTGCTCGAGCTTCTGCACTCTCTTGAGGATTGGGACATCTTTCTGCCACCCTGTTGGCAAGCTCAGGTCTCCATCAAGAACAAATTGGACCCTCCGCATACGCCACTCAAGTAGGTCCAATGTATCGAGGATGACATCCTCCTCTCCCGTAGTCATCATGATTAACTGAAGATGACAGAAATGTGTGTGAATGCGAGTGTTGCGTAGAGTGGACCAGTGGAACAGTAATTAGGCTAGGTACTAAACGATGACAGACCGCCTTGGCGCGTACAAAGGGCCCCCCAAAAGGGAGAGAAGACTCGATATGGACGGGACAGAACTTGGAGAGCAACATGCTATCGGTCGAACGTCCATGATGCGTTACCCGGAACGCTGCTAAGCCCTTAAAGATACCTTCGTGTATAGTAACTTGCTCGGTGTGTTTATAATTTACAGCTCTTTCTGCACCATTGACGTGGCCTACGATGATCAAAGGCGCGGAACCACTACAAGTATCAATAATGAAGATGCCCCATTAATCTTTACGACTGACTGGCTCCTGGTTATTGTTAACAAGAAATTCTAGTCTTAGATACATACCTACACAATGTATTTAATAATAGGTAAACTACCTCGCGGAGTGGCTTGGCGACGTGAGCACGCTGATTCGTCCTGCGCCTGAGGCATCCTTATGACCTTTCATCGCTATCACTCTTCAAGACCCCAACTTTCGTCATTGCGCAACACCCACCTTACCCTGCCGACATCCTTACCACAGCGATACCTCTTCGATTGTTCCACTCGTTTAGCGATCAATTCCCGTGTATTAATTCGTGATCCTGTCCGCCGAGCACCCTTATGATTCTGCTACCAAAACACGTCGGGGAAGCATGACGAATTACTCAACAGTGCCAGAACAAGCAGATGAACATGAGAGCAGGCCAGCCAGCGCGGCATCTTCGAGAGGAAGACGGTCAGTTTGACGATGGCGTACCTTTACGCCCACACAAGAGGTTGCTCACACCTGGGTCTAGGTCCAGAAGAGGAGGGAAGAAGGACGCAGGTCCCATCGGGCAGGCAACATGGATCAGCAGTGTAATAAACCTGCTCAATACCAGTATGGAAGAATAACATCAAGTTGCAAAAGCAGATGCTAACAAAAGAATGTAGTCTTAGGAGCTGGTCTACTTGCTATGCCACATGCGCTCGCACAAATGGGCATCTTTCTTGGGATATTCGTGGTCGCGTGGGCAGGTCTCACGGCCGGATTTGGCCTATATCTGCAATCAAGATGCGCAAGATATGTAGAGCGTGGCGCGTCGTCTTTTGCTGCGCTCGCCAAACTAACATACCCGAATGCGGCCGTCGTTTTCGACGGCGCCATCGCACTCAAGTGCTTTGGAGTCGGGGTCAGCTACCTTATCATTATCGGTGATCTCATGCCTGGCGTGGTTAAAGGATTCAGCGAGAAAGCTGCAGAGACTGCATTCTTAGTGGACCGACAATTCTGGATTACTGCATTCATGTAAGCAACTGCGCTTTGCTGTAGCTACAGAGCCCTAATGAGCTTTCTCTAGGTTAATCGTCATTCCACTAGCATTCTTACGCCGACTAGACTCCCTAAAGTATACAAGCATCATTGCCCTGATCTCCATCGCTTATCTCGTCCTACTTATTCTAGTGCATTTTATCAAAGGCGACACTCTGGAAGACCGGGGTGAAGTCCGCGTCTTCAGATGGGCAGGCCCAGTGTCTGCGTTGGCCGCGTTCCCAGTCATTGTTTTTGCTTATACTTGTCATCAAAATGTAAGGATCATGATGAGAATTCTTTCACTCTTTCTAATCTTCTCTAGATGTTCTCGATCTTGAACGAGATTTTCGATAATTCTCAATCCAGGACTACAGCAGTAGTAGTGGCAAGCATTGGATCTGCCTGTATGCTATACATCCTCTGTGGTATCACAGGGTACCTATCATACGGTGACAACGTCAGCGGTAACATTGTGCAGATGTGTAAGTCGGGAAACCCCATTAGTCCTGGACAAACTGCTCACACGTAGAAGATCCACATTCTCCAGCCTCTACTTTCGGCCGGGCCGCCATCGTTGTCCTCGTCATGTTCTCCTATCCACTTCAAGTACATCCATGTCGCGCTTCCGTTGATGCAGTCATCAACTGGCGCCCACAGCGTAACCGCGGCTCTAGCGCTGATCCATCTCCCTCTCGCACCGGCCTCCTTACCCCTAATTCGACGTCCCCTTCACCCCCTCAGAGGACGGCCCTTTTTCAACCCAAGCGCGAAATGTCCGACATCCGGTTCGCAATAATCACGACCATCATCATTGTATTATCATACGTCGTAGCGATGACGGTCACCTCGCTTGAGAAAGTGCTCGCATACGTCGGGAGCACGGGCAGCACAACCATCAGCTTCATCCTGCCGGGACTTTTCTACTATAAAATCTCAGACCCAGAGTCGCCACATCATCAGAAGCTGATGAAGGAAGACGACGACGAGGCGGGCTACGACGCGGAAGACTTAGAGAGCAGCGGGTTTCTGCAGGCTATAACAGATGTGAAGATGCGACGGCATTGGAGAAGAACGTTGCTGCGGAAGGCCAGTCTAGGGCTAGCTATTTATGGGTTCTTTGTTATGGTAGTATGTCTGGGAACGAATACCTTCCTGGTCGCTGCGCATTGATTGGGGTATTGCTCATCAATCTTAAATAAATACATTGTCAACGCCTTAATTATCATGTGCTCTTCCCGTCCCAGCTCTAATATTAGAAATCAACTCCCCTTCTTGCATTCTGACATTCATCATCATCATCATCATCTCAGTAGGCCATACTCATAGCTTCCCCTCTCCGTCCACTGGTACCTCAGCAACTTGTGCCACGCCCTCATACGGCGGCACAACCAATCCATACCTTTCCGCGACCTCCGCTCCCAGAAAACGCCCTCCTACAAAGTGTCTTCCCCTAAACTTCTCTACCAGCGGCTTCGGCGCCGTCAGACTAATCAGCGCCCCGGGGTGATAATCCTTTCCCGGTCCCTCGCTAGGCGGGCCATGCTCAATATCCCAGCTTGAGGGTGCATCGACGGCAAGAACAGGAACGGTGGTCGAAGCGAGGGCAGCAATGACTGACGGGAACGGCTCGCGGATGGAGCCACTGAAGGAAAAACCGAAGATGCAGTCGAGGATGAGGTCGTAGGTTGACGTTGTTAGCGGGTTAGGGAGGGAGGTGACGAAGGGAACTTTGAGTGCGTGGAGTTGCGTTGTCAGACGCTGAAGGAGATCTCAGCATCGATCGAAGCAAGAAGTTTGGACCAGGTATGATCAAAAGCAATACAGTGAGAGTGATGAGCTATGGAAGGGGTTTTCGGAAAGAGCAAGTTCGAGAGAAAACAAAAGTTTCTACGACGGTGGAAATAGTTCAGACCGGCGCTGAGAAGAGTGGAAGTCGAGACAAGGCCGGTGTTGGTTAATGTTGAAAAGTGCAAATAGACTAGACATCACGCCTCTCTAGCTTGGACATTTGACAGTCTTCATGGTAATAGGACTGATGTGGGAGGATCACAAGCCATTGGAAGGGGTCGAAACTTAGACTGACATACCTGGTATAGCTCGTTTTTATTTTGTTTCGGGTAGTAAATAGCTGGTTGGTAGCCGTAGTGGTGGAGATGTCGTGCTGCTACGAGGCCATCGCCACCTGGATGGAGTCAGGATGTATTCCTTTCCAAACTCGATTGGGTCAGCCATTTACCATTATTTCCTGGACCGCAAGCCACGAGGACTCTTGTACCCTTGTTCAGGGGTAGAAGTTTATAAACTGAGTAGCAATTAGCTCGGCACAAGAGGCATCACGCTTACGCAGTTTGCAATTATTACCAGCTTGGGATACAGATAGTCCCGCTAGCTCCATCAATTGGTCGAGGGAATAAGCTCCAGTGCTCATCAGCTCTTTATCCAAGGCTGCAGCATTAGCTGCGGAGAGAGTCTAGACTTTTGGTCAATCATGGATCTAGACGACGCTACTGTTGAATCGGCTTACTCGAAGCGCCATGACTGGTGGTAATGGTGTTCCCGTTTAAGGCTGACCAATATATTGCGTCTGAGGTTGTTGCCAATCGGGTCTGAGATAGAGCACAGAATGTAAATGTTGTTGCTGTGAACGTGTGAACCCCAAGTATAAACGAGGACAACATTACATCATCCTTAAGGTTCGACACGCCAACCAATCAGATTGCTGCACTCTCAGACAAGCAACAAGGCCTTTGAGTAGGAATCTTAAAATATATTGGCTTAGCCTAATGAACCATTTACCTCTGGTTCTAACACCGCTCTGTAAATATATAATCTTCTAGCATGTTAGCAAAGTCCTGTCAGCTCTGATGGGGAGTAAAGAAGCCTGAGGCCAATATTGCAAAAATAAATTATATATCAAAGCCGCTGCCGTAGAATTCGCGAGTGGCAGACCGGATGTTAAGTCTACTATTTCGGCTCTGTCAACAATGTCAGTAGCGTAGTATCGGATGGCTCTATCTTGCTCCATTGTTCCCGTAGGACTGTGTCTTCATGCTAGGTCACGTTGGTAGCGTAGTAGAGTCGCGCCAAGACCTCCGCTCCGCTTGCCTTCACCACTTCCGACGCGCCGCCGAAACTTTCATCGTGAGACTTCAATACGACCTGAGCTTCACTTCATCCTGACCTAGACCACCAACTCCAATCTGACTTGGCAACCAATAATCTCACCCCGATACCCATCCGCATATACCTCGATCGCATCTATACATTGACATATGGTGCATTGATCCAATCCTCGCGGCGAAACCATCAAGCCTTCCATCCCCCTTCCTCAACTCGTCCACACTACCGCTCACCACAATGGTCCTCCGCATTCGTCTCGCACGCTTCGGCAAGCGACACGCCCCCTTCTACAACATCGTCCTTGCACAGGCCCGGTACCGCTCTCCTCTCACCTCTCACCTCTTCTTCTTCAAACTAACGAAACCAAAAACAGTACCGCCCGCAATTCCCTGCCCATGGAAGTCCTCGGCACCTACGACCCAATCCCCAAGCCCCCGGCCCCCGGCTCCCCGCCCACTGCACGTAAGCACAAAGACATCAAACTGGACATCTCGCGCGCGAAATACTGGATCGGAGTCGGTGCGCAGCCGAGCGACACATGCTGGCGGATACTGGGCATGGCGGGTATCATGCCGCCGAGGCCGAAGGTGCGGCAGCGGGACTCGTTGAGGATACAAGAAGAGGAGGCAGCGAGGGCACAGGCGGAGAAATTGGTGCCGCAGGGAGTCGTTGGGGGCAGGATCGTGAAGCCTGCGGGGTTCAAGCAGAGGAAGGAGGCGTGAGAGAGAGGAGGGACTGGGGGCATCATACGGGCGTTTTGTATATTATGCTACTACTAGATGGTCGGTACATCGCGGATCCTTGTACATATAAGTGTGAATCTTGGTCGAGTGGATAGCGTCTGCTAAAGTGATTCTGCTTATGGACTTTAGGAGGTGATTCACATGCATGCTATATGGCTAAAACTATTAATGATGCCTCATTAGCTCCTGAGGACCGGAAACAGTAATCGCAATCCGATTGTCGTCGTTGAGCGTCCCAGGCATCTCTACAGCCCGCTGATCCTACCACATGCCATCGGTCATTAAGGAGTAATGCTAAAAGTAATTAGTTATTTCGCGCTGTGTCCCTGGAAGGTCGAGTAGGCATCAGAACAAGACATATCTCGGCACAGGCATTAAGTAGCTTTAGGTTGTAGTGCAGGACACGTCATGCATATACGGGAAGGTTTGAGATGAATTCCAATCGATTGACCCCTGATGTTCTGTATCCGGCAGTATGTTGCTCATCCAATAACTGTGTATCCCTTATCAGTCCTCAAAACACCTCGACAAGATGGAGGATAGATATCGTTAAGGAACTCGTAACTTCACGGCAGGGTACCTGGAAAGGCTCACTACCTTGCAAGATTTCGAACTTAAACAGTCCGACACTCGAGCTGGAAAGTCTCATGCCATGCCCTAGCTAAACAACAGTCAATGGTGTGTATAACTTATGGCTCTATTCATGTGTCAGGGACCATTGTGTTCAATGTCCTTCCTGGTTAGCCATCACAGGCGGATCTGCAAGTCTTGGCTTCACTAGAGCGGACCCGGGTATTCTTCATAGGCAGATGTCAAGAGGTCGAGCTGATTAGCCACGGTCACAGATGTTCAAAGTGCGGGAATCCAGGTATTACGTCTTGCATGTTCTGTCCCATACCGAGGGAGTACGCGGACCATCATCTGAATACGCGTAACGTACAAGATGTCAGCATAGCAAACAAACTTTAGGCTCACAAACTCCCGCCGAGGATAGACTATAGTATTATGCTCTTGCAAGCCATAAGCAGATCTACAAGTGGAACCAGGTACAGGGTCTAGCTGTAAGATCCTGACGCGGGGCCACGCCGAAGCTAAAGCATTCGTCGATGTACTCTACACACGCATCGTCCACAAGTGCAGGCGGGCTTATGAGCCAAGAGGCTGGCATGCAGAAGACCTTGTTTAAGTTATACATGATCGCACTTACTCGAGAGAGTTGAAGCTTGGAGCAAATGAGGAACCCCGGCGATTACGTGTTGTACAGGGTAATTGTAACGTGTTTCGCGGGAGAGGTCCGGCGTCTCGATTGACTCTGACGGTGACCGAGAGACATGGCAGCATCTCCTGGTCTGATGGAGGTGGGAAGCTCGACGCTACCTTATCTCGCTGGTCACTCATGCTGTAGCTGATCCATATACGGGCGGCATGCCACAAGCTATCAAAGAATAACGGTCGCTGGTGCCAAGTAAGATTGCATATCCAGTTGATGGCCGTCAAAGTCCATAGCATTAGCGAACAATCTCAGCATAGTCGACGTCGATGGCCAATCTATGATGTTCTATAACCGGACGCAGGATGTTGTCAAGACTGACTGTCATCGTGACAATGCCACATAAACTCAAAGTCGGTAGGTTATGTCCTTGGTATAGTTTGTGTCTTACCCATCGCCGTGGCTATGCAGCTTCGCCTCTCTATTGTTACAATCATCTGAGATGTTATCAAAACTCCGTATAAATTCTGAACATCGCGCTTCAGTGGGCCCTTTGATCATGCGCATGGAGTGCTTTGTTCTTTGCCCCTTAGAAGTCCGGTTCGCTTCACGTAAAATGCTTGAGACAATCATCGTCACATTGGATGATTCCTGCATCTTACTTGGCGTACAAAGACCATAGACAAGCCAGACAGTTAGTCGTATAGACATTTTCGTACAGTCCTTGGCTACCAAGAGATCGTGAGACTTCGGAAGCTATTGCATGCTTGAAAGAATGGCGTAACGAATGGTGTTAATGGCATCCCGGCTTGGCTCGTAGCGGTGATTAGCGCTCCTGCTTCAAACGTGGCGGTGGTAGTGAGTTGGTGAAACCGCTCGAGTGGACGGTTTGTCCCATCTCTCCGACCATCTTGCTTGAATGGGAACTTAATGACTCCTCGTGCCAAGATATCCGATGTCTACATTGTGCTCGAATCAGCGCCTAGTGACAATCTGCAACACATATCAGTTCGAACAAGGAGTATTGGTAGGGTGGTTGGCTGCACAAGCTCGTAAGACAAGACAGCAAGCGGAAGCCAAGGTCTTGGAATAATGTAGTCTGCTCAAACAGCGTGTAAGAACGAGCAAATAGTATACTTTTTCCTGCGGCTTGTCGATCGCAGTGTTTCACGAGGTCGCCTGCTGCTGCTGGCAGGATCTCTCAACAGTGAAGCAGGTCCTTGTGACCACGCTGTTACAAGGCATACCTAGATGGTGGTAGTACCTTGACCTGGGTGGGTGTCTAACGGACTATATGAATAAACACTTGAAGATGAAGCACAATCAGGCCAAGCCGGGAAGTGGTGGCGCTTGTGCCAAGTTCTCTGGAGGAAAGCTTGAGCTTGGCCTGCCAAGACCATACATAGGTACATGTCGTATAGTTTATTCATTATGGATCGATCACCTGCATCTTGGAGAGAATTAAGGGATCAAACAACATCAATCGATCGGGTCCACATCTGCGTACTGTGGTATGCCAGCACAGCTGCCAGCGGAGTAATATAATTGCAAGTACGATTGAAACGACGAGTACGATCGAGTGCGCTGGCAGTGGGTCGATATTTTTTCACTTTGCACCAGGAATTGCAATATCGTAAAGCTGCAGCAGAAAGCGGTATATAATTAATCAGTAGTGTAATTCCGTCCCACACGACATTAGGGCTATAGTCGTTGTCATTTTGCTAAACCAATGAGAAAGCAGCAATCGCATGATTTGGTCGCGTGCTCCTCCTGCACAGTACAGAGTGGGAAACGGCCTATGTAATTAGGTATGAGCATACACATACCTATGCATAATGCGTAAGTTCGCTGTCGGTATAGATCACAAAATATATCAGACGAGCCGCAATCGGAGACTATTCACCTGTATTGTGTGAAGTATGTCGAATTGGAGCTGAACGTTGTTGGTGCCGATCACCCATCGGGCCGCGCCACAACAATTCTCAGAGCTTGAATCCTGAACCTAGTTCAATATGAGGGCTAGCAATACGAGGTCCCACGGACCCGTGTATGGACTTAAATCCAGCCCCAGGTCGTTAAACTTTCATATAAGTCAAATCAAGCCTGTATTGTTCGTGGTACAATACCACAGACTTGCTGCTGCTATGTTGGGAATTGCAGTGGAGGTGATTTTTAGGTGGTGAACGAATCCGGGACCGGATACGACCTTCTGCCATGTACTGCTACGACGACATTATGCATAGGTGTGATTAGCGACTTCGCGCGAGACATTGATGCGGGGCGGACGGGATACATGGATGTGCTGCAGGACAATTAGATTGATGCCGGACGGTTTCGTGGAGAGAGGAAAACCCCACCCCCACACGCGTTGCTCAACGCATTCCGCATTTCACACAGACTTAGATCATTCCAGCAAGCGAGATCGCACCTTGGTCAACAAAACAGACTTGTGGCTTTAGTCACAATGCTGTGAGTGAGTTCCTTCGAGACGGAGGGGCTCTGCACGCTGTCACTTCCAGGCTGCCAATCCGAGCCTCCTGGAACTCGAAATGGACATGCGGTGTGATCTGGAAGGATAGGTCCCTGAAAGAACAAAGAACAAATAACGTCCGATTTAGCGTCGGCCATCAGCCTTTGAGTCCTCCGTTGTATACGAGCTCGGCTTGAAGATTTCTGAGAGGCCATCGGTGTTTGATGCAGCCCGCTAAAATGCAAGGCTAATGCGAGGTAATGCGAATTGGGGCCATGGCATAACCGGAGCTGGTTCAATACATGCAAGTCCGCAGATCCAACAGGCAATCGACAACAGTACTCGCTTCGAGAGTGGGAACGATCCTGCAGCAGATCATCACGATGAGAGAAGCATCAAGGCGAAGGTAAGTCTGGCATACAGTGAGGATTGCGAAAAGTAACAGAACTCCTTCTGAACCGTTTGCGCCAAGAAGTACAAGCAGCGTGGCCAGAGAAAGGAAGCCCCAACGTCTTTGCATGGGCGACCTAGTAAAAAAGATGCGGCATACTCTCTCTGTTATGGCTCGGATTATGTATGCACACAGCAGAGTATAATAAAATAGAAGAACAGAGGTACTTCAAGCGGAACTACTGCCTTCTCCGGCGTACATGACCAACAGGCTCGTAGGCTGATGCATTTCATCTATATGCAAGCGTTACATACCACACCTCGTTCTTAGTCGAAAAAGCAACCGAGTATCTCATTATTGATGTTAATCGTTCTATTCAGGAATCCTGGGAGATAGGCGCGGGATACCACTTCAGTATTAGCTCCGAAACAAAGCAGGCTCGAGCACCTGCAGCCGCCAACGTCATGAGAGAGATATCGCCATTGCCGCCCGGGTCGTTAGCATCAGCGTCCAGAATATGCCCGCAAAGGAAAGCTGCTCGAATTGAGCGCAGCTGTGGCATCATAGTAAAAGACCTGTTCTTCTGTCCTGTGACTTTTGTTTTTGATATCATTGACCTGATCTGAACGTTGACGGAATGCAATCAGACAAGGATTCTTTGTATGACGTTGTCAAAGGAGCCTTTCTAACACATGCCTGAATCAGCGTAGATAGTGTCTGATATTTGTACATGTTTGTCCCGTAAACGGTTACCGGTCTGTTCCTTGATTAGACAAGAATGTGACTCGCGATACAATGTGTCTAAGCGACACGCATCGCGTACACCACATGCCTAACAGGAATCGTGATCCGCATCACTGGTCCGAGAGGAGGGACTATCAGGACTCGATTTGAAATCTAACATCGTCCTGTCCTTCGAGACACCAGAGTTGGGGACAGTCAGCGTCGCAAGCCATCCTACCATGAAGATGCAGCAACGGGCCACGAGATACTAGTTTGGTCTTCTAGAAGGCTTCGGACGGTCCGTGGTTGGATTTGGATGGACGACTACGGGTCTATCACGGCCACGGAACATATTTTATAAGCTCCTGAGACAACGACAGTGCTGGATGATAAATGTGCCGATCAGTCAGGGCACCGGACATTATTCACAGCTGTCTGCGCTTGTTGGCATGTTTTACATTAGCAATGCAGTAATAAACCGTCTAGTGCTGTTCCCGCCTTGCCCTCACTTTTCACTTTACTGCAGAGAGTCCAGACTGGCGACGGGACAAGCCCTATTGATTACTGTAGGTGCCTCTAACAATTAGCTAGCCCTTAACGTTAGCCCTAATAAGGCCCCCTCATCCTCTCACATTCAATCCCATGGCTCATGCCACTCCAGCTCGCTCTCCCAACTGCTGTATCGCCGGCCCAATGCACGCCATCATCGCCCCCTCCCCCCCTCCGCCGGTCGCCGCGGCGCCGCCCATGGATTCTGATGACCCTCTACTCTACTTAGCGCCGCCCACACACGCCAACCTTCACCTGCTGCACGCCTCCTCCCCCGCCCGCCGCTCGCTGCTCGTGTTCGTTCATTAAGCATTCATTGCTCGCGCCCACTTGTCCATCGGCCGAGTCTTATCCCACGGTTTGTAACCTAGATAGTGATTAGAGAGCGCTGAATCGAGTGAAGTTCAGTAGTGTTTCAAGGGAGGAGGCGTCCGCAATCAATCGCAGGTATTAATAACCTTCATCGGCCTGAGCAAAATGGCTGAGATGAGAGAGTGACAGCCGGTCTTATTCCAGTCCCAGTCCCCAGTCCCCAGTTCCCAGTTCCCAGTTCCCAGTAATTACCTAGTCTTTTCAGTCTCAGTGCCAGTGCCAGTGCCCCCCAGCAGGAAGCCTTTGCCCACCTAATACCGCCGCCCACTCCCAGCTTTGCCTCTCTCTTCAGAAGAGCTTCCATGCTCACCCCTTCACACAAGCCTACCACCACACACAAATACCTCTATCCCGCCCCATGGTTTGATGGATGAATCCCCACTCGCCTTTTCGCTCTTGCTGTCTTCATCTGCTGCCCACTTCCATCGCTTTCCGACTCTCCACTCTACACAAGTCTTTTCCTCGACCTTATAACAATAACAACATCCGCAACACCGTCACACCGTCACACATCCTCTTAGCCTTTCACCCTCTACCTCTCCAACCGCCGCCTCCACAGACGCTCCGTACTTTGGATGGCGGATCTGCTGCGCATCGATCCCAGACCTCCTCCCAGATTTCGTGGTTACACGGGCTCTGATATTCACGTCATCAGGCATTCTTCCTCGACCGCTCTCGACTCGGAATATCACTCAACCAGCTCACTGCAAAGAGCATAGCACGAGTACTTCCGACTAACAACCCCGTTGACACACGCTACACCTGTATTTATCCGTCCGTGTCTGCTCGCCAAGCCTGTGTGGACGTTGTGTCGCCGAGGACCGCTACACCGCTTTCGCTGATCACATTCGCGACGCATCCATTCTTACAGGCCAAGACACCAAGACATAGCTATGTCGACTGCACAATTTGAACTGCGCTCCGCCCCTAGCCCGGCACATCTCGCTGATGTGCCCGGCCTGGCTCATCCCACAAATCATACCTCCTCCGGCCCGCCTGCATACAATCGCAACAAGCCTGTACCTATACCTGAAGAAGAGGAGAACAACGATACAAGTAGTGAACCCCTTGAGCCTCTCACTCCTACAGAGTTCCAGTTTGGACATACTTTCAAACCTCAGAGCTCACATCATAACGGTGCAGTACACTCCTCCGCGAATGCCGTTCCATCACCGAAAGCCTTCTACGACTCAGAGCCTCGTCCACGGCCTACTCCGAGATCAACAAATCTGTCCGAAATGTCGCAGACCTCGGTCGAATCTGCACCCGTCGCGAAGAATGGCATTGGCAAAGTGTTTGGCTCTGTTCGCAACAAGCTGATCCGCTCGAGATCGAGCAAGGCCGACCTCAGCCAACTGCCAACAGTCAATACCAACATACCCCGAACAACGGTTACTCCTGCCAGCGCTGTCATTCCACGTAGACTGGGTGCCTGGCCCGCGAAAGAGTCACCGCGCACATCAGCCACTAATTCTCCACCTTCTCCTAGCTCACCCGCCAACAATCATGACCATGATCCGATGGGCGATATCCGGAACCAACTAGACTCTCAGAAGCAAGTCAACAACAAGCCGAGTTCCGATCAGAAATACAAGTCCTCAAACTCTCTTACCCGCCTCCAGTCTGCAACAGACACACGTCCGAATAAGAGTAAGACTTTCGCGTTTGGGAAGAATAAGAGACCAGAAAGACAACGTTCAGCTAGCACAGAGAGCATTCCAAAGCAGAGCCATGACTCCGATGAGCCTCCCGTTCCTCTTTTTGGTACTTTTTCGAAACACGCTGCTGAGGGTACTGGAATGAAGGCACGACGCTTGAGTACAAGCTTGCCGGATGAGTTTAACGTGGACTACTGCGAGCTGGACACTGAGTTCAAGAGAGCGAGCCTACTCCCAGGAAAGCGTGGAAAGCGACTTGGTGTTGGCGCTACTGCAGAAGTCCGGATTATGCAAAAGAAGGGATACTCGGAGGATCTCGTTGCAGTGAAAGAATACAGACTTCGAGATAGAACCGAGAACGAGGACGAATATTTGAAGAAGATCAAGTCCGAGTTCAGTATCGCCAAGGCGTTGAATCATCCAAACATCGTCACCACGGTACGCCTTTGTACCCACGGTAAACCAGCTCGTTGGAATCACGTTATGGAATTCTGTAACCATGGCGAGTTATATGCCTTGGTTGAGCGTGGCTTGTTCAAGACGCATTATTCGCAAGGAGACCGCCTATGTTTCTTCAAGCAGATTTGCAGAGCTGTCGACTATCTCCATAGTCATGGCATTGCCCATCGCGATATCAAATTGGAGAACATACTGATGGACAAGAATGGAGGGTTGAAACTCTCCGATTTTGGAGTGTCGGAAGTTTTCTGCGGTGAGCATCCGGGTCTACGTGCTTCTGGTGGACAGTGTGGAAAGAACATGGGGGAAGTACGGTTGTGTCACCCAGGCCTCTGCGGTAGCCTCCCCTATGTCTCTCCAGAGGTCTTGAGGAAAGATGTCGAATATGACCCTCGACTCCTGGATGTTTGGTCTACTGCTATTGTCTTTGTCACCATGACCTTTGGAGGGTCTCCGTGGCAATCTGCGACAGAAGTAGATCAATATTACGTGCGCTTCGAAGCTGGATGGGAGGCATGGCTCAAAGAACACCCTGATGGCATCATCAGAAATGTCTTGGACTCATCTCCTCTGGTTGGTCCGCTTTTCAGGCGAATCGAACCGCCTACTATGCGCAAGACGATCCTCCAGATGCTACATCCAGATCCCTCGAAACGTATCACAATGAAGGAGGTAGTTTCATCGGGCTTTTTCCTGGGACTCGATTGCTGCACACCGGAGAGCTACGAAAATCCCAACTGGGGTATGAACGCGGCGGAACGGGGCGCCAGTCGAATGGCACAGCTTGCCACAAGGCAGATTGTAAAGAAGCATCATCACATTCCTCCGAAAGAGGTTGGTAAATTTTCTAAAGGCATTACACATAGGTTCGACATGGGTGATGGAACTTGATGGGGATTTTGAAGTCTATACCTCGGCGTTTCACGGCTCGGTTGCTCTACAATACACATTTCCTTCGCACGATCTTACGTTTTCAGCAACATGACCTGTTCGGGTGGAGTTCGAGTACACTAGATTGTATTGGTTTCCCTTTCTTCCGGGGCGGACTTATTATGTTTGGGGAAAAGGCGCATAAAGGGAAACCTGGGTCGGCGGCTTTTGTGCTACCAAAATTTTGTTCAAACGGGTGATGGTTAGATGTCCTCGCAGGAAGATACTCTTGTAACACTGTAACGGTCGATATAATATAATACCCATCACATGTTGCTTCCATATCCACTGGCTCCTGCTTCTGCCCAGATCCACCCCTTTGATTGGACGTGCCATTATTGATGACTATGACGATCTAGGCTACACGCTTCTTGCCAATCGGGTCCGGCACTTCAGACACATTCACCTGCATATATACATCACAACTTTAATTACACCAAGGTACATGGTAGCTCAGGCCAGATAAATCAGGCTTTCTTCACGCTTTGGTCATAAATCACGCTACGGCTTCATTGGGTACGGAGCACCGCGTACAGCGCACACCAGCCCAACAAGGAGAGTCTTGTAGGCGATCCATCCGACGTCCACTGAGTGGGAGACCATGCCGCCGGCGCGTACCGGTGCTGGGTCAATCGGAGACATCGTAGATGAGATTGGAAGACAATATTATCTTCACAGTCAGAGATTCCAAACATCATAATGTTAGCTACGTCTTGATGAGACTCGACACGGGCTTTCACCATTCCGCTTATTTAGGCATTATCTGCAGCCAAGCCTTCCGCCAACAGACGCCGAACGTTCTTGGAGTTCTTGGAACGTCCAGTAATCAATTAGGCTGAGATAATTAGCCTGCGAGTGCTCTTTCAATTCCTTGGAAGGCGTGCACGGCGGGTGATGGTTGGTGGCGACACCATCCAGCTTTCCCCTTGTAAAATATCTCTCAAGTCCCTCCATCAACCTCTCAAAACATAGGATGTACGATTCAACGATCTCTGTATCCCGAACCACGGCAACTGCAATTCGGCTTGCGCGGATGACGCGGCACTAGATCAGTAGATGACCTAATCTTATCAAGATAAGGATCACGCAGGGCTATTACAGCATCAGAACGGTCAGCGTGCCGTTCAGCATGCCGAACCCTTTGTACGTTTTGCGATTCACGACGCAGTCACGCAGGGCAGAATCGACATTTCTAAGCCAATCCGTAGTGCTCTACTAGCTGACAAGCTACAAAGCGGACCTGCCTGATGACACCATAGCTGGACCGCCGTGCAAGCTTGCACGTGCGACGACAAATGTGTGGTCTTATGACTCCTGGTCAACATCAAACGTCATTCGTCATTCGTCTCACAGCTCTGATACCTGGAGAGAACTTTGTATTGCATTTGATTTGGCGAGGAGCTTCGAAAGGATGAATCTGCGGCAGAGTCTTGTTCTTGTCTTACCTGCATTATTGCCGCGCGTCTGGGCATACTTGCATGTAGGCTCTTGTGGGCATCGACTCCCAATTAATCACCGCCGTGCATTCGAAGGCATGATGATGCCTCTTGCTGACGTTATTCTTCTCACCAGGCCAGGTAGCAATAGCCGACACCTTCTTTCGAGAATGAACGACATGCAGAACACAACTTGACCTACTCGATGGCAATGCTACATGTGCAAAAAATGTCAGATTTTGCGGAAGTTCACACATCCGTCTCATTAGGCGGAAAAAACAAATGGCTAACAGATGCCCTAATAATATATATCATCTCTGCCAAGACAGCGCCAAGTGACTCTCCGCCTACATACTCGATCGGGCACGTTCGAAAATTCCCGCTGGACACCGCCGAGGCTCGCAGATTTTCGGTCTTCTTGTCAACTGCAGAAAGTCTCATGAAAAGAGAGTCTAGCAGCCAAGACTTGGGCTTCTGAGATAGCCAAGAAATAATACATTGTCTTTGCAGGGACAAGCAGGGATGCGGATAAGAAAAAGCGGCCCGAGATCGTGATGATCTTCCCAGTCAGTCTGTTTCACATGTGGCAATCTGATGCGGATCTGACTTCTTCGTTTTAGCTAGGTCTGGGAAATACCGTATACGCCCGAGGTTTGTGGTAGGGACGACTTAGCAGCTTCCGGGCCCCTCATATCTTCGTGGAAGCTATTACCGCTTCTAAACGGACAATATCTGCATCGTGAATTGAATGATCAGTGCTTCGTGTGTAGCATCTGAAACTGGCTAACTGATATGACGATGATCGAGCCACATAACGGCATCTAGAAGGCCAAGTACGTCCCATTTGGACACGACCGTGTACTCTACCAGACTCTGAACCTTCTTCCAGTAAATAACTCACCGTCGTGTGGTGAGGAACAGCATGGCCATTCATAGCCGAAACGAAGCTGGGGGGGGGCACGAACTATACAACGATGACAGACCGTAGACTAAGAGAACCTCAACCCTCTATAGGTATATAAGCCGCAATGGTAAGCTCGAAACGTATACTCCGGACCAGTCTATGCACGAATCCGGCGTTCCCTCAAATCACACAGAAACTCTTTCGGGCCGCAATTAGAATCCTTCGTCCTAAAACCACCCAAAAATAGTCTACCAGCCTAATCACAATCAGAATGATCCATCTACAAGAAGGAAGCAGCTCAACCAAAAAAACGAATAGAGAGCAAGCTAGCTATAAGTAGTACCTCAAATTGCCTCGCGTTGAAACAACACCTACATCCATCGCTTTTTCTGCGGTATTTTTTTTTTCTCAAGCGCCCACAACTTGACGCTTTTGCCAAAGACCACAACATTGCTTTAGCTTCCCAAACTCCCCGAAAATCCTGAAGGATCAATGTCTGACCTAGGAAAAACCCCTCCCACAGATAGTTCTGGGTATCGTGCACTTCTATGCGGCTTTGAGAAAAAGATCCCAATGTTTTCTTTTTAATTCGCGCAATGAAATCCTACATGTAGAAGAGGTCTTCATCCTTCCTTCCTTCGTTCGTTCAGGAATTTCTGTCACATCATTATCATGCTGAACTGCTTTCAGGAGCATAGTCGATGCCAGATCCAGGTTGCTATGATGTGATTGATGTCCAGAACTATTTGAGAGCCTGCGAAATCAAACATACTTCTCGTGCGCATGGATCGCAAAAGTTGGCTACTGCCTAACAATGAGTCCTGATTCATTTCATACTGTAAATGCAGCTGAAGCCCGGACATAAGAATAGGTACTTATTATAGTATATTAAATGTGAAACCCTTAGTAGAAGACTTCTTATAGATAGATGTATGATATATATACTAAGTCGAGTTCTCTAAATAACACTCTAATTGTCTACTATTTAGAGATAGTATAGCTAAGGATAGATTTATATAGAATAAGAGGATCGAAGAATTATTCGTGTATAACAATACTAGTATGATCATCTATTAACCACGTTATAGAAATTTCCATAGAGTGTGAAAGAGTAAAGAGAATACCATTAAGAGTGAAACGGAAAAGTAGAGTTGGGAAGACGCAAGAACAAAATGCAAAATGTAATGCATGATCCGGGAGTCGAACCCGAGCCATTTGCTTGCGCCACAAGTGGAAGGCAAATATCCTACCGTTGGACCAATCATGCAATGATTTGATGTAAGCCGAGGACTCATGATCATTATATAATGATTACCATTGATTTAGGAAAAGCGTGTGAGGGTGTAATCAGCATTCCGCCCAGCATTCTACTAGAAGCTGGTGAAGTCTTATAGATAGTAATTCAAGTACTGCTCCTCTAGGCATGTTTGACTAAGAAACGTAATCCATATCATGGATAACTTGTTCATGGCCTTGGAAAAAGCCCAAGCATAGGAAATGTGGATCGAATCATAGGGCCTTAAAGTAAGGTAAGTATCTAGCAAGATCTTCTCTTCGAAGTATCTGAAACAATCAGCACAAGATTGACATGCTCTCTAGCTGTCTTCCTCTAGTGACACGGACCTCTATAGATGATGTATAGAGAAGAGAAATGGGTTACAGATAGGAAGTCCATCAATCAATGCGACGTAAAGTATATTGACGTCCATCCCTAGGTTATGGGACGCACCCCGTTATGGGACAGACTGCAGGTACTTTGAGATTGAGCGACTCTAACCCTCTGAGCGCATTAGATTAATCTACATCCTTCTATTAATAGTTTCTTTACCTACTATAGACTGCACGTACCCTTAGAGATACAAAAATTACAACGTTGTTGACGCCTGCCTACCTGATGCAGTAGAGCCTTCTCTTATGCCGGGATTGAGGCCTACGCTGTACAGCGCTGCATTAGCCTCGAAAACCTCTTAAATTGACAGACTGGCTTTAACTAGACCTTAGAATGTTACTTTAGGAGCGAGAAGTCACTATTAGCCTTGTGGCCATCGTCGCGCGCTTGTTTATGCGTGGTTGCCACCCTGGTCAGTACTTAAGACGGAGGCAGCTCGGAGCGCTCTCGACCCCGCACTTGAATAGGATTAGCGTGTAATCTATCCCGGGGTTCGAAAGCACGTGTTTGTGGCTGTGCGGAATCATGGCTATGCTGACAAATCTTTGCCGGTGCCCACAGTCATGTGACCGATCGACAAGCGTATGTTTAGCTGAAAATTGCTTAGAGTGGGTTGATAAAAGAATGCAGCAACTTGATGCTATATAGTGTAAGAATGAAGGGAGCTGGGCCGTATTCTAAAACGCTTAGCTATCATTGTCATGATCCCAGTTCAAGTCGGCAAGTCATCCCGTGACGGCACATATGTGGCGATTGAGAGAGGTATGGAAACGATAAGCAGCGAGCTAGACCGTGATAGCCCTGGTACATGCATAGGTGAGCTGCGGGGCAAGCAAGTCTAAGTTACTTAAGCTGAGCTCCTGCTGTCCAACCAAGGCTTTTCTGCCACGCTTCTACGCCTTTTCACCATGTGTCGGTATACTACAGCCGATATCAACTATTCCCAGTGTCGATTACCAGCTCAACATAAGATCGTGAAACGTCTTCACAAGAGATGTGAAGCTTCTCCGAAGCCAGGACCAAGATGTGAGAGCTCCACGTATGATCCGGCTCTTGGCACAAACCTACCTTCAAACCGAAACGCTCCATGCAGGTTTTGTCGAGATTCAGGCATAGTCGTACAGGTGCAATATGAAGATGTCAGTTATATTATATGCATCGTCTACATGAAACCATCTGACTGTACAAATAGCATGACCTTCATGGTTGAGGAACCAGCCTGGAAGGAGAGTGTCGATGGGATACAATGGATACCATGTCATGCATTGTACTTATAAATATCTCCTAGCCAGCATATCTCTAAGCACTCAACAAATCCTCAATGACCTTAAAGCATTAAAGAAAACCGCTTTCACCCTCCCGTAGCCAGAGTTTACTTTCCTAGTAGCCAGCAAGCTAGCTCGGAGTTCTTGAAGAACTTCATCCATAGTATCGAAAGTACCATTCCAACAATCCTGCATCAATTTACCCAACAGTATATTTTCGACTTCTGGAAATTGATTCTCAGCATATAGCTTTTTGACACGGATCATTCGATCCTCAAAAGGAAAAAGCTCGTCGTATGGTTGTCTGCCCGTTATAACTTCGTATATCGCGCAGCCAAATGCGAAGATATCGGTCTTCCGGCTAATTCTCGGGGTAGATTCCTTATAACTAAACCACTCATAGCAGGCTCCTGCATCTTCCCCATCAATGCTACTGCCTTCGAAGTCTATAATCTTTAGGCGGTCCTGAACTATAATCCAATTATTACATCCAATGTCAGCATGAAGAATGCCATTGTTGTGCATGTATCGCGTTCCCTCTGCAGCATCGTGTAGCCAGCGAACTTTTGTATGTAACGGGATCAGGTTCGCTCCGCTTCCTTGAATCACTGTCCGAACGGTTCTACCACGTTCAAGAATAAGGCCGTCGTGCGTTGCACCTAAGTATCTTACAATATTTCCATGTAGTCCCAGACGTTCGAGTGCTCGACGCTCAATGTCGATTCCCTCTCCGTGGAACTCCTTCAATATTCTTTCCTCATCGATCGCGTATATGACTCCTGATCCACCGGCTGCAAGGAATTTAAGACTTCCATAGTCTATAGCCTGGTCTTGCATGTGCTCCTCCATGTTCCGAAGGTCGTGATCTCATGCTTCTCGGGCATGAGATAGGAAGCGCGTAGGTTCTATCGTGCGAGGTGCGTTAGGCAAGGATTGTGATCGAGGGAGCCGGCTCGTCAACGCTTCGGGGTTTGCGAACTTAGAGCTGTATCGCGTGAAGGGGTAGGATCGCTTCGGACAGTGGGATGCAGGCGAAACGATAGGAGAGCCGCTTTCGTCTTTCGAGCAATACAATAGGCAGGAGTAATCGTTTTGCGGGTTAAGTGGCCTCGTCTTTGTCGCTGTACGTTGTCGACATGGATTGCGATGGTTGTTGATCGAGTTATATACTGGTGCGCGACGTGTCGGCAGCGCACTTTTGGAGGCTGACTTAGCCCAAGTTGTCGCGCCATGGCGTATCGCATTATCTCGGGATTTCTTCGGTGATTTGGGCAGTTTTTGATTGAATATCTGTAGTAGGGATAGCGCCAAACACCTGTTACCAACGAAGCTGTAAGCAATGGCACCGACACATCTTGAAGTAATTGGTCATCAGTCTAAACAGCATGTTCAGTTCTAAACGCTTAGCAAGACGCATCCTCCTAATACATTTTTGCAACCGGCGCCATCCATAGCACTCCTGCGGCTTCTGCTGCCTGAACATCGCTCACTCTTGCGACTTTTCGCTTTGGCACAGATTGTTTAGCCCCAACATCGAGTGAGTTCGCCTCGCCTTCCAGCGCAGTACTCTTGCGCTTCCTACCACGGTTTATCGTACTTGCAGACGTCGTGGCTTCTGCCGCGTCCTGTGTAGCCTTTTTAGACTTCCGAGAAAGTCTTGCCTTAACCTTAGCCTCATTAGCAGCGTCCTCTTCGGCACGCTTTAACCGTTTTTCTTGGAGATGCTCATAAGTAAACACCGTCCCAGACCCCTGTTCTAGTATAATTGCCTTAGTCGATCTGCGGGGTTTAGCTTCGTTATTGATCGTCGTCAAAAGTTGAATGCGGTTTTGCTGAAGAGCATTCTTCGTCAAGGATAATCGGGCAGCTTTGGCGAATTTTAACAGGTGTCGTTCTAGACTCTGCTTGCTTGTTTCGTCAAGAGTATGAGCATCCCTCTTCAGAATCAGATCTTGCAGCGACGTGAGGCCCTCTGCTGACACTGGTGTCACAGGCGTTTGCAGTACTGCATCTTGCTGACAAGGTGCTTCGTTGATTATCGATACAGTCAGTTCAGTCGCTGGTCTCGGCACAGTCCTAAGTACTCGCTCTGGGTTGAATGGAAACAAACCACTTGCAGTATAACCAGCCTTGATGTTCTTCGGCGTGAACGCTCGCTCCCTCGCAGGCTTGTATAAAGAGGTAAAATGCTCCTTGCCAGTAGTATTGACACCTCCTCGCTCAATCGTTCCACCTGGTCGCGGTACGCCGCCTTTAACGGGGCGAATACAGCAACGTCGCAAGGCTGAAGCTTGTGGGATGTATGGGAGGGGAGACGACATAAGATGATGTTATTTGCGAAACAATACTCTAAGATCTCAAGAGTCTCATGCGTCCCAAAGCCGTCAAGAATTAATACGCGGGGTCTCCCGTTAGCACGTTCTTTAGTCTCAGGATCAAATACTCGCTTAAACCACTGCAAGCTAATGTTGGAGTCGGTATATCCAGATTCATTGCACGCATATTGCCACCCGGGAGTAGGAAAGACTGTCCAGTTGCTTCGATGGGTGGTAGCCGGCCAAATAATCATAGGGTTCAGATACCTACCGTCAGCGCTAATACACTCGACAGCCGTAACCATTGTTCGCTTCACGCGCGCGCCTCTATAAGTCCGTGTATCATCCTTACCTACGAGGACTTTTACAGAGCCTAGCATCGATAGCATGACCCCAGTCTCGTCCATGTTATAGAAATTCTCTGCTAGGATGGCGGGATCACCTAAAACCCTACCTATCACCTCGAACCAGTGTATCATCTTTCCACCGATATTCCTGTCGTGGCGGTTCCAGTCTAGCGCCGTGACGCGTCTGGCTGCCGTTTCTGGGTTGCGCTTCTCAAAAGCCTTTGCCCAGTTCTTACTCGGAGGCTTGAGGGGCCTGTCTGCCGGGGGTCGCGCGCGGGTGGCTACGAAGGCGAGGGAGGGAATGTACTTGATTCGTACAGGCTGTCCGAGATCTGACATCTGTAAGATGAACTTCACGAGGGCACTCTCTTCCCACGGTGTTAGGTACTGCTGGCTTTGGGCCTTGTCCTGCATCGAGGGTCCATTATGCGCGCGACGATGGAGGGTACTTCGAGCGACTCCGCTGTGGTCTGCTAGAGCACGGTACGATCTAGGCACACCGGGAGGAACTCCTCGTGCTAATGCTCGCCTTGCCTTATCCATGATAAGTTAGTAACAGTCTATAGGGCGAATGCTGTCCGCTCGCCTGAAGGCATCGTGAGGCATTGTAGCCACAAAGGACACATTCCAGACCCGAGAGACCCGTGGCATGCGCCACACTTATTTCTGGACATTGGAGATAGGCATAGCGCGATAATTTAATACGGATCATGTAAGCAGCTTAATATGGCTAGTGTATTTTGTTGTAGCGGGGGACTATTCTGCGCATTCTTATCTCTTGAACGGACCTCCCGGCATCAACGCTCCTAGTGTCAAAGTAGCTTCCAGCACCGGGAAATATACCTTTAGTACTTTTACTTCCTTTCAAGACCTCCGAATGACTAACAGAGTCACAAATTCGCAAATAGACAGGGGTGAACCAGCGAGGGATCAACTAATAGCCTTCAGAAAAAGATCAACAACATAAGCACCGTTGCAGAAATCCTGTTCGGAGTCTAGCTTCTGAAGGAACAATAGCTACAGATTCGTATACGCTAACTACAACTCTATAAACTTATAATGGAGATGTTCCGGACCTCCGAATTGCAAAAGTGTCCCACCTCAGGGTGCGTCCCATGACCTAGGGATTGACGTTGGATCGTTGTTGCTTGAAACCGCGCACAGGCCATAATGAGCGACGCGTTACCACAAATATTCCTTCGCGAGTATCTCAATTGACCAGTCCAAGGGTGTGAGCTTTACATGTTGAGCGATTCGAGCGATGGAAATTTACAAACGGTATGCTGAACATGGCGGGCAAGCACGTCAAGCACCACAGGTTTCGTCAATGTTTCCGCGTTGTATGCGTTCATTGTTATCCTACACATTATGGTATTACCGCTATCGTGCCATTAAAACTCCAAGGCACCCACGGCCTTTCAATCAAACACCTCTGATGTAAAACCACTAGATCGTAAGTATGGTGATGTGCATAGATCATGTATTGTGGTGAAATAGAAGTTGATCCGAGACATCAATCGCACAAACTAGACTCATGAATGGCGTATTCACGCGGTTTGAAGCTGCGTGATTCAAACGCTCCGTTACATTCTCCATTAGCTCTGTGGCCCACCGCTAGACCTGGCTCATTGACGGAGCCCCACGGCGGATACCTCCAATACCACCACGCATATTAACGTTACCGCCACCACCCATGATGGATAGAACAGTAGTAGCAGCGAACGTGGCAAATCCGAACCAAAGGAAGGCGGTGGATGCCTGCGCCTCACGACAACGCTTCATATGTGGGCCACCGTTCGTCACGACGTTGGTGCTTGCGTAGCCCTAGAAACCTGTTAGTGTCACATGCGCCTGAGTGTTGTGAGTTGAGTATTACCTCATTGCTGCAGCTGTGGGCGCCGAGGTAGGCAGCCGTAGCAATACCGCCGATAAGCCAGAATAATGTATTGAGGCCATCTAGAGCCATGGTAACGATTGGAATGGCCATGCCATCCTTGATGGAGGTTGGTATAAGGTAGATCAGAGACAGCATACCGAAAACGGCAACAAACATGTCGTAGTTGATGATGCTAGGATTGCCGGCGTACGCATCGTGGATAATGTTACCAATGAGAGATATGAGCAGGAGAGTCCATAGGAACTGTTTGCACAGTGTCAGCTATTTGGCGCTTTGTTGTGGTTAGCCGCAGTTAGGTAAATACCTGGAGGGCTCGTAGGCCAGTTTGGACGACAGACATGATCGGGTTGAGTGAGAGGATAAACGTTTAGCGGTAGGAGTGATGGTGATGATAGTATAGCGCGACGGTACGTGGAGGTGGTGCGTGCAGGAGGTATGGAGGAGGAAGATTGTTGGTTTATGTAGTGTGGTGAAAGAAAGAGAGCGAAACAATGATCCATGACGGATGGGCGCGGCGAGTGAGCAGTGACGTCGTGCAGACCAGCTCAAGCTCGGCGGGTGGATGTGGCAGATCAGGGCCTGTGCAGAAGCTTTTTCGTCTTTGACCCCGGGCAACGCCCTCCCGAGCGCATCAGGCCATTCCCTTTCACACTATAGATTTCACCCATTAACGCGTAGTGACGCATCATCATCATTATTGCGACCAGAAAGGCAGTCTGATCTCGTAGCGGGCTCGTCATAATGTCTTCTAGACCAACCTTATATACCCATAATTTCGCCTGATAGTTCCTATTGCACGTCCGTACCTTCGAGAGACATGAAACCAGCCGACAGACTAGATCGGAGCACGATGCGTGCGGAATGTACTCGGCGGCATGTACTCGGCGGCAGATCCTACTTTGTCCCTGCTGGTGTATTCCTAGGCACAGGTCGCATTCGCATGCCTCAGACTCCCTGCAGCTGCAGCTGCAACTTCAACGATGCGCGTTCCTGGAGACGGATTGGAGACAAACCTATTTGCGTATCACGCTCTGTCGGCATTCTTCGGTCAAGCATAAGAAGAACAAGGCACGTGATACAACCACTCTCGTCGACCGAGTCAGCGACTAAGCGGGGCTTTCGAAAGCTTGGTCAGCTGAAAAGATGAGTCTTGATGAGATGCGCACTTGAGGAATCGAAACAAAAACCCCAGCTTTATCCAGTTCTTACCGTAATCGAAATGAGGCACCTCGACAGAACCCATCTGCTCGAGCATAGCTGTCGCTCAGTTTGCCAAACACGACGGTATCCCAACTTTGCTGTTCTTACTACATGCTGGAGTCCTCTTACGTGCCTGAAGAGGTTTGGCGCCAGTGTCGGTGCTGGTGCCGGTGTCGTGGTCCGGACTCCGGGGTCTCTTGACATCCTCTTGAAATCCATTTATCTGTGGGGCTGACGACCTGTTATGCGCCTTCTCCTTATGGACACCTGGTTCTTGTACCTGGCGAATGCTGATAAACTTATAGTGCTCCAAACATATAAGAAGTCGTCGTATGCCCTCAGTGTGTAGGGTTCCTGCAATCTTCGGACGGGACTGTAACAAAAATGAGACAGTGCGGCTATCTACAAGGTCTTCCGAGTTCTCTTAGATTTGTCTCCTGGATTTTCCCCGAATCACCTCAAAGCACACTGCTCAGCGGTTTACATTACTTCTCCTCCTGCCCAGTGTATAGGCCATCTTGCCTGGGACTGGCTTTACAAAGTCGGTGTAGAGCACTCAACGGAAACTACTTCGGCTTAATTGCATTAACAGTGATAGTGGTAGGGCTGTAGTCTTGTACATAGAATGAACTGTCATCATTGACGATCCGCCTGTGCTCTGGTACTGCTCCTGAAGTTCTGCTGACTTGCTTTGCTTAGAGCCACCTGCTACCATGGATGATCTAAGGTTCCTTCTACACCCAAGCTAGACCCAATGTAGACACCGCATCCCAGCTGTGCTCCGCGAGAGGGGCGGTGCAAGATTAAAGTCATCGTCGCATTTATGACTACGGCTTACTTATGACTGGACTTCGTCCGCTGCCTGGACACCTGGTTATCTTTTCTATTCTACCTCACATTATCGTGCACTTGACCAAAGCTTGGGCTTCAGACTCCTCAAGTCTTGCAATATACCTGGACACTCCTCTTCGAGCGTCTCATCAGCTTTGAGTAAAAAAAGCCGTACCCAACGTTACCTCTATTGCTCAATCGACGGAGGACGACGTTTCTCATACCAAAAGGTATAGTCCTCCAGGTTCACTGTACGCTTCAGACTCGTCTTGAAGCTCCAATTACATGAATTGGAATCACTTTTGGTGTTTCCATCGAACCTGTTCTTACGAATCACCAGAACGTCCCACACCAACGATACGAAATCTTGCTAGAACTTTGTTCACTCGGTAATCAAATAAAAACAAACAATCACGACATGTCTTCTATTCAGTCTTTCCGCATTTTCCGGGCCACTGGTGCCGACGGCTTCTCCCTTGACGCTCATGCCAAATTCGTCTTCGAGCCCGCTCTCGAGTCCGATGAACTTTTTGATGCTCTACGATGCTCCTACCCAGAAGTCAAGACTCACGCCGAGCGAAAGCGCCAAGCTGTTCTTGACTTTCTCGTTCAAGAACGTGAGGCTGATATGAGAGCCTTAGACCGGCTCATCAGCGGCGAGTCCACATCCCCAGTCCAGTCCTGGAGTTCGCAAAGTGCTGGACAGACCCCCGCTACAACCTCATTTGGACCCTTCCCTTCTACAAACTCAACCCAAGCCTCTCCCGTTGCCATTACACCAAATTTCACGGCTAGCGACTCCACAACTACTGCATCTACGCCTTCAAATCCCGCATTCCACGTTTGGAATGCCTCTAGCAACAAGCCCGTCAAGCTACATAAGCGTAGATGTATGACTGACGCGGAGAAGGAAGAGTATCGCCAGCGACGCATAATCGGATCTTGCGAGTCTTGCAAACAGAAGCGGAGAAAGTGCCGCCATTATGAAACCGCTGCAAACCAAGCTGTTGCCAAAGGCAGGTCGAGCAAGCGATCCAGATCCTCGAAGACTGCTTCAACTTCTCGGACGAGCATGTCGAAGATGGCGAGTACCAGCGGCTCAAGCAGCTCTTCGCCGTCTGAAGCAGCAACACAGTCTTTCAATGATTCTCCGGCATATCATACGAACTTTGGAATGGATGGCTCAAATTTTGATTTCGACACTGAACTGTCTGGCCAGCTCTTCCAAGGCGACTTCGCTCTCTTCAACGAACCCACCGAAGAGGACTTCTTCAGCAATGCTATGCTTCCATTCGACAATACTCAAAACTTCTCTTTCTTTAACAGTTTTGACTCGAACTTTGACTCTACAACATATGCAAATAGCACATCTCAAACAACAAACCCGAATGGCACAAGCCAGACTGTAATGTCAGATTGGCTCACAGCGCCGGCACTCCATGGATTTGTTGATTCCACAGCGCCATCCTCACAACTACATTTGAATGCGTCACCAAACGAAGTCGATATCATTTGGGGCGACGACAACGCAAATGCGAATCGTCACCAATTACACGACTTGAACAATACCGTCCTTGCGACCAACCGCCGCGATGGCCAGGAAGAACCCATACCCTCAATTGCACGAACCGAAAGTAATTCGTCAAGTACAAGCGATAGCGATCCACGCCCTGGCGTAGTACGAGAACCTAGGCGGACAACGTCCGCCCTGGAGTATTACGCGACCCCAATCTCGTCCACGCCCTGCAGCATCGACAATTGCTCCCCAGGAGCCGAAAATGCACCTTCTTCGTGCCAATCCAGCGAGGAATCAAGTTGCGAACCGACCTGCCGTGCGATATTGACGTGTTATCTTGCGTACATGGCGCAGATGATGCAATCCGCGAGTAACTTGAATGCAATCTTTCACGCTGCTGTCAGTGTACTGGGAAGTGTGGAAGGACAGAGGATAGTCCGCGGTATGGACCAGACGGTCGTGGGTACTGACAGGATGGTCGCCGTTTCTTAGCATGTCCTCTCTTGGATAGATTAATAACGGTATAGGAAAGAAAAGGACACTAGCTACTAGCTGAAACTGTAGATTCATGGCTTTGTCATGCTTGATATGAGGCCTAAACTCTTCCAAGATTGAAGGCGAAGGAACAGAGTAACAGCTAGACAGATCAATTGCCCTTCATATTGGGTTTACACTTCACCGTGCTCCACGTCAGCTTACTTTTGGTGCCTCACTTAGTGGACGGGTCAAGAAACAACCGTGACCGTATAGTCTTATTGCTACTCCAGCTGGATTGGCGCATCGCAGCGTATGTACTCTAGGACGTTTGGCTGGGGAGAGGGCCCTCACTGTTGTGACCATTATTCATGCCACCGTCGGTGATATCGACAACTAAGCTACTTGCTCCCAAAACGGCCGAACCGCAGTCACAATGCCGACTACCTAGCTACCAGCGGCTTAGGACCTCCCTCATCGCAAGGAGGGAAAAGTGATGCTTAGGTGCTAAATCTCATAGCCGGCGATGAAACAAAAAGTGACTACTGTGCAGCCCCTCTAAACGAACCCACTGTTGTGTCTCTTGCTCAGCAGGTCCATGCAACCGGCCCAAGTATCAACTAGCTCATATCTTCCGAATTCTCCTCCCCTGTATCCCCCTCACCAGATCCGTTGTTCGATCCGATCATCCTGTGCTGCGAATCCTGCAAAGCGTCTGTGTGTGGCGGTGTTTCGACTCTCGACTCAACCGATCTGAGGGAAGCCGTTGCCCTCTGCGCGTCTCGCAACTGTATCATCCTTTCAAGGCGATCTTGTGACGCATTTGTAGCATACAATCGCTGTCTAAGTAACTCCGCTTGTCGTAGAAGTTCGATCAGTTCCGATTCTTGGTCCGCGTTTCCAGTGTGCTGTGCTGCGAGCTGTTGTAGCTGACGTGTCGGCCTGTTTCCTTGCTGAGCGGCATTGATACCATCAAGTCTTGCTAGTTCAAGGGTTAATCGCCTGGCGTCTGCTCTATTCTCTGCAGTCATTTGAGCCAACCGTTGTGCGGGACTCATTTCGTTGGCATGAGCAATATTTGGCATACCGTTTAATGCAGCTCGTCTTGCCCTGTTCTCACGGGTATCTGTGATTGAGCCTGGCACACCAGCTCCGATGAAAGTCCTGTTTGATTCTGGGCGTACAGGGAGAAGTATTGCTGCGACCGGAGAGATCGCTGGATGCAAACCAATACACTGCTGAAGACCCACCACATACGTCCAAATATTCAACAACATCGAGTAGCACTGGGTTGCACTGATCGATAAGGTGTTCGATAGGTTGTGAGTGGTTATGAAACGCCGCAGAAGCTGTTCCCAATACAAGTATTCTTGGTGAGGCGATTCACCGACCTGGAGGCGACCACCGATAGGCTCCTGGTTGTGCATGAGTGCAACCTGATCATCTATAAGCTCCTCCAGAGTCCTCATAGCTATCAGGGCTGAATGTGCAGCTCTAGAGGCTACTATACCCTCTGATAGACCTCCATTGTCTCGTTCATCGACCACTGCTTCAAGGCTTCTGATAGCGGCAGTTGCATCCGGACGATATACTCCATTCTGGATCGAAGCTATCATCGCGACCGGCGCCGCAAGGGGATCTGATGAAGAAGTAGTCGCCTGCGTACCTAGTAGAGGCAGTTGTGCTATCGAATGTTGGATCTCAGTGTTCGGTGCCGAATTCGAATTTCTGTGAGTAACTGGAGCTGGTGTTGTCACGGAAGCTCGGGCAGAGTTACCGGACCGTCCTGGCTCTACTGCTGGCATATGCGGCATACGAGGGCCCGGCAGCGATATCGCAACATCTCTGACACTAAGTCTGTTCTCAGAGGCATGATAAGTTCCACCGCTTGGTACGATGGAATCGACAACTGTCTCAGTAGTCCTAGCTGTGCTTCGTGCCTCCTCTTCAATCTGACGGGCTAATCTGTCAGTAAGTCTATCACACTGGTTTTGTATTCTAGCTGCTTCTCGTTCTGATTGCCTCAGAGCACGCTGGCGCGCTCTTGCAAGCCGGATCACCTCCCTTTCCGCTTGTCGTGCAGACTGCTCCCTGCCTATCCTGTAGTCGTCTTGGATTCTCTTGTACGTCGCTTGGCATGCCTGTCTGAGTGTCCATCCGCGCTCCAATATTAAGAATCGTATCTGTGCAATGCGGCCTCTTATAACCATTCCGGGGTTAGAGTGGAAGTCAAGTTCGTCGTCCGAGTAGTCGAGGTGTGATTCGACTTGTTGCTGGAGCCAAGTCTGTAATATTTCTGTTTGATAGTCCCTATATTCCGCAAAGCTGGAGAAATTAAAGATGCTCATGTCAGAACTTCGTGCATGAACTCGTCGTGAATAGACGTCGGGCGCGCCATCCCTCTGAGTCTCGATGTCACCGACAGTACTGTCCGTCTCCATGCATTCTTGGAGATATTCTTGGAGATATGGAGATATATGTGACACCGACGGCGGACTTCTGGGGGCGGTGGCGAGTTCAATGCTACTAATTGAATGGCTGTACGATTCTTCATAGCTGTAGACTCCGGAGCGGAGCGCTGAAATCACCTCTTGCATGACGGCGTCAAGGTGTGGAACGTTTTGTGTACCAGATGCTGCAGTCATTGGAACCACAATGATGGGAATTGAGCCAGTTAATGAGAGACCGCGTAGTGAGACAGGATGACCAAGGACTGTAGTCGCCTCTGTTCCTCCTGGACCTACGAAAAGATCTGTGCGTTGTGCGATTTGCGATGCGAGAGCATTGCGTAAAGCTGTATTCAATGCTACAGGCAAACGTGTAGATCGAAGACTATGGCGACCGTCATTGGAGGGTTGGTCACTCATCATAACAGCACTCACAGTGTTGTCGAATAAGTTGTGGGGATAAGGGTGGAAAGAGAAAGACAAAGACAGTGAGAGGGGGAGAGAGGATCTATCAAAGGTGAGCGCGAGATCAGAAATCGTTGTTTTTGTTTGTCACACGCAGACCCCTGCAGTTGCACTGAGCTTTTCACCCTACACTTAAGTAGTACTCAAGCCCATCAAAAGTATCCAATAAGAAGAGATGGCTAAGAAGATATGAAATGCGTGAATACACTTTGGATGATATACAATGAAAGATTCGGTATATTACTTGGATGCTGTTGACGCCCTCAAGAAAAAGAAGCAATACAAGGGAGACTTCGTCCTGTCTATTCCACATCGCCTTCAAGGGCTCATGATGTTGATTACACAAGTAGTAATGACGCTAAAACAGGATTCCTCCAAAAGCTTCAAGAGCGCCTCGCAAAGTGGTACACGATTATTTAAAGCATTACAAGAAAGGAATACACAGTCACATAGAGGGATGAGGGGCGTTGCTCCTACCCCTAACGGCGTCCGCTTGGAACTATGGTGACCTTTCCATATTTATCTTGGACCGGGACAGTGCCCTGTGGACAAAAATAGGACCTTCCGGCAGGTCGAATCGTATCAACGCCTCCAGGGTACTTAGTTTCCATGTATACCCTATCCTTACTCTTCGGCTTCTTTTCTGCAATACGAATCTTTTCAAAGAGGCAGTACGAAGCGTAGTAAATGCAACTTGTATTCCCCGAATTAGGTCCCTTTTTGCTCCGGAAGTCGGTCAGTTGTTTTGATTGAATCTTGCGGGTCTCGGTGTGATACTGGGCCATCAGATCTCTGAGGAACTGTGCTTGCGTAATGCCTTCTGATCGGAGGTGCGCGCCGATCTTGCGCCGTATTTCATCGCAGGTATCATAAACCGGCACTTTATCCTCCAACTCCCCAGGCAGTTGGACAGCTTTTGCATTCTGGGCCCTTTCTTCGGCCTTTGACGGGGCTGGTGCAGGTTCCCCTGCAGCTGTGACAACCTTTTGCTTCTTTCTCGGCATCGGAATGCCCCTGAGCTCTCTTAACCTGAAGAATTTCCATGCTGAGTGGTAGCATTCAGAGTTTGCACCCTTGTATGGTCCATTCTGTCCCATAAAGTTGCGATAGGACGGACCGCTGACGTTGATAGCTTTTTGAAACTCCCCAACCTTCATTTCCCCAGAATCAAGGAAGTTATTGATCCTAGCACGGACTTGGTTGCAATTCAGTACCGGACCCATGGTGAAGTCCACATCGTCGGAATCCGCATCTACTGAAGCAAGGTCTGTAGATGCGGGGCGTTTCCGCTGTAGCCCATTGATATCCTGTATTGAGACTGCATATCCAGGGCGCCCCATGGCGCCTTGAGGTACCGCGTTTGAATTGGGGTCTGTTCGTGGTTCTGTGTTGAGAATTGTCCCGAGGTAAGATGGGCGGGTCCGTAAAGAGTCTGTCGGCTTCTTTGCTAATTCGCTAAGAGAGGAAAGAGGAGGTAATTGAACGTTTGAGTCACGTTGACCCAAGGCCTGGCGATTGATCTATGGATTCACGTCAGGTCAAGGATTCCGGGGGGGGCTTGCACGGAGAATTTACAGGCGGAAGTTTTGACATCTTCAACACGTCCCCTCGGAGTAGATGATGACTGCAAATCAAAAGTGGAGGTCTATCAGGTGCACACGGTGAGAACTGGTCCAAAAAGTGATATGATTAATCGATCAGAGGGATTGTTGGTGAGGATCGTGGACCGCGTCAGAGACATGACAAGATTTTGTTTATGGGTACGCGAGTCCTCCGCGAATGCACGTGCAGATAGACTACGCCAATTCACGCCACCCCTGACCTAAATCAAACATAGCTAGTCTTCGGACCTCAGAATAGTGCCACAAGAAGCAATAATGATAGCGGCACAGATATATAGCAAGCCACTACAAATAAAAACGTCGCAGGTAGGAGCGGTGTACGCTACCAACAGGAGAATGCCTGGCGGACATGTGCCATTATACCTAGATCTGATGCTTAATTGCAGATTGGGGTATGTGTACTGCGGCCGGTCAGGACGGTGTGATGCATCGTTTGCTTGAGTTGAGCCACAGTGCCATGGACCGCAGACGTCAATATAGTACTCATTTAAGGTCGATACCTATACCTTAGTCGAGGAACCCCAGCTCCTCATCCATGACACCACTCAGACCTTTCGTAAGTCGATGGGTACCACTGTTGACGGGTGGCCACTCTCTACTTCGCTTTTGCATGCCTTCTGCTTGCTGCAACGCATTTGGAAGATCTCTAGCGGAAAATCAGAGTAGACCTAACTGGGATATTTTGTGACGGGTACTTACCCAACCCTACCGTATACAACATATCCTTGGTCCTGTAATGCCTTAGCTAGCTCGGTTTGATGGTTGTCCATGAGAGCTTCATTTGGCACTACAATCAGAGTCGCGCCAACACGAAGGGCGGCGAGGATTGATCCTGATCCTGTCAAGATTAGATGTCTGCAAGAAGAATCATCCGTACAAAACCGTACCAGCATGACTGATTACGAGTCCTGTTTCATCATTGAGGCTTCCTCTGGCAGCCCTCATGTCATCATCGATGCCGTCTATTTTGAAATCATATCCCGAGATTTGGAGTCCAAGATTAGACAAGAGAGCTCTATTGCCCAAAATACGATCGAAGTGATCCTTGCCATCTTTGCCGTACTGCACTACAAGATGTGTGAAACCCAGGCTAGCGAGGGCTTTGAGAAACGAAGGGTCAAGGCACTCGACCAACAGCTGATCAAAGGATGCGGTTGCGCCGATAGTGACGAAGCATAGTCTTTTTCTGGACGTTACATCGCTCCCAGGCATACTGCACTGTGTCCCAACAAAGTCCAAAAGAGCATACGAGAACTGAAGGATGCTTGCATCGAATATTGACACTAACAAATCATACCTGAGGTAGTACTTGGGTACTGCCGAAGAATACCCGACCTCCGCTCCTTCCGCAAATTTGAAGCTCCGAATGTAGCTCCTAGAGTTGATCCATCCGTCTACAGTCACGGCGATGGAGCGAGCACTTACTCGAGCCTTCAATGGTTCGCGAAAGTCTCCATTTCGGCGGAAGCCTACTGTTACATTCTCCCAATGGCAACGAACACTTACTTCTACGCGACAATACCGCGCAAAGGAAGACAAAGACGATAATATTTTCATGGGCGATCAGACGGAAGCCCATACAGAGGAAGGCAATGGAAGCGTTTCGAAGATGGATCAAGAGAAGAATCCTACGAGACTGAAGGATTCCAAATCAAGAGATGCCTTCCTCAGGAAACGGATGAAATTGATCATGAAAGAGGAGCAATCAGAAGATGGATATCGCCTGCCTAGCAAGGCCGAGAAAGCCCGTGAAACATTCAAATCCGAGGAGGCATTCGATGATTTCACTAATGACGGTGTGGAAGGTGGTGATGTAGAAGAACTTACGGCAACGACATTCAACTTGCCTTCTCGAAGTAAAAAAGGTGGCAATGAGGTCAAAATGATCTTGCCATATCGCAGGACTATTGGGGATGATACCCTGAAACAAGGAGAGACAATAGGCCTTCAGCAGGCGCACGAAATGGGCTTGGTCGACAATGTATCGACCATATTGCAAGACTCCGAGGAGCCTTTCGATGACACTTTCCCGCCAGAAGAGGCTTATCGGGATGACGATCTAGGGTACTGGGCTGAGGGACAGGATGAAAGCGAAAGACTCCCTGATGATGAATTTTATGGCGATGATATCGCTACTCCAGGTCATACAGAACTCGAGACGCACCGTGAAATGAGAGAGTTCGCAAGGCTTATCACCTGGGATCTACCTCTACTTGGATGTATGTATTGTTGGTGCAGTCATGTAAGAACAGTAAAGCTAACGACCATACAGCTCTCACGAAAAGCTTCACACCTCCAACCCTAAACCAACCCCTACGATTCCGCTATACTACATACCTTGGGGAGGATCATCCTGCCGCCAACAAGGTTACCGTTGAATTCAATCCAAACGACTTGCCAGACTTAACATATGAGCAAAGGGCCACGCTCATCAAGCTTTGTGGACCACGTTACAACCCGGAGAAAGAGGTGGTGAAAATAAGCTGTGAGATGTTTGATACGCAATTACAAAACAAGCGGTGGCTATTGGACACGACCAACGCTCTCGTCAAGGAAGCTAGAGAAGGCCAAGATTCGTTCGCGGATATCCCTTTCGACTTTCGCCACCACAAGCCCAAGCCCGTCTATAAGTTTCCCAACAAATGGATCTTGACCGAAGAGCGCAAAGCAGAATTGACAGCAAAACGCAAACAGTCTGATGAAGCCGAACAAGCCAGGAGAGAAGGCAACAAGCTCATAGACGGCGCGGCGCTGGTCAGAAAACACCACGCAGCTACACCTGCATTGCCATTGTCAGACAGAAATGGCAATCCACTGACAATTGAAGAGCCCGTGGCGGACCTTGTCATGGCAGAGCTGTCACCACTGAACAATTACCGAGGACGACGGCGTTTCAAGCGAAATACGTAATCTTGTTGTGAGCTGTATCCAACCTGTATAATATATAGCATCATCCAAATCCATGTACAAATTGTGACCAATGAATTAAACATCCGCTTGTCTAATCGGCATTCAACAAAACTGTTGTGGAAAAGGAGACCTCACTATTTTGCCAGTGCTGCTTGATCATCTCGTCTCCGCAGATCGGCCCTGGAAACAGCGATCCAACCTTGTAGTTGACATGGTGATCACATGAGCGTACGGAGTACCGCTTCGCTTACGGGTATACGGGTTGCTCAGAAGACTAATGAGAGGGCGCGTGTGAGACAAACGAGGGTAGGTCAAGGCTGCATTCTGTCTTGAGTCCGTGTCTCAAGAGGCGGATGCAGGCATATCCGGTAAGACTAACCTAAAAACCTTCATCGTTTCATCAGGTCGATACGTGTACGAATGAACCTTTTTTTTTTCTGGAAATGTATCGATCTAGATCCCAGTCCCAGTCCCACAAACCATACCATTTCCCCAGAATCCCCATACACAGTATAGCAAAGCCACGAGCCGTGAGGGCTCCACGCAAATTCCCCATTCCCAGCTGAAATCGTCCCGCCCCCCGCGCTTACGGGTCCGTCCCGCTCGCTTAGCCACGTCGCTCCACCTACGTAACCCGCTCTCGGTGCCCTCTCGACCTTCCGCAAACGGAAACTCGTTGTGCACCATATCTCCAAGGAATTCAGGCGCCAAACACGGACCGAGTACTCGTTTTCGCTGACGCTCACCACCACGGCCCCGTCTCACCTTACCTTACCGTGCGTAAGACAGGGCAGTATGCTAACAGAGAATGTGCTTACGGATGTGATGTAGTGACAAGTATGTCTCCTTGCGTAAATCTGCCGGTCCGGTGGCGGACAACGCGCCAGTCGGGGAGCCAGCGTAGCCAAGGAAGTCAGTTTGCGTGACGAAGGGAGCTGTTACAAAGTCTATATACCAGAGACGAGCCGGCTGTTTGAGGTGATTCCGTGTCGTTGTCGTTGTATCTTTGTGCTGTATAAGTCGTTGATGCCCTAATTGCCCCTGCCCCTTTGCTAGATGTCAAGGACTCACGATGCCTCTCACCACCACCATCATCACGTTCGTGATCTACGCACTGGGCGTGTACGCTGTGCCATCGCCTAGAAGACTGGAATCTCGAGGTACGCGCAGCAGTATACTCCATCGCGAGAATAACAGCGTTGACGGGGGTCGACTTTGCTAACCATGGCTCGACCACATACACAGCCGTCGATGCAACCACATTCACCGCGCTCTCGCATATGGAACAGTTTGCCGCCGCCGCCTACTGCCCAGGCAATAACAACTCTCCCAATACCAAACTCAGCTGCGCACCCGCCGATACATGCCCACTCGTCGAAGCAGCGAATACAAACACACTCTTTGAATTCGAGAAGTCGGTTTACCTCCCCTACCCCCCTTATATATCACTCGCCTCGAAACGGATACTCCATGTACATCTCTTCCCTGTCCGCGCACATACTGACGGCAAGCAGCTCCCTCATCACAGACGTCACTGGCTACGTCGCCACCGACACCACCAATTCCCTCGTCGTCGTCTCCTTTCGCGGCAGCCAGTCAGTGCGCAACTGGATCTCCAACCTCAACTTCCTACTCGTCCCTACCGATCTCTGCGCTACGTGTTTCGCTCATGACGGCTTCTGGACCTCGTGGGCTGAGGCGCGGAGTGGCGTCCTCGCCGCCATAATGACCGCTGCGAACTCGCATCCTGGGTTCCAGCTCGTTGTCACCGGGCACAGTCTGGGCGGCGCGATTGCGACCCTGGCCGCTGCGGAGCTGCGGAAGAAGGGCTATACGGCGCAGTTGTACACGTACGGGGCGCCGCGGATTGGGAACAAGGGAATTAGTAATTTCATCACGACGCAAGGTGGCAACTTTAGAGTCACGCACAAGAACGATCCGGTGCCGAAGCTGCCGCCGAGGTTGGGATATGTGCATATTGCGCCGGAATATTATATAACGAGTGCGAATAATGTTACGGTGACGCCAAGTGATATCCAGGTGTTCCAGACAGGAGATAGTAGCTCTGGGAATGCGGGCGATGGGGGTCTGGACACGGACGCCCATGGGTGGTATTTTAATAGAATTTCGGCGTGCTCTGATGGTGACTTTGAATTGAAGAAGAGGGACGAGGAAAAGCGTTGAGGGCTTTCCCGTGGCTGTATAGGAGTGATGAGATGAAATGAATGGCTACAAGTCTGTATTTGAGGAATCAATTGTATCTTTGTATTGAGCTTCTTACCATGTTAACCATACTACACTTTTGACACCTCCATGCACCTACACTGCCCAATCTGCGCCGCCATAATGATATCGCTTAGAGGAAGAGGACTACTGGGGTGGGATATAGGGGTTCACAAGCATATCGCTGAACCTGCAAGAAACCGTTAGCAGGGTACATGTTTAGCAAAGGGAGACTTACTTTTCTAACTTCTCCTTTCCTCTCACCTCCTCCACTAGCAGTGGCATCTTGACTACATTGAACTCATCATACAACTCCTCGATTTGGTCCAGATATTTCTTCTGCATCTTCCGACGCGCGTTACACTGTTCACACTCATTGTCTTTCTTGGGAAATAGTAGCTGATTCACCACAATTGCATGCGTGTCGATCTGATAACTGCTCAACTCCTGAATCATTCTCTCCGTTTCGTACAAACTTAGGAATTCTGCGATGCATACGCACACAAATGTCGTCATATCAGCGTCCTTGAATTGCGTGTTTACTTCTGATATAGTCTCGCGTAGCGTCTCCATCTTCGATAGAATGTCGTCGAGGCTCTGGCCGTTGGGCAATCCACCGCGCGCGCCTAGCACGCTGTTCAGCATGGGACCGAATTGAGATGAGAGTTGTGAGAGCTTTGCAAGAGCCTTTTCCATAACGGTAGGAAACTGGAGAAAGCGAAGCGTGTGGCCTGTCGGCGCGGTATCGAAAATTATGACCTCGTAAGAGAGCGATTTGACTTGCTTAAGCACTTCTGCAAAAGACATGGCTTCATCGACACCCGGAATCTGCGATACACCACCTTCATCAGCCTCCGAATTCCCATAATTCTTGCCTTTGTATACTCTTCACACGTACACTGAACGCCAAGTCCTGCATCATGCCTCCCATACCCCCGGCCATGCCGGCGAGCGGATCCTCGTCTTCTCCTCCTCCCGCCAGAAGATCTTGTATACTCCCGTTTGGATCGATCTCCATGGCGCTCAGGTTATCAAATCCATTGATGAGTCGCGCATCTTTGCCAAATTTTTGGTTGAATGCGTCCGAGAGGTTGTGCGCTGGGTCGGTCGAGATGAGGAGGACTGATTTGCGATGCTTCGCGAGTTGGATAGCGAGTGAGCAGGAGGTTGTGGTCTTGCCGACACCACCTTTGCCACCTACGAAGATCCAGCGAAGGGTTTTCTGGTCAAGTATGGATTGGAGGGTGGGCTCTAGGATATCGTCGTCGACGAGAGTCATGGCGTCTGACATGATGTTTTAGGTGGGGCACAGGTGCCGTCGAGAAGGAAGTTCTGTGTGTGAGAACGAACTCGCGATTCGAGTGAAAATTAGAAGAGAACAGGGTGGAATACCGAAGAAGACAGCTTAGGTGAATGTTTGGCCGAGATCTGGATCTGAGGGCAATGCGCGTGGGAGGGGCAAGCCGCAACTGTAGAATTATGCGCCTCACCGTCATGCCGCGCGCAGCATCATTCTGCGCTGTGGCTGTGCACTCAACAGTATATTGCACTTCAATCAGTAGCACTTCAACTATATTGTAACTCGGAAAATGAAGACGTCTATCTTTCTGCACATGGAGGAAGACACGTCATCTAGTGTCTTATTGCCTGCCGTACGTGTAGTTTCAAACGCCCCCTAAGAAGCGCTCCGAGCCGAACTGGTCTACTTGAACGCTGCTTACACGCTGCATTCCCACACCAATCCCCATGATTTGAATCAAAATGTCTTTGAAAGGTGGGACGAGAATGATACATCGTCCCATGACAGTGTGCGCCAGAACACCGGTGATGCCCATAAACTTCCCACATCAATAGGATGACAACTCACTCACCTGCCCTTCCTGCTCTTGGTTTTGATCTTGGGTGTAGACCTGCCCTGAGGTGTAGACTTGCCTTGCGGCGTAGCCTTGCCTCTTGCCCCAGCGGATCCTGTTGATGCTACGCTCACAGCACGGGAAGTAGCAGCTGACGTGCCTTTGCTGCCCTTTTTGTTGATATCAAGGTGTTTGTTCTGCGGCACAGGTCAGTTTGATATTCAATGTGGCTAGCTTCAATTTTTCTTACTTGTACGCCATTTTTCGCCCGCTTCTTCGCTGGGACGTCCTCGTCCTCGTCCTCATCTTCTTCGATCGCCCTCTTCTTGCCGAAGCCATTGAGGAGCTTGCTGTCGTTGCCTGCAAACTCTTTTACAATCGTACTCAGTAGTGTGGTACAACGCCGACTGATTTCTGATGTATTCCTACTGAGCATGAACCAGTCAAAACGGAATAGAGGCGACTCCCGGATCTCGTTACGGATGTTTTCGTGGATGTGTTCAGTGTCGACGCCGTACTTGTCCAGCATCACAAGAAGAAAGCGGTCTTCTTCTTCGGTATACACCTTCTTGGTTGTCGCTGGTGTGCCGTACTGGATTCGAAGTTGCTGGAGAGGAGCCCTGTACATGCCTATCTTCTTTCGAAGCATCTTACGTTGGAATTCGGTCTTGCGAATATGTTCCTCTCCGGTTTCGATGGTCGCAATGTTTTTCTCGTAACCATCGATCTCTGTGTATCTCTTCCAGAAAACTTTTGCATACGCCTTGATCTGGTCGGCGTCTTTCCCATCCACCTCATTTGAGATACCAGTATAATTGTCACGACCGTACTTGGCCGATCCATTGATGAACTGTTGAAAATCACGTCGATTCCATTCCGGGAAACCTTCTTCAACGAGTCTCTCTTTCTCGGCCTTCTCTTCTTCGGTCAGTGGTTCAGCTTCGTCGATCTCCAGCTGGGCGAGCTGTTGGTTATTCTCCCGCTCTTCCAATGTGTCGTCCTCGCCTTCATCAAGCGGAGCTTTCAGGTTGTTCTCCTTCCGGTAGAAAGCCGTCTCCTTCTCCTGTAGCTCATTGAGTCTTGGGTCGAAGAATTGATAGTCATGCGTCGTAGTTTGCTTGGGCGCACGAGGTATCCTTGGCCTCGTGTCGGCTGTACGCCCACCAGTCATCAAAGCCTGTCTGTAATACTTATCCATGGAATAAGACTGTTCTTTGCGTTCGCGCTTCGCAGGGTGAATCCATGCAATCACTCCATTGTCCTTCTTTTTCTGAGGTACAAAGCTTTCACCATTCCACTCGTAAGCTGACTCGGATGTAAAGTTTTGTAGGTCATCAAGGCCGAGTTTTTCGTATTTGGCGTTCAGTTCGGCGGTACGCTCTTCACCTCGTCTTAGGATAGCCTCCATATCATCATCTGTGAGGTCGCCCTTGCCACTCAGGGCGCCAGTGGCGCCTTGAGATTCAAAAACTTTCTCGGCACCATGCTGAATCATACTGAGGAGCTCATCCTTGCCCGCAGCTTTGCTTTGCTTCGCTTCGGCTCGGCCTTGTTGAATGACTAGCTGGTCCAATCGTAGTTTCTGTGCCGCTCGTTCCAAAACCTTTTCTTCGATGGCATTCTCGGTTACAAACCTGTAGACGACTACTTGCTTTGTCTGACCAATCCTATGAGCACGATCCATGGCTTGGAGGTCGGCTTGAGGATTCCAATCGCTGTCGAAGAGAACCACGATATCAGCCGACGTCAAGTTGATACCCAAGCCACCTGCGCGAGTAGTGAGAAGGAACAAGAACTTCTCAGAGTCTTTTTTGTTGTACTCGTCAATGGCCGAGATACGGTCTTCATGAGCAGTAGAACCATCGATACGACAGTATTTGAACTCGCGCATGATGGAGTAATCCTCGAGGATGTCTAGCAATCGGCTCATCTGAGAGAAGATGAGGACACGACTACCCTGTGCCTTCATGCGAACCAGAAGTCTGTCAAGCATAACCATCTTGGCAGCGTTCTGTACAAGATGCTCCCCGGTGGTGAATGGTGTTGGCTCAGCACCATCGAATAAGTAGGGGTGATTACAACACTTGCGAAGTTGCATGACGATATTCAGAAGGCGAGTTTTCGACTCCTTCTTCCCACCAGCTCCGTTGACAGCGTCGATGTCTTTTTCCAGTATCTTCTTGTACCACTTGACTTGCATCTCCGACATGCCGATGTAAAGATTGATTTCCTTCTTCGGGAGAAGGCTTTTTTCTACGTCACTCTTGACCCGACGAAGAAGGAAAGGTCGCAGCACCTTGTGTAGCTGCTGTACTACGGTATCCGAATCTGAGCCCTGCCCCGAGAACCATTCGTCGAAAGCCTCAGCATCGCCAAAGACATCGGGCAAGAGGAAGTTGAGCAAAGCCCACAACTCGTGCAAGTTATTTTGCAATGGAGTACCAGTGATAAGCAGTCTGTTGCGGGAGTTGAATACACGGATGATCTCGGCCAGGGACGATCTTTCGTTCTTAATACGATGCGCCTCATCAATAATGATATATTCCCATGCAATCTTTTTAAGGTGAGTCTTCTCTCGGAGAATCATCTCGTAACTCGTGATGCAAACATCGAAATCCTCGGGAGTCAATCGATCAGCGATCAGTTGGGCGCGCTCATCTTTCGCTCCCTGGAGAACCAGAACGTGGACTTCGGGAATCCATTTCGCGAATTCGCGAGCCCAATTATCGAGAGTCGACTTCGGTACTGCAACGAGATGCGGCCCCTTAATGTCGCACATGAAGCGAAGGTATCCTATGAAGGAGATTGTCTGAAGTGTTTTACCCAAACCCATTTCGTCTGCAAGAATCCCTGAGATACCATTCTCATGGAGTGAGATCAGCCAGTTCAGACCTGCAACTTGGTAGTCTCGCATCTTGCCACCCTTGATGTATCCAGGCGATTCACGAAATGTCGTGCCTTCACGGGAAATGCCATGCTTTTCGTCGTGTATAAGCTGTGCGTCTTCTTCAGCTTCGGTTTTCCGCTTGGTCCCCGCGGCTCCTCCCTTGCGGCTAGCAGCCTTCTTGGCCTTTCTCTCCTTCTCTTCGTCTTGTCGATCAATTTCCGCCATAATCTCTTTGATGCGCGGATTGGGATTCGTGTCAATGAAGTGACGGAATAGATCAGTAAGTCCAAGGAGATAGCGAAAGCGTCGTACCGAGTCATCTTCCTGTTCAGTAGTCAGATAAGAATGCTCACTGCGAGAGAGGGATCGCGCGAATTGAACAGCACACTAACCTTGGATTCATTCAAGCGATTGTGCTTTTTTCCAAACATACTCTTTCGCAGCTGGAAAGCTTCTGAGCGCCTCTTGCGCCCATCGGTATCCCCAGCTATACTACTGGCTGAAGTGTTCGGGTCCATATCTGAGTCCTGAAACACGTATTAGCTCGCGTTCCCATGCACAACTTTTTTTCGAACTCAGGTCGCGTACCGTGTAGTCCGGTGTGTCTTGAAAATCCTGTACCATATGACTGTCAGCTTTGCGCGCGATTTAATTGGCAGGTTTTATGAGAATTCCGTCTGGCGGTCAGGCGCGCGTGAGAAAGTTATAGAAATCGCGTCGAAACCACTTACATTCGCGCCATTGCCGTTCGCGTTACCATTCACGTCAGAAGCGTCGGCCATGGACGTATCTTCGGTCGAAGGCTCCTCAGAAGGAACATTGCGAGTGCGCGAGGGCGCCATGCTGCCGGCCTGAGCCTGCTGGGGCTCTTTGAAGATATAAATTAATGCTGCGGAGGTGCCTCACGACGATATTTGATGTTAGAAGGGACGTGATTGTAGGACGTGATGATTTGGTGGACGTGTCGTGGTTTGAAGAAGGTGGTCTACGTTTGAAAGAAGTGAGAGAATGAGGGTGGTGGGTTTAGAAGTCAAGGTGTAGAAGGTAAGGCAAGGAACGCGCTTACGCTTCTTGTCTTGGCGACATTCATTCCCGACTATCTAGCTACAATTATGGACCCAGTCACTTCTACGCAAATCCATAATCCTTGTCCCTCCAAGTCACGCTCACGCTCTGTGTTTGCAACCTATGAATAGACCTGGTATTCTTGCATTGCTTGTGGGTAACTTGAAGACATGAAAGTCATCGCTATTCACTTTAGATGATAGACAAAGTAGACAGACTGAAAATAGAATTCAGAAACCTACGACTACAAAGTATCAAAGACTCCGATTCATGTAACTGTTGTTTCTTAGTAGTGATAAGCCATCAAAAAATGCTTCTCACAGATATGATGGATATCTGGGGTAAGTCTTGTATACTTCGCCATGTTTATAGAATCGTGCTATAGCCCGGCTGAGCTGTATTACGCGTTTCGGTCATCTCCACCGGCCACCTAATCCAGAAAGGATTGAATAGGGGAGCATCAATGGCCGTATCTCACCTGAGCTGGGTATGTTGTATATTACTAGCCGTATACATGGTTGGCCGTGATAGGGGCTCCTACGATGAACCAGAAGAACAGGATATGGTCGCACGCGCCATGCACACCATAGCAAAAGCCATCAGCGATACATCCTGTGAGCTTTTGGAGAACAATGTGTACAGCGTCTAAAACTGGTGTTTGTTATCCAGTTGACTCATATGCACATGTGAATCAAGCATAGACATGATTCTGAGTGCAAAAGGCCATGCGGTCACCTCAGTGCATCACCATGATTGCCCAGCGTTTCCCCGGGTATGAGACTATCTATGGTTAACCAGTTGAGTTGAAGTTAAGGTTGTGCAAACGGGGAATGGGATACAACATGAATTTATCGTAATAAATGCTCTGCCAGCCGATGTAAACAATGACATCAGAGGCGTATAGACACCAGAATAGCGCCAAAGCTTCCTCCATGCTTTGCTATTGCCGTTCCGTTGATGCAAAAATACAATGAGTGAACAGGCGCTGACGAGATTCCAGCCGTTGGTGACAAGAGATTTAGGTATGCAAAAAAGTGGCGGATTGCTGTCTAGGGACGAGGTTGGAGCACCACGTGACTTGTACTTGCCTCTTTTGGACTCTAGCGCCTTGGCAGACTTATAAGGGTCGCCCTCTCAAATGGCTCGACCATAGCAAGCTTCACAAAATATGAACTGTATTCAGGATTCGTACAAATGCCTGTTAACTAGACTTACCCTCTACCAGCGCTTATACAGCACATCTCCACCATCCGTACTACTCATACCGGCCTTAGAGACGTCAACAATGCCTGCATCCAAGAGTTCCTCAACCAGGGAGAAGATCATGCCATCGCATCCTTTTGCAGCCATGAAGTCAACCGTCAAGGGCAAATACTCCACGTGTTTAGTGATTGTGGAATTGTAGGCGGTTTGTCCGACTTCATAATGTTAGCATTGCATGGATTAAGACGATATGCACCTACTGGGAACAACCATGTCTGGAACCTCCGCCATGACAGATATTCGACTGGTCGCGAAACCCAAAGGAACTCCTGGAAGGTCACGATATTCGTTCCTGTACGTCGTCGACCCGCCAGTCGGATATAGCATAAGTGAATTCGAGCATGTCTCTGCGTCTGGTGCTAGAACCCTACTGTTGAACCAGTCCATGAACGTGGTCTTGTTCGCTACGGCTTGCTCGATGGTCTCTGCCGATGTGTCTCCATAGCCCCATCGGCTGATGGGTACTGGGTCAACGAAAGGCTCACGACCGCCGTGACCTATTGCATAATCGGCGTAGAAAGGATCCCGTACAAGACGTGTTTGCTCTTTTGCTATCATCAGAGCATATGTGGTATTCAGAAGCTCCGAGAGTGGAGCAGACGAGGGGTTATCGACTGCCCAGGATGTGGCAATGTCGAAGGCAGATACTCGAGCGCCTCCTAAGAATCTTGAAAGCTTGCTCAGGAATCGAAGGTACGTGAGACTATAGTCGTCGGTACTGTTCGACGGAGGAAAGTCCAATGTCAAGAGATTTGATGGATACAACGATGTGAACGTAACGTTTTCTTTGTACAGGGCCTTGGCGGCAGCCGACCAGATCTTCGGATCCCTCGTGAGCAAGCCAGCTGTATCTAGCTGCGGAGCCAAGGGCATAGTGTTATCAAGTTCAACAAGCCCCCAAGTTGGTCTGTTTCCAAAGAGACCTTGCGCAGCACTTGGGCCTCGCACTGATCCTCCAGTGTCCGATCCCAGCGTAAAGTCAAGCCACTCGTAAGCGCCTTCTCCAGCACCAGGTCCAGTCGATGAGGATGATCCATCCTGATAGCCATCACCACGAGGGTTGAAGGGTGAATGATAGTCGACCCAGTCCGCAGTCGCCGTCTCGCCATTCGCAAATTGGCTAGTCTTCATCTTTCCAACAACGACTGCCCCAGCCTCAATCAAATTCTGCACGGGAAGGGCAGTCTTGTTGGCCGCAGGATACAGATGGTACCAGGCACGATTTCCATTGCTGGTCTTCAAGCCTGCGATATTATAGATATCCTTCACGCCAAGGCGGAGCCCGGCCAATGGTTTCTCGATAGTTTTGGCAAAGTATAGACGGGAAGGAACTGCCACAGCCAGAGACTGGCCAGGGAGATTAGCTGGCAAAACGTAGTGAGATCCATCAAGACCTGTGAAACTTGTTTCGGTGAAAGCGCCTTGGACATCGGAGTACAGCTTGTACGCTTGATGGAGGGTTCCTGTAGACGTGACAAAATAGGGGCCGCAGGGTATCGTGGTGGTGTTCAATGTCAAGGAGCGGACTACAATGACCCCTGGTCCATAATCAACACGACTGTGGTTGCGCGCCATATTACCCTGGAGATATAAAGCTCCCAGGAAGCCGCTCTGAAACACATCGTCTTCAGTCTCCCATTTGGCTGCCAATGCTGCAAGTTCCTGTTGAGTAGAAACGTGTGATGCAGGCGGAAGGACAGTGATTGGTGTTAGACCAAGTGGTAGCGCTCTGCCTAGCCAAGAAAGCTTTCCAACGACATCAGATGGGACATAGTAATGGATATCGTTTAGTATGACGGTCTGTCCAGTGGTCGAAAACGATGTAGTGGCCGCAGCGAGTGAAATGAACAATGTGAGCAATGCTACGATCAAGGTCCGAGGCATAATGACTGAACTCAGACTAGATGCCATAACAAGGGAAACTGGGATCGAATTGACCGAGAGAAACGCTGGGGCAAGGCAGCCATTATATTACACGATCAAAGCATGAAGCCTTACGAGGTACCTAGACGGCGATCGCACGCCGTGAGGAGCCTGAGCCCCTACAATTGGTCGTCAGAGCGTCGACAAACAGAGCGAACGGGGTCCTCATTGGAACGACGAGGCCCATACCTGACATAGCCGAGTCAGAAATATGTTGGATGACGCGAGTGTTGTTCACCGTGTGGGCATTTCCTAGAAGTTGAACCGCTCTGAGCGTTATACGGCCCGGGCCATATAGTCAATATATGATACAAAAAACTCACAAATACGACATAATTGGACTCAAGTAGCATTGATGTTCAATGCGCGACCGATGATTGTGACCATTGGAATTTGTTGTCATATCAGCGTATCTCGTTTGTAGACGGGCGTTATCTCTGCCTTGCCCACTTGTTTTAGTGGGTATGATTCGGCCGAGATTAATTACAAGGGAAGAAATCCATGCACTCTTGGCAGCAGTAATCTGCCAATTCAGATACGCGTAACCAGAAACATGGCTAATAGATGTTGACTCTTAGGGTGCCTAATAGCTCAGCTTATACGTGCGTGAATGCAATTTTCTATATACTTGAAGATGGCTATGTCTAACCGGGAACGTTCTCCGCAATTCGTTTGCCGTCCCGCCCTAGAACGCCTACTGCTCTTTCTGCTACCTTATCTGGCACGGCAAAAAGTTTACTTATAGCTTCGAGTGTCGTATTACCTCCACTGAACACAACACCGATATTCCAGCCCTCTGGACCAGCCTCCTCCTCGACCAATTTGCGGAAGTCCTCATTATATAGACAGACGGCAATGGCTACAGCAGCGCTGGGCTCGATGAAGACTTTCATACGCTCCATCACGAGCTTCATTGCCGCTTTAATCTGCTCCTCAGTGACGCTATACACACCACGCACTTTATTGTTGTCCGAGATGATGGTCCACGGAATCTTGCCCACCGGTGTCCGCAGCCCGTCTGCGATCGTCAAAGTCTTCACAGAAGTAATTCGTTCGCCCTGTGCGAGTCCTCTTTCTGCATCGTTTCCTCCTTCAAAGCGTGGCTCTGCACCAAAGACGAGTGTTCCCGTACCTGAAAGTGCAGTTGCGACCCCTGACAGCATTCCTCCTCCTCCACAGGGCGTTATGACGGCGTCGAGATTCTTGTCTTTACTCCTACCCGTAACACTGAGCTGAGGTTCTTTGTGTATTAAGTCGTCTACCTGGCTTTCAAGTTCCAGAGCCATTGTTCCTTGTCCAAGCATGATGTTGGGATGGTCGTAAGGAGGGACCATTATGGCACCGGTGCGAGCAATTACGTCATTAGTGACTGCTTCCCGCTCCTGTGAAGTCGAGCCACTGAAGATGACTTCTGCGCCGTAGCCTTTCGTACCGGAAATCTTAGAAGGTGTTGAGATAGTAGGCATTACGATGTAGGCCTTCACGCCGCGAGTGCGGGCGGCGAGGGCTAAGGCTTGTGCATGGTTCCCTAGCATCTCGTCAACATGACTGTGAAACAACGACTCTGCATCCAGCAGGTGTCTTACCTGAGCTATGCGTAACCACGCCTTTGCTCAGCTCTTCTTCCGTCAGCCTGGACAGCGCATGGAACGCCCCTCTGGCCTTGAAAGCGCCAATCTTCTGATAGTTTTCACACTTGAAGAAGAACCGTATCTTCGGCCTCGCAGGTTGCTGGCCTTCCCACTCAGTGCCTTTCAATACATCTTGGGATTGAGGTTCTGAAGCGAACCCCGAAAGCGTTGTAGAAGTCAGCACGGGTGTTAAATGGATGTATTGCTTGATCCGTTCGTGTGCTTCTTGCACAGATGTGCGCGTCAAGGGCGGCGTTGCGGAGATGTCACCCATTGCGAATGCGATGAGGGGTCAACGGCAGAATAGAGGACAGCGGGACAGGTTGAATGAAGCCGTTGAACGCTGAGTCATCTCCAACAAAGATCATGTTTTCCATACTTATCCTCGACTAGGCCCGAAGCTTCTAGACTAAGGATATTAGTCAAATGGAGTCCGCACTTTCAGAGTTGCTGACATCGGCTTCGTGAGACAGAGGAGAAGAACAAGAAGACGACGACGACGGCGACGATGACGCTCAGGCCAAACTAAATATTTGACCAGTTCTCCGATTCAAGCCTGCCAACGAAGATGGCAAGACGCAAATCCTGCTTGCATGCACCATACGACAGTATTCCTGAAGACAAGCGTCCTGTCATGGGATTTGAGCAATGTGACATGTTGACGCTGAACTGAGAAAGTTCCTCAGTAAATGTTGAAATAATTGCCGTATTCAGACTAGCGTAAATGCGCGCCCCAACCTCATGATTCGGAGATTCCCATGTCCAGAGAGATTGACCTCAACTCCTGCAATCATCATCGCTGTTCCCTGCAATATGCTAGGCTACATCGGGCTGAAGACGCTGCCCCGGTATAAGACATTTCAATCCCAAGAATTCGGTGAATAGACATCTGGAAATGCTCCAGTGTCCTATCCCTTTCGTCTTCGAGAACACAAGCCACCAACCACAACCACCCAAACCAGCAGCTCGTCCCCTCCAAATCTCCCCCAGTACAACCTGATCAAACCCATCACCACCCAGATTCCACACAACTACAACAGCAACAACCAAATTCCCCATCTCTCAATCAATCCGCTGTGCCGGGTCGTGTGTATCCCCATGTGCCACCATGTGCCTTACTTCCCTCCCTTTCTCCCAACCCCCCCTGGCGCCAGCTAGCTAGCTAGCTACTTCTGGGTTCTGACAGGACGACGACGACAACCATGACGGTAATAAGCGAAAAGAAGTCGGGTATCGTCGCACTCGTCCGTGCCGTCTATGTATTTGTGTCTCCGCTATCCTTTCCGATCATGGAAAGGGATTGGGGGGTAGGGGACCGGGAACGGTGAAACCCTCAGCCATTTGCACCGTGACGATGGATTGCTTGTCTCACGAACAAACGGCAGCAGCGGCTGTGGCGGTGGTGCCAAGCTAATGTAACGCACAATCTTACCATCTTCAGGGTTTTAGCAGCTGAATTTGGGGGGACTGGTGTGTTATTTACCATATGGACTTCCAGATATATGGATGGATGGATACGTAGGGCGTATATAGTGCTCAGGAAAATAGGTCTCTTGGCGATGTCGCACACACTGGGTGGCTGCTGCTAGGAGTACCGCGAGACTGACAAGCTGTCGTTGTGTACATACGGAAAAAAATTGTAATTTCCAGAGGGGCGAGACAAGACTTCGCAGACATACTGATATCACAGCTTTAATGTCCAAAAGAAGGAAAATTAGGGCTGTGGTTTCTCGTCTGCTGCAATGCGATGTCACAAAGTTACCATTTGAGTGTATTTATTAACATTCATTGTGTCATTATTAGGAAGTCTAAAGGTTAGGAATAATCCTTAGCAATACAAATGACAAGTCGAGTGAAGCCTCAGGCTCTTCCAAGCCTAGACTGTCATCTCTCACTGCATCTCGGCACATGACGCTACTTGCCACAAGACTTCTCCTTCAGCACATCGAACAGCGGCGTGCCAAGGCCGGTGACAGGATCCCAGCCCTTGGTAGCATTCCATGAGGCGTATGGTACAAAGGGCGTCGGCAGGCCAGAGTAGATATCTCGGCCGGTACAGCCAGTTGAGCCGCCGTTGACGATATCAGTAAAGCCCTCTTTACCACCAGAGTAGATCCACGGGTTCAGGAATCCAAGCTTGGGCTTGCCAGCATCGATCCTTGCGCTGTTGAGATCCGCAATGATACCAGCGACAGCAGGGCAGGAGGCAGATGTTCCACCGACGAGAATGTCGAGACCCTTGTCAATAACGTGGAAACGGTTGGACTGTGCCGCAAGGTCCGGGAAACCGCGACCCGTAGGATTATACAGACCCTTCCAACGGTCGCCAAGGATGCTCAGGTAGCCTTTCACGGCCGAATCCTGGTATGATGGCCGAGGGAATATATCAGAGAAGCCACCGGACGAGAAGCCAATCGCGACTTCGGGCTCAACCTGAGTAGTTCCTCCGACAGCTGTCACGTAGGGACAAGCAGCTGGAAAGATTGGCAGGAAGCGAGTGGTGTTCTTCCCATCGTTGGTCTGGCAAGCCGAACCGACGCCAGTGTCACCAGAAGAGTGAAGGACTGAAACACCTCGAGCGCCGAGATGTCCGTACATGTCACAAACAGTCTTTGCGTACTCTTTGGGCACACTCTGTTCATCCTCACCATATGAAGTTGTGAGGACTGAAGGGAGATCTTTGTCGGGTAGAGCAGATAGGTACTTCAAGAACTCCATATAAGGTTCATTCTGGTTGTCTTCTGGGTTTGGCTGGTCCAAATCAGGGACGAGGATACCACGACCGCCGGTTGAGTAGAATTTCTGGGGGATTGGCGCAGATAGACCAACGGTATATTGTATGTCAAGACTGGCCTCAACGCTGTCTGAAGTGCCAAGTTGATCAGTCGTGCCTCCGTTGATGCTCGTGACAGTGAAGCTTTGATTGATGGCGTTCTGAGCATACAGAGTCTCGAACTGTGCTAAGTCTGTGAAACGTGCAAGCTGGTCCAGGTATCCTGTCACACCAACAAAGCCGTTCTTAGGGTTTGCTTGGAAGTTGCCAACCTTGTAAAGACTCCTGAGACAGGCAGGCGTGATTGTGGTATTGCAAACAGCGGCAGCGACATCGTCGACAAGACTCTGAGCGCTGAGAGCACCCGGAACATCCTCGACCTTCTCTATGCGGTGAACAGAATTGAATTGAGGGCGGAGCTGGCCAAACCGGGTAGTCGGTTGAATCATACGAACATATTGATGGAGTTTCTCTGGTACAGAGTACTCCAGTGTGCGAATCTTTGAAACACCTTCGCGGACGGTACTTGCATAGGTCTTGAATTGCGACTTCAGAATTGCCTCAGCCTGGTTAATGGTAGCAATGAAGCTGATCCATTCACCATCATCCTCGATCTCGTCAGCTTGGATGCCAGAGGTCGTCAGCCAGTCGATGACGGAATCAGTAGCTTCCTTGGAAGGCCGGATGAGATCCTTGAGCTCCTCACGCTTCAAGTGCTGGCCGTACTTTGGAGAGCCTGGAGTGGAGATCTCGTAGAGAGTCTGCTCAAAGAGACCAGGGTTTGGCTCCTTGATAGCAATGCGGAAAGCCATGCGCGTGTCCGGATCTGGAACGCCAATCGCTTTCCAGCCCTCTGGAACAGCATGAAGACTTTCCATAACGGCCGACCTGACACGGCTGATGGTACTCCTGCCATGGACAGCAGCAGTCAGGGACAGAAGCCCTGTGACGAGTGCGAAAGCCCTCATGGCTGCAGATTAGGAATTTAGGATAAAGCAATTGGTGAAAGAGAGTCGGGGCTCAACGGGTATGAGCTTGAGACGTCTGTTGGCAGCGAGGAGAGGAGTCTGCCAGACAGGTGGGCTGAACGGAGAAAAGGGAGAGCATGTCGGGGAATGGGTAATGATATAGGTGCTATGCACCTAGGTACAGGTCCATTGGAGCGATCTGCACCTGGCCCAAAGAGAGGGAGGTACCTGCCTGTTCTACAATCCATAGTTCCAGTGTAATGTTGTGTGCAGAGACAGGTGGAGAAGCAGGTGGGAGGGGGTATGGGGGGCATGGGGGGCTTGGGGGGGAGGTACGGAAGTACAGAAAGGGAGAGAGGAAGCAGAGACCAGACATGTCCCGAGTGGATGAGGCGGCGCCTGTACACAACGAAGCTTGTAACTCACACTTATCTGCCCTACAATGAATGGTGTATGGGCTATGCTTATGAGGTTGAGCTTCCTCTTTAGGCGGTAGATCGTCTGTAGATTTCTACCATCTCTGTGGACGCCTCGACATGGAGCTATACCTAGTCCTCTAACCTCGGACAAGAGACAAGAGCTTCTGAGAGTCTTTGGCATCAGTCGATCTGTTTGACAAGTCTGACAGTAATAGGATACGCGGAGTGTGTCGATTGACGGGCCATTACAGGCACAATTTCATGGAGGACCGTGACAGTGATGATGACGGCGATGGAAGGACATTGAGAGTCTCGTGAGAAGCATCACTATCGCTGTTATGACTATACCTTGTCATGATCGTCATGCACGCGACATCGACCTGCCAGTTTCCCATCTGTGGCGCGGGCGGTTGTCGAACGGCGCAGACCGAGTGGGGAATGACGTCCCAGCTAGGCAATCCACCCTACAGAGCAGATTAAGCTGTGGAGAGCGATAAAGGTAGATTAAATCCTTCCAGATATCAATAACAAGTACTGGACCCTCTGCCTGCCCCTATTGTCTCTATCTCGGTCTCGTACCTTTCAGTGTTAGCTAACTATTAATTGTTATCCATATTAACCCACGGGCGCAAAGGGTCCAGACGCGGGGCGGGCAGTCGAAGTATTAATCGACAACTGGGTTTTGCCCTGTTCCTGTGAATGCATCGTCCACCGAATACTGCCCTCCTAAGTTGACGCTGGCAAGTACCTACCTAGCTAGGCAATCCACTAATTCTCGGCTGCCCAGTCGCCCCGCCATCGCCGCCATCGCCGCTACCGTTCCCACTAAGCCCTGGCTCTCGGCTTGCGCGATTCAAGCATTCTTGGTCCTGCAGCCAGCATTCTTGGGACTGGGATGAGGCATCGTCAGCCCCCAACAGGACGATACGTACGTACTGTACATAATCACTTTGCGGCACATGTGGCGTAATTACCACTTGTCCCTCACCGCTAGTACTAATCCTACATCGCCCTTCTCCCTTCGAGAATAGATTGATTCTTGGACGTCTAATCAATGGATCAGCTCTTTTCCGTGTGTCTGCTTTGGTGTGTGGGAGAGAACGTAAGAAGAATTCTCGTGATGTTGTCAGTATCAATGCATCTTCCCTTCGCCAGCCCAATCGATGGCAGCTTAATTATGCTCTTGTTGTCTGCTTTGAGTGAGCCCATGCGCAACTGTCCATCCGCATTACCGCCAAAGCTCTTATAGCGCAGCGCCGCTTGATGATTTCGTTCTTTCGACTTCGTTTGAGGCTCGTGCCTAAAAAAGCAAAATGCTGCTGCCGCTTCTCATATTCCATGCTCTTTCTCTGCCACCGCCATGGACGGCTATTGACTTCCAAAATCTATATTTCCGTTACCTCGGTAAGGAATAGTGTAGATGAAATCCAATTCGCAAGGCACGCCGGAGAGCGTGATACTGAAGCACAGCTGGCATATTGTCCCTAGTGAGTCATCATTAGTGGAGTGAGCAGCATTAACTCGCGCCCTTTTACACGACTGCACCACCAGTACTCTGGGCAGCAACATGAAGAAGGCGCTTCCCAATGTCGTTACTCTTCGAACCTGATAAAAAGGCTTGGGCAAGAGCATCCAGACATGTCTTAGGCGAGGCTGAAATGAGACAATATGTGGGAAATTCGTGACAGTGGACGATTGCGTGCTCGAAAATCATGAAGGATAGAATCATGAAGGATAGAATCATGAAGGATAGTGGCACTTATATCTGTTCCGCTAGGAGTCGAAAATTTTCCAACACCGATAATGCTACTGCCAATGTGGAGAAGAAAAGTCCAGGCTGATGCAACAGCGAACCTACTCTTATCTTCGGACTTGGTGCAACGCGCCTAGTTTCACGGAGAGGCAGCGTTCTTTCAAGTCTGCGAAATATACTCGGAGCTCCTGGTGACGTGCTATTTCGATCTAGCGGTGCAGAGAAACATGATGGGTATCACTCAAGGTGCTAAAGACGACCACTTGCGAGCGCGTCGACTCAAAACTCGTACATGATTTCTGTCTACTGCAAAAGATGATATCCGGCAAGAATCTATCCAGAAAGAAGAAGGGAGCTAGTGTAAATATCCATGAGTGGCGTTTCTAGTTTTTAGGATGAGCATTTGCCTCTTCCGTTTGGCTCCTGAGCAAATTGATGTAGGGCAGTGCCTAATCTAAGAATGCGAACGATTATCCAGGTTCAGACTAATGGAAGTTTGATGAAGTAAAGGCACTTGCAAAAGTTGATGTTAGTTACATACCTAGGATAGCCTTTCCATAATGAGGCACATCACGTAAGTGGAGCTTAGAACCGGTGGGGCGCTTGAGTGGTTGGAAAAGCGTCTTAGGCTGTCCCTCCTGAACTTGCAGTCAGCACACTCCCCCTTAATACCATGAGTTACTCAGAATGATACCTAGGTACTCAAGGACGGGATGCTGATACTGCAGGGTGTATAATCTCGTTTGACACATTGGTGATAGTGCGTACGAAATCACAACTATGCTGCAGGGCACAAACTGTGATAGACTGCTGGAGTTGTCAATGATTTGACCGGACAGGGAACGTGCAAGTTCTCTTCATGCCATGAATCTCAGGGTGAATCCAATTCATATTATTATTCGAGTTCAAGATTTGGATCAGACGAACATGAAGGACTGGTTAATAAACTATCTAGTTGTAGTTCATCGTTCTACTGCTTGAGTCGTGCTTATAGTTACTGAAATGGGCTGAGTCGTACTTGGCATGAACTTGAACCTACCAATCATGATGTACTGTCAAGTGAATACTTGGCATTTTCATCACGCTTCAAAATCGATCCATATTCCATCAAGAGTCTTTGATTTCCCTGCAGGAACAACAGCAGACCAGATCTGGAAACAAGCTCGAGTTGGAAAAGTGGTATGACTGCAAGATAATGAGGGGAGCAGGGATCCATGCGAGTGAAGCTGCAGCAACATGCTGAAACCAATAACTCTTTTAATTACAACATGACATGTGAAGTCCCTTCTGCAAGAAAAGAGTTTAGTGCTGAGCCGTCCTGGCCGCATCAGGATATGTATCATTTTGTTCATGCGAAGCGATCAGCGTTGCGTAGTCTTAGTGGAAATGGCGGGATTGAGAAGAGTCGTGTCGACATAGCAGCTCTTCAAACGCCTGTGCTACTTGTATAAGAGACTGAAGTTCATGATTTTCAGAACAAACCAGCCTTCATCTGTAAACAAGCTCTTCGGTCCTCTCTTCTGCTCTCAACGTCGAAAAGAACCCACCTTCTACTTTTCTTGGCATCAATATGCGTTTCTCGATCATCACATCCGTCCTCTTCGGCGCAACTGTCATTGCGTCACCTGCAACAAGACGCCAGGAACTATCCGACACTGGTGCTCTTGCCGACCGGTTCAGTTCGCTTCTCGCCAATGTTGGAGCCCTGGGCTCACAGGGAACGTCTCTTGAAGGTGCCACACAGGGAACGTCTCTCGAAGGTGTCACACAGGGAACGTCTCTCGAAGGTGTCACACCGGGAACGTCTCTCGAAGGTGTAACCACTGGAGGCCAGGAGACACCTGATATAGGTGCTGTGGCTGGTTGGGTTCAATCTCTCATCTCTACGCTTCAATCTTCTCTGGACACTCTCCCAGGGCAGCAGGATGGCATCGTCGGCAGACGTCAGGAAATACCTGACACGGGAGCCCTGGCCGACTGGTTCGAACTACTGATTACCGACCTTGCCAGTACCCTTACGACACTGCCAGAAGAACTAGTGGGTATTTTGGTTGGCGCATAGGAGGAATGAAGGGAAGCGAAACGGTTAAGCATTCTTTGGTCGGGGTATGAAGGGTCCTCATGTAGGAGGGATGATTGACTGCACTAGCGTCAGGATTCAGTAATTAATGTCTAATGTTACACTCCACACACCATCCTGTTGCGATGTCAATTGCTGCCCTGTGTACTTCATCATGTATGTCCAAGAGCGGGCATCAAATGAATAAGCTAGAATAAGCTGGGAAGATGACACTGCTGCTCAGTGGTAATGACTTTAGACTGTGCCACAGATTGAGACTTGCTTGTCAAGGCTGGAGACCCAGGACGGGTGAGGCTGCAGGGGCGCACTTGGCAACGTGCTTGCCGTGGGCGGCTTGTGCCGTCATTTGGCTGGCTGCCGGGCCTTTTTTTCTGACGCGGTTCGAGCCTGCAAGGTGCTTTCAATTGCCAATTCTTTGTAAGTAACTATGTATGAAGATGTTTAGCAAGGATAAGACAGACATGTATATGATATATCTGACTCGCAAGCATGAAGCTACAGTAGCTACAAGCTCAAAGTCCACCTCAACCAGCCGTGCAAAAATCGATGTTTTGCTCGTGGCGTCGCGTAAGCTTGTCCCGAATAGGAAGGAGAGAGATGAGTGGAGAAGGCTGCTTTGGAGTCTGAACATCTCCCATATCGTCCCGTATAACACTGAGACTCTGAGATACAGTATGACGCTGATGCCCGACGCCTGGCCCCCATGAACGACAAGGTATGGCTTTGTATCGGGCATAGCTCGTTCATCGCATGCATTGGTGCCATGGTGCTAGGTTGTCGCTGACGTTGTAAAGAAAAGGAAATTGGTCTGGCGATATCATGGTCCAAATACTGTTTGATGGTACTATACAGTTCGTAGTACACTCGTACCTGGAAGCAATCGAAGTCTTAGTAAGGCCGATGGCCAACAAACCAGCGGCAGCTTTGAATCCAGCGCAATACGAGCATAGACTGTTGCACCGGCAATTGGAATATAGGATGCACTCGCAAGCATCGACATGCCAGGCAGGGGTCTCAATTGCAACTACACGCGATAAATGAACGCCACTATCTGTGTACCGTCTCTGCACCATCTCCGAGGTGGCATCATCTCTCGGCCATCGATCTGGGCCAGACTGTTTTATTGCTAGCTCTCCCGAAGACGTCAGTTCGTGCATCTAAGTTGCTTGATTGGACATGGCCACCTCAGGTCAACCCGAAGTGCCCTCAAGCTTCAATCCGACGACCCGGCAGAAGTGTACGAGCTGCAAGCTGGATGCTACATTGCTACCCTGGTGGCCAAAATAAAATGCCACTGGCCCGCCGTCGACGGAATGGTAGCTTGTCCTCTCCAAGCTTCCGGAGAACCTCTTGGTCCGTTAGCTTGTAGTTAGCCCTGCTTCAATTGACCTGGGAACAATTCACATTGGTTAGTACAGCATCTTCCAGATACCTTTACATGGCTTCAGAGCTATGCACCTTTGAGTTGCCCTAGACTTTGCCAATTACCCTCCGAAATCGACTTTCCAAAGATGTAAGATGCTCAGAACTCTGCTAAATCAGGTCAGAAGAATATATATTCAGTAGACACAATGTGGTCTCCAGCAGTCCTCCTTACTTGCGCTCTTGCTGGCTTCACTGCTGCTCGCGATATCCGCCATGTGGGAACAAAGGCTGCCAGCAGAGTCCCCGAGTCTCCTCGTCAGAAGTTTGGTCGCATGCCACAGCCAATCCATACCAGGAGAGACACCAACTCGCTCTTGATACCGCAGAATGACAACACCACTAGTATGTTTTGCTCTTGTCATATAGATTGTACGACTGACTGCGGACATAGAATACGCTGTTGATGGTACTGCCCTTCCAGATGTCGATTTCGACATCGGCGAGTCCTACGCTGGCCTTATGCCTACAGGAGCAGACTCATCTCGCGAGCTTTACTTCTGGTTCTTCCCTACTGCCAATTCTGAGGGACAGGATGACATCACCATTTGGTTGAACGGAGGCCCAGGCTGTAGTTCCCTCGAAGGCTTCCTGCAGGAAAATGGACCAGTTCTATGGCAGTACGGTACCTACAAGCCTATCAAGAACTACTGGACTTGGGTCAATTTGACCAACATGGTCTGGGTTGAGCAGCCGGTTGGAACTGGTTTTACACAAGGTGAACCGGTGGCAACCAGCGAAGAAGAAATTGCTGATGAGTTTCTTGGCTTCTTCAAGAACTTTATCGACACCTTTGGCTTGCACAACAAAAAGATTTACGTCACGGGCGAGAGCTATGCTGGTCTCTATGTTCCCTACATCGCAGATGCCATGCTGAATCAGGAGGATACCACCTACTATAACCTGACTGGTACTTTGATTTATGACCCGGTAATTGGCGAACGAGACCTTCAAACGGAGGTCGTGGCAGTTCCATTCGCTGACAAGTGGTCTGGCCTCTTCAACTTCAACGAATCTTTCAATGACGACCTCCATGATCGCTTCGACTCTTGTGGGTACAAAGACTACCTGAACAAGTACCTCACCTACCCCCCTCCAGGCCCCTTTGATGCTCCACCAGATTCTTCGGTTGAGGGCTGCGATCTCTGGGGCGACGTCCTGAATGCTGTTTTCCTTACCAATCCTTGCTTTGATCTCTACCAGATCGCTACTACCTGCCCACTCCTCTGGGACGTCCTCGGTTTCCCGGGCTCCTTTGACTACCTTCCTGAAGGCGCTTCCATATACTTCAACCGTACTGAGGTGCAAAAGGCCATCAATGCGCCCATCCAAGAGTGGGCTGAATGCGTGGATGGCGTCCTCGACACTGACACTTCCCGCCCGGTCACCCTTTCCGTCTACCCCGGAGTCATCGAGCGCTCGCAACGCACAGTCCTCGCCCATGGTAACCTCGACTACGTGCTCATCGACATGGGTGCTCGTCTGGCTATCCAGAACATGACCTGGGGAGGTAAACAGGGCTTCCAGGATGAGCCCTCCGACGACTTCTACGTTCCATACCACCCAGATGCCAGCCTGGGGACGCTGGCTGCTGCAGGCAATCTGGGCATTACGCATACGGAGCGCGGGTTCACATGGGTAGAGACGTTCTTGTCAGGACACATGGTACCGCAATATGCGCCAAGTGCGGCGTATAGGCAGTTGGAGTACTTGTTGGGTCGCATTGACAGTCTGACGGAGGTCAGCGACTTCAGCACTTAGTAGGACGGTTACCAGCCAGTAGATGTAGAAGCGCAGTAGTCGTATGAGGCGTATCAATGCATCTGATGATCAATTGCCATTCAAAGCATATGTGAGTGAAGTGAAAAGGACAACATCGGGATGAGCAGGCATCGTGGCGCGGCTTCAACGCATCCGACGCGGCAACGCCTATCCATGCCTCCCTCCCACATGCTCTGATCCCTAGCCTTGCGCTATCTCCGCCCTATGGATCAATGGCTCTCCGGCAGTAGTAGTATCAACGTCTGCTCCAGCCTCAGCCCCACGAACACAACGTAGAATATCTATCCAAGTGAAGAAAGTGGATGCCTGCTAGTTGCTAAGGTACGAGAGAACCTTGCGGCGACCGCAGACGCCACTCCCACCATTCCCGCCAGCCCTGCAGCAAAGATTCTCAGGGACCTTCGACCGCCGAATCTCACCCACCGACGCGCCTCGGAATCTGACTTTTCCCACAGCCTGATCCATATCTTTCTACGGCCGCATGATCGCCCGAGTCCGGGTGATGTGCTGATATAAAGACGCATTGCGCTATCGCGCATTCTTTGGAAGGCACCCGATATCTACGGTCAAATCCCGGTATTTGCGTAAACATATATACAGCGACATGGCGGAAACACCTGTTATGCAGACCCCCGTGCAGACGTATGGCAGTATACCTGGCGAAAACGAGCGCGATCAGCCGAAGCAGTTTCCCCCGCGTACGTCACTAGTGCCACAGCCTGTGCGTTTTGACTCACGTTGCACGAAGTCACTGACTTGGGGAGTACAGACACTTTCACATTTGCGACCAGGACTTCGTCGGGGAGTCGCGTGCCCCAAGCCATCGCACACCGGGGTTACAAAGCAAAGTTTCCAGAGAACACGCTCGGTGCTTTCAAGGGCGCCGTGGATGTTGGTGCAGATGCGATCGAGACCGACATCCATCTGAGTCAGGACGGAGTCGTGGTTCTGAGCCATGTACGCTTTTCCCCAGCTCTTTTGAAGAGATGTGGCACTGACTGCAACCTAGGACGCCGACCTCCAGCGCTGCTTCGGCCAGCCCGATAAGATCATCACGCGGGACTGGTCTTACCTCTCTACACTACGTACACTTGCAGCACCGCACGAATCCATGCCACGATTGAAAGACCTACTCGAGTACTTGACACAGCCAGGCTGCGAGCATATATGGGTGTTACTAGACGTCAAAGTAGACAACGATGCGGAGGAAGTAATGAAACGTATTGCAGAGACCGTACACAGCGTACCAGCAGTTGACAAGAGACCATGGCACGAACGTATTGTAGTAGGAATATGGAGTGTACGTTCGCCTTCCCCCTCTTTGTTTGCCCTTTCACACAGCCCTGAGTCACAAAGACTAACCTCGCGCTCAGGCATCGTGGCTCACCCAGACCCACACTCACCTCCCCCTGTATCCCGTAACGCACATTTCCTTCTCTCTCCTGACATCTTCGCGCCTCCTATCAGTACCGAACATCTCGTTCAATATCCCCCACTTCATTCTGCGCATCCCCTTCTTTGGACGTCGCTTCGTCCGCCGCGCACACTCGCCTTAATATAATCGGCCGGTCTACGCATGGACGGTGAATACACCACGTATCATGCGGTGGGCTGTGAAGATGGGGCTAGATGGTGTGATTACAGACAATCCAGAGCTATTCTTAGGGGTCAGAGATGGAACAAAGAATGGATCAGAGGTACAAGACAAAGAAGGTGCGGTGTGGAGGGATGTTTTCAGATTGCTGTGGATCAATCTATTCGCGCTGACTATAGGGACCTATTTCAGTTGGAAGAGGGGGTTGGGAAAGATTCCAAAGGAGTTTTTGACGAGAGGGAGATGACAATTGTGCAGAGAGAAGCTTACGAGTGAGCGATATAGGTATGCATAGCGCGGCGTTGGGTAGGGAGTCGTTTGGGTCCATATATTCGTATGACTCCAAGTAAATCTCCCTATGCGTAGAGGGAGTTGTAGCTTCCATGTCGGATAGACAGAACCAATGTTCTAGATCGGACGAGGCCCACGAACTGCGCACAAGGTCACAAGACTTCAAGGCCCTTTGTCTGGTCATGAATCCTAGGAAAGAACCATAACCAAGCCGCACCACAGTGTCTCCCCAGCTAACCTTGGAAGAATCAATGATTACAGAATCTAGCGAGAACCTCGCCAATAAAGTCGACATATTATATTGAAGAAACAGGCCTATACGCAGCAGCCTGTAAAAAGCCCTCGAGTCAGCAGTCCCCTTGATTATAGCAGCCTGACTGTCCTACCACGACCCATTAATAGACGTGAGAATTCCGTATAGTCCAATAGTTTCTCGAACGGTCTTTCAGAGCCCGACTAACAGTTTCAGGCAGACCCTTACCAGACTCGTTATCGCCAGTCGTTCAGGGCATGTATCTGAAGTTAGGACAGACGAGCTGCTTTCATCCCGGCAGAAGAGCTCATTTCCCGCATGACCGTGAGAATCCCGTCGAGCCGCATCTCCGTTTCTATCTCCAGAAATCGAAAGCTGATTGATCTCTGGTCGTTACAGACATATGAGAAAGGGGGGGGGCGTATCTAGAGCACCGCAAAAGAGAACCGTAGAAGTGGTTTCTTCGCTATTCCCAGAACTGCGTTCTTGTCTGATAAGAAAACCATGGTGGATCGCTATGAACTACTATCAGAGCGGAAATCGAGAGCTCTGACTAAAGAAATCGTGAAAGCTGCCTTATACACATACACACATATCTGATTATGGAGTTTAGACCAACAGAAATGACTTCATGTATCGTAGAGATCAAAGAACAACTGGTTCTAGGGATTGCAAGAGGCTCGATATTGGCAGCTGAGTATCAGTATGAAGAAGGGTATGACGACTGGAGGAATACATGAAGCTGGCTCTTGAGTCTCCGACATAAGAGAAGCTTGAGCGAGAGGGTGACTAGTTGCCACAATCTATCAAAGCGCGGAAATGATGGCATATTACTCACCCACGAGACCGCCAAGATGCTCCGAGATTACGGTAGTGAAAAATGGATATCAGACGAAAGATGAAGTGGGTCATGGTGATCGTTTCGCAGAAAACGGTATATGTGCCACTGCACTGGCAGATTTATAGAGCATGGAGGAGGCTTCGCAGATGCGTGCCCCCTAAGACCGAAATGTCTCAAATATCAAAGAATAGTCATGCAAAAATTTGACGTGGGAAAGCAGCGAACAAACAAGGTCAGACTACAGAAACATTGATCCATCAAGGCTACGAGAGCACATGTAAGGTCGTTGGTCTACAATTATTGATTTTTAATTGTGTTGTCACGGTAGATTACCGTCTATGACAATCCTAAGATATCATAGGGCTGCCTGCCTTTGGCTATGGCAGTTATGTTCGCTCATGTCATTCATCTGTTACATCTTGTGCGTACGACATGCGATTCTCTCGACCCAGAACATAGCTCTGCCCATTCGTACTCCATATCCAGTTTTGCGACCGACGCATCGAAAAGTCGTTGTGGTTGGGGTGAGGGCTTTGTGGCTATGTCGGTAGCTATAAGAGACTTGATTTAGTCGATAGTGATGCCTAACCTACGGAGCAACTCCGTGGCGATCTCGAGCTTTTCTTCCATCTGTTCGAGATCGACTGCGGATGCCTTAGCAAGTAGCATGTTAGCGAAAAGCCTCTTTGGATATGTCGGGGATGAGATAGTCACTTCAACGAGGCTTTCAAGCGCATTGTTGGTATCCTCCAGCTCGTGCACCTGAGCGAGAAGACTAGCTTTCTCATCGTCGTCCATTTTCCGGGGCTTACTCAAGGCCCTGTTCTCCTGCACAAGAGCCTGACGGGCATTCTTGAGGACTTCATTCTCCTGCCTGAGCATGCCCGCCTTACGCTGGGACTCAAGCAGAGCTTGTTGCTTTTGCTGGAGTCCCGACTCGAAGACACTGCGGACGTGTTCAAGCTGAAGTTCGAGGACTTTCTTGACTTCCGAAAGCTTTGAATTATCCCTGGTAAGAATGATGTTGGCGTCATGGAGACGTCTGGCCTCTTTGGTAGCTCGAGAAGATGTCACTTCCATGGTTTTAAGTGTTTCATCAATGTCATGGTGGGCTTTCTGTAAGTTACAAAAGGCCTGGAGACTCTTCTCTCCCTTCTCGGTCTCTACTTTCACAGTTTGCGCGAGGTCTTCGACAAGCTGGCGTAGGGTATTTTCCTCATCAAAGACACGTTTCGATTTGCTGACCAATTCCGTGACATGGGCTTGAAGCTCTTGGATTTGCTGGTGAGAGCGCTCGGCTTCACGTTGAAGGGTATCCTTTTGTGAGATAAGACTGCGCTCACGTTCCTTGAGTCTGGCAATCTGGTCCTCGCAAGCGGCGGTGTGGTCGGCCATCTTCTTGTGAAGCAGTCGGGAATCATCAGAATCGTGTCTGAGAAGCCCCTTCTCGAATTGCAGACGCGTAACCTGACGGCGGAGGTCATCAGCTAATACACGAGCTTGATGCTCGTTGTTAATCAATTCCACAAATCCTTGGGCGAAACCTATCATATCGATTCCTTGGGAAGATCTGCCAGTAGGCTGAGTGCCCTCACCGTGGACAATTACTAAAGCATTCGAGCCGGAAGGTGTGGGAAAGTTGGAAGCCATAGTGAAATGTTTGTGGTTGATCGAAGGATGGTGGTAAGGGTAACGAGAGGATGGTGCTGGCAATGCAGGACCACCTTCTGAAGCTGAAGATGGAGCTGCTGAGGGTTGGATAAAAATCTCGGATGAGCATGGGCCGTTTCTCAAGGCCGTGAATCGGGGCAGCGTGTGTGACGTCCGATGTAGTCTGGGTAAACACGGCGAGGGGGAGCGGTTGCTGCGTGACATGATGAAGCTTGGCCAAGGGTGCGGTTCGAGTGAATCAGATAGCAGTCACTCAGTCGTTCGGGGATTTCAAACCTTCTTTTGGAGATATTCAGAAACGGATTACTGTCCGGAGGCCAGTACATACCTAGTATTGCCACACGGTCGTGGGTTTGCTTCTCTTTGATGAAAGGAGAAGCTGTGACCGATAAGGTCTGCTCCGAACGAGGTAGCTTGAGCGTCGAGAGCTTTACTCCTTGCAAGCGAACAGAATATGAAAAGAGATGATTTAGGCGACATTGTGACATCTATATTTCGCGAGCTCTCCATTACCTTCTTTCACTTCGTATGCTTCTTGAGGGGTCCACAGACTACATTTATCGAATGACGCCATGAGAGTCTTTCGTCTCATTGGTGCTTCGTCGGCGCTCGAGCACGAAACCCTATACTACACCCGAAACAACGCAAGAGCGACTCTACCCTCTTTCCAAAACGATCAGAGTCGTCTGGGAAAAGTTTCACACAGTCGCGCAGGCTGAAAGATCTATACATACTATGTCAACACTCTTGGTCTCGCAATAAAGAGACCCTCAGACCAGGCGTCTACAAGAGACGTAAACGCATTACAGCGGCGATCTATTGACCGTCCGATCGTATATTCGGCAGAAAGAAACAGAATGGAAGAGACAGCATATGATTTGCTTTGAAGGAGACCACGATCACCTGTCGTGATGGCAGAGCTTCCTAGTGTGCGCCGTTATATGCCCTCCTCTCAAGCATCTGACCGATGGCACGAAAGGTCACGATGTAGATACCAACGAGGAGTTCCAAAATGCACAGAATAGTCAGAACATGATGGCATAGCTCCAGGTCAGGAAAACATGAAAGAGACGGAGTGACGTGCTACGACTTGTGCGAATGGAACATAAAAAGTGTCTAATAGAGAGGAAGCATATTTTATGATAAGCACAATGGATCTTCATGCTCGACTAAGAAGGAACAGCGACTCGCACCGTAGTCACAGAATGTGTTAGTCGGAATCCAAGCCTGCCCCAAGGCTCCGTTGTTCGGTTTCTCTTTGGCTTGCACAAGGACGGAAGAAGCCGAGAAAATCGAGGAAACGGAGCAAACGATTTAGACGCATGCGGGCTGAAGGTATGAACCAGATGACAGTTGGGACAAGCTAGAACCATGAACGAGACTGGCTGCACCCCAGGTTCGTACCAATCATACACCACTACCAGGTACGACCCAACAGACCTGTCTGGCAGACTATAAAGAGCGAAGGAAAGACAACGATTGCATGAGACGAATATATCTTTAGTGCTTGGAGAATTGAGAAGGAGGACTGCTGTCAAGGCCGAAAGTAGAACGAAGCATCTTCACTGTCCCAGATACCACCGTTCGACTGCTGTTCCCCCGGAGTCCCCTATAATCTTGTTTCCACGTCACGAAGACTTCAGATGTCGCACGATGGCTTAATGAGTACCCCAAGGACGTCTCCCGATGGATGCTTACACATCTACCACTCCTCCAGTACCAGTGGACCCGGAAATATATGCCGGAAGAGACCCGGCATACGCCGGCAGCAACCCGACATATACCGGAAGAACCCCGGGAGAACCCCGATTATTAGTCAAGGGCAGCCCTTGACTAATAACCTCCGCACCTGCACGTGCTGCCTGAGGGCAAAACAACGGTAACACAGGCTGTAGGCTAATAGGCGTACCCTATGGCTGTATACTCAAGACGAAACAGAGGTTCAACGAGATGTAGTTATAGACATAAGGAAGTTTTTCCCTATGGGGTTTCTTCTTACATAGTGGCTTAGACTAGAGGAGGCATAGGCCTGTAGAGTACTACTCTACCTAGTTATACAATATTATTATTATTATTATTATAATCTTGTTAATAGTGTCGACATGCCCGAGCCGCTTCCGAGGTTCTCCATCCATTGCGAGATTCCTTAGCGGCACGCTGAACGGAAGGCGTTAGCTCTGTGCTTTGGCCTTCACTTGATTGATGTATACACGACTCTGCAACAATATAGTGTCGTAGCAAGCAGCTGCACCAAACACCATTAGTCCAAGGCGACGACTACGAACGACCTTCCTATAGCTCTTAGGACTGACGTGCAAGCTGCCACCGGACGCGTCCGTAGCTCGAACTATGTCTGAAAAAGCATAGAGACATGCCTAGCGAAGGATCGGCCACAACTGTGGCATTTCCTGCCGACTGACTCCTTAGAAGCGTTCCCAAAGAAGTTCCACTCCAATAGCCGTGCACATCTCCAGGAGGGTCTGACCTTCTGCATATATATATGACGGAGCTGTCTTGGAAAACGATTGGTAGAGCCTATGTGCCTATGTGCCTGCCTTTGTCGGAGATTTCAAGGCCCGACTCCAGAACATGGCGAAAACAAGACCCGCGAGGTTGGTTGTTGGTCCAGCGCGATGGCGTCCTCGGGTCTGCGATCCGTTTCCTCTTTGTGTGATACCACGAGAAGGCTGCATAAGCTGCGGCAACGGGGAAGCGCGCCGCTACATGGTGCATTGTTGCTTACAGACTGCTAACAGTCCTTTGATCGTCTCGGTTCTTTTGTACTCTTTCAAGAGTGCTTGAAGACCAGACGAACATAGAACGAAGAAGCAAGGAGCACCAATACCTATGCTTTGTTACCATTTCACGGGCTTCACGCATGGTGAAGGTAATAATCAAAGCATCATTTGTCCAAGGATAATGCAAGGCGGTGTTATGCAGGCTTACCTGAGGTGAGGCCACCGAAAAAGTAGGCGTGATTTTAGGAGAACGGGCTTCCATGTTACCCACTCATGGGTTTTATCACTATCACTAAAAGCAGGGTCTTATTATCCAGTTTTTTGGAGTAGATTTTTGGCCATACACGCAAACGCAGCTATTATAGAGAGAAGGAACCTAGAAAATACCGTCACACCGATAATGATTACCAACTACCGCAGGTGATTTATGTGATGCTGGCTTTCTTCCTTGACTATGGTTAGTATAATTAGAAAATAAGCATGTTAGTGCTCTGATAGGTGTTGCCTGTGACTTGATATTCATCACGCAGTGTCCATCGGTAATATTAAGTCTCGTCTCCGTCGGCAACGTTTGAAACGTGGCTCTCTCCACATGGAAGCATGGATGTGTGCCCTAATGGCCATAAGCCATTTCACAGAGTGCCAGCTTAACATGATACTAAGGCGTGTGATGGGGCACGAAAAATTCAACCAGGACATTGGGGCTAGAGATGGCTAAAAATCCTTCAGGGTGCGAGATTCAAGTTTTCTTGTCCAAAGGAGCCTGCCGGGTGACAGGGGCTTCGGTCCCTGCGACTGCATGTGGGCATGTGGGTGTGGACATGAAACATGGATGCATACACCAATACAGGACCGGACAGGGTACGGACAAGCTGTAGTCTAAACCTTGAAGAGTCTGCTGTTGCTCTTGTTTTTGGTAATGGCCTGGCAAGATGGGTCGATGACATTTCATTACAGACTGTGTGCAATGCGTGATCAGAGCTGACGTAGGAGACGACAAGGGTCAAAATGACATTTCCGTGGATGAACATTAGTCTATAGTGTCCGTAGAAAAGGTAAGGTCGGGCGCCCCTCATCCATGTAGGAGGTGGGGTCCGCATGTAATATGATAGTAGTAGGAGAATACGTTGGGATGAGATACGAGTCAAGAAAAGCTAGGTATACTACTGCAGGATGCTTATTGCTGTGTGTACTGAAAACCCTCAGATATCACAGACGACAAGATGGGATGGCAGCGGCAAATGATAACTAATTACATGGTGATACTGTAGTGGTAATAATACCGGTCGACCCAAAAACGTTCATGGATGCAGGAGGGACGACCCACTGCGATCCACATGGCCTCGAATGATCAGCTGTCGGTGTCGTCGTGTTAACAGTCGACTTGGGCATAGGTAGCAATGGTAGCCATAACCCACGGATGAATTGGGATTGGGGATTGGGGATCGCGGCGATGGAGCCCGTCTAAAGGACCAAATAAGACTCCCCGGCGCGCACGAAAAGACGAGCCAACCCTGGCTATCATGGCCGCTAATTAGTGGAGATGCACCATTCGTGAGAAAGTCCATGCTCCTCCTTGTTGCCTCTACTGTACTAACAAACTGCTTGTTGCTACTCAAGACCGACGACTCACCACTCACCACTCACCACTCTTCGCTCGCGCTCCATGGGCTGGTCCGTTGTGCTCTGGCAGCATCTTTCCATATTTTGCTTGTGCTGCCTGCTACGCTAGAAAGACCGTCTTGTATCCGTCCCTCTCCGGCTCTGTTGCTGGCTTCCTGTTTCTCCCTCTATTATCTCTCTTTGCCTGCGCTCCCTGTCTGCCAGGCCTCCTGCAGATTGTCTCTCGTTGACTGAGAGCCTGTCTCCCCCTCAGCTGACTGCACCAGGCATTTACTTGTTTCTGTCGCAGTTCCCCGTCACCTAATTTTTCTCTCGATTGACCCTCGCAACCTTGGTTGCTTCAATCGTGCCGATTTCCATATTCGCTTCGAGCACGCCGACTGCTATTGTGTTGTGCACTATCTCCACCCACGCACCGATACTGTTATATCCGTCTGCCTATTCACCCCTCCGACTACCGAGCACAATACCTCAGCCTCTGTTCGAGACGCATCCCATCACCTGCCGCACATACTGAAGCCCTTGTAATTTCTGCCGACCCTTTTGGACTCGATCTCACAGCATTGGTATATCACGAACCGTACCGAATTTGACGAATCTTCGAATACCCGGCCTACTGAGCTGCTACTAGCGTCAATTATAATTTCGTATTTGTATGGCCCCGAGGATGTGTTTCGGAAGGAAGTCAGAGGACCCCGAGTCCCGAAGAAATGAGGCAATTGAGAAGCAATTAAAGCTGGACAAGAAGAAGCAGGAGAGAGAGGTGAAGCTGTTGCTGCTAGGTCAGTAATTGGATGTCGTCACAAGTGAGCTAGCTAAAAGACTGACGTTGCACAAAAAGGTGCTGGAGAAAGTGGAAAGTCCACTGTCCTCAAGCAAATGCGAGTCATACATGCCGGTGGCTTTTCCAGATCTGAAAGGAAGCAGTGGCGGGTGGTTATATTCAACAATCTTGTCAATGCTTTCCAAATACTCTTCGCTGCTATGCAAGAGCAGGATACGGAGTTCGAAGATGAAGACAATATTGTACGATTGTCTCATTGAGCACGATCGAGTACACGGCTGACTCCAGACTCCAGAGACTCGCAGACTTGGTAGCATCGGATCCCGACCTCAGTCCCGAGGACCCTCTGCCAATCGACTGTTTACATGCCTTCACAAGTTTGTGGGCAGATAAAGGCGTACAACTGGCCATGCTCAAAGGCAACGAGTACGCTCTGCATGACAATCTGAGCTAGTATGAATGACAATCCACTGGGCGAGACCTTTAGACTTACTTCAAGCAGCTTTTTCGCAGACATCGACAGGCTCTTCGCAAGAGACTATATGCCAACTGATCAAGATATCTTGCGCACAAGGTTAAGAACAACTGGAATTACGGAAACAATCTTTGACCTGGGTAACCTCACGTATCGAATGTTTGATGTCGGTGGTCAGCGGTCCGAACGTAAGAAATGGATCCATGTCTTTGACAACGTTCAAGTGGTATTGTTTCTTGTTGCCATCAGTGGGTATGATCACGTACTCGTAGAAGATCGTAATGGGGTGAGATCGATAAATCGCATATGTTAGCACACATTGCTGACCCGTCCCTAGAACCAAATGCACGAAGCACTCATGCTGTTCGAATCAATATCCAATTCAAAGTATTTCCACAATTCTGCTTTGATATTGTTCCTCAACAAGATAGACCTCTTTCGAGAAAAAATATCTTCCGGCATGAGTCCTATCAGCAAGCACTTCCCGGATTTCACCGGCAAGGCCAACGATATCAGAGCAGGCGAGGAGTTCTTTGCCCAGAAATTCAGAAACCTCGTTCGACAACAGAGGAAAGAGGTAGTGTACGTCCACTTTACGAACGCCACCGATACGGACTTGTTGCGCAAGACAATGGCTTCTGTTCAAGATATGATTGTTCAGACCAACCTCGATAAGCTGATCCTGTGAGACTGAGACTTTTCATTTGCCACCACTGTCGCAGCAATCTCCGAATAGGTCTTCTAACAATCAAAAGTGGCCCAGGGCCTGGCAGGAAACCCAAAGAAGCCACTGGTATTCTTTAGATTCCTATGGCAAACACCACCCCCTCATCGTGTCCCTCGGGGGACAAACCCATCGCGCAGACCACATCTATCTACCCACCTAGACCGCAGCCTTGGACCTATCAATGAAGGCGTTGATCTTCTCATGACTCACCATAAACGACGCAACGCTGCATCTTATTTACGGTTTGAAGTATTTTAGTACTTCGACGCAGGACGGTATACTGCATCAAAACTTCGTCCTATCTGCTGGTTGGCTTGAGTGGTCTAAAAAGTCGGCGGCAGCGAAACGGAAGCGCTATGTACCGGGGGTTAAGGTCGGAGGGCCCGAGTCTATCGGGACTCTGTGCTATAGTTTGCACTAAGCAATTGATCCATCTGTTAATATTGTCGACCCTATCAAAGGCACCTCGATAAGTTGTAATTAGATATCCAAATATTGAAAGATTTACACGTACCTTGACGCTATTGTCACCAAGCCTTTTAACTGTCCTGTGTTTATTTATCAGGACATCGGTGCCATTAAACAAAGAAACTTATGACCCCGTGACAGCTTCCAAGGTTGGCGTAATAACCGGTGACCATGAGCCACGACCTCAGGTTGCAAGCGAGCTCGGACCACTGACAGCTCTTCAACAACTTACCGACCTTTAACCTCATCTCTGACATCCTTCTTGACTCTGGCACTGCACGTCGCCTCTTACTGTCAACAGCCATCCCTCTGTTACCGACAGACTCTCATAGTCGTCTGGCAATGCTCGCCCCAGCTTTGCGGAGGATTGTCCAGCCAGCATGCGCCGCCTGCTCTACTCCTACGCAATCTGTTAGCCGCGCAACAGGCCTTACCATCACCGCTACTACGCAAGCTCTTACCCATCGGCCACTCCACCAGCGCCGACACTCATCTTCGAAGGCCTCCTCACCTCCAGATGAGGATTCTAAAGCAGTCCCGGGTCCCAGTCAGCCTGCGAAGAGCTCAGCCTCGGGCAAGACGACAGTAAAGAGTTCTGCTGGTCGCGGTCGACCCAGAAAGGCTCTTTCGCCGTCTCACAACATCCCCAAAGTCCCGTCAACGACACACTTGGAGAGAATTGGTAAGCAAGTCCGTCTATTCTTAGGTTGATGGAGCCATTCTGACAGTCATAGATGTGCACACGTCATCGTGCTTCGCCATGCACCGACCGATATCGGTGACGACGCCTTTCCCTCCTGCATCTTCCCTCGAATCTTTCAATTCTCTATTCGACGCGAAACCAACCAATTTTTCTGACGTAATATATACCCTCAACGACGTCGTGGAATCGCTAGAAGCTGCGGGCCAGTTCAAGGAAGAAGTGGACCTACGTGAACCTCAGATGCAAGCATATGGCCCCAGTGGGGCACATATGGGAGCGCCTCTGACTACTGCTGAACTGGAACAACTGCTTGTGCAATGTGTCCCGTTTCGGCCACCACCTCCGCCTGTTCCAGTAGAAGTGCCCCATAAGGCCAAGAGCGCATCTCGAGTACAACCTGCGCTGCGAGGTCCTCCCAAGCAAAAGTCATGGAGCGTCAACGTTAATGTGACTGAGTCGACAGACTCTGCTGGACGACGAACATGGACTTTCGCGGCATCTGAGCCAAAAGCAGTCGATGGCGTCGATCCCGTTACAGAATCGTCCGCAGCCACTGACACTACGCATTCACGCAGAGTTGCCAATCAGCCATTTCTTCGACGTATGTATGCTCGCTCCCAAGATAGACAAGCATATCTCCAGACTCTGGGCTTGAGACTAAGGCCTAAGATGCATCTCATCAGCGTGAAGCGGCAACGAAAGATCAAGATGAAGAAGCACAAGTACAAGAAGCTTAGAAAGCGCACGAGAATTGAGCGACTGAAGCTTGCTGCGCGGCATTGATAGACGAACATATTCGAATCTCCTCGCCTTAAGCATTTCAATCCATACTTGCACCACACGGGCTAGATCATCATTGTATAGACCAACATGGTTACGCGTAACATGCTTCTTTCCTGCTCCCATCATAGAATGAATAGTCTATTAGCATTGAAATTCCATTGGAATATGAACTTCAGTACGCCTTCATGCATCGCAGTACATAACGCTTAGCGATCCTGGTTGAACAGCATCGCTCATTTGGATTATATTGTGTGACCGCCGCGCTGTATATCTATTATGATAACGCATTCGCCACATATCCTGAGTAATAGCGCTTCGCTGACTGCGCATGCTGTTGAAACTGACCTGCGACAGAGTTAGTCACATCACAGAAGTTGTGGCTTGTCAGTTGACTGGGGTCTTCCGATGAACACCCACGTTCTACTCTTAACCGAGATGTGTCCAAGTTATTGCATACAAAACATGTAGGCGATCGTCCCATAGATCTGGAGTATGGAGTTCGCTTCTGATGAAGTCTTTTGCCGACGTAGCAAGCAAGTCGCCGACCCCAGTCTCTTACCACCGATCCGGTCAGAGATCTTGCTTGGTGCTTGGTAGTGCCAACCAGTAGATGCCTCTCAAATGAAGCTATGGATGACTTCGATCCGCTACTCGATGGAAAATTACTCGTCGGCACCGTTACAGAGTTACTAATTAGGGGGCTTCTTCAGATTCAAATCTACTATAAGATGGTCACGAGTAGCTACCTATGGATCACTTCTCCAGCACAGCTCACTATTCGCATCGTTTTCGAATTTGACTTCTTCTTATCTTTTATCAGCACTTACATTCTTTCCTCCGGCAGGCCGAATTTTCCCAGAGCTAGTCTCATATACTATTGAAATTGACACAACTATCAACATATATATTCTATCACGTCCAGCAAGATGTTGTATCATTTTTCGGTTATGACTGTTATTGTTGCATTGGCAGAAGCTCGGTGAGATTCATCTGTCGGAATCCAGGTCATGTGCTGACGAGATGCAAGCTTCGGTCAAGAACAAGTCCCAATATCAGCCATAGGACAAGTCCAAGGCGGGGAGCCTGGTGTAGCACAAACTATCGCTGGTGCAGCTATCAGTGATCTACTTGCTGGCACTAATGCTTGTGATAAGGTATATGACCCTGTACGTGACCCAGTGTAGTCGATATGTGCTGATAGTTCTTAGTTGTCACGAGCCGACCAGATCATCGCCGAGCTTGGTGATGGCGCAGATGCTCTAGCCGCTGCCATCGGAATGGTAGCAGCTGAGAAGAATGTCAATCCCTTCAACTCGCAAACGCCTGTAGTATGCAGTGACCCTAGCCTTCCTTCCACAGAAGCATTACGAGGTATCACGCCACTTGTTGACCCAGACTTCGCGGATGCAGATATTGCAAACTCGCTCAGTTCTCAGACTGTCACTACTCCGCTGGATGCGACCAACAAGAGCATACTGGATCTTATGCAAGAGGCCGGTGTAGCCAATGTTGCGGGTCAAGCTCCTGGCGGTGCAGTTGGAGCTGTTAACCCCGGAGCAGCAACTGGTAATGCGGACTCAGGTATGGTGGACCAAGATGCTGGAGCTGTAGATGCTGGTAATGCAACCGCTGTTGCTCCCATAGCTGCCTGTAACGGTACGGCTGTTATTGGTAAGACAGATTGTCGATCCACTCTCTGATGGGCTCGTGTCTAACAATGTAACAGGAAGCAACCAAACAGCCAGCAACGTAACGAACCCTCCAGTGGATGCCGGTGCTGACACAGGGGCTAATGGCACCGACCCTGCATCTGACGCGGCAACGTCTCTCGACGGCGCCGATTTTGGTCTCTGTACTCCCACCATGACTTTCGAAGGCGGACGTGCGAATCGCGCAGCGGATGAGTTCACATTCCTCCCAGCTGATCCACTCGTCGCCCAGGGTCAACAAGAAGCCCTGAATCCAAACATCATCACAAACCGTATTTGCGATCAATTGACGAATGTTTGCGAGGCTAATGATGCGGCAAAGACGGCATGTCTGGATGCGAAGGCGCAAATTTTGGCACTGGGTACGAGGGATAAGACCACAGCTGATACATGGAACACACTGCTGGGCTTTGATGGTGCGGTCACAAATCCCAGTGGTGGGCCTGCAGAACCACCTGCTGCTGCGCGTATGAAGGCGGGGACCAAGAGGAGCGCCAGAGTGTTCATCGCTTGAACAACCCAGTCAAGAGCCCAGATCCACGCACGATTTCAACCATGGAATCTACGAAGACTTGACAAATTCCTTATGTAGAATCATTGGGTGTATCTTACATTGTAGCGTAGCAGAAGTGTCGCATCATCGAGCGGACAATCAAGACCGTGACAAATTATCATAGAAGGCCCGTTCATTTGGCTAGACGAAGTATCGATGTTTCTTTCTGGTGAAGTGTTCAGCGTCTGCATTAATTATTAATGATACTGAGAGCTGGCCCGGGAGTCTCATCGATCTCACTCTAGCTGTCTTGAGCTTAGTAGCATCCTATCTAGCTCGGCTCGGGAGTGGATGATGTCAACATCATACTACCGTGTAAAACGTCAAGGCTCATCGACTTTACCTTTTTCTCTTCTGCCAGCAGAGAATAGTTTATATTCGAATGAATCTAATTGATACTTCCTAAAGATGTCGTCACTACGTGTTTTCGCTCGGTCTCCCAGAGCCCTCCTTGGCCTGTCGCGCCCACTGAGCACAACCACTACTCGTTTCGCAAACCTCAACGATAGAGGTAATGATACAGCGGAGATACACCGCGAGATACAGAAGAAGAAGCCGTTGAATCCTCATATGACAAACACCACTTCAACAATCGCCAATGAGTTCCCAAATGTCGGTAAAGACAAGCCTCCGCCAGAGATGATCACCTCGGTTGATCCCAATTACACACCGAAAGACTCCGTACCTGAGAACACCGAACGTATGACTGGCGGCACCCAGAAATCAGCACCAGATGCGGGTCCCAATAAGGATCTCGATGTCGGTGAAATCGAGGGTGGCTCGTTCAAAGTCGAGCCGCTGAGGAGAACTGGAGAAGACGTGAACACTACGCGTGCAAGGTTATTATGTCCGTTACTACGAGTACCCCTGTACATTTTCTGTGCGCGGATTACATGCTGACACGGTATACTCAGATCAGAGCCGGAAACGGGGAACTCTCGAAAGTGATCTGCTCCTTTCTACCTTCGCTGATGCAAACCTCGAATCCATGAATGCTACGCAACTCGAGCAATACGATCTATTCCTCGATGAAAATGATTGGGACATATACTACTGGGCCACGCAAGAACCAACACCTACGTCGATGGATTACGCGGAAGGGGCTGGCGCTGATATGGCCAATCCGAACGTCCAAGGCCAGAACCCACAAGGCAAAGCTCCGATCGAGACTGCAGAGTGGAAGCGACCACCTGTACAGGGAGAGTGGGCGCAGACAGTTGGCGCGTTCAAGCCAGCGTACAGACCGGTGCCTAGGAGGTGGAAAAACTCAGAAATTCTGTCATTGCTGAGGAAGCATGTCAAGGATCGTAGTGCAGGAGGTGTACATCATGAAGAGTCAGGCATAAATGAAAAGGACCTGGGACAACGTACTGAAGCGACAGGTGGGGGTGGACTAGGGAGAATGCCTGATATTAAACCTTTTAACTAAGGCCGTATTAGTGCACTGTATTCAATCCCAGCATATATTGCTTCTAGGTAGGTTGTGTGAGCCCTCCACTGTACATATGAAGACTTCAGCTACTGTGCTTAATGAGAGACTATAATCTGCTCTAGACAGTGACTTCAGCCGTTCAAATTCGATTCATAACGCATATTCTTTGCTCTTACGGTAGTCCAAGCAACAGATACTGCGATATGATCGCTGTGCAGAGTGTCATCGCAATCAATAACTGGGAGGAGTACCATTCGAGGGAGGTGTGAAATGAGATGAAGGTAGTGACTAGCTTTAATCCCAGAAGTGTCGCACTTTCTCCATTCCGTTCTTCTCGATATAGGTAGACACGCTTTACCTGAAGCGCTCAGCTACAATCACTGTCCTTCACTTCTTAGCAGATAGCTCTACTCCCATTCATCCAGCTCTTTTCAAATATGTGGCTATCACATATTACCTCTTTTGCTCGGCCCCCTCTTACTGCGCGTCTGCAATGGAAACTAGTCTATCCCACGTACAAGTCTATGTTATCTACTAGATTGTGTAGCTGCTCGAACATCGTGCGCCCCACGATCGCCGCTTCGCCCAATGCTACCTATGGCTCCTACGGATTCTCCGATGGCGCCTCGTACGGATCTCTCGCCGCTGACGTGAATGAAGGCACCGGAGGGGTAGGATCTAAAGTAGGCAAAAGTCGATTCATAGACTTCGATCTCACCGGTGGGGTCTACATCGTCACGGGTATGCCTGTCCAGACGTATGCGGGAAGCGTCACGCTGAATAATACGAATTATAGGTGCTGCTCAAGGTCTCGGACTGAGTATGGCTGAGGGCGTCGCCGAAGCCGGTGGTACAGGTATATCAGCTCCTATCACATAAGATACGAAACGTGTAGTTCATGTCGGATAAATAGTCTACTGTCTCGATCGCCAAAGAGAATGCGGATCCAACTTTTCGAACGCCCAGGAGTTGATCCCTCGCGATTCGCAAGGTGCTATGATCTATGGTCAGGTTGACGTACAAGACACCAAAGCACTACACAGAACTATCCAGGACATCGCCGATAAGCATGGTCAACTCAATGGCTGTATAGCGGCTGCCGGTATCAATGAAGTCATACCAGCTCTCGAATACACCGTATCACAGTCGAACCACACGATGTCCATAAATTTCGACGGTGTCATGCAGACGGCCACTGCGTGTGCAAAACAAATATACAAGCACAATACCCCCAACGGATCAATCGTCCTTATTGCATCTATGTCTGGCGTTGTTGCGAATCGAGGACTGAACTGCCCAGTATATAATGCATCCAAGGCTGCTGTGACTCAGCTTGCAAGAAACCTCGCAATGGAATGGGGTCGAAAAGAGGAAGACGGATCTGGTGGCATTAGGGTAAACTGTATCAGCCCTGGAAATATACTGACACCACGAGTGGTACAGCACTTCGTTGACCAGCCGCACCTCAGGTCGCAATGGGAGGATGGAAACATGCTCGGGAGAGTGAGTCGGGCCGAGGAATTCGGGGGGGCTGGGATATTCTTGTTGAGCAAGGCAAGCAGCTTCATGGTAAGAAGTCTATTCTCTCCATGTAACCAACTTTCCTGATTCAGAAACAGACTGGCCACAATATGCTCATCGATGGTGGATACACTTCATGGTAAGGCGTGGTAGTAAGCCTTCGACCTTCACATCGACTGTACATCGTCCACGACCTAAAGACAGAGGAGTGCCCAAAGAAAGTTCTCAAAAGAAACAATTGAGAGCAGAGTGAAGAGTGGAGAGGCGAGGACAGAGAGAACGTCGCAATGGCCTTACTTCCGCTCAATTCTAACTAGCTGGACGACAACGACCACAGTGGTTATAGGTGTAATTGCATTATACTCACCAGGGCATCATTCTTCGCTACTGTTCACGTTCGAATGGGACAGCATGTTCTCAGGGGGTGGAGAGACAGAGCGTGAGGACAATGTGGTCTGGATGGTAGGACCTGAGAGCATTGCTTTTTCGTTGAACTGTAATAGACTTCTGCAATGCTCACCAGAGTCTGTAATTTCATACATCGGAATGATCTGACGGAATAGGGCGCATTATGCCTCTGCAATTCCCTTAAGGGGAGGATTAGGATCGGACAATTAGTGTGTCGCAATAATCTAGGCCTTGAGACCGGTAAAGGCGACACAATGTACAGTCTTGCTCTATATTTATCATTGCCGGCGAGGGACCACTAAGCTGAGTGAGCACTGTGCCCGAGAGCGGCTTTCATCGTTATGATCTTTACGGGTACCCTTCATTTTATGAACTTTTACCTGCAGGTGCTATAAAGCACAGCAACCTGGTCCATTTCGCTTTATCGATATTCTTGTGAGGTATCGCAAAATGGGCCACATTTGCCAATGTTCATTAGATATCGCTCGCTCGGACGTCAAAGTGTTAAAGCAAAGGCGGTGGTCTCGTGACTATCGCATTCGATCATCAGCTTCACCTCCATCGTCTCCACTCTCGCTCGCCCTTGGTGTAGATGGTAGTTCTGGTGTTTCGCTCAGCACACTGAGTGAGGATGATGTCCGCCGACTCGAAGGAGGAAGATAATCCGTGAATACTGCGGCTGTCAGAAACTCTATGACTGTAGACACGGCGATGCTGGATAATGAGGAGACGGAAGTACTCCTGAAGCAGCGATTGCTGGAATGAAGACTCAGCACTGCAGGGGCGAGGACGACCGAGCAATATAGGGATGAATAGACATAGTGGCGGAAAAGACATGCTAAAATGTGAATGGACTTGGGACAGCTTACATTTGCGTTTTTGTGGCGTCGGGGTCTCAATCAACACATACCTCGCGCGTGACGGCGTCTTTGGCACCGTCATCATACTGCGTCCATAGCACTTACTACTCTCTAGCATATCCATATGGAGACGCAGTCTCATCGTGCTGGCGTCCAGAAGCTTTCTGCCAAGCGCTTCTTCGCCTTCCAGGCCCTTGCCTTTCACTCGCCCGTCTCCGAGGGCTCGCTTTTCACGTCGAGCAATGCCATCGCTCATGGAGATCCGAAAACTACCATTTTCGACAGATTCTTGAACGTCGGCTCGGAGCTCGGAGTCAAGCTTCATGCGGCGAATGAGGTTGCAAAGGATGTTTTCTAGGATTACGACAACCTTGGCGTGGTTGGATAGACTTTGGGTTTTGGCGAATGATGGAAGGTAGTGTTCTTTGATATGTGCGACGCTTGGGGCGTACACGTTGATCTCCTTGGGGGGGAACGAGCGTCTGACGATGTCGAATAATAGGACGGAGTTCAAGTGATTTTGGGTGTGCAGCGACATGCTTGGCCAATATAGTAGAGACGGGTAAACGGAACAAGGCAGGGGATTCATGAACTCGGTTATATTGTCAAAGAGTTCTGCTTGGTCCGTCATCAATTTCGGCAAATGAAAGGATACTTCTGACATCTGAGTTATGTGAGCTTGAGTCACCTAGGGTACCGGGAGCTTGAGATTTGACGACTTACTATATCTAGAAGTCGTTGTCGTAATCTCAACGCTTCGATACCGCCTAGGATGTCCGCACCTGTGAGCTGTTCCAGATCTTCGTCGAATTCGCTGTCATCCTCAAGTGTTGAACTGCGTCCTCTCGAGGCCCTTGTCCTTTTCACTAAAGCCTCATCGGTCTCATCATTGTCGCTATCTGTTTCGTAGTCCCCAAAATCATTTTCGTCAATGTTGATCTTTTTAAGTCGGCCCTTGGACTGCGTGTCCTCCCCCTTAGGCGGTTCGGACTCTCCATAGAACACCTCGCGGTACAACTGACGCGACTTCTTTGAGCCATCAGCGAAGATGGCGCGTAGGATTTTCCGTCTTCCTGTACTGCTACCGGGGCTCTCAGGTCTCATGTAAGACCACACTAGGCTTTTTTGAAGGATATCGCCCTGGGTGTCCTGTGTTACGACGTCCACTTGCGCCAGTCTTGCAGCCCAGTCATCCTCCATAACGTCGACCATCACTTCCAGGAATTGTCTCCACCGCGTCCATCGTAGCTTGTTTCGCACAGAGCAGTTGAAAGCCCAGCCAACGACTTGCCAGAAACTTGTCGCAGATACCCAAAGCGACCCTGAGTTTGCTATTCTCTGGGGAAGTTTTAGGCCTCCACCAAGAACATCGTCTGTTGGTTTGTAACTACGACGATTAGATCCATCGTCCGGGAATTTGAATAGCTCAGATAGGTTGACATTTATCGAGCCCACTATCCTGGCAAGTGATCGTATATATGTAGTGGCTTTCAGGCATACCTCTGCTGCGTCGGCGGACTTTGCGTGAGTAGAATATTTGGGATGAACAATGAGGGTTGCTAGCAGAGAAATGTATTGCCCGGGAGGTACTAAGGCAGATGAAGGATGTTGAGCATCCGAGGCACCATAGCCAGCTTCTAGGAACTTTGTCAGTAGGGATATGGCTTCTGAATCTTGACTTTATCAGTCTATGCAATCGAAACTCCAAAGCATCCTATACGCACAGCCTTCTTCGCTCATATAGACATATGCATGGTTCAATAGTTCGTACGGCAGTTTCTTCACCGGCCGGTAGAAATGTGAATGTGTATTCTTGCTGCGTTTTGACGGGCTCTCGTAGGAGCTGGCTATTGCAGGTGAACTTCCTTTTTTCGACTTCGGACTAGAATGAGACTCGGCGGCTGTGGTAAAAGATCGCGGAGAACTCATGATCGCTCAGACTGTCTCTAGCACATTGTCTGTCTCGGATTAAAAGCTAGCAATTATTGTTAGAGGGCAGTGGAATGGATGAATACGCGATCGTAACGCGTCCGATGCTGATCACGATCTCACGTGATATTTCACTTTAGAACCGTCTCAGGGATGAGTACCCTACGTAGTATTGTTCCCATCGCCGTAGCTTTAATCACATAAGAGCTTCGCACCTACGCCTCGTCCGCACGCGGCAATCATTTAGGAAGCATTCGGTACAGACAGGAAGGCTAGATTACTTCCTATCATTTTGGGATGCCTAATTCTATATTATCGCTATATGACATTCACTGCACAATCTTAGCCGCGACAGGAATGTCGTAAGGACTACGAGACTCGTCTTGGAGCTCAGCTCACCAGCTTTGACTCAAAGACCGCAAAAACCGAGCTATATTGGACACAGCAACGACAGCATGCCAAAAGCAAACAAATGTGTTTCGCGTAAATCACGGAGATGGGATAGTATCATGGTCGGTTGCAGCGTGAACTGATGATGTGACCGACACAAGACATCCATGAATGTGGCCGAGCCCAACATTCTTCGGCTTTGTTACAACAAGCAAGGATGTCTCGGCCACTTCTCTCTGCGCGTCCTTTCCTCTACCTTCAGTCTCTTAATACTACCCAGGAGGATTGGATTCTACTAAGTCCTCGAATTTAATAGCATATCGCCAGTCTTGTCCTGCTGGCGTTGATATACTGCCGACGTCATCGCTGGCGTGTTCCCATTGGTGTTTCCCGACCAAGCCCATCTCTCCAACGCCCGCATCCGGCCTGAATCTATCACGTTCACGCGCTTTCAACGCTTTCGGCGAATGCCGAGGTGTCCATAGCTGCACTGGCTGTTGATTAACTAGCATCTTTGACACCTGGAAAGAGCGTGTACAATCATATAGCCGTACAGGACACTGGACTTTATCTTGCGCGTTACCGGAGAGAGGTACATCACGATTCATCATGGCTGGCATGGAACAATTGCAAATCCATAGCAAGGTCCGAGACTATTGACATATTCTTGGCGCAACTACTGATGGCTGTACAGTCTTATCTCGTACGCTGGATCGATGTGCCGGCCGGGCACTCCATATCATGGAGCATACAACCTCACAAGAAATCGTTGAACTTCGGGGTTTTCAAACATCCTGGTACTGCGAATGGTGCGATCCCAAACCTCCCCTCGAGCGCTGTCTACGAGCAGCCTGCTACGCCAGCGGCCGAACAAGCTCCAAGAGGGAAACCAGAGCATATGTCCAAGAGCGATCAGACAAAAGTAGTGGAGAAGCTGCAGGGTATGGGCTACAAGTCTGTAGCATGGACGGGGAGATGTGACGCAGACAAAGTAACTCTGGGCAAATACGACGTCCAAGAAGGCGAGGGCGGCATGTACGGGCTCGTTATAGACAACACTTTTTCGAAGCAGGTGTCAAAGACAGCGACGCTCGTGCTCATGACACACCCAACGAACGTCGTACCAAAGTCTGGCGCTAGCCTGCACTTCTCTCAAGCTTTCTCTGGAAGCGCGTCAAGTTTGCCATCGAAGAATAGCCCTCGACTGACTGCTGCGAACAATTCAGCAGAGTCGTTGCCTCAAGACTCTGGTCGATCAACCCTGCGACCAAAGTCATCTCATGGCAGCGAGTCTTCGACCTTCTACACTGGTGTACTACAGAAAAAGCGCAGGAAGCGCAACCAGGGCTATGCGCGTCGCTTCTTCTCCCTTGATTTCACGTCCTCTACCTTGTCCTACTACAGGAATGGCCATTCCTCAGCACTACGAGGCTCTATACCACTTGCGCTGGCGGAAGTTGGTGTCGACGAGAAGAGGAAGGAAATATCAGTAGATTCGGGGGCAGAAGTATGGCGCCTAAAAGCATTAAACAAGAAAGACTTTGAGGGCTGGCGGAATGCTCTAATTAGAGCATCAGACTTTGCGCATGCTGTCACACGCCCACGTGCAACAAGTCCTCAGCAGTCATATCATACTGCTCATATGCCAGATCCCGCTACAGAGCGAGAATGGGAAGGTATAGAGAACCTAGTTGGAAGAGTCGCGGGCATTCGCGACGCTGTCCGTCGGCTGGCCCAAGACACCGATCCAAAGTACAAGCCTGCTCTGGTTGGCCTTGGGATCGGGAAACCAAATCCGAGTGCATCGTCAAGTCCGACCGACGCGGTAGAAGCTGGTGACTACTTTGGACAAGAAGGTGCGGAAAGAGCTGAGAAAACTTCGTTCTGGAAGCGAAAGGCTAGTAGCTCTGGACCAAGTCATAGCCCTTCAACATTACTCAGGAGAAGTGTTTCAGCCCAGCTGGCTGTACCGTCTCCATCTGCGGTGCCACAATCTCCAAATGGCAACCTGACAGTGCCGGTGCGTACGGAGCAAGCAAGTAACTCACCTAACAATGGAGGGATTCATGATCACTGCATGGCAATTCTTCGGGATCTGGATTCTGTAGTATCAGAGTTCTCAGCAATCTGCGGGGAGCGAAGACAAAGAAAAACACCCTTACCTCCAAAGCTATCCTCACGCGACAGTATCGATACGACCACGTCCGAGGAGTTTTATGATGCTCGTGATGTGGATACTCCAGCCAGTCGCTCAGGATTTCTTACCATTCGCCGTGATAGCGACGACCAGGATGTGCAATCAGATGTTGCATCTGATGCTGCATCAGTATCAAGCAGTGACGATGAAGCACATGAGACCTTTGAACGTACACCAAGAGAAGGCCAGCCATCTATGTTTCCAGCAAAACCAAAGAATCTCACGCCTCTTCCACTTGATCGTGTGCGGAGGCGCACGACGATTGCACCCGCCAAGGTTGCACCTCCAAGTCTGATCGGCTTCTTACGCAAGAACGTTGGCAAAGATTTCACGACCATTGCCATGCCAGTGTCGGCAAACGAGCCGACCTCATTACTGCAACGCTTCTCGGAGCAGATGGAGTACACAGAACTTCTGGACGCAGCCGTGACGGCTCCAGAGAAAACCGGCGAGCGTATACTGTATATCACTGCATTCGCTCTTTCGACTTTCTCGAACTCACGGGTCAAGGAACGAGCCATCCGCAAACCCTTCAACCCTATGCTAGGTGAAACATATGAGCTCGTGCGTGAGGACAAAGGGTTCAGATTCATCGCTGAGAAGATATCCCATCGTCCAGTACGAATGGCATGTCAAGCAGAGGCGAAAGACTGGACGTTCGTCCAGAGCCCTATGCCAGTACAAAAGTTCTGGGGCAAATCTGCAGAGCTAAACACCGATGGGCGTGCGCACGTTCTCATCCATCCATCCGGAGAACACTACAGCTGGACAATCGCAACTTCGTTCTTACGCAACATCATCGCGGGCGAGAAGTACGTCGAGCCCGTCGGCACGATGACTGTCGTTTGTGAAACTACGGGGTACAAAGCTGTCACAACTTTCAAAGCCGGAGGCATGTTCGCCGGCCGTAGCGAGGATGTTACAGTCAAAGTGTCCGATGCGCAAGGCGACCATCTCCCCGTAGGATTGACGGGCAAGTGGACCTCCCACTTCAATCTTACCAGGAACGATTCTGACACCGGCGATACCATGTGGTCCGTCGGTCCCCTCGTGGACAACGCACCTCATCGATACGGATTCACTGCGTTCGCTGCTGCGCTCAATGAGATCACCGATATCGAACGCGATCGCATCCCAATTACTGATAGTAGACTACGACCTGACCAGCGTGCTGCTGAAGATGGTGATCTAGACCGTGCGGAGGGCCTTAAGGCGAGGCTAGAAGAGCGACAACGCGCACGTCGACGTGTGATGGAGGAGCATGGTGACCAGTGGGTGCCGCGCTGGTTCGCACAAGCAAGCGCTGGTTCTGATGGCGAAGAATTGTGGAAGCTGAAGACCGGCAAGGATGGATATTGGGAGGAGAGAGAAAAAGGAGAGTGGACTAGGGTGGTTGATGTTTTTCAGACATAGTGCCAGGATGGAATAATGTGACATTTTTAGCATAGTGCAATGAAGCGATTTGAGGTTATGCAGCTACGATCTTGTGTAAGTGGCTACTTTTGATGTTCTTGAATGTACAGTCATGATATCACAATCCTCAGGCATCCGTCATAATCGTCGTCTAGCCAGATACCCTAATACTCTCATTACTCGTATTGTCCTCGCATTTTAGGTGCCGCTCAATGTCCCTTCGCACCCCTCTCATCTTGCATCCCAATAATCACGTCTGGTGCCTCGGGATGATCCTTCTTCGCCTTTGCCGTGCTATTTCTCTGATCTGCTCCTGTCGTTGCTGAGCCGCCTGTTCCGTTCTGTTTATTCCTGTCCCAACTCGAAGTTAGTACTCCTCACACAGCTCCCTGAGGAGAGTCCCCTGTTAATGCTTACTGTTGACCCTCCGCGCTCGCCTTGGAGTGAATGTTGTGCGTGTCATGCGTGCTCTTGTCCAGAACGTGCTCTTTGCCGAGTCCAGGGCTGTCCTTGCCGCTGCTGTAGTAGCGAATGGAGTGAAGAGAGCGTGGGGCGATCATGGAGTAGGAGGCATGGTGATGTGCGAGGGTACGCGATAGGGGTACAAGGACACGACGGGAGAGAGTGAGAAAATCGGATGGAGAAGGTGTTGTCATTGTGAGAGCTGGTGCCTGGATATATTTTGGAATGAGACGATTGAAGATGGAAACTCAATTGGAATATATGGAAGCACAATGTTTGTTTCGGGTGTGAATTGCTACGAACATATTTAACTGGTGGTCTTTTCTGATCGAGCAGAACGCCTGCTTAGACCTGCGGCACGTGTTGATGACGGGTACAAATTTGGTCCCCACTGTACACTTACATCTCTAGAGCTTCCAATTAGGCGCACGGTCTGTGGAACGAATGCACGATGCCATGATGACGTTTGCGGGGACGGCGACGTGGACCCTGACTGAGCTGCAACCTCAGTGTGTGGCGGCGGGACAGCTGGCGCTAGCGGAGCTTGGGGAGCTGCTTTTCCACGCGACGGCATGTGGAGGGGCATTCACGACGTAAATTTTGGAATTGACTTGCGGTCCTTGAACCTTTTATCACCTACTATACACATCAAGATCTGTCGCACGTAATCTCTGCTTGAGCGCAGTATAGATCACAGAGCATGGCCGAAGCCTTAAATTTAGGCTTTCCCTGCACTTTGTCCGTCCACCCCAAAAATATTCACCCTTGACATCAGCAGTAATACTCTCCCTCCAGAACCGTCAAAGTCCCGTTTCCGTCTCCACATCTCTCCAATACCGCCCTACGTACACTTTCCGTTGACGCTGAACTTTCGCCCTTCGTCCGTCGCTCGTTCTCCATTCCTTCTACAGACCCGTCGGTCCTTGAAGTACGATACGTTGCGACGACGCATCGTATGCTACGGGTCGCTGTTAACGGATTCTTTGAGAGTCTGGGTGTGGTACTGGGCGTCATGGAGGAGTTGGATGTGGATACGCTGAGCTTGGATGGAAAGGAGGAGGTTTGGGGAGTGGGTGTGCAGGGATTAGTCAAAGGAGATGGGAACTGAGATGGATGGTGGGTAAAAAATATGCACAACATACGAGCACGATACGGCACCTGTGTCCTGTTGAGACTTCCGCGAGGTGCCCGCGAGAGTATGCTCAGTGGTGTAAGCATGGCAAGGCTATCTGTATTGACGCCTTCAGGTCAATTCATGAGGTTGGCCACGCTCCAGTTATGTCGAATTACACACGGAGCAGCTGGGATCAACCGATGGAATTTGAAAGAGCGTGTAGCTGTAGCACGACTCATATCTTGGATTGGGGTATAAAGCTACGCTAACCCAGAATGGCTCCTGAAATGCGTTGGTAGTACATAGAACACGATTACACAAGGTTTGGAGGACTATTTCCTGTTCATTAGCCCCGCAAAGAAGTTCTTTAGTGTCTCATTTGACTCTTCGGCGCCATTAGGCAGCGTTTGTGCGTCATTAGAGCCTTCACCAAGCAGCCCCTTTACCGGACTGCCTGAACGTTCTGTCTCGCGTGCCTATAATCGAGTGTTAGCATATCGCTACCAGGAAGCAATTCCTAGACTCACGTTGATCTTGTTTAAGATGTCATCTGCGTCGACTTGTATACCGCCCATGTTGAATTGTACAGGCCCAATTTGATCGGTCACAACATTGCTTGCAGGCTCATTGTATGCAATGGCCTTGCCTCTTTTTGCTTCTCGGTCCTTCGTCTTACTCTCGTCATCTTCAGCTCGAAGCTTGTCTAGAATCTCTTGTTGTGTGGTCAAGAAAGCCTGATTATCTATGCTCTCCACCTCGATGCCATTTGCTTTATTAGTTGTTCCAGAGAAGCCTTGTGACACAGCCATTGGGTCTTGTACGGTTTCCTCGTAGATACCAACCGCCGTCTGATCTTCAGTTTCGGTATCGCCAGTCTGAATATCCAACGACCATAGCTTGCTCATTCCCTCGATATCAAAGCCTTCACGCAGAGTCCTGATTTTCCCCCATGAGTCCCAATTGTGGGGTATCAATATGTTATCTCGGTCCGTAACATTGTATTTCAGGGATTGCCGCTTCAGAGTTGCTTGGATCGCAAGCGAAGAGTGTACCAATGACTGAAGAGAGCCAGGTCTCGACGGCATCGTGTACACAAGCGATGCGCCATGCTTGAGCAATACTGTTCGTAGGCATTCCAGCACAAAATCGAAGTCATCCTCTTTCCAACCCCTTTCTCTCTCTAGCTGCTCTATCTTGTCTGCGTTTTGGCATACGACGCATAGTGGTATTCCGAGAGGCTCGTCCCATTCCCCAGGCCCAAGCGGGATCTGGTCACCAGGATCTATGTTATCGCCGGTTGCACCGCGGCCTTTTTGGAGATGCAAAATATTCTCTTCCAGAGCGTCTTTACAGTCATTGTCCAGTGATAGCAGTAGGCCACGAAACACTCGTATCCAGTCTCGTAGCTGCCGTAGCCATGCCCAGGGCTCATTCCAATCTAAAAGTATAACGAGAAGCATATGCGGGAGAGTTCGCGGAGTAAGTAGAGGTTTCAGTAGAGGCGTGAAAGACGGAGAGGGGTTGTTCAATAAGTATAAAGATAATCTTGCGAGCGTGTCTACGACTGGTGAGCTTCGTTGGTAGTTGCTTTAGAGATTCATCTTCATACCTTCGTGATCGTCGTCTAGGACATCTTGGTATGTGTAGCCCAGGGCAAATTGATTCGCTACAGGTGGTTTCTTGCCTCTATCTAGAGGCCTCCTTTTACTTGCTGAATCGGTATTGAGTGACTCCAGGAAGTCTCTCTGGGTGTCCGGCGAGCCACCTACGTACTTACGTTAGCTCTCTCAACAATTTGAAGGTGAATTGAGATTTGCCTAAGACCAGTACGCTCTTTTCGGGTAATCGCTTTCCGGTTGATACGCTGTCCAGTAACGACGACCACATTTCTTTCTTCTCTTCGCTACTCTTTGGGCGAGCAGGCTGCCCACGATCGGCCGTTGCAGTGAGAGATACAAATGTGGATATCCTCCGGTTCGCCATAATGCAGAATGGCCCTGGAATAGACTCGGTGCGATATTTCGGTTTCGGAGTGTTGAATTATTTACGCTGACAACTGGTGATGTTGTTCGGCTGGCTGCTCTGTTGGCTACGGTACTGCAACTCTATATGCTGCCGCTCGACCCGTTCTTGAATCTAATCCACGGCTTGAGTCAATCGGTGACGGTCTAGGTCGTCGCTAATTCGCGTCTTGATGCCAATTTTCTTTGGAAGAACTTGTCTTGTCCAAGGTAGTCTCTCTGAAAGCCCACAAGGCTTTGACCGTTGAGTAGAAAGTGTTGCTTCAGAATACTAATATTCTGTATGTTTCCCTTATACTCTTTTTTGAACTCCTCCAGTGTAATTTCCTTAGTTTCGTGACGGGTTTCGTTGATATCCTGGTTCAATTCCTTCAGAAGAGTTAGGACGTTCACTTGATAGTTATTGGCCATATTGGGGTGCAAAGGATCTTGGGCGAGTAGTGGTGTGGAAAATATGGGTAACTCGTAGGGGTTGGATTGGGAAGTGATGTACTTAAAGTGAACCTGGAAAGGGCGGAAAAGCGCGGCTCGATTGCCTGCCAGCAGCGGCGGTCGGGCAGCTAATCAGCGACAACAAAATCCAATTCGTATAAGACGCACGACTATATGAGGAATGGTTGAGGACAGTAACGATCATGTTCAGGAGGTACAGACCTTCTACTAGATCTATACACTTTCAAGTCGCGGTCGCGTTCGCAATTCTCCGAGATGAAGCCGGGACTAGGGAACACTAAAGAATGAAAGTGTATGCACGATTGCCAACACGATTTGGTATACTTACCCAGGCAATGGAGTATACATCACATCTTGTGAGACTCCCTGACAGATCCTTTCACGCTCTTACGACTCCATGAGGCTTGGCCTGTTTCCTGCTTGATCATGAACGCGATCCGCCGCGTGCGCGAGCTCAACAAACGAGAGTTGGAGGCTGGTATTACCCCGGAAGGATCATGGCACGTCGACTACCGCGACACCGCGTACATCTACGTTGGTGGACTACATCTAGACCTCTCTGAGGGCGACATCATTACCATATTTTCCCAATTCGGGGAGCCAGTCTTCATCAACCTCGTGCGAGATAAGGAAACTGGCAAGAGCAGAGGCTTCTGTTTCCTCAAGTATGAGGATCAGAGAAGCACAGATCTTGCTGTGGACAACCTCGGTGGGGCAGAGGTCATGGGAAAACTCCTTAGTGTCGATCACACACGATATAAGAAGAGAGATGGCGAGGACGTTGGCGATAACACTGGAGGTGACGCCGTGATGAAGGACGTCGCAGATGAGAGCGAAAGCGAGGAAGAGGTTGAGAAGCGCCCACTTTCAAAGGAAGAGAAGGAGCTTGCTGAGCTCATGCGAGATCACGACGACGATGACCCTATGAAAGCATACTTGATAGAGCAGAAGAAAGAAGAGGTCGCGGCGGCGCTGAAAAGGTTACCTAAGGACAAGGGTAAAGGCAAGGACAAGGATAGAACTCATCGGCACCACCACCGGTCTCGCAAACATCGCACCCATTCGGACTCCCAAGACCGTGAGATTCACAGAGACAGAGAAAGCGAGCGAGCAAACTCCAGAGGCAAGGTTCATGAGAAAAGCTCCCGACGGCACCGCTCTCGAACACCAGAAGGGCGCGATCGACACCGACGAAGCCCACCGATGAGCGAACTATCAGAACCAAAGCGTAGAAGGAGACAAGATGACAGTAATTTCTCACGCGAGCGAAGGAGGAGCCCGTCTAGTAGAGATACCAGGCCGCGTTGATCAACGCTGGTCCCATGCTGTGGGAATCATTCACGACGAGATGGTTATTTCAAAATTAATTACAAGGCTTACTGCTATAGTGATACCTAGTTGGTAGAAACTGACCTGACACCACCTGCGGCTCCCCAACGAGTCTTCCTGCCATTGCCTTGGTGCTTATCAACCGGTCGTAGCTTTTGGTGCCAGCAGGTCACCCAAGTTGTTTTGGGTGTAATAGTCCGCACGTATCTTATCGGCAACCTTGCTCACATCCTCCGCTCCATCATTCAGTGGATCGATATGCACCCTGAAAGGTCTCCTGCCATGAGCCGTACCTACTACCTCCACAATGGCTTTGGCGACATCGTTAACATCTGGGGGATTGTCCTTTGGAGTCATGTTCTCGAACGCCTTGTCGACGCGCTGCGATACCCCTTGATAGGCTCCGGTCTCGTACTCAATCGCGACGTTCGTATCATGAGGGCGAGCCGCATTCGTGAAATGGTTTGTGCCAGTAGGAAAGGCGCCCGGAACGACAATTGACGTCTCTATCCCCCAAAGCGATAACTCAGCAGCCATGCTGACCGCCAACGAGTCCATGGCCGCTTTTGCCGCAAAGTACGGCCCTAGAAAGGGCGGCATCGCGCCCCTTGTGCTAGTCGATCCGACATATAAAACCAACCCGGTTCCTTTCTTCCGCATGTACGGCAGGAATGCACGGTTGAGTCGATGGGTGCCCAGCGCATTGACGTCAAACATGCTCAGCAGCTGGTCCGGTGTGAAAGCCTCTAGAGGACCGAAACCCATGTGACCAGCATTGTGAACCACGACGTCTAAAGAGCCCGCCTCGGTGATGACCTTCTCGACAGCCGCTTTGCAACTTTCGTCCTTAGTCACATCGAGCTCGAGGGCATGAATTTCCAGACCGTGCTCTTTATTGAAAGTACTGTCTTTTTCTACAGCCGCAGATTCTGTCCTAAGACTCCGGTGACCAGCATAGACGTTATGGCCAGCTTTAGCCAACGCGCGGGCTGTAAGTGCACCGAAGCCGCTGGATGCACCTGTAATGAGGATCGTATAGCCCATACTCGGTGTATTGTTGGCGATAGGCGTGGTGGTGTGGTGACCAAAGACAGATGTAGCTCGTGTTCGCTATTCTGACGTAACACGATGTACGCAGGGTAGTCAATGTCTCAGGATCTTCTGTGACGTTCAGCCTCGTCCACAACCTTATATTGCTCCAGCTGAGGCTTACCTCCGTTGCGGCTCCTACTATCGTACCTTGCAGCGTGCGCCGGGGAGAAATCGGAACTGAAAATCAGGTTAAGTCCCTAAATTCCAGGCTTGAATATTGAGCGGCTTTAGCAAAGATGCTGGAAGCCGATCAACGAAGGGGCGTGGAATCGCAGACCTATCGGGCTTGGATTAATAATAGAAGCTTCTGACATGTATAATAGACAGCGCGGGGCAGCAAGCATGTATAAGCAGAAGGATCAATAAGCTAGGTCTCTTCACAATACAATGACCAGGATAGTCACTACCTCGATTGTTGGGACGTAGCAGCCTTGTATGATGGTTGAAACCAAAGTAATACATGGCCTTCTCAATGAGAATGACCGGGCGCCTATTTATCGCATCCCAAATCATAGGAGCGCCTTTGGTGTAATTATCTTGGTGAAAAGCAATTGGCTATCTGACAGGGCTGCGGCGTAGAAGTGAACGTGAATGTAATGCACGAATCGGCGTTCGACTTACTAGCTACTTACTTGTTGGGCTTGTTGCGATGACGTTAAAGCGGCCTGTGAAACTATATGTACAACGGTACGAGTCGTGACTGCCTTGATTTCTGAGCCCTACGGGTCGTGTCTCTTACCAAAGTGCATATAAGCTACGAACCGTGTTTTGGGGATGTGGCTGCAGGCGTGTGATCAGTGACTGTAGGCAGGAATGATGGTATATGAGCGCCAATGGCGTGTCAAAGGAAAGTAGTTTAATGTTTTAATCTTGATAAGGAGGGTATCGCTTATATGTAGTGTTGTTTGCTGAGCAGCACAACTTGGTGTACGAAACCTAAAATGAGTAGATGAGAAACGCCCGCTGCTATGCTCCAGTACCAAACTCCAAATTTCAAGTACAGCGGCGAGATGCGAAGTATTATCGCTACCGAAAAGGCTACTCATAGTGCTGTGCCGCGCTCGAAACTTTCCCGTATGTCGGCCGTATACTTGTTGTAGAACCGTGCCAGTTTCTCGTTGAATTGCTTATTTTTCTGGTTAATGTATGTGACGTCGCCGCCTTCTTCTTCCAGACCTCGGTCACGTCGCTTCCTCATCCGAATCTCTTCAGCCTTCTTCAGATCGCTGACGAGACGGTCCACAGCCGCTTTGTCGGGCTTGTTCTTGGTGAAGTCACCGAGTGAGTCCGCTGTCGAGAACAGGTTACCTTCATTGTCAACGGCAACTAACTCGCCGTCCTCGGCTTCGATAATTTCGAGCTCGCCTTTCTGCGCAGCCTCTTGTATTTTATCAGCCTTTTCTTTCTTGTATGCCTGAAGATCTGGAGCGTCCATCTCGCGCAATTGTCGCTTGTACACCTTGCGCGCATCTTGTCTGTAGTCTTGAAATGCTACGTCTCCTTTGTGCCGTGCCTTCTTATCCATACGTCTGTCCCACTTCTCGCTCTCCTCGACAGTCCAGTCCCACGCTCTCTTGCGCTCAAAATCTTCGCCCGAGGCCTCAGTGTCAGCCTTCAGGAGCTTATGTGAGGCGTTTTCGCGCTGCCGCTGAAGCTTAGTGAGCATCTCGTGATCTGTGGCCATCTTTTTCGCTTCCATAGTAGAAGCCTTCATATTATCCTTCCTGCTCTGTGCTTGTCGCGCTTTCAAAGCTTTGAATCTGGCCATGCGGTCGGCCGCAGAATCGCGTGTGTTTCCATCATTCGTTTCGATCTGGGGTATTGGGGTTTCCTCAGCCATGGGGATGTTATGCGTGCTAGGTGTGGCCAGCAATGTGGTTTCTTGAGTTTTATGGTTATCTGTGCGTCGGGACTAGAAGTAATCATGTAGATCTAGCATGTCTCCAGGGCTATGGATAGTTCACAGGGTAAGACCGAGATAATCCCGGCAAGCCCTCATGCCTCCATTCTAAGGCAGACATTAATAGTGGTAGAGTGTGAGATTCTCTGTATTCTACACGTTAAATAGGTTTTTCATTCAAATGATTCTGACAGAAAAGTATTTCGGCGCTGGAATTCAGATTTTGACTACCACTCTTCCCCTGGCGCGGCCAGAATGTGCCCTGTCGAATGCCTCCTGATACTGATCCAATTGCCAAGCACTATCAATATGTACGTGCAACCTGCCATCGTCGAACAATTTGGCTATCGATTCCAGCTGGTGACCGAGGCTACTCAGGATGAAGAACATCGCTTTGGCTCCCGATGGAAGGCTCTCGGGCTCCTTGAAGCCTGGAACGATGCTGATCAAGGCGCCATTTTCCTTCAAGCCAGCCACAGCGTCGCAGAGGGTCTCTCCTGTATGATCCGCAGCACAGTTAAGGATCACATCAAATTTCTTTGATTCCTCACCATTAACCCATTTTGTAATTGAGTACTTGTGATAGTCGATGACCTCGTCGGTCCCAAGACTAAAAACGAAGTCCTTGTTAGCAGGTCCACAAGTGCCCACGACAGTTGCACCCGTCAGCTTCGCGAACTGTACTGCAAACACACCGACACCACCAGACGCAGCTGTTATCAAGACCCTTTTACCCATATTGGGCTTAGCAAGAATGTCCGTGACATGTGGTTCACTCATGCCTCCGTGAGTGAATAAGCCTTGATAAGCTGTTAGTGAAGATGTCGGTACAGCTGCAGCTTCAGTCCAGGTGAGTGACTTTGGTTTTAGGGCGATTGCACTGTGGTTTATATGTGCTAGCTGGCAGGCGGCTCCCTCGCCATAAGCATCGGTATGACCGTAAACTTGATCACCAACTTTGAACTTCGAGCCCGGAACATTGGTGAGGATGGTGCCCGTCATGTCGTAGATTGGTATATGCTCCTCAGGCCAATTTGTGAATGGGGCCCAACCAAGTTCTCCATTGGTTATTGCCGCTGCCTGTACCTGGATCAGATGTTCATTTTCCGGTGGCTGAGGCGCTGGAATCGTGTTCATCGAAAGCAACCCACTCTTGGTATTGAGTATTACTGCCCTGACGATCTTTGGGATGACTGGGTCCGCCATAGCGCATGTTATTCAATGAGTGGGGATGTTGGATCTGTTTGAGACTTGCAATATATGATATGTTGCTGGCAACAGCTGAGCTTTATATACAATCGAATGGTCGATACTGCTTTGTGACACTCTTAGCAGAACATTTTGGTTCAAGAAAGAGCATTGTTGGCAAGCGACTCGAGTACATTCGCCTAGGTCAGGTCGTTCGCGGCATAGATCATTTCATGGTACATTCTTTCTAGGTTGCAGTATGCAGAATGTTGAGTCATCACCTTCCATTCGTCCCGTTAAATGCAGCTTATGAGGTCGCCGCGATAACTTCCAGGTTTGAACATAGCGCCGTGTCGCACAATGAGACAACACACGGAGAAGCGAGGGTGCCCGTCTGAAAGCCTGATGATACATCAAGATGAGGTGGGAATGGCTTGATATGATGCAGCTTGGCTATATCGATTTATAGACATCTCCTCGGGCAACCCATCTAGGTTCCGAGTTTGCCAGTGCTTGGAACCGCTTAGTAAGATTTCAATTTCTCCTCCAACTTACGTTCTCGTACTAGCATCGTAGTTAGCGCTCACTGAGCATCCAAAACATTGTCTATTAAAGTGCATTCCTTCGATTCGCGGCAAGGAAAGCTACTCTAGCACTCGTTACGGTCATGACGGTAGTCAACCCGCCAGTGCTTGATAGTGGCAATGAAGCACATATTAGTCAGCTACCTGCTGTACCTTGACGCCTATAATAAGCCTCGTTCCGCTGAGATAGGGATACGGTCCCGAAGACGATCACAACCACATCACGATAATCACATGTACATACAACCCCAACTCCAAGACTGACTAGGCTCTCCACACAATGTTCTCGTTCGCGAACGTCCGACCAATTCCCTTTTCCGACGGGGTTCCACAGCACTCGGATCCTGAAGCGGCTTACGAGGGTCCATCCGTGGGTTGGTTGATACAGAATCATGAATTGGCGCACCAGGTGATCGCATGTCATCCAGACTTACAGTAGGGCGTGCTCGACGACTCTGAGCTTGCGCTCCTTAAGGCTTACGCGCAGGATCCGAGTGAGTCATGCGAGCTAAAGAAAAACAACAATAGAGGTTTGGTTGCGCATGCGATCGAAAACAAAGCTTTTGATGAGACCAAATGAAGAATGAGATGGGGCGCAAACTGCCATTGGTACCAAAGACGGAGGGCGTGGAGGGTAGTCCATAGCGTGGTGCGACTGAGGTGTGCATTGAATAACCATCCATGGCTTATTCATGAATGAAGAATTTGGGTCGCTCCAGTCTCGTGCGCTTTGAGACTCAGCACTCCAGATAAGCTATCGAGATTTGAGGAATTAGGACATATGCCACGAAGTTTCATCCAACAATTCACTGTCAAGCGCGCGCGTGCCTAAGTCGACCGGTGTAATGTTAAAACTTCTGCTTTCACTCTACCGGACAAGTAGTCAGTCACAGCACTGTGCCAGACCGACAGTGCGCAACTGCTACCATGGTTCTCTCCATACATCCATTGACTCAACGGTAATACACTTTCTTATAGCCAAAGTGATTATAAAGTTAGTAGCTAGGCCAAAGTCTCACTGTGTGTCCGAGAGGGGTGGGCACTAATTACCTTCCCCGCAAACCGGCATGGATGGATCCATTTGATCTTAGCTCAAAACTACAATGACTTAACAGCTGTCCATCGAGGAATGTCTTCATTTGCAGACTACAGCAGACAAACAATGTCGTACAACAAGGTTCCCGTCACCTGTAAGCTCGACCTCAAGCCTTTCAAGGCCCACCACTCTGAGCAGCAATTGGAGGACTTTAAGACGCTGCTTAGACTCACACCCATTGCTCCTGAGACCCATGAGAACACTACCCGACTCGATGGTCACTATGGGTTGTCCCGGGAATGGGCAATTCGCATGAAAGATGTCTGGCTGAACAAGTACGACTGGCGCAAAACCGAAGATCACATCAATTCTTTCAATAACTACACCACCCAGATCAAAGGCAAAGATGGCAAGGAATATACAACTCATTTTGTTGCCATGTTCTCGGACAGCCCAGACGCTGTACCCGTCGCTCTCGTGCACGGCTGGCCTGGTAGCTTTCTTGAGTTTCTCCACTATCTCAACCACGTGAAGAGCAGATATACATCTCAGGATTTGCCATACCACTTTATCGTTCCATCGATGACTGGATATGCTTACTCCAGTGGGCCCTCGATTACTACAGAATGGACAACTAACGATATTGCCTACGTGATCAACGAGCTCATGACTGGTCTCGGATTCGGAAGTGGCTATATATCTCACGGTGGCGATATCGGCAGCTTCGTCTCACGTATCCTCGCGGCTAAGTATGACAACTGCAAAGCCATCCACCTGAATTTCTGTATCACTGGTGGTGAACCCAAGGATGTTAAAAACGAAGAAATTACCCCTCAAGAATGGGAAGGGATGAAGCGGCTTGCGGACTTTGGCACCTACGGAAACGCATATGCAAAGGAACACGGCACCAAAGGCGGTACAATTGGTCTTATCCTGGCATCCAATCCGTTGGCACTATTGTGCTGGATTGGAGAAAAATATATTGCCTGGACGGATGAGACGCCAAAAGATGAGGATATTCTGGACTCAGTCATGCTATACTGGGTAACGGAGACATTTCCGCGGTGCATCTACCCCTACATCGACTTCTTTGGGCGCGGCAACGAGTCGACTGTCTTTCACGGACATCCTGACTATTACGTGAAGAAGCCTATTGGATATTCGTATTTCCCGTTTGAATTAGGTCCTGTGCCTCTTGCCTGGGCAAAAACTACAGGCAATATTGTATTTCATCGTGCCCATAAGTCAGTAAGTGCATATTTTTCTACATCTCTCTGCAAAGAGGCACAAAAGCTTACGACAGTATAGGGTGGTCACTTTGCAGCACTTGAAAAGCCAAAGGAACTATTCGAGGACCAAGAAGAGTTCATCAAGGGTTTGAACTGGAGCACTCTTGTAAGCAAATAGATGTCTCGTCGAGCACTTGGTACAAGGAATTACCAGGATGAAGCGCAAGTATCAGACCCCAAATCGATGGATGTAGAGGGTGAACTTAAACATCTTCACGTCACCAATGATCGTGTATATCATCGAAAATTACATCATCGCTTTGACGGAAGCAAGGTGCCGGGCTCCATATCCAACTGTGTTTTTCTTATCAGACATCTGCAGCTGTCCAGCATTTCGATTGACCAAGATCTCCTCTGCTCCCTAACCCTATCTTAGTCTCTCAGCAGTCCCCACCGGTATCCATATATTCTGCTTACCTTAAATAAGTTTTGCTGGTGAGCTCTTTCTCAAGGTCGCAATATCTCCCTTGCATCTGCTCCATAGTCCTGGGATTAATGCCGCACAACTGCCTCACGAAATGCGCTCTCCAGCCCTCTCTCAATCATGACTCCTTCGACATTCCTGTAGTTCTGTTCCCCAACTATCATAGCTAGCATTACGAATGTAGCGTTCTAGAGATCCCTCGGACGTCATGTCCGGCGGTATCTTGAAGTGCCCTAGGTCCTCTGAAATCACCTTCAAGAGCTGCTGCCCGGATGGCTGAATGGCAACAACATTAATTGAATACAGACTTGCATACTTGCACTGATAGGATATCAGCGCAAGACTATCTGTGTGGTAGTATTGTTGTCCTATGACTAGGAGCGTTTCGGAAGCTCTTTTGCATCAAATTTCCCAATCGTCTTGACCTGTCTCCTCTTCCCAAACAGCGTGAAAAGGGGTATCGATCTCATAAGCTTGAAACATGTCTGATCGGAACTCTGCTGCAAAGTTATGTTGCATCCCAAGCCTGACTCGTTTCTAACTTAAATGCTGGTTGACTTTTGAGAGAACCTAGAAGTCTTCGCACTCTTTGACTTAGAACCTTCGAATCTCATCTCCGACTTGCTATCCTCTTAGCTCCCATTCTATAAAATAGGTGGTGTTATAGAGGTTCGTTAAAGAATCGGGTGATATAGAAGGAAATCGGGTGGAGATCGGGTATAAATCGGGCTCAGATCGGGTACGGGTCGGGTACAAATCGGGTAAAAATAAGCCACCTCTGAACTGAACTTTTCGTTGGGCCCTAGAACCTGCCTGAATGTTTACCTTTCTAGACCAAATTGCAATTTACATGATACATCCTGGCGTATGCGGGGTAAGATCCTCGAATCATTGGCCGGCGAGGATGTCGTACCCTCATCCGTGGGCCGTGGCTGAAGATAAGCCGCTTATTTTCCGATTCATCGATCTCGGATGAGTAAGTTCTTAATCGATTGAGTGTACAATTGAAGCTGTAAAGTATCTTGAAAGACTGAGTCTGTCATGTGAATTTACTTTCTCTTGTCCACTCTCTTTGAGCTAACCTAAGGACGCGTCCATTTTCTACAAATCCTGTACATATTACGCCTACTTCACTATCAGCTAACCTATCTCATTTGTTAGGTAACATATTATTAGTAAACAATTAGGATACCTTAGTAGATATGTTTGACAGCTGCAATAAAGAACAGATACGCCTCATTGTCGAGTCAGTCAGTCCGTCGCCCTGCACTTTGATTCGATGCTAGGGGGCGTCCCTCGGAGACGTGCCGCCGGAGAATAGCTCAGGTATCTCTGATACCCGCTATATGAACTGAGATACTCCAGATCCCTTCAAAGGGACTCCATCTCCGGACGGAAAGATGTTAACTTGCCACGGAGTGCATAGAGCGGATGCCAGTCTTGTATCGTCGACAGATATACCAGAGCTTATCTATTCCCCAGCAACGACCCCTAACCCCCGACCTCAGCTGCCAGCCTTGCAGCTCGTGGATTTGTTCTGTAGATCGACTCTACATAACTACGAGAGCCGCTGAGTCGAGCTTCATATGTTTTTCTAAGATAGCAGACCTTGTCACGAGTAATCGCCCGCCATCATGCCCGAGAAAACTGATCTGGAGATGGCCGTAAGGATGTCAGACGAGCTACCTCTAGACCTTGAACAGCTTAGCGAAAAGTCTGGCTACATACTTGATGAAGAGGTGCTACGACAAACACATAGCATCAGTCCAGATGTAGAAATCAAGAAATCGTCGAATGGACTAGTCCTGATTCCACAACCGACAGACTCACCACGGGATCCGCTCAACTGGCCAAGACAGAAAAAGATGACAATTTTATTCATGCTTGGATGTTGCGCATTCACTGCGGACTATTCAGCAGCTACGGGAGCTTCAGCGTTAATTCCACAGGCCGAAGAATGGAATATCACGCCTGATACTGTTAATCATGCGACCGCTGGGAATACATTCATGCTTGGTACGTTAGCATTTGCGATTAATGTACACGCAGCTAACCTACATACTAAAAGGTGCTGGTGGTGTGGTCGCCGTATGGCTCAGCTACTACCTGGGACGTGTCCCCGTGCTACTTTACTTCTCTTTACTTTCAGCTGCCACGGCGGTATGGTCGGCGAATGCTCAAAGTTTCGAGTCCTACATGGCTTCTAGAATCCTCAATGGCTTTTTCGCTGTTGCAGCAGCAGCAGGTGGTCTCATGATCATCAATGACATTTTTTACTTTCATGAGCGGGCTAGGATGATCAATCTCTGGTCAACGATGCTCATCCTGTCCCCTTTCCTCGGGCCATGCTTCATGGCGGCCATTGTTGACACGCACAGCTGGAGAGACGGTATGTGGCTTAACTTTGCAATCATCTCAGGAACCCTAGTGGCAGTAGTTCTAATCGGCGACGAGTCCTACTATCCTCGCTCTGTCCCCATACACAGCATTCCAAACATTCAAGGAGACTCCCGATATATGCGACTATTAGGTGTCAGCCAAGTACGCACCAGGTACACGTCAACATCTCTCATGGGCGCAGCTATTCGCCCTATGAGAACGATCTTGAAACCACCAGTGATCATAATCTGCTTGTATTACTTCTTTGACTTCGGTTGGACCATCGCAAACAACACCACTATCTCTGTTTTTGCAATTCCAGGCTACAACCTACGCCCCAGCGGTCTGGCAGCGCTCTACGTCGCGCCAATAGTCGGCGCCATCATCGGTATGGCATCTGGCCATTTCCTCTTTGATATCACTGGCAAGCTATATGCGAAGCGTAATGGTGGACGCCTCGAGCCCGAGTCTCGCCTGTTGCCTCTTTGGCTTGTCCTGCCGACTAAGATTATTGGATACAACCTCATCGGCTCTGCTCTAGAGCATCGCTGGAATATCTATGTGCTTGCCGTGGGTTGGGGTCTGCATAATTTCTCAACGATCTTCACCACGTCTGCAGTGTCAGCGTATGTCGCGGATGCGTATCCAGCCGTATCCGGGGAGTCGGCTGCGTGGCTAAATTTTGCACGAGCACTCGGTGGGTTTATCGTTGGGTATGTGCAGATCTCGTGGGCGGAGAGTTCAGGAACTCAAGTGGAGTATGGTATTCAGAGCGCGATAATGGGAGCTGCCTTTGTGTTTTTTGTCGTTCCGTTGCAGATCTGGGGGAGGACATTGAGGCATAGGTTCGGACCGGTGAAGCTGGAGCATGAAGTGCACAGGCAAAATAATTGAATATACAAAGAGCGAAGGATCGAGCCATATCTAAAACATTCATTGTGTTTAAAGTATCGAGAAAGCTGGATTCAGATCAAAGCAATTGCGTAGAATATGTTGGCATTACAAGACACGCATTATGTGAGCATCATAACTGCTTCAGGTAACAACATGTGTGACATTCCAGCTCTTGATGCTCATCGCTACTCATACCCAAGAAGTGGATGGACTTTTGTGTGGCCTTCATCTACAATCGAACAACCATGCTAATCAATCCACTCACTGATACCCGTAAATCACTGGATAGGCGTCCACAAAAGAAAGGTTGTTTATGCACGTAGTTCCTTGCAGCCATAACGCTACTTGATCACACGAGATTGTCGTCATCATATTAGCATGGAGAACCTAATGGCCTGGTCCACAAAACATCCACACCTTCGATTCAGCACCGATGACAAAGCTGAGAGTGAACATGTCGAGATTCTGACCTCCCTTTACACTTCGATTTCGGTGCCTTATTCCGCCTTAATCGCGAATATAATAGATCAAATTGTGTCGACCTCTTACATATACGACCCTGGCGGACAGGAAGGGTTGGAATTGAACAGCATATCTTCAAGTAACGAGTTTATCTCTCAGCACTTATTGTATCCTTAGCGTTCTACACGCACCAGAACCAAATAATCATACACACACGATAGGGTGCGAACATTGGACCACAATGGGTAAGTAGGTGACACAAAAATTTTAATGAATGTATCAGTATAGCATTGCCACATCCACCGATATGAGGGGATTCTAATTTGGGCTCTGATACACCCGAAAGAAGGTCAAATGCTTACATATAAGTGACTCGAGTTATGTCTGATTTACATATAATACTGGGGAGATTACACGAGGATTAGGTATCTACTGATGAAAGGACTCACCGAGTAGGAAATGATGTTCACGGACTTTTGTCACACTCCACTATTGCTAAACATAACATGCAGCATCTTGATTGGTCGTTAGCAAAATGCACTTCGGACGTCCGCCGTGACATCCACTCCTTAACCTCCAAAGCATAACTCGCGATGGACTCCACGGATCTTCTTTCGTCCTTCAGCTACGATGTCGAACTGTCTTCCGTCTCCTTTCATTACTCTCGCTGGGATCCACAACCTGCGACCTCTACCCACCCTTGAATTACCCCACCACCCCGCCTCGTCGCGCTCAAACCCAATCACTCTCAAGCCAAGTACAATATGGCGTTCTGCAGAGCCTTACAAGGCCGATCCCGAGGAGTTAAAGAAGCTGGGTATCAAGTATGTGTTTGACCTGCGCAGCAAGCCAGAGTTCGATATGGCCGAGCATGGCCTAGGATGGGCTGCGCATCCCGCTGAGGGTATTGAACGGATCTGGGTTCCAATTTTCGAGGATGAGGGCTACAACCCAGAGAGATTGGCGGAGAGATTCATGAAGTACATGAGCGAGGGCAAAAAGGTACACCTGGCCCATCATGCACTTACCAGTCCGATGCAGCACGCACCTGTAACAAAGCCTCACTAATACTTCATTACACTCAGGGCTTTCCCCAAGCATATCTCGAATTCCTCCTTGCGGCCGGACCTGCATATGCGAGGATATTCTCACAGCTTGCCTCCGACTCATCGACTGGCATCCTCGTGCACTGCACTGCGGGCAAAGACCGTACGGGTGTCTTCGTTGCGCTGCTTCTCTCACTTCTCGGCGCGACCGATGATGCCATTGCTGATGAATATGCGCTCACTGATATCGGCCTCGCAGAGCTGCGCCCGGGCTATGAGGCGACGATCTGGAAGAATCTGCAAGCGCGAAATCCGGAACTTGTGAAAGAAAAGGGACCGGAGAAGGCGCTGGAAGGCGTGCGGAGGAGTACTGGGTCGCAGAGGGAGAATATGTTATGGACGTTGGAACTGTTGAAGGAGCGGTGGGAGAGTGCGGAGGGGTGGCTGAGGAAGGAGTGTGGGTTTTCAGGTGAGCAAATCATGGCTTTGAGGGAGGGTCTAACAATGGATGGAGATGCGAAGGCAAGTTTGCTTTAAAGTGGAAAGGCCGATTTGATATAAATACATGCGCCCAAGTGTATATACCTTGTAGGAGTACATTAATGCGGACTTTACTGCAACAAGGCCTGGTTTTGCATCTCCCATTCCATATTTCCGAGTCCGAGAGACCATACATTGTTTAACATAGTGTGACGTTGTGCTCTGCTTCACTTGTACGATACAATGCACGTGAAATGGGAAATTATCGTAGCTCAAATGCACATCAATTCTTGCAGAAATGGTGCATAAAACGTCGTTGATATTCGGTCAGACGGCTGAATGGTTCCAAGAAACATTCACCAAGTCTTTCGAGAAGAAAGCGGGATTCAGATATCAAAGGGGCGGAACGTCAGGGATTCAGACCTCCTCCTACATATGCTATTGTTTGGACCTTCGATTTCCGTTTCCCAAATATTGCATTTAGATGTTTCGGCGTTGCTTATCAACTACCCTTAGTCACACAAATATTACTAGTCTGCCCATCTCCATATACAACAAACAATATATATCATTGTACATAGGCTTTCAACACTGCCGCTTCACCAATATCTCCACCAAACCTCATCCTCACACCCAAAAATGCGCCCAAAACGGCATTGCCCAGAAACAGCGGCATCTTCAGATCCTGCGCCGCACCCACAACCTCTGCCAAATCTGTCACTACGGTATCAAGGTTGTGCGTGCATACGCCCATCCAATTCTTTTCATTTCCACTCAACCCTCTGATCATCAGCTTCCCCACATCACGTAAACTGTGACTGCCACCGGCGGCATCAACGGCCAAGCCGTAAAGCTGGTCTAAAGGGATGCCGAGATGGCGTGCGAACGAGAGTGCTTCGGCGGCGGCGAGGAGGTGTATATTTGTGAGGAGGGTAATTACGAGGTTGGTGCGCTTATTCACTTCGTCTTCGCTCAGCCATGATTGCGGAGTTTGAGAAAGGGAAGTGTTGTGGTAGATGCGTAGCACGCCGGCGTCGTCGTGAGGTCCATACCCCTGATTCAGTGCGGAGAAGTAGACTTGTTCGGCGAGGGAGCTGAGTGGGACTGGAAATGTAGTGGCTCGAGCTTGTGATGTAACAATACACTGGAGACGTGGTAGTCAGATAGGGGTAAAGAGTGAAAAGGAAGGGGTACATACGACATCTTTGAGGATAATTGTCAACGCACTAACACCAGGATAGTAATCTTCGTTCAACATCCTGGTCGTCCGATTCTCCCACATCCAACTCCATGCCGCACTCCCGTTCACCCTCTCTACCACTATTCTCGGATCTAGGCCCAGCTTCACAGCCAATCCCATGCCTTCGCTCGCGGCCAGTATGTGGATTGCGGCAAGTACTTGGTGCACCATCTTCATGTTGCTGCCCTGACCGATGCCACCGTCAACGATAAAGAGCTTGTTCTCGCCGGACATCTCTTTGAGGAGCCACTGTCCTTTGGCAATTGCTTCAGGCGATGCACCAGCCATAATTGTTAAAGTGCCATTGACCGCGCGCGCGGCACCACCGGAGACCGGACAGTCGATTAAAGAGATGTCGGAACGACCTAGTTGTTGCAGTTGCTGTGCGACGGATTGAGCGTATGTTGCCGGGACAGTGGAACAGAGAAGGAGAGTTGCTCCATTCGGTAGACCTTCCAAGTACATCAGCGTCGCAACATCATAAGTTCTGCCACATTACACTGACCTTTGATGATGGGTTTTGCGTCGTCGAAAATAGCAGATTGTGCTTGTTGTGCGGTTGCTACCATGCAGATATAGAAGTCGTTTCCTTCTGCAGACTCTTGTAGTGTTGCTACTGGGACTCCACCAGCTTGTTCGAAGCGATCTAAAGATGCTTGGGATATATCAAAGCCTTTCACTATATATCCCCGTTCCACGAAATGTGTGGCCATGCCAAAGCCCATAGCTCCTAGCCCACAAAAGCCTATCGACGGCTTGGTAGTAGACATTATCAATCAATAGGCCAAGCTTGTAAGCAATTGTTGAACTCCATGGTGGATGAGAGCATTGAGCCATTATGTACCTGGCCTCACAGTGTGATCGTAATAGTCGCAGTAAGTACCTCACGATTACACACCGGATAGAAAGCCGCGCTGCGGGGATATGTGGACCATTTAGCCAAAAGCGGGGCAGGTAGTTATCCCCACATTCCATTTAAAGGGAAGTCGAACTGATTAGTCATAGGTTGAACTCTCGTCCATGGATGATTTATCTGGTGCTTACGAGCCCAGGGTAAGCCGTGACCGTTCACCCTGTCAGGGGTCCACCACAGCACCTCGGAGAAGTCGCCGATGGGCCACTAAAGTTTATGCTTGCTTATGATAAATAGATCTGTTCTCCGGTGGGCAGAATGAGCATTCACGACTCTGACGCCATCAATTGGTCCGAAACTGAGATAATCGAAATCAACATGGTGAATCCCGGTATGAAGCATAATCGCGCGCTCAAGATCCTCAACGATGCCGCGGCTGGTGGATACGGCATACCATCCATGTGTTGCTACAACGTCGAAGGAATCATCGCGACCATTCGGGCCGCCGAAGCGAAACGCTCTCCGGCTATGATCCTATTGTTTCCATGGGCAGTACAATACGCAGACTCTTTACTTGTCCATCTCGCCGCTGAAGCATGTTCGAAAGCCAAGGTCCCTGTTACGTTACACATGGACCATGCGCAAGATCCAGAGATGATCAAACGAGCGGCTGATATGGGTGGTTTTGATAGCATCATGGTCGACATGAGCCATTACGACAAGGAGGAGAATCTGAGGTTGACGCATGAATTGACCGAGTACTGTCATGCACGAGGGATCGCCACGGAAGCTGAGCCAGGTCGAATCGAAGGGGGCGAGGATGGTGTGAGCGATACGGCAGACCTTGAGGGAGTCTTAACGACACCAGAAGAAGCGAGAGAGTTCGTCGATACTGGAATCGATTGGTTAGCCCCGGCATTTGGCAACGTCCACGGCTCGTATGGACCGCGTGGAATTCAGCTCGAGTACGAAAGGCTGGACGGTATCAACAAAGAGGTTGGCAAAGAAGTTCGATTAGCCCTTCATGGAGCCGATCCCTTCACCATGGAAATTTTCCAAAGGTGTATCGGTCATGGGATTTCGAAGATCAACATAAATAAGGTAATGAACAATGAGGTAATGAACGTGTGGAAGGAGAAAGCCGGCACGGCGCCACTCACGAGTGTGATAGAAGAAGGTACTAATAATATGCAAAAGGCCGTCGAGAGGTGTATGGACATGCTCGGATCGACTGGAAAAGCTTGAGGGACAAAACGCATGGTATGGTGCGGGCCTGAGTACAAAGAAGATTTGATATCATGGCAATTTTAGGGTCTAGAACTGGTATTCAACTGAAATGCAATGTTTGTCTGAGATCGGTTTGAAAGGGTCGACGTTCGTAGCTAATACCCGTACGGGAGTAAGGTAAATGACGCCACGCAAAACAACAACCTAAAAGCGCGACCAAAGCTGATGAGTGGGACCCTAGAGAAATAGACACATGTAAAATGAATTGTAGGGCACAGCGTTCCTTCAATCAACCATGGCGGCGCTTCTTCGATGCGCCTCCTGATGATGCCTCAATCATGCCGGTCAGTCCGTCGTAGTCGACCGTCTCGATGCCGTTCTTCTCGATAGCATCCAGCTTTTTCTGGCCTGCATCGATGCCCAGTACGACCAAGTTGACGGCCTTTGTGATGGAACTGACAGTTGATCCACCATGCTCCTGAATGACAGTCTGGATTTGTGTGCGTGTATAGCCTTCGATCGTGCCCGTGACGCAGACAACCTTGCCACTCAATGCGTCCTTTGATCCTACTGGAGTTTCAACAGTAGGACCCGTAGCATTTGAGGGCTTCGCAGCTGCAGTAGTCTTCTTCGGTTTGGCTTCTGCGGTTTTCTTGGTGGAGGTAGTCCTCTTTGATGGGGCTACTTGCTGGAGCGGCCATATGTCCACAACGATCTTCGTTTCGCCAGTGATTTCCAGGGATCCATCCTTGCGTTTCTTTGTCGAATCTGGTTTCTGGCCATCTTCGGCACTGAGTTCTTCGGCGCCAGAATTCGCGGCAGCGAGTGTAGAGTAGATGGAATTAATCTCACCATCTGCCATGACGACATATACGCTGCCTCCGGCCATCGTGATAGTCTATTTGGTACTAGTGCTGGGAGCCCGAGAAAGGTCGTTGTGCAGGCAACTGACAGACGCTTGACTCTTGAGACCTGAGCGAAAGAAGGGATGAGAGATACCAAACGACAGAGCAAAGAAGATGTGTTGGCTTTATGTAACTCTACTACGCGTTCTGCGCGTAAGATTCTAAAGGTTTGCTGCCTGGAGCACGCGCTCACGTGTCAGGCGACCAGGTAACTGCTGACTGATTGCAGCCTTTCGTTCATCAAGCATGATGGACTGAATCCTACAAGAATCTTAATCTTCTGAAAGAAAGATAGACGTCTCTTCCCATGCCATCGAAAATTCCTGTCAATCGCAGCGACATGATGCGCCTCCGAGTCTAGACTGTGAACGCGATTTGACAATTCGAACACTGTACCAATGTATCTACTCAAATCATCATGTCCGCTATCTCAAAGCCTGTGCAGCGATCGGAAGAGGTGATTCGTTACTCGACTCTCGGAAACTAATTAGCGTATGCTATCCTGTGTGTGGTTGTGCCGAGGAGCAGTTCGTTCAAGCGCAAGCGCGAATCGTATCCACAGCTAGCTAAACATGACGTCGCTCTACGCCATAATGTAGAGTAGATATAAACCCTTCGCGCCCATTGATTTATGTCGATTCGCCTATAGCTTTCATCCGAAACTTGGGTGTATAAAAATCAAACTCCGACGTCCAAACTCAAACCCTCAGATTTATCGCTATGGCAGCCTCTATTCTTGATACAACTCGTAATCTTGTAAGTACTCAGTCTTTTCAAGGCAGTGAGCTCCAATTGGACCCCTAACTAATTTTCCAGTCTCTATACACCATACCAGCGGCGTGGGTTCTCAGTATTGCGCCGCATTTCTATGCTGCCAGTCTCGGAAAGTTTGATAACAAAGTATGTGGGAATCGAGCATGGAACTGTGGGGATCTATGTACTGATCACCTTCAAGCAACCTCGCACGTACACGAAGGATAGCGAGAGTGACCAGTCCATAGACAAGGCTACCAAGTCCACAATTATCCGTGCTGAAGGCGCACAGCAGAACGGCTTCGAGAACATTGGTCTCTTTGCTGCTGCTGTTGTCATTGGAAATGTCGCGAAGTTGGACAACTACACTCTGAATATACTCAGCGGGAGCTACTTGGCCAGCCGTGTTGTGTACAACTTGGCGTACATCAATGGCACCACGGATACCATTGGTAAGTTTGGCTCACCTTCTGATATGTTGCTTGTATTCCTTGGCACTTTAATTTGCAACTGCTGGCTAACAACCCCACGCAGCGACCTTGAGGACCGGAAGCTTTCTCACCGGTATCGGCATCATCTGGACTTTATTCATCAAGAGTGGAAACATTCTCAAGAATCAATTGTAGGCTAACCAAGTGACTTTCTGACCGTGTATATAATGTGATCGTAAATGTGTTGTAGAGGAATGCGATGCAAAGTTTGGTGGGATGCTTCGTTCCACTCGTACTGGTCTGGCCTGGCAGAGACGATTTACTCATTGTGAGTGGCATTGTTATGTGTCAAGTATGCAGCGCCGGTGCTTATGATCCTTCTGAAATACGTCTATAATACATCCAAAATACATCTATAATGCATCTATAATACATCTACGCACCATCTATGCACCCCGGTCCAATAGTGGCCTGAGAAACGTAGATATCTCATATCACTGCGGCCAGACCGAGTGCGGACATAGGTGGTACATATATGCGACATTAATGACTGCGGCTTGGGCAGACATGATTGTTTAAGGATCGGGAAATGATGTTTCTGTGGAAGTTTGGTAGATGGAAGAGTGAAAACAGATTTGTTTTCTATTCACATGAGAGATTATTTGTATCAATTTTTCGGTGGCGAGGCACTCCTAGAGATCATTGCGTAGTCAATACCGCTCAGGTGTCTTGCTATTTTACGTACACCCACAGGTAGAATGCCGTATAGACCAATCCAACGTGCGTATAGCGGGGCTGAGATGTCACCGCTTTCACCGGCATCGACTAACTTGATAATTTCCTTTGCGATCTCTACAGGCTCAACAATGGGCGCTAGAAAATTGGACGGAGTTCTTACACCCGCAAACAGGGATGTCGACAATTGCCCCGGGCAGCACAGTATAGTGCGTATCCATGGAGCAGATTCGTGGGTCGACAACTCGAGTTCAGCTTTGAGAGATGCATGTAGAGCGTTCAGAGCAGCTTTGGAAGCGGTATAGTCAGCTGGAAGGATTAGCATATCGAAATTCAGCCCAGAACAGTCCTGCTCACATAAATTCGCTGCACCAAGGTTTCCCAGAACACTAGAAACAGTGACAATTGTGCCGCGTCCTTCGTTCAACATGCCCGGCAAGAAGGTCTTGATTGTGTAGAAATGTGAGAGGAGGTTTGTACGCATAGTCCGCTCCACATCTTCGAAAGATAGATCCAAAAGCGATTTGCCATTCATGACGCCAGCGTTGTTGATCAAAATGGTCGGCGTTCCAAGCTGCAATCAATTTCAGCTTGCTGCTGCTGTTACTTTGCTTGAGTATGCTGTAGACTTACATCCTGTTCGATCTGCTTTGCCGTATCCTGTATCTGCTCACGACTTCCAACGTCACATTTGTAGTATGCAATTCCCTTTGCCTCCGCCTCTTTTCCATCTTGCACATCCAAAATTGCCACACTCGCGCCTCGCATACCATATACCTCCGCGATAAGCTGTCCCAGTCCACTACCACCGCCTGTAATGACGATTACCTCATCCGAGAGATCGACATCGCGTGGCAGACCGTGGGCAACTCTCTTGTTGACAACGCCAAGTATCCATAGTATTGTGATGAGTGTTGCATAAGCGATTGCGACTTTCATGGAAGTGAAATGGTACGGCGTCAACTGCGCTCTCATTGAGAGAGGCACCATCCACGCAATGAAGGGATGTAGGAGAGACCTCTGCAGTACCGTATTGATTGTATCGATGGTCATATAATGCTGCCATGGCTTGTCGGGGGCAGTTTCGCGAAATTTGGGGGTTGCAATTACGCGCTCTAATCGAGGGACGTCCGTCGTCATTGTGTAGTATATTGGAAGCCGGATTTACTGTGAGGTGAGTCGAAAGGACAGTGAAGCCCTGCGCGATAAGGACTAAGGCGGTATACAGCTAAATATGATGTATGTTGGGTTGCCACAGATCAGGAGGTCTCGAGCGAGTCTCAGGCACGTCTCACGTTTGGTCTTGGTACAGAACGAAATTCGTCGGGTTTGCTATGAAAAGATTATGGATTTACAATGCTATATTAGGGATTCGTGAGATCAAGAGTAAAACATGTTGATACAATTGCGGTGTTTGCATTTGCCGTGGAACGATCACGGTGCGCGCAAGCAATTCCAGTGTTTGTCCAAGTGGTCCTGTCGGCCGGATTTTCGTGACCAGCAGATTGTGTCTAAGGAGCCAACATGATTTGGCATCTAAGGAGGCGGGCCTCGCTGCTCCTTAACAACGCGGAGCCCTTACCCCATCCCATGTCATGCACCTGTTGGCCGAGCTCTAAAGATGTTTGATCCAACGAATATTCCGACCTCACCAAAAGAGGATATTACCAGCATACAGCGTGATTCAAAGCAATCTTGTGCTACGACCAGTATAGTGCGGTTATCCGCAGTAACCCTGCTTTCGGTGCGGCCAACATCTGTGGAGCACCTCTTTCACTGTTACCCATCCCATCACAACGAACGGCCCTTTACCTACAACCGTATTCTGCAATAACAATGGCGCGAGTACAAAGCCTCTCGCCTCAGGCATCGGACTATCAGGGCCGGCCAAACTCTCCTCAACACATCTCGAAGCGAGACAAAAGACGCAACATGCTTTCCGAAAAGCTTGTCGATATGGTCACTTCGTTCGCCGACAACCGTGACGCTCATTACCGCGCTCAAGCGACAGCTTTGCAAGCTGACCTCAGCTTAATCCTCAAAGCAGACCCATATTCAAATAAGCCACTAGAAGACAACGGCTACGACGTCGCAGAGGTTGCTGCCAACGTCACCGGCGGTCAGTCGACAGCTGCACCCAGCCCACATGGCGATTTCGCAGCACAAGTTGGACGGTATTATTCAAAGTTTGTGGACCAAGTGAACGATTCGCTTGAAGAGCGTGATGTTGGCTTAACACTCTTACACGTGAGCAACTCAATTCCGCTCTATCTTCGTACACGAGAGCTAATTTGATTGCAGAAAAAATATGAGAACCAACTCAACGACATCGAAAAGCTACACGAATACCGCACAAAACTCGCGGTAGAGGAACATAAAGCTCTGAAGGGCACCCTGCGTGAAAGACTCATCCAGCAGCTGAATCAGAAGAGATCGCGATTACTTCGAGAAAAGGAACAACTGGATATCGCTGACAGCAACGCCCAGCTCCTTCACCCAAATCAGTTCACAACTGCACATTCTTCAAGCCCTGGTGGGCCGCAGGGACCAAGAAAAACTCGAAACACAAGACAGCGTGTTGGTGGTGATACAGAAGATGTAGCTGCGACAGCAACAGACAATCGGCGCAAGCGAAAGGCAGCTACATACGAAGAAGAAAACGACTCGCCTGGACCAAGTGGACGCAATGTTGACATTGGTACTGGATCGCCATTCCGCGATGCCAAAGCGAAGACGGTTTACACCCAGTTCGAAGCACCTGTATACTCGATCGACCGACTCTTTACCGAGAAAGAATTAAGCCTCAGCAGAAATCATGCCGAGCACGCCACCATCAACTTCTTCCGCAAGCCTAAGGTTCCAGACTCCCGAGAAAATGAAGCTGTGACGAACGGGGTCAACGGTGACCACGCGGATGATGAGTCGCACACAGCGATGCTGGAAACTGATCAAGATGACGACGGAAATGCGCAGGACATGATTCGTACAGGCAGCTATCATGCCACAAGAGGAGCAGCACGCAATGCTCTGGGCGATTACGACAGCCTTACAGAACGTCTCTTCCGCATACCATCATCAGGTCCGGTGTTTTTGACTGCATCATTCTCAAATATGATTAACAAGCCAAATGCTACGGCGCCACCTCCGCCAGCATTGTTGCCCGGAGACGTGGACGCAGACCTCGCGTTGATGACGCGCGATATCGATCCAGGCAACCCTCTTCTGGAGAAAGTTTTGCAGCATTCTGTGAGACCACTACGGACTCGCGAATATCAATACCCGGTGCGACCAGGCGACATCAATGAGGGGCCGATGCCAATACCGAATCACTTGTACGGTGGAGAACCCATGAGTGCGCAGACTAGTCTTGGTGGGCTCAGCGATGTAGGGCCGTCGGCACTTCGTGGAGGATCGCGACGAGCAAATCACCTCGAGGTTACGAGCTACACGCCCGAGCGATTCCTGAGTCGACAATGAGCGTTGAGTCTGATGTGTACGGAGATCAACCTAGACTAATATTACGGCATTCAAGTGCAGCAGGCATATGCATCTGCAAAGGAGTTTAACGGTGCTGGAGCAACATGGGATGTATTATTTGGCGCATAACGGAGACTTTACATATCAGGGCCAACATAGAACAGGTTGCGACAGGAGGGAATATTTCCAAGGACATCCACAGCGATGGACCGGAGCTCCCACTAGACATGTAAACACCAGCAGAGGACAAATATCACGAGCATAGCATAGTGATCGCAGATGGTGACCATATCTACACCCATGCAGTGAAAACTCTGCCCTCTATGATTACGTTACATGCATTCACCGACTTTACCCCCAAGCCGTCTGCGCCCGGTATTACGGTGGCGTGGATAACCTTTGAAGCCCGACTTACATGTTGCGCTCGTTGCGCTCGCAGTCAAGTTCTAATCAATTAACAGATGAGCTAGATCGGTATGAAAATGACGCGGTGCTCTCCTTGGATATATGTAACCAATAACTACCCAGCTAAGTACCCAAGAACCAAAAGAATCGATAAAAGAAGCTCCTGTTCGATCATCTATCGATCATCGGATGACTGCGCGCATTCTTTTTCATGTCACTCGTTCTTGCGCTGTGGGCGCAATTAACCTCATCCCGGCCGTTGCCCTCTCTGTCTGTCTTTCCCTACCCACGTGTGCGTACTAATGCATCATCTTGAAGCGGCGAGGAAGACTGCGGTGGCATTCAGGTGAATGGGATACTTGCATGACTCGTTACGTCCCGGCAATGCTCTGTGCATAAAAGACTCCATACCCGCCTCACGAGTCAAATATCAAGATATGCTATCGTTCTCTGGCTGTGGCGTCCAGCCTTCAGCCGATTCCTGAGCTATTCCATCACCGTTGTTGTGTTTGTGTCAACATTCCCATTTTGGCCGTCTCGCTCCTCTTCATCCACGATCTGTATTGTATCATTATAGTTTTCTTAAGTGCCATACACTCATGATTGATGCTTATCATTGTTTATCTCTCTGGTTTTGTAAAGAGGTACAACGGGTACTACAATGGACAAACTTTGGAATTCGTAGATTGACATATACATACACATGCGTTCGCAACCCCATCCTGAATGCGCATGGGACAGGAAGACAGGAGAAGATGTCCCTCTGTATGCCGTGGGGGCTATTATTGCAGAGACATTCATAGAGTGGTCCGATGTGCATACTCTGCGACGTACATAACTTTTCTACTACTACGTGGTTTCTATTTATAACCTCTGGGTACCTGTGTGAGTGCAGCACATGGCACTACTTGCGGCGCTAGAGCCATCTTTAGTGGACAGATTGTAGTACTAATTAATTAGGGTTTAGACGTACTAGTGGATCAGTGTGTATCAAGTCGGGATGGTACGGGAGATAGATATGAAAATGCCTCAACGCTCATGCTTCGAATGAAGAAAAGAGTACAATGATGAAGATTGAGATTTCTACTCATTTCTCCCCAGAGCTATACATGTGCCATGAGCGTGTTGTGTGTGAAAGCTAGGCGATTTAGAGGAACTTATCAACTGGTTATGGTAATGATATAGCTCAAGTAGGCACGGTGTGTCCAATACCACTGGAACTCATCAGCGATGTCACTTACAGGGGCTTGTATCAGGAGTTCTTTCTGTGACACTGAACCCCACCTGACTGGAAGGGTATATATACAGATGCCAAGGGGTTTGCAACGGTCAATTGACTCCGCATGCGCTCTCCCTGGATCCGGAGAAACGCAGTTCAGCCTTCATGTCGCCGTCGACGCGAGGTGCAGTATGGCTCACGCTCCTTACAACATTCACGTTCTTTACATACCTGACTACGGCGTACAATCCAAGCCTTTGGCCTGAGCATTACACATACGGATTCCACGAGTCATGCGATCCCTTTCCCTACGTGGAGGATGCCGTGGATGAAGCCATCAGAATGGCGGACGTTAGTGGCGAACACTTTCGACGTATACTTGGGGACCAGGATATGAATTCGGCGTTCAAGCGCGTGTTCAGGGCCAGAGACTGGTTACTGCCGAGAGACAAGTACGGGCTCAGAGACACGACATGGAAGATCTACAAAATAATCGCGAACATGCGGCCCTATGGCGGCAGAAGGTGGTGGGATGCGCATATCCACATCTACTGCGACAACGACAAGCGCTGGGAGCTAATGCCGGACCGCGGTGAGCAACCAGAACTCTCCGGGGAAATAAACAGTGACCTAGGGCAGCAGCTCAGTCACATTTCTAAGTCCCGGGCCAAGAAATACTCCACGAGCAACATAGAGATGCAGATAGTGACGCCCAACAGTAAACGTCCCATCGATGACCAAATCTGGGAGGACAAGATGAGCAGTGTGTTTGCGATCGGTCTGCCGGAATGCCGCGACCCGGTTTTCGAAGAAGAAGAAGGAGGGTATGCCGCGGCGATGTACAATCAAGTGAGGCCAGCGCCGCCATATCGACAAGTGACAACGGTGGCCACGATAAGTGTGTGTAATGCCCAATCAGCAGCTAGGGTAGCGACGATACGAGAACTGAGGCATGCCGGGTTTTTTAATCGTCACGAGGCTCTGATAGATGACATGGCCTATCTTTTGAGTTTTCATATTCTACATGAGCTTATGCGTATTCACCCAATGAACAGTAAGCTTACTCTATTATTACTAGACAGTTCTGTTTGCAGCGTGTAGCTAAATCACACATCTAGGATTATTCAACGAATCTGCACAGGACTGGGGAGAAATCACCAAGTTAAATGCCACCGATGCATTAAGCAATGCGGCGAATTTAAGTACGTCTACCCGCGGTCGTCGTTCGCCATTTGCTAATATGATGAAGCTTTCTTTGCCTTGCTAATGCGAATGCATGCCGTGGGGTGGGTGCTGAGTAGGGACGAGACAAGAGCCGAACTAGGTGTTCTGACTGGCCCTAACAACATAGAACGGCCAGAGTGGGTTATGCGTAATGCTCCTACTCCTCCTCCTCGTCCTCCCCCAAGATTTCAAAGATGGGTCGACGCATTAATGAGAGGAATTGGTAAAATTGGCCGTAAAGGGGGCTCGAGTGACTCAGGAAGCGCCTGGTCGGCAAGCAGTTCAGTGCGCGGTGGTGATGATGTTGATGATGACCCCTTCGCAAACCCAGGAATCGCCCCGCCGGCAGGCAGTTCAGGGAGACATAAGACGCCTACTAAAGATTTGAAGGGTAAGGGTAAGGCGAAGGAGGAAGATGATGGAGGTAAGTTTGTCTTGGGAGATGATGATGATGATGAGGATAAGGTGGAGGTTATAAGTGACAACCTGTATAATACTCGTGTTACGTATCCACCAGAGCAAGGAAGTAGTCGCCAGCCAATGATATAAGAAGACTTTCAGAGATACATCAGATAGTTCGCGTCATTCACGAGTTCGAAAAGAGTACTTGGGATATAATAGTAGACTTGAACTTGGGCAAAAAGACGTATAATAAATAGAACTAATAATCATAATAAACATGATCATAACCAGAGACATAAACATAAACATAATCGTAAACATGATCAAAATCATAATCAGAATCGTAATCATAATCATAATTGATGGTGATGATTAAAGGCTGCTGCCACGAATTACATAGGTACGACACGTGACCAAGCACGGACTCTAGGTAATGAATAATATGGACGTGGGAGTCCAATACGACGGAACTATTGCGGATGACATGGCAACTCTAATAATAATCACCCATCATCGATCTTCCACCGGATTAGACGGAATGCAGCGAAACCTAATAACCTGTTGCACTATTACTAGCTGATACCTTAGTCGGGACAAAGCCCCGCTTCTAAGCTGCCGCATCTGCTTCTATATAGGCCTCGCTCTCGCCCGCGATCGCCCTCGGGTGTTTGCCTCTCGCCTCTCGCCGACAAGCCACTATAACTAATTAGAATACGTACTGCCCCAGTAGTCGCCAAATGTGGCCGTCTGCTGTTGCTGCTGCTGCTTACTTACGATGCGTTAATCATGAAAAGAGATGACAGCGAGCGAGAGAGAGTCTTGAGCAAGGAAACGACAAGGACCTCGACTTTGCCTGTAACAGCTACTGTTCCTGCTGCGTGAGATCCGATCCCTAGCTGGTCTGTCCTGTCGTGTCTTTTACTCTCCGCCAGCCTGTAAGAATAGTCCACACACACACTCCTCTCCATTTGGACGGCTTGAATTGGTTCCGCTTACAAGAGCCGTTAGCATTGTCTTCCAAGTGCATCTGCTACTCACTTCCCATCAAAACTCTTCTCCACCGCGCGCCACCCTCTTCGCATCTCTCTGACCTCCCACCGTACCCTCGACATTCCTCTATTCTCCCGGAGCACGACCTTCTCTATCGTAATGTTGCCCGACTGAATCAATCGCTGAATACCGACATACTTCTTTCCTCGGCTGCCCGCAAGGCCGCTCTCGCGCCATCTCCATTCGCTACTATATACTACATACACTATGTTGGCCTCACGACTTTTACGTTATTTCGCTGCGGCGACCGCCTCATTACATATTGGTCATGTCAATGCGATAGACATGGATCCCGATGACCACAGTACGTGTTCCACCCTACTCCGGTGCTTGGGCGTTGTTGCCTGAGGTTTCGGTACGATGGCTATGCACGTCACCATCAGAACCGTCGGAGCCGAAGTCTTGGCATGCCGCGACCGCGATCACAGCATACAACCGCCTTCGCCATCTCGCGCGACCATGCATTGCTGACTGCTTGCAGATAGTGTCAAAGCTGCTGCGTCGACCGTTGCTCATGGTCTCATGAGCTATTACCATGGAAATGAATCTGGTCAGCCTGTTGGTTGGCTGCCAAGTCCTTACTACTGGTGGCTCGCCGGTGCCATGTTTGGAGAGGTCTGTCTTTGCGAGTTGTGCGCTACTGGGAGGCTTCAATGCTGACTGTGCATAGATGGTAGAATACTGGTACTATACCGGTGATGACACATACAATGATTTGGTCATTAAAGGCCTGCAGGCGCAGGTTGGCGATAACCAAGATTATGAGCCGCTGAATGTCACGAAACAGCTGGTGCGTCGCCTCATTCTTGCACAGAGTCATAGGCTACCTACTAATTCAGATCGCAGGGCAACGATGACCAAGACTTCTGGGCATACGCTGTGCTCAGCGCTGCCGAGCTCAAGTTCCCCGATCCACCCCAAGGCCAGCCTTCGTGGCTTGCGCTCGCTCAAGCCGTCTTCAACAGGCAAATTTCGCGATGGGACGCCCAGACCTGTGGCGGAGGTCTGAGATGGCAGGTCTTTTCCTTCAACACGGGTTACAATTACAAGAACAGTGTGTCGAACGGCGGCTTTTTTCAGCTCGCAGCACGTCTATACAGATACACTGGAAATCAAACTTATTATGATTGGGCTGAAAAGATGTACGATTGGATGGAGTCTTCCCCTCTCTTGACAAAAGACTTTCATGTCTATGATGGCACAACTACAGACAACAACTGTACCGACGCAGATCGTCATGAATGGTAAGCTACGACATAAATGCTCTTTTTGCTCCGGCACTAACCTCCCCAGGTCCTACAATGTTGGCATGATGATCGCAGGTTCCGCTTTCATCTACAACCACACGCAAGATGAAAAGTGGCTGAATAGGCTGAACGGATTCATCGATGTTTCCGACATTTTCTTTCCCTATAATGGCGTGAACACCGGCGGTCCGGTCCTTGTCGAAGTCGCATGCGAGATCATATCAACATGTAACAATGACCAGCCATCATTCAAAGGCTACCTAGCCCGCTGGATGGCCCTTGCCGCTCAACTCGTGCCGCAAACAGCAGATCGAATCCTGCCAAAACTACACTCTTCGGCAATCGGCGCAGCAGCACAGTGCTCTGGTGGAACAGACGGCGTGACATGTGGTCGCCTATACAATCAAACTCAATGGGATGGTAAATATGGTGTAGGCGAACAAATGAGCTCGCTGGCGGTCATTATGACACTCTTAATCGACACGCAAGCACCCCCTGTCACGGCCAACACCGGTGGCACAAGTGTGGGTAACCCGGCCGCTGGTACGAAGAACAACGATCCGACGAATCCGTACGCGAACATGCCCATCACCACCGGCGATCGGGCAGGTGCAGGCATCTTGACAGCTATTATGCTGGCCCTCACGGTCGGTGGTGCGGTCTTCATGGCCAGTTGAAGGCCTTGCTACGACACATGTAAATGTAGAAAAGCTGGGATATTGGTATCTTTCAACGAAGTGCATGAGACGCCCGATCACGAGGCGTCATTAATTATTGGTTTTTTGGTATACCTTGGGGGTTTTGCGCGCATCCTGCGCAGATTCGACTGCATTGATTGCTAGCATTCAGTATACATATATATGTTGTACACATGTGCATCACGAGCATGGCTCTGTGGAACTGTATATATTTGAGATGACGAAATACGAAATATGAAACGATCTAACAGGGCCCATCGCTCCTTCTTTGGTTCACGTTGAATGGATGGCAGCGGCGACCCAAATCGATGACAGGCCGCGTTTCACTCCTCTCTTTTCCTCATCTCCCTACCTTCAATGGTACCTACTTGGACAACTGTCATCGATTTCCTTTCGGCCTATTGAAAACGTGTTTCTAGAGGCCGACCCTATTCTGGCTGTGGCTGCGGCTGCACAACGCCCCAACGCTCCGCGAACGGGTCGTTACTCGCATCAGTATTCCTCACATACTCCACTCCATCCGCAAGCTCCTGCGCCATGTCATCGCCATACATTGCCGCCACGAACGCATACGTCACGTCGATCCCGGCCGCAACGCCCGACGAGGACCATATCTTGCCGTCCGTCACCCAGCGCGCCTTTGCGACCCAGTGTACTGCCGGGCCTTGCGATGTTGCCTGTGGAATTTTACTTGTTTGATGTGGTGTTGTCGGGTTTGCGGGGCAGTGGGATTGATGGACGGACATGGGCAAGGCAGGGGGTAGATACGGGAAGAGGAAGAGAAGGAAGAGAGAAAGAACGAAAGAAAGAAAGAGGAATACACACCCACGTCCAGGCCTTTTTGTTCGTCGTCGCGCGCCGTCCATTCAGCACGCCCGTCTTCGCTACCAACGCACTGCCCGTGCACACCGTGACCAGATACTGCAGCTGCGGAAACACATCCGCGACAAACTGCACTGCGGGCGCGATGTTGGCGGCGTCGCGCGTGCCGCTGCCGCCGGGCACGAGTAGTACTTCGATGTCTGAGGGTGCAGTGGCGAAGGTGTGCGTTGGCAGGATGGCTTCGCTGAATGCGGAGGCGTCGGAGGTGTTAGTGCTGACCGGGTCCATTGTGGCAGCGAGGAGGGATAGGGAGAGGGGATGGGTGCGGGAAAGGGTGTTGAGGATGTCGAGAGGTCCGAAGACGTCCAGGGCTTGGAAGCCTGGGAAGAGGACGACGGCGTATTTGGTGGGTGGTGGTGTAGTGGATGTTGATGGCGATGCCATTGTTGTGGTCGGGAAGGGTAACATAGCGAGGAATATGCTGTTGAGAAGGGCGAGTCTCATGGTATATGGTGAGAAGGAGTAAGGGAGAGTAGACTGGTAGTTTGTAAATCCGACAGCAGACGGAGTATAATATCAGACAAAATGTCTTTGAAATGCCGGAAAGACGAGAATGTGGATATAGAGACACACGCAGACACACACACAAGATGCGCTGAACCGATCCAGATATGATCAAGAAAAAGGCAAAACCAACAATCAACCAAAAACTCGGCGCTGACAGGCCCTACATACACACATATATACCTACGGATCCATCCGGAAACATATCGGTGAAGCTGATCAGCACCGCCGTAAGTAGAAAGATGGATGCTGCCATCCATTCAATGGGATCCATCCATCCATCCATCCCCGACGCGGGAACCCCATCCATCAGATCCCATCATCCATCACACCTCCCTTCCTCACATTAAACTCGAAGGATCACACACACACACACATCCAACCAAGGTCGCCAGCTAAATCCCAAACCGGCAACATTTCCAGCGCAAATGCTCTCACGAGCCGAGCACGGCATGGCATGGCATGGCACATGTTTGATGACTATCAATCAACCTTTTATCTAATTAGTATGCATCCATGCATACATGAGATATATAACGTTCAATCCATGTAGAATCAACTCATGATCGTCGTCGGAATTGCACACACGTATCATACACACACAAACCCACATACACACACACACACACACCCCCAAAGCCGAAAGCACGTCATTCTGAATAAATAAATACCAAGCAAGCAGCACACACACTTGTCAAAACACCATCTATCGTCGCCTCCCCTTTTCCTCATTACAGTATACTACTATACTACCACTGTACATGAGGACCATAGGTGGTGGTAGTAAGCAGAAGCAGTAAGCACACATTCATTTGCCCTTACAAATCAGCCCTGCTATCGACATTCATCATATCATACTCTAGAATTACAGATGGGTTTGACCTAATGAAGTTTTTTATGTGTGGGGAAAGTATGTTCTTTTGGGCATGGAGAGAGGGAAGGAAGGAACCCAGGGAGAAATGGGCCTCTTTTGAGGTCATTGACGACACGACTAAATTATGCGATGGTTAGCGCTGTTAGGCAAAGCAGTGCTTCTTAGATTCAAGGAGTGCATATGCACATCTCAGCAGGTCACTATGCGGTGCGACTGGCAAGTGACAATAGACCATTCATTCTTAGGACGCCAGCATCCTTAATGCAATGAAATGTCGTGGATGGCGCAGTCTGGGCAAATGGTATTAAATCAGGGAACCTCGAAGACAAATATAACACAACCGTCTTCTCGTCCCTGTCGCTGACAGTCCTCGTTTAATTACTATTTGCTACATGCTCTGATCAAAAGTAGGGTAATAGTATTGAAGGTGAAGTAAGACAAATGAAAAAGCGTTTGTAGGGGGTCCGAGATCGAGGTCTGGTAACAGCCGAGCCAGCGCCCGACCAACGAACGATTATCGATGGGTGTGTGGGAAGGTATAAGATGTTCTCGCGGTTTTGTCGTTCATTACAAAGGGATACCAGCTTCGTGAAACACCAGGCTCCAGCGCCTATCTCCAAATCTTCGACACCGATGACACTTCTGGATGCTGGCCAGAATGCCTAGAGACAAGGTGCTGATTCATAGAAGGCCTTCTTTCGCACACCCGGTATGTTCTTGTCCACTTCGCGTTGACATCGAGTCTTAAGCTGGGGTCTCGCTGTCTACGGTGGTCGAATCTTGGTCGATAAATCCACTCTGCTCTCGATGCATGCGAGCTTCAATCTCCTTTAGTTGACTCTCGCGCGCAAGAAGTTCCTGTCTCTTCTCATTGATCTCGCGCTGAACCTTAACCTCTATTTCACGGAGCTTCTCCTCCTCGCGGCGAAGCTGCTCTTCCTTCAGGCGAACCGATTGCGAAGCGAGATCTTCGGGGTTCATTGATGAGTCCCTACGTAGACAATTAGCATAGTAATGTGGGTTGCAACGGAACGTCAACTTACGCAGCAGCACCACCTTCGACGCTCTTGCTGAGTTTCTCGGTACGGTAATTCTCGTACAGGAAGTCGTGGGTAATCTCCTTGAGGTCGGCGAGATGGCTGTGAAGAAGTGCACTCCGGACAGCTAAAAAGTCAGAGTGCCTTGGATTGTCGACTTCGACGATGCCCCATGGGTACTGTCGCGCGCGGACCCGCTTCCCTCCAACCTCGACAATGTCTTCAGAGCCGACAATGGCAAATGGCATCAGTCCCCTGAGCTCTGCGTTTTCTTCGACGGTGTCCTCGTCATCCTCCTCGATGTCATAAGGGAAGTTGTACACCGGAATTCGGTAGTGCTCAATATCTTCCATAACAAGCTTCTTCGACTCGGCAAGCTCTGCCGGTGTCAGAGCGTCTGCTTTACCGATGACGGGGATGACGTTAACGCGTGGTGAAAGCCGCTTCATCAGCTCGATATCGAGTTCTCGGAGGCTGTATTGTGATCAGTAGGTCATCAAAACTGCAGTCTATACAAACGTACCCATGACCAGTAGGTGTGATGAAATACAGGAGTACGTGTACTCTGTTATCACGGAATCTTGGGTTACGCTTGATTCTCGACTCTTCAGCGAGAATGTCATCATATTGGCGTTCGAGATAGCCGACGATTTCAGAAAAGCTGACATGTGTGAGTTTGATCCCATCATTATGGTATTCAACATACCTGGCCTCATTGTCAATTTGATCACCGAATCCAGGTGTATCGACAATGGTGAGGGAGATGCGTGTGCCTTCTTCATCAAGCTCTAGTTCTGTGGAGATTCTTAGCGACTTCTTATGATGTCGGTTCCTCGTTCTGGATACGTACCAACAGTGATGGGCTTGATCTTGACGCCTTCCTCAATGTGTGCAGTGGTCGGGTCATCAGTGTCCTTGTGCTGAAGGACCTTCTTTCCGCAAAGCGTGTTCACGAAAGTGGTGCGGCCTACAGATCAATTAGTATTCGTAGCCCTGAGCGGATCGCAGACATGTCTGCGCTGGGGAATCACGAACCCGTGCCTGAAGCACCGCACACCATCAGACAGAACTGAATCCCCTTCTTGACATTCTTCTTCCTGCGAATCTTGATCTGAATGAATGCATTGTTAGCACTGAGCTTTCATGACGATGAGATGGCGGCGCGCTGAGAAGTGAATGAAGGACCGAGCTCAGGAGAGCGGAGCGACTAACAGCATTCATTGTGACGGTATGAAGGAGACGATTCGATGTCAAGCGGTATTACTAGATGCAGCGACTCTGATCGAATGCCTCGGGACTTAAACCGTGGCGAAATAGAATGGGGAGAAAGGGTGGTGGTATCGAGGTGTTGACAATCGGAGGTGAAGCCAAAAAGTTGTTCCTGCCTCCCTTCTGTCCCCATGGTCAAGGGGCTCGCTAAAGCACGACCCCCTTGCTGCCTTTCCCATCAAGGTCAAGCTTGCTTGCTCGGCCCAACTTTTATCCAGCTCAGGGTCTGGTCGTTCTTGCTAATTAGTTGAACCCACGCTTCATTACAAGCTGCGTGACATGCCCTCAGTCGCCAGTCTTCAACGGCACTCCACATGATGCCACGACACAGTTTGTCTTGAACTTCGTTATCTTACATAGCCCTTCTAATGACAAACATCCAGTACAATAGGAATACAATACCTTCGAGCCCCGAACCTCCAATATGCCTGTGATGCTCCGCGCTGCCCGCCGTTACAATACTACCCTTGCGGACGTACAGCTACAACGTCCCTTCTATCTCTCGGCCTTCCCTTGATCTCGCCACATAACCTCCCGCAAGCTTTGCGTAGAACTCTCTATTCAAGATGGACACTAGACGGGTCATAGACGAGTCCACAGGTCCAGTTGCACTATCAGTTGCATTTAATGCAAGTCGCAGCTATTTCTCAGTGGCTTTGGACACAGGCTTCCAAGGTCCGTCGAGAATGCTGTCTGCACTAGCGCAGACTCTAATGTTGCATAGTATACAAATCAGAGACATGCGAGCTGGACAAGACGCGAGGTGAGACTTGCTGAAGAAGGAGCGCCAGCGACGCAATATGCTGCTAACAGCACCGTGGTCAGATTTTGGTTCAGGCTTGGCTGCTGCTGAGATGCTGGGACAGTCGAGCATCTTAGCTCTCGTTGGTGGTGGAAGGCAGCCCAAATTCCCCCAGAACAAGGTAGGATAGAGCTGTAGGTATCGACATTCAGTTCCCTGACTGTTTATAGGCTGTTATCTGGGATGATCTGAAAGAAAAGACACCAATCACTCTAGAATTCCGAAGCCCCGTCCAACGCGTTCGGATATCGCGATCTCATCTCGTGGTAGTACTCTTGAATAGCGTTAATCTGTATAAGCTTGCGTCTCCTCCCCAGAAACTCGCAACGTTCGATACAGCAAACAACCCGTATGGCTTGTGCTGTCTCGGAGAGCAACTCATGGTGTTCCCGGGACGAACACCAGGTCAGATACAGCTCGTCAGACTCAGCAATAACCTAGTCAGCATCATTCCTGCGCATAGTTCTCAGCTGAGCGCATTAGATCTGAGTGCAGATGGTGAAATACTTGCGACTGCAAGTGAGCAAGGGACTCTGATTCGTGTCTGGGCAACAACGAGTTCCAGCAAATTGGCAGAGCTTCGACGTGGTGTAGAGCAAGCTGTGATCTTCTCCATAGCGATCTCTCCATCGAACACCATGCTTGCTGTAACATCGGACAAATCGACATTGCATATCTTTGATCTGCCTGGCGCAGCAAACTCTTCAAGTTCACGGCCGACCGAAAGCATGAGTGGTGGTGAGAGCGCTACAGATGTAGAAGGCCCAACAAAATCCAAGTGGGGTATGTTATCAAAGGTACCCTTCATGCCCAGAGTCTTCTCAGACAGCTACTCGTTTGCGAATGCGCGTTTTGAAATAGGAGACGAGCCGACAGCCCTTGCTGGAAGTTTACGTCTAGGAGGCTCGAATGCATCACTACCAAGTCTTTCAGGTCGGCGGACGCCGAAGGGCGTCATTGGTTGGTTGAGTGAATCTGTGCTGGTCGTGATCGGCGCAGGCCAAGATGCACGATGGGAGAAATTTTTGGTAGGACCTGCTGCCGATGGTACGCGGGTGTGCTGGAGAGATGGGTGGAGACGATATCTCAAATGACTGCTCCTGCTAATCTGTAGTGTGGAGACCGCTTGTTGGTAATGCGAGGTGCGGCAGTATTACTTCAGTTACCTAGACTGTTGTTGCACACGCTTCTATGCTTCGAAATTCAATCTTTTCAGGTTTTGAAATGTACATATATTGTGTTCGAGATGCGAGACTGAGTATTACGTACTACGAAGTAACATTCAGGAATTGTATATACCAATAATTCATTCTCTACTTCTTCTCGGTCTCCTCTCCCAGTGTCTTATTCACATTCCCTCCGATAGCCCCTTCTTTGGTAAAGTTCTTCCCAATCGCCCCTTTACTTGACAGCGGACCCCCGATTCCCTCACCAAGCTGTCCGACCACACCATCCGCTACGTGTCCGATTAGCACCATATCCTGACTCCCCTGTCACTGTATCTGCAACTTACCCTCGAACTGCTTTCCAATGGCACCACCTGCATTGAACAGCGGCTTGCCTTGCGCGGCCGTGTCGTCCGTAATTTTGTCAGACATGGTGTTTGTATGCGGAGATTGAATTGCTGCGGGTTCAGGCTTGCTGAAGCGGTTCTCGAGACTGTGGAGAAGTTCCATTGTGAATGCAAGAGTCTACTGGGGATGGCCGTTCAGAGCTGTGGAGAGGTGTAGAACAGTGATGTTTGGGTGTGGTTGTCACTAGTGCGTCATAGATTCTCGTCACAATGTATGACGTTGGGATATGGAAGTGCTTGGAGGGTAGGTAGTAGTGTTATTGTGCAAGTATGTATCGTGGATCATAAGAGTTGAGTATTTGCTCTAGACAAGACTCGAGTCTACATTTCGTATTAGACCTTTTCTTCTGTTGGGTTGGGAGGGCGTAGAAGTCCTCGGGGACGTCGAAGAGGCTGTATGCGTCTTTGGGGAATGTGTTTCCATCGAACTTGGTGCTTTCGAGGTCGTCGACCATAGCATTGGACCTGTGGTTATTTGTTACAGCCAATTTGTTCGATGATGATGATGATGGAAGATGATGATGGAAGATGATGATGGAAGATGTCCTTTCGCATCTCGGATATCCAGGTAGAAGAATCCAACTTCACAACATGCTTTCCATAATCTGTCCAGCTCCTGCTCCTCTCCATTACGGAGTTTCTCTAATGATAATCGCAACAGGGGTGCTGTTGGCACATCAGTTGGAAATGGTGGTAGACCGGGGAAGTCTAATGCATCCGAACTCATGATATACTGGGTAAGGAGCTATCATGTATGAAAGCTTAGATCTGCTAGGAGCTTTGCCCGGACTCGCAGTGTTCAAGTAGTGAATCAGCATTTGCTCTCATGCTAATCATATATCAGTTTCATGTCAGCGTGATCAACCAGAAGGAATACTGGAAGCTTGACCCGGCACGGAACTATGTCATCTCGGCTGTGTTCCCTCGTTGTGTTGTAACTTTAGTGATGTGATGCACATGTCGGAGAATCATATATCACTACAATGTGCCTCTTGTTGCATGCTTCAAAGCTGTGATGATGCGCACAGCGAAAAATTCTTGAACCCTTGTCGTGATGCTGGACCTGCTTCAATCGTTCTTGATGACATGGTAGGTATCGACTTCAGCGTTAGGCACAGCAGCAAAACTCCCCTTGCGTTGTCTCCAGGTCGAAGAGGACACTGGTGAAGATGAGGGTGCGAGTCCTCAATTGTTACTCGTCGCGTCCAACAAGCTTGAAGCAGAGAAGGATGTCGGAGATGGTCATTGCTTGGTCCAGGCCTGGAGCGTGAAGCTGAAAGACCCCACGATGGTGATGCGAGGTGAATGATTGGTGCGGTCCCGCCTTCGCCGAGGGAACGACGCCTAGTACGAGAGATAGGGTGGTCGTGACTTATTATACGCAGTGTTCCGGCTAGAATTGTGGGGGGACCGACCAAGCTGTCACAGCCGCTGTCGCAGTGAAAAAGGGCGTCCCCCTGCCTGTCCTGCCTGTCGGAGCTGCCCCGCCCAACCCCCAGGGAGCCGCGGTTAAGATGGCCCTGACAGCCCATAATAGCCCCTAATAGCCCATGATAGCCCCCCATGTCAATCAATCTGTCGGCAGCTCAAGCCCCCCAAGCTCTAGCGTTTGTGCTGCCCTTTTGCCTTATCAGGGGCAGGCACTCAGGCATTTCTCAGGCACTCTCAGGGCGCAACATGGGCATACAGCTCCCCCCCAAAAGTTGCCTCCTTGCAGCCTGACGGCCCTGACCACCACTGACGATCCCCACAGAAAAACACCTCCAACAGCTGCACTGCCAAAATAATCCTCGCCTTGCTTCTGGTCCCTATCTTCAACCCTCTCACCGCCCAGCTTCAATCTTGTTGTCTCCTTCGTTTCCCCTCCCCTCCGCATTGTCTGCTCCTCCTACCACCTCGCCATCGCCTCCTCGTCGCTCGTTATTGTGCCTTGCTCAATCACTCTCGCCCGCCAATGTCTAGTCGTTCCTGAGCTAGTTACCCCCCTAAAAGTGCTGCGATTTTTCTGGCCATGCCTCCTACTGATCCTGCTCAATTGGCCGCCAGAGACGTGTCCTTCTCGGACCTCGACTCAATGTCTGCCCAGTGCTCCGAACAGAACACCTCAAGTCCCTCGAAGAAGCTCTGTATGGTCCCAAAGGCACGCAGAATGCCAAGCAAGAAGCCGAAAGACGACAGTTTACTGGCTTTTCTGTGCGCCCACATTGTCGAACACCAGATAGGCAAGCCAGATTGTACAGATACTTTTGAACCCAATACTGACAAGAGAATCAGGCATATCCATAAACCTAATCCTTCTCCTATCACTCGCACATATATGCTTCCCTCGTGCTCGGCGGCGCACTCGCACATTTTTTGAGCTCTCGTACCGCGACCCTTCCACCGGCCTCTACACACAAGGATGGGACGACATGCCCTTTGTTTTTCTCTGGACCATCATCTTCACCGGTCTTAGAGTTGCCGTCATGGACTATGTACTGAAGCCGCTTGCCAATTTTGGTGGCATTCGTTCGAAACGTGCAAGGGTCCGGTTCGCGGAGCAAGCCTGGCTTCTAGTATATTACCTTCCTGTATGGCTCTTCGGAATGGTATGTTTACAGTAACATTTGCGCAAAAGAAAAAAGATCTTGATAATCCATGCAGCCGCTAACATGCTACAGTATATCATGTACAACTCCAGTTTCTGGCTCGACCTACGAGCCATGTGGGCCGACTTCCCTACTCGCACAATGACCGGCCTCGTCAAGTTCTACTATCTGGTTCAGTTCGCTTTCTACTTCCACATGATCATTGTTGTGAATATTGAAGAGCGCCGCAAGGATTACCACCAGATGTTCATACATCACATCATCACATGTGGCTTGATCTCTATGAGCTACTCCTACTACCAGACCAAAGTTGGAATTGTCATCTTGTGTCTGATGGACGTTGTCGACATATTCCTCTCCACTGCCAAGGACCTCAAATATCTTGGATTCAGCGTCGCCTGCGACGTCATGTTCGGCCTCTTCATCGTAGCTTGGTTCGTTGCGAGACATGTCCTTTACCTCGCCGTGTGCTATTCCACCTACGTTCATGTGCCCGAAGTTATGCCGTACGGCTGCTACGACTCTGTTACAGGAGAGAAGCTTGCTGAGACTGAAGAAAGTGGTATCATGACGCACATTCTGCAATCTTTTAGAGACCCTGGAGCCCCTGTTTGCTTCAACAAGCGCATACAGTCAAACTTCCTTGCCTTCCTCCTGGCTCTCCAGGTCGTGACACTGATATGGTTCTATATGATCATCAAAGTCGCGTACAAAGTCGTTACGGGGCAAGGTGCAGATGATGTACGAAGCGATGATGAAGGCGAAGACGAGGAAGAAGAAGATTTCGATGTTGACGAAGACTTGGAGGCTCACCACCTGAACGGCATGGTGCAATTACCACTAGAGGAGGAAGTTGGCGTTGAAGGTCTGCATTTCACTCGGCAAGGTAGTCCAAGTAAAGGCTCCGGAGTCAAAGGGTATCGGCGCAATGGGAACAAAAGCGGGAGTTCGCGATCTAGCGGTATCAGTATACCCGGACATGGGGACCACAAGGAGCTTCTTGGTAGAATTGGTTGTGACAAGCCGTCATGATTACATTACGATAGATGGCGTTGAAATGGCGGGGTTTGATAATTGGGAGTGTGTCTTTGGGGGGGAAGATCGCTCGACTTCCGTCAACGCTTACCATATCATCAGCATTGTTTGCGTACTAAGGTTTTTTCTCTCTCTCTCTGCGCTATGGAACGTAAGAATACCCACGAATCGGATTAGACCAGCTTTCTTGCACACACACACGCACACTACTTTTCGAACATGACGAGATATGAAGAGATATGCATGTGTTTTGCTCATGGTGTGTAAAGGCTCCCCGTGTGTTTTTGTGCTGCATGATTCATCCATCCATCCACCACTCAGCCATCCCGCTCGCTCCAAACTCAATTCGTTACTGCCACAACAACCTTCCACCGCACTGCTGAAAACTCGATAATTCAACGTGACTGTAGCGTGATCCCCCCCCCTCCCCTCCTTCAGCAGTGCCACTAGTGGGGGACACAAACAGTGTCAGTCAAGCAGAGGGGCCACCTGTTTTTTTTTTCGCATAAAATACGAAACTTGTCGCGGACTACTGCATGCAGCAACTATACCGTGTTTGAATTATCAGTTATGCTGATGGTGTATGTGCGGATAGTAAGGTGTTGAGTTGGAGGTTAATGGACTGGTTGTATGTAGTGGTGTAAAGCTGGTTGGTGGTCTGGGATTTTCTTGTTTTGGTCTGGGGATTTGTTGATATTCAAAGTGTGTTGTTTCCCTAGCTTGGGTAGTGTGGTAGGCAAGTATGCTTTTGGAGAGCAAAAGGAAATGAGTCTTACAAAGTTCTGCGTAAGAGCACGTTTTTGGAGCGTTGAGCACATGGTTGGGGTTCGGAGTTCCCCTTTGAACATACATTCCCGGCAGACATGCACATTGGGATATCGAAAGGGACTGGACTGGGGAGGTACGACAAGACGTTCAAGGACCCAGAAAATTGTTCAAGCAACCGTACTGATAAGTTCATAGTGCAAGCAATCTAAAACGAATGACATGATTACAACAAGTCCAATTCTATACATAGCCATCAGCATTCCGGACCTCCTTAAAAATAGCTACCCAATAACTAACCCCTTTTACTTCCAACGACACTGTGAAGTCAATGAACACTCAACACATCCTCTCATATCTTCACAATTGCTAAACAATGTCCTTTGTCGCGTACAATCGAAACCAACATCTCCTTCCCTTCTCGATATAAAACCACCGTTACCCCCTTTTCCCTCACCGCCGTACAGCATAATCGAACTGTGACCTATATTTGTCCTCTGTTTGAAGATTCTAGATTTATTGGCTGCTATTACCACCAGCATCACCTGTCATAAAACACACACCGCTCGTTGTCCCCTCTGTCAAAGATACCGATCCCCTTGCAAGCAACGCTCCGGTTTGAACACTTTGTTTCCCTCTTTTGCACGACACGCTATACACTCCCTTCCCCTCCCCTGACTGGCTCACTGGCGCGAGACACGTCTTTCGGCGGACCGGTGGGATCGTGTGATTACACAATATTTAACATTGTGAAGAGTGTGGTAGCTACTCTCTGATTCATTATCTAACCTACATCGTCGCTCTGTCTCTCCCCCTTCTTTCCCTTCTCCTCTTCCTCTCAACAACACAAACACAAACACAAACACACCCCAATCCATCCCAACCACACCACACCACAACAACGCAACAATGTCCCTCCAACCCACCAGCCTCACCCTCGCCCACCGCTCCAAACCATCTCCCAATCCCGCGGACCCCCAATCGTCGTCATCAGCTGCTCAAAACACACCAGACAACAAGTCAGACAGCTCTCTGCCTAACTCTGCATCTTCTTCTTCTTCATCCTCGGAGCCTGATGCATCTTCTTCCTCTTCGGAGGAGGAGGACGAGGAGGAGGAGGAGGACGAGGAGGACGAGGAGGAAGAAGAGACTGAGCCTGATGGATCCAGCAACAGAGTCACGTGGGACTGTTTCGCATGCGGCGCGCTGGATAGTGAGGGTGGGGTGTGTGACGCTTGTGGGTCTGAGCGGTGTTTGGCATGTTTTTGATTGGTGTTGTGAGTTGGTAGGTGAGTGGGTGAGTGGGATTGTGGGATTGTGTAGAATAGTGCTAATTGGGATTTAGGGAGTGTGGAGATGAGGGTTTGGGCTTGGAGGGGTTGGGGGGTTTGAATAGGGGTTTGGGGTGCTTGGGGATGGTGGGTTGTGTTGTCGGGAGTCGAGCTGGCGAGTATTGCTGTTCTTTGATTGTGTTACGAGGCTGGGATATGGAGGCGTGGTAGAGTAGGTTGAAGGTTGTTGTCTCGAGATGGCATTTGCGTTGTTGACGTAGTCGAATATGGCTCTTGTTCTGGGGCAGGCAGATGTGCAGGCAAATAGCCAGTCTAGAGTCACTGAGCTTTGAGCCTGTTTGTTAGAATAGATCTATGCCTATTCTCATGACGTTCTTGATGTTCTTGTCGATGCATGTCTTCCTGTATACAGCGTCCCGAACCCAATCTTACCTCATTTGCTCAAGTCCACTTTACTTTGCCTTGTCATTCATGAATCGCTGGTTATTGCCTTCCTGATGACCAAATGATTGTACACACAAGAGAAGGGCAGCATCTTCATTCTCCTCTGCGTATCTTCAATCCCTGTCTGGATCTATTAGTGAGTATCTTATTTCGACTTTGTAACATGACCACAGCTCCATAACGAACATGTCATAGCTCTCTCGCTTCTACACTCTTCTCCCATTCTCGAACTGATCAGCAACATCTATACCGCAACATCTATACCGCAACATCTATACCATGACTTCATCGTTCAAGATCCGCTCAGGAGGTTAGCAGTAAGATACTTTGGAACGTTCACTACGCAAAGCCTTACGAATCAGAATATATACACTGCTACTCCATACTCTGTGACTTCTTACATGTATTTACATGCACTGTTGGAGCACGACCGTTACACATACTAATACCCGCCTCTGCGTCAACGCATCACATCCTTAACAACATACATTAGTACTATATATACATCCACCATTTCGATGCAAAAATCTTTTTCTTCTTCTTCTCCATGCCACAGCAACTTCGATAAACACCTGAACAATTCTACTCACACGCCGAATTCGACAAAGAAAACAACCATCAACAACCATCAACAATCACCCTTCGATCCTCCAGGATGATCAACTCCACACCAAATCAAGTCGATGCCAAGAACGAACCATCCGAGAACTACGGCTGGGACTGCCATGTGTGCTGGACGACTAATTGGTACACGCAGGTCTGTCAGGCATGCCAGCACGCGGAATGCTACCTTTGTCCCAGATTGTAGGGCATGGATGCAGGGGGCTTTGCACAATGGAGTGGTAGATTTGTTCGCTCGGATGTGCTTGGAATGGGGGCTCGGTATAGAGATATATTGAATATTAGATGTTGAGATGATGGGATTGTATGTTGTTGCTGTGGTGGTGGTGCACTGTGATATACAATGTTTGAGTCTATCCCGTAGATATAGGCTTGGAAGAGAGAGGTGTATGACTCCCTGATACGTCCGGTATCGAGAATGGCTAGGTGATGTGGCCGTTGTCACAGATACCAGCATGGGTTTTATCTCCGCATACTATCCGTATGATATAAGCCATATAGTTCATGCTGCTTCCATTCACGAACTCCTGTTATTTGCATATATATTCGTTCCTTACTACTCAGTTCTTCTCCCCTCATGCTCCTTCCTACTATACCCAACTGCCCCTTACATGGAGTCTGGCAAAGTGCATATTCTAGATGCTACCCAACGCCTATTCTCCCGGCTACTCGGATAGAATATGGTCTGGATAAAGCACAAGTCGGAAAAGTTTATACCGACTTCCCGGCGTGATCCGCCCGAGAACGAGTGGTGGACATGCTGCAAGTGTTGCCGGCTCATTAAAGTCACAATGAAGTGCTTCCATCGCAGACATGGGGCGAGTAATAACAGCCTCTATCTATCCACCTAACTAATAATTCTATACCTATAGATTAATGGTCGGACACGAGAGTAGATAGAAGAAGGCTACCAGGTGCGAGGGGTGTATTTCGTGGGACATTTCACCGTCGACAAAGACGGGTCATGAGTATAAAGATGCAACTGGGATGGACGGAAAAGAGAAGAATGAGAGTCACGAAATATAGAGTGATGAGGACGCCCTGGAGACGGAAGGTGGTACTCGAAATCACGGGATCGCGCACAAGGGAACTGACAATATGTAAATCGACATGTGCATTGCAGATAACGATCGATATGACATTGTTCGTACTCACAACATAATCTGGAAAGACCACTCTTCATGTGGCGGAATAGCGATACTCGTTGAAAGGAGAATCAATGTTCAAATGCTCTGAAACGTCGAGCTCAAAACAACCATCAAGTGTACTGAAAAACCAGATATTCGCCAAGATCTTCAACGAAATATACAATACAGTCCCAAGATAGTCTGATTTCAGCTGCTGAGCGGACAAGGTAAGCCAGGACCTTGCACCCGCTGCGCCCCCTACCGCCCCCTACTGTGTCATATAAAGCCTATCTTGGACATCAGTCTGTGAAAATGTGGACAAAACAGTATCGAGAGCTTTCTTGGAATGCAAGGTCTGGTAGGTTTGAGAAGCAAGTCAGACGATATGACAGCATACCAACCAACCCACCCCCTGAAATCCAGGGATACCAGCGATGTTGGTCAGATTGCCTTCTCCCGAGCGCCCAAGAGCGCTACATCCAGTCTCTACACAACATCTTTAAGACTCCCACTCGCGCCCAACACCCTCAGCACCACACCGAAACTCCTCTTCCATCCTCCTATCTAATCACCAGCCATGGCCGAAGCATGCTACTCCGACGGCGGAAGCATGCCCGACCTCTGGCTCCGCTGCGGCGAGCGCTCGCCCGCCGCGGCCAACAACTGCTGCGCACTGAACACCACCTACCCAAACGGCATCGACGTCTGCCTACAAAACGGCCTCTGCGGTTACAATAACCCCACCACCGGCATCTTCGAGTACTGGAAAGACCCGTGCAGCGACCCGACCGGCGCGGGCTGTCTCGAGCTGAACTGCACCGCGCTCTACACCAACCTCAACGTGCCGGGCATCTACCCGGTGCATCCGTGCGGGTCGAGCTGGAGCAACAGCACGAAATGGTGCTGTGGGACGGACGATAGCTGCTGTGAGGATGAGACGCGGGCGGAGAGCGTGCGGTGGATCGCGACTGTTTTTGGCGCCGCGGTAGCGACTGTACCCCTGACCCTGGCCCTGTCGAGTGAGACGAGGCTGGCGAGAACGAGTATTCCGACGGCACTGTCGACAACGAGTACTCCAACAGTACTCTCTGCGCCTTCATCAACCGCAGAGGATCCGTTGTCCAGCGCAAGTTTACTCTCGCGAGGCGCCAAAGTAGGCATCGGCATCGCTGCGGCCTCTGCTGTTTTTCTGCTCTGTCTTGGTGTATTCATTCTCTGGAGAGCCAGAACTAGGAGACAGCTTAGTAGAGATTATAAAGCCCAGGCAGGCGGATCAGCGATCGGACATAGTGGAGTGGCTATAAACTCTCTGTCTGAGCTTGCAGACAAGAGTGTGGTAGAACTTGATTCAAATGTTTTCAGGGAGCTGGATTCATCTTCCGTGCAGGAGCTGGGAACGGAGTGGCAGAGCGGGAAAGATGCGCCAGTGATGGGGCTGGGATCACAACGTCCGACTAAAAGGTGAAGGTTGTTGTAGTGTAGGTTTGTTCACTGGTGCCGGTCTGTACAACAGCATAGCACATGAGCCGAGAAACGTTTATTTTAAACTTAATTTTTGGTATTATCTCTAATCTCAGACTATGCACATCTTTCTGTACAAGCCGCTGAGGGCAGCTGCAAATAAGCTTGTGCTATGATCATGGGTCGTGTTTTATCAACCGCTGAACCGAGATAGCTCAAGATTCATCCTCGATTGCCCGTTGAAACTCGCATGACGAGTCTACCAGGAAGACGTCATTGATGACCATGTATGCAAACTACAAGATCCGGACGCCGGAAATGCTTCTTCAACCATTCGACACCATAGACGCCTGCGTAGTCCAGCAGCATCATACGAGCTGCACAACATAACTTTTCCCCTTACTAGTATCGTTTGTAGCCATCATACCTTCCCTGATTATCGTTACCTCGATATCCATTGTTGCTTCGGTGGTTGCCATTGGGCCTGTACGCATCATTGCGATTTCCGCCGTTCTGGCGATATCCATCACCGCTTCGGTGCCCATCATTTGGTCTGTACGTATCATCCCTGCGATTATCATAACTCGCATTATGGTAGTTATACCCTTGACCTCCACGGCCTCCGGAGCCTGCATAGCCGTTAGACGGAGGCATCTGTGGAAAGGCCGCTCCCGGAGGTGGGGGTGGGAATCCACCCGGAAATGGTGGCATCGGAAATCCCATCTGAGCTGCCACGTGGGGCGGGGGAGGTTGAAAGCTCGGGTTGATGAACGAGGAGAAAGGGTTCTGGGGATTAAAGTTTTGTTCTTTGGAAGGGTATGAATTGCGATTGTTGCCAAAGCCGCCACGTCCGTTCTGATTGCCATTGGAGTAGCCTCCGCGATCATTGTGGGAGTGATAACCGCGATCATTGCCACGGAATCCACCGCGTCCACCCCGGAATCCACCTCTTCCGCCTCTCTGGGCCTGGCTGATTGTCATTCGAACATCGTCGTCGTTGAGAACAGGCTTGGGCATTTTGAGACCCCGGAGTAGCATAGATTTATGGACATTGGAGGACTTCGGCATGACATAATAAGCAGTGACGGACTGATCGTCGTCAATGTCCGGCATCCGCGATGAATCCAGAGGAAATGACAGGGAGCTTCCCGGCAGATAGCTGTCGTTCTTTACAAGCTTGCCAGCCAAGCCTTCACTGACTTTAGTGTTCATTTTGAATTTGGTTTCGGTAGCCTTCTTAGAATAGAATTTCTCAACAACATCGTTGTAGAGCGGATGGCGAGTTGAGAAATACAGAGCTTCTCTGCCGAATTCGTTACGTGCGTGCTCATCGGCACTGAGTCGAGGATACACCTTCTTCATGGCTGCTAAGAGGCGCTTTTCATCGATAAAGGGGAGAAGGATCACTGCTTTCCACAACTGTTGCTTCCCGTTCATATCAAGCTCAAACTCCTCAGGATAGAAGTCGATAATCTCGCTCTCAGGATTCGTCATCAAGTCATGAAACGGCTCAGGAATAGCATGTCTTGATGCCGCAGGTAGCACGCCCATGAGCTGCTCGAATGGGTGAAACGGTGCCCCGAGTTCGAAGTTGAACTCCATCTGTTCAATACCAACGAAGTCGGCAGCAAAGGGGGCATAGTGATGTGGATAGTACCATGTCCACGAGGCACACCCTTGAAAGTAGTATCGCAGGACCCAACACAGCCCTTCCATGTAGTCGCGCGCGACTCTGTGACGGAACTCGATATCCTTGGGGTCAGCTTTGAACTTCTGCTCGTAATATCGATCAGCATATCCGTCTTCCCAGAGCATGACAGTATCAGGTGCCGGGTCGCTAGGATCTTTCTTCTGCGGTGTAGGCACTGGCGAGTTGCGACCAGGAGTACCGGAGTCATCGTCAGTGATCAGGTCCGCCTTACGTTTGGTCGCTCCTGAAAGATTGAGCTGCAATTTAGTCGCATCGTGAGTGACACTCCCATCATCCTTTGAAGATCCATTATGATCTAAGCTGCTTGTGTCTGACGGTGGCGCTTGACCGAGTAACCTCGCTTTCAAGGCAGCAGCGGCGCTCTTGTTGTCATTATTAGCTTGATGTGAAGTTTTGCGGTTCACGAATATGTCGTGGGTCAAATCTTTGTTGCTAGCAGCATGGGCATCCTTTGGCTCGAAGAAGGGCATGTTCCCAAAATCCGGCTCTGCATTCCTAGGACGCTTGTTAGGTTGGCCACCACCACCACCGCCTCGGCCGCGACCACTTCGCCAGGCATTACGTTCTGCTCTCTGTCGGTCCTTCTCTTCTTTCTGTAAAGCGTCATCACGACGACGCTTGAAAATATCGTTCTCTTGCTCCGCAAGGCCTGATAATATGAGTTGTGCGCGGCTAAGGTCGACATGGCCATCCTTTGTCACATAACCACCCATCTGCGGCAGACTTTTGCGCCATATCTTGATGAGAGTATCGATGCCTTGCTCCCTAATATCAAGACTAGGTAAGTGTGGTAGGAAGTCATTACCAACGAAGAAACACATGAAAACCCAATCATCTAGGGCTCGTTCAAGGTCAAAGGCGAAAGGTTGACCAGGTACATTCATTTCAATAGCGAGATATTCGCGAAGAATTGAGACATGAAGCCAGATGAATGGTTTCGGCCCAGCTTGTTGCTTCTCATCAAATTCTCCAGCCTTCACTTTGATCTCACCTCTGCATTGATCAGCGTAGTGGCCGGGCTGTCCACAAAGTTTGCAAAGCCGTGGTTTCTTCTCATCCGCAAAAACATCTTCACGAAGGACCTTGAAATGAGGCTCATGAGTGGCGAGCCCAAGCATGATGAGATCGGCGTCCTGTGTAATTAGACACCAAATTTCTCGAGGGTTTTATGTCAACTCACAAGACCGTATATACAGTGACTAGTGTTCGGATCGTGGTCGGGAGAACGTCTCTGGGAGCGGATGAATTCCATGATTTTGTGTTCACCTTCTCCAGGGACTGTAGCATCAGATATGATGATTTTGAGCTATCCCCGGTCAGCCAAGCTTCGTCGTGTGCAAGTTTACTTCCTACCTTTGCCCATGACGGATCCTCGTTAAGCTTGTAGGCGACCCAATACCTGAGACTGAGTGCTAGTATTTCCATGAAGGGTGTACCCGGCGTGATAGAATTACTGTCCCATGTCTTCTTGACTATCTGCTCGTTGATGAAGTCGTTGGCTGCACCTTCCCCTTTCTGAGACTTAAGTAACTTCATGAACTCTTGCTTCTCCTCATCCTTCTCTTGCGCTTCTTGGGCTGATCTAAAGCGTCGCGCGCGCTGCTGATTCATCTTAGCGCGTGGGGCTACACCATCTACATCGAAGTAAGTATGATTTTATTAGAGAGTGATGTCGCTATTTAGAGACATACCAACGGCCATCATGAGGATTTTGCGTGGGCGCGCCATGCGAACGACACGCTCAGTATACTTGAAGATCTCCAGCATCATCTCTTCCTCGGTCTCTGGCGGAGCTTTGTCCTCCGGATGGGAACAAGGATGAACGATACCATTCATATCGAGGTAAAGGTTGTCGATCTCGCCATTGATATTCGGTCCATTGTAGTCCACAGGTATCTGGACTCCATCTATCTCTTCTGGAGACTCTTCGAGAACGGGCGAAATGATCTTGGGATACTTCTGAGAAAGCCATCGGAAAAGCGCTGGAACACCCATGATGGGTCTTGGAAGGGGGTCACGCCTTGTGTAAGGTCAAGGTTGATTGTAAGATTGAAGCGGAGCACCTCCGAAGGAAACTTGGCAGCTCGGACGGTGTCGTTGGAGAGGGTGGTTGTCCGGACGATCACTGTATATACATGAGCAACAGTATGAGCGTCGCAAAGGGCGTTGGTTTGAAGAGACGGTGAAAGGTTGCGAAGATGCGCGTCGGTCTGAAAGATGCTGACCGCGGAATGCGTCGCTGCCTCCACGAAGAGTAATATGATCTCAAGCTTTCAGCCCTACCGGAATTACATCGGGAAAACGGCACAGTATGGGTACAACGTATATCGCATTTGAGTACAACATCGGTAACGATTTATGCGCAGGAAGAGTCTAGTCCTCTAGACTGTGCGGACGTATCACACAGGAGACCTTTTGCTCTCTGTTTCAGGCGATACTTTCAACCCCTCGGGTGTTGTCATTCAATTATGATCGCATAATTCCTCATTTTACTCACGAGCAGCCATGTTGCGTATGCTCGAAGCTCAAGCTCCGGCGAAGCAGACTGCTACCGATACGATCAGTACACTGAGCGGTCGCCTCACGAATGGTACCCTTTTGGAAGACCGACGTGCCGCAATCCTTGGCCTACGCAGCTTTGCGAAAGATTATCCTGCCTCAGTCGCGTCCGACGCACTCCGGCCACTGATAGGATGTTTAGTCAAAGACTCGGAGGACATAGATACTACGAAAGTAGTCCTTGAGACACTGTTAGCTCTCTTTGAGCCTAGTGAGACAAGTGTATGTTGATTGGAAATGAATTTGAAGCTCGGAAAATGATTGTGGGTGTAGCTCGAAGCTTCAGAAGACATAGCACTTTGGCTTGCCGACGAGTTCTCTCAGGTATATAGATCTCACCAATCACTATGGCTAGTGCTGAGCTTATGTTAGCGACAAGACAACACCACGATACTCCTTGATCTCCTCGATAAACCTGATTTCTACTCCCGCTTTTACTCTCTAAGACTCCTCCAAGCCATCTTTACCTCACGCGAGGAAAGGACCCAGGAATCCATATTGACAGCACCATTGGGTACTACACGGCTCGTCGCGACCTTAGATGATCCTCGAGATGGTATACGCAATACCGGCTTACGGCTACTATGTGGCCTAACGGAGACTTCACCTGAGCTTCAAAAGCTGGTCGCGTTTGAGAATGCATTTGACAGGATATTTGCTCTGATGGAAGCTGATGGATCCTTATTACAAGGAGGAATCGTGGTTCAAGACTGCCTGACACTTCTGCATAATTTGATACGTGATAACACTGCAAATCAGTCTTTATTTCGCGAGTCTGGAGGCATTGCACAACTGTCCTCGATTCTCCCCGGTGGACCTAAAAAGAAAACCTCGTCGTTGTCCCTCAGTCCCGAGGGCGAATGGATGAGTCCTGAAAGTAGCAAAAATGTATGGGGGCTGCTGTCCATCATGCGACTGTTCCTTATCCCTGGAAGCATCAGCACGCAACCCAATCAACTTGCTTTCCATAAGCATGGTATCACTCAACAGGTTCTGGAACTCGCTTTCGACAAGTCTAGCACTCTTGCTACGCGCGCTGAGGTTTGTTCTAGAATCCTCTGTATAGTAGATATCTAACGTGTAGCTTCTAGGCTCTGAATACTTGCGCTGACATTATACGTGGGAATGCTAGGCTTCAAGAAGGCTTTGGCCAATACCAAGTAACTCCAATTATGGAGAATGAGCACCCGACTAATGGTGCTGCATCGCCCGTGGTCACTCCAAAACTCTACGTCATCGAAGCATTGCTTGAATTAGCTCTATTAACGACTTCAAACAGTCTCTTTGGGGCTCGTTTCGCTGCGTGCGAATGTATAAAGGCTTATTTCCACAATCACCATACTATTAAGCTGCATTTCCTGCAAAGAGCTGTGTCCGGCCATACATCTGGAGAATATGAGCCAGCTAATGTATTGAGTACTTTAGTCAGTGGTCCATCAGCTTCGAAAGATCCGTATCGGGTGTGGTTTGCAGCCGTGCTAGTTCTGCATCTCATCTACGACGACTTGGAAGCTAAGAACATTGTTATGAACGTGGTCGAAGGCAATGCTGAGAATGGTGAAGAGGTGGTTACCTACATTCAGACACTCGCGGGTCATATGGTCACTGCTCTAAAAAGTAACGACAACGAACGCGTGTGTGTAGCTTACTTGATGTTACTCTCAGGCTGGCTCTTCGAAGCTGCCCCAGCCGTCGACGATTTCCTCAACGAGGGAAGCACGTTGCAAACCTTGATTCAAACAGCATCTCGAATAGCACCTGATAATGTCGTCCGCCGGGGGCTGTGTGCGTGCTTGTTGGGAACGATATATGAATTTTCTACTAAGGATTCGCCAATCGCTAGACGGGACCTCCAACCTGTCCTGACTTCGCGTCTCGGTAGGGAGCGGTATTTATCGGCGGTTAATGGTCTACGGAAACATCCTCTGATTCGCGACTTCGAAGTGCTCCCAATGAGCACGTTGAAGGATTCAAATGGAACGCCCACAGTACTGTTCGATACTACTTTTGTGGAGTTTCTCAAAGATAATTTCAGTCGCTTAGCTCGCGCCATTGACCGTGATCCCGGGTTGGAAGTTCATATCACGCACAATGGCGTTGATCGGGACCTAGTCGATGTATTGAGAAGTCAACTCGAAGAAAAGAACCAAGCTCTTCAGAAAACTGAGTCTGACCTGCTTTCCATAGAAAGCAAGCTAAACCAGGAACGGGCTGATCATAAGAGAACGCAGGAATCATCAACTGCAGAGATCAACAGGGTCAAGAGCCTCACAGAAGCCATCAAAAAGAGCCAAGAGCAAGAGCAGGCTAGAATGGAAGCGGCACATGAAAGAGTCATCAGAGACATGGAGGCTCAGTACAAACAGGCTACGCAGCAGATGCAAGTTCAAATCCAGAAGTCGCAGCGTGAGGGTTCAGAGGCAGTCGAAAAAGCGAAACGACCATTGCAAGATGAGATTACAACACTGAAACAAGCTAAGGATGAACAGCAGCAGAAACTCAGCAAGGCGAACGAAGAGAAGAACAAGAATTCAAAGGCCGTCCAGGAGTTACAGCAACTTGCTAAGCGAAGCAAAGAGGAACATACCGAGGCACAAACGATCATAACTTCACTCAAGTCGGACCTGAGAAAAAAAGATAACCAGATTGATGATCTAAAGAAAGCCAAGGTACAGCTCGAAGCCTCAGTCGAAAAAGGAAAGAGCGAGAACGATCAATTACGTACAAGGTCACAAGACCAGATATGGGCAGTGAAAGATGCGGAAGAGAAAATACGGAAGGCCGAGCAGATTGCAAAGGATAAGGAGGAAGCCCGCAGCAAGGCACAGGGTGAACTCGATGATATGCTCATGGTTCTTGCTGACATTGAAGAGAAGCGCACAAAAGACAAGGTAAATAACATCCTACCGTAATTTATTGCACTTTTGGCTTTACTGACACTGCCGCTAGGCTCGCTTAAAGGAATTGGGAGAGCAGATTTCGGACGATGAGGACGAGGACGACGATGAGGAGGAGGAAGAGGAAGACCCGAGTGATGTTGACTAGGTTCAAACACCTATTTAGACTCCAGCCCGGAAATATCACTTTACACACAGGAGAACATGTTTCTGATAGTCAATCACAATGTGTCATACTGGATAGGCAAAGCATGGCTAGAAAAAACCAAACAGAATATGATGCCAGTAGCTCAACAATACACTGATGGAGCATGTTGCGCCGAGTCGAGTCATGTAGGCCTGGCTTGGCATAAATGACTGTACGAAAACCCCTCCCTCCGAGCTGCCCCACTACCTAACAAGCTATCCGGATGGACAAATTTCCACCACACTCAACAAACACACGACACTACGAACCTACGCCGCGAACTCTGAAGAATCCCCACACGTTCCCTGGCATCATAGCGACACTGAGGTATTACAAACCTCTCACTTCTCTCTATTCGCGCGAGCGCCTCCCATATTGCTGAGCTCCGCGTTTGCGGGAGACAGTCGCCTCCAGCATGTCCATCGACTTCCCGAAGGAAGAAGAGCGCATCCTTGCTTACTGGAGAGAGATTGATGCTTTTCAACGTCAAGTCGAGCTATCGAAAGGTCGCCCACCTTATACCTTCTATGATGGGCCTCCATTTGCGACCGGCCTCCCCCACTATGGCCATCTCTTAGCTTCCACCATTAAAGACATTATACCCCGATACTGGTCCATGAATGGAAGATATGTTGAGCGTCGGTTCGGGTGGGATACTCATGGTGTGCCAATTGAGTATGAGATTGACAAGAAGCTCGGGATGAGCGGCAAAGATGCGGTACAAAAACTTGGAATCGCGAAGTACAATGCCGAATGTAGAGCTATTGTCATGAGATTCGCTTCGGAATGGAAAGAAACCATTGAACGTTTAGGTCGCTGGATCGACTTTGAAAATGACTACAAGACTATGAACACCTCCTTCATGGAGTCAGAATGGTGGGTATTCAGCCAGCTCTGGAAGAAAGGCGCCGTCTATCGTGGATTCAAAGTCATGCCCTACTCTACCGCCTTGAATACTCCTCTGAGTAACTTCGAAGCCCAACAAAACTATAAGGATGTGCAGGACCCAGCAGTAGTGGTGACATTTCCTCTCGTGAACGACCCAGAAACATGTCTCCTGGCATGGACAACTACGCCTTGGACGCTTCCCTCACACACTGGTCTTTGCTGTCACCCAGATTTCGAGTACGTCAAGATTTATGACGAAAAGACGAAGAAGAATTACGTCTTACTCGAAGCCCTTCTCAAGACCATATATAAGGATCCAAAGAAGGCCAAGTTTAAAATCATTAGTAAGATCAAGGGTAAAGACATGCTTGGATGGCAGTATGAGCCTCTATTCGATTTCTTCTATGAAGAATACAAGGATAAAGGTTTCCGAGTGTATAACGATACTTATGTCACTGCAGACAGTGGCGTAGGAATAGTTCATCAAGCACCGGCATTCGGCGAGGACGATTACCGCGTAGCATGGGAGGCCGGAGTTGTATCCGAGTCCCGGCCACCTCCGAATCCCGTTGATGACAGTGGTATCTTCACATCTGAGGTTGGGGAGTTCGCCGGCAAGGGCGTCAAGGCCGCTGATAAGGAGATCCTAAAAGCTCTGAAGGCCAAAGATAGAGTTCTGGTAGACAGCACGCTGATGCATAGTTACCCATACTGTTGGCGATCGGACACCCCGTTGATATATCGTGCCGTTCCATCTTGGTTCATCAAAATCCCGGACATCGTTCCCCAGATGCTTGAAAATGTCGCAGGATCACATTGGGTGCCTTCCTTCGTCCAGGAGAAGCGTTTCTCAAATTGGATCGCTGGTGCAAAAGACTGGGCTGTTTCTCGGAACCGGTATTGGGGAACACCACTTCCGCTATGGGCGAGCGAAGATTTCAAAGAGGTTGTCTGTATCGGCAGCATTGAGGAGCTAAAGACTTTGAGCGGGTACCAAGGAGAGATTACTGACCTTCATCGCGACAAAGTGGACGATATCACTATCCCAAGCAAAAATGGGAAAGGGGTTCTCCGTAGAGTTGATGAAGTGTTTGACTGCTGGTTCGAGTCTGGCGCTATGCCTTACTGTTCGGCCCATTACCCCTTTGAAAACGTGGAGCAATTTGAGAAGTCATTCCCCGGAGACTTCATCGCCGAAGGTCTGGATCAGACTAGGGGGTGGTTTTACACACTCACAGTACTGGGCACTCATCTCTTTGGGAAGCTACCTTTCAAGAATTGCGTTGTTAACGGCATTGTTCTGGCGGAAGATGGTAAGAAGATGTCGAAGCGACTCAAGAACTATCCCGATCCAAACCTAATCATGAACAACTATGGTTCTGATGCTCTTCGACTGTATCTCATCAATTCACCAGTTGTTCGCGCAGAAACACTCCGCTTCAAGGAGACTGGCGTCAAGGAGATCGTATCGCGAGTCTTGCTTCCGCTCTGGAATAGTTATCAGTTTTTCGCCCAGCAGGTTGCTCTCCTTAAGAAAATCGAGAATATAGATTTCGTCTTCGATCCCAAGGCCGAGGAGACCAACACGAACGTTTTTGACAAATGGATCCTCGCCAGTTGTCAAAGTTTACTGAAGTATGTCAATGAAGAGATGGCTGCGTATCGTCTCTACACAGTCGTACCAAAGCTTCTTGGACTTATTGATAATACGACAAACTGGTACATCCGATTCAACCGCAAACGTCTCAAAGGCGAGAATGGCACCGAAGATACACGGCACGCTCTCAACACTCTTTTCGAAGTAGTATACACCTTGGTTCGTGGTCTTGCCCCATTCACACCTTTCATTGCCGATAACATATATCTCCGTCTACTACCCTTCATACCTCAAGAACTGCAGGCCCAGGACGCACGTAGCGTGCATTTCCTGCCATATCCAGAAGTTCGCCAAGAGCTCTTCGATGTGGCTGTCGAGCGTCGCGTTGGTCGTATGCAGACTGTCATCGATCTATGCCGTCTCTGTCGTGAGAGGAGAGCCATTGGTCTTAAAACACCTCTCAAGACACTTGTCGTCATCCACGCAGATGTACAATATCTCGACGATATTAAAGGACTAGAAGGTTACATCACAGAGGAGCTCAATATTCGGGACCTCGTTCTCTCTTCAGACGAGGACAAATATGATGTCCAGTATTCGCTTTCTGCCGACTGGCCCATACTAGGCAAGAAGCTAAAGAAAGATGCACAAAAGGTCAAGAAAGGCCTGCCGAGCTTGACAAGCAACGACGTTAAAGAGTTCGTGAAGAGCGGCAAGATTACCGTTGATGGTATTGATCTCACATCTGAAGATCTCGTGGTGCATCGCGGATTGAAGGAGTCGGAAGCATCGAAGACACAGGAATTCAACACTGACGGTGAGGCACTTGTCATTCTAGATGCCGCCATCTATCCTGAATTGGCACAAGAAGGCCTGGCTCGTGAAATGATCCGACGTGTGCAAGATCTTCGCAAAAAAGCTGGTCTCAATGCGACGGACGATGTTGGCATGGAGTACAGCGTGTTGAAGGACCCTGAGAACATCGGACTCGAGCAAGCATTCGAAGATCAAAAGTCTCTATTCGAAAAGGCGCTGCGAAGACCTGTTGACAGACTCCAGGCCACACAGGCCGAAGAAAAGATACCCGAGAAACAGGAAGAAGTAATCTTGCAGGAGGAAGGCGAGATTCAGAAAGCTACTTTTCTACTAAGGCTTATCAGGCTTTGAGACGACTAGCATGAATGAAAAAGTAAATGTACCAGCTTGTGACTTGAATTATTCACACCTATCATGAAGAAAGATAGATAGATAGATAGATACAAATCCTGACATTGATTCTGACACCTAGATTGAAAGATCAACGCCATGCCATGTAGACCATTTGCCCCGAAACCTAGGCAATAGTTCATCTTTTTAATGCAGCCTGAGAAGGTTTGTTAGTACGATGATAATGGCAAAGTGTTAATATCAGGCACAAAGTAGCTTACCGTGTAGCATTGCTTCAATTTCAAAAATTCCGTGAGACATTTATCCTTGTGTATGTTCTTGTAGTCTGCGGTAATACATTTGCCGTACGCAGCGCCCTACCTATGTGAGCCTCTTGATCTGTGAATTCGGATCGATGCAGTAACCTCTTTGGCACATTTGACAGACGCGGATGCCAGTCTGTCGACTGGCCTTGTGCGTCCAGGCATACTTGAATGCTCAAATGAGGTGGTTCTTGTTCAAAGCGAAGATGAAGTCATGATGTAGAAAGCAGTCGGGCGCAAAAGCGGTGTATTGGTAGTTTTAGCGCTTCCCCACAAAACACGCTCGCTCAGTAGAAGCACGCGCGCGCGTTGTCCTATCAAGCTTGCAACAATCTTAGAACTCCTAACGCGCCCCCGTTCGATTCCTCTACTCCTCAGTAATGATTGCACGATCAATGAATTTAACTAAATCAAGCGCTATTGTACTGTTATGTTTACATCAACATTCCACCATCGCCGTTCATGCGCTTAGCAAGCGGCGCGTCATTCTCTAGACTTTCGAATGCCCATATCCAAAGCAATTGATGAGTTACCCTCACTGTCAGATCAAGGTAAAGAGGCCTGAGGTGTATCCGGTGTAGCTACTAACGAGTCATCAGATGTGGAACTATTGGGATCAATCGTTTTCGCTGCGGAGAAGATATCCGGACCGCCTTTCCGAGCACTCTTTACTGCCTACGACCAAGTGCTTGCTGAGCACGGCATTTCGCCCGGAAATGACCAGACATACTTTCGATTTCTTCTACGGATGGGCGAAGAGCGAATCGAGAATGACACACTATTTGGAAGATTCAAATCTCTGTTGGAGCGAACAGGAATACGGGTGGAAATCGATCGCAATGAAGACCATGTGGAAGATATCACGCGTCAAGCCGAGAATCCGGGATTGCGGGATGCTCTCGAGAGCCCGCAGAAGACGCGCCGCGCATCGTTCGACTCAGCTCTCGACCATCTCACAGATGGCGAGCGACAAGACGACGTATTCAAGAATGCAGCTTCAGATTATCGTGAGCAGCAGCAACAGCGACCTTCGAGCCGTGTCTCGGGCTCTATCGTATCTCCACGCCAGCGATTTCAGTTTGCTAACGCTCCCCGAAGCCTCTTCCGGTCCGGAGCGTACCGAGGACGGCTGAACACACGAACAGCATCTGAACAACTGCCACTGAGTAAGAGACGCCAGACATCAATCTCAAGTCAGAGCAGCCTCCGCATAACGAGACCATACGATGACAGTCCCACGAAGCAGAATGCCTATTATTCTGCAGATGAGTCCGAGAGCGCGGAGCCGACATTGCCTCAAGCAAGGGGCTTTGAGGTTGATACCATCAAAGATGTATCCCAACAGGACCAATTGCGGGATGCGGTATCTTTCCGATTGCGAGAGGTGCATCAGACTGCCAGACGATGTCTCCTGCTGTGGAGCGCGAAAGCACTACAGAGTGTCGAACAGTCGAAACTTATGGCTCGCAAAGCTGCGGAACATGATCGCTATGCACTCCTCAGATCAGGACTTGATATGTGGACGAACAAGTATCGAACGCGCAAACGAGACCTCGAGACAGAGAAGTTCTTTGAGCACATGGAACGAAGAGCAGATCGAGCACGAAACTTGTATCTAGTCGCGAAGGCTTTCACCCATTGGGCTCGGAGTACTTCTGACGAGGTCGACAGAACTTCCATTGCGAGACGACATATTCTCCGCACTAGATATTTCAACGCGTGGAAAGATATCACTGCGATTAATGCGCTCAAGGTTCGTCGACAAGGCCTACGCAAGTTCATGGGGATCTGGCGTGATCGCACTATAACATTGGTCGACAATCACATCAAGGCACTTGTCCGCTACGAGGATAACCTGATAGAGCGGACATACTGGCGTTGGTTCTGGGCGGTTTGTGCGCGTCGAGCTCCGCTCTGGGGTGAACAACGATCGAAACAACACTATTTCACCAAATGGCTGAGAGAACATGATCAAATTCAAAAGCAAGAGCAGGAGGCGACCGAGTTTTGGGATATAAAACTACAGAGACAGGCTGTTAGGTCATGGCATAGCACATTTTTAGCGGTTCAAACAGCAAATACGGCGGCGAATAACTGTCGAACTAGGTCGTTATTGTCAGGTGCTTTTCGACTCATATGCAAACAAACTCAGCTACGGCGCCCGACATCTCAAGTCCATCATTCGACTGATGACCGGCTGATTAGAAGCTACTTTAGCACTTGGCTGATGCGTTTCCGGCTTACGCGTCAGGCCGATGCCTTTGCAGTTCAACGTCTTCTGCATAGAGCTATGACGACTTGGAAGTGTCGAGTGATAGGAGTCCATATCAACGAGAGGCTCGTTGCGCAGAATCTGTATAGGTGGATGTTGTCAGCCAGGGCAGCGCTGATACTTCGAGTACATAATGCAAACAACAAGAAGGCCTGTTTGTCAGCCTGGAGAGCACGCGCGGTGTCGCGGAAGCATGAACTGGAGAGCTCGAAGACTGATGTGAGAACCAGCAGTCGTCGGCGAATCCTAGAACGGATCATGAGCCACTGGTCTGATAGAACACGCGAGCAGCAGCAGAAACACCTTACCGCCGAGTCTTTCCGCAGTAGCAAGCTTGCGTCCAGCCAGTTGATCTGTTGGGTCTCGCGCTATCGGCACGCTCAGAGACTCGATCAATGGGCGACTGACGCGCACTTCTATGTATCTGCGAAGCATACGCTCTCGGTCTGGCAAGTCGCCACGCAAAACGCCCGAAAGCAACGACGACGCGAAGCGTATGCACACGTACGCCGTGCAAACAAGATGGCTTTGGGTCGTCGGATGCTCAAGAGGTGGCAAGACACGCTGGAGGCAATCACAACAGCAAGACGCAGAGCAGAAGACATGCAAGAGATGAAACAGACACAGGTCGCAACTCAGTGCTTAGTATTATGGCAGCAAGAAACCCAGAACAAGATTCGACTCTCACATCAAGCCAGCGACTTCTATCGGCGTAAAATCAGCTCGCAACGTCTGCATCAGTGGATTCTGAGGCTACAGGACGTACAAGAGATCCAGGCAATGGGGACCACGTTGGCAGCTGAGATTAATACCAGGAACTCTAGGTTACGACTCAAGGAGCTCAGTGCGAGATACTTTCGCATCGAGTCTCAGAAGGACACAGCTGAAAAATTTCAAGCGCGCAGTTTCAGGAAGCATCGGCGTGACATGTTAATTTACTGGAGGGACCGGACTATGCAAAGGATCTCCACAAACGAAACGATATTTGTGACTGTACCAAACCAGCAGAAAACCGATCTTGACGACGATGCAGCAGAGCAGGACACAATAAGACGCAAAGAAGATTTGACAGCCCTCGATACCTTGGCACTGGATAATGATGACCACAACTTTATTCTTGGAGACAATGAAGACCTGGGAAGCACATTCTTCACGTCTACCCCGCGTGCTGGCTATCACCGCACGCCATCGAAGACTCCAGCAGCCAGGACACGAGAGCTCCTACAGTCGCGACTGAAGACTCTCAATGCTCCTCGCGGCAGAGGGACGGTAGATACGACTCCTGCGCCACTATCCGGACTGTCTCGGCGCATTCCAGCCTCAGCACCGCATCCTTCACTTGGGCATGCGGACTCAGTCGTATCTATCTCCTCCTTCACCCGCAAGCTCCAGGCTCAGGGAATACCTGTCAGTAGCCGAGGTGAAGGCCCTTCGAAGCTGCCTTCGATGAGCCGATCCACTAGACATGGGAAAGGACAGGTTGGATTCATTGGCTTCGACGACATACAAGAGGAAGATCGAACAGAAAGCTGATGTCAGTACATAGAAGCTGCCGCTTCGCTCTTGATTGGGTAGTGTTGGAAGTTGTACAGAAGCCTCATCATTTTAAAAGTGTTGGAAACCCGGCCCGCTCATGCGATTGATCTTGTTTGGATATTATGTTTGAGCTTGCGAAGATACCCCTTTACCAATGTTCAGATCCATGTGCTTCTAGTTGTACTTGTCTAAAATCACAGGTGTGATGAAAGAGTTTTATATTTTGAACTCAGCTCAACTTTCCCTACACGTTGTCGCTTTAGTCTACTAGTAGGGCGTATGCTGTCACATTACCACAGAGGGATCGCGTCTCCACCCTGCTATATCCTCAGGCATCAGTTGCGGACCCGCCCGCGCGGGATGTACATCAAGCCGGGCATGGTGGACCCGGAGAAAGCGATTGGTCCGCTGCGACACCGACCCTTGAACGCCTGACCGTTGGAGCTTAATCGCAGCCTCAACGAAATTCACATGCGCTGATAGCAAGACCGCTGTCGCCGTGCGCTCGAATCCTGGACAAAATCCTGGCGTCAGACGTAGGTCACTGATAAAGCCAAGATTGTTGATTATGAGCCCCATTAGGCAGGGGATCCCAATGAGAGGTTCAGGTAAAGGTGGGCGGCATTTCGTCCATACTTTTCTCTCTCCTGACGTCGAATTCTGGTGGTGTGTGCTGCTCTTGTGATGAGGTATGGAAGAAGACAGTCCTGCAGTACAAACACTTGCTGGAGGCAAGGTGTCTGCTCTAGTCTCTCTTCTTCCCACCTTTGTCCGAAGCCATGCGCTGCTTGGACGTATGACGAGGGGGATTGGAGCCCGAGCCACGGCCCCTACTTGCAAAGATATCGAGACTCCGGCAAGAAGTGGCCTCTCCACGAGAAGGAACAGTAAGATGCGGGCACACAGCTCCGACAGCGAGTCTGCCTCACTATCTGAATACGACTGCTCTAGCAGACCTCTGTCATCAAGCTCGACTCTGCCAGTCTTCCCAAGCCCGGAAGTCGGTACTGGTATCAACTGGAAGTACGCATGTCAAGGTAGATAGCGCTTCGGGCCTAGAGCAAGAAAGTCACTGACATCGGTCTCAACAGCTGAAAACCTCCTCTCACAAGCCATACACGAGTCCTCTACATTCGAACCTACCCCGGACCAGCCAGACACCATGTTCTGTCGGGATCTCTACCTCAGCTCCGTGAGCTATCTCTTGCGCGGTCTCCCGTCAGACCTGACAGCCTCGGAAGCGCTGGTACTACAAAGCTCTCTGCCCAAATCAATCGCCGCACAAGAAACAGGCAACATGGCTGCCAAGCATTGCAATGCTCATACGAACGAGACGAACGGTCTTGACGAGCCCTCGATTGTTCATCGCACGCTGGCCTATTTAGTCCTCCAGGTCTTCGTTGTCTGCCACTTCTGCCTACCGTATCTAAGGATACTGCTGCGTGAGGCGTACGCGTACGAGCGGCGGCACCACATATCCGAGCGAGCACTTGCGACGAGTCTAAACACGTTCGATGAGGTCGGGAAAAGTACAGTTGGGTTACTGGAGAGGGTGTATGCGATTGACGAGGGGCGCTTTGGACGATCTGTAAACGAGACAGTGGTGTGGTGGGTTAGAGAGGTGAGCGGGGGACTGAAACAGGGCTTGAAAGAGGGTGTGCTGGCGATGCGGGACGGTGGTGTAGATGTAGCGATGTGACTGCGTTTTTTTAGGCTCTTAGACTATAGCGTCGTAATGACTGATGATTTCACGACATCCACGGATTGCAATGCATATCGTCCCAATCGAGATTAGTGGTCGCCAAGCCGAGTCCCCGGAAGCGTTCGGAGCAGGAAGGCTCCGCGTGTAGGGAGCATCCGGATCACATGTAAGATACTAAGATGCGACCCTAGGATGCGAGAACACCGAATGCAATCTTTGTTGCCATGTCATGAGAACAATGAATCGTACCCTTTTACCGCTTCTCACATCCTCGAGTTCTTAGAGCTGACATGCTCTCTCTCAACGGTCTACATGATGCTGAGCCCATCCTCCTGGACGGTTGTCTATAGTCGTCACACGATCCATTTCCTTTGACATCCACTCCTCTGTTGCCATTACGTGAGGCTCTCCCTCTATACCTAGACAGCGACTATGATTCCATGGACTGTCTAAGCCAGGAGCCAAGCTGAGAGTAGAATCTCAAAAGCCCACGCAAGAGCAGGAATCTAGAAGCTGTAATGCGGCATGCAGGTGATGTAGACACGTAGTCGGGTAACTCATTATTCTTCTTCATCCTCACTGGTCATACTCTGAAAGTTGGTTAGCCCGGTGACGTTGCCGTGTCTATTCGAAAAGCAGGGTCAGAAGTATATTGTGCACTGTGTCAACGAAGCGGATCCTGATGGTCTTGTTCCCGAGGAAGTCGTTCGATGCGTGATTCACAGACATCAGCAGCATCTGCGCTCCTTGGTAGTGACTGATGCATATATTGGTATCAGAACCTTGGAACAACGAGACGAAAAAGCTGTAACGTCACGCGCCAGAGTACATGAGGCTTTTGGATTTCTGTTCTGAACCGCGACACCTTGACAGGTCTCATCCGAAATCTGACAATCAATGTCAGGAGGACAACCTGGAGCAGACTAGGAGAATCGAAACGAAACACTTGCTTCTGCTTGATACCATCGGGTTGCGACTGCAAGACCTCAGCATGCATGACTGTCTACGAAAGAGAAAATGGCACATCTTCTGCAGCTAGTAGCAAACTCGACAAAGCAAAGATCGAGACCCTCTCGAAACCAACAAACAACCCTCAAGTCCTGCTTCGGAATTGCACCATAGGCCCGTAGCGGACGGATATGAAAGCATCGCGAAGTTGAAACTGGTTCCGGTCCCGTCGGCCCCAACCAAGGTCCGGCCGTCCTTCACCCAGGGTGGCACCTTCCACACGTCGAACGTCATACCTATGCAATGTACGAGCCACGACTATCATCAACTCCAGCATCGCGAGATTCTTCCCAACACAATTGTACGGGCCTTGACTGAAGGGGTGGAACTGCTTCTTCAATTGCGCAACATCCTGCTCTGAAATCCCCGCGGCAGCGTCTGGGAGCCAACGCTCGGGGCGAAACACATGGGCGTCACCCCATATTGCTTCGTCGCGAGACTGGGCCCAGTCTGCTGTTCCGACGACGACGCCCTCTGGGTAGAATTCGTCGCCAATTTTCGCACCGCCTTGTAAGACTTCGCGGGGGAGCTCGCTCGGCGCAGCAGGTGTCAGACGCAAGCTTTCGTCAATGCAAGCCCTCAAGTATGAACACTCCGACAAGCGCTGGCCCTGGACAATGTCGTGGTACGAGCCGAACGTTTCCCGGATCTCCTGCACCAGCTTCGCATACTGGTGCGGATAGTGGGTCAGGTAGAAGAAGATGCCGCAGAGCGTGATGGAAGTGGTGTCTGTTCCGGCCAAGATCAACAGGTTCGCCTCGCCGAGGAGTTCCGAGTCTTTGTACGCCCGAGCGCCAGTTTCGGGATCGATGGCCTCGTACAGGAAGTGGAACACGTCCAGCCTTTGTTCCCCCTCGGACTTTTCGCGCAGAGCCTCTTGCTTGGCAATGCGGCTGTTGACGCTTTCGGCGACGAATTTGAAGTATGCCTTGATGTCGGGCGGGGCCGTCATGGCAAGCAAGGCATCCAGGCCGCGTGGCTTGAGCCACAGGATCAGATCGAACACGGGTATGCGGCTTATCTACTGCTTGTTAACTGATGGAAATGCACGTGTGTGCACGTAGGATGAAGGTACCGGGTATATGTATGTCATGTACTGGACAAGATTGTGCGGCATCCTCTTCAGCGAATTCTCACCTGGCTCCTTGATATCGAAGGGCTTACCAAAGGACAAATCCGCCATGATATCAAACACCAGCTTGTCCGTCCAATCGGCAAAGTCAATACCTTCGGTCCAGCCGTCGTGGTCCGTCTTCCGGTCCATCAGCAGATCGTTCCATCGGTCGACATGCTTGATGATGAAGACCGCCGCAGCGCGGAGCGACTTTTCATTGAACGCGAGATTCAACAAACGCCGTTTCTTCGTATGTGCGGCCTTTTCGATTGTCGTTGTGGTGTTGACGTCTGTGTTGCCGTTGATATAGGCTCGATACGAGGGCGCCTTCTGGACATTGGCCTTGGCGTTGTATATGTCGTTGTACGCGGCCGGGTCGTTGAACAAGACTCTGTCCGGACGAGGGCGGATCCGCGTTCCTGTCGTGAGCGCGTCAACACTTGCCCACGGGTAGTAGAGGGAGAAGTTGCGTCCGGCACCACTGACCGTAGACTTGGTGGAGCTGCCACAGCCAGACGTGGTGGTCGCCCTTGACAGCGTGATAGAAGCTCGGAAGGCCGGACAGCTTGCACAAGATCGGGCCCGGCACGCGCGCGAGTGGGTGGAAAAAGACGTTGTATACTGCCTTGACGAGGATCTGGTATGCATCAGACCAAGTTACAGCGCAATGCGTCGAAACACCTACCGATAACAGGGCTGCCAGCGTCAAGGTCCAGTACGGATGCTGGTGTAGCACGCTTATCGAATGTGCCAACAACATATTCGTCGGCTTGGAGAGAGACACAACATAATACTAGGTGTGTCTGACACCCGGCTAATTATATACTTGATCCCTTCGGCTATATCATACAACCCCATGTCGGTCAACCCCTGTTCCCGTGGGGCAGTCGATGTGCCACTTTTTCCTTTTGCGCAGTTCCAAGACTCCTTTGCTCGCCTATCTCCGAGCTGCCATTGTCAGCAAAACGGACGCCCGGACACACACGAGGCTGCAGAGTGTGTATGTGTAAGCCATGGGCGACGTCTGGAATCGAGGGCAGCCGCAATGCATATTATTGGTGAGCAGAGACGAGGCACGTGATGCTGCATGCAGATTCGAATCCCGCGGCCACGTCAACGCATTGTTATACTGAGGATATCGTGATGACGGAGCGATGTTACTAGTAGCATGCCAGAGTTCTGTCCACAATAATTGTATTGCTATCCGAACAGCCTGCATACAATCTAATGAATACAGCACAACACTAAATGTCTTTGCATAATAACACCCATCCATGTGGCTGCTCAACGTTGCCACGCTGGAGCTGGAGGCATTTTTCGGGGACGACAGGCCAGAGTATGTGATCCTCTCGCACACCTGGGAGGACGACGAGGTGCTCTTCCAAGACATGGCCTCGCCGTCACGGGCGCAGAAGAAGAAGGGCTGGGTGAAGATTGATCAGACATGCAAGCGAGCGGCAGAGGCAGGCTACACACACGCGTGGATTGACACCTGCTGCATCGACAAGCGCAGCAGCGCGGAGCTGAGCGAGGCCATCAACAGCATGTTCCAGTGGTACTGGGCTGCGGCAGAATGCTGGGCGTATCTCGCTGATTTCGCACTGCCGGAGGGCTGGCAGCCGCCGCGGACGTTCCAGACCAATATGAGCGCGTGGACGGCCGAGTATCGGGAGCTGGTGGACAAGTTCCTGAGGACAAAGTGGTTTAGGCGCGGATGGACGCTGCAGGAGCTGATTGCGCCGCAGCGGGTGACGTTTTGGAGCAGGGACTGGGTGGTGTTTGGCACGCGCACGATGCTAGGCCGGGCGATATATGAGAGGACGAATATCCCGGAGGAGGCGCGGGATCGGCTGCAGACGTATAGTATCGCGGAACGCATGGGGTGGGCGGCGAGGCGGAAGACGACACGGGTGGAGGACCAGGCGTACTGTCTGCTTGGTATCTTCGACATCAACATGCCGCTGCTGTATGGGGAGGGCAAGAAAGCGTTCCGCCGGTTGCAGGAGGAGATTATCAAGTCCAGCCTCGACCACTCTATCTTTGCGTGGGGCGTAGACAGCCTGATGGCGACCGAGAATGAGTTGGTGCAGAACAGCCAGAACGCCAGATCGTTGTCGTCGTTATCGTCGAGTGTCTTTGCGTCGCACCCGGCGTCCTTTCTTCCCAACGCCCGACCAAACGACGAGATGCCCACGCGCTACGAGCTTTCAAACATGGGTCTCTACATCAAGCTGCGCATCATCTACATCTGCGCCTGGGACAGCGACGCGCAGTGGAAGGAAGCTCTCGGCCTCCTCAACGCGACCTCGACCTCGACCTCAACCTACGACGACAACGCCTCAGACATCGCAATCGCGCTGCACATCCACAGCCAGTCCGGCCTCGCCCTCATCCGTCAGCCCAGCCGCTTCACAAAACGGTGTTACCTTGTCCCCGTCCCTTTCCGCGACGGCGACAGCATGCTAGCCAAATCCGACGGTATCCAAATCTCCAACCGCGCCATCCTAGCCCGCCACTTCCCGCACCTCAGAGAGCGCGACGACCGCGTCCCGACCGCGCTGCTCGCCGCGCGTGTGCATGTGCAGGTCGGGCCGGGACTGCACATTGTCGACACGTTTCCGCAGCCGTATGTCCGGCGTGTCGGGATGACCCGGATCTTCACCCTCGAGGGGCAGGCGGAGGACTGGCTTGGTGCGTTTCTGGTGCAGTGCGAGGACGTGATTGGGCGTGTTGCCCTGCTTACGGTGCGTGGTGGGCTACTTCCGGTGCCGGTGGGAGGAGGAGGGGCAGAAGGAGCAGTACAAGAAAAAGGAGAAGAACTGCACGCCCGACGTCCCCGGCTGCAGCTGCGGTACCTTGAGACTTCGGAGCTGCTGGACGAGCGGGGTCTGCCCTGGTACTACCACTTCCGCAACGACCGCAACGACCGCAACGACCGCAACGACCGCAACGACGAAGCAGAAGAAGACGTGGACTTTGACAAAACACACGCCTTCGACAGCTCCACGGAGATGATGCAGGTGCTGCTGCTGATGGAGATGGCGACAACAAGCAAGAAAATAAGCCTGAAGTTCTCGTCGCCGCAGTGGGAGTGCGATTCGAGTCCGTATTACCTGGTTAATGTCGATATGGTCGTGGCGGATGATGATGAAGGGGGTGAAGGCGGTAAAGTGGCTGAGGTGGCAGAGGGTGGTAAGCAGGAAAAGGACAAGGTAGAGAATAGAGATGCAGGCTCGACTGAGCCGCAGCGCTTATTCCATGACTTGTTCTGGGTGGCAGGGCGGGCGCGGGATGCGGCATCGAATGCGGGGCCAAAACCGGAATCAGAACCGGATGCGAATGCGGGTTCCGACGATGAAGACGCTGAGGCAGGGGCTGAGGCAGAGTCTGAGGCAGAGTCTGAGGCAGAATCTGAGGCAGAGTCTGAGGCAGAGGTTGAGGCAGAGGTTGAAGCTGAGACCGGGACTGAGCTTAAGTATGATGTGGATGTACTCTTCCCGCCGTACCTGTACGATCTGTAAGGGCTTATAGGACTTACTGCCTTACATGGCCAGACGGCTTCTTGGCAGGGGGAGAGCGTATCTGACGTATATACATGACCACGCGAACTGGACAACGACGGCGACGACGACGGTGATGATGAGGCAGGTATTAAATGACGGGTACGGTCGAACAGATACACGAACAGATATATTTGTATTTATACACGAATACATATATACCTATAAACAGACGAACACGTAAACAGACATACATGCGGATGGGACCCAGTCGTGTGGTATGCCTGACTAATGACCGACAGAGTGTAGCCTCCTGTATTTTTTGTGTATATACATGCGTTTCTTATGTGTCTTACATGCATGCGTTTCTTACATGTGTTAAGCATGCGGACTAAAAGCGGTGATGGATAGCCAGTTAGCCAGTTAGCCAGTTAGCCAGTTAGCCAGTTAGCCAGTTAGCCAGTTAGCCAGCAGATAGACTAGCTAGCGAGTAGATGAGCATGCGAACATATATACATATATATATACACGAGAAGACAGATACACGCACATACGAACACACGCACACGCGAACACGCACGCAAACAGATATACCAGACACACGAGTCATACCATACACTAGACACACGAGATATACTGTAGCCCCTGTGCTATCCCATCCCATCCCATGCCATCCAATGCCATCCCATGCCATCCCATCTTACCCTCTTTTACCCCATTCTATTCTACCCCATCCCATCCTATCATACTATCTTCTACCCATTATAAAACTCCATCTCCTCATACGTGCATATGTACATATATACATACATATCTATACACGTATATACAGAAACATACACGTGCATGTCTTGTATGCGTATCTTGTGGTACCTTGTGCATGTATGTATGCGTATCTTGTGAATGTATGTAGACCTCGTGAATGTAGACGTGTCTATGTATACCTTATGCATGTCTTGCAAGGAATATACTGTGAGTGTATGTCAATATCTTGTTCCTCAGCCTAAGTACTGCCCGTATGCGTGTCTTGTGCATATATGTATGCGTGTCTTGTATATCTTTGTATCTTTGTATCTTGTCTAAGTATCGTATATATCTTACTCTTGTATATCCTACTCTTGTATATATCACTCTTGTATATATTACTCTTGTATATATTACTCTTGTATATATTACTCTTGTATGTCTTACTCTTGTATGTCTTACTCTTGTATATCTTACCCTTGTATATCTTACTCTTGTATATCTTGCTCTTGTATATCTTACTCTTGTCTATCTTACTCTTGTATATCTTACTCTTGTATATCTTACTCTTGTATCTCACACGCAGCGTACTAAGCGGAGTATCTGTACGTGGCTGTGCGGGTAGAGATGGATGGATAGATGGACAGATGGATGTGGATGTGGATGTTGATACATGAGCATGGGAATATATGAATACAGTACGCACGGACGAACAAACAGACGAACGAAGAGATAGACGAACGAATGGATATCCAAAGAGACGAACAAACGAACAAATGCACGAGTCGACAAACATCCAGACACACTGGGCATTCCGCGTTATCCTATCCTACTCCATGCCTACCAAAGACAAGCTCCCTTTCTTTTAGATATATACATGCAAGTCCTGTATGTCTTGTTTCCACGTCCTGTACGCATGTCTTGAATGTACGCATATGCACCAAACGCAGGAGTCCCAACCCCACACAAAACACCTCACTCCAAAACCCCCAAACACCCAGTTTGCAAGACCATCCAATCTCCCCCTACCCCCTAAAGTCCCCAACCTCCCCCCTCGCCCTCTCCCTCAATACCCCCCTCAACACCTTCCCACTCGCGGCCTTGGGAATACTCTCCACAAACACGACCCCACCCGTCAGCGCCTTGAAGCTCGCCATGCGGTCGCGCACCCAGGCCGCAACGTCTTCTTGCGTGAGGGGGAGGACTTGGGTGTCGGGTTTGTGCGGTTCGTTGTCGTCTTTGGCGACTTTGTCTCCTTTGTCTCCTTTGTCGACTTTGTCGTCTTTGTTGGTGGAGTCGGAGTTGGAGGCTGTGTCTGCAACGTAGCAGCAAACAGGCGTCTCGGGAACAACATACGCGCGCGGAACATCACCCATATCCGGCCCCAGTTCAATGCCAATGACAGCGGCGTCGCGGATGAGCGGGTGCGCGAGGAGGCATTCTTCCAGCTCGGTGGGGGAGACTTGCCAGCCTTTTACCTTGATGATTTCCTGGTGCTGGGGGTCAGTGTGTCGTTGTGTGGTTTTGGGGAGGTGGGAGTTAAAAGGGGGTTCAGGGGGGGGAAAAGGACAAACCTTGGCCCGATCACAAATATACCACTTCCCCTTCTCCACAAACCCGATGTCCCCCGTGCGCAACCACCCACCCTCGAGAATCGTCTCCCGAGTCGCAGCATCATTCCCCAAATAGCCATTCATAATCGAGGGGCCACGCACGAAGATCTCGCCCCGGACGTTATCCTCCGTAACCACTTTTCCCCCTCCCCACCATTCTCCTTCACCTCCCTCTCCTCCCTCTCCCCCTTCCACACCCCCCTCCCCACCATCCCCCCCAAAACACACAACCCGCGCCTCCATCCCAGGCAACAACCGCCCGACACTCCCACTCCCATCCCTCTCCGCAAACCCAAACGTCGTAATCCACCCCATCTCACTCAACCCCCACACCTGCGCCACCACCGCCTCCGCATGTAAAACCCCACACAACCCCCTCTGCGCCCCCCCCGACAGCGCCGCCCCCGCACACCACACAAACCTCAACCCCTCCAACACCCCCTTTTGCTCCCTCCCCCCGGCAACACCGACAAGATCACGCACAATCGGCGGCACAACCGCCGTCTCCGTAATCCCATACGCACCAAGATACCGCACAAACGCCTCGCGGTAGTACCGCTTCATGATGTATGTTGTGTGGCCGTCGCGCAGGGGCGCGCAGTGGAAGAGCGGGGCGGCAAAGGCGTGGAATTGCGGGAGGCAGAGGAGGCGGCGGATGGGGTAGGGTTTGAGGGGGGTGGAGACGGAGGAGTGGAGGAGGATGGACTGGGCTACGTGGGCGTGGTGCGAGATGAGGGCTGCTTTCGGGAGGCCGGTTGTGCCGGAGGTGGACATTAGGGATGCGGGGGTGGATTTTGATTTTGCTTTCGATGCGGATGCGGATGTGGAGGGGAAGCGGACCCAGTCTGATTCGCCGTGGGTGAGGAGGGTGGTCCATGATTGGAAGGGGGATGTGGATGATGTGTTGTTGTTCTTCTTGTCAGTGTCGAAGACGAGAATGTTGGCGTCTGCAATCCCGCATTCGCGCGCGGCGGGCAGCAGTTTGGGCAGGAGTTCGGGCTGGACGAGGACGGTGCGGACGGCGGAGACGGCGAGGATGTGTTTGAGCTCGGTGTGGCCGTAGGCGGGGTTTGCGCCGACGACGCAGCCGCCTGCGCCGATGATGGCGAGGTAGAGTGGGGAGTAGAGGATCTGTTGGGTGGGTGTGTCAGTTTGGTTGTGTTGGTGAGAAAGGGGGAAAGACGCACGTTGTTGAAGGAGAGCACGCAGATGTTGTCGCCGGGCGTGATGCCGCGGGCCTTGAAGCCGGCGATTAGTTGTCGTACGCACAGCAGGACGTCGCGCGCGGTGAGGGCGTTGGTGGGATCGGCGGCGTCGATGTATATCTGCGTGCGGGTGTGATTGTCAGTCTTCTTTTCCGTGATTGATGGATGGGATGCATGTGATGTCAGCACAGCCAGCACGTACCTGGCGATCCGGGAAGCGGTCCACGTTTGCAAACGTCCAGGTCAGGAGATCGACGTCCGGAATGTCAGGGTAGTGGTCCGGCGTGAAGATGCCTGTTGGTGCCGGACTTGTTGACGACGTCGGAAGTGGTGATGACGGGGCTGCTGCTGCTGCTGCTGCTACAGGGGCTACAGGGGCTGCGGCACGGCGGCCGCGGTAGTGCACGAGCGAGGCCAGCGAGGTGGAGACGTGGCTCAGGAGGCGTCTGGCGTACTCCATGGCGGAGACGCGGCGGTGGTTCTTCGTGCATGCGGCTGGGGATGCGGGCGTGGTGGTTCTAGCGTCTGCGTTGTCGACGGACTTGGTGTGTGTTGGTGGCATTGTGGATTCTTCGTGTCGTTGCTGTTGTTGTTGTTGGAGAGTGTACTCGCAAGTCTATCTTCGTGTCGTTGCTGCTGCCGTCGACGAGGATACTCGCAAGTCTAAGATCGCGTAGTCCTGTCGAAGAAGTCGTGTCGAAGAAAAAGAGGAAGAAGAAGAAGCAGGAAAAAGTCACGGCGCCATAAATCGAAACTTTTCCTCCCAAGACCTTCAGACCCAGATTCGACACGAACAAGGCAAGCGAAAGCACACAATAACACACAAAGATGATTAATGCTCTGTTCCAGTTCCCAAAAAAGGGGGTGTCGGTGCCAATGTCACTCACTCCCGGGCAGCAAGCGAGGTTCGGCGAGTGACGGACGGACGGATCGGGTTTAAGGGAGGACGACGACGAGACGTAGAGGAAGGGGTAGAGTAGAGCAAGGGCAAGGCTGATGTTGTTGTTGTTGTTGTTGTTACACACCATCTATATATATACACAACCCCGGAGGTGTATACATAATATATACATTCACGCCAACATCTTCGGCGATCAAGATTGAATCAGACAAATTGAAGAAGCTAGGCAGGTAGGTGTAGTAGGAAAGGGGGGGGGGAGGGAGCGAACTGCGTCATGCGTCATGCATGAAGGGTATGTGTGGTGGATGCTACAGCAGGGGTGATGCTTGCGTGTTGACCGGCGTTCTTCTGCATGTTCTACGGATTCGATTGTATCTCAGGATCTGCAATATCTCGATATCTCTCCCGGTAAGCAAGCAAGCAAGCGGGTCAGCCCGTGCGTAAGATGAATAGACAGATGAGTCCAAGATACATGGTAAACAGATGGATAGTAAATAGAGGGATAGTCCCAAGCACCTGGCACGTGCTCAGTGTCCGTGTCAGTGGAAGTCCGTGAATGGCAAGAACGACGCACGCAAGATCGTCGGTTTGCTGGTGCGTGCCCGGTGCTGCAGTCACGTGCTGCGTGTGTGTGCGCAAGCCTAATTAGCCGCATTAGGCAGTTACGGTGGCGCAAACCTTAAACCCGCCGTCCGGGCTGAAGAAATGACGGATTCGGCGAATCAACATTGGCCTTACAAATACATAGCTACATACTACTGTACATGTACAATATGTGAGCGATCGCGTGAGTGCAGCTGTTTATTTGTATTTATTTTATTTGCATTGCTCGGCGAGTATGGGATGGAATGGAACGGAATGAAGAGAGGGAGGGCTGTGGATATCCGCGGGGTTGGCTGGCTGGTCCCTCATGTTGTCAAACTCCTCGACACCCCCAGTCAGATCCCAGGTCCTTGTCCGGATGGCATGATGAATATCCATCAGCCCATCCATCTACCTGTCCATCCATCCATCTGTTAATCTGTTAATCTCACACCTTATCCATCCATCCACCCCGAGACCCGGCGCGCGGGTCGTCGCGCACACAGCACTTGATACCTGACAGGTGTGAATTGCTGTTTGTCTGTCTGTCCGTCTGTCTGTCTGTCTGTCTATCCTCTATTCTTCCATCCCATCTCCGGAGCTATAGACAAGACAGTAAGAATGAAGCAGCTACTAAGCCAGCCAAGGCATCTCCACCCGCCCACACCGCCGCCGGACGTTGGACCTCGTTTGCGGTCTCGCGTGTGATTGGCGTATCACTTTCCTTGGCTCCACCATTCTGTAGGTACTGTCCCTAATGTATGTCCCTTTGTCATGTACATACATACATCAAACACAAGCAACGACGACAGCGACAACGTGCAATAGAATGTACACGTCGCTTTTTCGGTCTGTGCGTGTCATTGCTGTTGTCGTGCTGTGCGGTCTGTGTGCGATCTGTGCGTGCGTGCGGAAGGATTGATGGATCGCATCGCATCGTATCGTATCGCATCGAGTCAATCCAAATACATATCTCGATAACTTGGATAATCACAGATGGCCGGATTAATGGCCAGGACGCCTAACGTGCGTGCAGTGCCATGCAGTGCTGCAGTCTCGTCCAGCCTCGCGTCGAGTATCTCGAATACGTCGGCTTGCAGTGTGCATTGCATCGTGGCCAAGTGTCCGTTTGCGTCGTGCTGCTTCGTAAGGCAACCAGTCTCTCTTCTTTGCCAGCGGTCGTTGTGATCTAGACTTGCTGCAACGACTGCATGCTGCTGCGAACAACGGCTGGGCTGGACATGGGCATGGGTATGGTATCGACATGGATATAGGTAAGGCTGCGAGGGTAGGTGGGTGGGTAGGTAGGTAGGTACATACGACGACTTGGACTACTCGTCATGCAGGTCCGCGTTTCTCTATACTTTCTTTTGTCTTTTTATCTCTTTATTTGTGTATGTGTGTGCTATACATCTAGCATTGAAGTGCTGCTGGATGTAATACTATGTTGTAGGAGTAGACTAGACGTCGGTGTAGTAGTGGCAGTAGAAGCTGTAGAAGCAGTAGTGGTAGCGGTAACTACCCACTAGGCACTCACTCCCTGAATCAACTAGCCCTCTCTACTCCTACTATTACTACTACGACTCTCTACCCATCCAGCATATCAAATAAATATCACATCACATCATCACAACCTATCAATCCATCAACCCATCCATCCATATACGCAAAAAACATGACTCTACCACGCATTACCCAGCAGCCAGCCCAGCAGCCCTTTCAGCAGCCAGCCAGCCCAGCAGCCAGCCATAGTAACACCACATCCACCACATCCACCACTCCACCCCACACCACGCAAGGACACAGCATCTTGATTTGACTCCCCCCGCATATACTGTACGTCTGTATGTATGTACATGTATGTCTATATGCATGCATGTACATAGGGCAGACCACAGCACACAGCACACAGCACACAGCACATACCACGCGAAATCCAACTTTCTCATTCCTTATCTCTCTCGTCTTGTTGCCAATCAATTGACCATTCATTCACCAATCATCCAGTTGATCAATCACTTAAATCAATCGACTTATCAATTAATCAGTTTAACCAATTAATCAATTAATCAATTACCCACCCACTCACCCACTTCCTCGAACCAACCCTTCATCTTCTACCGTACCATCCCATCCTCACTCAAACTCAAACACAACACTCGAAACCTGGAGAATTGGCTCGAGTCAGTACGTGAGTATGTGAGTAAGTAAATAAGTAGAGTTTGAAATGGTGAAACGCGGATGGTGAGACGTGAGATGACTACTTGGTATTGCGCTGCTCGTGTGGACATGACTCGTGCTGCTTGGTGCGCGTGCGTGGAGTGGAGTGGAGTGTGCGCGTGCGTGGTGCGTGGTGCGTGGTAGTGCGTGATGGCTGGGATGGATGTAGTGTGCGCGTGCATGGGTGTGGGTGGATGTGGAGAGGTATGTGGAGAAATGGAGAGGTGGAGAGGTGGAGGACATGCGGGTGCAGACATTACGATCACTACTACTACTCTAACGACTACAGACTTGGATCAAATACACCACGACACGACACGACACACATACACACATACATACACATACATACTCCCATCTCATCCCATCCCATCCCATCCCATCCCACCACCAAATCCCCCCTCACACTCCCCAGACAGCATGTATCTCGCCCCGTCCCATTGGCTGGAGTGCTGTATTAGGGTGTTTGCCGTGGTGGGATGATATATAAGTACATGTCTATATTACGTCCCGTCACTCGAGACTAGGAGGGAGGGCGATGGATGGAAGGCCGACTGGACTGGCTGGGCTGCTTCAATTGTAGTTTATGAGGTGAGGTCGTGATGTGAGTCTACGATCCGAGTTCAGCCTCTGAAGAGGACAAGATATAGATGCGACCATGGCTGCTGCTGTCTGTCTGTCCACCGAGTATCCGTGATGAGAGTGTCGGAGTTCACCTGTCTTTGTATCAAAGTGTACGTTAGGTCTGTTGTAGATACTGCTCGCAGTGTATACAGAGTGCTTTGTATGAAGTGAATCGTGGTATTGTTTATTTGTTTGAGATGTCGACTCCTTGCTTGATGCTCATCGACTGACTGCAGCCTGCTGTCTCTAGTGACAGCTCCGGTATTTGTATATCGTCAACTGAGACTTTACTTCTCCTACTCCTCCGCTCATGCTTTATAGACTTCAGTCTCCATCTACGAGATGTCTTATACAAGATCCCCCAGTCCCTTGTCTGATGGTGTTGCGGAGCATGCGGGTGTGGACTTGACTACTGATGGGAGTGGCTCGTGTCAAGATGCGGATGAGATGGCTACTCTTGTGGATTTCTCACATCGAGGCACGGATGAGATGGCTACGCTTGCGAGTTTATCGCGTCAAGACACGGAAGATTCGGCTACTGATGGGAGTAACTCGTGTCAAGATACGGATGAGATGGCTACTCTTGCGAGTTTATCGCTTCAGGACACGCAAGAAATGACTACTACTCCCGCCCCCTCGCACCAAGACACGGCAAAAGAGCTTCAAAGCGTGATATCCAACGCAGAGCTCGACACTTCCACCAAAAACCACATGAATCATCTCGTCCAAACCATGCAGACTCAGCACCAAACCATCTGCCCAGCATGCCTCGAGCCAGACACTCACTCAACAGCCAGCAGCTCCGACCCGGAGTCGACTTCCCGAAAACGCAAGCACAGTCAAACCACCCCCTCTACCCCCGAGTCTGGCACCACCACCACCACAAGACCCAAGAAAAAAAGCAGAAAACATCCTCAAAATACAGTATTCAGTACCGCTTATGTTGGCAGGTTCAGACGCTGTAATAATGACGACTGGTTCTCCCGATTCGCCGTCGGCAACCCGGAGCCCGTTCATCTTCCTGCGTATGGTGCCGCAATATCCAAGCGAGCAGGCAATACCCACCAGGGAGAGTATCTCGATGATCTGGCTGAGCAACACGCCGAAGCGGGCATGCATGGCCAGCCACGCCCGCTCACGATCTTTGGCTCTACACTTGCTCCGAAGCCGTCCTTGCCCAAACACAAACATCCAGAAGACGTCGCAGCAATGGTAAACTATCTGACCAATCCCGACCCACACCTCATCTCCAAAACCCCCACCGAAGAGGCCATCCACTCCTGGTCCACCATGCCAACAGACTACCCCAAAATCATGGTCCGTCTCTGGGACCACAACTCCAAGGCCCACATCGAGGACGGCAAGCAAGGCTTCCTCTCCCAGTGCGGCGGCGTGCCCCTCGACACCCCCTCCCTCCGCACCTACTTCCTCCAGTCCCACGTCGACTTCCGCAGCCGCGCCGCTACCCCCTTCATCTCCGTCACCTCCGACCCCTCCAACGCCGCAAACTTCCACGTCCGCCGCCTCAAAGCCCGCCAGGAGAAGCGCAGCCGTGTCCCGGTCGTTCGTTTCACGCTCATGAACTGGGCCGCCCGCGTGGCGGAGGGCATGCCTACTCTGCACATGGGCCGCGAGCTCAGGCACTACAACGTCTACAACCCCTATGCGTACTCTGCCTGCAGCGACGCGATTGAGAAGTTTGAGTGGCTTGCGCTGTGGTGTGTTCCGCCGTCGCAGATCGTGGGGACGTGGTTTGTGGGGGATATGGAGGATTGGATGGCGAGGCGTGATGAGGGTATGAGTGGCTCGATGAGGCCGGACGCGAGATGGCTTTGGAGCTTTCATTTTGATGCTTGGTGGAAGCTGGTTGCTCTGCCGGCTTACGAGGCGCATGAGCGGACGAGGCTGGGTGGTGGTGTCCCTGAGCATATTGAGAATTGCGGCTGCTGCGGCCATTCTTGAGGATCACATTCGGAGGGGCCGCTCGTCCTTGCAGGACTCCTTGTGCAGCATTTTGTCGAGGTTCGTTTGATCTTCACTTTTTCTCTTTCCAGTCCTGCTCATCACTCTTTTCCGCAATCCTTCACCGTTTCGTCAATTCCATTTTTCCCCTTTGCTTGGGTAGGTCGATTTCATTGGCGCGTTGCGTCTTCCTTGTAAAGTTTCGATCTGCTTTCTCGAGTCTACTATGTCGGTAGTAGCCATTTCCTTATATTTCTGGGTCTATTTAAAGTCGATTAGCACAGTTTGTCTCGGCGTACATTAGCCTTTAGATCAAACTTTTTCAAATCTACTTAGGGGTTAGTAGAGCATCTCGTCATATTTCTGGGTCTGTTGAAGGTTGGTTCTTACATGCGTATCAGTATCCGCTATCATTCAGATCAGCATACAAGAGCAATAATAGCGTCGAACGTTGGGGTTAAGGACTGCATTCTTAATTGTGCACATGATCTGGCACTAGTACCCCGACCTACCTTGATAGCAGCTTGAATGGGTATCACAGACGCCCTAGCACGAAGATAGATCTAGACAATTCTACCAATCTTCTCCACGTCCTCCCGATGTGTATCCTGCCATGTCAATGCATGACAACCCCATACCCCTCCACGTGACCAGCCAGCTCCTGCACACCCCACCTCCTGACCAAAATAAAACCCCACAAACTCTCCTCATCAAATCCACACACACGTACATACATACATCTCCAGCCTTCCATCTCCCACCCACCTCAATCCCCACGTCCCACACCACCACCACCCCAACAAAACAAACAAATCACCAAACAAACAAAAATGCCCCACCCGCAAAAATACCGCCTCTTCTTCCACACGCCCCCCGCCGCCCTCGAAGCCTGCAAAGCAGCCATCTTCAACGCCGGCGCGGGCCGCTACCCGGGCGGCAAATACACAGAGTGCGCCTGGGCCGTGCTCGGCCAGGCCCAGTTCCGCCCCGGTCAGGCTGCGAAGCCGCATCTGGGCGTGGCTGGACAGCTGGAGCGGACGGAGGAGGTGAGGGTTGAGGTTGTGTGTTTTGGCGAGGAGGTTGTGAGGGAGGCGGTTGGGGCTTTGAGGAGGTGAGTTTGAGGGTTTTTTGGGGTTTGGGGGGTTGTTTGGGGGGAGGGGGAGGGGAGGGAGGGGGTGGTTGTGGTGATGATGATGATGATGATGATGCTAATCTATGGGTTTGTAGGGCGCATCCGTATGAGGAGCCGTCGTATGGGGTGTATGCGTTGGCGGATTTTTGATACTGGGTGGTGGGTTTTGGGGATGTTGGGGGGTTTTTGTTTGTATGATGGGTGTGTACTTACAGAGGGATCCGTGGGACCGGGAGAAGTAATGGATGGACCCTCGTGCATCTGAGATTGCTATTGCTACCGAGTTATCAAGTGACGTCGAGAGTTGCGTGTAGAGGTACTACTCATCTCGTGCCATCCTAATCATCCATCGATGGCTATTTCAGTGTGATTTCTAGCACGTCTCGTATGCGGAGATACTACTCTCCTTTTATAGAGAATCTATCGAGTCTTGTTCGCTGGGTATATGTCTATCTAGGGTATATCTTATGAATCGTATGCTACACTCTGTATATGGGATTATGTGTTATTTTACAATCAGTAGTACCGTTCTGTTATTAGATCTGATTGATTTGCTTCCACCTCAAGACTTATCAAGTCAAGTCATGTCTAGATACTCATAGGGTGAGAGAAGGTTGAGAGAAGGTGTTCAGAGTAGAGGAGGCCGTGCTCAGAGTTACGCCCACAGTACGTGCTATGCCACATCTAGAAGGTGGGGTTTGGGCGTAAACACTCTCATGCATCAGAGTTTGTTACCGAATCATTGTAACATACACTGTCACTTGTGGGGCTGCTAGCCATCCTCGTGCATCCCGATATCCATCCATACAAGAGCCATGGCGGCGTCCCAAAGGGCCTACCAATACGGTAGCATGCCCTCTCACACTTCGTTCCGAACTCTAGAACTCTTGCCTGGACGCCGAGACGATCATATCTCGTGTGTGCTGCATCATGTAGACTGGTCACACCCACCAGAATATGAAGCGTTATCCTATGCTTGGGGAGATGCAAAGGATGTAGAGTGGATTACATGCCAAGATAGAGAGTTAAAGGTGACTCGAAGCCTCTATAACGCACTCAGACATCTTCGCCTCCAAGATAAGTCTAGGATGCTGTGGGCAGATGCCATCTGGTAAGATGGGCTCAAGTAGTTCTATCGCGACCGTCGTCGACTTGTTCGGCCCTCTGCTAGTCAGACTGTCTCTCATTGTCTGACACCTCTTAGTATCAACCAGTCCGACGTTCCTGAACGCAGCAGTCAGGTCACGCAAATGCTGAGGATATACCAGACTGCAAAAACAGTCATCGTTTGGCTCGGGCCAGACTCAGAGAAAGGGCAGGCCAAGCAAGCCGTGAATGCCATCAGGACCATATCGGATTTCATCTGCCAAAGGGTCGGTATCCCCGTCTCCGACCTGAGCTCAATCAGCGATGTCTACCAAGAAGTCATCTTCAAGAATAAAAAGTCGCTTCCACTACCGAATGACTGCGATTTTGTCACCGGCAGCATGTGGCAAAGCCTCGTATGGTTCTACTCCCATCTTTACTTCACACGCGTGTGGGCCATTCAAGAGGTAAATGCCACGACAGAACGTGTGGTCCATTGTGGGCACGAAACCGTCGAGTGGGATCGTGTGGCACTGGTAGCTGGTTATATAATCATGGAAACCGCTTCGTCAAAGAGCCTCGGTTTCTCCACGGCAAAGTGCTGGTTCGCAGCCATCATGACAACGGAGCGTATACGACAGCCCAAAAACTGGCTGTTCATGCTGTATTTGACGTCCAATTTCAACAGCACGGACCCGAGAGACCAGATATACGGGCTACGTGGGCTGATGAGGCTCTCGGGCGGAGACGCCCCTGAAGGGCTGTTGCATCCCGACTACGCAAAGTCAGATACAGAAGTCTATCGCGACTCTGTTGAAGCCGGATTGGTCCATTTCCAGAACACGGATGTGCTGCTGTACCGCAAAGGAGACGAAAGCCCGTCTTGGATTCCCCGCTGGGACCGGCCCATGCTGTTTCGCAACCCCTTCCGATTTGGAAAAGCGCTTCCATGGAGACCTGCTGGTCTTACAAAACCCGTCTGGACTATTGACAAGGAAGCAAACTTGCTTTCCCTGTCGGGCTATACCATTGATTGTATTAAAGATACTGTACCGTATAGAGAAAGTATCTTCGGCAATGCAATGATCGAGTCGGACGAGGGGAGGGAAGAACTAGGCAAACTATGGCAACAGATACTAACGACAATGGAGCGAAGTTTCCGACAAACTCCATTTGATGCTTCCATACTCACCGCCGCGGCAACATCTTTCTCTTTTGGCCTAGATGAGAACAGCGACCCCACCAATGAACGTCTATTACTACACAAGTTCATCGCTTACCTGAGACTGATTCTTAGCAACGAAACTCTCAACAAATACATACCGCAGAACCTAAGCGAGGAAACCGAGTACGCCAACGGCCTCCTCTTCGGCAAGCCCGTCTGGGACTTTCCATACCCGGAATCCAGCTTCTTCCTTACCGCAACTGGAATGGCGGGATGCTGCGTCTCGACGACACAAGCTGAAGATGTCGTATTCGCCCCTTTGGGCAGTACATATCCTTTCGTGCTACGCCGTCATGGTGATTGCTATAGTCTCAGGGGCTTCGCGTTCGTGTATGGCATGATGCGGGGGGAGCGGGTAGGGCGCGAGGTCGAAAGTGTTACGATATGCTAGTACGATGCTGCGACGACGCGGACGCCTCGAGGATATGAATTCGAGCTATCACATCTTTTAGAGATCTACGGAAAGGAATGGATGGGATGGTGGCCAAGGTATGAGCATCTTAAGAGGTGAGATGATTGGACTTCCATGCATGATATACGCTTGTCCAGCCTCTAATGGTGTCGTATATGTGAAAGCGAATAGTCGAATGATTGTAGGAGTCCATGGATATGTAAGGCGATAATAATCACTGCTATTGGCGTATTTGCCATTGAGACAGTGGTGTATTTGGCATTCTGGGAAACTCTATACTGGAGAACTGAGTTATATTATACAGATGCGATCGTGGTAGCCGTATTGATAACCCCTTGAACGGACCAGTTCCAGGCTGCCAGGAATCTCTCCGGCCTGGAAATACAGACTCCTGCCTCTTATAAGTATCTCTTCAACCACATCATAACATCTACATTATCATCTTCACGTTCATTTGTATCAGGGTATATAAACTCTCGCCACCTCGCATCAAGATCCATCTCAAGAGTTTCATACCCATCTGTCAAATGTCTGCTAATGACGGCACGGCTCAGCACATGAACTACATGTTGTTCCCCATCTCTTACTCGTCAACAGCCTTACTTAACATCACAACACCCGTCAAGACACACGCACAATACTCCGAAATAGAATCCTAGCATACTGGGCACAAATATAAGAGCTCTACCAATGACATACAACAGCAAACCCTCTCCTCGCCCCAGCCCTCGCAGCATCCCCCGTCTATCCTCTATCCAAACGAGCGAATCTCCCCTCAAACAACCCCTTAAAAAATCAACCCCGCAAATCCAGTCCTACAAGCACATTTCATCAGGGCTGCCAACCATGACCATCCAGTCCCAAGAACGCGACGACCAACCCCATCAGCCGCAGTAATCGCTCCGACCACTCCCAGCATCAACACAGTTGCCACACGGCGTGCGCCCGTTGACCCACACCAGCGTCTCGCCCTGGCCCGCACACTTGAACAGGCTCTGTCCGATCTGCGCCGTGCTGGGATACTGCCCGTTGTTCCACGCGTCGGCGAGGACTTTGCCTTGGATTTCGGTGTCGGTTCATCCTGGGTTGTGGGGTGTTAGTCTGGGGCTCTCGATATGGATTGTCGGGCTGGATGTGAGGATGTGCTCATCGTCTGATAGGGGGTTTCTGGGGGATGTGGGAGATGGGTAGATGGATGCGCTGGATGTTGTGACGTACCGCGGCCCTTGAACGTGTGTCCGCAGTAGAAGAGGAAGGTCTTGCAGTCGCCCGCTGCGGCCGTGATGGCGAGCTGGGAGACGGCGAGGCCGATGAGGGTGGAGGTGGCGAGCATTGTGGTTTTTGTTGAGTTTGGTTTTTGGTGGTCTTTGTAGAAGGAAGGTGGAAAGTAGGGTTGGAGATCTGCTTTGTGCTTTGTGCTTGCTTGCTTGCTTGCTTGCTTGATGATCGCCAATCGACCAACCTCCTGGACTCTTTATATGTTTTCTAATCTATTCACCGATGCCGCCTTGATGCTCTGAGCATATTGTTTTCCTCGCCGTTGAGCTTCAGCTCGGTCATACTCATGGACCAGTGCTCGCCGGAGTCATCTGGGAATCATGCGTTCTGACTGAATTGTCAGGCCATGATGATGATGATGATGATGATGATGATGATGATGATGATGATGATGATGATGATGATGATGATGATGATGATGATGATGATACTCGCACGTTGACTTGTCTGCTTGGTGTAGTGGCATCGAGTGGTATAACAGTTGCGATCGCAATATCCGGATCCGGAAGCTCAGCTGAAGTGCTTTTCTGGTCGTTGCTTATGAGCTGAGCCTGTGCGACTTTTGTAGTCTTCGCAACACAATGGGTGTGGCGTCACGTAACGTTACGCCATGTTTGGAGAGAGGCGAGGAAGCAAACAGTTGCTCTCAAGCTATCAGATGCTTCATATATATCGCGTCTAGATGCCTAGCACAACTACCACCCAATAAACCCAACCTCAGGAAATCAACAAACACACTTCTCGCCCCTCCATACCCCCCCTTCCCTTTGACAAAAAAAAACCCCAAAAATCAAACAGAATCCACCAAAAACCCCCCACTCCCCAGATTCTCCACCATGGCCTGCACCTGCACCGTGCCCTCCACTCCCACGTCATTCACCACCCGCACATCCCAGTGGAAGTCATTGCCGTTCATCCTTTTTAGTTCTTGTAGGAAGAGCGCCAGCACTACGACGAGCGCGACGAGTGCGCCTGTTGCGATGGCTTGGACGAGGAAGGTGAGGAGGGCGAGGGTGCGGGGGGGTTCGTGGTGGGGTTTGGACATTTTTGAGGGTTTGGGTTGAGGTTTTTGGGGTTTTTGGGGGTTGGGGGTTGGCTGAGGGAGTTGGCTGAGGGAGTTGGCTGAGGGAGTTGGCTGAGGGAGTTGGCTGAGGGAGTTGGGGTTTGGTCGAGGGAGGGTTTGTTCAGGTTTCTTTCTGGAGAGGCGTGGTTGTTGTCGGGGGTAAGTTAGGTACTGCATGAATAGTCTATCAGTCTTGTCCATCCATCCACACATACACACAACTCCCTCACATATCCACTTACCACCGTACACACACACACAGACAGACAGACAGACAGAAAATCGCCAAATTCTCCTCTAAACACTCAGAATATAACAACAAAAAAACCCTACAAAAGCATCCTCAGAAATGGAAAGAAAGCAGGCGTCCTCGTACATCCCATATAACCCCATCCACCGACCCCAGGTCCCCACCCCTTGTCACCGCCAAGCCCGTGTTCTAATCAAACGACCTCGTATTCGTGCAGCAGTGGGCAGCTGTGCTGGTCCAATACACATGCGCGCACACGCGCACACGCGCACGTCGTGTATGAGGCTGAAAGGTGGCTTGGGGGAATAAGCATGGATGGGATTCCTTGGTGCAGCGAGCGCTGTTTGATAACTTGGAATGGTAAGTTTCTGGGGGGGACGCCCTCGTGTTTCACATGCATGGGTGGATGCGTGGATGCATGCAGCGTTTTCAGCTGGTCTAGACCCCTCGTACGATGCAGACCCTGGAAATATGAGGATTGGATGCTGCTTCAAGACTGAACACCCCTTCATTACATATCATGATTTACATAACGTCATCAAATAAGTTCGTCCCCCAGCGATAATTATGCCAGCGCCAATCTCACTCCTTGAGATACTTGCTCGCCTTCTGCCGCAAGCCCAACACCGTCTGCACATGCTCCCTGCTCAACACGCCGCCCTCATGCCTCGCCAGCACCAGCGCCGTCTTGACCGTACTCTTAATCTCCCTCCCATTCAGCTCCACATTCGCCAGCCCGTCAAAGTCCGCATCGCCAATCGCATGCTCGCCCGCGCCCAGCCTGCCGATGAAGTTTGTCCAGATATCCCGTCTTGCGGCGCGGTCGAGCTCGGCGTACGGCATGATGAGGTCGAGCCGGCTCTCAAATGCCGGATCGAGGGCGCGCGCGCGGTTGGTGGTTAGGAACATGATGCCTTCGTAGTACTCGAGCAGGCGGAGGAAGACGGAGACGAGGCTGTTGCGGTGGATGCTGTCGACGTGGCGCTGCTCCATGAAGACGTCTGCCTCGTCGATGAGCAGGACGGCTTTCCAGAGGGCGCAGCGCTTAAGGGCTCGGTTGAGGCTTGTCTCGAGGACGCTGGGGTAGCTGCCGAGTTCCGAGGCGCTGAGGGTGTAGAGCGGGGCGCGGATCTGTTCGGCGACTGTGTAGGTTTGTTAGGGAGATCAGCTTTGTCAAAAGGGGGTGTGGGATTGATTGTGCTTACTGGATTCTGCGGTCAGTGTTTTGCCAACTCCTGGCGGGCCGCATAGCAAGAAGGCCATTCCGCGACCTGGTGATTGTGTTAGTGAAAAGCAGCAGAAGGGAGGGTATCAGCGATCTACCTTTCCCCGTGATGAAGTCGTCAAACTTGGAGGCGCCTGACTGGTAATCCTGGGTGAATGCAAGAATAAGCCGCTTCTGGGCGTCGTCCATTACGAGATGCTTGAATGCGTCCTCGTCCCACTCGATGTCGTGGATGCGAGTAACTTCGACGTCAACTGGACGCTGTCAGTGCAAGAAATTAAGGTATATAACACAACCTACACCAAGTTTTCTTGCTGAGGGAGAATCCCTTTACAGTAGGGACGGCGAGAAGACATTGCTCATCTGTGAGCGGGTTGATCTTCTCACGCCGTTGGAGAAGACCAGGATCGAGCGCTGCGATCTGCTCCGGAGGAGAATATCCAGACGGCGCTGGAGGTTTGGTAGGCGGAGGGATGTATCCAGCAGGCAAATGTGAACTGTTCGCGTTGAACGGATCGATCATGCCACAGCCGTTGTTGGCAGAGTAATCATCGTCACACCCGACATCTTCGTAGGTATCGTGGTTCATGCCGGAGGGTTTATTCTTGTTCTCACCAGGGTTGAGCGTGAGCAGTACAGGCTTCCTCCCATTATGCAGCTTATAGTGAGCGTAAGCGTCAATGATGACCCGCTCTTGCACCTAAGTGAATCTGATCAGTTCTAATACCTGCAATGCCTGGGCAACCTACGGTCTCGGTTTCGCCATTGCGGCCTTCGTTCTCGCGTCCAAATGCCTTGAAGTGATAGCCACAAAGACTTTCAAACTTCCTTCCACGCGAAGTCAATTCTGAAATAAGTGCATCGGGGTCATGGTGGAGACGAAGCGGGTAAGCAGCTAGAGTTGTAACATCAAGTGCTCCTTCGTACTCCTTGATGGTAATCCTGTTGCAGCGCCAGCCGAAAGAGGTGCCGTCCCAGTCGATCATCTTCAGATACACCTTCCACACGTCGTCGCCTTTCATGTTTGCGATTCTGGAACTCTCGAACTTGACCAATTTAGCCACAGATACCAGACCATTGATTCTTACAACAAGTAGCTCATCTGGAGGATAAAGAGCCCACAAGAACCGCCAGAGAATCAACTTTGTGTTCTGACAGTCTTCAAGCGCCGCCACAACCGGCTTCCAGTTATTCTCAAAGATGGTGAGCAGCGCAACTGCGTGGTTCTGGGTTTCCTCGTCGTCTTCTTCCATGAGATGGTCCTCATACTCCTGTCTCCGGTGGAAGTATGTAGAGAAAGGTGGGTAAAAGTGGAAGGATGGATCGAGGCTTGGCTCATCCGTTCCCTGAACTTCAGTGAGAAACTGACGTAGTTTGGGACTGTTGACCGCGATGCTTCGAGTCTGCCATCCGATAGACGCACTGTATCGAACCTGCCGGTGAATGAGTGCGTACGTGCCACGCATCATCTCCATTCGTCGAGCCTGCTCGTCTTCCTTTTCCACGAATTCAGGTGGCTGATCGGACCAAAACACGCATTGACTGCAAATGCAGCGACCGAATGCGTAGAGATGCTTCACATCAAAGTCTGCCTCGGAGTTTGGACTTGGCTCCTTGTTCCCGCTCTCGTCGGCAGATGGAGCATTGAAGTCAAAGGCACCGCAACTTGGGGGAGGTGGCATACTGGGAGGGAATGACGGAGGCATTGAACCAGGAGCTAATGGCATGAACGGTACTGGATACGATTCGGCTGTCGGCATGCTCCCAGTAGAAAGCTTCTTGTCACTTTTCTTGCTGCTTTTCTTGCCCTTCTTTATATGCGCTGAGTCTGGCGGCGGCGGCGGTGGTGGTGGCAGGCCTGGGTCGAATCCCGGCGGCCATGGTGGTGGTGGCATTCCTGGATAGCTTCCCGGCAGTGGTGGTGGTGGCCCTGGATAGATTCCCGGCGGCGGCGGTGGTGGTGGCAGTCCTGGGTGTAATCCGATCGGCAACTGTAACGGAAGAGGCGTATTTGAATGTCCGTCTTTGTACTCTCTGTCAAAAACAGCAGATACGGAAGCCCAATCGGGACCGCCATAGTATTCGGCCATGGTAAGTCGAGGAGAGGTTTTTGGCTTTGGCTTATCGCTGACCCGAAAGGAAACAGGATGTAGGGCAGTACTGTGGAGAGCTGCAGCTATATATATAGATACACATATGTATGTTATATGTAGAGAGATGAGCGAATTTCCTCATAGGACGGACGGACGGATATGAGGAGCTTGAGGCATAGGGCAGCGGAAAGTGAGAGCGGGGAAGGTTCGGATGGGTTGTCAGAGCAACGTTTGCCTGAAATTCACTCGCATAGAACTGATCGGTCGGAAGTGCATCTGTTGTAGAACACGAAAAGACAAGGCAACAGCGGCGCCAACGCACGTAAGACCAGGATACCGTTTTTGCACCACTCTGTGAGCTTTGTTGAGACTCCAGATGCATCCAAAGCTGTGACCGGCTGCATACATTACATATAGACTTGATTGGTGCTTAGGCCATGTCGCAGATGTGTCAATTGCTGCCTATTGTAAGGTCCAGGCTGACGCGGTGAGAAAGAAACAAGGCGTCGCCAGCTCAAGGAATCGTTACAACCATTCGCCCTGTTACTTCGTCCTTTGTGAGTTTATCGATGATGGCTGGGGCTTCTCCGAATTCATGTACTTCGATTCTAGGCTCCACAAGCCCATCCATATTCCACTGCAACAGTTCGCTCATCTGCGCCTCAGTCCCTGTCGACGATCCCTTAATAACCAGACCTCTATTGGCAATCTGTATGGGCGAGAGTGGTAAGTGATAGTCTCCTCGCGGCAGCCCAACACACACGAGAACACCGCAATTTCGAACCAGATCTGGAGCTTGTTCATATGCCCTCTCCGAGCCTGCGACGATGATAACAGCATGTGCTCCCTCTCCATCAGTCATGGACTTGACCTTCTCGACGACATTGTCTTTCTTGTAGTCGACAAACTCGCTAGCTCCAAGTCTCAGACACAGCTCTTTCTTGTCGTCGCCTCCATCAACGGCTATGACCTTGTAACCCTTGGCTCTCGCCGCGATCTGCACGCCGATATGTCCAAGTCCCCCACCAGCTCCAATGATAGCAACCCACTGACCAGGCTGTACTTCTGGTGCAACCAGAGAAACCGCGCCAGCCAGACTCAGCCCAGCACATAGAAGCGGTGCCGCCACTTCAGAGGCAATGCCGTCAGGAATATGCGTTACAAAGGCCGCATCTGCAACGGCATATTGCTGCAAAGTGCCCCAGCACGTCCGGCCAGTATTTCCTTGCTTCGAACAATTGTTCGCTCGGCCTTGACTGCAGCTAGAGCAATTCCTGCAGGCAGTCCACAGCCATTTGATACCCACTCTCTTCCCGATAAGATCTTCGTTGACGTTGAGCCCGACGGTGACGACTTTGCCGACGCCTTCATGACCGGGTATTTCCGTGTATTCGCCCATGCCAAGTACATTGCGACAATCCGAGTGACTGCAGAGCACCCTGTGAGTGACCATAACTCGGCTGATCTATGACATGTATACAATACCAAAGGCCTGTACACTCCATTCTCACAAGGACTTCACCTGGGCCTGGCCTCTTCACCTCCACGTCATGCCGGATATCTAGCTTCCAGTCTTTGCCTGGATTCACAATCCAACAGGCGGTCTGCCTGGAAGGGATTTCGCTCATTTCAACGTGATTATCGTCGTACTCAAACTAGGCAATCGACTCAACCTCTTTCAATTGAAGCTTCCAGCACTTAAAGGGGGAGCTATTGGATATTATAAACCTCCGCCAATTCCTCTCTCTCTCTCGCGATTTGCCGATGCTGCCCCGCACCGGCTCACTGAATAAGCGACATTCGGCATTTGACCTGTCTGGTACGCGGCTATATCGGCTGCAGCTTCCGCCGTCCAAGTCTTTCGTGGAGATGCTTGACGGTTTCAGCTCTGATGCGGCATCGAGACCAAATTTAGGGTCGATGTTCTGCTCGCGATTTGCATCGGTGTGGGCACGTCTCCTGCTTCTGGAATCGCCATAGAGACTCCAAGAGCATTCTCTGGATGTGTAGAAGGGTGTCGATAGCCTCTTTCAGGCTGCAAGAGCCAGTGCAACGATCCTTTTCCCCCTATCACCACCCATGAAGTCGCTCGACTGGTCTTCCTCCTTGAAGCCAGAATCAAAGTCCATTTCGATACTGGCTTCGTATGCTTTGACGACAATCTCTTCATCCACCCGCACTCCACCCTCTACCAGCGCTCTTATGATTCCTGCAATCCGCGATATCTCTTTCCTCGTCTCCATGCCAATCTCATCATTCTGGCTCGAGTAGATCTCTGAGCTGATGCTTTCCTCAATTCGCGTGATGCTGACATCCTTCCCGGCGGCAACCGGCTCCACGTGTTTCGAGATCCAAATGTATCCGTTTACTCCCAGAATGACATCAATCTCGCCTCCACCACGCGCCGTAGTCAGTGTGAAGAGCTGTCTTCTAGACCTCGCTACTCCACCGCTCTTGCCCCCACTACCACCAGTACCGGTCACACTAATAAAGTAGCCGTTGCGCAATTTTCCGTATTTCAAGCTCCTCGTATGAAGTGAGGCCGCGCCATCTCCATGTATAGTCTGAACCTCTGCAACTACCAAGTCTCCCTCCGTGAAGAACGTCCTGATGTTGAGCTCGTCGACAGCAGTCCTTCGGCGAAGTATACCGCCTGGGAGATTGATAGCGGACAAGGGAAGCGAAGCAAGCAAGGGTCCGGCAACATCGACCCGCCATCTTTTGGATTGAACTTCGACGATGCGACCAATGACCAAATCGCCAATCTCGGGAGTATATCGAGCACGGAGGGGTACGACGGAAAGGAGTTTATTCGTTTTTAGCACGGTGCCGGCAACAGTACTAAGTATTGTAGTGGAGTCGTTTGGAACGTAGGTTCCATGGCCGCTGTAGCATTGTTAGTTCGGTGATCCTTCCCTTCAATGTCACATATCTTACCGCATCCATTGCACGTCGTCCGTGACCAGCTCGCCAGGCGTAACAATCGAGTTGGAATGTGTCTTGGGCGTCAGCGATACCCCACCATCGAGCCCGCCCATACTCGTGTCGCCTTCAGAATCATATTCATCGTCGTCTCTCGACACGGCTGGTAGGGTAGCGGCGGGCGCTGGCGGTAGGATGGTGAAAGGCATCCTAGATATCACTTGTGGTGTGGAGGCAGAAGCTGTTTATAGAACATTCATTTATCAAGACCGGGAAAAAAAAGAGCACCTTGAAGAGCAGGGACCACCTATAGAACCTAGACACTGCAGGTATTTGTGGAGCACAGGCGCTACGCTGAATGTGGAAATCAGCTAGTATCGGCCAGCTTGGATGCCATAAGATTTAATTAGCCATCAACAATCAGACTCTGCCTTCACCCTCGCACGACTGAAATGATCCACTTGCTACATCATATATTCATGTTGAAGTCCAAGAAACGATTGCATCTATACGCAGGAACTCGTGAGCAGTGTGAAGCGTAACCCTTGATAGCAACGGTTATATGTAAGGTCAGTCACTTTTGCACCAAACAACCAGCTAAGTCAACTACACGCTTTCGTTTCAGCGACTGGAATTTTGACTTGCCGGTCTTTTTCCGCAAAAGTTCTACCTCTACGTCCTTGTCAGACGTTCTCTCTTTCTTTTTCGACACTCCAAAACCATGGCAGGTCCTCGAGGTAGGTTCAACTTCAAAGGAGGTTTGACTGTCAGGCCAAGATCCTCACCTGGCCAAGCAACGCCTCCGAAGAAGCGGAAAACTGATTCAAAAAGTACCGCGGCATCTCCCAGCCGCTCGGTTGTCATAGATCTAGGATCAGATTCGAGCGATGCAAAGGGGCCACCAAGGAAGAAATTGAAGTCGAACGCTTCGTCAAATGCCAGAATCCCGAAATGTTCCCCAAATCTACCCGAAGAAGAATCGAAACTAGATCCTTCAAGGCATTCTCCTCCGGCGGAGTCTTCGCAGAAGTCCAGTCATGCACTTGATGTAGAGGATCTTGTCACCATTTCATCCGACTCGGCTGACGAGGAATTGATGCAGCTAGCGGAGGAAGAAGGATCAGACTCAGACTTACCTTCAGAGTCATCTGATCCACCAGAAGAAACGTTTCCAATAAAGGTACCCACTTCACCGAGGCTGCCCCCGCGTAATGAGAGAGAAGAACGTTGGGAGGAGATCAAGTCCATACTGTACACGCGCCCACTGACCGAGAGCGCAGCACGCATTGCTGAATTCGGCGGTATCGCTGTTGAGGAGGATGCACTCGTCAAAGACCTGCAGCGCAAAGACGAGAATTTTGCTATACTGTTAAAGAGCATCCTCACGAAAAATGCCGACTCAGCCCAGCTCAAATACTTCTACGAGCTCCTTCAAAAGCAATACAACGAGTTGATGAAGCGGATCTCAACTGAGAAGTTCACCGACAGAAGTATCTCGTGGGACTGTAAAGGAGGTTACGGGGCAGATTGGGCTCACGCAGCCACCCACGATGACCAGGAAATCCACCCTCAGCATCTCAAAGGGGTTATCAGTCCCTTCGACGCCGCCCAATATATAAGAGACATCACCTGGACCATCAAATTCGTCGGTACTGATGTACGTGCACGTCTGGCCAGGAATGCCAGGGTCTTGTCACAACATGTCGAAAGCCTCGAGGCAGAGAACCAGAAACTCAAAGACGAAATAATAGTGCTCAAAGGCGGAACAGTCAAGCCAAAGTACGTCTTGCCCGTTGGCAAATTCGGTGAATCATCTCACTGGGTTCGTATGAAATGGAGCGAGGACGTCTGCAAACTCATCTCCGACCCGCTTGGTTATGGCAAACCCATCTACGATGACGACCACTATTGGGGTCTCGGAACGAAAATGCTCAAGAACCCTACATCCCCAGCAGAAGCAGCCCATCCCTGGTTCCTCAACAAGTCTGCCGGCATCGCCACTCGCTTCAATCACCCCAAGGCACTCTTCATGCTCTGGGAGGGCAGCCTCGGCGAAGAAGCCTTCTACGCGCCCGCTGTAAAATGGCACTCCAACAACGAGCCTAACCCAACAATGCCGCTCCTCACCGAGGAAGACCGCCGCAAAGCCCTCTACATGCACTGCAACCACCAGTTCCGCAAAAACTCGCCCTTCATCATGGCGTCCAGCAGCCTCGCATACGTCTCAAGCGTCTGGCAGTATCGCCTGCGCGCCAACTATCTCCTACAGCACGTCTCGCCCGTGCTCTTCCTCAGCGTCATCAGCGTCGCCGCGCGCCTGCTCGACTCCCACCCAATCCTCAAATTCACCGATGAACTCGCCTACTACAACATCTCACACCCCGAAATGTCCATCCCCTGCAATGGCTCCCCCGCCTTCTCAACCGAGTATCTCCTCCCATACATTGTCAAGTCTTCTCATGTCGTCGGTACGTACAAGCTCGATGGCATCATGGCTACGCAGCAGCGCTGGAAGATGGTCGAGGAGATCCGCCAGAAGGGCAATGGGGCGAAGAGTACGAGGCCGGTTGTGGTGGGCAAGTTCATGACGGATGCAAAGGAGAGGGACGAGCAGTGCTTGCAGCGGTGGTATGACAAGAAGATTGAGAAGCAGGTGGACGCGTTCAACACGATGGCCTGGCATCCGGAGTGGCAAAAGGCCGGGGAGTTTAAGCGGGATCGGGATCTTGAAGCTGATAAGAATCGTGACGTGATCAGATATTAGTGGTGTTGCTGTTGCGTGTTAGCCGTGACTACGGAGCATACGAGACAGGGACAGTCTCGGCTGGTGAGGCTTGCTTGTTTTCGGTGCTTGTACTGTAGTACAAAGAGCACACGATCCCTCATCGATCTTCAAGACCAAAAGCGTTTGAAGTTGTCATTCTGTAGCATGACGTAAGTGAGGAAATGATCTTTGCTTCTGGGTATCTTCTATGTTTTACTTCTGTAGCCACGAGCCAGCTGCCCAAGCACCAACACACCCAAGTAGCGTTGCCGCTCCTACGAGTTTCTTCGTCCAGCCGTTCTCGTCGCTGATCCTTATTGCGCTCTGCCTCCTCTTCGACTCAGATTTCGCCACGGGGACTCGTTCTTTGGACACCCCCTCTTCTACCGACAGCCCATCCGACGTATTATGCCGCTTTTGCGCCTGCTGTACCATCCTCTCAATAGCGGCCATATCTTCCCTCCAGGCCGTCTCATTGCCCCTCCCCTCCATCTCTACATTCTGCACATTGCCAAAGAAGTCCATGATCAATCTACTCCGTGCTGCTGACTCGCCGCCAGGAAACAGGTCGTATCTGATGCCTGGGTCGCTGTGAATCTTGCCAGGATCGTAACTGTCGAATAGCTCGCCCATTGTCAGCTTTGACGACGGCTCCTGCACTTTCGTCTCGAGGAACTCGAGGTTGTAGTAGGTGTAGCGGTCGATGACGGCGACGCCAACGTCGTTGTCGGCGTGGTGCGAGTAGGACGACTGGTCGATTTCGGAGGAGCCGGTTGCGAGGATGTTGGGCGAGTAGAATTTGGAATACATGGTGTTGGCCTGGCAGGTGTCGATCATGAATAGGATCTCGTGGTAACTGGGAAAAACGTTAGTGCGTGCAGGTAGGTAGCATAGTGAGGATAGGGAGAGCAAGAAACGCACCGCTTTTTCTCGTACATCTGCTCAAAGGCATCTGCGAGGTCGAAGGCGCTGATTTCCTCGGCGTCTTGGAACTTGAGAAACTCGTCGCCGCCGTGGCCGGTCATGTATACGAGAATGTTGCTTCGGTCGTCCGTCAGCAGACGCTTGCTTCGAGGCATGTCCTCTCCAACGCGGTCTGTCATGAGCCTAATGAAGTTCTCTACAGTAACCTCATATCCACGGTAGTCCACCTCTATGTTGTCACCATACAGGTCCAGCGCACGGTCTGCGTTGTTGTATACTGTTCCGGGAAACACATTGCGTGGGTTGCAGGCCATGTCATCGGGCAGCATGAGGATGATCTGGGAGTCGGGTATCCCCAGACGCTTGACTGTGCGGTATAGGGAGAGGACATTGGCGAGATGGCGGTAATTGAACCAGAATCGTGAGGTGGAGACGAGGACTGCCCAATTTGAAGTATGTTCGGCGAGCGTCGGATGAACGAGGAGGGTGATCTGGAGGAGTGGGAGGATGAGAGAGCGAATGGAGAGCATCTTGGCGCCTGGTGAAGCAAAATGCTCCAAAATACCGGATGGAAGACCAAAGGAATTGAGAAACTACTGCATAGCTTGAGTGAATCTCACCCAAGAAGCGATGTGGAGTCGTGGAGTTGGAGTGGTGCTTAGAGATCAGGGTCTCGCGCCGCGCTTGGCGTCTCGCTAAACGCGCGCCAGTCGGCGATGACTCGGCCAGATCCGTCATCATCTCTACCATGGATTGATTAGATCGTCAGCTGTGCATTTCAGCTCCGGAGCTATCGGCCATAGCTTCAAGCACGACATCGACTCCCTCCACCATGCAGCAGCCGCATGCAGCACCACGCCCCTATCGAACTCGACTCGCTCGATATGGCTCCAGACAGGGGCAGCAACAACACCACCCGCCTCCAATCGTCCAGAGTGCCCGCCAACATGCGATCCTCGAACGAGTCTGATACTCACGAGCGGACCGAAGCTCAGCGAGAGCTCGCCCAGCGCGCCAGTGCGCCTCAAAACTTCACGATAAGAGGCGTGCTGGTGGGCCTGGTCATAGGAGTCGTGATATGCTTCTCGAACATGTACTTTGGTCTGCAGACCGGCTGGGTTAGTGGCATGGCCATGCCGTCTGCTCTACTTGGCTTCGCATGGTTCAAGGTCGTCGCAAGGACACTGAGCTATCCCTTCACGCCGGTGGAGAACGTTCTCATACAATCGGTGGCTGGATCTGTGGGGACCATGCCACTTGGCTGTGGCTTCGTAGGCGTTCTCCCAGCGCTCAACTTCCTGTTGAAGCCGGAGGAGAATGGCCCGCTGGATATCAGTCTGTGGAAGCTGGTCGTTTGGGCGCTGGGAATCTGCTTCTTCGGAGTAGTATTTGCCGTGCCCTTGCGGAAAGAAGTGATCATCAGAGAGAAGCTGAAGTTCCCGAGCGGGACGGCGACAGCGCTGATGATAGGCGTCCTACATGGAGAAAAGCATGATGCAAACATAATAAAGTATCGACCGCGTGAAGGGTCACAGGTGGATGACGAGCAAGAGCGGCTTTTGCCCTCTTCTGACGATGGGCCTGAAGGTGCGGACGCCGAGACCGCACATCAAGATGAGGCAGTCAAATCTGCGATAGCAGCTGCTGATTGGAAGGCGAGAATCCGCACGCTAGTTATTGCGTTCGGTGTCTCTGCTCTCTATGTAGGTGTATCCTTGGAGTGACTGGCGTAGATACTGACTGTAGCCAAAGACTCTTGTATCCTACTTTGTCCCACAGCTTCGCGATGTTCCGTTCCTTGGCCTACCTCTTGCGCAGAAGTGGCTGTGGACGCTCAACCCTTCTCCAGCTTATGTTGGTCAAGGTATCATTATGGGCCCGGCCACGACTCTGCATATGCTATTAGGTGCCATCTTAGGCTGGGGCATTCTGTCTCCGTTGGCCAAACAGAGGGGCTGGGCACCGGGCCCAGTGAACGATTGGGAGACTGGTAGCAAAGGCTGGATAGTCTGGATCAGCCTTGCAATCATGCTGACCGATGCGCTTGTCAGTCTTGGCTGGTTGATAGTTAGACCTCTTATATCATATGGTCGGATCATCTTGCCGGAACTGTGGCGCGAGGTCGGCAATCATTCCTGGAAGGATATTGTCACCCTCAACATACACCCAGGCAGTGGCACTTATTCGGGTATCAGAGACGGCCATTCAAATTCTTGGTCTGGCAGTTCGCTCATAAAGAAGATAAGAGAACATTCTGACGGCGAGGAAGAGCCAGACGCTCCACCTGAGCACCTGATTTCGAAACGGACGACTCTTGTTGGATTGGTGTTGTCCATCATCGTCTGCGTTGCTGCTGTTCACATAACATTCCCTGGCCTAGTACCATTCGGATTGACACTTCTTGCACTTGTGTTTGCCTTGTTGATGTCAATCATGGGTGTCCGGGCCCTGGGGGAAACAGATCTAAATCCAGTATCTGGTATCTCGAAGATTACACAGCTCATATTCGCAGCTATCACCCCACCAGGGAAAAACGCTGTCATCATCAACCTCATCGCGGGCGCAATCAGCGAAAGCGGTGCTCTGCAAGCCGGAGACTTACTGCAAGACCTCAAAGCTGGTCATCTGCTGGGAGCTGCTCCAAATGCCCAGTTCTGGGGCCAGATCATCGGAAGCACAGTGGGTGCTATTGTCAGCGCACTCGTATACAAGCTTTACGTCAGCGTGTACAAGATTCCTGGAGGCCTGTTCCAAGTTCCAACAGGATATGTCTGGATCTTCACTGCCCGGCTCGTGACTGGCAGTGGGCTCCCACCCATGGTGACAGAATGGGCGAGCGGTGCAGCTGTGATCTGGTTTGCACTGACCGCAGCAAGAACATATGGGAATGCAGTTAAAGCTAGGGGTAACAGAGCACCCTGGATTGATTATGTTCCCGGTGGTATCGCTGTTGCTGTTGGTAAGTGAGACCGGACGCTTCGTCAGACATGTTCTAACACGATTGTAGGAATGTATAACACGCCGTCATTCACCATGGCTCGCACGATCGGTGGTCTCATCAGCATGTACTGGAAGCACTACAAGAAGCGGGAAGAGACCCCGATCATTGTCCTAGCGAGTGGTTTGATCCTGGGAGAGGGTGTTTTCAGCATCGTGAATTTACTTCTGGCTAGTGCCAAGATCCCACATCTGTAAGCAGGGAGTCGGATATCTAATCATTTCGAACATCTTCCGCGTATTCTTACAGTAATCATAATTATCTCGAGATGTCACCCGAAGCTTATGGCCTCGTATTCGATATGACAGGTACTGTGTGATCAGCTCAAGATTCTGAATTGCGAAAGTGCGCCTCGCGTGCGAAGAAGACGCCGTAAGACAATCGTTGTGAAGTGTGTTTGGACGTTCGGTAGCCTGACAAGGCAATTGAGTCTGGGTGTCGGTAGATTCGGTATCCATTGCCCCGAAGCGAAACCTATGATGCCAACGTCATTTTCGGTGATCATACTATCTATGGTTTCCCCAGATCTACCTACGGCTTCGGATATCGCGTCAAGGTTCCCTGCAAGTCTGCACCTAGTGCCGGCATTCTTTGACTTCTTGTTCGGCACTTTTACCATACGATGCCCCATTTGTTTTACGACATTTAAAGGTACAGTCTCTTTGTGGCTTTGAGGGATAGACCATAGCTTCATTGTGCATCATGTTCGCGAGTTCACTATTCTTCTCAGGTCTGCTGAGCTCAGCTTTGGCTGTTGCCAAATATGATGAATACATCTTGACTCCCAGCTCTAGGAAGATTCATCCTTCTTCAGTATATAACATCAATGGCACTGTTGATGGTTCCGAGTCTCTCATCGCCAGCTCCTCTGGGAGTGCCATATTCCACGACTTTTCTGCCGTCACATACGACTATGGCAAAAACATTGGCGGCATCGTCTCATTGACAATTGGAGCAATTTCGGATACTGATCAGCTCATTGGTATTACGTTCAGCGAAAGCTCGCTCTGGATCTCTGGTGAATGGTCCGACGCAACCGCTGACGAAGGCAACGACGTATCCCTCTTCTTCTATCCAAGCGGGCCTGGGGTTTATACAGTTGGCGAACAGTACCAGCGAGGTGGCTTCAGATATCTAAGTCTAGTACATAATACAACGGGGAGTCTGGAAGTTCAAAAGATCGAAGTTAATTACACTGCAGTCCCTCATATTGAGGAAGCCCAGATGAGAGCATACTCTGGCTGGTTCCATTCAGACGGTGCGTATACTAATTTCTAGCTCAGGATCCACACAGAGCTGCTCGATACTAATGACGGGTCAGATGAGCTCATCAACAGAATATGGTACGCAGGTGCCTACACTGCCCAACTCTGCACCCTCGACCCTCATTACGGCAACTCCCTTAACTTCCTCACCGACCCAGAGAATAATCCCTCGACCCCAGTCAATGGCGTTGTGAACTGGTACTCTAACACCACCATCGCAAACGCATCCTCAGTTCTTGCAGATGGTGCCAAACGCGATCGTCTGGTATGGCCCGGCGACATGGTCGTGTCCTGGCCGTCCATGCTCGTGTCCACAAATGACAAAGTCACTGTCACAAACTCCCTCACTTCCCTCTTCGACCGTCAGAATATGACCACGGGCGTGATGCCATACGCCGGCGTACCGTTCCCGTTCATGTACTCGGCGACGTATCATCTGCACAGCCTGATAGGCACCGCAGAGATCTATGTATACGACGGCGACCTCGAATTTGTCAGGGAGAAATGGGAACAGTGGAAATTCGCACTCGCGTACTCGCTCAGCACCATCGACGAAACCGGTCTCATCAACGTCACCTCATCGGCAGACTGGCTGCGCTTCGGCATGGGCGGGCACAACATCGAGGCCAACGCCATCCTGTACCACACACTCAACTATGGCGTCATCCTAGCCGAAGCACTCAACGACACGTCCGTAATCACAACATACCAGAACTACGCCGCGAACATCAAATCCGCCGCACAGGACCTCCTCTGGGACCCTTCCGCGAACCTCTTCCGCGACAACGAAACCACATCCCTCCACCCACAAGACGGTAACGCCTGGGCCGTGCTCGCAAACCTGACCACCAGCTCCTCGCAAGCCGCCTCCATCTCCCAATCCCTCATCTCCCGCTGGACGACATACGGCGCGCCCGCCCCTGAGGCCGGCCCCACCGTGTCCCCATTCGTCGGCTTCTTCGAGCTCCAAGCCCACGCCGCCGCACACAACGCCTCGGCTGTGCTCGCGCTGACACGGCTGCAATGGGGCTTCATGCTAGACGACGCGCGCATGACGAACAGCACGTTCATCGAGGGGTACAGTACAGATGGCAGTTTGCACTACGCGCCGTACCGCAATGATCCGCGCGTGAGCCACGCGCATGGCTGGAGCACGGGGCCGACCTCGGTGCTCACGTTCCAGATTGCCGGCGTGCAGATTGTGAAGGCGGGTGGGAGGGAGTGGAGGATTGCGCCACGTCTTGGGGGGCTGGGGCATACGCATGCGGGATTCGAGACTTCGCTGGGTGTGTTTGCGGCCAGGACGAAGTTGGGGGAGGGCGGGGAGTTGAGGATTGAGTTTGAGGCGCCTGAGGGGACGGTGGGGAGGTTGAGCGTGGAGAGACCCAGGTGTGCGGGGATGATGGTGTTGGAGGGGCGGTGTGGGAGGGAGGAGTTTGCGATCAGGGAGAATGAGGGGGATGTTGGTGATTTCGAGATCGCCGGACTGGGAGGAGGGGAGTGGGTGTTGACGTTTGGGTGTGCGTGAAAAGGGGGCTCGGGGCGAATGCTTGGAAAAAGGGGCACTTGGGTTTTATGTAGGCTTTACAGCTCGACAGGCTAGTTATGAGTCTTACACTGGCTATTATGTGAGTCTTGCACGAGTATTGATTTCTCGCTATGGGGTCTTCCATCGCTTGCTCAGGCTTAAGCGCTTGTCCTGCTTGTCGTCCTCTCGTGACTCGGTTGTTGTGCATACTGGAGGGTCAAGGTGGCGAGGTGGAACTTGAGAATGGTTTTTATTTGGAGAAGATAGCCTTGTAAGGCACTCAACAAGGGGGGTAGTATACGAGAAGATACTATATGGAAGGATACTATATGGAAGGATACTATATGGAAGGATACTATATGGAAGGATACTATATGGAAGGATACTATATGGAAGGATACTATATGAGAAGATACTACATAGAACGATACTATGTTGGAAGATAACTCACCAAGTCACTCACAATCTGTATATAAAGAGATCCCATCTATGACACTCGGCTTGTCTGGATAACTTGGATAGATCAATCTGAAGTTATGTGGGCTAGAATTGTCTGAATAGACTAAGTATGAAATGTTCAGAGGACCTGTCAACAGAGCCGACTATGGATCATCACAACCAGCTTCCCCGCAACACCAGGACCTCGGTGGAGCTCCCGCTTTCGCCACTCCAAGATAAGTACCTTGGGCGCTTCCAAGCTGCTTCCAACCACTTACGACGCAGTCTTTTGCAATCATTTCATGCTGTGCTTCCCATCTGCATGATCGCTACCTTCATTGCTCTATTGAATCAATATGTCGCCTCCGTCCGCAATAGTGCCTGAATACAACGGTAACGGACATAACGATGCACCGGCCGCTGCTACTCATGAGCCTGGTCTTAGTGTAGGCAAGGTCAAGGAGAAGGTCAACGCTGGCATGAAGTTTCCTGGACCACCCAAGTTCAGTGATCCGTATGAGGAACGCAAGTACCTGAAGCAGAGACTTGCAGCTGCTTTCCGCATCTTCGCCAAGTATGGCTTTGATGAAGGTGTCGCAGGGCATATAACACTGCGTGTGAGTATATGCAGCCAAGACTGTCGAGTAGGAATGTTGCTGAGGCTTCCAGGATCCCGTTGAGCCGGATAAGTTCTGGGTGAATCCATTTGGCGTCCATTTCGCTCTCATCAAGGCTTCAGATCTCATTCTAGTCAACGAAGACGGGAAGGTCGTGGATGGTGGTGAAGTGCGATTGCTAAACACGGCGGCTTTCATGATTCACTCGGCCATCCATCAGGCGCGTCCGGATGTCAATGCTGCATGTCACAGCCACAGCATCTACGGTCGTACATTCTGCACGCTTGGTCGCACGATTGAGACCACCAGCCAGGATGCGTGCGCTTTCTGTAGGTCATTGTCCTCGTCAAGGTGTGTATCTGCTGACGGATGACAGACAATGTGAGAGTCCACGGAGCCAGAGACTGTTACACGAGACTGACACATGACAGGATCTTGCGCTCTACGAGTCGTTTAATGGTATAGTCCTTGCGGAGGAAGAAGGAAAGAACATTGCGAAATGTCTGGGCCAGAAGAAGGCTGCCCTACTGCAGAACCACGGTCTCCTCACTGCCGGCGAGACCGTCGAGGAAGCTGTGTTCTGGTTCTGTTCGCTGGAAAAGCTGTGTCACACTCAGCTACTCGCAGATGCTGCCGCTGCGGGACGCGGGGGCAAGCCAATTGAGATCGATGAGGAAGATGCCAAGTATACACACAAGGTGGTGGGGAGCAAGCAAGCCGGATGGTTCAGTGGGAAGCCTTTGTTTGATTTGATCCACAAGGAGACTGGGGGCGACTACATGGAATAAGCGGAGGAGGCATGATTCATTGATGAGATAGTAAAGGGAGTGAATAGATGAGCAGAGGTACCTATACAATAAAGCTCGTGTGATGGAATGCAGGCTTGAACCATAACGCATCTATACCATGGATGACTGGACGGACTAATCTCCGTATTTCCGGTGGGTCGACGATCTGCAAGTTGGGGGATATTTTCCCGTGGAATTTGATACAACAGATACACAATACAATGCGTTCGTTCACTCAAGCAAGATGTAGAAATATATCATTCCCGGGCTCCGTCACGTCTGACTCGGTGCCACAACACGGAAGTCTAGAAGAGTGTTTTGGCGATCCATTCCCTCTGAGTTGTTTTGATTCCCCGCCTCCTTCACCGTCCGAGCTCCCCGATTTCTTTTGCCGCCGCCCAACCTCATCGCATCATGCATGCACGACTCCAACATTTTATGAGCGGCGTTAATCTTACTAACAACTCATTCGCCTGAACTTTTACGTCGGCTGATCCAGCATATCTGCTACTTCAAAAACTTTATAATAACATGGTGGCCATCTTCTAATCCTGCCCGGACGCCCACGTCGCTTTCGCCGCAGCTAAACTTCGCTAGAGCTGTGTTTAGCACTCCACTAACGTCAAGCTGTCATGCCTCGCGCTCCAGATGTCATAGTCATTGCAAGGTTAGTTCCTCCATATGAAGTCTTGCAATTGGTAATAACACAACTCAAGGCACGGCGCGCGACTCGACGCTGCAGATAAGACATGGCATCTCTCCTCACCCGCGCCCTACGATCCTCCTTTGACATACGGCGGATGGACACAGTCGAGAGCGTTAGGAACCAGGATCGCTACTATTCTCGACGCACGAGAGCAGGAACAACAACAATCCGAGAGTGCCGTGGTTGAAAGTGCCGACGGAGCAGACCTGAAGGAGGCGCTGGGTGCGTCCGCTTCTCCGTCCGATCATCGAACAGCTGCGAGCAAAGGAAAGAAGCGAAGAATAATCGTTCACACATCGCCATTTCTCCGATGCGTGCAGACATCTCTGGGCATCAGCGCGGGGCTTGCGCAGTATAACGGCAGACAGAACAAGTTACGGCTCAGCACTACACCCAACAGTAGACCTTCGACGCCTGTGCCTGGGGAAGAGTTGCAACCAGAACCCGTGCTTGCACAGAAGACTCAGACCGCACAGCGATTGTTTGCTAGTATACCAAACCCGAAGCTCAGGATTGACGCGTTCCTCGGGGAATGGCTGTCTCCGGAGTACTACGACCTTATAACCCCGCCGCCAGACTCGAAGATGATGGTTGCAGGAGCAAAAGCCGATCTATTGCGACGCGGCGAGTACGTCGAAGTCAGTCAGGCAGCCAGCCTCAACATGGGTCATTTCCCTGGTGGATGGGGTAGCTCTAATGGTGACACGAGATCGAGAGCCAGCGATCGCGATCCTCTGTCTCGTCTTGGCAGCCTTGCTCAGGTGCTTCCAATTCGCGACCGATCTAGCAGTCAAGGTGCCATTCATACTCTGGCGCATCGTTCAAATAATACACCCACGTCACCGAACACCCCTGAGCTTGGAACTTATGTTGCTCCTGTACCCACATATGCTGTTTCCCCAACAGAGCCGATCCCTCGAGGATACGTGGCGCATGCTAGAGACGCGACTGCAGACATAGACTTTCAGTGGGATAGCATGCGCAAGCCCTTGAATTGGCCTGATGGTGGAGTGTACGGCGAGGAGTGGAGTGCCATGCACAAGAGATATCGCAAGGGTTTCAATGATATTATTGGCTGGTATACGGAGCATGGTCCATCTGTGCAGCCACAAGACGACGATCCAAGTAACCACGATGGGGACGAAGAAACAGAACTTGTTCTTGTTTTAGTGACTCATGCTGCTGGTTGCAACGCGTTGATTGGGGCTCTCACGAACCAGCCTGTGCTGCTTGATGTTGGTATGGGATCTCTCACGATGGCCGTCCGTCGTGATGTTGCGGACCCACTTAGGTGCAGCTCATCAGCCAGCCCCAAACATTCACCCCAGTCTTCGATTATGGATACGGAAAACATAGCCGATGAGTACGAGATGCGGCTTGTGGCATCTACGGAGCATCTACGACCAGGTATCGATCCATCGAAGCTTGACCACGTCCCTTCTCCAAAGATTGTGCCCAGAGCTCTGGGAGGCGAGCGTATGCATCGATTGAGTACCGGGAACAGCGGTGCTGTCAGTCCCATCGAGCTTCCATTGCATCTGAACGGAATTCGTCCGTCTGCAATGTCTGCTGCGCTAGGAAGTGTTCGAAGATCGCAGTCAAGCCGGTCACACTCCAATTCACCGCACCGACAAGCATACACGACTTCGTTGAATACAAGCTATGCCGCACAGACCGCCTCGCCCAGCAGTGCCGTCACCTCGACAGGTCTTTGGAGCTCTCCAATATCAGCGAAACCTCCCAATTCAGCGTTGGGCAGCCGATCACTGAGCGACAATTCGGTGCCGCCTTTGTCAGCTCCGAAGCTTTCTAAGACGCAGCTCGCAAATCCTGATGTCATTGAAACGGCGGCACCAACATCGCAGTCTACTGGGATCAAATCGCAAGACGCAGATCAGCATGATGAGGACGATATCGTGGATGAGCTACGGCCCCCTCCAGGACCCCGGAAAAGCAGCGGACACGGCATGTGGGGCGCATCTGGCAAGATTGGCAGTGGTGGTAGTGAAGGTGGGCTTTGGAGTGGGTCAGACAAGACGACGCGCGAAAGAGGGCCGAAAAGGAGGTGGACTGTCAACGAACAGGACAATTGATGTATCTTGGCGATGAAATCCACGCCGTGGACATGCATCGGCGCTTGAAATGGGACTTTCTACTCCCAGAAGTCGAGCGTAGACGCGTATGTCAGCGCAGGATGATGGACGATATTGGCGTATTGGGAGTCGATAGCAGTGATAGGTCTATACCCCCCCCCCCCCCCCTACGAAGGCCAAATGATTTTCCCGATGATCAACAGCATCAGCAGTCGAAAAGGATTTGAGTAGAGCCACGTAGCATGTCGGACATGATGCATTGCGCAATGCAGCTGTATCCATCTGCGGCTGCCGCTGCATAATGATCTCTCTCCGATGACAACAGTGACGAAATAGGGAAAGTGGCGGCGTCGTCCTGTAAGGCCTCCCAGTGTCTACCTCATCGTTCTATCAACATATAAAGAGTCTGACCGTCCCGGAACGCCAGTCTGAACTGTAGCCATAGGAGCCAGTCGAACAATCACATATTCTTATACAACCACGAAGATTACACAAAACACCAACCACGAACAAGAAGACATTAGACCCTACCACTACGACCACCAACCATAACGATCACTACCAACACGAACACCAGCAACATCAGGATGTCCGTCCAGGAGATATCGTCCAAAGGTCAATTCGACCAAGAGATCGAGCAGGCATCGGGCGTGGCGGTGGTGAAAGCATACGCACCATTTGAGCAGGCTTCGGTCGACCTGCCTGGGTTTGACGAGACGAGCGAGGATCCCGCGTTCAGCGAGGTCAAGTTCTTCAAGCTGGATATCGAAACCGTTCCGGATGTGACGCAGCAGCTGCAGCCGAGCACCCTGCCGACAGTTTACATCTTCAAGGCGGGTGTCCAGGTTGCGGACTTTCCCGGGCAGATTCCCGGGGAGGTGCTGAGAGAGATGGTGAATATGCATTTGTGAAGTGAGTGTGGGTAGGGTGATGAGATGAAATGGCGCTGCCGGGAGGTGGTAGTCGTGGACGTGGATACAATTTGATGCATCGAACCTACATGAATTGGAAAGCTACATCGTTTGCGTGCCCGTGATGGTCTGCTTTGATTGTAAGATGCGATGAGATGTGATGAGATAAGATAAGTCTTGATGGCTCGTGCTTCACTTACGTAACCACTCAACCCCGGCCGGAAATCCTCACTACAATCGGTTCATCGTTCGGCCGAACCACGATATGTTCTCATCTCACCAGCATGCTCTACGTTATAGCTTCTATAAATGGTACTCTGTAATAATAAAATCGAAAAGACGGATCGTACGCGTGCACATGCATGTGTCTATGTTATATCGGCTATGCTATACCAGATGGCTGGGCGGGAATGTTCCGCGTAGCTTTATTGCTCGCACGATCTTCCAAGGCAGTAAGGCAGCAAGGCTCGAGCTGCCCCGCAGTGGGAATGAATGTTTGTCAGCACAGTCGGACAGCCGACCTCGCACTCGCTAACTAATCACAGAACCGCGTCAAAGAGATCGCTAGCCGCTTCGGGCTTAGTGGCTCCATTTCTGCTTCGACATGTCGCGCCCTTTGCTGCCAATTCAGGCTTAGTGTCATCCTGTTGACTCAGGCGTAGCGGCTGAAGGCTGAAAGTGCATACATTATACATATGTTCATACATACATGTCCAGGACCAGGGCCACTCAAAGTACAATTGGGCGTCGACACGCTTTTGTATCGTGTGTGTATCGTTGATTTTCACGCCCTGTTGTTGGGAGGTCTCAAATCATGGACACTGTTCATTCGCAGCGTGCGAATTTGGAGGAGCTGTTTGACTTTTCCGCCGCGAGTATGCCTGAGGATATGGATGGTGTGATTGGGGCTATGGGGATGGATGGAATGGAAGAGGCGTGTTCTTTGCATCCAGGCGAGGAGTCAGTATCTCCGCCTCCTTTGCCCCTGGCCTCCTGCTGATACCTCTTCAGATGTATCTGTAATGACCTCGACAACGTCTCGGTGACTCCAGAAGGACTTGAAGAGGAAAAGGAGTTCGACAATGACTTCTCCAGTTGGCTCCCCCGGTACTCCAAGCCACCTGTACCCTGCGACTATTGCGGCCCTAGGAAGCTGGACTGCTTCTTCACTTGCTACAGCGACAATGCTCCTCAGTCATGCACCTCCTGCAGCGCTCTCTTCAGGCCCTGCAGTTTCGCCAAACCAGAGGAGTCGGTCCGCCCACACAATGCCATCGACACTTTACATGTCGTCGGCGAAGACGACTGCGTGACCAGCGGCGACCTGACAGGTTACAAGCCGTTGAGATCGAAGTACCTGGGCCGTCTCAACCGTGGATCGACTCCGACAAACGACGAACCAGACCGTGGACGCAAGACTGGTACGAGGTTCTCTCGCCCCGCCCTGAAGATCCTTAAGGAATGGATGGAGGAGCACCGAAGCAATCCCTATCCTTCCGAAGAGGAGAAGGCAATACTCGCCAAGAGGACCAGTCTGTCCATGAACCAGGTCAACAACTGGTTGGCTAATACGCGGAGGCGCGAGAAGAACAAGATGCCAAAGAGAGCCACTTCGCCTAGTATTCGTCCGTCCACCGAGGCCGTTGACGTCCCGGAGGGAAGGACGTGGTACGATCTCAATCCCTTCGAACGTTGGAAGCACTCTCCTCCCGAGAACGAACCGGCGCCTATGCCAATTATCTTGGACAATATCCGACAGTTCAGTCCGCCGACTGGATCGAGCTCGGCCAGCAGTTATAGGCAGAAGTCGAGTACATCTGGCTCTCACTACTCCGCACTGCGAGCCCCATCAACAACGAGTCTCGAAACGGGTTCGAAGTTGTCAGCGTCAGCCCTCTCGAGTCAGTCCTTTGAGTCCTTCGACTCGGCGAGGTGGTCGCATGGCTCGAGACGCTCCTGGGGCTCATTTGGGTCCTTTGGGAACCCGAACAAAGATCGCCGACGGAGGAGGCGGGCTACGGCGAAGCTGCAAATGCCTGCCACGATTCAAAGCAGGATCTACCAGTGCACATTTTGCACGGATCGGTTCAAGAGTAAGTACGATTGGTCCCGGCACGAAAAGTCGCTACATTTGAGCTTGGAGAAGTGGATCTGCGCGCCTCTGGGGCACACAATAACGAACATGGCGGGTGAAAAGAGATGCGCGTACTGCGACTACCTAAATCCTACGCCCGATCACATCGAATCACACAACCACCAGACGTGTGCAGAGAAAGGGATCGAGGCCCGGACTTTCTACCGGAAAGACCATCTCCGCCAGCACCTGAAACTGATGCACGCCTGCAAGATGACCGACGGCATGGAATCGTGGAAATCCGAAGCCGCCCTGGTCAACTGCCGCTGCGGCTTCTGCGGCCAAACATTCACCAGATGGCAAGACCGAGTCGACCACATCGCAAAGGAGTTCAAGAACGGCGCCGCGATGAAGGACTGGAAGGGCTGCCGTGGCCTCGACCCTCACATCGCCTCCCTCGTCACAAACGCCATGCCCCCCTATCTCATCGACAACGAAAGCAAATCGCCCATCCCCTTCAGCGCCTCCAACACCGCCTCCATCGCCCAGCACACCCCCATGCTCCACACCCCCGATCTCGAAGCCCTGATCCCATCCTACGCCCAACCACCACCACCAACCACATCCCTCCCTCCCACAACATCAACAACAACAACAACACCCCCCTCCCCAACAACAAGCTGGGAACACCTCACCATCGCCCTGAGCAACTACACCCACCACTACACCAACCACACCCCTACACCCCCCTCCGACGCCACCCTCCAACGCCACGCCCGCCTCATCCTCTACGACTGCGACGACCCCTGGAACCAGACCGCCGCCGACAACCCCGCCTGGCTCGCCCTCTTCAAGCAGGCCCACGCCCTCGTCCCCGTCCCGCCCTCCTTCGACCGCCGCGACGCCCTCGAGGATCTCGGCGTCTTGGGCTTGTCCCCGCTTGCTCGCTACGGCGCCGCTCAGGGACCCCGTGATGTGGCGCTTTGGAAGGCCGAGTCTGTGGCTTTGCGGGAGGGCGTTGGGTTTTTGAGTAGTGGGGAGGCGTATTGTTCGAGGAGGATGGATATGGATGGGGGTTTGGGCGCTGGGTTTGCGGCTTCTGCTGCTACTGCGTCAAATACCACTGCTTTAGGCTTGCAGGCTGATAGTGGTGTGATGTATCCTGCGCTCGGCAACATGCAAACCCCGTCCTCGTCTTCGTCTGCAGCAGCGCTGTTTCCCGCCGGCGAGCATGAGGCGTTTAGTCTTGACGAGGACTTGTTTGCTGATTTTACGTTTGAGGGGGGTTTTGATGTCGGTGTGGGTGCGGAGTCGGGGATTGGTGGTGGGATGGATATGAGTAATATGGCGGATATGGCGGAATTCGGAGGCTTGTTTTGAGGATGGGGATGGGTTGTGCTCTGGGTGTTTTGGGTGTTTTTTTGGTTTGGAATATACTGGTTGGGTGGTTGGGTGGTGGGTTGGTAGTGTTTTTACGCGTTTGTCTGTCGGGTTGGATGTGAGGGGGAGATATGTGGATAGATTGTAGTGTCGGTCGTGTTTAACGTACACGTGGACGAATGAGTACATATATAAACGAACGAAAAAGCTGATAGAATAGACTGAGGGAATTGCTGTAATCGCGAATACTTATGGCCAACCTACTACATACCACGCCTATGTCATCTCTGTAAACTATCATACTCTACCACCGCTTTACGCTTAGATCATGCCTAATTGAAATGGAATCATCTTTCGTTCAGATCAGTAGAAATATCATTATCCCGCGCCCCATATCTCGTCTTCTTCCAGTACTAAACATGAGAGAATACACAATAGGTGCCCAAGAAGTAGCGATACCCTATCCCTATCACAAATTCTCCCCAACATAAATATCCTTCCTCTCCTTAGCCCCTCTTTATATTTATATTTCACTCAAGACAGCTCGTATAGTTGCCTAAGCATCTCCCTATATAGATGAGTATGTAATTACATAGATTAGTATCGAAGTGTTCCTGTTACTACCTATGGTACAGTGTATACAGGGACTGGACGATGGTCATGTAGATTCGTTGATTGCTAGTGGGGTTAGGGCGATTGGTGTAATTTGTGCAGTGGATTTTGGTAGGGTTGGTGCTAGAAGGGGTAGTGCAAGGAAGAGAAGTGTATTTGTTAAATGAGGGAAGAGTGGGAATCTGTGATAGTGGGTGTGGTGCGAGGGTTGAGATTTCAGGTTGTCTGGGGTCATTGAATTCGTTGAAGATGGAGATGAGGAGGAGTTTGGATGCTGGTGAGGATGGTGGTTGCTGTGTTTGGAGGGAAGGGGGAGGTGGAACGGGGTGTTGCTTGCTTGGGGATGGTAGTAGCGGGTGTTGTAGAATTGGGAGGATCGTTCGTGGGAGATGCGAGGGTGATTATGTGTTACTGATGGTGTAGTGTGTCAGAAATACGTTCATAGGCTCGGAAGTCACCAGGCCTCTCCATTGACTGTGTAAAAGGTATTCAAGAGACGGCGTTGAATAAGCGTGTGTTATTTATTTCGTGTAAGTAGATGATATAAGTCGCTTGACACTTGGGTTCTACGCAAAGGGCATGCATTGCAAAAGATGATGCCTTTTGCGCCGCAATATTATCCTACAATATCCAGATGTTACATCTGGTAGGTGCGGACCCAAACAAGAGAGCTATCAATCAGGAGTTCGAACATTTCATAATGGGACAAAGCCTCCTTTCCGTGCTTGGACTGCGTTGAGCTAAATCCTGCCGCGGTTCCATATGCAACGTTTCCGCTGGCAGCAGCATTTAGGCGGTATCCCATGTTGTGGCTCGACTCAGCCGAAGGCATTGTATCTTGTCCGTTTCGACCTGCATGCCCACAAGGAAATTTTAGTATGTTGGAAATGTCTTACTGGGACTGTGCCCCAAGCAAGGGGCAAGGGAGATGAACCATAGCCGTGGGTCAGCAGCAGCTCGATAACATACTACATGGATGGCTGGAACCTTCAGCCTGTTACTCGGAATATTTCTAGATGTCAATCATCAATACGTGTCCCGCCAACAATCTATGATACCATCACCAATCCCGGATGCCTTGCTGGTGAAAGACTGAAAGCTGACGGGTTGGCTCGAAGACCACGCTGCGAGTAGCACATTGAGCGTGCTCCTGGAAGTTGAAGGTACCCATCCGGACGATAGGGTAGACGATGATAAAGGTCTCAATGTTGGAGGTAGGTTTCGAGAGGCTTTCGTGGCGCTAGAAGTTGAATGATAGAAAAGGCATAGTGTGCTTAGTTCATAATTAAGCTAGGGCCCCATGACATTGGCGCATGTCTCTCTACTTGAACAGCCAATGACACGGAGGCGGTTATATGAACCATACGCCACAGTGCTTGTAAAGTCCTATTTATCCAGCTTTCCGAGATGTTTATTCTTGGTGTTGGCCGTAGAACGACCTCATGGTTGAAACTGATGTAATCAGAATAATAGCGAACGTAGACGAGCGGGCTAGCTCTAAGATGCCTTCCGAAGAGGGGAAAGCGCCCGTTGTGAGTAGACGACCGCATGCGACCTTTGGGGGTATCTCTTCTCTGATATTTTCTTTCTCCGCCTTTTGGATCCGGATGTTCCCCAGATTTACTAAGACGCGCCCCCGGCTGTTCCCCTCGATGCATCCCCACTTCAGCCTCCGCCATTCATGCTTCTACAGAGTGCTGACTTGTGCCGCCTCAATCAATCAAGCGGCGCCTCGCTGCAGATCGTGTGCAGTCGTATGACCAAAGCGCCGCTTTCATGGAAATGGTTCACAGCGCAACGTATGCTTCAAACCCCAGCGTGTTGCCAAAGTACATGTAATGCGGGAGTCTTGTAAAGAATTGATTGTACGTTCCCGACAATGCTGAACTGTGGCTGGACACGCTGCCGATGTTACTACCTGCCACGACCGTCTTGTGATACAGACAGGATCATGGCTCTTGATAAAATATGGATTCCGTCCAATGGAGGCATATGTCTGGGCCAAGATGCTGGTCGGGCGTAGGGTGATACGTTCCACTGCCGGCTCACCGCGCCGTCATCCCAAGCACGCCGTCCCAGCGCATGGCATTCTCGATATGTATGATCACCATTGGAGGACTTAGCCGAGCTCTCGTAAAGTGGTGCTTTTCTTAGCTCGTACGCCCAGATCTCTTCGAGAAGCCATTCATTGACAACTCGTGAGCGCTCTCTGCATTTACCCGGACCGGGTGGCCGTACTTCTGGATTCTGGATACCCATTCCCCATTGACTCGATGCCTCATCGTCGGTCCAGAACGTGCATTTGTGCATATTCCTCTAGCCTTGCCGATCCTTCGAAGTACCAGGGACTTCTATAAGATCCGTTTAATGCCCACATGGTCCCAGCCTTAGAATTCCAATCACGATAGGCCGTCTCCTAACTTGCTCTTCGATTTGTTGGCAGCTTCCAGAGTCAGACATGTCACCCGCCCTTCCGGCTCCGGCTTCAAAGAAAGCAGAGGTTGAAATTGCTCAAGCTGAGGCACCTGATCTTGAGAGGGTCGAATGGAGAAAAGATGCAGGATTGAGAAAACTATACACCTGGGCGTTCATTATCTGTATTGCCTCTGCCACTACGGGATACGATGGGTAGGCTGCCGCACTCCAATATTAGAGTCCTATACTAATGATTTTCAGTTCAATGTTAAATAACCTCCGTATTCTGGATACATGGAAAAACTACTTCGGAGATCCAACTGGCTCTGATCTGGGTCTTCTAACCGCCCTTTACTCCATCGGTTCTATCGCCAGTCTTCCTATCACGTAAGCGTTTGTATATCAGAATTGTCAATATGACATGCATACTGACAAGGATTATCCAGCCCTTTCATTGCTGACCATTTCGGTCGTAAGCCAGCCATCACTATTGGATGTCTAATCATGTGTCTGGGAGCTGGTATCCAGGGAGGTGCGAAAAATCTGGCCATGTTCTCCGCTGGTAGATTCATGATGGGATTCGGAAATTCACTCGCTCAACTCTCATCACCTCTGCTCTTGGCTGAGATATGCCATCCTCAGCACCGAGGCCGTGTCACAGCCATCTACAACTGTCTCTGGAATGTCGGTGCTATCGTCTGTACCTGGCTCACATTCGGCACCAAGCGCATCGACACTGACTGGTCATGGCGTGTACCAACCCTCACTCAAGCGTTCCCCTCAATCATCCAGCTTGTATTCATTTTCTGGATTCCTGAATCACCTCGTTGGCTGATCTCCAAAGACCGCCACGGCGAGGCTCTCACCATGTTGGCCAAGTACCACGCCAATGGCAACGAAAACCACCCAACCGTGCAATTCGAATATCGTGAGATTCGCGAAACACTCCGTCTAGAATTCTCCGCCAAGAGCAACTCTTCCTACCTCGACTTTCTCAAGACTCGCGGCAACCGCTACAGACTCTTGCTTATCGCGTCGCTTGGCCTATTCTCCCAGTGGTCCGGAAACGGACTTGTATCCTACTACGCCACTGATGTTTATAACTCAATCGGCATAACCGCTTCTGACACCCAGTTGGGCCTGAACGGCGGTCTGACCATCCTCTCACTCATCGTCTCCGTTAGCTGCGCTCTACTTGTCGACCGCATTGGTCGTCGCCCACTCTTCCTAGCTGCTACCAGTGGTATGCTTGCAACCTTCGTCGTATGGACGATCGCATCGTCTCAGCAGCAGGAGCACGGAAACAAGGCCGCTGGACAAGCCGTCATCGCAATGATCTGGATCTTCTCTGTGTGCTACGCGCTTGCCTGGTCTGGGTTGCTCGTTGCATACACGGTTGAGATCCTGCCATTCAAGATCCGCGCCAAAGGACTTATGATCATGAATTTCTGGATTCAGGCTGCGCTGACCATCAACCAATATGTCAACCCGTTGGGCTTTGACCACTTGAAGCCTAACTATAAGCTATACATCATCTACACTGTAAGTCTGGAAGATACCCACTGAACAAGTCCGACGTGCTGACATTGAATAGTGCTGGATTGCATTCGAACTCGTCTTCGTTTTCTTCCTCTACGTCGAGACAAAGGGACCGACGCTCGAGGAGGTCGCGAAGATTTTCGATGGCGATCAGGCCGAGGTTGCGCATATCGATCTCGAGAAGGTCGAACAGGAGGTCACGAGCGGCTATGAGGCAGAGAATAAACATGGCGTTGCTGTGCATCATCGTGAGGCTGTGTAGTCGTATCTCTCGGAGCATACGCACAGTTTATGCTTGTAGGTCTCCATACTGTCCTGCGCATAGGTAAAATTTAGTCTTCTTCGTTCGATTACACATAGTATTCTGAAGCTTCCTCTTCCCGCGTTTGATCAATTGTTTTAGGCAGCGAAGTGCCTAACGACCCATCTATGAGCCGAAAAATGTTCGAACTTTCGAGCGCTCGGCTTACTATTTTACACGCCTCTTCTGACGTAGGATAGGATTTGTCTGGTCATACCTTCAACGCGCGAGTGTTGGCTTCCAAAGCTTTTAGATCAGCCTCACCCTCTTCCCTGAAACGTTTCTTACTATCGTTCCAAGTCTGACGCATATCTCTGATCTCCTCGTTTTTGTTCTCCCTCCAAAGCCACGACGGCAAATTTCTCGTCGTCAACATCAAATAACTGCTGTCGCGCTTTTCGATCTTCTTTTGTAGCTTGGTTTTCTTTCCGCTAGATTCCTGAGGTAAAGCTTTGTCGGGAACCAAGCGCAAGAGAAGATCACGACATTGAAAGTCTTGGGCAGTGCGAGCAACCTCAAAGAGGCTGCACGTTGTTGCTGAGTCAAGTTTATATTGTTTCAATAGCTGCTTGATGAGCTCATTCTGACTCTTGCTCGATAATTTGTAGCCACGGTTCATGAGATGCTCGATAGTACCAAGCTTCAGGATGCTCACGGTAGTTGAACCCCGAATTTCGGGCATAGGGTCGAAAGGAGTATCTTCTCCAAAACTTGAGTCTTCGGTGACCTCACCGTCTGGCGTCTCGGGCGCTCTGTTATCTATCAACAGATCGACGTACCGTTCCCAGCTGGCAAACAGTTTAGCTTTCTTCTCCAGCCATAGTTTCAGATCCATCTTTGCCGCACCGGTGGGCTGGACGTCGTAGTCGTAGGACAATAGGTCTCTAACTTTGTATCTCGTCCTTTGTTCCTGTATACAAAACTTCAATACAGAGTAGAACATTGGGTCAGCGAGTTTCTTCGGTGTCCACTTTTTGAGCAGAGACTCTGGAGTGCCTCGAGAACCCCATAGCACCCAAGTGGAAGCCTCTGGGCGATTGGAAGGCTCAGGAAGATTCAAACCGGTCCCTAAGACTTTAAGAGCTAATACCCCACCAAGAGGTGTATATCCCGTAGCGCTGTCTCCCCAATTTTTGATGGCCATAGCATATGCATGGAGTGGTAATATCCATTGCATCTTATAGTGTGACAGTTGAAACACGCCCCTTTCCGGATTTGCACCCAAATCAAGACATCGTCGGACCCATTTTGGTCCAAGCTGTGGCATTGTGTAGTAGGCTGCAAACAAGGGTTCCTCTAATGCTAATCGTGCCCGGTATCCGTAGTCCAAGCCCAATTCTACCTTGGCACCTCTAGAAAGGAGAAGCTGAAAGGTCTCGTCATCATTATAGAGTATTGCTGCCGACAACGGAGACAAGGCCTCCTCCTCTCTGTGCCCCTTCCTGGGACCTCTGAGATGCACGACGAAATTGGGATCAACACCTTTCTCAAGGAGCCATGCCACATCCTGTAACCGACCACCCTGCTCGATGCAAGTGATGAGCGCCGGCGACAACACTTCGTTCTCGAATTTGGGGAGAGTTGACACCAGGCCAGCGTTAACGAGATATTGAAGAAGGCGCCAACTACCAGGAACACGAAGGGCATTATAAAAGGCAAGTCCTCCATTGTTTTGCAGTAAGTCCTCGTTCTTGGCACAAGCACCATGTTCAATGAGAAACTTCACTGCTTCAACGTGCCCGCGACGAGCTAGAAAAATAGTAGACCTTTCCTTGAAGGCGGACCTGTAAAGGTGGTGGATTTTCACATAGCTGGGATCAGCCCCAAGGGAGAGAGCCTTGCGAATCTCTTCGACATTGCCTCTCTTACATCCATGGCGCATTTGCAAAGCGGATACTTTGGGGTCTGCGTGGATGTTCGATTCCGTCCGGGCATTGAGATGACGGCTGCATCTCGAGAGGTTGATAAGGTCGCGATAGTTGGGGCCGGTGAGATATGCAGCAATCATATCATGAAGCTCCCGGGGAAGAGCTTCGATAGGAGAAAGCATCAGAGGACTGTCGGTAGAGGGTTGTGTATTACTGTTCATGTCGTTGAGATCTCGGGACCCGAAGAAGGAAGCACACTGCAGCTTCGCTTCGATGATCCTATTTGCGGAGTTGATCGAGAACAGTCGTTTTTTTCAAGACCACACCAATGTTTGGAGTCACCCCAAAGATGTTCTCCAATGAGAGGATGAAACATCAAACTAATTAGTATGAGTCGAAGCAAAACATCGAGGGAGTCTCGGCCGAGCCCGCTTTAGGCTTAGCATCCCTAGTCTGTACTAGCGCTGGGCTTAATTGAACCCTTGACCCTTGGGAGCGAAAAACCCATCACAAGTTTAGTATATATATTATGCTATGCTAATTACCATGCCCATGGGAAATACCCTCTGAAGGCAGACCGTCTATTTCATCCTCTTCCGTAACATGCCTCGCAATACCATGTATGCGACATATGCCAGGCTATATGGCCTTTCTTATCATTTACGACCGAGAGCTTCATAGTTCAAAACCCACAACTTTAGAAAATCCGCCTTACCAACGCCTCGCTAGTAGTAATCGACATTTTAGTATTATGTTCGCCAAGTCCGTTAGTTGTCCTGTTGTCCTGTTCCTGAGTATGCAATAGTGTACTGCCCTCCTATTGGCTTGTTCGTTAAACAGGATTGCATAATGTGATTGCGCCAAGCACCATCCGTGCCAAAACCACTTGCGGCCATCTATCGAAGCGAGGCGAAAAGCTTCTTGAAACGCTTACTTTATCCTGAAGAAGAACTAACCTCGCGCCACAGATACTTCTATCCAGGAACCGTAACCAAGTTCAGTTCTACCACTGACTCTTCCCTTCACCGCGGGTCCGCGGCTGCCTGTTCTTTACAAAGTTGTCATGACTAGTTCCATCTCTGCGAAGCAGACATCAGGGCTTGGATCCTTTGGGAGGTTTGCACTTCTCGTGGCACACGGTGAACGCGATGCTGCCTGGAATACCAAGCTCTCCAATTTCGCTTTCGTTTCCACCTCGCCAACAAGCGAAGGATGTTCTCGAGTATATTTATAAATGGCCCATGGCCCTGCTGAAAATCCTCAACAATTACCAGTGCGCAGATCCGATTCCCTCTCCGGTTCACGGCTTCTGAAGGTTTTCAGTGCATCTACCATTGCGTCACTCGTTTTCCTGATCTAGTAATATATAAACATTCTGCCTCTTCAATTTTGGAGTTGTCTCTTTACACTTTTCTCCCCCTTCGACAACACCAAAATGAAGCTCTCTACCATCACCACCATTATTCTTCCACTCCTCTCCAGCCTCGCTCTGGCAACCGACATCGACGTCTCCCATAAAGAAGTCGAAGTCGTTATCAATGTTTTCCTAGTTGGATCATCTAGCTATTACTATTATGACGCTTCCGTCATCGCCGCTGATAGCTCCGCGACAACACTCACTCTTGGCCTCCCTCAATCCGAAGTCGACTACTACGCAACTGCCTACGACGACGATTATTACGGCGACTATACCTACGCCACCCCAACTATCACTATCACCCAGGGAGACTCTTTCATGGTCGCACAGGTCACTGATGCCCCATACACTACACACCTTAGCTGTGATATCACTGGCACAACAGAAGCGACGTGTCATGAAACCATGATGAGTGCCAGCAGGAACGGAGAGGGCGCGTACACCCGTATCAGTGAGACAACGTATGGGGAAGAAGATGTTGAGGAGGGATTTTATCCCGTCACAATCACAGCTGGTGTCGACAAGGTACTGGCTGCTGAGAGCGCGCAAACCGAGACTAGATTTACTTTGACTGGACTTCGTAAGTACATATCTCTTCTTATCTCTGTTATAAAGCTGAAGAGTCAAATAGCTACTCTGGCACCAACCCAGAATACTGATGGCCAGTCAGAACCGACTACGAACGTCCCTGTTGCACCAACTCCCACTTCCACGGGCGCGGCTGCGGCGGTGACCTTCGTGCAGGGTGGAATGGTAGCCGGCGTCGCTGCTGCAATGGCTGCATTGGCTTTGTAGCCTTTGTATTCCGAGGACGCAGAAATGACACGAGCGATTATTGGCAGCCAGTGTTGATACCACCACGAGGACGAATCAATTAGATACCACACTTGTAATGTTTTATGTTGACGCATAATATCACTCCACCTTGGTGGTATGGTTTGCCTCTTGCTCTAGCTCGTCTTCGTATACGTTGATCTTGTACGATGCAAACTCCCTCGCGCTCACCTTCCTGTGAAACATTACATCGGCTTCTTCGTAGCTCCGTCCTCGAAGCTCGGGTAGTCTGAAGTACGCCCATAGCGCTGTTAACGCTGCAGTACCACACCAAAAGAATCCTGCTTTGCCTTTCCAGTTGCCTTCGGTTGGATTGATCATGTATCTATCCATGCTTAGTGAAGACGGACGGGCTAATGATAAGCTTAACTTACGGATGTATAACATTGGCAACGATCTGTGTTATATTGTAAGCATTTCTCGACAAACAGATTGATTTGGCTCGCAATCTGATGGAAGAGGTTTCGCTAATGATTATGAAGCAGATTGGCCCAACAGTCATGGTATAGGTTCCCAGCCATAGTAAGCAGAGAGCGACCTGACCCCATTGTGACCCTGGACTATCCACAACACCGAGGATTCCAATGATGAAGAGATAGGTGGAGCAACAGACCAGTCCTGTAGTATAAAGAGTCCGGCGACCAAACCGACCCAAAAGGAACCATGAGGTGACGTTGCAGATGAATGCAAGTGAAGTGCCACCGACGGCAATCTTGTAATTATTCTGTGTGGATATTCCGGCTTGCTCGAAGAAGTATGTTGGACCATATGCAAAAGCCGATCCCGACAAAACTTGGCCGGCAAACGTCATGCAGACAATTTCTGTACGGCGTCGATCACTGCCCTTGAAGCAATCGATGTAGTTCGAGCCCGAGGATACTTCGTCTTCGATCTGGAGCGTGTGTATGATTTGCGCAATCGTCCTTTTGTTTTCGTCTTCCGTTCCTTCTCCAAGTTGCCGCAATGCTTTCTTCGCCTTGGTGAAATGCTTGTTCTTGACCAACCACCAGGGCGATTCTGGGGCGAAGAGGATGATGCAGAATAGTGGTAGCGGCCATGCCCATTGTACACCGTATGCTACTCTATACGACCACTCACTGTCCATCTGCAGTGCCCCATAGAGAACACCGGCGGCAATGAGCTGGCCGATACACCAACAAAGATTGATATAGTTTGTCAAGTATCCTCGCAGAACCATGGGACAGACTTCACTCGCATAGGCAGGCCCAGACGTGGCAAAGACTCCCCACATCAAGCCTGCCAACACTTGCGCAGTAACCAGTACAGCCGGGCTCTTTGCGAAGAAGAAGATGAAAATGAACCAATTCAGTATGAAAAGGGCCACAAGCATGACTTTCTTATACCCAAACTTTTGGCTCAGATAACCATTCGCAAACCCACCGATGATTATTCCTGCATTCGCGCCATTCGAGAGTCCAGCTTGCCATGGTCCAGAGACTTGGTAGCCAATGCCCTCGTAGTATGTACCAAACTGCTTCTGGAAGGCTGGGTACGCGAAGAACTGATATATGAGCCCGACGTCGTAGCCTTCCATAATGACGGTCAAGGAAATTATAGCAGACCATATAGCAGCCTTGCGGTGTTTGACGAGGGCTTCGCGTAGGGTCAACTGGTGCTCGGCGGCAGCTGCTTGGGCTGCATCTTTGGTGTTCTCGAAGTCTGAGCTGCTTTCGAGATGTTCGACAGTATCACTGTTTGCGGCAGCTTTTTCGTTCGCCATGCTGACTTGCTCAAAGGATCGGTATGGGTCATGCAAATGCTTGTGCCACGGCTGGCGACGTGGGATGCTCCTAGGTTATAAGGAGAAACACCACACGGCAGACGATTCAGCACGACCAGAATCATGGCCTCTCGTGACCTGTGGCACCAGGGATACGATTCAGATGCCGACTATATAATCATGGAATTGCCATATGCAACTTGCGGCTTGCGGGAAACTGCGCTCTGATTCGCTGTAGGTCACCCCGCTTTCGCCTGAGAATCTGGGGAACAAGGGGAAGTTTGGGGACCGATGATGCCGATCAGTTCTTGATAAGAAACATCTGGACTCGTCGCCATCAGCTTCTAGATGCAACTTGATAGCCCCAGGATGATTTTGCAGCACCAGAATTCAAGAAAGTAAGAGTGATACATTCGTCGTCTCATCCACGGACACAGTTCAGTGGGACGTAGCACAAAACCTGCACATGAACAGAAAGCATCTTTGCGGTCGTACAGAAGGAAGACACGGGAAGATAGCCTCAGGTTGCGGCACAGCATAAGACGCTGGACCAATCAATGTCGATCTGCCACGAGGGATGATGCGTGAGTATCTCATCGTGCAGTTCACGAAAGCACGAGTATAGATCACATAGCCTCGACGATCGAAATGATTCTCCTTCTTAGACGTGAAATGTACCGAACAATGGTCAAATAGAGAACCGGGACGGGCCAGAGTATGTATTGAGGAGGACTGGGGAGTCTTTATATGTAAATCAAGCCTCGTTCCGAGATCAGCATTTACTAGTATACGGTGCTCCTGGGATGTACTAAAATAGGAAATCATTCACCCATTCCTTTCATTTCCTCCATTTCCCCCACTGTCTCCATTTCCCCGACATGAGGTCGTTTCACAGTTTGACAGTAACGCTCTATTCGACGACATCTTCAACTCGCCCGACATGCTTCTACAGTCTTCTTTAAGGCGTGAGGATATCAACTAAAACTGGCAAGAGAGCCTTCGGAACAGTAGCATCAGCATACACGGCCTGTAGCTTGCAAGGCTCCAACGTATACGTGAGATATGCGTCGAAGAAAGCTTCTACCGGAGTAGGTATAGCGTGAAGTGCACCAAGGACCTTTACAGTTGATCATCAGCTTAGGACAAGCAAGATATACAAAAGATTCCTAACAGAAAGAGGGCCTGCCACTTACCACCGTGACGTTAAAGAAGTTATGGGTGTCGTCAGTGTTCACGAAGGCATGGGCCTCCACCGACGTCAAGAGCTCATAGAGAATCGCCAGGAAACTAATCGTGGATTGTCGGTCATGTGAGACCTGTATCCCACCGATGTGGTTCGGGTTGCTTTATGAAAGTCAGCTCGTGGCATCTGTTATTGTGCTGATAGAGCCCAGATCTACAACTTACACGGTGATGCTGGCATCATCACTGAAAGGATAAGCCGTGTAGGTCGCAACGGACTGTTGGAGGGTAGGCTCTACGATAGCAGCCACGGCCCTTTTCGCCAATTCGATACGAGCGGGGGCATCGCAAGCGGTTCTGGGCCTGTTGAGGCTGCGTGCAAAGGCGAAATGCGGAGAGAGAAGAAATCCATAAAGGAAAGTGACCAAGCTTAAGGCGTACATGTTGTTCCTAGGAACTATCACAGTTCCAGTCATTAATAACCATTTATGCAAGGCTCAAAGCACCGATGATACTTACAGATTGCAAAGTTGAAGCGTATATGCCAATTGGAAAACGAGGTGAGCAATCTTGTTGATGAGGTCTTTGAATGTTATACTCGAATATATATACTTTCATTCACCGAGTTTCCAATCCACTTTCGTACAGTAGTACCTAGCCATGAGGAGATACAGTGGTGGGTATTCTGTCAAATCAGGGCAGAGTTCTGATTCCACCACGGAAGATGGCTTGCATTTGCATGACAGAAAAAGGAAAATGTCGTCTCCACTGAGAACAATTCGCACGACCAATTGCCGCATACGTATTAATTAGGCGAGTTTGCGATATCCTCCAGCCAGCCTTTGGTCATATAGGCTGGCGGTTGGGATTCTAAAGGATTACAACGAACGTAGTCTTGTGACGAGTACGAGTATCCACCACAACTGCAGATGGATCATCCTGATTCCAAATTGAAGTCCTCGCCCCAGCGCCCCCACTCCAGCGACCAACTAACAAATACCCACAGTTTTTAGTTCATCGCGAGTTAGCAGTACTCATGTTAAGCTTAACTCCAGTGCGAGTCTGTGAGATCTGCCCAAGCAACACCGAGTTTACCAGATCAAGCAATAAGCAGAGGGACTATAGTAACCTTGATAGCTGATTTCGCTGTCTCTAGCCTTACCCTTTGCAATTTATTAAGTTCGAGATATCTCTAGTCTCTAGAAGTATTGGATCCAAGTATAGTAGCAATATTCACAAGGGTCTACATATAAGTGCATAAACCTTCTACTAGATTTAGCATCGAAACCTCTCATTGAATATCTGTTTACCTCAGCATGAATTAACAAAATCGCTCAATTGCATACTTTTTGCTATATCCTCCTGCACCCTCTCTTCCTCGAGCAAATCGTGTTAGTCGCACTTGTAGCCAATGCAATGCACATTCATGTAGTTACTTACGAGGTGAGCGCATTAGGTGCTATCATCCGACTATAGCTAAGCAATCCTTTCACGAGGACTAAGACATTCGCCAACGGGGCGATATCTCATCCTATAGAATATGCGCATGACTTCCAAAATGCGCCATGCGATGACTTCCAGCCCATTGAGCCCACATGGCGGCCTTATGGAACCCCCATTCGCTGTCCACCTTAGAGCTCCCTCACAATGCGCAGGAGAGTTCGCGGTATCGTCATCCGCGCATTAATTACGAGTCTAAGAACCATAAAGCAAGTACAAAGCTTCTATAGTGCCTAAAGGCTAGTTGTAGACGACCAATGTTAATGATTTCATAGGGTATGTAGGGTTGCACTTGCTCCTGTTATAAGAGTCATCGTTCGACTGATTATCATGAAAGCCATACTACCACTGCATTCCTTATGACTACTTACCAAGTCACTGATTGTCATAAGCCACCCAAGCCACCTCCCTGTCCTTAATGGCACCTTATAATGAACATTTGGGCTCATGACTGAAGCCACCGTCCCCTCGGTACAGCACACATTATGCATCTTGAAATACTTCTAGCCGTATGCACATAGATCACTCAACCTTTGTTCCAGACTAAATTATTCAGAGTCACCCTTGTCTTCGTGTAGAGAATCAGCCTGGCGGTATCGTATAACTCCAATGAAGGGGTTCTAGTGGATGGATCAGCTTCGCAGCTATGTACAATTATGTCGCGGCTGTGACTTACGCCATCTAACCTGCTGCAGAAAAGGTTACAAATGCGAGAGGATATCACTCGGCATGGAAACCGTATAAGTTGAGGAGCATATCGAAGGGATCTTGTCCTTTCACTGGTGTATTTTCTGAATTTAACCCTATATCTATTATTGAGCAAGTGGCGCTATCCTCATAAAAAGCTCAGCTCTTATGGTTCAAGTAAACTCATGCATGACCTGCAGAAATAGTATGTTACCCACAGGGCAGCGTCTAGGCGATGATATAACTAATCCAATGGTAATGCCATGCCGAAATACGAAAATACGACATGCTCAGATGCTTCGTACTTGATTCGACCTTTGTTGATGTTCTATCAAAGCCTCCTAAATATCTGGAGATGCGACACATCTATCAAAGCGGCCGGAGACAAGATATGATAGGGTAGCACCCTGAAGTCAGTACATATCCTTTTGGGTCACAAACTACCGCCAGTGATAACGAAGGGGCTCCGAGCATTACTCAATCCGAGCCCTCCAATATACGTCACAGCAAATTCTGTCGAATGGTAGCCTACACTGCACCGCAATTGGGAGAAGGGTGCAAAGACTACTGTATGAATCTATAAGAGGAAACAGTCGTGAATGCACCATGATCAACCAGGATCGGAGTTTACAGTTCAAGTGATGAAAGTCTACTTTCTCATCGTGCAGACGGTAAACATGCCAAATAGAGCTTCTTCAATCTCACATCATAGTATGTTTGATCACTCATAATGATCGTGATCCATAACCAAAATGCAATAATAGATCATAAGAATGCTTCGTACTGCCCATGGTACCCGTGTTTTGACTAACTGATGAGGTCCCAAATAAAGCCATCTTCTAACTTTATAAACGACGATACCCGAAATTTGGACAAGACTTAGGGAAGCTTGAAATTAAAAGGGTGTTAATAGTGTAATGTTCAAAGAAGTAGTGTTAGTACATTGTCTTGATTCATGTACCATATTTGGTTGTCCAGGATTGCACTGTCGACCGTCATAGTTAAGATGTCATGCTTTGGACTTATATGATATGGTGTCCCATTATGAGGACATCAGTCTGTAGATGACTCCAGGTACTCAAAAGCCTCTTTTCGTTGGTGGCTGTCTTTATCAATATGTACTGTGTATAACAATGTACTAGCCAAGAACGGCACGACTCAGTCATATCAAAGAGTGGGACCATGGTATAGATAACCGTTGCGAACTGTGGGGTCATAAAAGTGGCACAGTAAGCGATAGTATTATGTTGGTAAGCCTACAAGCATGAGCTAGATTGCACATGCAAGGGAGTTCATGTTGACCTTCCCAATCTGGGAACATGTCAGCATTTTTGGCGCGGCATACCAGTTAATACTGACCAGGCTATATAGAAAGGTGTTCCAGGTGCTATGTAACATATCCCAGCAATGCACAACCAGCCTTGTATCCGAAGCTAGATTCCTGGTCGCGAACGAATTTACCCACAGACTCGGGCAAACGCTGCAGATCCGCTTGTTATCGCAAGAACCTGTACAGACAGGGGAACATGCCTAGACTCTGGGAAGTGACCCATCAATTTTCATGGATATATGCTCCTCGTGTAATCCTTTAGGGCGACCTATTACTAAATACACCTCTTGCCACGAGCCCAACGCTTTTTCCCAAAAGCCCCCATGGAACTTCGAGACGACCTCCATCTACATGATTCTCGAGAATATCGTGAGGAGGTTACCGGGCGGGAGACTGATCCAGTCAATAATGCCACAGAATTCGACAAGCCTAAGAGATCCCGTGCGAACAAAGAGACGAGAGGATTGACGATAGAAGGATACGAGCCTGAGAAAGATGAGCTTGGAGGAACGATATCTGATAGTCCTAAGAAGAGCGCAAGCCAATCGGTAAAGACTGAGGATCAACAGGAGGAAGATCAGTATCCGCGGATTGCGACAGCCGACGATATCAACAACTTGCCTCATGTCATGGCGGATATACCTGCAACAGCATGGTTGCTTATTTTCACTGGCGCGGCGTCAGCTTTTGCGCGATATGGCGCCACAACACCATTCCGTAAGTCCTCCCTTCTGTTTTTGTTCCACAGATACTCCAGTTTCAATGCATTGTACTGATTTGAGGTCAGAAAATTATATCCAGAATCCCCCAGGCAACACCCAGCTTCCGGGAGGGTTGGGACTTGGTCAAGCGAAGGCCACAATTGTTACAAGCGCGTTCTCGTTTTTCATATACTTGACACCGCTCCCGCTGGGTATTATCTCAGATGCATGGCTGGGTCGCTACCATACAATGATGCTCTGCTTGGGGCTGCTGGTCACTGGATATATCATACTGGTGATCACGGCTCTCCCAATTTCCCTGGAGCATAACGCTGGACTCGGTGGCCTTATTGCTTCAATGGTCTTCATAGGACTTGGTCAAGGAGGGCTGAATTCGGTAATCTTTGTCCTCATTGGAGACCAGATTCCCGACACTGCACCCGTTGTCACGAGACGAAGGGGAAAGCTTGTAGTCGTCGACCGACAAATCACCATTCAATTTGTTTTCAACTTTCTCTTCTGGGCCGTCAATCTGGCCTCTCTATCCATCATTGCGACGACATTCATGGAAAGAGTCAGCTTCTGGGCGGCGTATCTTATACCACTCAGTGTCCTATCGATCAGTGTAGTACCCATCTTTGTTTGGCGTGGGCGTCTGGTCAGACCGCCTCGTCAAGAGAACGTCATACCAAAAGCGCTTAGACTGGTCCTCTTGGCTTGCCGTAACGGATTTCATCTGTCTGCTGCGGATCCGTCTCAGCGCCAGATAGACGTCCCGTGGGATTCACGGTTCGTAGGCGAGATACGGCGCGGTTTCAAAGCATGCCAAGTTATGATCGTCTTCATAATCTTCTGGCTATGCTATAACCAGATGTGGAACAACATTGTGTCACAGGCCGGACAAATGGAGCTATACGGAATCTCTAATGACACGATAGTTTTTTTAAACGTTGCCGCCGTAGTCTTGCTAGGACCGATTATCCAACGTTTACAAGAGCTTCTTAGGCGGTACAAAGTTTCCTTCGGCCCAATCAGACGGATGTCCGTAGCGTTTGTGCTGAATGCGGTGGGCATGGGGTATGCGGCTGGTTTGCAGAAGCTGATATACTCCCGGGGCCCTTGCTATTCTTATCCCCTGACGTGTCCTCAAGCGTACACAGAAGGAGTCCGAAGTCCTAACAATGTAAATGTATGGCTCCAAGCTCCAATTCATTTCTTACTTGGTGCGTCGGAAATTCTAGGGTTCGTGACCATGACGGAGTACGCTTATGCTGAAGCGCCATCAAACATGAAAGCAGTTGTCCAGGCCCTCTCGCAGCTTACAATAGCACTTGGCTCGGCCTTGGGAATATCCTTGGGACCAGTTTCTCGGGATCCGTGGTTGGTGATACTGTACAGTTGCTTAGCAGCGACAATGGGAGTAAGCGCTGTAGTATTCTTTCTTCTTTTCTATAAGTCAGATTATACAAGCGATGTCCATAAGGTCGTTCAGGATAAGGAGAAACTCCAGGAATAGGTTTGATGAAGCCTAGCTGCGAGGTTTAGCGCTATTGATCCTACCATTACTGCTATTAAGCTGGCTTCACGCAATGATTGAGCAGGTGTTTCAGTTATGATCTTAAGTGTGATACAGGTGTGTTGTGGAATGATCTCAGCAGCGGTTACGCAGACTTAGCAAGGAACGGATGTCAGCTCAGTCTAATCTGACAGAAGTTACTCATCACTCTGTAATTGCCAAAATAGTAGATCCGTTTGCGCCAGCCACGAGTGATATGCCATCAATACTTGAAGACACCCTCAGCTTGTGGTACGGTAAATTAGGACACCATAGTCAAGAACAATTCTTGACCATCACGCAAGATCATTCTAGTCGTGAGCGACCAGTGGATCTGATGGGCATCGAATCACATCAATACCACCAAGAAACTGGTCCTCCATATTCACAGACCAGCTTTATCCTTGCATGGTGGTCATTAAGCCTAAGCACCTTGGATTGATGTTGGGTTGGTCGATATACAACCAATCATCGTTATATGGCCAATCTTTCAGGGCCAGTTTTGCGGCCCGAACAGAAGAGAATGAGTCCGTGCGAAAATTTCGACGATAATTAGTAGGCACAAAAGATATTCCATGGATTGTGAGCAGCCAAGATGATGATGTGGCATGACCTCTGAGCGCGTTGCATTGGTTGTAGTGTACTAACCCTCCTACGTTGCTCTTAGTCTCATCCATCGGATTATGCCTCAGGCATTACATGTCATGTGGAGCGCGTCTCTTTCGTGTTCCGCATTGGCACTCCCGATGGCCTAATTAATCACTTCTCAAACTCGCTCCATACGCGCATCTCATCCAAGCGATATTGTTCCAATGGCCTCTACTAGTAGCACGATTCCTGCCTTGAAGTCTTCATTTCTCAACGCACAAGCAAGAATTCTATCGCAGCCGCTTGAACCTGAGAAGATCCGGCGCCATAGCGGGGACACGATTCCTGACAGCGTTATTCAAGATGTCACGCGGGAGGGTGAGTGACATGTCATTCGCAGGTTTAAGTAGCAACTCTGGTCTGAATAATTGCAGTCAACCGCGAGCTCAGAAGACACAGCAAATCTGCATACAGCTCGCTTGCAATTCGCGCTGTTGCCGAACAAATCGACAATCTGTATTGGCGCTCAGCCGAGCCGGACGCACATGACGACGAGCTCGATGAAGGCCCCGACGGCATTCGCGTTCTAGGCACAGATGATGATCTTTCGTGGCAGAGGTGATCAGTTGAAAGCTGGCTGAATGGTACGGAATTGGCTAACAGAAAATCTAGCAACATATCTAGACTACCCGCGCTGTTCGAAGACCTAGCACCGGCAGAGGCTCCTTCCGTAGACCTTGATGCGCTCTCGGAGCAGCTTGCGCATCTTCAAGAACTCGATTCGCGTCGTGCAGCGCTAAATAGAAAGCTTGCCTCATACAATGCATTACTGAAACTCCTAGCACCGTTCGAGCATGCACAAAAAAACATACAACCGAACCTAGTCACCAAGGATGGACCCCTGGCGACGGAGCTCACAAAGCTGAGGATGATGAGCTTGCGCGTCAATGGTCGGTTGGGTGACTGGGTCGAGGCGAGGAAGGCTGAAGACGCAGTTCGCAACGTGGTGTCAGACGAAACATGGCCGAGCGAAGAGGAGAGGCTCGCTGCAGTACTTGCCAGCTAAGCGATGGCGGTACTAATGCGCTACGATATGCGACATTATAACATCACCGGGAGAGTCACATACACACTGGAGTTATCAGCGTGTGCGGTCTCAAAGAGAAACAGACGAAGCGCACACGCCAAGAAGTACCTCAAAAGTCCTGTATGCCGGTTTCGCCTGTGACTTCTTTTCTACCACCACCTTCATCGTCCAGTATCCAGCTCGGCTCTTCCTCTCGGAAATACGCATCCTCACGTATCCTATCCTCTTCCGAAATATCATCAAGATCCTCATTATCATCGACGGTCTTATACTCGAAGTCCTTGTCGTCCCCTCGTATAAATCGCATCTCCATCTCATACACCCACCGTGCCCTTCCTTCCTCTTGATTGACTGGAACATCGTCCTTGTCCTCCGCCAATATCTCCCCATCAGGTCCTCGCTTATACGTTAGGATAGAATTCGGATCTGGGTGCGCAAGCGCGTTGAGTTTGGCTTCTGAGCGTAGGATATCTGCTTCGAGGATACCAGAGTAACCTTTGGCGCGGCCTTCCGCTTCGCGCTCGGAGCTCGATTGGAAGCGACGGATCAGGCGGTCGTAGAGGAGAGGGTCTAGCTGTGTCAGTCGGGACATAGTAAGGAGAACGAAGCTGTGGCTTACCGGCCAGCTCCAATGAGGGGCCGAAATATTCAGGATGTGTGTCTAGGTAGCGCCTGCGACGGTTCTTGACGGTGATGTACCGATCGCGTGGTGCTTCCCGGGGCATTTCCTGGTGGGTGGACTGAATATCACTGGTTTCTGCATTCGAAGGCTGGTGTGCAGCCATGTCTAGAGATGTCGGAAAATATGGCATACTTTGTTTAATCGTGCCGTGAGATAGCGTCTTGCTTTGGGATTGTAATTCGACGTCTATGCGTGCTCGTCATCTCCATGTCGCAATAGGACCCTCGCTGGTGGACGCTGAAGACCGCGGCGAGGGACATCGAACGACCAAGGCGGGAACTAGCGTCTCAAGCTAGTGCCGAAAAGGACTAGCGCAGTTGAGCCTTATGGGCTACATGCGATGAGCTATAGTAGACTGAACATGCTCATATATCCCGACTCGACACTTGCATGTTTCTCGAGTATCTGACAATATAGCGGGACATACCATTGATTGAGATTCAGCGATCTGACAGTCCGACTTATCGCCTATTGTATAGTGACGATATCTCCTGGTTATCACCTATTCCTTCAACGAGTGAGAAGGAGGCAACTTCTAGCATAGAACTGGAGAGAGAATTGTACCCATGGCGCCTCAGAAAAAAGGGACCCAAAGGAAAGCTCAGGCCGTACGTAAAGAAGCTCTAAAGACGGAACCTTCAGTCCTCTCGAATGTCGGAAAAGCAGTACTGCTACTCGCAGTAGCGGGCGCTGCAACTACAGTATCTCAACTAAGCCTGTCCCCAGTCTACGGGTCCATCCCCTCTGCTCTATTTCATCAGCGGGCCGTAACGGGTACTGCGCTATCAGCTGTCATGGCGAGACATAGCCGTACGCTGAAGCGATATGTCCCTAGAAATCTTTCTGAGTTTATTCCGCTGCTTGCATACTGGATCCCACCTATTCAATTCATTATGTTCAAGCTCAGCGGTCACCTTGGCCCGATCTATGGCCCACTCATAACTGAGATGGTTACCTATCTTCCGCTACTGTTTATGGTAGTGTATGCTGCGGGCGATCTTATTGACACGATCGATCTTCGCCAGCTTCAATGGAACTCGACTGTCATAGATATGATCGGGCCTGTACTCTCGTATATCATTGTTACCATATCAAGCAAAGTCACTGCCTTGCAACTGCCCGGAGCTATGAGCACCAATCAATTTTTGACAAGATCAGGACTTCAGCTACTCCTAGCTTCAATCTTTGCAGCTGCGTCTACCTCATTCTGGGTAGTGTTGGCGGTCCCGGCCATGATACATACAATGATCGCAAACCCACATTACCACGGTGTGAAAGCTACTGCTGCTCTGAACTCGACATTGGCGGTGTATAATTATACGATTCTAGAGCGCAGGGAGTCTTTGACTGGATATGTATCCGTTTTGGAGGATCACAACAATTACTTTCGTATCCTACGTTGCGATCATAGCTTGCTAGGAGGTAATTGGCTACTCACGCCAGAAAGAATTGCACAAGGCTTCATCATGCCTGAGACCATCTACTCAGTCTTTACTATGCTTGAAGCCGTGCGACTTGTCGAAACGCCGAAACCGAAACCTGATAGCGAGAAGAGTGCTTTGGTAATGTAAGCGATCTTCAAATACTGAGAGGTCATTTGCTGATAGACTTCAGTGGCTTGGGGATAGGCACGGCTCCAAGTGCAATGATTGCGCACGGCATCAACACAACCATCGTCGAGCTTGACCCTGCCGTACTCGAGTTTGCGTCAAAGTACTTCGATCTGCCAGACAATCACACCGCAGCCGTCATGGACGCGGTGGCCTTTATCAATGAAGTCGCAGTGGCAGCCCCGTCAAGCTACGACTTTGTCATCCATGATGTGTTTACAGGTGGAGCAGAGCCCGCAGCCCTCTTCACTACAGAATTCCTCCAAGGTATCCGAACTGTTTTGCGCAAGGATGGTGTCGTTGCCATAGTACGTGATCTACTATATATTGCGATTTGAGCCCACTGACAAACGGAGAATTACGCCGGGGACATGTCCCTCCCGTCCACACAGATAATCCTCAACACCATACACCATGTATTTCCCACCTGCCGTATCTTCCGCGACTCACCCGAACAAACGAAGTCCGCATCAAGCGACACTGATTTCATCAATATGGTAGTGTTTTGCACTAATGCGCCAGATGGGAGCAATTTAGTCTTCCGCGAACCTAATTCGAATGACTGGAAAGGGAGTGTCGCACGTCGAAACTACTTGTATCCTCGTCCAGACCTGGAGATAAAGTACGAGTTCAAGGGGGCGGAGGCAACAGCGAAGCTGTTACGGAAAGGTGAGACGGCGGAGTTGGAACGACATCAGAATGAGGCCGCCATCAGTCATTGGAGAATCATGAGGACAGTCTTGCCAGCTGGGGTTTGGGAGAACTGGTAATCTAGAACCTTGAATGGGTTGATATGGGATATGTTTTGAGTATGCTGGCGCCGGCGCCGGCGTGAGTTTTTGATTCCTCTCCTGGATAGTTGCTACGCGACCCTGTTTCTATCCCTCCATTTCCTCATCCTTCTTATTCACTCCCTCGCACCCAGTATTCTCTGCCATCTCGCCTTCCGCCTCCCTGCAAAATCCCTCCATCTCCCAGTCCTCAAACCGATTCGCCGAACACCCCAACAGCGTTTGAATGGCGTGCATCTCATTATGATGTACTCGCAGGAACTCTCCCGATTGCTCTGCTAATGTACCCTCGTGTCTATCTCGGGCAGCGAGCATACTAAGCGCTTCGTCAAGAACAGGATCTGGACGTGCAAGGGCAAGTCTAGAGCGACGTGAGACAATAGGTACATCGCCCGCCTCCCGACTGCGCAATCCACAACCCTCCAACTCACTTACATACACTTTTGACGCAACACCATCCGCAATGTGGTCTAAGCCGGCTTCATTCTCCTATTTACAAGTCAGCAGATTTTCGGGGGATTATGTGAGGATTACCCCCTAAACGCTTGCCACCGACAAACAATGTCGAATAACGTACCGTGAGTGGAATTTCCTGCGTGGTCTTGTATTTCCGGTCTAGCACAATCATGTCTACGAGACTGGACGCATAGAAGTCGCGCATGAGCGTGCGGTATGCGACGCGAAAACGGCAATGGTCATAGAGGGCCTGTGTTTCAGCGCTCACAGTTGTGGTGGAAGGCGTGTTTTGGGTGCTGCGTGCGTGGTGTAGGGGGCTGTGGGCGCCTCGTCCGGAGCAGCGAACTGGCATTGTTGGAGATGTAAGTAAGGGTGTTTGTACCCGAGTTGTTACTTGGTGATCTTGTGTGTATTATGGATGGTGTTGTGGGATGTCAGTGTCGTGAGGTGGATTTTGACACTATGAAGTAGGAGGTCAGGCATTAAGTAGATACATAGGGGCTCTCAGGTGTGGTGACCTGCAATGAACTGGTGATCTGATCGTGATGTGGGCCGGTCATTGTTCTAGCTTGTTTGCGGTGATGCGCGTTCTAGAGGACGGTGACAGTGACAGGTGTCCCAGGGGTCATGTTATGGGCCAGGGGTTGTGTGCGCCACTTCCCTCGCGAAGCAGTATCCATGTCAAAACTTCGGAAAGTGGAATTTCGTGGCGTTCGTGGATGTCGACGGTTATTGGTGAGTGTTGTGTATGATTAGCAATTTATGGCTGTGTCGTAGCTTTGTTCGCTGAACAGTGACGGAAGTGTCCTGTCTGCCGTGACTACGGCCTCCGATTGGCATGCCTTCACGCAGTAATGTGACACTTTCGACGGTTAAAAAGACCAATATTACGAACTTCATGACTATTCTCGATGCATTAACATGCCGCTTCCTCTCTATCGAATATGTTCTCACCAATCCCTACCGATATTTCCTGTATAGTGATGCCACAGTGTTGTCATTATCAATACACGGATCGATTAACCTGTAAAGTTGCTCATAACGTGTTTTGAATCAATGGAGCAGTAGCACATTGCCATGGTCTTCTCCAGGCTGAAGCTGCTCATACTTTGTAGAGCTTTTCACGAGATAGTAGCTTTGATTACGAAATTACTACATGTAGTCGTTGTGATCATTGGGATTTGTTAAGTACAATTTTTATGGGACGTGAAACTTAGAAATCGAAGCGTAGCGAGTTGATAATTCGATGTTATTAGACATGTCAATATATTATGAACGTAACGACCCTGCAGTCTTGTGCTGTTGAGTCGGGCTGAAGTGACTGCCTACTCAGTGGTTGTACGGATTGGATAGCAGGCCTAATTGTATTAAGATTTCTGTTTTTTTGTGGCATCTGCGTTTGTATTGATACCTGTATCACTCTGGGCTCACTCCTATCGCCGATAGTACACAGGCAAGAGTCGACATCATCAGGTAGGATACGAGGCGTTTTGCATTGTGGGGCTTTCCCCTTTACCACTAGCTATTTGCAGCTCTATATTTATAGTTTGGCAAACCGAAAACATTAGAATTACAGTTATTGGATTGTGTTCTATGAGTCTGATCGCACAAGCATCACAATTTCTGGGAGCATCTCCGGAAATACCGAGACAAATTGCGAAAACAGATGATTGCAACTTGCGCTCAAGCCGTGGCGCTCTTCTGCAAAGCCGCGATCCACCTTTCATGGATTCCCTGCCAGCTCTCGACATGCTTAGTCTGGATCTTTCCTACCACCAATCGGTTTCCTTTCACCGTAGTGTCCTCGACCAACCACAAGCGTCCGGTGCCCTCGCCGGGCTTCGTGTCACCGCCTTCCTTGATCGTCCACACACTGGTCTGGGTCAGTCCGAACGGCGCCTGGATGGACCATTCCTGGCTATCTGCAGTCTCGGTAATGGTGATTTCGAGCTCAATCGTTTCGCCACCTACGGGAGCCGTGTTGGTGTCGGTGACTTTGTAGGTTTTGCTCTTGTCCGTGGCTTTGGACTTGACCTCTTCGTGCGAGCGGTAATCCGGGTCGAACGTCAGGAGGACATCATGGTTCTTCTGGAAGGTGTCGATTTGCTCTATGGTCAGGCCTGCGGGGATGATGGACTCGTGGTGGTACTTTTCGGTGGATGTGAGAACTGTGTAGTCGTGTCAGTATGAGGACCGATACATTAATAAGAGTGAACTTCAAACACACAAGACATGATGTAGTTTGCAGCACGCTAAGACAGTACGTGTAGGAGTGTTTATGTGTTTTATTATGGTCGTGGATATTTGCGAGTATTGGCTGGATTTTTGCAGGATTCTGGCTAGACATATGCTGTTGATTTATATAGAGGCCCGATATCTCAATCTCAGGCCATCGTGGTGCCTGGTACACTAATACGCGTCGTTATGCACACAATCTCAAGCAAAAAAAAGACCAACCGCGGTCCTCGGCATGCACTATGCTAATTAGTTGTAGCACCGACGGCGCTGTTTATTAGGGGCTGGTCCCTGGTCTATGCATGCGGGACGCGGGGGCATGGCGCGAGCAGAGGAGTTGAGCCCTTCTAGACTCGGGGATGCAGCACACGTGGCTTAATTATTATTTTTGGCATAAACTTGATACACATTATTACCCCGCGATCCGGACGATGCCGTGTGAAACATCCCTCGGTTTCTCACGAGCTCATTTCGCAGATGAATATGATCCATGGTGCAATTTCGGGAAAGGTCTGTTCTGATACGGCCGCTATTCGACCAATCGGAGCATCTTTGCTCCTTGCGACAATAGCTCCGTCTATATCCGTTCACTGTTCCATGGATGGACATAATACAACTGTTGGGTCTCCACGGATAGTTTTTTCATGAAGTAGATCAGGTAGTATGCAATGCGAGCGGCTTCGCTAACGATGACATGGATAGCACTATGACGCATTTGTCTCACGCCTCATCGTATGTTCGCATATGACGGCCGTATAACGCAAACAAACGCCCAATATTTCTAACAACGCTCTTTTCACGACTAATGAGTCTACAACCAAATAAGAAGACGTGATAGAGCTGACAGAAATGGGCAAAGAAGTTGGCTGTGCGTAATGCACTCTATGCTATGCCTCAGGCATTCATACATGGATTGATGCCCCGCTTGTCCCATGGCACAGCCTCGTTAGCATCAGACGACCTCTCAAACGCTGAACTTCTCGTCATTGAACCAAATGCGCTCTCGTGAGGATGATACGCCTCCTAGAGTGCGATGACCACGGACAGGTACGTCTCCGAAAATTCGAAGATGATCAGATTCCTGCATATGCCATTTTATCACACACATGGCTTGCGGACAACGACCAGGAGGTCACGTTTGAGGATATTGTAAAGCAGGCATACCAAGGCAAAGATGGCTACCAGAAGATCGATTTCTCGTTCAAGCAGGCAGCCCGCCATGGCTTGCGTTACTGTTGGATCGACACGTGTTGTATCGATAAGAGCAGTAGCCAAGAGCTGTCTGAGGCACTCAACTCGATGTTTCGGTGGTACAGGAATGCTGCGCGATGCTACGTATATCTGTCCGACGTCTGTAAAGATGACTCGGACCATGCAAATGTCGTCTCGGAGACATGGTGGCGGGAGCCCTTTAAGAAAAGTCGATGGTTCTCGCGAGGCTGGACCTTACAAGAACTCTTGGCTCCTACGACACTCGAATTCTACTCGAAAGAAGGCTCGCTACTAGGAACTAAATCTTCACTGGAGCGCGAAGTCAATGCGCGAACGGGAATCCAGCTTTCAGCCCTCCGAGGCACGACACCTCTAAACCAATTTTCCGTAACGGAACGACGATCCTGGGCAGAGCACCGAGAAACTAAACGGCCAGAGGATTCTGCATACTGTCTGATGGGTATTTTTGATGTTTCTATGTATCCTCTTTACTCGGAAGGAAGGGATCGAGCTTTCTTACGCCTAGAGGAAGAGATTGATAAAGCTTCGCAACGAGAGAAAGAACCTGGATCACGAAAACATACAAACGACGACGACCATGAAGTTCCCGTTCGTAAGCGACTCAAAGTTGAAACTCATCTGCGCCTTGATCATGACCAAGTTGCGAAAATTATGGAGTCATTAAAGTATGATCAGATTGAAGCTCGACAATTGAACATCAAGGCTCCGCACTCTAAAACGTGTAAATGGATCGTTGATAAGACTGAATTTGTTTCCTGGCAAGACTTCACAAAGCCATGTGGGATCCTATGGATCAAAGGCAAACCGGGTTCCGGAAAATCGACTCTCATGAAATATTTGCTTGTCTATGCGCGGAGACACATCAAAGTGGCTGCTTTATTGTCATTCTTCTTCAATGCCCGCGGCAGTGATCTCGAGAAAAGTACGAACGGAGCTTATCGAACACTGCTGGTCCAACTTCTTGATAAGATTCCTACACTTCAATCTATATTCGACAGTCTTGGTCCTCTGGCGGGAAGTATTGAGACCAGCCATCATTGGACTACAGAAGTATTGAAAAATCTCTTAATCGAAGCTGTTCAAAGCTTACAAGGCTCGACCATCGTCTGTCTAGTTGACGCCCTCGACGAGTGCGACGTGGATGACGTAAGAGACATGGTGTCCTTTTTCGAAGAGCTATGTGAATACGCGAGGTCTGCAAACGGGGAATTACGTATCTGCTTTGCAAGTCGGCATTACCCTCATATCACGATTGATACGGCTATCAATCTCATTTTTGAAGGGCAAGAGGGGCATCAAGAAGACATTGAGAGATATTTGAAGAGTAAACTTAGAATACATGACGCTGATGTAGCAGAAAAAGCGCGCGCGTTGCTGCTGGAAAGAGCTTCAGGTATCTTCATGTGGATCGTCCTAGTAGTAGATATGCTCAACAAAGACTACGACCGAGGCCGTGAAGCAGAAATCGAACAACGAATCAGCAACACTCCAAAAGATCTCCACGGACTATTCCACGATATGCTGACACGTGACGAACATGGTAAAGGGTACTTACTTCTCTGCCTACAGTGGGTGTTGTTTTCGAAACGGCCTCTCAAACTAGCTGAGCTTTACTTCGCGATACAATCGACCACTAGTCAATTCAACGCAAGTTTGCGTAAAGCTTCCGACACTACAATGGAGCGGTTCATCTTAGACGTTTCGAAAGGCTTGGTTGAGCTCACGAAAACAAAGTCTCCAGTAGTCCAATTCATCCATGAGTCAGTCCGAGACTACCTTTTAAAGACCCAGGCTCTGAAGGTCATATGGCCACAGCTATCAGGAGATGTCGAGAGCCAGAGCCACGAGCAACTCAAAGTCTGCTGTCATATCTTGATCATGACAATGAATTGGTCGTCGCGTGTCAACGGCACTCATAGTTTCAAGGCGAATTCGGCTGAGGCTCAAAATCTTCGCAAGGAACTGAATAGCGATTTCCCACTCCTCGAATACGCGACCAACAACTTACTTTACCACGCCAATCGAGCAGCGGAGGGGGGCATTGACCAGGTCGCATTTATACGTGACTTCAGCTTCACAGAATGGTGCATGCTACACAACATCTTTGAGAAGTTTGAGGTCCGCAGGTACACTCCGAATGTGAGCATGCTCTACATCTTTGCCGAGTATGACCTATCATATCTCATCGAACGCTCCACAACCGCAAGTCAATACCTGATGTACACCGGAGAGCGATATGGGCCTCCCTTGTTCGCAGGCATGGTGAATAAAAGTGCAAAGGTTGTTCGCTTGTTTATGCAGGATTTGATCAATACAAGGATTTCACATGAGCGCTGGAACACGATTCTAGATGATTTCTTCGACGGGGATTGGACTCACGGTTTTGGGCGTGACTTCCATTTCACCCACACGCGTACGCTATACTCCTATCTCGTAGAATATGGCCACGAAATCCTCTTTGAATTGGCTTACAAATACGAGGGTGTACCCACCGTTGAAGCATCAGAAAAACTTTTATTCCAGGCTGTAGAGGGAAATTGTGCAAACATCGTGCGCACTATTTGCAGTAAGGAACACCACCCGTCAATGTTACCTGCGATAGAGATCAATCTTCAGCTCTCTATCTTGGATCGTAACCAGGCAGTCGTAAAGGCATTGATTGAATCTTACGAGACGCATAAGCCCGAAAACACTTTCTTGCTTCCATATATAGGGATCAGATGGCCACGAGAAAGGGTCACATTAGTCGTGAATAGAAAGCTCAAGCAGAGCTCTGTGAGAGAGATTTCGCTAGCACTAGCTGCAATTTTCAATCTCCCTGCGGTCATCAATGCTCTTATCGAAGAGGGTGTTGACGTGAACTGTGTGTTAAGATATAGTCTACCTGGAACCTATTTCACAACGCCTCCTGATTCCAAGGCATCTGAACTCTTGCAAATTGCACAAAGGTACATCTACTTGTCCAATGGACGTAGTATACTCGAGGTAGCTTCCCGGCACCGCAATCTACAGGCTGTAGACACATTACTTGGCAAAGGGGCTAATCCAAACCTACATGACACCCTATCGCCTCCGTTGTACGAGGCGTGCAAAAGTGGAGACGAGAAGATCGTCCGGTCATTATTGAAGTACGGTGCAAAGGTCTATACCTCACTTATATACTGTATCAAGCCTTATGGTACTTCGTTGATCGCCCTTACGAATGGCCAGGAGCAGATCGTCCAGTTGCTGCTCGATAAGGGTGCAGAACAGAACGCTGAAGAGCCACAGAAGACTGACTGGATGGAACTGTGTCTTGAACTACTCAATGGGGTGTTTACGCGGGATTCTGTTGCCGTACGTCAACTGCGGAAACACGTGTCAATGTTGATGCTGGAGGAGGAGCAGGAATTCCCAGAAGAACAAGGGAGTACTTAGATCTATGAAGCCTCTAGAGGACGGCATAGGTGCTCATAACTTATGCAGAGACTGCTTTGTCTCACTCGAAGATCATGTCTCAAGGCTGGAGTCGTTAACCACTTTTCGAGGTTATCTCACTGACGCAAGAATCATGGCCTACTATGTCAATACTACCAAATACAATACTGTTACTTGTAACCTAGCACTCATTGATTTAATGTATAAAAGTCAATTCGATCTCGTCCTGTCTGAGTTAGTCCGCAGTGCTTTTCAAGGAGGCGACTACACCTACTGGAATGTCACCTGGTACAATCAGCGCCGGCACACCCTCACTCCTCAAATCTTTCCGCGCCCTCACAAACTTCACATATTCCGGCGCTCCTGGCACTAATACATTATCCGCTAGAACCATACCTCCCGACTCTAGCAGTCCAAGCTCGTCCACGGCCACCTTGAAGTCCTGCTCATAGAGCCCCTCAACATGATCCAAAAACAACAAATCAACACTCCCGATCTCACCACTCTTCTTCAGCTTCCTCATCGACTCATCCGCAGACCCCACCACGACAGTAACATAAGCACTTAGCCCCGCCATCTCGATGATTTTTTCCATGATGACTGCAAACTTCGGCTCGTACTCCAAACTCCACACATGTGCTTTTGCGCCATGATAAGTCCGTATGCGATCTGCGAAGAAGATGGCCGAGTACGCAACGTAGCCGCCGGCTTCAATCAGGATCTTTGGCTTATGCTGTGCGAGGATGTTGTCGAGAACGCGTGTCTTATCGCTGCCGATGTTGATTAGGAATTCAGAGCTTGCAGCAAAGTCGTCCATGGCCTGTAGGATCAGAGCAGGGTTGTTTTGGAGGGGTTCTGTCTGGGCGCGAGATTCAAGGTAGGCGAGGAGGGCCTCTTCGCGGCCGTCATTGGACTGGTCAGTTTGTGAGCAGATGATAGTGCTAGCTGCGCACTGGGATCACATTACTTACTTCTACGTACTTTCCATCTATGAATTTTGCTTTACCGATCGAAGGGTATTTGGCAATGATCTCAGGAGCGAGATTTAGCGACATGACTTTATATCTTCCTAAGCGGTCTGATCTGTGTGAATATAAAAATCTCTATCGCGCTACAATTAGTATGGACAAGTTTTAAGGACTGATCTGTTCTGTTTATGTGAGGGTCTTAGAGGGAAGAAGAGAAGAAATAGTCAGGACTAGAATGAGCATAAGCTCAGCTAGTGGGGCAAAATAAGGCCAGCATCATGGTGTTTACCTAAGTAGGTATATATGGGGGCTGAATTGATGGACAACGCCGGAGTTGGGACTAGACTCATATCGTGAGTAAGAACGATAGATGTGGCGTGGGGTTCCGGAGATACAGAGTTCGAATGTTGCTGCTCGCCGGCGCACTAGAAGCACTTAACTCCGAATAAAATGCGTTCCCTAACACTGTTAGGCAACCTTCGTCGTCATCACGGTTCAAGGAGGCTATTTGTGCAAGAATGATGTTAGATCTTAAAGTCATGTTTACTCTGGAATAAGTCAGGTCATCTCGAGATAAATACTAGATATATAGCACCCAAAACACTACTAAGCCCGGCACGGCACTGTCAAACGATTCTCTTCATGGCCTCTTGGCCTTTGCCTCACGCATAACATGTGCTATGCTCGTCCATTCCAATCCCGAGTAGCGATCGTTGTCAAGTGGATCCAGCTTTCCCGCTCCTGAAGCCATATTGGCCATATATTGCATTCCCTGCCACGCAGGAAAAACATCATTTTCACCACCGAAAAAGCGCACGACGGGAATCATGCGCTCCATTAGCCAGACTGGCCCAATAGATGATGGACTGTACTCGACACCCTCTACTTCGCCCACAATGGCAGCCATCTGCTTTGCACTTGCCACAGCACCGGCGATACGCAAAATCTTGGGCGTCGGATTCGGGTCCGTGGCAGCAGCAGCAGTGTATGCGGCTACATCAACCATTGTAGTGTAGTCCATGGGTTGATCAGCACTGCCTGCATACATGACAGTTCTCTTCTTGTGATTCACGGGCGACATGTCGGAGGTCATCAGATCCAGAAACGCGCCATTCAGAATCGTCGTCCATGCGATGCCAGACTTGTCCAAGTGCGAGTGGAACTCACGGTGGATGTCCAGGTTTCGATTCGAGCCGGGCTTTGTCTTTGTGAAGTCGAGCGAGTAGTCGGACGGAATGAAGCGCGGGACTTTGGCGTCCACAGCGGCGGCGAGGAGGGCTCCTTGCGTAGTGATTATGACATCTCGTAGACCTTGGAGGGCGGATACGACGCAGGTTGCTCCGTTTAATTCCTTGGTCAAAGCCTTTTGGTCGGAAAGGTCGACCGGGGCGATAGTGACGCCGGCTTGACGAAGTGCTTCGGTGCGAGATGCGTTAATGCCTGGTCGGACAAGACCTTTGACGGCTACGCCACGTTTTCGGAGAGCTTGGGCAATGAGCTGGCCGAGGCCGCCTGTAGAGCCAGCGACTGCTACGAAAGGGGAAGACATGTTCAGACCTAGGGAGCGACAAATCTGTCTATATAGGTAAGATCAAAAGTGTGATGAGACTTGTATGTTCCGGGCCATGACTGCGGGCAAGTGAGGTCTTTTGTAGTCCTGAGTCGACAGCGTCATCATTACCAGCTATATTATACTTCGCATGCATGAACTGCATACAGTTCCAATAAAGGTGTTGATGATTGTGGGTAATACAGGAAAACTCGTTCGATCTTCGCACGAGAAGTCGGTGTTGTTCGAAATAGTCGGCAAGTCGGAGATTATCGAGGCGCTAGACCAAAAAAGCAAGTACGTTGGTTTTAGCCCTAGAGAGCCTGGAGCTACGCGAAGACCGTCTCCTCAGAGTTTTAAGAGTCAACGAGTACCACGTTTTGCTTGTCGCTCTCCTAACATTGGCTTCACTACTCTAAATCACCACCTGCCGATACGAAATCCACTAGTCTTGGCCATCCACCATATTTCACGAAAGTAGTGCTCACACCATCGTGAGGGAGGATCATCTAATACGCAAGAGTCAATCTCGTGGTAGCATATTTATCTGATGGCGTTTAGATGATGACAATAATCCCGGTTGATGAGTTACCGAGTTATGTCCAATAGTCACCTATATGGCGATGATCTTCGCAAAAGGTTCGAACACAGCGGCTACGACGCTCTGGTGGATCTCAGAAGACTATCAGTGAGATATACTAGAGGATGCAGTAAACGCATCGAATAAGATCATGTATCATATGGGTTTTAGCTCCGGCTTGACGTGATTACTAAATGCACGAGAGGCCTGGAGGGTGTGAGCAAGGCAATATCCCAGACCTGGTTATAAGGATGCTGCGTTGGTTTTCAGCAAAAGTAATACGGTGAAAGTTGTTGGTTTAAATCCGCTAAGAGTCTGGCAGGAGATCGATCAGGTATTTACACGTTATGGACCCAGTCGAAAATGGTGTCTTGCATGATCGGCCCAGCACATGATGATAGTATTAACCTATTGAATCAACAGTCTAGAAAGTAAGTGTTGAAGAGAGGGAATAGGATGAGTCCTACTTATACTTATTATAATGATGAAACAACGACCCACGGAAAAGAGAGGCCGACGTAAAGGAGCAATAGGGTGCGAACCAATAAGAACACAATCTATTGGCATGGTCTTCGTTTATTCGCCGCAGAATTACTGCCCCTGGGGCTAAAGGTAAGATGCTAAGGATAAGATACGCGAAGGATGCTTAATGCGTGCTACTAGGGTACTACTAGACTGCATTCAGGATTATCGATAGTATTCTAAGATAAAGTGCCATCCTTTCCCAGCGGGAAGGATTCAGCTTTCTGCAACGTATATCCCCAGAGGTTCGTCGAAGATTATGCGCTTTGTGAACATTGCGCCAAGGACAGTCTCGAGCCGACACCACAGCCACACCCTGACGGAAAGGTCGTCTTCGGCCCTTTGACAGGCATGATGGCTGATCTGCCTAGAGGAGCGAAAGACAGCCAATATTACCCATTTCCATCTTTTGTAAGACACGAGTTCAGAACTAATAGTTCAAGCACATTACCATTATCTCCGGTCGGAACATTTCATCCATCTTCTGAGAACCTGATCTCGCCGGACACTCCTGTTACTCCTAGATCTCCCTTCAAAGAAGTGAAAGAAGTCAAAAGTCAGCATGTAGTACCCAAGCAGAAGACCAGCACTATCAGAGTCTGGTGGTACGAACTGTTTTGTGGCATCCTTGTCGTCTTGTCATTCGTCGCTCTTGTCATCACAGGCTTCTTGTTCGATGGAAAGACACTACCGGACTGGCCTCTGGGACTGTCCATCAACGCCTTGGTCGCCGTATTCTCTGCTATAATCAAAGCTTCGGTTGGTCTCGTCATAGGCGAAAGTCTGGGCCATCTCAAGTGGACCGTGCTGGCGACACCTCAGCGCCTCTCTACATTCGACATATATGATGATGCCTCTCGAGGCCCCTGGGGCTCTGCTCGCTTTTTGCAGCACTTTGGCTGGAAAATAAAGCACTTGGTTCCATCAATTGGAGCTGTCATAACGATTCTGCTGCTTATCATCGACCCGTTCACCCAGCAGATCGTGCAAGTTCGAGGTTGTGACAAGAGCACGAATCGCGTTGCGACCCTACCACGGACACTGGTTTATCAAGGCGATAGCGCCTCTCTGGACCCCAGGGTGAAGCCTGTTGATGTTCGGATCGCTCTGTACCAGGGTCTCTTCGCGGAGTCAAAGCCTAATGCACAGTATAATTGTCCCACGGGCAACTGCACATTCCCAGAAAGCTCTTCTGTTGCATTGTGCATTTTCTGTAGCGATGTCTCAGATCGCATAGTCCCTATCATCAATGCCAAAAATGATACTAATGGCGAGACCGACTGGCTCCAATGGACGTATACAGAAAACACGACCTTTGTGTTGCCAGGTGATTGGACTAATCTGACAGTCACCATCACAAATGAAGCTAGAAAATACAATAGAGGTGAAGGCAGTCAGAATCTCGAAAGAGGTCCCGTTGAGTCCCCGACGGACTTCGCCATGGATCTAGATGCGGAAAGCATACCAGCTGTTGCTTATGAGGACCGCGATCCACGATGGTACAACAGAACTGGACCAAGCCTATGGAACATATCGATGATTCGCTTATTCGAACCGAACTTTCTTCCAATCGACGACGACACCACGGTCCACACCTCCAAAGACTATTATGCAAAGGCACATACATGCTCAATCTTGCCCTGTGTCCGCACATACTATGCTAAAGTCGATGGTCAACGCTTCTCAGAAACAGTATCAGAACCCCAAATCATGAATATAAACGATATTCCAGTGAATAGCTACGACGACTTCGTTCTCGCAGACCTCGACTGTATCCAAGGCGATGATAGACAAGCGCGCCTCACCATGCTCCAGCGTCTTGGGTATCCTGTTTCTTCAACCGGACGCTGGCTCGCTTACAATGTGACTTTCGACTCATCAGACTATATAGGTGTACCAAGTCTTGGTGTACCGGCAGGCGGCTGGATATCGCGCAATTTCAGCTCCATCCCTAGTGGTGCTGATGACCTATTCGAGCCCGTCATCGGCGATGATCGTACTGGATGGACAGACCCATCTTCGAGATATAAGCTGACCGAAAGTGCAATCTCCGTTGTACCTCGTCAATGTATTTATCTCATGGCACCCTCGGTAATGCTGAACATCCTAATGGAACTGCAAAATGAACTGTCAGGGACGTTACGGTCCGTAAGCTCAGGCTCAGGCTTAGGCCCATCGTCACTTACAGCCGTGTATAACGCAGGCAGCGGGAATGGTACACTAGAAGATGTCCAAGGACTATTCAATAACGTATCAGATGCGCTCTCACTCGTCATTCGTGCGAATGGTAATGCATCGTTCAACGATCCGACTTTTGGCATAGCCACAGAGCGCGCGACATGCATTGCCATCCAATGGCCGTGGATTACGTACTTTGCAGCACTGCTGGGTCTATTTGCTATATACACCGCTGGCTTCCTCATTCAGAGCCGTGTGGCACAAGGTCGACTGCTGCAATCATGGGAGAAGGGTAGTGATCGTGAGGGTAACAGCATATCGTTCCATGACTTCAAAGCTTCTGAATTGCCTGTATTATTTCACGGTCTCGATCATGGGGTGCTTCAAGAATTGGACGCTAGAGGCGTGCAGACGAATCGCGTTGGGGTGTTAGAGAAAGTAGCAGGGGGCATTATGGTTAGGTTAGTACCAAGGAAAGATGGGTGGAAGATTGCAAGAGCAGATAATAACCATGGAGATGAGATGGAACTGCGTTCAGGGGAAACCTGGAGCAGTGGAAGTAATACTATAACTGACGGAAGGAGTGGTCGACTGCACTACAGAACGAAAAGCAAAAGCGAAGCTGATGTGAATGTAGTTGGATGCCTGTAATGTAGCCTTCGTACATATATACGGGTCTAATTGCTTTCAAGGACAGTTAGCATTGGAGAGTCTCACTGTCACAACTCTTTCTTCAAAGTTCACCACTCGGACCTGTGGACTGGTATATGTGTCACATAACGGGTCATCGAATCTGTTATTCCACAGGTAAACCGCCGGCCCTATATGTCTTTCAAAGTAACGCGCAAGTATGTTTTCGGTCCATATTGGTCACGAGGAAATAGTTGGACCAGTTATTAGTAGTAGAGCCAATAGCGTTACAAACTGGCTGAACAGACGTTTTCGGTGTCGATTTATCTGAACTGGTCACTCAGGTAGTTGTCCAGGGAGTTGCTGGTGATTTGAATGTCGTTCCAGGAGTCAGTCCGCCCGAACTAGTTGAATTGATATCTAAGAAGTTCTCCGAATGGGTTTCCAAAGGGGTTTCCAAAGGAGCTGCGAAGGCATGACTGTGGATTTAACAGCTAGTCCGCTCAAACTGGTCTCCGGAGTTGTTGTGAAAGTCAAAGGCGGGGATGTGGACGCAGGAGCCACTATAGAGGTTGAGACAAAAATGGATGTCAACAGAGTGGAACTTGACAGTAGGGTCGAGGCGGTTTGTTGGTATGATGGTGAGATTGTTACTTGTCGGCATCGCGGAGCTTACAGGGCAGCATTTTTCATAAAACATGAAGTCATAAAATATGAAGACATAAAATATGAAGGGACCATTGTCCGCGTCTCACTAGTCATTTCCCACGTTTGACCAGTCGCAAACTCGCAGTAGCCAATTTCAAAGTCTACACGATTTTGGTGAAAGTGAGTACGCTTTGCGTGATATGTCTCGCTCACAGGGTTTTTTACATCCATCTTGCGACAGTTATTGTGCTGCTTTCGCAACACAGAGCGGTGCCCGGCCATAATTGCCAATTGTATGCTCCCACCCTCTTCGACCGCACGATGATGGAGGGCACGACGTCCGGTTCTATAAGAGATTGATCTCGAGTCGCCGATTCTGTTATAGCAAGCAGGGAAGTAGGATAGATCTTATTGCTGGATCCATAAACAAATAGAGAATGTGAGTCAATGTCTACAACACATGCTATATGGAGGAGTCATGGCCAGTCTACCTCTTTCGTATAATGTTATAAGAAGAATCGAAGAATGAAATTACAGTACTCTGACATGTAGCTCTTGTATACACTGGCTTACTCAGAGAATTATAGGCTCATTACACTTAAACGGAGCCAGGTATATGTCAGACTAGCGCGATTAGATCATGCCTATATATGTCCCGCAGACTGATATTGGGTCAAGGACAGAGCCATAGTGCGATATGTTCTCTACAGATACCTTTGTTTATGCTTTAGCTGATCAGCATAGTAGAGCAGCAGTACCTAGAGAGGGCGTCAGGGGGGATTTTTGTCCACACGTATCATTACAGAGTTGGAATCCCGTCACAGGAGACGCGATGATGCACGCTGCTTGCCCTAGTCCTGAGGGCTCCGATGAAACATAGTTCATGTAGCAGGCTAAAGGTTGGTTACATCGAGAGATTCTACCATGGGTACTGCGGCTACGCGAGACTTACTTTCGAATTGCTTGTCTTTTAAGAAATAATCACGGCCTCTCATTAAAGTAGAGGCGCTACTAGTTCAAGCATCCCGTGGTGTTTGGCCGGACCTGCAACTTTGCGTGATAAGTAAGAGTAGCTTCATCCTATTACGAACTGTCCGGTTTAAAATGATTTACTACTATTCTCTCACCATCCACGGTAGCCATGCGAGACTGGCTAAAGGCCTTGCAAGGCTCGTGTCCCTAGCATAACTGGCTAAGACAGCTTCTTATTTAGGTTAAATTGTCGTTAGTGCTATTACCAGTCTAGGCTAGCGCCATCATAGTGAAGGTCTACCGTTCTACTAGTCGCTCTCTTCAAGACGGCCAGAGTGGGCGAGCATTGATCTCAGTGAGCCAAGATATGTTCTAGATGCTATGTATTACACTATGATCAAAACATGTGTTCCTTTGAGGTTCACTTGGCGATCAAAGATGTTGAGGCGAGCTTAAAAACATAAAAAGCATACAGGAAGGTATAATGACTGGTGGGATTTCACTCGAGAATATGTACATATATTCATGGTTACACGAGGCATGCTGTGTCACTGTGAGCTGGTACTGATCAGAAAGGCGTCAAGCAAACTAAAATTATCATGTATGACTGCAGTCTGCAAGCAGCGGAAGGCCTATTAGAGTTGTTAACGAAGCCACTATCATGATTTATGCATGTCATTACCTGCACTACAGAGATTCAGTTGTTAGGTGTACTGCGCCATGACTTATCGATCATGTCGAGACTCGAGTCATCGTTTAATATATATGTTGATACAGATGTCTGCGACTATTATTGCCCCTTCAACTTATGACGGAGGATGTCAATTCAAGTCGTGCACAGGCCATGCTTACCTGAAGCCGGGCGCCTTTGTTTCGTCGAACCTTGGTGTTTCGAAATCGCAGTGGATAATATCGTTCATCTCGTTTAGCTAGAAGCGGCTAGCAAGTTTCACTTGAAGCCACCACCGAGATCAAGATCCCACTTTTGAGCGCTCCAGCTTCATCATCTCGGACTATACACAGCATAGCTGACGGGAGTTTTTCCGTCTAGTAGTTTCCGCCTACCAGGCGTTCATGATATGATACCGCCACAGTGGAACCTACTTTATGCCACTGGTTCGCACGCTTGATATGGACGATAGTCCAGGGTCGTGGTAGCGCTTGATGAAGCACGAGTAAGGCACAACAATGACAGGCACATCCACCCCTTTGTACTACCTCGCCAGATATTTGGACCGTATAAGAATCAAAATGGCCGTCGGTAAGCTTTCAGGTATTTTCACTATCAAGTGGCATCACTCTTTCTCCTCTTCAATCCATTCATTTCTCAGGTCATCAGTACCTACCACATTCGTTCAATATTGTTCATCATGAAGACACTTTCGACTATCTTGGCCCTGGTGGCCGCTGCTGGTATAGCCAACGCACATTCTACGGTGATGGCTGTCTGGGTGAACGACGTGGATCAAGGCCTTGGGAACAAGGCTGATGCGGATGCGTACATCCGCTCACCCCCAAATAACGATCCTATCAAGGATGTTACGTCTGCATCTATGACTTGCAACGTCAATAATGCTGCAACCGCGAAGTCTATTCAAGTCAAGTCTGGAGACGAGATCACTTTGTACGTTACAAGCCCTCACATCGGTAGTAGTCTTTCTAATTGTGCCTTAGCGAGTGGCATCACAATGGTCGAACTGACTCAGACGACATCATTGACAAGTCCCACGTCGGCCCTGTCATGACCTACATTGCACCCGCTAGCTCCAATGGTGAAGGAGATGTATGGCTGAAGCTTGCTGAGGATGGATACGACGGAACGAAGTGGGGTGTTGATCGTTTAATTGCCAACAAGGGCAAGCATTCGATCACGGTTCCCAATATCGCTGCTGGACAGTACCTCCTTAGGCCTGAGATCATCGCGCTTCACGAGGCTAACAACCAAGGGGGCGCTCAGTTCTACATGGAGTGTGTTCAGATCGAGGTTACCTCTTCTGGTGTAACAGTAAGCCTCACAAGCCAGAAACCGCGAGTTTCTTCACTTGCTAATATAAGCAGACCCTCCCTGCTGGTGTCAGCATTCCAGGAACATATACTGCCACTGATCCCGGAATCCTCTTCAACGTCTACAATAATGGAGGCCAGCCCTATCCTACCGGAACATACACTATTCCTGGCCCGGCTGTGTGGGACGGTGCTAGCTCGGATACAGGCGGCGATACCTCTCCCTCCGATACTCCCGTTGAGACACCTGCGCCCGCAACATCAATTGTGGAGACACCCGTACCGACCTCAGTCGTCGAGACTCCTGTACCATCATCAGCATATGAGGATGAACACGAGCCAGCTACATCAGTCATAGAACCTGTTCCTACTTCTGTTTCAGCCCCTGAGCCGAGCTCAGGTCCGACAACACAAACTCCCAAGCCGACCCCAAGCACAGTTCCTACGACGTTCGTGACTTCTTATGTGAGCAGGACTTATTGCACGTCCCCTTCATCGGCTCCTGATACGGGAGTGGCTGTTGCAAAATACGGTCGCTGCGGTGGCTCTGGATACATCGGCACGACTACCTGTGCAGACGGCTTTGTGTGTAAGGTGCAAAACCCCTACTACTCGCAGTGCGTTCAAGCTTGAATTGACCAATCTTTTGTCTTGCTTGACACAGCTTCTTCTGACACGGATTTGCTCTGGATTGAGTAGGGGTGCTCAAGTTCAATTCGTACTACCAAAAGTGGCTTATTTTGGATACTTTCTCCTGTAGATATATATATTATAAAAACAAATCTTTATCGAGATGACTCACAAACACGCAACGTTCTTCTGATTTTCCATTAAACAGTTGATGAGAGCGATGCGTTCGTGGTGTCGAACAGAATTGGACTCAGTTCTACATCTGAGAGTCGCTGTGATTATGCTCGACACCGAGTATTATCGATGCGCAGAGCTTGTTTGTTTATTGGGAAATGAAAGAGCCAGACGGGCAATGATGTAAACGACCGAACTTCCAGTCTAGTCTCAGAACGGCAAAACACACACACGGACCACGTACGCGTTCACTCCTCCGCGTCTCCTCCGCACCATGAGCTCTCACTCTACAGTCCACACCAACTTCAATCGCACAGCTGCAGACATAATGACCCTCACAGACCACTCTCACCCTCCCCCGCCCTCTACAATCCGCTATATTATCTCCTTCCTCCTCGTCGGCCTCTGTTGGGGTTTCACAACACCATTCATGCGGCGCTCCGCTAAAGACTATACTCCGCCATCTCGACCTTGGCTCGCATCCCAGCCTTCAGTCAAACGCACTGTATACACAGCGTGCTTCGCAGTCAACGATCTACTCCGTAGGCCGGGCTATGCTATTCCGCTGTTACTGAACGTAACCGGAAGTGTGTGGTTCTTTCTTTTGATCGGAGAGGCGGAGTTGAGCTTGACGGTGCCGATTGTGAATAGTGCGGCGTTCCTGTGGACGGTTGTGGGTGAGTGGTGGGTTGAAGGGAGGAAGATCGGTGCAGGTGAGTTCATCCGATGGGTCGGGAATTGTTCCACGGAGCAAGAAGGGCTGATATGTGGCAGACACATTGGTGGGCATGGGTCTTGTTGGTGGTGGGATTGCGCTTTGCGTATTGTCTAAGAGCTGAAAATTATGACGACCGATCATGTCTATCTACAACGGTATGTCATACAGTCTGGGAACTGAAGAGCGGATGTGAAGATGATGCTACGCAGCAATCAGCCGCGTAAAGCCCTCCTCGGGCGGTTGCAGCCAGTTCTGCGCATCATACGTCTTCTCACCCTCGATCACATGGAACGTATATATAATGCGACTCTTCCCACTGGTGTTCCGCTCGCTCTTATGCAGCAGATTCCCATGGATCAACACTAGACTGCCCGCTTTGACCTCGCCCATCGTATACTCCTCCTCTCTACCCTCGCCCTCCTCTGTCCGGCTCAGACCTTGAGGAAACTTCTCCCACGAATTATCCACAAACGTCGTCCCATTATCACCAGGCTTTCGCACGAACCTCTTCCGCACCGGCTCCCGCTTATGACTCCCACTCGCAAAGCTCAGACACCCGTTCTGCACCGTCGCATCCTCGAGCGCATACCAGAATCCTACGGCGCTAGGCGGGTTTGTGAAGAGAAATGTGCTGTCCTGATGCGGTGGTACGGCGCCACCGATCTCTGGTTGTTTGCAGATGACCATACTCTGTAGGACGCGCGGGTCCTTGAAACCCAGATTTCTTGCGATGGCGGCGTTTTGGGTCGAGATAGAGGCGGCGCGGAAGGATGGTGACAGAGCGTGTAGATAATGTCCGATTTTATTGATAGCGCGGTGCTTCGGCTTGAGGAGGGTACCTGAGGCGTCGAATGCGTCTATAGGTTGTATGTTAGAGATGGTGTATTGGACCTTGGAATTTGCGATAGAGGATAGATGTAGATACCTTCTTCGAAAAAGAAGCGCACTTTATCGCCACTTTCGAGGAAGTACTTGTCGCCAACATGATCCTCACCGTCGTCGCCACCGGTGGAGAACTTTGTCATTGGGTGCTCGTCTAGACTGAACTCATCGAGCATCGTATATGTCTCTTGGAGAAGTGCAGATACAGTGCTTTGGTCGAGTGCGTCGGGGATGATGAGGTAGCCGTTGGTGTCCCATGTTTTAAGCTGCTCTGACGTGAGACCATAAGCGTCATCATTTACAACCATACTGAGGGATTGACGGTATAGCGAGGAGCGCGAGCTCTTGCGTCCAAGATGCGAGGTGTAGGCAGAGGTAGGTTTGCGGGGGCGCATTTGGTATCATCCGCCAGCTCGGGAGCTCGAAAAGCCCCACATGCTCGGGATCATTGATAGGAGACAGAGTAAATCTACTTCAAGCAGAGTGAAAGATTGTGATAATCTGCACGCAATAGCGCTGGCTGATAAAGATTCGTCAAGAACTGTTCAATGTCATAACATGGTCCTGAAAGTGTGCCATCCACGAGAACCGGGCAATCGGCTCTTGGATTACAAGGATCTGCTGCTTAAAGACTGTAATATTGCACAAAAATGACTTTCTCAGTTGCTAGTTCTGCCTCTACATCGTTTTGCGTTAGAAATTTTTGGAGTATCGGCTGCTGGTTGCGCAAAACCAGTTCATTGAGAAGCGCAGGATTCCTTCCCATGGGTGTCAATGTATCGTGATTGTACCTGACTTCTTCAATTAGAATACACCTCCGCAAACGCAATTGTATGCGATTGATGTCTTTTCATACATCTATCCTAACGCCTTTCGCCGCCCGTGCTTTTCAAAACTCCAATGCGTGATGGTACATCTTCCTTCGAATCTCTAACGTATTGACTACTCGCGCTTGAAAGGTGGCCCAGGAGGACCACCAAATTGACCTCCAGGCGGCGTCGGCCCGCCGTGAGGAGGCATACCGAATGGCATGCCACCAGGTGGTGCGCCTGGGGATTGACTCATGCCAGGTCCTCCGGGTCCCATGTTTGGAGGGAAGAAGGCTGGCGGCGGGAAGCCATTCGGTGGCGGAAATGGCATCCCCTGGGGTGGTGATCCGCCTGGACCGTTCATAGCACCAGGAGGGAAAGGAGGCGGGAAAGGCATACCGTTCGGACCTGGGCCAGGAGGTGGGCCCCCATTCGGACCAGGAGGCATGTTTGGCGGCGGAAAAGGGAACGGCATACCACGTCCCCCAGCTAAGAATTGATCAGCAAGTACCTCATAGGAATCGAACGTATAAGAATATGGAAGGTCATGGATGGATGTGATAACTACCCCATGTGTCTCTGGGAGGTCTATTTGCAGATCTCATGGGCTCATTATATTGGTGATAGGTATCGTGGAACTGGTTGAAATTGCTGAATGGAACATTGAACTCACGTCCTCCAGGGCCTGGCATTGGAAACGGCGGTGGCATACCTCGACCTCCTAGAACAGAATTTAGGAGGTGCAGATTAAGAGACACACACGTCAAGACATACCTGGGGGTGGGAATGGGAACGGGGGTGCACCGAAACCACCAGGAGGCCCGGCCATGGGTCCAACAGGTTGTTGTAGCATTGGATTTTGTGCCTCTTGACCAGCGGCCGCGTATGAGTTTGTGATCGAGTCTATGACACTCTGCGCTTTTTCGTGTCCAATCTCTGTAAAGCTGTTAGCTGCCTGCTCCAACATCTCAGCTCTATTGGGGGACGCTCGTTGATAATAGTCGACGACATTGCGGAGGTGATTCCTTCCACTGTTGTGCGCTTTTCGTACACTCATAGAGTCATGTGTGAGGTAGACATCGCAATAGTCACCTTCTGTCTGTCAGCATTCATGGCTTCGGCGCGTGGTGCGGAGATGAGGCGGAGGTGACCCTACAGAAGAGTAAGGAATAGTTAGCTAGGCGCGCGGTGTAGGAAGGTGGTGTGACTTATATTTCGGCATCTTGATCAGATTGTAAAGCTTTTGAGCGTTTTGCGACCCTTCCTCGGATAGGTATTGTGTTGTCGACAGTCAATGAAACCTCAACCTAAAGTCGCGTCGGTACGAAAGCTATCAGTTTCGGCACAACTTCGGAGCGCCGGCTACTTGACGTGGACGCATGTTTTTTTTGCTTTCATGCTTCTCCGCCTCGAAATACTCAATTGTGGTATATTGTAAAGCGGGGTGAGCTTTTTATGATTCAATATACTGCTGTGAATCCTAGCATTGTTCTTATAGCTATACCTTACACGAACCACCTGGACAGGAGACGAAAACAAGAGTCGCGTGCGAAAGTGGCGGGCCAAGCACTGGGGGACTCTGGAGAGCAAAGCCCCACAAAAAAATCTAGAAGAACTCTTGGTGTGGCATATCAACATACTACCTAATAGTCCTGCGACGACGAGTAACGCCAATATCTCCACGTCGCAGCGATGGCGACAGACGTGACACGACTGGAGCCCGTCCGCGGTGCTAAGCGGATCTCATCAATCACAGCCGAGGAGCGCTATTGGAAATCTTTTTCGTCGCAGCTACAATTACCCTCGCCAAATTCTCAACACGTTACCTATATTTCACATCCCCCGCCTTCTTCCAATTCTCTGGTGTCCCCGACACCTGAGGTCTTTGCAGTCACCGCCGGTCAACGTATACAGATATTCTCATCCCGGACAAGGAAGCTGTTAAAGACCATAACGAGATTTAATCCAGAAGACATTGCATACAGCGGGACAGTACGTCGCGATGGCAGGATACTGCTTGCTGGCGGGAACAATGGTGTTGTCCAGGCCTTCGATGTAAACTCAAGAGCTATCTTGAAACAATTCAAAGAGCACAAACAACCCGTATGGTGCACGCAATGGCATCCGCGCGACCTCACCACAGCAATGAGCACAAGCGACGACCAAACCGTCCGCCTGTGGGATCTTCCCAGCGATGATAGCACCCATAAGTTCTACGGCCACACCGACTACGTCCGCTGCGGGACCTTTATGCCCGGCCAAACCGACCGGCTACTCGTCAGCGGCAGCTACGATACCACAGTCCGTCTGTGGGACCCGCGAACGACAGGGAAAGCAGTAATGACGTTCAAGCACGCGGCAGCCGTCGAATCCGTTCTTCCACTCCCATCTGGCACGACGCTGCTCGCTGCCGCCGGGAACACTGTTTCTGTCCTAGATGTTATCGGCGCGCGGCCAATCACGCAGCTCAAGAATCACCAGAAAACTGTTACGACTATGGCACTTGCGTCCAGGGGCACTCGTCTGCTAACGGGTGGTCTGGATGGGCACATAAAAGTGTTCGAGACCGCGGCGTGGAATGTCGTGGCGGGCTTCAAATACCCTAATCCCATCTTATCCCTCGACGTTATCAGCTCCGGCGCAAAGCAAGAAGACAAACACATAGCCGTCGGCACATCCACAGGTCTTGTTAGTATCCGCACACGTCTGTCCGCACAGCAGAAACTCCAACAGCGCGAGCGAGAACGCGAGATGGATGCCTTAGCCGCCGGACGGATAGAGGAATACGATAGGAAAAAGGGCAAGCCACTAACGAGCATGATGAAGAAGAGGCTACGTGGGAAAGACTTCACAGGTGAGGGAGTGGATATCGTGGTTGAAGGGCCGAACCGAGGGAGGCTGAGGGGGGCGACGAAGTGGGAGCATGCGTTGCGAAAAGGGCAGTTCGAGGAGGCGTTGGACTATGTGCTCGACCCGGTACGTTTGGCCCTATCCTTTTCTTCTTATGCATACTTGCCATCTTGAGGCTGATATGTAAAATGATGAACAGACGCTCAACTTTAAACGCCAAGACTGCATGACACTCCTTACCACCCTCCGCCACCGTTCCGCGCTCCGTGCTGCTCTACAGAATCGCGATGAAGTTTCACTACAGCCCATCCTGGTCTTCCTTCGCAAGACGATCAGCGATCCGCGGTTTGTTAAGCTCACCACAGACGTAGCTATGGTATTGCTAGATATCTATGGACCGCATATGGGGCTGAGCCCGGAGATTGACAAGCTGGTAAAAGACTTGCATGATGCTGTTCGGTTGAACTTTGAGATTGCGCAGTGGGCTTGTAGTATCACGGGAATGGTGGACTTGTTAATGGTAGGGGCAGAGAATCGAGATTGAAGGGTAGGCTATGAGAAGAATCTATTTTTACAATGCATAGCGGAGGCGTCTATTTTCAGGCAGCATGGCTATTGTGGCCGTCCTGTTGGATTATTAGATACAGGCATCTTGTACAGGCTATACTTATACCGTAAGACTCTTGATATTCTGGGTACAGCTGACGTATGTCCATCGACCAAGTGTATGATACATGTGGCAATGCCACTAGAAGTATGTACAAGAAATCGTCACCACAGGCAGTGCTGATGTTGGAATGTGACGGGCCGGTCTGGGAGTTGTGTCCAGGGTTTCCTCTGGGCACGCTTTGCCTCGCGCTCATTGTGTTCTCGTATGCGGGTCTTTTCTTCCTTCAACTGCAATACAACACCTGCAATCAACATTAGCTACTTTCCCGCAAAGTAGGTACGGGCTCTGTATCAAACTTACGAGATTGTCGATGCAGAATCCTGTTAACCTTTCCTTTAGCACGAAACTCCACATCTTTCATATGCTGGCCTTTCTCAACCCATGCCTGATCAAGATAAAGTCCCGTTTCGTTTTTAACCTTGTGCTTCCTTCCGTCCTTCAATACGATATGCTTCTCCTGCCCTTTCGGGAGATCTGTGCCCAACCCCATACCAGATTCTATAACTGCTCGATTTCTCACCTGTTCTAAAAGCAGGCGTAGGCTCAGAGCGTAGCGCTTCTTGCTAAACCTCATCTGCGCTTCGGCCTCCTCGAGCGTCTTGCCGGCGACCTGCCGGGCTAGCAACATCAATTTCTTGGTGCTCGTGGAAAGATTAGCGCTCCTTTGAACCACTTTGCGTTCAGTCATGTTCAGGATCTCCTTGCGTGTCATGCTCCATTTTGACTGTACAGCGCGAGTTATTCTCTTGCGCTGATACAGTTGACGTTTGAGCGGCCGTGGATCTAATTTTAAGGCCATGTTGCTCCATCTCCGGTCTTTGATCTCAATAGGAACCGGGATGGAATCGGTGTTGTCACTCGGTGGTTGAATTTGTTCATACTTGACCGTGCCTCGAAGTTGCTCTTCAGGACTGATGTCCGGGTCGACTAGATATTGGGCCTTCGGAGGGCGAAACTCGGCGTCCCAAACAGAGCCCTGAGGTAAGAAGCTTGCTGGGCTGCTAGGCATCGAGTCTCTGCTGAGGTCAATATTTTTGTCTTCGGCTTTTGAGCGTTCGTAGGCTTCGAGGTATGGATTGGTGAAGCGGTTGGTATCCGTTGTACTCTTATTCGTTGGCTGAGTGTCGGTTTTTGTCTTGGGCGTGGCCTTTGATCCGGAGGAGGCAGAGCGGATTTGTGTCACAGATCGGATTGGGAGTATGAAAGTATGGCTATGGGGATTGATGAGCGCGGTGACTGCGACATTGGTAAGTGTTTGGAGCTGTTGAGAGAGTCGCATACTGACCTGGACGTGTCAGCCGCCGCGACTGCGTTCGTACACTCATTTTAAGAAATGCAGCAATCGATGCCAGAGCTTGGAAGCTCTAGAATCGAGATGCGGTGATGTTGTGTCAGATGTCGAAGTTCTCGGGGGTCGGACTTTTCGAGCATCACGTGCGCCCAGAGTTCGGCGTGCACTTCACCTGCACGTCCGCCGACGGTGCTGCATGCACGCGAAAATGGCGGACTGAGGCCTGGAAGGGGAAGAAAAGGGTTCTAGGCCTAGAAGACTAGAAGAGGTCTTCGATTTGTGTTATTATAGACCGAAGCTGTTTTCACCCATCATCTTCATCTTTCGACGCTGAAAGACACCGTGATCGCACGTGTCTAACCTCCTCTTCCTAATATTACATTCATCTGCTCCTCTACTCGTCGTCTCCCTTTCCACCATCGCCATCCCCGACTCATTCTCCTGATGAAGGCTGTAGACTGTCGTTGCTGTCTTGCCCCCGCGAGTTTTTGCTTGGGCACGTAGGACTTGACTCCGAACTGAAGCTTTCCCTGCATCCACAACTCGCACGACTCGAAGAGCAGCGACCGCTTTAAGGTGGCAGCGCCTCTATCTGTCGTCCTCACCTCCACCGTCGCTTTCGCCATGGACATCAACTCCTTGTTGTCACCGTCGGACACCCCTAGCAGCGGAACTCCTCCCCCCGCGCAATCCTCGAATACCTCGTCCCCTGCTTTGAACCCTGTTCAGTCGCCAAACAAACCGCGCCAGCAACGTCCCGCGAAATCTAACAAACGAAACTCCTCTGCGCTCAGCCAGCAGCTTCACTATAACTCAAATTCGCTACCAAGTCCGAATGACCCTCCCTTGACTCCGCTGTCGCACAGAGATCCACAGCCGCAGCCTGCTTATCCTCTCTCGAGCCCGTCCGTGACAAGCGCGCCCGGTACAAACGGTCGAATTGGAAGTGCAAGCGGCACACCACCGTTGGGTGAACGTGGAAGTCTTCCGCCCTTACGATCAGGCAGCATCGATACTTTGGCAGGTGAGTGGACTTGCGCTGCAACAGCTGTTTTTATTGCTCGCTAATCGCTGTGCCGTAGATCTTGCATTGTTACAGCATCCACAACAGGCATACCCGCACGCTCGGAACCCACCGTTAAAGTACTTGGATTCTCCTTGCTTTACAAAGATTCAATGGACTAACGCACCTTCTAGCTTACAAAATCTTTCTCGCTCTCTGTCTGCGCAATCTTCGACAAAAGATATTGTGATGGCGGAAAGATCTCCAAAGCTACTTAAGTCTTTGACGTCCCAATTTGTTTCATCAGAAGATTCGACCTTACTTTCCCAACTTGTTCAGCAGCTTCATGACAAGCCGCTTGATCATGCCGCCCATCTTGAATACATCCGTCTTCTAAAGCAGGGCTTGACCGCGACCTTAGAAGCTGGCTATTCTGCCTCCAGCTATGAGCTCTTTGAAGATCTTCGTGAAGCAAGAAAGAGTATGAGCAAGAATTATACCCTCGGTGAAGACCTTTGGCTTGATTGGGTCAATGACGAACGTCTGGCCGTCCAGACTACCGAAGATCGCCTCACTCTCATGGAGTTGTACAGTCAGTGTACCGAAGAAGAGCCTGCCAGCTCTAAGATCTGGAGGAGCTACGGTGACTATATGTATGACCTATACGCTTCGGCAAACCAGATGGCCGATGCCGATAATTGGTCCGAAGAAGATCGTATTGTCGGTATGCATGTCTTCACGTGGGACGCGATGATCAAAGTATGGGACGAAGGTCTCATTGCGACTCAATGGCATATCAACGGCAGCCAACTCGTATGGGATAGGTATATTCAAATAATTCTCGAACACCAGCGCAACAGCCCTTCGGACGACACTGTTAGGCTCCTGGAGAACATGTTTGCTACTCGCCTGATGAAGCCTCATATCACTTGGCAGAATACCTTCGATCTTTATTCGGAGTATATCTCGAGCTGTTTTGGTAGCAGCTATGAAGAAATCATGCGAACTGCTACCAAGCAAGCAAACCAGGTCAAGAAGCAAGTGAGGTTACGTGATCCTTTCGAGCATCGGATTCAGGTGGCACAACAAGATGGCAACAGAACGGGTGAGTGGGATGCACTGAAAACCTATCTAGATTGGGAGATCAAGCACAAGGGGGTCTTTTCCTTCGATCTTATCAATGGTCTGTTTGAGCGAGCTACGACTCGTTTCTCGACAGACTCGTCTTTATGGGAAGACTACGTCGAATTCCTGATAGAGAACCCGGCCCAAAGCGTATCTGTACTCAGCGTGGTGGAGCGCGCCACTCGCCACTGCCCGTGGTCAGGCGATCTATGGTCACATCGTCTGTTGGCCCTCGAGGCGGAGAAACAGTCTTTCGAAGAACTTGAGAAGGTGAAACACAAAGCCACAGAGTCAGGCATGCTCGATCAAGGTGGTATGGAAGAGCTTTTGAAGGTTTATGTCTCCTGGTGCGGGTTCCTTCGACGCAAGGCATTCGAGCGCAGCAGCGCGACCGACGACGATATAGACGTTGCTGAGGTCGGTATACATTCTGCTCTTGAGCACGTCAAAGCCATCGGCCAGAAGAAATACGGACCTGATTGGCAAGGTGATCCAATGTATCGATTGGAGCGCATCCACATAAAGTTCTACACACAGTCCGGGAACACTAACGCAGCACGAGAGCTTTGGGAAGGTTTGATACCGCGTCAGAAAACTAGTTATGATTTCTGGTATCGATACTACATCTGGGAAATGGTAATCTGGTCTAAGTTCAGTACCAATGATAACGCCGGTACACAGCTGAGGCCGCCATACGAAGCGACAGCTTTGCTACGCAAAGCTCTCAAACAACACCAGATCATGGACTGGCCTGAACAGCTGGTGGCAATGTTCCTGAACCACTGTGAACAACATGAATCTGTCCAAGAGCTTCGTACTGCCATCATAGAGTCCAGACGGGTCAGCATTGAGGTGGCAAAGAGGCGTCGCCAAGAATCTACCTATGGCGAGGTACCCATGGAGGATTTACAGCATCAAGAACCACAAAGCAAGCGCAAACTAGATGTTGAAGGCGCTGTGGAACATGGTCAGACTGTCAAGAAGTATCGAACTGACGATGAAGCTGAGCCCGTGTATCAGAGCGACGAAATGGTAATCGATCACATATCCGCCACCGCCCCCTCCAAACGTGACCGCGAACACACGACTATCATTGTCAAAGGATTGCCCATCGATGCGACCGACGTAAAGGTCCGACAATTCTTTCGAGATGCTGGAACTATCGTTAGTATAACCATTTCTAAGGAGAAAGACTCACAGACTGCCGTCATCGAGTTTGAGTCAAAGCAAGAAGCTCAATACGCGCAGCTGAAAGACGGCCGTGAATTTCATGGTACAGAAATCGAGGTCAAACTAAGTGTCGAAACTACGTTATGGGTCACGAATTATCCCAAAATCGCGGATGAAAAATACATTCGCGGTTTGTTCGAGCCTTATGGAAAAGTCGTCTCTGTCCGCTTTCCCTCACTGAAGTTTGATGCCAGTCGACGCTTTTGCTATGTCCAATTTGACTCCAGCGACGCGGCACATGCTGCAACCGCTCTTCATGGTCATCAAATTGACGAGAAACACGTACTCAGCGCTAAGATCTCGGATCCATCCATGAAAAAGATGGCAAAGGGAGGGCCAACTGTGGAGGGTCGTGAGATCTTCATTCGCAATATAAATTTCCAGGCGTCACCTAAAGAGTTCGAAGAACTGGCAAAGACGGTCGCTGAACCTAGTCATTTCCGGCTTCTACAAAAGCTTGGCCAAAGGTCCAAAGGAATGGGTTTCGTGGTCTATCACTCAAAGGTCTGTTGTCCCAATTGCCAAGTGAAATATCGTTCATTAATGCCTTCACATAGCAAGACGCAGAAGCTACTGTCGCCGCTCTCCACGACACGCCATTCATGGGTCGCAACCTGATTGTTAGTATTGCTGACCCTGACCACAAAACTAAAAACATGGTCGAGAAAGTCACATTAGGGACAACCTCGGAGGCCCAAACCCAAATCCAGAGCAATCTTAAGAATTACAAAGACCGTACCCTCTACATTCTCGACGTTCCCGACACCGTCAACACCGCGCGCATCCGTGCTATGTGCGAGGAATATGGCCCACTTAACAAGATCACAATGCTGCGTGACAAGTCCGCTGCCATCGTCGAATTCACTTTGCTCGCAGACCACGGCAAAGCCGAGCTCGCAATTCATGGATATGAGATTGAGCCAGGCTTCAAGTTGTCGCTGGGTACCGTGCGTGATGTCGACCGGGGCAAAGCATGGCTCCGCAATGATCGCTTGAATTGGAAGCCGCAAGAGGAATACAAAGCTCAGCATGTAAACCCTAAAAAGGCAAAGGCAAAGGAACTCAAGGATGTGAATATGGAGAAAAAGGCCCCCAAGGTCATTGGCTTGGTCCCTACCAGAGGACTGTTAACACGACGCGGTCGTGGCGGCGGGCTCGGTATCAGAGGAAAGGCTACAGTCCCAACGAGGCCGGCAGCTGCGGAGGACGATTCCGCTGTCGTAGATGATCCCATGATCCAGTGTGAGGAGGCGGCCCCTGAAGTGAGGCGCGCACCGCCGAAGTCAAACGCGGATTTCAGGGCTATGATTATGGGTAGCCAGACGAAGAATGCGGAGGGAGAGAAGGATGCTTGAACTCATCTGTGGATGATGATTTCGACTGCGTGCCAAAAACGGGGCATAAGTTGCTATTGCGATACTCATTCTAAAATCGATGCGAATCCGGCGTAACAATGGCGATTAGAGATACCTGAAGGAGTTTGCTCACGCGAACAGCTACATACTGCTTGTCATAGTAGCTTCTATAGGCAGAAGCTTGTGTCACTTGTCTCGGCGAATGGACGAAGGATACCATGGGATTCACAAATCGGATATGCTAACATGCAATGTATAGCCAAAGGGGTATACGCATATATAATCATGAATGTAAAAAAAAGTTCTCATCAATATTGCTGGCACTCATGCATCGTAACGGTATCATACTTTCCTGCCTCGACAAGCGGATCTACGGTTTCGGTCGAGGCCCAATAATCTGCCTCCTCCCTCCAAATCCAATCCCGGACCCAACCTTGTTTTGACTATCTCCACCTGTGAAGCCATACATATTGACGTCCCACGATTGGCCTGGCCCGGCGCCTTCCTGCTCATCTCTCCTCATCCCCTTCTTCTCTTCCTGTGCATCCTCCCATTCCTTCTGTCGCTCGCGCTCGCGCTCCATCTCGCGTTCAAGCAGTGACTTTGACGCCCAGCCGCCAGCCTTAGTCTTCTGTTGTGCTTGCATGCGACGTTGAGACTCGAGCGCATTCTCGGCGGCGGACGAGAGGGCGTGGTCCGGAGCGGAGAATGTATCGGGCTTAGGTGCCACTGGGGCGGGATTGGAGGCAAGAAATTTTGATGTGCGATTTGCAGCAAAAGGCGAACGGGGTTGGGCTGGTGGCGGTTTATAGGTTGAGGGATCTGGAAGAGGGCGAGATGGTGATGGAGGTGAGGCTACGGTTGTTGCGGGTTCAGGGAGAGGGCGAACTGGAAGACTCGGAGGAGTTGAAGGTCTGGCAGGGGTGGGCTCGGGGAGTGGACGTTGTGGTTGCTTCTGTTGTTGCTCTGTCCATTGGTTGCGAAGATATTCCCTTTCGTCGCCAACCCAGGAAACGTCACTTTCGCGCGGTGATACAGTTCGCTCTTTCGCTGCAGGTTTGCTTCGTGATCGAGAGCGAGGGGTGGGTTCTACAGTTCTTTGAGTACGTCGATCGGCTCGCTCCTCACGTTCTGCGAGATACTGTCGTTCACGCTCTTTGGCTTCTTCTAGTTGGCGTTCGAGCTCTCGCACTCGGTCACGTTCGGCAGTTTGTACTGGATCCTCAGTGCTGTTCCGGCGACTACGCGGCTTGGATGACTGCTCTGCTTGGTATTGGCTAAGGAACTGGCCGTGGAGGTGTGCATCATTAGTGGCACGTTTCCTTTCTGTTTCCTTTTCTATGTCTCGTTGAGTTTCTTCTTCCTCACGCCGCCTTTGTTCTTCATCTGCTTTCCACCGTCTTTCTTGCTCCTCCCATTCTTTTTTCTGTGCATCTACGCGACGCTTCTCCTCCTCCTTGCGGCGCGCAGTCGTTTCTTCCCATCGCCTTTCTTCTTCTATGCGCTCTCGTTCCTCCTCCTCTGCTATCTCACGCCGTCTCCTACTCTCAGCCTCTTCAGCGAGCGCCTGTTGCCGTTGCTCCTCAGCTTCCCTGTCCTTCCTAATTTTCTCCTTTTCTGTTAGACTTGGAACTTTTGGACCCGGGGTGGTGATTTGCCGTCTCGCTCCGAATGAGATCCCTTGGTTACCCTGACTAGCACCGCCCATATAGCCATACTGGTGAATGTTCCAAGCTGGGGTTGTCGATTTCTCATCCGCCTTTTTGCTCCAGCTGCTCACACCACCTGGTGGTGATCGCGTTTCATCTGTTGCTTTTGATGATGTAGACCCCCCAGTCCTCTGAGGTGTCACCGCTCTCTGCATCGGGTTGAAAGTGTTTGACCCGCCTCGATATGAGGTTGTACTCATGCTGCTTGCAGCACCTGCGCGGTTGGTATCGTAGCCACTGACTGTGTGATCACCAGTGGTCTTTGGACTCTGCATTCCTCCCGATTTCTTCGGCCCGATCGCATTGGGAAAGTTCCGGGGATTCAAGGAATTCGCAACCCGACTGAAAGCGCCAAGGCATTGTAGCACTTGCGCTGGATCTTTCGCTTCGTATAGGTCCACAGTGAGGAATCGATCATGAGCCGGGAGATTGAGGGGAGGTTGTTCGCAGGCTCGGAGGAAGTGAGATATGTTCTCCATTTGTATAAAAGGCATTGGTGACTTCTTGTACTTTACGCCTGGAGCAGGGACAGCAAGGTTGATGAGTCTGATCAATTTCTGTCAGTGAAAGTGCCTAGCGCTTCAGTCATAGTCCGCTTACTTGCACAGTGCCGTGCCATCTTTCAGTGCCTCTAGTATATCTCCAGCAGGCAACCTCTCGCCCAATACTGATTCTATCCATGTCCGTATTTCATTTGCCGCTTGTGGTGTATATCTACCGAGGCGCAGCTTCCTCATATCTTGGTCGAGAGAGGACACAGAAGCCATCTTGGCAAGCTCCCGAGAAGATCAAGGTTTTCGTAGGAAGTTCAAGAATGACGTGTGCGTTCGATTGCTGCTGGAGACTAGTAGAGTGCGCGCTCTGAACGTAACATGTAGATAGTTACCATATGCATGGGTACCAAAGAGAAGAGAACAAAGAAATTACGTCCGTATAGGAGTAAGATCAAAATAAAGGGACAGTGGTCGGGATATAAGATGTTGCGGAACGGAAGGTATGCGTATGCGGGGAGGCTAAAGTCAACCCTGCCTTCCTTCTGGCTCCCCAGCCACCGCTAGACTCTCTGAGCAGCCAGACGCCACACCTTTCGTCATCAATGCCGGCGCGTCCCTGACGTTTTGACGCGAGTGGGTCTGAAGAACTTTCGATATCATTGCGACGACGAAGCTTTAGGACGCCCTTGTTAAAAGCGTAATGGCCTCTCCGCCGGGCGCTTTAAGGCAACTATGGTACAAATGGAAAAAGATCAAATTACCGTGGCGGAGGCAAACGCTCGTCGGTACGTTCTTAGTCACCTCACCGTCGCGAATGAATAATCGTCTCGATATGACCTAGTACACCATCACTGACATATCACCAGGCTTCGATCTCGCGGGCAATACTTTCTGGGAGTTCAGAGATGTACTTCGATCTGGGCGTATGAGGCGTATAGCGAAATACCCATCCACAGCCTATCACAGCGACGTCAAAGTCACACCGCAATGGATGCAATGGTTACGGCACACTCGTGAAGACCCTCCTTCGCTTGAAGAACAACAGCAGGATGTCGTGCGACAGATACAGATGAGACAGTTGGCCCAATTAGCCGATGAGCGATGGGCAGCGAAGCCATCGGCCTTGGATCGACCAGACACGCAACAGATGCCTGAATTGCAGTCTAGCAGTCCAGCAGACTACGGTGTACAAACAGAATCAGATAGCATAGAAGGTGTTACAAGCTCAGCAAGAACGACAGAGGATGGCACACGGAGTCGGAATGGAAACAATGTGGACGAAAGTAGCATCAAGGGGCCAGCAAAGGGGAAAGAATCGCCGTGGAACACACCGCAGACAAGCAACCCTGGCGATGATTTCCAGCCACAAGCATGGACTCCAGGATCTGCGCAAAGAAGAGGTTGAGTAGACCTATTGTACATCATGTGGTATTCTAATGACTTATCACGAAATGTGAACAAGACGCTATACCTCCGTGAATGATGAGACCGAGAGGATCAGTTATTCCTTTCCCCGAAAACTAAAAATGCTAGTAGGAGGTTCGGTCAGTTCTCTGCCCACACTACTCTTAAGATATTTCACAGATCGCTTATGAAAGACTATAAATAGTCGAGAAATGTGCGCAAACAGCTATTGACCGCCCTATATAAGTCTTCTACCGCGTCCTAGCGCTTCCTGGTGTGAAAATGCTTTTTTTTGCGGGGATTGGCGCTTCGGCCTGACGAGCGCCAATCAAGACGTAACTGCGAAATATCGACGCTCACGAAGGACTTGGGCCCAGTCTCTACATATCGTGGAGCAGGTGCGTGTCGGTCACGTCTCCTGGTGGGACGATTCCCGTATGGCTCCGACACAGGCGGAGGAGGGGCCCCCTCTTGATAATGGTATGTTCCGTGCCGTTGTGGTGATTGACGTGGAGGATCTGGACAAGATGGTGCCTCTCCCGGGGAGGGTGGCAGCGACTCTAGTGTTCCATCCCGGGATCTATTGGCATTGCGGTGTGCAGCCTCCACGCCCTGTTGGAAGGACCCCCCCTGACGGGAGTTTCTACGTCTATTTTGAGAGTGATCCTCGTAGGAAGTCGTGTGGTGTGAAACGGGTCTTCTATGGATTGGGAAGCACATTGACGTGGTGTCTTAGGATCGAGTAGTACGCGGTGTTGGCTGTCCTCGTTCAGCAATGTCTAAAGATGCTCTTCGAGCTCCAACGAGGGAAATGTGGGAGTGCCAGGTGGTGTAGTTTCTGAATTTTTTTTTGGATCTGGGGAAACATCTATGGAAGTCCCGAGCAAGCCAATTTATATTGACTGCTGCTGTGGCAATGTCTCTCATGACAGCGATGTCTCTCCTGACAGGAATGTCTCTCCTGACAGCAATGTCTCTCCTGACAACGTATACATTCCTCACCTTCGACATTGTCATGAAGTTATGTTCTGAAGGAGCATGGCGCCTAATGAACCACAACAGGCCCGTACTGGAGGAGTCATTCGACAATTGTTGGCGATATGTGTTTGAGTGTGAAATCATCTGTGAAAGCTCTTCTCATACGGTCAAGTCCATTAAGTCATTTCATATCAGGCAGTCAAGCCCTTAAAATCTCCACATGCTGTTGATCGGCTAAGATCTTCTCGTCGACTTTCAATACCACGAGCACCATATTGATGCTCTGCATGGCCAACATGATTGCTCTGTTCCAGTGCTCATCTAGGACTGCTATCTCTCATGACATGGAAATGAAAGGTTTCATCTGCCTTGATATTGATTCAGGTATGATTCCTAGTCATGTCGAAGCTACAATGTCGAACTGCCGTGACAATCAAACCCGGACAATTTCAAGTCTTCAACGTATGTGCTAGACCAAGACTCTGTAGACTAGGGCATAGTGTCGTGAGCTAATGACACTTCGCTGTGAGCAGGACCTAACCCTATCGCCATTGTTCATAAAATCTCCTGTCCCGTCATGCTGTAGAATTAGCTCCAAGTTCTATAAAAGGTATCGTACAGAAACGAATGATGACCGAAACGCTGTGCGATGTATGAAATTTTGCTCAAGATAGGCTGAAAAGTTGCTGCTATGATCAACCAGCATGTCAAACACCTTGCCTAGGTTGCACCGGCTGCGAATACTCCGGCGCCGCACTCGCCTCATGCTCAACCGCCGGACTCTTGTACGCCGTCCCCGCATAATACTCTCCCGCAGCCCCATACACCGGCACCGGGTTCTGCTGCCCCAGCTCATGCCCGCCGGCACCGCCATAAGGTTCGTATGCCCCTGTCTGGTAAGGCTGCTGGCCCTGCTGGCCATGCATAAAGCCCTGACTTTGCCAACCCTGCGGCGCAGCCGGATTATGCGCTGGCTGGTACGCGCCCCTGAAAGCGCCCTTTTTCTGCTTCCGCTTTGTGATGATGGCGTATATTAGCATCAGGACGAAGAATGCTAGGACGATGATGGACCCGACAAGGCCGCCGGCGCCGGCGCCGCGCGTGGTATCCCAAATTTCAAGGCCGACCTGTACCATCCAGATGGTCGTTTGGATTGAGTTGACTACGACGAGCCATTTAGGGGTCAGGCTGTGGCGGAGGAATTTGATTACCGAGAGGATATCAAGGAGGAAGACGATGAGCATGATTAGGAAGAAGGCTACGGAGACACTGTATGTGGGATCAGTATGGCTTTTTCATGCTTCTTGAGATGTGGTGTGGCTTTACCCTAAGGCTACCTTCCAATTTACGTAGACTCCGTTTCCATTTATGTCGTCGCCGATGTAGCCGTCATCGTTTTGGCTTAGTTCGCGCGCTGATACAGAGAGGGCGATGATGGTTACGACTATGAGGATGCCGGTTATGACCATGCGGACAGCCCAGAGCGGGAGCAAAATTCGCTTCATCCAAGGGGTGCCATCTTTTTGTAATGACGGCATGGTGGGTATGGATGGAAGAGCTCAGAAGTCATAACACAGCTTTTATCGTAAATCGCGCAGACTTCTAGGGTTGATAATGACAATGGAGCAGGAGAATAATCTGCAAAACGAGCGACGAAGACGAGATGTATATCAGCGGGCAGACAGACGAGCAGCGGTTGCTGAGAATGAGTTTTAGGCCCCCTCGGCCGTCGAGCTGTTGATCCCTCGCAGCCCCCAGTCGGCGCTAATGTGCCGTTGGATGCTGTAACATGGGGCTAATTCACACCAATCAGCATATTACACCACGCCTCATTTGTTGATTCTGGGGATCCAACAATGTATTGAGTTATAGGTGACCAGGACCAGGACACAAGAGTAGAAATTGACGATGACTTAGATAGGATACGGCTATATGCTCTGCGTGTTGACACTGATCAGATTCAGAATCTAGATGACTGAGCTATCTCGAACATCTCCTACGCCATCCACATGGTAATTAAATGACCCATCGATCGGACCCTGAGCTAATTATAATTATTAGTCGCCGTCGCGAAAAGTACATTATCAATTTGCCTTACGGTATTGTACAATGCTGAACACCAGCCACAGTCCAAAGAGCAACAGATTCGTCAAGAAACCGAGACTGCTTCGCTTTCGCTATTACCTTTGTACATGGCACTACCGCTTGATTAAGACTCGATATTATATTCAATGGCAACATACTAGCCAAACAATGCGAGGACCGCAGTGGTGGAGAACAGCACAGCCACAAGTGGATCCTCCCCCAGCGCGTTTCCCTTAATCATCCGTGTGATTGATTAATTAGCATGCAAGGTGATTTTGATAATAGCTATCGAACACTAAAACAGCCAATAATTCTGGGGCTCAGACATGTATCGCCAGTCAGTCCTACATCGTGATGCATACCAGTCTGTTTTCACAGTGAATAGTCGAAGCAAGGGGTAACTCATGGCACTAAACGTTAGATTCCAATATTTAGTTGCCGCCCAAAAGTAGTTTCTGACGTTCCCCGCAAGAAGACATCTTGGTCTCGCATGACATGCTCGGTAACGTATTCAGTGATTGTGGTGTCATCATGTCCACTCAAGAACAAGCTCGTCAAGATGGAGATACATATGGTCTGCAGAGAAATACTCCATCTTCCATAAGGTATGATATCGGCAGTGCTATACAGCTACCGCGTAGTACCGAGAGTTGTGCTGACTGAAAAGACTTAATGCACAACACTACATCTGGAAAGATGCCGTTGGAGGCAATCTTCATTCACGCATTGCTGTCAATAATGCCTCGACAACCCGTGTTGCTGATATTGGCACCGGTACCGGGTACGTATCTGCTTCCTCCCTGACCATATGATACTGAGTAACGAATCAGCATATGGATGCATGACATGAAGCGGGAGTATCCTGCTATTCAGATCGACGGCTTCGACATATCTCTCGAGCAAGCACCACATCCAGCATGGCTACCTCCTGATATCCGCCTACATAAGCTCGACGTCACAAAGGCGATTCCAGATGAGTTTTGCGAACAATTTGACATCATTCATCTCCGCTTGTTTCTTGCTGTCGTGCAGGACAATGACGCATCTCCAATAATCAGGAATCTGATATCGATGTTGAAGCCGGGAGGATGGCTTCAGTGGGCGGAGCATCCATTTCAAGACCTCGGAGATGTGAGAGTCGAGGCGCCGTCTCCTGATGTATCGAGCACAGCCATGCAAGCCTACTTGGATCTTGCCCAAGCTGGCTCAGACAAAAAGTGAATCGTCTGGTCGTAGCAGAACTGAATGCACGCTGAACCTAACAGATGGGCTTGGGTCCCTAAACTACCGAGAACATTTAGTAGCCTTGGACTGATTGACGTCGAGTCCTCGAGTCCGCCATCAAAGCCGTATACGTGGTTGTATTCGACGCAACTCATCATGGGTGCTGTCCTCGAGATTTCCTACCAGATATTGGACAACAGTACTCCAGAATCGAAGGGTCCTGTCATGAGACGTATTATCGAAGCGGCATGCGGGGATATGAGAAATGGCGTGTACTTGACATATTCGCCGTTGGTGGTCATCGGTAGAAAGAGATTATAGTCGACATGTACCTACTCAATGAAATATTCGGCCTAGAGATGTAGCTGTTGCGTGAACGTTCAATCAGAAGAGTCTTTCAGAAATAGCCCTTTCGTGCTTATGCTTCTGCCAGGTGTATCCAATCTCTAGCTTCTTAACGACGTGTACGGTTCAGATCAATAAAGGCCAAAGAATCTATCTAAAAGGAGCCTCCATTCTTCTCCAAAGTGCTAATCACACTTGAAGAAATCCATGTGAGTTGGCGTGTACATGTACTGATCATGTATTGAGCAGACATCAGAAGGAACACGGAGGACGCGACGACACGACGCGTGACCGACCAGGGTCATGTGCAGACTCGAAGTGGGGCAGTGTGGGGCAGATAAGGATAGCTTGCGGTTTAAATCCAAATAGGCAAGAAGTGTTCAGGAATAAGGGTCCACAGGCAGTTGTTTCAGCTCGCGTGTTGGCGCCCCTTCGCATGTGACTCGTGAGTCGTTATCGTGATCATGTATGTGCTCAACTGATTTGAATAACACATACATGATCCTCGTCCCCTGCTTCCAAACACAACACTCAAAGCCCTCCAACAACTGTACATCAGCATGGGCTCTTCACAATCAAAGACCAGTGATGCTGCTATCCAAGAGAAGCTCATGGAGCGATTGCGAGCCCTCGAGGTAAAACACGAGGCCAATGTGGTCAACGAGAAGGACGAGTTTGTCATGGTCAATGGAGAGCTTCGTAGGTACTCGTCAGCCAGAAGCAAAGAAGACTGCTAAGATCCCATTTGCCAGCCCCCAAATACACCTCTACCAGACAAGATGTCTCGTTAGCAGCCGCCGAGGAATGGGAGAGAGAGCTGCTTGCTGATCCAAAGGTACGTCTATCAGTCGAGACAATGACGGCTCACACTTACCATTCTATAGAACCGATTAGCTCTCTCAGCCCTTACGTCGAACAGACTTCAAGACATCGTTCGCCAGAGAGGTGCAAAGATCGCCGATACCCAGACATTCAACATCCAGATCGACCTCGAAGGAGCTCCAGTAACCAACCAACGATCTTCGGGAAGATGCTGGATCTTCGCCTCCACAAACGTGTTCCGAGTAGCCATCATGAAGAAATATAAGCTGAAAGAATTTGAACTGTCTCAGTCATACCTTTTCTTCTGGGACAAGCTCGAGAAGGCCAACTACCTCCTAGAGAGCGTTTTGGAAACAATTGATGAGCCTCTGGACGGAAGAATGTTGCAAGCTCTACTCAGCTCTCCAGTTGGAGACGGTGGGCAGTGGGACATGCTTGCCAATCTTGTAAACAAGTATGGTCTCATCCCGCAGACATTATACCCAGACTCCTTCAACGCGCAATACTCCTCGGCCATGGACACTCTGATCACCACAAAGCTCCGCGAAGATGCCATTCGCCTCCGTAAATTAGCCTCCAAGGCATCAACCCGATCCGCCGTGGCCGCAACAAAGGAGAAGATGCTTCAGGAGATACACCTCATCCTCACCCTCATGCTTGGTCCTCCACCATCCGCGAATAAACCTTTCACATGGGAGTTCTACGACAGCGATGGCAAATTTAATTCAATCAAGACGAGTCCTATGGCATTCGCGAAAGAGCTTTCAGACACTCGTACTGTCCGTGCCTGCGGAGGAATGGATGTGCACCGGCTTTTCAGCCTTGTGAACGATCCGCGAAACGAATACAATACCCACCTAAGTGTGCACCGTCTAGGAAACGTCTGGGAAGGACGTCCTATAAACTACGTCAATGTCTCAATGAAGACTATGAAAGATGCCGTGATTGCCACGCTCAAGAAAGACATTCCAGTTTTCTTCGGCTGTGACGTTGGCAAATACAGCGATTCCGCATCTGGCATCATGGATACCGATCTGTACGATTATGAGCTCGGCTTCAACATTCGCCTTGGCATGAACAAGGCTGAGAGGCTTCAGACTGGCGAGAGTGCCATGACCCATGCCATGGTCCTTACCGCTGTGCATGTGGTCGATGACAAGCCTGTGCGATGGCGTGTTCAAAACTCTTGGTCTGACAGTGCCGGTACGAAGGGCTTCTTTGTCATGAGCGACGCGTGGATGGACGAGTTTGTATATCAAGCTGTTGTCGACCCAAGCGTCGTCAGCGAGGAGATTCGCAAAGTTTTGAAGCAAGAGCCGAAGATGCTACCTCTTTGGGATCCTATGGGCGCTTTGGCATAAGCAGGCATAGATGTTTGATTACTACTGTAATTTTGATGGTTCCTTGATACGATTAATGATATCTTTGGCTTATGGCCTACGCACAGGGTCTTTCTATGAATGTCTCGATTACTAATCGTGCCTTTGAAGGATGAGTCGAAGACAGGGATACCGCACCAACCAACAGTAATTAGAGCTAAATCTTACTGTTTCCAGCTGATATGTCTATGGGCATGATACTACTTATTAATAGTAATGTAGATACACGGGTAACAGAGCTTTAATCCTAAAGGTTTGATCTGAAGGGTGTTCGACATCCCCGAGTCCTTCCATTACCTCGAATATGCTGACTAAGAACTTACAGCTATCTACCTATATATCATACCTGATGTTAAAGCTCTCGCTTCCAAAGATACACCTGTTTAAGCTAAATTTAGCATTATCGCCGATAAATCCAATAGCAGACTGTTCTCAATCTATTGATACTTAGACCCTTTCTCTGGAGTCGAAAGAGCCTAGTTACAGTTCCCAAAAGTGCTTCCTGGTCGTAAGTGCTTTAGCTATCCTTTCCCCTTTCAGGCTTCAGGCTGTCCTTGATGATTAACAAGGATGAAGAAATGCTAGCTACGTCGAAGTACTGCTCTCAGTACACCTGTGTTCGAGATACCTCTATCAAGTACCAAATACAGATGATGAGGAGAGGTCCTGATGATATTCCTCCACCCCGCTTATGTGGGCGAAAAGATGTGTGTGTAGGTAGCTTGCAATTTACGCAGATTGTAACCCCTGGTCGGACATGGTCGACATTAAAATCTCCCATGTGAAGCAATCTGACTAATCTACTCAGCATACTAGTATGATCCAATGGCACGCTGTATCTACTTATCGCAGCTAAGCCTTCAGTCACATGTTCCCAATTCCACGACAAGAGAAATAGACGTACCTTGCCGCCTTGTGAAAGGCAAGGGTTTTTGGAATGAGCGGGGTAGTAATCTCTCTTTCTATTCACTCCAATTTTGGAAGAACCTCCGCAAAAACGGAAACAAAGGAAGTGAAGACTTGACTCTAGCCTGTACACAATCAGAGATATCAATATGCAAGTATAGTAGAGGTTGACAAAGTTAACATCTATCTGACGAATAATCCAAGGTGCATCTTTCACACTGTGGTTACGGTCACACCAGATGCTAGAGTTCCTGGCGGGTATCGAACACAAAGACTTAGACAGAAGGACGACTGCAGACGCACAGATTGCAAGACTTCGGATACCTACGTACCACCGACGAACCCCTCATACAGCCCGTCATCCTCGGCGAACAATACATGAGATGGTCGAAGGAGGTTTCTTTGAGAACCGACACAAAAGACACGAGATTACTGTCTCTACCCAGTCCTCTCGTCATGGGCAGGACTTGCTAGCTTCTCCATCCACGTTCGTATCTTTTCCAACGCAATGTGATCGTGTTCTTGCGCTGAAGTTGTGAACTCTTCGTCAATCCATCCAATCGTGCCCGCTGTGATAAGCTCATTCCCGAATGGCTGGCATGAGCCGTAGTCGATGAGAACGGGGTCATCGCTATTGTCGATCATCACATTCATTGGCGTGAGGTCGTTGTGTGCTAGTCCAAGTTTATGAAGGTGGCAGACCGCAGATTCAATTTTACGCATGCAGTTCTTAACGTCAAAGGGTTTCGCCTTAGGGCTGGGCTTTTCTAGTCGATAGTAGAGCGTATCCGGAAGGCGGTCCAGGACAAGGCTAACGATACGACCACGTTCGATCAAACAGCCATGATACCTAATGATGTGTGGGTGTGGGTTACGTAGAAGAAGCTCCATTGTTTGGGCTTCGTATAGCACAAGTTTTGGTAATAGGCCTGTACCTACGAAGGCTAAGCCTAGTTTTGGCTTCTTAAGGTAGAAGGTTTCATCGATCGGAAGTGAGAATACTGTGATGTTTGAAGGAGCTTCAGGATACACATCCTCATCCGGGAGACGTTTAAGACTTTCTCTTATAATATCCAGTGTCAAATCGCGTTTTCGAACATCGGATTGACCGAAGTAGACTACCCACTCATCGGTTATGTAGCCGAAGGATGAATATACGAATACTTCATTGCCATTCTCGTCATCTTCCATTGTGAACGCTTCGTAGAGCGGGGAGAGGTCCCGAGACGAATATATTGGCAGGTCTTCGTTGACCATGGCTGAAATCTGCTTCGCTGTCGAAGTGAGGCTGCTGAAAGTGCTTGATATAGAAGTGGCATTTCTCATATAGGAGGAGTTGCGGGCAATCGTTCTGCCGGGTCCGGCCAACCCTGGCTGGTAGGACGAAGGTATTATCATTTTCATACAAGAAAGAGTGCGACTCACCATGAAAAGATTACTTGGTTTTCGTATACCAGGATGCATTCATCATGCTGTACTGACTTATGCGTTACGAGCGGAAACATCTGGCGGATTTTGCGGTAAGTTCTTCATCAAAAGAAGAAATCCTGCGATCTCAGGGACCTGGAATGTATGGGTTCTTAGCATGACATGCGGCACAACATATATAGTGCGAGAATATATACGTGAGCGCTATCCCTCGGATCAATGATCTACTACGGCTAAAGAACAGCTCAAGTAACTAGCCAAGCAATCAATATGGCACTGTTTGACATATGCACATCGAAAAGCTACAGGGATCAGGGTTGTCGACTTCAGTGGGTCTCCTGATGTTCCGGAACGCAGTGCGGTGGATCCATCCGCACCGAACGTTTACAAGAACAGCCCTTGGCTGTGATCTGTAAGCCCGTTCACGTATATGAACCCAGTATCTAGACCCCAGACGAGAGGTACTTGAGGTTCTGGATACCAGGGACTGCCGAGAATTCCGTGACGCAATGACCGTTGTATGAAAACAAGACATGTATGATTAGCAAATCCGACCATATGTGATTTGCTCAGGGCTGTACATAACGACTGAATTAGCACAGTCACTGTGCCGCTACAGAATCTGAAACACACAGCAATCTCATAGCCTTCCCATGCGCCGCATAGATACGCCGCAGACGCTCGCGCTTGATGTAATGCTGCACAAGTATCTATACCTAATTAATCAACCATCTGGAATTGTTATAACATCTACATCCTCCGAACAATATAGTACTGTACTGCATCAATAGCATCCGTGCTCTGCCCTGTAAATCGCAACACCTACGCCCGAGTCAAACACTGACAGCTTGTACGCCAAGAATGCTTCACTAAAAGGTATGCCGATCAGAATCTGAGAGTCAATAGACTTACAGTATACCCAAGTAGCATTCATCTACGTACATTGAGACCGCACCAAACATCACGCTGTTCTTGCCGTTTCCGCATCGCCACTTCATAAGGACTCAGGACGTCGAACTTCAGACCGTCTTCCTCCTAAAAGCCATCTCAAAACTAAGCCACAGATCCATCGCGATGCCACCACTAAACCCACTTGCCCTATCACGAGGCTGGGCCACCGTGAAAACTGTCTCACTCAGCACCGGCGCCATCATTGGGATCTCTGCAGTGGCGGTTCTTTTTGCGCTCCTGATTCTGTATTTGGTTGTGCAGCACTGCAAGCGTCATCGTGTTCAGAAATATGGGCCGTACCAGATCTAATGTTCAACGCGTTTGGTGTATGGACACGCATATTTTTGTATTTGGACGGTCGATCGATGGAGACTGCTGGCCAGAACGTACTCAGGCGAGGAAGGAGCGAAGGAGTGGAAGATTATGTGAGATGGAGTTGTCTACATGACACCAGATGGTACGATTTCCATTCAGAGTTGTTGTACTTGCCGTGTTTGAGTGGAGTATACCCCTGTAGTTCAAACGACATCTTTTCCTCGAAACTTCTGTCCGAATGCTTCTTCAAAGCACCCCATCTCCCACCAGTCGATCCCAGATATCACGGCTCGTCCAGAACACCCCTAAAGCGCTGAATACATCATTGACAGTGTCGTCGATTCTTCGGATACACCAGACCCGTCGGATACAAATCCTGATCCACTTATTGACCGACACAATAAACAGAACGAAAGTGCACCTCACCATTCATGCAGGTCGAGATTGCCTTAAAAATCAACCGCGAACAAACTTATACTGATTTGGAGCGCATCTGGACTGGAACAGACAGCTTTCAGCTCGCAAGCGAGTGTTTCCAGAAGAAAAAACCAGACAGAGCCATCATCGTCGAACGTCTCAATGGGGGAGAGGGGTAACGAGCCCAGTGAAATAGGAAATAAATGTACACACTGTCGAGCACCGTGGTGGGGAAGTGGGGCACAGTTAAGATAGAAGAGGAAGAAAAGAGCTCTATCATTGAATGTCTAGGTAGCGAAGGGAAGAATAGGCGATGGTACATCCCTATCGCTACATACTGGAGCCCTTTAATGCTTGGAAGAACATCTTCCTTCCTGGACACGCTCCTGACTGGGACTATCCGCATGAGCCCTATACACCGAAACTACTGAGAAGAGGAAGTAGAAGAGCTTCATCGTAGAGTATCTTACCCAGGTGTAGAAGTGTCACAGTCCCATGGTACTGCACCTCCCACGAACCCCCAGCGGAAGTTCCTGGAACCCCATAATTTTCTTTCATATACCACACAGAGGATCCAAGAACCGTTCACGCGCACACAAACAGACCTCAGAAAACAGTGCACCATCCCAGGTACCCACAGCAATAACCCCCTCCCACCTCCGATTGGTCCCTCTGCCCACAAATAAGTAAGTGAACAACCCATCATCATCAAACTTCCCAGGCATATGCCGAATTCAAGAGCCAGTCAAATTGCGAGCGCATTCTAGAGCGGGACTACCAGCTATTTTCACGTTCACTCGTATCCTTCACTTCCTATAACCCCTTACTGATCCTGGCCTCGTCCTCTATTGGCCAGCTCATTCTTGAAAACGGTAATAGCCTACACGATCGTGTCTCGTCTGTTTAGAAACCTCGAATTCAAGAGCCAGTAATATCGCGAGCGCATTCTGGCGCGGGACTACCCGCAATCTCCACGTTCACTTCTACCCTTCACACCCTACGACCCTATACGACCCCTGACGCCCCTCCTCCATTGGCTAACTTCCTCTTAAGAAGGGTAATAATCTACACCATCGTGCCTCTTCTGTGCGAAAACCTCGAATTTAACAGCCAGTAATATTACGAGCGCATTCTGACGCGGGATTACCCGCTATCTTCACGTTCACTCATTTCACTTATATCCCAATAAACAGTCACACCACCCAATTGGCCAACCCACCCTTGAAAACGGCAACAGCCTACACGACCGTGTCTCGTCTGTCCAAAAACCTCGAATTCAAGAGCCAGTAATATTGCGAGCGCATTCTGGCGCGGGACTACCCGCCATCTCCACGCGCTCTCCTTTCACTCCTCTTCCATCACCACGTCATACCACCCCATTGGCCAAACCGCTTTTAGAAACGGCAACAGCCTACTCGATCGTGTCTCTTCTACGTAAAACAAGCGCGAGTTCAAAGACCAATCATATGCCGAGCGCATCTGATTTTCGCGACGCCCACGTGGTGGTGTTTATTACCCAATCTCTCTCTCCCTGAACCTGGACCCACATTCCACTTCGCTCCCAACCTAAAACCTAGTCGATCGTATATACGACGAGCGCAATTCTCGAGATTTCTATCTGAAGTCTAGCGCTTCAGAATCCATGGGTCGTTTTGCGTTTATATCTGCTTTGTTTTACTTTTTTCCGACCTCGTTGCTATATCATGTTTGCGCCTTGCGCCTTGTGCCTTGGACCTCGTTTCCCTCTTCCTTGTTCCTTGTCTGCCACTTCTGCTTTTGCGTGATATATGGATGTACAGTATACACGAACGCGCGTAAGTGACGCACGTGGTGTTATTGTGGGTTCTCGTGACGGTGTGGCATTATTTCCATGGCTAGAGTCATAGAAGATTACCACCTACAAGATTCAAATTTCCACGCACAGCTAGCTAGTTTGGCTTGGATACAAGTTCTTCATTTGCTATGTTTTGCTTTTGGTAGTGACATGCGTCTTTTTGCTCTTCATCTATCTATTGAGTGGTGGTATTGCAGCAGAAGTTGCAATGATGTCTAGAAAGAACAAATCGTGGCATCATGTGTGTGTGTGAGCCAGGTCCAGGGAGGCATTGTTGGGCCGCCCATTGAACTAACCACCGAAAAAACGCCAATTGACCAATGCAATGTTCCAGATTCTGCCTCTATCCATCTACCGTAAGAAGGTCATGTATATGAGACGACACTGTAAAGCCGCATGATGTGTCTATCGACGACTGCCGATCGTCGTCAATCATCCATATACCTCGCTCAAGATTTCCATTTCCGTTTTATCCACGGAGGCATAAAATCATTTTCAAGCCGTTAACTATTCAATCAAGTCAGCTATAATATCTGCGCAATATTTTGCATGCATCGATCAGAATAAGTGAGGATCTGAAGCCGGCTCGCCACCATACGCCAGCTCCTTGAAACCCTCGGGTACTGTCCACCCGTGTGTTCGGCAAGCACGAATGTAAGCCTCGACCGCCTCACCAATAGAGTAGTCGCGTGCTGGTCCCGGCTCGAGTCGTGCTGGTCGGGGATCTAAGCTGCTCATTGCGAGGCGCACTTGTAGGAGAACGGACTCAATTGACGAGACGGCAGACCAGCCAGTATTGGTGAGCAGTTCCATACATAAGGCGCCACCGGCTGTGACGTGTCCACCACCACCTTGTTGGAAGCCTAGAAACCGAGGACGAACAACGCGGACGAATGGTGGGGACATTGGGTAATCTTTTCCAAAGCGAAACTCGAGGACAACGGATCTGAGATCCTTCTTCTTCATGTCTTTCGCTAGAGGTAGATGGGATTCGAACGAGTGGAGCTCGATAATCCACTGGTACATGTTGTTGATATGATCAGGATTGATGTACCATCCAAGTTCGTGCAGGGGTTCCTTGGCTTGGACTTTCAGAACAGCCTTAAAGTCTTGTTGGAGTCTTCTAGTAGCCGAATGAGTGGCCCACATAGGCTCAATGAGCTTTGGGAGAGACTCAGCATCAAGCTTGCCCGGGATGAAATCGGTTTGCGATATCTCGACAGTTGTGCCACTATCGTTTGACGGCTGTGAAAGATGTATAGAGCTCTCCTCTTCCCGGAATATCTCAAGGTCCTCTTGCAAAGTGTTGACACTTGCAGTGTCATCAAAGTCAATATCAATGTCTTCCTCGATTGATATTGGGTCACTCTTCTGGCCTGACCCCTTTAGTCGCTTGAAACCTGCCTTGATCGACGCCGATAGAGGATTCGATCGCTTCCGTTGCGTGTTTGCTTTCGCTGGGATGACAATTTTGCCGCCCTCACCCTGGGGAGTCATCACTGGGTCCTGGGCCTGTGCTTCCGTAGGAGCTATGACGACGTTCAGCGGATCTGCCATCGATGGAGACTTGACGAAGAGGTAACGCGTCTGAATCCAGTCTACATGCTGAACAACAAGATGAGGATTTCTGGACTGAAATTCATCGGGCGCATTGACAACCTCGTTGAGGGCTATGGCGGAAGAGATCTTCAGCTCGCTGCTCGGCCAGACACGGGGACTAGCCCCATTCCTGCTGTAGGTGCTCATATGAGAATAGCCTAGGCTAGTTCGCGCATCGAGTGAGTGATATACTCCATCGCCAAACGCACGTCCATGTGCGATGTTCTTGAAGTGTAGACCTTCTCTGATGATACCGTGCCAATTGTTCAGCGCGCTCCCGTGCCAAGCATAGAGTGTTGGATACGTGAGTGATTTTCTCTGCATAGTAGTCTGTACTGCATTGAGGAATCGTCTTTCCTTGTCCTAGGGTCGGGTTAGTACGGTTTCATCAGCCATCGACAGGGCTTTGAGGCTTACTGGCGCGCCCATCGCAAATCTAAACTGTGTCCAACCGTCCATGCCGAACACTCGCTCGTCTCTTCTGTTTGGATCACCATTGCCACTCTCGCACTCTACAATGCAAGCTCTACTAGACGCAATGATCCAACGCAAAAGACTTATAGCAGCAGGCGGTACGCGATCTATCCAGCTAGCTAACGACGCCACGCCCTTGCGTTGAAGATAATCTTTCATTTCGGGAACGCCAGGTAGGATGTCGAGTAGACTGCTTATTGCACCCCTCTTGTCGTCGTCGTTGAGATCATCAAAGTTTCGATTATAAGGGTATAAATTCACCTTCTGAGGATTCAGCGGAATTGGAGAAGGGGTCTGCGGATATGGAGGGGAGTTGACTCCTGGTCTTGGCTGCTGGGCAGCGGCTGATTTTGCTGACGTATCGGGGGCTTGCACGAACTCCGATAGAGTGACGACTGGGAAATAGGTAGTTTCGATGACCCGGGCGTGAAGAGCGGCCTCTATCTTTGGAATTCGCACGACTATCCAATCACCATTTCGGATAGGGCAAGTTATTTCTGATTCAAAGGTCAACTGTCGAACACTGTGGTCGTATTTGGCGACCATGTGCGGGCCTGTGCCGGGGTAACTTGCTGCGAAATCCATATTGGTACTGAGTGAGCTGGAAGCTGGCGGCGGGACCAGAAGACTCAGCCCACTTGGGAAGCTGTTCAAGCCGCCTCCGGTGGCGCTGACATAACAAAAGGATATGAGCAGATCAACAACTTTATGTTGTGCTAGGATCTCATGCTCAATGCTGGGACCGAAGCCAAGAGACATGTATTGATAGAGACAGAGCGGATTGTCGCACACATACGGCTTGATGGCCTCGAGATCGTTAGGAAGCTTGCGGAAACAGACGAGACAGAACTCAGTACAGCGTACGAAATGGCGGAGTGTAGCTTGCATGGCTATGAGTGGAAAAGAGTGGCGCTGGTTGGCCGAGACGTCATGTATATGGTCTGCTCGGACGATGCTAGGGAAAGTTGCAGCAATATGTTCTTCAGCGAGATATCTGTCATCCACAAGGCTTGAGCGGATCTCAGAAGTTGCCATATGATCAGCTAGGAATTCTTCTGCGCCACCCCAAGCCATTCTGTTGTATCTGTAAGAAATTATCTTGATCAAACGTTCGTTTAAAAACTCGTTTAGCGGACCAGATATGAATGCATTCCTGAAGCCGAGATTCAAGTCTGATGGCTGGAAGCCTGTATTTGAATTTGCCTGGTTTTTTGCTTCGTCTTTTGCCAGGGATGTGAAGGCGTGGACAGCTTCTGGTAGTGTTGGTTTATACGTGTTGCTCACTCCAACTCGGATCTCCAAGGCCCTACGACAGCTCTTAGAGCCTAGCTTCAATAGCGCGTCTATGGAGTGATAGCCGTAGGGATAGTGTAGTACCAAAACAAGATATTCCGAAGCTTTGACCTGCCAGGCTTGCATTGCTTCGCAAGAGATGCCTAATTTTCCAACTCGAACAGATAAGGTGACGTAGCAAGGACCTCCATCGAGGAGTTGAGCTAGTGCTCCCACTTTGAAACCTGCTGCTTTTGCCATGAGGAGATCAGATCGTATGCGAGAACGAAATGGCAAGGTTGATTCAATCATCAATTGTCCTGACGAATGTCCAGTGTGATTTGGAAGTCGTAGGGAGAGCATCTCGTCTGGAAAGTAGTCCTCGCCCTCATCCTCGTCGCTATCATCCTGGCCACTGTCGAGTTCATCTTCTTCAAGATCACTATACGCTTCCTGTGAGTCTGGCATCTCGACGTCATCGTCTAGACGCGATTGTGTGGCTTTTGCGACGATGTGTAGCAGTTTCTGCACAGATTTGCCCGCGGTTTGCTCGAATAAATCGCCAAGCTTCATAGCAATGGCAGCGGGGGCAGTGTCTGGGGCGATGAAAAAGCAGGAATGGCTTGAGGGATAATCCGAAACATCTATAGGGCTGGTCAACTTCCAGTTTCTGGTAGAATGTGCTGATACGACAACAAGACTGGAGATGTAGGAAGCATTGAAGACACTGGTCGTCGATCTAGAAGACCTGACATACCTGATATCTTTGCAACAAGCTCAATGTTCGCTGAACCGACTACATTATCCACGGTAAAGACAAATTCGCCATCATCGTCGCCTTTGTGTACATCGCGGATACCGTTAATTGCTGTGTTCTCAATAACCTGCGTGAGGTCGGCGATGAAGGCCTTGCGTGGCATTACGGAAAACGGTGTGTGATTGAGCTTGAACAACCGCAGTCAACTGGACTGAGAGAAGATTTGGGATAGAAAGATTGGCCGGTGAAAGAGGGGGGAATGCCATCAACGTCGTGGGATATGTCGTTGGATGAGAAAGTAGAGGATTGAGTCGCGTGTAAAAAGAGTTCGGGCGCGTCAAGTGAGCGCCTGCCGTGCCTGGAAGATTGGTGAACAATGTTTCTGGTACAGTGCGATTTCAGGCCCGTACTTTGTTGAGAAAAGCGTATTATGTTATACGTGCTCTGATTTCGTAGGTGACTAGACACAACGATGGGTTTAGACGTGGAATGCCACGGAACTGACTGTACGATCTGATATGGCAAAAGTGACCGCAATTCGTCTGTCTTTTATTGCCTAAGATCTGGCAGCCAGAGAAACTGAGACGTCTCGAGGATGGCGAGCCACACAACCCTGGAATGAATCCCACCCGAGGAAAGCAATAACACTCGATAGTGACGGTCAAGCAAGGAAGAGGTAAGGAGCGTTGAAGTTATAGAGGAGGAACTCGCGAACTTCAAGAGGAGAGAAGGTCGAAGTGAGGGCAACAGACGATCCAGACAAGATGATAATGAGGAGGGGAGGTCAAGGCATGGCAACAGGCAGCAAACAGGAACAGGAGCCGAATCTAACAGTGGCGGTGCACTGTATGTTGTCACGTCCACTTAGATGCACGGCGAGGCAGCAATGATAGCGGTCACGCTGAAGACGAGAGAATAGGACAACGAAAAGAGAGAGATTCGAGTGCATATGTGCGCACAAATAGAGAAATGAATTCGTGGGATTGGGACGCGAGAACGAGGTAAACACGTCGATTTCCAGGCCGCCATCACAGCAGCCGGGGAAATGCCCCTAATTAACTACAGTTGAAGCAGCAATTTAGCGGCCGATACCCCCCGCAGTCACAGCCACAGATAGCCACAGACTGCCCCGCCACAACCCCTCCAGCCTCACAAGAGTCAAGCCACGCTAAACGTTCTCCCTCCCGTCTTGACAAGCTTCACGAACCTATTCATTAGGTAGTCCCAAACCTCCAAACACCCATACGCAAACAATGGCCGTCGATACCACTACTACTACCACTACCACTACTACTCCTACCAAATCAATACACCTCGCAGACCCCTCCCTCGCGCCCTTCCTCAACCCCACCTTCGACGCCGCAACATACTTCAACACCGTCCTCCCAACCCTATCCCTCACCTCCACGACGACCACGACCTCTAATCGCCAATCTCAACCTCCTCCCACCACACCCACCGCCTCCCTCGCCGAACTATCCACCCAAACCCAGACTCTCCTCTCCCAACTCACCGCCCAGACAACCCGCCTCTCCACCATCCTCACCCAACTCACAGACGATATCCTACGCTCCGGCGCCCGTCTCGCATATCAAGTCGAGCTCCTGCGCGGCGAAACCATCAGCTTGACCGACACACTCGCCGGCCCACTCTCCAGCACCATCGAGACCTTCGTCCCAGGCGGATTCGCAGCTGCTCAGGAGACCACACCTGAAGCACACCAGCACCAGCCAGAACCCTCGCCATCCGCACCCAATTCCCCGCCGGCCATCGATACCGACGCCAACGCCACACCCACACCCGCACCCACATCCGCCCCAAAACCAACCACAGACCCAGAATACATAACCTCCCTCCGCACCCTCACCCTCGTGCGCACCCGCCTCGAGTCCGTAATCCAAACCTTCGGCGACGCCATGCAATGGACCCTGCCGCCCTCCTCCATCAACACCACATCCTCGCTAATCTCCGTATCCGCGCCCGAGCCAGGCTCCTCACACGCCTCAGCGGAGGAAAAGGGCCGGGCGTTTGCCGAGAAACTGCGGAATGAGATTGGTGATCTGGTCGTGCTCGGAGAGGACGGTCGGGGCCAGAAGGAGGGAGAAGCGGGTGGGTATGAGGCTGCGTTGGTGCGGATTGATGGGTTGAGGGAGCTTGCGGGCGTGTGGAAGGGTACGGCGGAGGAGAAGGCTAGGGCGAAGTTTGTGGAGGATCTGGCGAAGCTGGCAAGGGAGAGGATGAAGACGTTGGAGGGAGGGGCGGGCAAACAACAGCGGAGAAGGCAGAGTTCTGCGGCGGCGAGACAAGGCACTCAGAGTGGGGGAGGATTCCTGGACAGTCTGCAGCGGATGAGGGGCAATTTCTAGGACCCACTCTCTTGTCGAGACTGGTTTGATATATAGGGGACTGGAGGATTGTATATACAAAATTACTCCTTCACACTCGCATCACGCTCAACGTGATGCGCACAGGCTAGAATGAGACAAAACACGGCCATCTATCCATCTACACAGCACAAGACCTCACTCCTCACCATCACCACCACCAACCGCCCTCTTCCTCACCTCCACCTTCTCCACCTCCACACTCGCATGTCCTCTCTCATCCAGTCCCCTCGCCACCTCCGTCGTACTACTCACGCCCTCCTCATCCGTATCCACATCAATCCCTTGCACAACAACGGGCTCGCTAACGCTCCTATCGCGCCGCTTCCCGACCGCCTTGGTGCCGAACGGAGGCTCAAACCGGGTGCGAATCGTGGCAATCATCTTGCCAAACCACACAAAGTTCAGAGTATTGAGCGTGATGTTGGCTGCCAGATACGCGCCAGCCAGCCACACAGGCGTGGCCTGGTCTTTGGGGGCGACAAAGCGCAGGCGGTCGAGGGCGCCGAGGGAGGAGCCGAGGGGTTCTCGCGGGTGCATGGTGGCGGTGTGTGTGAGGCCGCGGTAGATGTCGGCGAAGACGAGAAGGGTCTGGTAGGAGCCCCAGATGAGACGACAGGAGAAGAATGTGACTATGAGGATGACGCCGTTGCAGAGTTGGAGGGTGGAGCCAGTGAGAGAGAGTTTGTCACAGAACCAGTGGATGTTGAGGAAAGGGGAGGAGAGTTCATAGAGGATGAAGATGGGTGCGTAGAAGTTTACGAAGGGGCGCTAGAAGCAACCTATCAGTATATGTGTCCGTGACTCGATCTGAAGATGCACAGGGAGGGACTCACAAATCCGAGCGCATACACTCCCAGCGCACTCACCGCATGCGCCAACATCCCCAAACCAAACACCTTCAGATACCGCACACTAACCCATAGATCCCACACAAAATAGCCCGTTGCAAATGCTTGAATCATGCCCTCTGCCCCGGTGTATCCCCAAATACGCTCCTTCCACGCCTCACCAGACCTCACGCCCATCTCCCCCCTTGCCTCATTCTTCTCGCTCCACAACACCCACAGCGCCAGCACATTGATCAGGCAGCTCTGCACGAAGCTGACCACGTGCACGTCCCAGTTGATGCGCGTGCGTCTATTGAAGAAGGGGTATGTGCGCGGAAACAGACGGGCGGACAGCCACGGCGAAACGACAGCGCCAATGAGCTGGTATGCGACTGCGACGAAGAGGATCTCGTGGATGTGCAGATGAAGAGTTTGGAGGCCGTAGTAGTCGGCAAAGGGCTTGATGGCACGCGCAAGAAACGGCGGGCAGGAGAAGGGAAATGGGTCTCGCATGGCGGTTGGTGGAGGGGCAGTAGGTTCGCGGATGCTGAAGTGGTTCTGCACGCTGGAGCTCGAGTATAGGTGGATTGTCGTATGTCTGTTCCGAGGGAGAGTCGAGGACACTGCGGAGAGTGATGACGAAGGAGATTTTAAAAGATGCTAGGGAAGGGAAAAGTGAAGAGCGGTCAAGACATGTAGGTCATGTACGAGACAGAGACACGAGTGAAGGAGGCTGGCGGATCCGTTTGTCCATAGTTACATGGGAAAGCTTGGCGCCCGATGCACGTCTGTGCCACCAACACGCGTTTTTATATATAATTAATATTTTACGGCATCATCACCATACTACACGTATATAGAGTCTATAACTATATAATATAGTATATAAGAGTTAGTATATATAATATTTAGTATTTTTAACTTACTAATATATATATATATAGTACCCCGGGGTGTTATCTATCCCGATTCCGTATATAGATGAATTAACTTCCTTCTATAATATAATATATCTATTAATAAGATTATTACTATTACTAAAGTTAGTAAGAATATAGTATATAGAACGAGGTTTAACCTTAAGATATATAGATAGAGAAATAAACCGCGGTTAATGCGTCGTGGTCCACCTCGTTAACTAAGCGATTATATAATATAATAACTACTTAAGAGACTACTTTATAAGGGCTGGCTATACCTTAATAAGATAGCTAGATAGATATATAAAGAGTTTAATCTTACTATATCTAAATAGCTTCTATCTAAAGAGTTATCTAAGTAAGGGTAGAATTATAAGCTATTAAAATATATTAGTAGTACGCGCTTAGAGATAGTATATACTTTATACCTTAAGGATATCACGGAGCTACTAGTAGACTTATATATCTTCTTAGATAAGGTTATTTTTAATAAGAAAATTAGATAGAGGCGTCGAGCTAGAGTACTAAAAGGATAGACTCTAACTAAGATTAGTACTCTTAATTAAGGACCTATATATAGCGTATATAGAGCTATTATAGCTAATAGTTTTATCTACTATTAGATAAAGGAAGGTTATTTCTTAATGGATAAGTTCTATACCTAGCTATAAATATACCTATTACCTACCCTTAAGGTAAAATACCCTAGGCGTATAATAATAATTATTATAGATAATCTCGTACTTTATATAAACTAATAGATTAAGCTACTTATACTTAGCGCTAGCTATATTATATAGTATACGCTACTATACTTACCTAACTTTAATTCTATTAAGCTTATATAGATGGTAATAAAGGTATAGATTTATAGATAGTATATCTAGATATATTAGTAATCTCGAACTTTTAAGGACTTCCTCTATATTATATTTATATATAGCTATACTAATTAGTAGGCTCTATACTTCTTTAAATATACTATAGATAGATACTATATTAATGAGACGCTCTAGTAGAAGGTAGTTACTAATTTAGAGAGCTTTAGATAAGGTAGAGATAGTAGAGAGGTTACTAAAGTTAAGGAGATTAGGAGACTTTTTTACGAACTCGTTAAGTAACTTACTTATTACTAACTTACTAATAAGTAAGTTACTTAGCTAGCTAGTAATAGTCTATATATATATCCGTTTTAGATACTATTCGTTAAGTATATAGCCTTAATATATAAATATATACTCCTAAATATACTCTAAGAAATACTATACTATCCCTATCTAAATACTAGTTATACTAGTTATAGTAAACGCCTAGAGCGAGGACGCCGCCTTACTTACCTTAACTTACTTCTTATACTTATAAAGGTATAGACGTACGTCTAGTAGGATACTAAGTAGAATACCTACTATCTTCGCGGCTTTATAATAAGTAGTTCTAGGCTAAGTTATCTCCTTAATATAGCGGTAAGTATAGTAGTTATTATCTATATATAGTCTTAATTCGTGTATCCTAGCCCTTATCTTATTATAAGTCTCTATCTCCTTATACTATTTAAGAGCTAATAGTACTATATCCGCCTAGTAACGCCCTAGTTATACTAGACTACTAAAGGTTTCTATAACTCGTGTCTAAGGGAGTGTTTTACGACGAGTCTTATAAGTTAGTAAATAATTTAAACTATAAGTAGATAGAGGGTAAGGTTAAGGTTAAGGTTAAGGAAACGTAGATATCTATATAGGTATTATAGGATTAAACCTATAACGCTATAATTCTATCTAATAAAGTAGTTAAGTATACGTAAGCTTATCTTTATTATCTTAATAATATCTCGCCGCCGCCTCCTCACGCTTAATTATCGCCTATCTTATCTACTTATCTTAAAGTCTTATATTCCGCTTCTTATAATCTAACTTAGCCTCCTTATATCGTAATCTCTTTATTTTAAGGCGCTCGAGTATAGAAGTAGTACTTCTATTAACGGTAGTTAACGAGGTACTAGTTCTACTACTAGTTTAAGACTTTCTTAGGCACGGTCGAGTAATAATCTTATAGAATAAGTCTATTAACGGCTTATCCTTAGTTATACCTTAAATACTATTAATAATATTATTAGCCTATAGCTCTAAGATAGTCTTATCTACCTTATAGTAGAGTATTCTATTAGGTAATATAATCTTATAGTACTAACCTTAGTAGTTTATATACGTCGCCTTACTATACTAGAGCTTACTCTAAATATTATTAATAATAACTTCTTAGTTACGGCCTCGCTATCTTCGCTTCTCCTATAATTTAAATAGCTATTTTAAGTATCTCTTAAGGTTTAGATATTAGGACTTAGTCTTAGATAGAACCTAATCTACATGTACCTTAGCTAATAGGGTTAGGAGGTAACGTAAAGGGCGGTAAATAGTCACGTACTAGATAGATCGGCGTCCCTTTATATATATACTCTCGGATTTCTACCGAAAGGGTTTAGTAGTAATTCGTTCTATAATAGAATATACCCTATTATTCTATCTAACTATACTACTATCTAATAACCCTATTCTTATATTCGAATTACTCCCTATATAGTACTATAGTTAAGATAGTCTAACTAGAACCGGGAAGGTCGACACGATCTACTATAGGGATAAGTAATACTATATTAAATAATAGGGATCCTCTATAATTAGTACTAATCCTAGCCATTTCTAACTAAGAAGTAGAAATATTAGACTAAATTATAGAGCTTTTAGACGAAGAAATGGTAGAGACGCCGAGTAACTTCTAATAATATAAAGCCGGATAACGAGTCGTGGCGGAGCCACGCGAGGTATTATAATAAACTATCGCTGAACTTTAGGAATACGTCGCGAATTAGGCTTAAGAGATTTAAACTCTTAAAGAATAGGTAGAACGCGCGAAACTCCTCGTAAAGAGACGAGAACTTAAGGAGTCTCTTAAAGAACTACGCCGAACGATAGTAGGTAGACGACTTCCTATACTAATTTAGGCGGAATTAGTTTACCTACCATTAGAGTTACGATAATCTACTATATACCTAGCCGCTTCGTTACCAATTTACTCTACTTCTTCCCTAGGTATACTAAAACCTAAAGACCCGACTATATTTATAGAGAAGAACTAAAAGGAGTAGAAAGACTAGAAGAGAGACTACGAAAAGTACTTCCTTAATAACTCTCTACTCTTTTCTACTAAAGTATAACGTATTTCGTTTAGAGAATAATACCTAGACTTGTAATCCCGGGATTAATAGGATAGATAGAAGGAAGTATAGCTACTATCTACGATAACCTAGGAATATTTAGCTATATTTATACTAAACACTCTCGGAACGGATAGAGAACGTGAAAGAAAGATACTATCTAAGTTAAGAAGCGTAGTATAACGACCGAACTAGATATCTACTTAACTACTATAATACCTCTAAAACCTATAGAATAATATCCCTATACTATAGAAAAATATTTATATATTGTGGAAGGCCGCTCCTGCAGCCCTATATGTATATGTCCCTAGCTCGATTACATGGCTTCATTATATATTTAAGGAGGGCGTTTTCCTTGGTCATTCTACTCGGCGCGCTTCCCCCATTACTAATATTCGACTATTCGATCTTTCCTTATGTTTATGGGCCTCTATGGGTATTAATTATTAGGCTTAGCTATTAAAGAATTAATTAAGAGTATTATATAGACCCGTCCTATTATAAAAGAGAACTAATAAGAAGTCGTGCGTTTAAAGAGAACTCATAATACCTAGGAGAGATACTTGTAAGTTCGTCGCGACTACTATACTAGGAACACAGCCATTTATAAAAGAGACATACGTGGCGATAGCTTACCATAATTTTAGAGGTCGTACCTAGACTACGAACTTATAGGGGGAGATTAGGACTCCGAAACCAGCTTAGGGGAAGTATATGGCGTGCCTAATAAGGTAGTCTAGACTTACTAGATCGAAGCCACGAGTCCGGAAAACAGGGAGTCCGGAGTCGCTAGGGGCTAGCCTCTTAAAAGTAGCCGTAAAAAGTATGCGTATACTAATACGGGTAATAGCGCGACTCGAAAATATCTTAGGGGAATAGAATATAAAATAGAGCTAGATGAAGTAGTAAAGAAGAGTTTAAAAACGATAAATATAACCTATTTAGTGCTACTATAGCTGTTATTCATAAACACGGCTATATAAGTATACTACTTTAGGAACGCCTTACACGAAGATAATAACATAAGTAGAATACCGTGAACCTTATATTAATAAAGACGATAGTAATAGTTTACCTTATAAAGGGATTAGTTAATATAGAGAAGGGATAATAGGTGTTATAGGTAGACGCATTAGGCTAACCTTTAGTTAAGGTAATCCCTTAACTAATAACCTTACCCCTAGCGTCTCTACTAGCACATCTACTACTAGTAATAGTATGATAGGAGCTTAAAATAACGACCTAGTAACTCGTAGAGAGATGCTTAACTTCTTCGTAGCATTTGCGCGATAAGGAAGAATAGTATCTCTATCTACCCTAGCCCCCGAGCGCTTTAAAGGAATAAATATTACGGCCTTCCTTCGGAAGTATAAGGACATATATATAAACTATAAAGTTCCGCCTAATAAGAAGATAACCTCCCTACCATTATACTACGAGGACTATCTCCGTCCTACTATTAAAGGAATAAGTAGGTTTTAGAAATAGTAGTAGGCTATACTACGTGAAGAATTATTAAAGGAATTCTCTCTATTTAACTCTACTCTCGAGGAAGGTACCATCCACTTTATCTAAAAATACGTGGAAATG